TGAAATTGGTTGATATGTTATTCGTATTGAGCGCAGCTGCAACCGCCAATGCAATACTGATCCCAACTGATAACAATGGTTCAACCCACACATCAAGCACTTCCAGTCAAGTGTCTGGTCCGACTAATGAACCTAATCCAGGCACTTCCAATGAATACCAGGAAGAACCAATGGATTTAAGCCTTCCTAACCGATACCGGCAACAGCTAATTGGGTTGACCATTTCCAACAAATACAAGCAAGAACCAGTCGATGAATCCAATTCAAACACTTCTGGTGAATACCAGCAAGAACCAATGAATTCAAGTATTTCCAGCCGAATCCAACAACAACCAATTGATCAACTCAGTCCGAGCACTTCCAATCAAGACCGGCAGAACCCGATTGATGAGGCTGGTTCAGTTACTTCCGACCAAACTCAGCGGCAACCAATAGATATGGTTGATCCAAGCACTTCCAGCCAAACCCAACAACAACCAATGATCCATGGCAGGTCTTCAAATACTGTCACAAATCAAGTGACTGGATTAAGCCAAAAATATCAGAAAACCTTTGATCGTATAAAGAAAAAACTTGTAGCGTTTAAAACGATACGAAAGGAAAAACACAAAAGATATCGTGAATATGCAGACCTCAAATTCAGTCAGCAGTTAAGAATAGCAATGGGAAAAGAGATATCTGAACCAATGCACAATCCAGACGATGAAATACGATTGAAACAAGAGTATGAAAAGGCAGGAACAAAAATACGCAGTATCAGACAAGAATTGAAAAGGTTTATGAAAAGGCGTGGTTTGAAATTTGAAGAACCGGACTCGGATTAATGATGTGTCGATGAATTTGGTTTTGAATAAATTTAAACTTTCTGATGTTGATGTTTGTCGAGTATTGTGAATGGGTCAACAATCATATCATTGATTGTGTATTGCATGTTTGTGTATATTGTGTTGAGTATTATATCAACAGTTATTGGGTTGTTGATTGATACATTGACACGGTTTGTTCCATATACATTAATGACCTGATAACAACCAGTGTTGATTGTGCATGTAATCACTTGTCAGTTGCATGGTTGCATGATATCACCAACTAATCATGTCGTGTATTGTACAACAAACGGAGCAATACACTTGTTCGAAGTCGGATGTAGATTGCAACATCAACTGGTTTGATATTGGTCAATTAGTGTTGTTTTATGTCAGTTTGCAATGTAATATATGCAGCATGGTATTGGTAGTGGTGTATTGACGTCAAATGGACCACTGAATAACAGTGTTTATCACCATCCAACTCAATCTCACCATTTCAATCAATCTTGGTCAATGTTGATGATTTACACGCTAATTCATTATCCAATCTTGTCTGACATTATTATTGGCTTTAATCACGTTTGGTTTGTACAACTACCATGATTTGTACTACCATTATCATTGTGTATCTGAACATCAAATATTCCAATACATCAATAATACCACAGTGTAAACAGTAATACAGTTGATCAGTCTTGTGGCAAGACTTTTCATTCAAGTTTGTATTTGGGAATACTCGATGATTTAATCACAACACACTGTTTGTAATGCGATTGTCATTGATCTCATTCCATTTCAGTCCATTCCATCCGATTTATGATGATGTTTAGTAATCCATTACCATGTGTTGTAGTAAACTAACTTGTTTATTGAACCAAATCTACAACAATCACATTCAGAATATTAATTTACAGTATTTCCAAATGCATGTTTGATAACAATCCAATTTTGTTACAAAAAACTGATCAAAACAATACTAAAATGGAACAACTCGTTTGTGCGTTTTACAACAATCCAAACATGAACAATTCTCGGCAATTGTTGGACATTCGCATGAATGAAATTGTCAAATCAAAATTCAACTTTACTAATTTTATCAAACATGAAGTTGGATGATATCATGAAAGAGTTGATTCAACACAAGGAAGATTTGAAACTGTTAACAACGGATGATCAACTATACAAGGCTGATGAAATATGGGACAGACTGCTTGACTTGATACAGGAGTTGAAAAAACATGGCTACAGTAAGTTTAATAGTCATTGTATTATTGATAAATTCAAACTATTGCTGACTTTGTGTTGGTTTGAAATGGCATGATATACATATGTATTGCAGCGCTTACAGAGTATTGGATTGGAGGATATTGCAGCCAAGTATTTGGAGTATAATCGACCCAGTTTACAGGTATTCATATATTGTAACAATAATGGATTGTTCATGACTAAACTAATCAACATGTGTTGTGTAGATCGAAGTAATGAAGTTTACTGCAGTGTTTTTGAGAATGGTGTACAGTAATATGAGTTCAAAATATCTCAACGACTAAGCAACCAAATTGCACAACTCATGCAATCACCAAACCGTCAAGTCAAAATGGCGGCAAGTCATGATTGATATTGATCAAATGATTGACATTCAACTCACTTAGTGTCAATATGCATATAGGCAATAAAAACATGTACAGAGTTATTCGATTGTGGACGCTGGAGTGAGGAGTGTAAATTTGACATCAAGCCAATGGTTGATATTATTGTTCACGAGTCCGATCAAGAAATGCTCACATTGGCAATTGACCTGTTCTTGCAAGTTTGCAATGATATTGACGATGAAAATGTATGTTTACAATGATACAATATTGGACCAGTTTGGACAGTGTCATGTCATGTCTTGTTGATCTAATTGTATACTTGACATTGAACAATATCATTAGTTTGGCATCGTGCTGTCAAGACTCGTTTCACGACTGGAATCATCCAATGGTCTAGTTGCTGTTGGGTTTATCAAAAATCTTCAAACCATGTATTGGATTATTCATCGTCATGACCTAGTAAAAGCAGCGGAATGTGGCATCATTCCAGCACTGGTCAATACGCTCAGGTATGTGGTGTTATGCATGAATGTGTGTCCAGTCATTACAATTGGTAAATTTGACATGGTTGGATTGACATGACATGAATACAGGAGTGTCGATCAAGCAGTGATTGGTCAAAGTATTGCTGCTATTGAGAACTTTTGCAAACATGCAGATTGTGAAGTGATTTCAGCCGAGTTGATGAGGCTGGATCTGATTCAAACACTGAACGACTTGTGTATCAAATACAGCAAAAACCCTGAACTAAAAACACGCATGATCTGGATAGCGGGAACAATTGCATCTGGTATGCGCGACTTTCCTGTATCGCTTGTACGATTGTTGATTTTTGAGCAATTGACGATATCGATGTGTGATGTCGATATACGTGACTCTTTGTATCTGTTTGATTATGTCAACGACATGATTGAGAAATCTACAAACAAGGCCGAGATGATCAAGGTGTTTCGAGAATATGGAATTGTGAAGCAACTCAACACTATTTATTCACGTGGAGATATGGATTTGTGTGACTATGATGGTATTGTAAAACTACTCAAAACACTTGCTGGTTTTGCCGACAATCATCCCGACAGTTCGATACGTACCGAGTTGGATCAAGGCGGGATGTTTGAAAGTCTAATGGCTATTGTACAATCGGATACTGCTGATCACATGAACAAAAGGGTTGCTGGCCAGATCATTGAAGCGTGTTTCCAGCATCTGGTTCAGACTGCTAGTTCGAGCATTCAGCCATACGACAACAATGCCAAAATTGGTACGAGTTCTGGAATGGCCGGAGATACACATGGAGAGGTGCGCACACTTGTCGAAATGCGGTATATCCAGTATCTGCAATGTATACTTTGCAAACCCATGTGGTGGATCGATATCACAAACCAGCATATTGTGGAGCAATGGAGGGCTGACTCACTCGCTCAGAATATATCACCATCAACATTTAATCTTGCATTGGAACAACTCGAGTTTTTTGTCAAACAGCTTGTTTGTAGTGGCAGTGATGGATTTGGTACAATTGTCCCAGGACCTGTTGAACAGACGTATATACTGGACAATGGCATACCTGACAATGTATATACGCGATTGATGACAAATGTATCGGATATTGAACATGGATCAAATCACAACACTGGTCAAATGGTGCACAATCTGATTGATGCATCAATGTACAGTGTTGTATATGGACAAACGATGATTACAACACTGATTATACGACTCAAATACACCACAATGGTACCATGCGATATATTGTTATCGACTCGACTTGTTTCAGATACGCCCATCATTAACGGCAATCCCAAGTTTATATCACACAAGTTCCAATGTCTTCCGAGTGAATTCCGTGTTGAACAGGATGGCAGTGTGACCATCAACTCATACATCAACAATCTGAATCCGATATGGCATCGAGACATGTACAAATGCATTGCCAAAATATTCAAATGTTTTGTCCCAATGTTTGAAAGTCTGTTCAGAACGATGGATCCAATGTTCAAGTATATTGATATTCGCAATGGCACAAAGGGATCTGAACCATCAAGCCAATCAAGTCGTGGTGGTATGGAATCAGACACTCGAGTCATTCGTCCCGTGTATGTACCAACACTTCCGGAACATTTTGAATCCAGTTATGAATTAGCAAAGCCAATATCACTGCGTGGTCGTAATCTGCAAGTCATTGTCAAACTCACCAACATTCAACTGACACCATACAAACCTAAATACGACGAGGGAAACTGGTACATTGAAGGTCCAATTAACGAATCGATTGTTGCAACTGGACTGTATTACTACGACGTGGAAAATATCACCACACCCAAACTCGATTACCGCGAGGCTGTTGATCGGTTTGATCGTCAAAAAGCATCTAATATGTATTGGAAAGATGTGTATGACATTGATCAAGAATCACCACAGAATCAGTATATAGGATTGCTTGAAGTATCAAATGGTCGGTGTGTAGTTTATCCCAATCGATACCAACACAAAGAACAATCATTTGAACTTGCAGATCCAACTCAACCAGGACACTGCAAGATTCTGACATTTTTTGTAGTGGATCCAGCATGTCGGATTGTTTCGACTGCGCATGTGGCTCCACAACAACCACAATGGTACAACTCGAGTCTTGACAAGGCATGCATACCGCCTGAACTGTGGAATGATATCACGCAGTATATTCAAGGTGTTCAATCACCAGCTGAAGCCAAACACTATCGAGATGAATTGACAAGTGACCGAACTCGAATCACAGCGGCATATAACAGATACATATATGAGCGAGTGTATAATCTTGGTTTATTGTGAGGTTGTGATTTTACAACAATGAGTTGTAATAGTTTGATATGAACATGATGACTCGGACTCGACTCAGTCGGATCAACTCGACTACAATTGGTCGTGTATATTATGATTGACACGATCAGTTGTAGTTGAACTCGAATACAGATTGACTGTTGAATCACAATGCGTGATATCAGCAACATGATGTGCTATATAGTGGAATGTATACGCTAACCTGACATGTGTCATGTAGTGTGTATTCGATCAATATGGGTATTAGCAATCAACAAGTCATACGATGTTTGTCTTCGAGTGATGCAATGGAGTGGAATGAGTGCATCAATCCAGAATACGAGTCAACCATGACATATGATCATAATGTGTGGTTGATACAACTATATAGTGACAATCGATATTGATATAGTAACACACAACATGAAATGCCAACACAACAGTTGCAAGTCATTGATCATCAATGTGACATTGTGGTTGCAACATGAACTGCATTGTATTGATTCAGTTGATTGATTGAATTACTGGACAATGTGTAGTGATGATTGATCGTGTCGAGTTGAATGCAAAGTATTACTAAACCACATGTTTGAATCATGTCAATCACTTGCTACTTTGAAAAGCATAAAATATCACAGCGGATATTGATGACCGTCTAACAACTGAGTGTCAGCCCAGTTGCATATAGCCCTACTTGATCTGTATTTGACTACTGTAGTTCACTAGCTATTTTCAGGGTGGAAGGGTGATGAACACACAATCGATCAATCGTATGGTGTTCAATGCATAGCCGAACAGCGGCTCAATCAAGATTATGGGTGATCATATAAAGGGATGTCCCTTAAACTTTGACGTCGATAGCAAGTCAACACCAACCCTGACAGCAACACTAGTTCCTTAGGACGATCATCCAGGGAACATGCTTTTAACACTATTCTCTGAACAACGAATATAAATACGATATAAACCCGACTTGTCAGATAACAATCATCCACAACTTGATCAAATCAATACAATGAAACTCGCAATCACCGTCTTATCATCAATTCTGGCCATCTGCTCAGTTACTGTCGCCAAACCAGTTAATCCCAGCGCGACTACAACTGTTGAATCTAGCACTTCAACAGCTGTTCCCGGTGCACAAACTACAGGCTGGATTAATTTTGATCAACTTTCAGACGAGGGAAAGAGTTTGATCAAAGAATACGCACGAGTGAATAAACAGCATAATGAGGCAAAGGCAATGTGCGACTCGACAGAATCTTTAATATTTTCTCAAGAAAAATTGGTAAAACAGCTAGGTGATGAGCTTGAAGATTTGATGGATAAATCTCACAAAAGCAAGCAAGGTTCAAAGTACGAGGAAGACGTCAAAAAAGCCAATTCTTGGCTTGCAGAACAACATTCCGTTCTTATCCAGCTTGAAAAAAAGTGTATGGAGTCTTATTGGGACAATTCCGGAATTCGCTCGCAGCTCACTAAAATCAAAAATGAGCTCGTGAAGTTCCTGTTCGGAAAGCATATTAGTGCAGAATCAGTCGAGAATTACATGCAACTTTTGGAATCAGATTTCGGGTTTATGAAGCTCATCAAAGAATTTGAAGCTCTCGTATCTGGCCAACAACTAGAACCCGAGCAACCTAAGAAATCTGAGCAACCTAAGAAACTCGAGCAACCTGAGCAACCTTCTACTAGTGGAATCCAGAGTCCACAACATCATGAAAGTTCGCTCTCATCATCGAGTCAAACACCTACAGTTCAATCTACTAAAGCATCTTCCGGTAAACATAAGGCCCCCAAACATCCTTCTGGTGGACAAAGATCTCACAAATACTCTCGTGTGCAGAAAACTCACAAATCCTCCCATCCAAAAGGAAGTGCTAACCGTAAGGATGGGTTTGAATTACTTTCAAATCCGTCCGACTCTGAAGATTCGGATTGATTCAATTGATTTGAATGCTAATTTGAACTCATTCCAACTGATTCAATTGGATTTTTGTTTGAATAAAATACAGTTATCACTTGATATTATATCTGATTATTTCACAGTCTTGGTTGGCATGATATCATATTGTACATTGACACTTGTATTTCCAATACAATACAATTGCCATTTGATATTGCATAGTTGTACACATTGATGATGCTGACATGCATGTGTGTATTGTGCCAATATGATATTGTTTGACATGTCGTATTGACACATACAATACCAATATCAACAATAGTCATGTGTGTTGATATCAGATCCGATCAATTTGACTGGTTTGACTCGTCGATTGTGGTATCAATAGTTGCATCAATAGCTTGACTGATCACAGATATCAGTTGCAGTATCAACTCTGTCGTGTGTCAAGTATCACATGTTGAATATACAATGCCAACAATATGATCAGATATGCTAATGGAATGTAAACCATCATATACTTGCACCAGTATACCATATTCCAACTGTTGATATCGCACATTTAGTGTCGACATGATCATCCAGATATACAGTGATGGATTCCAACAATGCATACCATGATTGATACACTTGGATCATGTATATTCAATCCATACCATGTATTACCAATGCAATAGTATGCGTGATCATCGTGTATCAAACAACTACAATACACACTGGACTGATCCAATACATGCACGGCTTGAACATATCACACAGTCAAACATAAACACACAACATTAAAAATACATATAATATCAGTTTGTCACTAATGAATTGTATTCAGCCGAGTTTATTGAGAGTCTGTAACTGCTTGATCAGTTGTTGATTATTGTTAACACCAAGAATCCTGATGTACATCATATCAACTATAACATAATCATGGTCACCATCCATTCAACAAATAACCAATTTTATTGCTATATCTGCTCAGCCATCAAATTTCTCGTAATTAAACTTTGCTTGCTTACTACCATGACGAGTACTACCAAGTCGCCAAAACGATTTCTTGGGAGTGGATGTGCCATCTGAACCTGAAGTACTTGGTTGTTCAGGCAATCTAACAGTATGCATCAAATTCATGATCAATATATCAATTGACATATCCACACATCAATATCAAACAACTTACTGTGATGGTGACCAAAGTACTTGATCACCGTTCGAGATAGTAGGATATCCATCAGTTGCAGTTTCGCATCCACATCCAGGACCAAACCCAATGCGTTGATTTTGTAAATCAAATGTCAATCTAAGTCGGGTCATAAATGATGTACCAAGATTTGCATAATCATTTGGGCAAGCTGTTACAGTAAACATAACTATAATCCAACATGTATATTAGTCAAATTAATCAAACAACACACATTGCATACAATCGTCAAGTATTTACAATCTTCAGAATCAATTATCTGCATATAGTCTTTGGGACCCAGTGTGATTGTTACAACGGAATCGCGATTGTCATCAGTTACGGGGGCTTGAGAAAACATCACGATTGAAAGCGTTGGCATTTTGTCCCAATCGACACTATACTTGGATTTGGACATTAAATGGTTTTTTTGTAATTTCTTTTTAATCTTTCTTTTGCTGAAGTGATCGTTTTTAAACATAGTTTTGACAGTGATCGCATCACTATCAAGAATAGAATTGATCAAGACATACACGACCATTTCAGGGAAGCACATATACATATAGCATGTTTCCACACTCGAGTACAAAGTACGTCCATCTTCCACAACTTGCTGAAATTCCTCGGGTAGCTCCACTGATTTGTCATTGACTAGTATACTCTTGATGTTGACACTAAATTGATTGTTTTTTGGTGATTGTACCCATGCAACACTTTTTCCATCCGTTCCGCATTTTGTAGTTACGTCCGTGTTTCCTATATTGATGGAACTTTTTAAAGCCGCGCCATACGGACATAGTTGAAGACCAATCTCGTTATTAGGAATGACACCATCATTGTACAAAATATCCATTGCAGTAAATTGTGAATAATGCTTTGAAAACAAGGAATGGCCAAACCCAAATATTCCCTGACCGAGTTTTCCACCAATACCAACTAGACTTGCCGATTGTTTTTGAATTGCTAGTACTGGTAAATTGACACCAGCTATACCAGTACCTGGAATCGTCACAGTGGCTGTAGAAGTAACTCCATTATACTCGTCGTCATTGTAGTTTATATTAACGGGTTTCTCACTTGAGATACTTTCTGAAGCCAAACCTACATTGTTGCTTGAACTAGAAAGTGGTACAATTATATCAGAAAATGCTGAATCGACTTGTAAAGCCAACTATTTTAAACAAGTGTGAGATTAATTAAACGTGGTATTATTGATATCAAACCACAATACATGACATGATACATACATTGACTCCATCAACATTGACTTTTATCTTGAAACATCGACCAATATCACCACTCAATTTAACAGGTGATCGTTTTGATAGTCTATTACTTGGTTGACTGGTAATTCCATTTGGTGATTCTAATGGGATTTGAATCGCAGCAACCGCTTGTAACGCAAGTAGAATGAATTCTAGAGTAATCAGCATTGTATCGAATAGCGTGATGAAAGTGTCGTGAATCTGGTATATGATTGCCGTTTTATAATGATGACAGTTTCAAGGGCGACAATCAGCAATTTCCAAATGGGTATTTAGAAAACAAAAGTACACCCTGTAGGGTGGACAAACCCAGAAACACCCTGTAGGGCGAATCAATATACAAACATTGCTGTTAGTGGAAAATCAATTTCAGTAGTATGCTGTGTTGATATTTTCGATTGCGGTGATATATCCAGTAATCAGGTAATATCAAATCATTACCCTGATTGTGGATAATTACCATCACATATACAATCCATTGTCACCGCATACTGTGACTGTATAACAAATATTTGACTGATTGTTCGATTAGTCATGTTTTGGATCACTCGGACACAACAGCATCCAACAGTCTGTTATTGCAGTATTTCAAACCATGACTTTTCCATTGGTATGACTGCATGATCATTTTAGGTTAATCTAGATTGTACACATCAAACACTGCAGATTGTTCAACAAATCAGATTTCCAACATGAACCACAATGAATGCTCATGACATTCAAATCAGCAACCTACCGATACTTGCAAAACATCAAACGAGAATCAAACCCAAAAGTGTGGTTGAATTTCATGCGAATACTTTCAAATGCACACTGACAATAATTACAATTTCTCGTTTTATTTTCATCATCACCAGTTGAGAATTTACCAAAACACATTTTAATCTGTATGGATCCTGACAAATATCCATCACATTCCATGTGGATACAGCAACATCTTGCCGTTGATTCTGACATGTATATTGCTTCTATTACATGCAGCTCATGCCCTTCTTATCCACTTCCTTGTGCTGCACACATTCCTCACAAACAGCTGCAGGATTTGACATTTGAGACCAGAGAGTCTTTTGAAAAGTTTGTTGGTGACTTGGCAGCTAACCATGGATGCATGCTCAAGGTTAGGAGCTCTCATAAAGACAGGGATGTTCTTTTTTGTTGTGTCAACTCCTTTGATACTACTATGCCTTTCAAGTCGCATCGAAAGTCGAGTTTAGGGACAAGAGCATCTCAGCAACTGTTGCCTTGCCCTTTTGCGATCAGTGGCCATAAAAAGATAGATGTCTGGAGAGTGCAGGTTAGAAACTGTATGCACTCATGCCAGGCTCGATCAGTGTCTGGTTTGAACTCCATTCGGTCCAACCTGTCTGCTTCAAGCAAAGTGATTCTACCCAATCAGTCCGAGTTCAAGGCAGATTCTATTTCAGCTACACTCAACACCAGCGTTCAATGTCAATCGACTAATGATAAAAGAGATATTTCAGTTGAGCATAACAATTCTAAAGTTTTGAGCGACTCTGTAGATCATGGATTTACAGCAGCTACAAATACAGCAGTTTTGCCATTAGCAAGTACTGGAACCCAATCTTTTCCAAGACTGTCGCTTTTATCACCAGGCTTATGGCCCCTGCATCATACTACAGAAACACACAATCTTGTCAAGGAACATGCTAATCCGATCCTAGTTGAACATGCATTGCATACTGATCTAGCAACAAACTCTTTTCCCAATGTCAGTTCAGATGTTTTTTCCGAGAGCGATGCATTGGCACAATTTTTCCGTCAAATTGGACCAACACTTGCCTATCTGGTTGCAGCCCAGCAGTTTCAATCAGAGAATCCGGGTAATCTTGAGCATCTAACAGAGCAGGTGAATTCAGTATTAGAATCGCAGCCATTGCTCAAATCACAATATTCATTTCAGTTATTGATGGATCAGCTATCTCAACACATACCCCTATCCCCACCAGTATCGCAGATTTCATCAACCATGATGACACAATCAACTTCATGCAATGATATCTCAGTAAAACGACGACCTCTAGCCCCGCGACCGGGACCTATTTTTGAAAGATGTATACCCAATGCCACTGTTTCCAGCACATTACCATTGTCTCATAACCTATTGCGCAATGCACACGTCAAGAAACCAGCAGATTTATTTAAATACAAGCGACAGCGTGCTAAATGCAAACTATGCTGTTCAGCAGACTGTCCAGGTGTGTTTATTGTGTATTTTCAAACTTTTATGAAAAGATTCTTGACCAACCTTTGGATCATATAATGGTGATTAATGTGAATCTATTTTCATGAACATGAACCAAAACAATGGTTTTAGGTTCTACAAAAGGAGTGTTTGGTTGTCGACACAAAAAGGTGAATACAAAAAGAGCCATTGCGCCAGCACCACCAGTAATTATGGAAAATCAAATGATATCAGAAACCATTAGTTTGACAAGGATTGAAACTGGAAAGATTTCTGGAACAAATTCTGAAATTCGATTTAGAAGAACGCAAAACAGAAACGCTTTGCGTGAGCAAACAGCCGATTTGATTTGAATAAAATTGCAATAATTTCATATTTTTGATTTACAGCGAATTGTCGCAAGAAAAAGGATCCAACGAGGAATACAATGTCGGATCAGCACAACCATGCTGGACATCCTGTTTACCCCTCTGGAGTCCCAATGATGATTCAGCCGGGAATGCTCCCACCTGGATTCCCCATGCCTCCACCAGGTGTTCCATTACCTCCATTGCCGCCTGGCTTCACTATGCCCATGTTCTTCCCGCAACCACCGCAACCACCGACTCCGAGCTCGGCTGATCTCACTGCTCAAAAGCAGCCAAAACCTCCAAAGATTAGCAGTTTGACTCCTGAAGAGAAACTGGCTGAGAAGGCTCACAAGTGGAAGGTCATGAACTCAAAACGATATGCTCAGAAGCGTCGTTTTGGAGTCTCGGAAACCCAGAAAGAGAACATGCCTCAGGAGCATTTGAGGTATGAACCGGTTGTTGGTTGATCTTTGTTGTGAGAAACTACTTTGATCTATTGCCATATTGTTTATTGGATGTGTGATGCTGGACGACTTGCCATCATGTCGAATCTATCACTCTAGATCTGCTTTATTAGATCCATCCTTGTCTTGTGCATTTCCTATTGTAATGTTATACCGGTTGATTAATCCTGACTTGGCTTGCTATGGTGTTTAGAAAAATTGTCAAGGATCATGGCGATATGTCTAGTAAAAAATACAGAAATGACAAGCGAATTTATTTGGGTGCTCTTAAATATGTACCTCATGCTGTTCTCAAGTTGCTTGAAAATATGCCCATGCCATGGGAGCAGGTACTTTATCAAATCTGTGTTTTTGAATCATCAAGACTATTTTTTCTGTTCTTTGACAATGCTTTATGCTACCAATGGTGTGTTGCTTTTAGGTCCGAGATGTTCCTGTTCTCTATCACATTACTGGTGCAATCACCTTTGTCAATGAGATTCCTCGTGTCATTGAGCCTCATTACATTGCTCAATGGGGAACCATGTGGATCATGATGCGTAGAGAAAAGAGAGATCGTCGTCATTTTAAGCGCATGCGATTCCCTCCATTCGATGACGAAGAACCTCCACTTGACTATGGTGACAATATTCTTGATGTTGAACCACTAGAGGCCATTCAGATCGAGTTGGATGAGGAGGAAGATGCTGCTGTGTACGATTGGTTTTATGAGCACAAGGCTCTTGTCGACACTCGGTTTTCTAATGGAAGCACTTACCGTAACTGGAATCTTAATCTTCCCATCATGTCGAGTCTATATCGTCTTGCACGCCAGCTTCTGTCTGATTTAGTCGACAAAAATTACTTTAGTTTGTTTGACAAATCTGCGTTTTTTACCTCCAAGGCACTAAATATGGCTATTCCTGGTGGGCCAAAATTTGAGCCACTTTTCAGAGATGTCGATCAAGGTGACGACGATTGGAATGAGTTTAATGATATCAACAAGATCATTATTCGCCATCCATCACGCACAGAATATAAAATTGCTTTTCCCTTTTTGTACAACTCGCTTCCCCGCTCTGTGCATGTAGGATGGTACCATCATCCTGCAAATGTGTATATTCGATCAGACGATCCAGATCTTCCTGCCTTTTATTTTGATCCTATAATCAATCCAATTTCGTCTCGCACGCTTCAAACCGGTCCCTCTAATTCGTTTGAGGATGAGATTTTTGGTGATGAGGATGAGGATTCTAATTTTGTATTGCCTGACAGTGTCAATCCATTTTTGGAGCATCTTCCTTTGTATACTGATAGCACTGCTAGTGCTATTGAGCTTTATTGGGCACCTCATCCTTTTGATAAGCGAAGTGGCAAAATGCGTCGTGCAGAAGATATTCCTCTGATCAAGTCCTGGTATATGGAGCACGTTCCTCCCGGAAATCCTGTCAAGGTGCGTGTATCTTATCAAAAGCTGCTCAAATGCTATGTGCTCAACGAGTTGCACCATCGTCCCCCAAAATCTAAAAACAAGAAATACCTGTTTCGTCAGCTTAAAGCCACAAAGTTTTTCCAAACTACTGAAATTGATTGGGTCGAAGCAGGTCTTCAAGTGTGTCGCCAAGGCTACAATATGCTCAACTTGTTGATTCATCGTAAAAATCTCAACTATCTTCATTTGGACTACAACTTTAATCTCAAACCAGTTAAAACTCTGACTACCAAAGAACGAAAAAAGTCTCGATTTGGAAATGCTTTTCATCTTATGCGTGAAATTCTTCGCCTGACTAAACTTGTTGTAGACTCGCATGTTCAGTACCGTCTTGGAAATGTAGATGCATACCAACTTGCAGACGGTCTTCAGTACACATTTGCTCACGTTGGCCAGCTTACCGGAATGTATCGCTACAAATACAAGTTGATGAGGCAAATTCGCCTAACCAAGGTAAAACCTTGAATCGTGGTACTACAGCACTTGTTTTTGACTGGATTGTTTCTAATATGAATGTACATGTATTGTTTTTTGCATCACATGTTAATTTAGGATTTGAAACATTTGATCTATTACCGATTCAACACTGGTCCTGTTGGAAAAGGTCCTGGTTGCGGCTTTTGGGCACCTGGATGGCGTGTATGGCTTTTCTTTCTTCGTGGAATTGTTCCTCTTCTTGAACGCTGGCTTGGAAATCTTCTTGCTCGTCATTTTGAAGGCCGACAATCTAAAGGAATTGCCAAGACGGTCACCAAGCAGCGTGTTGAGTCGCACTATGATCTTGAATTGCGTGCTGCCGTCATGCACGATATTTTAGATATGATGCCTGAAGGAATCAAAACAAACAAATCTCGCACCATTCTGCAGCACCTGTCCGAGGCTTGGCGTTGCTTTGCTCCTGGCACGCTGGTCCGCATGGCCAATGGTAAAACTCGAGTCATTGAAGATCTTGTACCAGGAGACTGTGTTTTGGGTGCAGATGGTTCTGCTCGCAGTATTAAAGCAGTAATGGAAGGCAAAGACGACATGTTCCGCATTGTCATGCACTCTGAACACAACATGGTCAGCTCTACAGATTCCAACATTCCTTCAGCATGGAAAGCGAGTGGATTTACTTGCAATTCCCGTCATGATTTAATCATTACAGCACCTCTGTTTGATGTTGTTACTATAAGTAGGACTGAGTTGCAAGGACATGTTTCTGTTAAATTTGCCGAGGTTCAATTTTCGTCTCAAATTGCGGGAGTTGGCTCTGAAATTGTGTCATGCGAGCGTCACTTTTTATGGCTATCTACAAGTCAGGGTTACGCAACCAAAGATGAAGCATTTGCTGCTGCCGAGTCATTTGCAGCCGAAAAGCGTGCGCTTCAACCAGTTGTTTGGAAAGTACCCGCCCAAGAATTTTCAATTTTTGCCAAAGCATGTCCTTCAAAAGCCCAAGCTATGCGTATGATCCGGACATCTGTTTCTCGTTTCCCTCTTGCTAGTCCTACTACTAGTATCCGCTACTACCTGCAGCAGCATATTACTAATCACAAGATCAATGACGGCGATGTGGCCAGCTTTGGCTATTTGCTTGGTGCATGGCTTTGTATTGGTGAACAAAGATCTAGTGTGTTTGTGCTGAATCAGAATCAACAGAGCATTCGATCGTCTATTGAGACAATTGCTTCACGCTTTAAGATGAAGTCTTTTATAGCCAGTGAAAATACTGGAATGATCAAATTGACTCTTGAGCCATTACAACCTGGCGTGCCTAATCTTTTTGAACTTGTACTGCGCCAAATTGACAATTTGTTGTTTACTGAAAAGCATATTTCCCAGACATGCCGTGACATTCTAGTTTCTCAGCCACAGTCTTTTAGAACGCATATGCTTTCTGGTGCATTGAATTCATGTACTCAGGGTTCTGATCAACCCTCTACTTGCCATTGCACTGTTTTCCTTGATTTTGCATCAGCCGGTGCCCAAGATGCTATGCTTTTAATACGCGACCTTGTTTGGTCTGTAGGACTTGGTTGTGAGATTTCTGTTGATGATTCGTCAGACATTCCTAATGGACAAGGCCGTCTTGCTGCATGCATTAACGGAGCCAATATCGAATCGATTACTTGTTACAACCCTGATAAAATTGTTGATGATAGTTTGACACAGCCAACAAACAGCATGATCTCGTTCACCGTTGCTTCTGCTGGTCATGGAAAATATTTTGGATTTGAGCTTGAACCCTTGCAATCTTCTGCTCCTCATTTCCTTTTGGATTCGTTTGTTGTTGTTCACAACTGCTGGAAAGCAAATATTCCTTGGAAAGTCCCTGGCCTCCCTTCGCCTATTGAAAATATGATTTTGCGTTATGTCAAATCCAAGGCTGATTGGTGGACTTCTGTTGCACACTACAATCGCGAGCGTATTCGACGAGGTGCAACTGTAGACAAAACTGTTTGCAAGAAAAATCTGGGTCGTCTTACACGTCTGTGGATTAAAGCTGAACAAGAACGCCAGCACAACTATTTAAAGGATGGTCCCTATATCACTGCCGAAGAAGCCGTAGCCATTTACACTGCAACAGTACACTGGCTTGAATCGCGTAAATTCTCACCCATTCCTTTTCCACCACTTTCTTACAAGCATGATACCAAACTATTGATTTTGGCACTAGAGCGTCTTAAAGAGGCGTATTCGGTGCAAGGCCGTTTGAATCAGAGTCAGCGTGAGGAACTTGGCTTGATTGAGCAAGCATACGACAATCCACACGAGTGCCTGAGTCGTATTAAGCGCCTGTTGTTGACCCAGCGCGCCTTTAAGGAAGTTGGAATTGAATTTATGGATTTATACAGTCACCTTACTCCCGTTTACGATATTGAGCCTCTTGAAAAAGTCACAGACGCCTATCTTGATCAGTATCTTTGGTATGAAGCTGATAAGCGTCACCTATTTCCCGCTTGGATTAAGCCCGGTGACTCTGAGCCTCCTCCACTTCTTGTTTACAAATGGTGCCAGGGCATCAACAATTTGACTGACGTTTGGGAGTCTGCAGATGGCCAATGTAATGTGCTATTAGAAACTCGTCTTAGTAAAGTATATGAAAAGATTGACTTGACGCTATTGAATCGACTTCTTCGTTTGATTGTTGACCATAATATTGCCGACTACATGACTTCAAAAAACAATGTGGCATTGACCTTCAAGGACATGAATCACATTAATGCATATGGTCTTATTCGTGGTCTTCAGTTTGCTTCGTTTATTTTTCAATACTATGGACTTGTACTTGATCTTCTTGTACTTGGTCTTACTCGTGCAAGCGAGATGGCTGGACCTCCTGCAATTCCTAACGACTTTTTGCAATTTAGAGATGGAACTACAGAGGCTCGACATCCTATTCGCCTGTACACTCGTTATATTGATCGACTGTATATATTCTTTAGATTTACTGCCGAAGAAGCCCGTGATCTCATTCAGCGATATCTCACTGAACACCCAGATCCAAACAACGAAAACGTTGTGGGATACAACAATAAGAAAGTTTGGCCCCGCGACTGTCGCATGCGTCTTATGAAGCATGATGTGAACCTTGGTCGTGCTGTGTTTTGGGATATCAAGAATCGCCTTCCTCGTTCTCTTACCACCATAGATTGGGAGGATAGTTTTGCATCAGTTTACTCTCGAGACAATCCCAACATGTTGTTTGCCATGTGTGGATTTGACGTTCGTATTTTACCAAAGATTCGATCAACTCAAGAAGAATTCACTTTGCGTGAGGGTGTTTGGAATTTGATCAACGAGCAAACCAAGGAGCGTACGGCTCAAGCCTTTTTGCGTGTTGACGAAGAATCACTTCAACGCTTCCATAACCGTATTCGTCAAATTCTTATGTCATCTGGATCTACAACATTCACCAAAATTGTAAACAAATGGAACACCGCCTTGATGGGACTAATGCTTTATTATCGTGAGGCTGTTGTGTATACACGAGAGATTCTTGATCTGATTGTGAAATGTGAAAACAAGATTCAAACACGTATCAAGATTGGTCTAAACTCCAAAATGCCATCTCGCTTTCCACCTGTTGTATTTTATTGTCCCAAAGAACTTGGTGGCTTGGGAATGCTTTCCATGGGCCATGTACTGATTCCACAATCAGATCTTCGATGGTCAAAGCAAACCGATCTGGGCATCACCCACTTTCGATCCGGCATGTCACACGATGAAAATCAAACCATTCCCAATCTGTATCGTTATATCCAGCCTTGGGAGTCTGAATTCATCGATTCACAGCGCGTTTGGGCCGAGTATGCTTTGAAACGCCAAGAAGCTAACGCCCAAAATCGACGACTAACTTTGGAGGATCTTGAAGATAGTTGGGATCGAGGTATTCCTCGTATCAATAGTTTGTTTCAAAAGGTACGGTATTAGAGTTTTTGTATTGTGTTTGCGCATACAGTTTTTAATGATCATTATTCTTTGATTGTCTGTATTCATTTTCTAATATTAGGATCGACACACTTTGGCGTATGACAAGGGATGGCGAGTCCGTACAGAGTTTAAACAATACCAGCTTTTGAAAAACAATCCATTCTGGTGGACACATCAACGCCATGATGGTAAACTCTGGAATCTAAACAACTATCGAGTTGATATGATTCAAGCACTTGGTGGTGTTGAGGGTATTCTTGAACATACATTGTTTAAAGGAACGTATTTCCCCACATGGGAAGGTCTGTTTTGGGAAAAGGCATGTTTTGCTGGACACACATCATTGTTACTTGCTGATGGAACCACCAAACATGCAAGTGACATCACCACAAATGATCAGCTTATGGGCGATGACGGTAAACCACGTTTGATCCGCGAAGTCGTCAATGGTATCTCCCCCATGTACCACATTACTCCTAAAGACGGTGACGAGCTTGTAGTTACTGGAAATCACATTCTTTGTTTGGTTGCTACTAGCCGTGCTTGTCTTTCGTGGAGCGATGCTTCTAGCACGTTTTCAGTGTTTTGGTTTGATGGAGTTTATCAAACCAAGCAATTTAAAGTTACTACTAGCACTTGTGCAGGTGATTTCGCCAGTGCTACTGCTGCTTGCGATGCTGCGTACCAATTCTATTCTTCATTACGTGCATGCTCTTTTATTCCCATAAAGGACTATAGGATTGAGATCACTGTGCGTGAATATCTAGCACTTCCTTTTGCAGAGCAGAAAGTTTGGCATCTGCATCGTACCATACTTGATTGTCCCTCATCTCCTGTTACCGTAGATCCTTACTTTGTCGGACTTTGGCTTGGAGAATATGTACAGAACCGAGTCGCTTTGCAAACCTTTTATCCTCTAGAAACACACATCATTGACTTGATTGCCCGTGAATCTGTAGCACTTGATACTAATCTTGGGGTTTCTTTGCCAGCTCCTTTAGCGATAAATACCAATGCTGTCGAAGAAGTGTTTATTATGAATACCCACTTTAACCAAGTTGATGATTCATACTCTGTGGATGTAATAAGTCTGCAAAATACTGCTTTAACTGATGCTGACTATCTTCCCTGCCTTCAAACCGAAATGGAAGCCGATTCGTTCATGTCTAGTTCAGATAAAACTGTTTGTGTCGATGAAATGATATTCCGTATTTTGAACCACAAGACGAATACTACGTCCATTTGCTGTCACTTGGCTACGCAGTTGATTTTATTAGGAGTTGCTCCAGCTTTCAACTGTATTAAAGATATCAAATCTTTTATTCCTCGTATTCCATCTGCCTACAAATTCAACTCGATTGATGTTCGTATGCGTTTACTTGCTGGTTATGCCAGCTGCTTTGTTTTTGAAAATAAGCCTAGTGCAGTTTCTTTTACTGACCTGCACGACACGGATCTTGCACCACTTTTTGGTGATTTGGAAACGGTTTCAAGAGGTTGTGGTTTGAATCTATCTGATTTGAGTCTTTGTGCAGAATCTTTTGCTCGTCAGCTTTACAAAAACTGCTCCACTTTTACCGCCATATCTAGAAATGCTGGTTCTTTGGCCACGCCCATTGTGTCTGTCAAATATAACTGCGCTCCCCAGCCTTACTATGGATTCAAAGTTGACGGAAATCAACGATTTTTAGGCAGTGATTTCATGGTGTTGCATAACTCTGGGTTTGAGGAGAGCATGAAATTCAAGAAACTTACCAATGCTCAGCGATCCGGATTGAATCAGATTCCCAATCGTCGTTTCACTCTTTGGTGGTCACCTACTATTAATCGAGCAAACGTGTATGTTGGTTTCCAAGTGCAACTTGATCTTACTGGTATTTTCATGCACGGCAAAATTCCAACGCTAAAGATTTCTCTTATCCAAATTTTCCGAGCACATTTGTGGCAAAAGATCCACGAATCTGTTGTTATGGATTTGTGTCAGGTATTTGATCAAGAACTTGAAGCGCTTGAAATTGAAACAGTACAAAAAGAAACCATCCATCCTAGAAAGTCGTACAAGATGAACAGTAGTTGTGCTGATATTCTGTTATTTACAGCATACAAATGGAATGTATCTAGACCATCCTTGCTGACAGATACTAAAGACTCTTTTGACGGAGCCACTAGTCAGAAATACTGGCTTGATGTGCAGCTGCGTTGGGGTGATTTTGACTCGCATGATATTGAACGATATACTCGTGCCAAATTTCTTGATTACACTACAGACAATATGTCCATCTATCCATCTCCAACAGGAGCGATGATTGGAATTGATTTGGCCTACAATTTGCATAGGTAAATCTTGCTTGTTTACGCTTTTATTGTCAAACTATGTCTCGGCATTACACATTTTATGTTTTTAACACTTGTAATCTGTGTTGAATCAAATAGCGCATATGGCAATTGGTTCCCCGGAATGAAGCCTCTTGTACAACAAGCAATGGGTAAAATTCTAAAGGCCAATCCTGCCCTGTATGTACTTCGTGAGCGTGTTCGAAAGGGTCTCCAGCTCTACTCTTCTGAACCGACTGAGCCTTACCTTTCGTCTCAAAACTACGGCGAACTTTTCTCTGCGCAAATCATTTGGTTTGTTGATGATACCCAAGTGTACCGAGTAACGATTCACAAAACCTTTGAGGGAAATTTGACTACTAAGCCAATCAATGGTGCCATTCTCATATTTAACCCTCGTACTGGCCAGCTCTTTTTAAAAATCATTCACACTTCTGTGTGGGCTGGTCAAAAACGACTTGGTCAGTTGGCAAAATGGAAGACTGCTGAAGAAGTTGCCGCCTTGATTCGGTCGTTACCTGTTGAAGAACAGCCCAAGCAAATTATTGTCACCAGAAAGGGAATGTTGGATCCTCTGGAAGTTCATTGGTATGCTTGAAATGTTTATTATAATTTGTTTTTTACCTATTGTGATGCTATCTCGACCCATATACTGACTTGAATTTGAATGTATTACTTTTTGAATCGTGCGTTTGTTATACACAGTCTCGGTATGTATTTATACTTGTCTTTAGCCAGTAATGTTGTTAATCTAAATTCATTGTTGCTATTTTGAAAAACTAACTATATGCTGCATTTATTTGTGATATTGTAGATTTTCCCAACATTGTCATCAAGGGGTCAGAACTTCAATTACCTTTCCAAGCCTGCATTAAGATTGAAAAGTTTGGCGATTTGATTCTCAAGGCAACTGAGCCTCAGATGGTCCTGTTTAATTTGGTATGTTTCCACATGGTATTTGAGTAGGATGAACCAGTACAACAATGTACTTACTGCAATAATTTCATTAGTTTGACGATTGGCTCAAGAGTATTTCAAGCTATACTGCATTTTTGCGTCTTACTTTAATTCTTCGTGCTCTTCATGTGAACAATGAAAAGGCCAAAATCATTCTTCGACCAGATAAAACTGTGATTACCGAGCCTCATCATATTTGGCCGACTTTGACAGATCAAGAATGGTTTAAAATTGAAACAGAACTAAAGGATTTGATTCTTGCTGATTATGGCAAGAAAAACAATGTATGTATCTATTCTATAGACTTGATTGTTCTTGCGTTCAAAACTAACTCGAGTGTGCTTTTTCAATTTAGGTTAATGTTGCTTCGCTCACTTCTTCCGAGATCCGAGATATTATGCTTGGTATGGAGATTTCAGCTCCATCTCTACAGCGCCAGCAGATTGCTGAAATTGAAAAGGTTTGTTTCAGCTTCATCTTGAATATCATTACTTGCTGACTATTGTAGAAGCCATCACAACTGACATAGTTTAATGCTTACAATATAGCAACAACAAAACCAGTCTCAGCTAACAGCCGTTACAACCAAAACACAAAACGTGCATGGAGACGAGATTATTGTTACAACCACCTCAAACTATGAGACTCAAACCTTTTCTTCCAAAACTGAATGGCGTATTCGTGCTATTTCTTCAACCAACTTGCATTTGCGTACCAACCACATCTATGTCAATTCCGACGACATTAGAGATTCTGGATTCACATACATTCTTCCCAAAAATGTGCTTAAACGGTTTATTTGCATTTCAGATCTTCGCACTCAAATTGCTGGATATATGTATGGAGTTAGTCCGCCAGATGCGCCTCAAGTCAAGGAGATTCGTGCGATTGTATTGGTACCTCAATGGGGAACGCACCAACAAGTGCATCTTCCACATATGCTTCCAGAGCATGATCATCTCAAAGACCTTGAACCTCTTGGATGGATCCATACACTTCCTAATGAGCTTCCACAGCTCTCTCCGTTGGATGTAACAATGCACGCCAAAACCATGGCTGAAAATCCGGGTGTTTGGGATGGAGATAAAACCATTATTATTACATGCGCTTTCACTCCAGGATCCTGCTCGCTGACTGCTTATAAACTTACACCGGCTGGATTTGAATGGGGTCGCAACAACAAAGATACTAGCGCAAACCCACCTGGACATCTTCCATCCTTTTATGAGAAAGTTCAGATGCTTCTGTCAGATCGATTCCTTGGCTTCTTTATGGTTCCCGAGGGTGATGGGCTTTGGAACTACAACTTCATGGGTACAAAACACCGCGCCGATATGAAATACCTTTTGACTATTGATAATCCTAAAGAGTTTTATCACGAAATGCATCGACCCAATCATTTTCTCAATTTTAGTGGTCTTGAAGCTTCTGGCTCAAGCATCGGTGCTACGGTTGGTGCTGGTGTCATAGGATCTGGCTATGGACCAGGTGCCTATGAAGCCGATATTGATGATCAGTTTGCATAAAATAAAAATATTGAACTGTCATTTGGTGCTTATAGATGTTAATGCGGTGATTCTCATTGTTCAACATGGCTTGATGACTATTAGCAATGTTGCAAGGTACAAGCTCCACATTGTTCATTCTTGGCACAACATGGATTTCAAACGGAATGTGTTCAAATCAATGTGTAGTAGGAAAGCGCAACGAATATGAACCACTTTATTTTGAAGCAAAATAGAGGCCGTCAATGCAAGATAATACAAGTGTTGCATTTTACATGAATACGACTGCAATATATTTAAAATGTGCTATTTTGAGCTGATGGCCTAAGCTCTTCGAGTACCATCGGTATTACTTTTGTCATGAGCCTTTTTGTTCTTGATTTTTTCTTGGCCTTTTTCTGCAACATCTTTCAATATGGTCAGTTTGCCTGTTGCACCAGCTCGAACGGCCATGAGAGACTCGGTGTTTTTGATATTTGCTGAAGCCAGTTTCTGTAGTATATAGTGATTAGAATAAAGTTGAAGTCATGATTCGACATTTACTTTTGAATCTAGTAATTGGCTACGATTCAAGAGTCTACTACAGTATAACTGTCTGACTCAATAAGCACAAACCTTTTGGATGGACTTTTGCTTGATAATACCAGCTGATTTTGGAGCAACTCTCTTGCCTAAAAGTAGATTCAACAGTTTCAATAACATCGATTAGCCAAAAAAAATGAAAAGTACTTGCAACATATCCGAACCAGCAAGTCTTATAATCAGCTACACACTGCAGTTACAGTAAAGTGAATGAATCAGCCATACCTCTATGATGTTCGTTTGATTTCTTTGTCGACTTGCTTGCTAGCACAGACTTTGGCTTTTTTTGTCCTTGAACCATGTTTTACAAAATACAATTGAAAGTTTTTTCAAAGCCAACTTTTATAAATAACCGAGTTTCTCGAAATGTATTCAATCAACTATCCAGCAATGTTCATTCAAATGAAATCCAACATTCGACTTGGAAAAATACAATAATTGTCGTTACTTGGACTCGTGGCTTTAGAAAGAAGGCAGCTGAATATTATATGGAAAACAAAATGCAGTATTTTATTATGCCTATGACAAGGCAGAGTTTGCCACATCTTGATGGCATTGATAGAGCGATCTCAGTTGATTTACACATGCCTTTGGATCTTCAACGTTTTCCGTTAGACACTGTCTGTATTCTGCGATTGCGCCAGAGCATTCCTGTTTGATTCGTTTTAGATTACCAACACTATCGCATATCGTGCCATTGCAATAAAACCCATATTTGAATCAGTGATCAAGCCAACAAACCTATTCAAACATCAAATCGTCTATAGCTTACTTTTCTTCAGCACATTTTGTCAGTTGATTTTTTTCCTTTAAGCAGTTTGATTCCCAGTTGCCGCCATTGCGCTCAAGACATGCTCTAATGGTGTTGCAGATATGAATGAGTTTGTAAAAGGGATCAAGCAATCAGCCAGCAAGACATGGCAAGATACACTGCAGAGTTATCTGTAACTCACCCGAATAATTTAACCTGAAGACCACAGTGCTTGGATACAATATCGAGAGTATCCTCCATTCTGGCCACTTGGTTTTATTTCAGTGTTCAAGTATTTGGCTGGACTTGATAATTGTTTGGCCAAATTCAACCAAGTCGAGAAAACTGTCAAGATTCACCTGAAATTCTAACCATTAATTATTCTAATCAAATGGCAACTGGTCCGTCGGTTATCAGCGATATGGCCTCTTATCAGGATTTGGATACTCAAGTGAGCTATTTTACCGATGAGTTCTGCTAAATACAACCATTTTATTTTGTCAATATCGGGTCATGTCTGACTACATGGCTGCTGTTTAAACCATGTTCAACGATGGACAGACCTTTGGCATTGAAACGGAAACAATCAGTACTATGTGTTAATCGGGTCATTGAGTCTGACTACTGTATTCTATTGATGAAAACACTTTTAGTTACGGTCTGGAATTGATTTGATACAAGATGCATACACTCGACAGGCTGCAGCTTTGAAGCATGAGGTTGCACATTGGAAACATACTGCCTCGCATCATAAAGACCAGGTATGTCATCTTAATTCTATAGATTAGAATCTGTAGTTGATGAATAAATCACTGCTTTCAAGAAATACAACCAAAACTAAATCGAGTTGCAATGGGATCTCGCATTACTAGAACTCGGCCTTGGATGCTCAGGTTGCAGCTCTTACTCGCAGAGTGGCAGAACTTGAGCGAGCATTGTCAACACAAGCTTCAGAAAAAAAGGCATTGATTGCTTCCAAGAGTGCGCTGATGGACAGATACAATTTGATCAAAAAAAGTGCATCCCAGCTGGAAGCATTCAGAAAGGTAGTGTTTGTGATACTCGAATCATGCTCTGCATGGTTGTTTCTAGCCAATTTATTTGATTATAATGCGTTGTATTTTGACTCGTCTTGTGTTTGAACTCATTTACTCTAGTCTATTGTAAGCATGGTTGAATTTAGTCCTGCTGCTCAACCACTTTTATCGTTGGATTCAGATTCTCGGAATATAGATGGCGAGTATTTACACACTCCAAGTAAACCAGATCTTACCCGAAACAATGGGAATTATGGTAATATGCTGTCCATGCCGCCTCAAAACCTTTCTGATGGAACTTATCAGCTATCATCACAACCACACGTACGTAAGAACGAACCTTGTAGTCAAGCAGAAAATTCGGGCAGATATACGACAGGTCCTATTTTATTAGAACATCTTCATCCCTTTGGTGAAAGCTCTGATTCGCGTGGGCATCGGAATGAGAAAACAGAAGATTCAGGTGTGTCTTCAGGTGAATCTGCTGGACTTGGAGGGTCTATTGGGCAGCAGCGTAATACTTTGGAAAATAGAACATCCAATCTATTTGGCACTGGGTCAGCTGCACTTGATGGGTTCAAGAGCAATGGATCTTCTGGTGTCGATGACGATGCCATCACCTGTATGACTAATCCACAAGGCCAAGACAAAGTAGATCCGCTTTCAATGCAAGATTTTAATTCAAATCTACCAGACCATGCCAATCTAGGACATGACTCGACATCCTATTTTGATCATAATAACACGTTGCGCTCATTGGATATTGTAAGCTGTTGCTGACATGGTTTAGATGCTAGTTATTGAATGATGCAGTACGATTGTAGTTGCTAATATGTACCTATTTTTTGTGCATTTGCATTGGACTGTACATAAATGAATATGTATGTTGCTTTTGACCTAAATTGGCAAACTCCAGAGTACACAGGCACTAGACTACTCGTTGGCATCTATGACAACACAAGATAAATCGGGAGCGGGGACTGTCGATGTTTTGGCTTCTAGTAAATCACATCCAAATCCTTCAAATAACCATCAACATCGACTTTATTCTGGGGATATGGTTATAAAAAATAGTGTAAAAGGCGGGGCCACGAGGAATACTGTAGATGATGGCATTGCAGGCCAAACCAATAACGACACCCGACGCGTAAGTTCGAATGGATTAGATGTACTAATCAATCGCCGGTCAGAACAGCGATCAGGAGGCTTTACAAAGCATACCAAGTCACTTTCAAACGGACCGTCATCAACAGCTCACCCAGAATCAAGTGACACGCTACCCTTTTCAAAATCAACACAATCACGGACTTCGTATCTGGCTTCATCAAATGGTGCACACTCGGCTTTTAATCGACGTAGCGTAGAGGAATTAAACTCTGGCACTGAGACTCAAGAAACTGATTCACCGCACATGGATGCTCCAACATTATATCGACATATTCGAGATATTCTCACACCGTCATCGTTTGAGCTGTTTGCCACTGCAGTCGCTGCATTTAATGCAGGACGTGTTTCTGCATCAGACACAGTTGCACAAGTGCATCGAATTGTTGGACCTGGAGAGTTGAGTAATCAAATGAGTCGATTGATATACGAGGCTATGAGGGAAAGTACCACCAGCACTAATACAGCATAGTATATAAAGTCCGTATATCAACCCATCGTTTTTGAATCTTTTTAAATCCAAGTAGATTTGGATAGTGGATTGGTTTGATGTCGTGGTCAGCAGTATATAAATTCACTGTCAAAATAACCATGTCATTGATATGAAGGAGATGATGGTGTATATAGTAAATAAACTGATATAGACCAAGCCATTCCAAATATTCAATCAGCTAAAAGGCACAGTAAAACTGGATTTTATTGAGTTGGGTGTGCTTTGAATGCAAAAGCATTTTCTTTCGAGTCATCTCACATCACTAATGATGCGCTTCGGGTTGATCCAAAAGGTACTAGATGTTTAAATGAAAAATCAAGCATATTTAGGTGAGTGATGTTCGGGACTGAAAGTATCTTGGTGTATTCAGGATGCATTATTATTGTAAAGGTGTACTGTAGAAACACAATCATTGATATGAAGATTGAATAATAGGAATATGCTACTCAAAATACCTTGAAGACGTTTCCGCAATGTGGGCAACGGTCAACACCGCCATGTGGACGAACAGTCAGCCACACGGCTTCATGAGAGTCGGCGGGGAAGCCTGCAAAACAATTCAAAACATAACGAGTCAGTATGAGTCAATTGTGAAATCAGTCATATGTAGTCAATCCAAAGCAAATGATCAAGATTGTGGGATTGGTGGGTCAAAAGACGAGATTCTCAGAGTAAACCAGTATGAATATGTAAAAACTGACCTGTACAACCAACGTATCTCTCTGGATCAATACCTCGCACAATAATTGGCTTTTTTATCGTGCCAGCCTCGGTAAGAACAATAGGCTGTAGATCCTCCCATGGATCTTCGCCCTTTAGCATTTTCAGATACTCGTAACGTTCCACACCAGCAGAAAGTTCGTAGTTGGTGGCAATCTGGTCAGGTTCACGAAAGCCAGGAACTCGCTCTTCCAGAACAACATCCTTGGGAGTAGAGGCGGTGGAAGGAGTATGAGCAGCTGTATTGAGTTGATATTTAAAAAATATATAATTGTTAGATCCAGCTATTCAATAATACGAGTAAAACCAAGTTGTACAGTCTTGAAAGATATCTACAGCCATGTTCACGTAAAACGAAGCACTATACAAGAATCCAAAATACATAATAGACAGCCAATTCCCAAAAATTACTGAACAACATTGTTTAAACTCTAATTACCAGTCTCTGCAGTCATTTTTGCATAGAAACTGAACCAATGCTCACATGACAGTTTTAGACAATCTCACACTTGCTCAATCTCAATTCAAACCATGATTTGAGATTGAGGGCATCATATGATGACTGGTGTGGTTAAAAGAGTTGAAGAAATAGACAGTGTCAATAGGAAAGCGCAACGAACATTCAATCACTGTCTACTCCAGCAAAATAGACGGTGATTGCAAGTGTTGCATTTTACATGATTATAAAAGAATGCGAATGAGTTGACAAAAGAACAAGTCATACGAGATGCTAGTCCAACTGCAAGACATTCTTTGGCGTAAAGCCAATAAAGCACTGCTCAGCTCTGAATAGTCTTCAATAGTCACACTTTATATTCCTTTAACGAACTTTTTGTTCTATTTGATAACATGAACTTGCATTGTAATCCTAGTGATTAAAATACAACCCAAACAAGTTCTTTTGAGTTCCACTTAAAGAGTGGACAGACTATTACAATCATATAATGCATGAATTGAAGGAGTGGATTGTTCAACTAAAGGAATGGTAGTAGCCAGTGCAGATAAGAGCCAAGGCTGATGGATGACGCCAGTCATGATAAAAACAGACCTTGTCTGGAAGCAGCAGCAACAGAGAACCTAAGACTGGGCTGAACAATACATGAGCGAGCAGCAGTAATGCTTGAGCGCTGAATCAGACGGCGGGCAGTACAGGAGAACATGGATGCTGTAATGGTTGCAGAATAAAGAAACTTGAATTTAATCGCATTTGAATTTCTGAAGATCGCATCAGCACTTTACAATTGCAATTCATTCTTGTCATGTTGCTTTACAGACACTCGAGTCTGTCTTTCTATTCAAAGATTCTGCAAACTCGATCACTTTCTGTTCGTCGTACTGCTAATGAATATTCTCATTTAAAGAAAGGTTTAAACGATCCAAGAGCTCGTCTGGTCGAGTCTGCTATTCCATCTAAAGTCGGTTCATCTGCTAATATAGGTGTTCCTACTTCATTCGTACTCTATACATACCCAAATTTAACCCAGTATTACATGCTCTACGGTTCTGGATGTGTTCATATGATTTTTTGGGGTTCTTTTGCCTACTTGCTATATACAAACCAGCCTGATTCACCCAGGTAGGTTGGCTTCAAAAACATTTAATCATTCATTCTACTTGACTCTTCGAGTCAAGACAATAGTCTGATTTGGAAGATTCTAATCATTTGTCTACTCAACCATAATATACCAATTATTCTAGCAGTTTTCTCAACACTAAAGTTACAGATTTAGTCTTTTTTCCACAAAATGCTTCTGATCCGGATACACACGATAGCGATCGTGTACAGTCATCTTCTGCTACTCCTCAGCCATCACTCGCTGAATCAATATCCAATTTCATAAAAGAGAATCGGTCAGTTTCTCTTGCTACTGCTAGTGCTGTCGCTTGCGCCTCAGTGGGCATTGTTTTTTTCGCAGTCTCGCACTGGCTGGCATCTGGTCATCTTTCCAAGATTGAACTCGTTAATGGAAATACTTTTCGAGTGCGCACTTGTGCATTGATTGGCAAAGCAACACACGAGTATCCACTTTCATCTGCTTCCCTAACACGACCTCTTTATACCGGTATCGGTCCAAGAGGAGTCGATATTCTTCATGACACTCATACGCCATGGTATAGAAATCTCTTCAATCTTGAAAAACCAACTCATTTGATTTTTGATGTTGCCAGCAATTCTCGTAAAAAGTTTTTGGTTCATCGCAAAGGTGTTTTTCCTAATCCACAGTTTTTGGATCGTCTAATTACTGAAAAAAAACCACTTTTTGTTCTGCACCAATAAACCAAGAATACAGATTGCTTAAAAATTAAAGTGCTACTTTAAGAAAAATTAAAAATACAAGTATATTGAATGGCAGATACACTCCCAATACGGTACATTCAATCAATCCTTGTTTTTATCTTTGATCGAATACTTGCCATAATCCTTGTGAGGATCAAAAACCTCCCAGCGACTAGCTGGGAAAATGTGTTTGTTGTTTTCATACCACGAACGTTCCATCACCTTTCCTGCGTGAGACTATCCTCCAATCAACAGTATCAAACATAAGAAACAAATTAAATGTCAGATAATGCCATGGATAGAATGAAAAGTCAAAAAGTAATCACAGCACAAATTATAGTATAAAACGCATTCAACTCGTATTAATAGACCAATAAAATCCACATCTTACATCTTCTGTTTCTATATGGGCGTCATTAACAAGTCGAACATCATCGCGAACGTCAAAATTAAATAGTGGACCAGATTTACCACGGGACTTATTAATGATAAAGTCATAAAAGGAGTAGTGCTAGAGCAGGTAGTATGAAATTGACATTGAAACGCATAAAGTGGGTCAAGAAATCCACAACTATGTTAATAAATGGTTTGAATCAAGCAAAAACTAGCAGGCTAGGATTAAACAAAACACTTGCAGCCAAGCCCAAGTGTTAGATGCACTACTGCTTTGCAGACAAAAACAAACCATACAAGCCAACTATCTTACAGATGGAATCAGCAAATCTTCCTTGACGTATATCAAATTGTCCACATTTACAGATCTTAACTGTGGCCATTGTACACGGCATTTTTCTAAAAACTGACGAATTGAATCGCCCTTTTTACATTCAACTTGCTTTCGATGGCCTGATCCATCCCAGAAACTGTATGTAACAATGATACGATCGTTCTTTATAATCTCTTGCTGATCATGCCACTCCTTTTCAAGCTTATTCCGCTCCAACATTTCCTGTGCCTTGCGCTCTTTATCGGGTAAAAAACTTGTATCCACGTTGGGATTCTTTTTAGGCTTTTTTAATGGCTGATCAAAAAAATCTGTTGTATAAGATTGACAATCGAATTACGTTTACAAATAATTGTAGTTTTAAATAAAAGATACAGTTAGCTCAAATCTTGCAATATGACAGTAATCAAACCAAAAAATACTGGATTAAAAGGTAAGCTATTAAACACATGCAGACGTTTCGTCAGAGAGAAGATTATTGATCTGCATATCCCAATATAAACTAAATACTTTGTATGCAGGTTAAAACGGGATTCAAGCATTTGATTGTAATACTGAGCGACATCAGACAGCGATATACTGTCGAGTCTAGCCCAGTTCATCATTCGAGACACGTTGGATATTGGTTTGTAGTTGACCCATTGAGATGGATTGCCATCAAATTATCTTTATCAAAATAACTGTTTAAATCAAGCCATACCTTCAGATTGATCCTGCTCCTCCCCATTCTCGTCAAAATCAAATGAAAGAACTGCCTTTGTAGTAGTACGCTTTTTCGACTTTTTGCTCTTGTCTAGAGTCTTTCCGGTCAAGGACGTTTCCAAATCATCTTGTCGTTTTTTCTCTTCTAGGTTAGACCGGATACGTTGAAAATCCTCTAGTCGAACAAGTCCGACTGTTTGTCGTTTAAGTTCTGAATCAACCCAGTCGTTCTGGGCAACAAACTTGTCCGATCCTACTTTGACAGTTCTATCCTATAAAAAAGGAAACCATTAGCAAATGAACTATACAATCGAGCATTAAGATTTGGCCAAGCCTGCTAGCTACACTAGTGTAATACTCATTCCAGCTGCACTTCCTACTGAGTTTTTAATGTTTGGAGTGCTGATGCTATGGAATATTTTTACAAACAAATGCAGTTATTCTGAGGACTTCTCACCTTTGATATTTGATCCTTTTGCTTTTGAATCTGGTCTAGCATAGATGCCCGCTCTCTTTCCAGATGCAAGGCTCTAGCACCCTCACTTGCATTATTTGCCATTACAGAAACCAATGAATACAGCACAATAAAAGCTATGCAGGTTTAAAGTCGACAGTTGTAAAATAAGCCCAATGAATTTGTTATTGCAGCTGTATTCAGGCAAAATGAAATACTTGTATTTTGCTTTGGAATCGATTGGTTAAATATTCAGTTTTTCTATTATAAATTGACTTTAATACACACAATGTCCATCACATAATGCAATCAAACTACAGATTGAGCTTGTCTTTTCTCCGCTTTTGGCATAGTCATGCATTGTACAACTACCAGATTGATTCAAATCCAGATAGTTGGTTCAACTGTTTTCAAACTTGATTTTGTTGTATTCTAAAAACAGATACGACTGCATTCAAGTTCAAGAAAACACTCGTGAATGCAACAAGTGTTGCTATATTGATCACTCAATGCTATTGATTTAAAAAATGAGAATGCAATGAAACAAAGATGTGGATGCTGTTTGAGTATTCGTTCCGTTTTACATGAATACAATTAAAGCATTCAAGATTTCGAGTTTGATGTTGGTGAATATCAGTTTCAAGTCAACCTCACTCTAGCAAAACATTCACTTGCCATCTTTAAGCATTAATAATCAAGACATGAAGATTAATGGAAAAGTAGCCATTGTCACAGGTAATCTATTTAATGCAAGACTCTAGGCATTCCTTTGGTTCCAATATAGCCATTTGTTGGATTTGACAATGTTGACTAGATCGTTGATATCATATGGAATACCATTAGGTGCTTCATCAGGCTTTGGCAAGATGCTTTCACTTCGACTTATTTCAAGTGGGTATGTACATTTTTGAAATGAGCAAACTTATTCTATCCATCCAGATCCAGGCTAGGATATGCTATTTTGTTGAATACTACATATTTGAAAGTATCCATAACTTACAAGCCCCTTTACCATGAATCATGATCAAGTGCACGAGTTGTATTGGGAGATATTTCTGTAGCAGCAGGTCAAGAGCTCTTATTGCAACTCAATTCAAGGTACTTTGATGATCAGCTCTGTTTTTCATGTAGATTGTTTAATCAAGAGTCATGAATCAATGGTTCAACTTTATCAAAACACCAACAATCTACTGTATTGAAATTTCAATCTTAAACAAGATCTCCTGCATCTGCTATATTCGTAAAATGTGATGTAACAAAAGCTGAAGATTTAAAGCTATTGTTTGATTCTGCACGTAAAGCATTTGGCCGGATTGATGTAAGCCTGGCATGGAGTAAATATTTTATTTATTGTTTGAAAATATTACTGACTGGGCTATTTGACCTGTATCTTTGGCATGCATATTATGGTTATGCTAAATATTAAGATTGTGGTAAACAATGCAGGTTTGTAGGACACTTGTCAATGGATTGTTGAATTCAATGTTTTGTGGCCATCAAAATACATTCTCTCACATCCGAGTCAGGAATTGTTGAAAAGGAGGAGTTTACCAAGGACTTGAAGGATTCATGGAAATCAGTGATTGATATCGACTTGACGGCAGTGATTATGGGGACACGCATGGCGATCAGCGAAATGGTCAAGCAACCCAAGATCGATGATGCAGTACTTTGGCGTGGTGCCATCATAAATACAGCATCTTTGGCTGGTTTATATCCACAGTCACAGCAGCCTATTTATGCTGCGGCAAAAAGCGGAGTAGTGAATTTTACAAGATCTTTGGGATACTTGTTTACTGAGCAGGGAATTCATGTCAACTGTATCTGCCCGTCCTTTTCAGATACTCCAATCCTGAATACATTGCTTGGAAAATCAGTGCCAAGTCATATGAAAGTTCCCATCAGTCTTGTTATTGATGCTTTTATTCTAGGTATTGAGGATCAGTCATTGAAGGGTAAGCAGTTCAGCTTGTTACAATATCAGAGCCTAGTTGATCAATCTAAACTTGTTTGTATCGCGTTGATGATATTTAGGAGATGTGATTCGTGTAACACCCGAATATGGAATAGACATTGTAGGTAGACGCAGGAAATCTAAACTATAAATGAATATTATTTTGAGTCGTCTATTTTATCGATACTTGCATGTTGCGGCAACTTGTGTAAAACTGCGTTGTCCTGCAGTCATTGTGTCGGGAATGTTTTGTTTGCAGTCAATCGTTGCTAGTTTAACACTACTTTAAGCCCATCTCTTGCATATACTAAAATTATATTGGATCCAAAATAAGATCAAAGTTCCGTCATTTCGGTTTGATTGATTCCAATTTATTACGATCAGAAACATCATCTGACAGAATTTGAACGTGCAAATGTATCAAGATCCGAGAGACTCGATGTAGATATTAAGCTGGCATCATGACCAAATTTCAAACTACCCATTCCAGCACTAAGCAAACATTGAGCACTTTCTGGGTTTTGAGAATCAAAGAACAAACTCAAATGACAGGTTGAAACTCTGTTTTGTAGTCAACCGTAGCAAGTCGAAAGAGGCTTCCACTTTCTACGGATTCCTTCCCACTTGCCCATAGCATCATTTTGCTGTAAACACAAGGTTCCAAGGTCAGACTAGATCAACCATAGTATTGACAATTTAATGTAAATATACCTTGTTATTTCACTGAGCGGGGTCCAAGTAGATTTATCAGCGTCGGCCATAAACTTGCGATTCATTGGAGTATCCATTGTGATTCTACCATTCAACAACCCGGGAATTATTGAAATCAACTACATTAACAAACCAAGACCCAAACTTGTCTGAGTATCTGTCGAGTGTAAACTTACGGAAGAATCCTGGATAATTTAATCAGACCAAGCGTTAGTCTGGTAGTAGATACTCGATGAATCTAAAGAATGGATAAACTTACGCGACCACTTTGGCTCCGGCTGGAAGTCCGCTGTTGGGACCAGCAGCAGATTTGACCAGTTGATGAACAGCTGCCTTGGCCAAGCCATAGCCAATCTATCATTTACCAGTGATATTTAGTGATTTTCACATATGGTTAAATAAGCGGTCTTGAGCTAAAATGATGCTAGTAAGCCTACCATGCCTGCAAACATATCAAAAATGTAAGCAAGGAAATATGCAGCCTATCAAATATTGAATGTAAACTAGACAAATACCTGGAGTCCCATGAGTAGCAGCACTGGCACCCGTGAGTGTCAAAAGCCCACCTCTGATCATACAATCAGTAATACCTCGAGTTAGAACCGATCTACTGAGCAATATACATGCACCAACATTTCAAGACAACACAACTCTTTAAGATAAGTAGCAGCCAGCTTGGCTGAGATGACTGACGAGTAGATACTTTGAGTGATCATAAGTTCTGTATTGGCAAGCAAGTCCTTATCAACCAAGTTTCCTCCGGCCCAACCTCCAGCCACTGTAAGAATAGCATCTAGCTTTTGGTCAGATCCAAGGGCATTGGCAACACGATCACTGATGCCGTTTCCAATTTCAGCTAAGCTGGTTCCTGCTGGGCTTTGTTCCAGGACAATATTGGAGCTGGCATCAGGATTGTTGGAAAAGTCCAGAGAGACGACATTCTGGTTATCAGAGTATATTGGAGTGGTTAGCTTCTGAAGACACCCTCAACGAATGGCAAGCCAATAGTTTATACAGCAACGGGACAACGGTTCTTTTATTATACAAGTCATGGTTGGGTCAGAGTGATGGGTAGTCTTGCATACCAGCTTACCCAATCAGCATTTCGAAAATGAGAGACGATGGCTCGACCAAGAGCACCAGAACCTCCATATACTAACGCACTAGGCATTTTACGAGTAAGCATGTGAAATGATATGAAGAGCCAAGCAAAACTTTGACAGGCAGATCAGCTGTAGCGCATAATTTGCAATTCTTGTTGAGTTGAACACTCGTTTGAATTCATTTAGCCAATCTAAACAGCTGTTGAGTTTGAAATTGTTGGTTACAAACTTGATAATGTTATAACTAGAATCAGCAAGTTTGCTATAAGCTCACAGAAGTTGATTTACAATTGTATTCATGTAAAACGGAACGAATACTCAAACAGCATCCACATCTTTGTTTCATTGCATTCTCATTTTTTAAATCAATAGCATTGAGTGATCAATATAGCAACACTTGTTGCATTCACGAGTGTTTTCTTGAACTTGAATGCAGTCGTATCTGTTTTTAGAATACAACAAAATCAAGTTTGAAAACAGTTGAACCAACTATCTGGATTTGAATCAATCTGGTAGTTGTACAATGCATGACTATGCCAAAAGCGGAGAAAAGACAAGCTCAATCTGTAGTTTGATTGCATTATGTAATGGACATTGTGTGTATTAAAGTCAATTTATAATAGAAAAACTGAATATTTAATCATTGTTTATTCCAAAGCAAAGACAACCAATGCAAGGTGAATACAGAAAGAGTTTTATTCTACATAAATACGGGTGTAAAGCATTGTTGATGGAATAAGACGACTTCCTAAACACATGATTTGAATCCATCTGGACACTAGTTGAATCAGAGTCTAGTCACTTTATTGTACTCCGACCTGACACACTCTTGTGCGATGCGAATCAATGCATTGAATAGGAATCATGACATGCGCTGATTGGACTATAATAGGCTTTTGATAGCCCTGTCACGACCCTCGGCTAACACAGCCATTTCATTTGTGCGTATAACTAATGATTTGCTATTTTGATTTCTTTTAACCGCAAATCTTCAACTACTTGGTAACCATGGCAGAGAAAGGCGTCTATGATTCACCTGCTCCAGGTATAGCAACCGTTTATATTACACCTTCACTTTATTCGATCGGCTATATTCATGGCTTATTGGTCATGTTTTCATCAGATAGTTGTGAATGTGCAGGCATCCACAAACTATCCTTGTTTAGAACCTACCATACTAATTGATCTTGCTACTTATACCTTTACTTGCAGCGTATGGAGCACCCCAGCAGAGTGGGTACGGTGCGCAACCACCATACGCTCAGCAACCTCAGCAATATCCACCTCAGCAAGGTTATCAGCAGCAGGGTTATCAGCAACAGTATCCTCAACAGCAACAGTATCCTCAGCAGCAACAGTATCAGCAGCAGCAATACCCTCAGCAACAGCAACCAGGTAAGTGGTCTATAATCAACTGTTTCAAAGTGTCCGACTTTATGGGTCTTGATGTTTGACACATTCATTATGTCTTGTATAATATCAACCATTGGATTTGGAGCAGGCTACTATGCTCAGCCACCAGTAAGTCTACTTTAAGTGTCCAGCGTGCATTTTATCCATAAACCTGATTCGAGTATCTGTAAGCTGTTTGTGGTGACTGCTCTCTAATCTGTGTATTTCTTTATTTGAACAATACTGTAGCCTCAAACCGTTCTTGTTCAGCAGCAAGCTCAAAAGTCTAATGCTGGTGAAGCTGCCTGTTGCGGTTTGTAAGTACAGCTATGGCTTTACCAACTCTAGACCTTGTTGCTAGCTTATTTGATGGAGCTAACTTTTATATGTTTTTGTCAAATCTGTCTCTGATGATATTACGTCTGCTTTGACTGTCCCTGTCCCTTTCCCTTTATTTGACTGTGAATCTATTCGGATTTTCAACTTTTCCATGCTCATTCGCGGTTAAAATTCAGCCTTCTCGGCGCATGTCTATGCTGCTGCTGCTGCGACTGATTGTTATCGCTCATTTTTAATAGTCTATTTCCACGAAAAATAAACTCGAATAGTTTTCTCTTGAATTATCATTTTTTGTATTGTATGGCAAAAGTTACTCGAACACCAATTGCTCGCCTCGATCCATTGGACAATGCTTTCTTGGCTATAGCCAAAGGTGCCATTGCTTCGTCCCCTCATGGGGACCACTCTATCAAAATCAATGTTGCCATCAATTATACTTTGTGTCGTGGTGTGTCGCATCTATTCATGATCGATTTTAAATGGTCAATCTCATCACTAATATTAATTGGGTCATAACACTTTACGCTTTTTCTTAGTGGATGGTCAAGAGTCGATACAGAAACAGCGACCCAATAAAGAACGAAAGAAAAAACAACCAAGTGTCGATGCATACAAACGGCTTTACATCACCTACTCTATTGGTGGTCAAATCGAAGGCAAGGTAAATAAACTTTACAGCGATGGGCATTTGCCACATATGGTTCAGAAGACTTGCATCTACGCGTGACGAATATATTTTATTCAATATTGCCATCAAAACCAAACCTTGCATCGCTGCCCATATTCATGTACTTACAAGTGGGTTGTAATATATTCATATAAATAGACAGAGCCTTTTTCAATATCAGGAAACAACTGGTCTGTCGTGCATGATATCAATATTGCCAATGTAAGCCCACCCTATCAAAAGCAAGATTTGGTCTTGTTTACTATCGTATTTACTAAATGTGTACACTTGTCCAACAGGAATTCATCACAAACTTGTACCATAAGCCACCCGAGTTTGTGATTTGGGAGATTGTCCGAACTGATGATCACGATAAAGATGGACCGCAGAGTTTAACAAGGAAGATTCCCAATATGGGAGACGAAGGCGAAGAAACCCCCAGTATCGAGTTTTCAGCAAAGGAAAACAGATCCCGCTCTGATCATACCCAAAAATTCCCAATTTCCTTGGCACAAACTGCTATTAAAACAAAACCAGTTCGAAATTCAAAACTAAACAAGCGTGAAATGAGTGTTCCTCCAGTCAAACCTCCAAAAGAAAGTATCGTCAGCCCATCTCAGAGCCAAAAGGCAGATGTGAAAATTTCAGAAACTATGCGTTCTGATTCAGAAGCAGTCAATCGTAACAATAACACCACTGATGAACCTAATCAGAATCTTAATAGTAGCATCAAGCATCAATTTGCGCGGCGCCAATCGTTATCAAACCCTGATTTAAATGTATCGTTTGAACAAGGAGCTCACGAGTTCAAATCATTGGTTTCAAAGCGTGCCAACAGCTACTCCCCTCCACTCGACCAGATTCGTCCTGGCTCACCATTACATCGGTTTCTTAACGAGGATTTTGGTATAGGCCCTCAACCTCGAGAAAAACAAAAGGGCAAAGAATCAATCCATGCACCACCCAGAGCATCAAGTCGGGAAGCAGCACATCCTCATCATTTTAATCACCCAGAAAAACATGTATCTGCAGATGTGCACCAACGCACACCAATTCGTTCGAGATCGTCATCATCTCTAGCAGGTATTGGATTAATGCATCAAAAAACACCTCCTAGTCCACACCATCATGACCATCCCCTGACCATCCTGGCACCTCATGGTCGTATAAAAGAAGCCAATTCTACAAAAACTACTGGCCACTCTGAAAAATTGAAAAACAATCAAATTGGTAAAATTGATAACTGCCATGCTTCAATGCCTGCCCATCTTTTCAAGAATACTTTACTGAACAAGTCGGGACACGCTTTTCGCGAAAAAAATAAGAATATCAGTAGCAGTTTGGACGATACAAAGCATATTCGATGGAACATGGATGGGACAGCATCCACACGCAATATGAACCAAACGGCACTTTCATTGGAAGATGTAGAAAAACAATCAAACGATCAGAGTATTGATGCACCCACTGAAAAGTTGCTGTTGGATAAAAAAAAGGGAGAATATACCCATATTCCAATTGGCAAGGTCGTTTTGGATGTCACAGGATTTTTTTTTGATATGACTGAAGCCAAAGCAAGGTAGTTGGTGCATCCCATTGCATTTAAATAGTCGATTAAGTAGCATATAACTCACCAATTACGTGATGTTGATTATATTATGCAAGTGTGGTTAATCCATTGAACGGACTAAGCAAGTGTGATGTATCTTTGAAACTGGATAGTCCGCTGTTATCTAATGAGCAGGCTCAACGGTTTGTGCTCTATGATTTTGTTTGTCAATATAGATTGGTCTGAGAGATGATGATATGTTTATCTCATTGGTAATTTAGATTGAACCCACTGTGTATCACTATTGATACTGCAGATGGTATGCCTGATAAACCACTTGGGTTTGACGAGCTAGATAGCAAGTGTTTGCCAGTGTAAGGATATCCACGAATTTCAGATTGATGTATACAAACCAATCAAGATCATGTTGCTTTCCAATTGAAATTTACTTTTTAAACCATCATAATTGCATACTGACACTGTTGTTGAATGAATCATAGCTCAGTAAAATTCCAATTTTTTAATGACTATATGTTGCATCGTTCTATTCTTTCGAATCAATGTCATGCTCGACAAATGCATTTTAATAGTAAACATTTGATACTTACCGGACTAATTGATCCTGCACGACTTTGCGACGAGATTTTCAAATCACCTCTTTTGATCGAGGTGCCTTTTATCAAATTGTTTGGATTTTTAAAGTATATCAAAGACAGTTTTAAAGGTGTACATTTTTAAATGAATCATACTAGGTGCACGACCGTGATCACAAGCTTTCGCCCGATCTTTCAAAGATTAGTGCAGGTTTGTTGAATTTGAAAGCAATGCATCTTATCGGAAGTTCACACCACCACACATGTCTAAACTGCTTTGGGTTTATTTGAAATCTATGCGATTCAGATTTAAATGATAATGGTACCATCAATCAACCCATGAATCCAGTCAATCCTTACGGAGTGGCATCATTTTGTAAGTTTAGATACGAGTGAATTAATACTATGACTGAGTCTATGATGATAATGTGACTAACCCATGTGAATCAGCATTGGTTGAGCTGTGTTCTGGAGAAACAGAACTACAGCTGATTTCACCTATTTTACCCACAAAGATAAACTCTACAAAAAAGCACAAGACGCTTCCTGCTGGGTTTTGGCTAGATTCGTCAGCACACTTGTCTATTTTTATTCATCTACGGTTTCCGCTGATGAATAAATTTTCTGCCGAACCTATACCTACTGCTTTGGCTTTGTTTGGACAAGTTGTGATAGCTTCTTGGTAACTGTATATGTTGACATGTTTTTTAAAAGCTAAATTTTTGACAAAATGATTGCTTGAGCATGCATCAACATTGACATTCTACCTATATATAGTTCAAGCGATGAAACGATTCCCAATCTGGTTCAAAGTATTGTTACTTGTTGTAATGCAAAGGCATTGAACTTATCCACCTCTAGCCGTCAACCAAACCTTTCACTGCTTACTTATCAGTTGTCAGATTCTGAAAGACATAGTTCTAGTTTGGTAAGTTTATATTTATTTGTAGATTTTATCCAAAAACTTGGATGCTTGTTGCAATCACGCTAACCATGGTATTTTATAGGATATTTTGACGGGCTATGACATATTTGATGATCAAGTCAGAATAATGTATATAGAAGGACTTATTGATGGCAACCTTAAAGTTCTTTTGTCCTGTCTTCAAAGGTGAGTAGTGGATATCTAAGGAAAACAGTCGAGTAATGACATTTAACTTTGTGCATATGCAACAAAATGCTAGTATAAGCGACAAGATACCGTTTAGAGTGTCGACATCTGTCAAAGCACTCAACTATCCAATGGCTTTGCGAAAACTACCGATTGTGCTTCATATCCGTTTAGTACAGAATCTTCAAGAAATTCTACATTCAACAAAAACCTATATTGGGGGGAAAATATCCAAAGAGTGTTTAGACTGTCTTTGTATGCTTAACGAGGTAAGTTGTCAAGATATTGAATTTATGGTTTTAAAATACGGATACAATGTTTGGTACAATCACTAAGTATTTAGGCTATTGCAGTATTTTGTCCTGAACCATCTTGATTTATTCGTCACTGATACTATAATGCATACTTGATATATTAGACTATAAACCTGGATTCTTTTTTGGTGCGTAGCAATTCGCTTGCATTTCCAACACAATCCATGATTATGGCACTTGTCGAATCTATAGGAAAAGTTGTACAGTTTGAATCATCTATCCCATGCAAGGACAATTTAAAGATGGTGTCGGCTTGCGATCGCCAAAAAGTATTGAATGACTTGGATAGTGCGCATGTTGCGATCAATGATAAGACAAAGCAACCCAACCTGCCAATCAACTACGGAGTAAGTATCTACATCATTCATACCAATATGGGTTGCAGTGGTATATATTTGAAGTCTGAGTTGAGATGGTTTGAATGTATATCTTGATATTGTGATGGAGCTAATCGAGCATTACATATCATGTTCACTATTTTTTAATCCGATACATTGCTAAAACACTAGCGATATGGAGAACCCATCAATTACCCGATTGGATCTTTTGTTTTATCTGCAAAATCGGTTGTAAATGCTAATAATAGTCAAGTAATGGACCAGATCAACCAAAGACGGTTTCATAAGCCTAATTTTGTTTCAATGAATATACAGGTACGCAGCTTGCAACACATTTAAATCTGTTTCTATTTACTCTATACAGTTTGAAAGTATATTTCATTCATTCGTATACATGCCAAGTTTTTAACTATTTACCAACATTGCTATACATTTTTATCGAGGTAGGCACAAAAGTTGCAATCCAAGGCGCCTTATCAACGTACGACCAGCAATGATGTATACAACTATTCAATGCAAACCTATTCAACTACTCAGCAGCAGATTGAAGACTTGCGAACGCAAATATCAAAAGTATGTTTGGATTTAATTCTGTCATGAACAAACACTGAGGGTTGGATAGTGTTTTAAATGGGAATGCTAAACACCCGAGTTTTTGTATTTGTAATTTTAGGATCCAACGCATATTTATACATATTGCAAGCCATATTTATCTCAGATGGTATCACTGGTTGATTTTGAATCTGAAGTCAAGACACAACAATTGGAATCTCGTCGATTGTGGAAATCACACAAGGGATTTTGGGCCGGGTAAGACCAATTTATAGTTTTGCGATTCATGTTGCAAATGCCATAGCGATCTAACACCAGTGCCGATAACATCGTTTATGATTTGACGCGGAAATATGCAACTCAAGTCCGTTTGCAAAGTATGTAGAAATAGCATTGATGTCATGATAAAATTGGATTCAAGTCACAGTTTACTGTTTCACTTGTAGAGGGTAGTGCTAATATACAGACCATACTTTAGGAACAAGGATGGATTCATAGAAACAAGATGTGCAGAATTATAACTGACAGGCACAGAAATCAATGGTAAAGACAATACCAAGTAAAACAGCTCTTCTGTCCAAGATTTTCATTCAATTCATGTTTAAAATGTATCATGCTGTCTGTTACGAATTCGAATCTGCAAGAGTTTCTGTAGTTGCCTTGCTTTGCTGTAACTCATGCTCTTGGCGAACCATGGTCATTCTTAAAAACTAGATGAGTTTATATATGAAGCATGCCAGTAAAGCAGCAATAAATACAAAGGATTAGTGACTTGGATCCAATGCTATAAGATGAATTAGACTTCAAGTAGCCAGATTGTAATCAAGATCATGGAGACTTGCTCAAATAGCTTTTACAAGTTTAGAATGCTCTTGAAAACAATGACAGGTACTATTAGAAACCATAAATGCTGGTGGGTTGCAAGTTGTTGGATGTAGTATATAGCCAGTCTAAAAGGTCCATCGCTGGTGTTTGACACAGCATAGCAATGGGATAGAAAGGAAAGTAGTGCAGTAGTGCAGCATCAGTGGTTCTACTAGAACATGGTAAAAGGCTTTCAAGAACAGACTATGCCCGCACACATTGGGAATGAATATGAAGCTGCTAGAAGATGGATAGACAACGAGAAAGTCGGTACCTCTTTCCTATGGTATAGACACTCCTGGTAGTCTTCGAATAGTTGCACACACTCCTTGGTGGACTCTGCCTGAACATGGCACCTGGTAAACTCTTGCCAAAAGTTAAAGCAGCGTCCTCGTCCTCCAGCAATGCCAAAACCGCTCGACATGTTGCAATAGGAACTAAAAAAGTCGAACGCCAAGTAAAGCGTAACAATTGAAGTATTTTTGAATGTTTAGACCAATCCAGTCTTGACCACAACTAGAAACACAAGCCTAGATATTTATTTTCCATCCAAAACCCTACAGCGCATGGATGAAGAATTATCTGTAAATCTCTGTGCAATATCTACTGTCACTAACATTTAAACCCAAACCCAGTGATCTCTCAACACTCAACAGCCAGATTTAAAGAAAACTAATAGAAACGCATGGCTCTGCAAGTTCATTACGCTTGAATGTGAAGTACATGGAAAAAGTAGTGAAAATCCAACCAGGATCCACACCCACCAAGTCCATTGTTTAACGATAAGACTTCTGGTAACGAGCGCGTGCACCAGCACCACCAAACTTCTTGGGCTCGCAGCGACGGGGATCAGCGACAAGAAGAGTACGATCATAGCGGATAAGGATTTCCTTGATTTCCTTCTTGGATGACTCGTCAATGACTAGTATACCATTTCATTTAGTAGATTAGTAAACAGTTCAGTTGGCATGATAGGTACAATCTAGAACAGATGTGCTAATTATCAAATAAAACAGGCTTACATTTTTGGTAAAAGGCAACGATTGCCTTGGCAATAGCCTGACGGATGGCTGTTTTTATACATGACAAGATGTTAGCAAGTCTGGTAAGAATACATGAACCGTTTCAGTATCTTATTACAGCTTTTCATACCATAGATTTGCGAGACTTGACCACCTCCGTTGACACGAACACGGATATCAACCATTTCAAATCGTTCCTTGCCAAGAAGGTAAATAGGCTCATAGACCTTGGCCCTAAGGATCTCAGGCTCAACAAGCTCAAGGGGCGAACCGTTGATCTTGATGAGACCTGTGCCGCGCTTGCAGTGAGCAACAGCCGTAGCAGTCTTCTACTCAATTGAAATAAAACCATTTAGTTAGTAAACATGAGTCTACTTTTACTTTCTTGATGCTAGGAATTGATCAACATTAGACCATCCAGAATCAAACGCAAATATGCAAAACCATTCAAGTACTATAGAAAAGTACGAAAATGTGAGTATAGCCATACACTCCAGCCCATTGCAATGGGTAGTCAAGTATGCATGGCCTCGATAATGATTTGTTTGAAGGAATAAAGACAATTTCTTGTTTCATCAATGCTCTTCAAAAAGTTGCGGCAATTATGAGTTGAATCAAGTCTGTCAAATGAGGATGGCCATATAGGCTGAGCAAGTCCTGTTTACCTTGCGTCCGAAACACTGAACAGCCTCGGTCATATTCTAAGCATAGATGCATGCATTTATGGATGGATGGATGTTAGTATATTGGCCATGCTTGTATTGGCTGGCTGCTACTACCAACCACCTACGTCCAAATGGTGTCTTACCAAAATTCGTTTATGTGCTGCGAATCCAACTCGCGTTCAAGTCGAAATCTACAGGGCCGAGCTAGCCAACACAGTCACGTGTAAATTTTCAAATAAGTTGCGATTTACAGCCATATTTATGTAGAATGAAGCGCCTAATCTTGCAGTTTCTGCTTTGGTTTAAAACAATGTTTGAATATCCATTGATTTTTTGAACTCATATTTGTCGATTGCAATTCAGATATTGAATTTGAATGTTGTCAATCAAACTCTACTTTGTTGTCTCGTAAAATACAAGATACGTTCCAGTTTAAAACAGCAAAGATTGTACATTTCAGGAATGCAACTATACATGTCAATCACAAAACATCTATTTGTAGTGTTTGGTTTTTACAAAAAAATATTGACGAATGTCAAGGATGTGAGATATTGAAACAGTGACGTGAACACTTTAACATCCACTTGGTTTTTAATGTTCCATTTTACGCGAATGCAACTGTATATCACGCTTGACAGCAACTGGGTATATATAAAACAATGCTGTAATATATTTAAAATATTGCCTTGTGAATTAGTTGGATTGCGTGTATTATAAGCCACGGATATGCATATTCTGTATCAAATTGTTTGATAGAGGGTTGATATATTGAATAAACAACACTATTTACAAGTTATTGAGAAATTGTGATTTAATCTGTAGACGATACTGGATAAAGCTAATTCCAAGATGGTGAGCAAATAATGTGATGCTCCATCTGTTGAATATTTTGAAACTAAAGTAAAACGTGATTTGAAATCTTATCACGTGTAGAATTTGTTGACTGTGTATACAACTTAATGTCTTGTCGAATTGACTTTGCACTCGCGAATTCACTTCAGGCAAGTTTTCAGCTGGTGCTTGATGTTCATTTTGTACAGGCTAGACGGACCTGCCTTGAAAACATACGATGCACTGATTCATGCATCAGTTTGTTTATTGGTTTCGACTGGTGTATGCATCCATATATCGATGGATGAATGCGTTGGGCCAAATCCCAATACTTGATATCAAGATGATTCTATTTACTCGAGTCATGTTAAGCTAACTGTTTTTGTTCTGGATTATAAATGCTGGCATCAACTTGTGACTGACGACGGATCAATTTGTTGGAATTTCAATGACGGGATGATTATGGTTGATAACCACGCTCGATAATTTCTATATTGTGCTAATTAGACACCATGCGTCACAACAATCAATTGCCCAACCAGCATTTCCGTAAGGACTGGAAGATTCACGTACGTACATGGTTTGATCAGCCTGGAAAGAAGCTGTCCAGGAGAGTCAAGCGTGTCAAGAAGGCAGCCAAGATTGCACCTCGTCCAATTGACGGACTTCTTCGACCTGCAGTTCGATGCCCTACTGTCAGGTATAACACCAAGCTCCGTGCTGGTCGTGGATTTTCTCTGGAAGAGCTCAAGGTGTGTTTTGCTATTTTTACTCTAGAGTTGGGTCAATGTTTTTGAATATATCTAGTCTATTTCAGATGTACTAATCAGATATTGCGTATTTGGAATACTACAGGAGGCTGGTATTAGCCGCCACTTTGCTCGCACCGTTGGTATCTCTGTTGATCACCGTCGTCGCAATCGTTCTGTTGAATCTCTTCAGGGCAATGTTCAGCGTCTGAAGGAGTACCAGAGCAAGCTGATTGTCTTCCCTAAAAAGGCAAACAAGCCCAAGAATGGAGATTCAGAGGTGTGTTTCAGCCCTAACTTGGATATTTTAATATTGAGACTAATTTGATTTTGTTTTAGGCTGCTGTCGTTGCCACTGCTACTCAGCTCAAGGGTGCTCTTATGCCCATTTCCCAGCCCCCACTTACGGATCTTGCCCGAAAGATCACTGGCACTCCAGCAGTTCATGCCTTTGACACTCTCATCAAGGCACGCTCTGACAAGCGTATGTTTGGTATGCGTGAGAAGCTTGCAAAGGAACAAGCTGAAGAAGAGGCAAACAAGAAGAAATAAGTCCGATCGCATATGCTTTTTTCTTAAAATGAACATGATTGACGATATATTTCCTAGTTGTAAATGGGTTTGGGGTGTATTTTATTTGCATGTCCTCAGGAACAAGAAAAGAGCAAGGTGTGGCGTAGCCAATCAAACAGTCAAAAGCGAGCAGTTGTCTCGTCGCTCCGTTTCTCCTTCTTTCACTGAAGTTTGCCTTTTGAACTCGGTAGGTGTTTTGTGATTGTATGCAGCAGACACATTAGAACTTTGTTGTAATCCATTGTTGATGAGTTGCATTCTACTACTGAATGCATGCATGCGAATGCTACTCTTGTTTTCTGGATGGATGGTTAGATCCTCATGCATGATCAGTTGCAAAATCGAACTACTTGTTCTCAAGTCCAAGTAGTTTGGTTTGGATGTTGCTAGACTATCATTACTGTTGATCAAACCCACTCTATCTGTTTGCCTTTTATTTCTATTCATATCTACCGGCATGAGTTTTGTGTCTGTTCATTGTTGGTTATAGCGTTTCTAACATTTAGCTTGATGTCTGTTACTAGAAAACATGGGTAAGGAAAAGGGACATATTAACGTCGTCGTTATTGGCCACGTCGACTCTGGAAAGTCAACTACCACTGGTCATCTCATCTACAAATGGTATGGAATGTTGTGGATTGACTAGGGTTTTTTTTTGTTTTGAGACCCTATTTTTTGCCAAGCTGGAGTGTGATTGCCCTTACTAATTTTACTTGTATTTTTTCATGATCTGATATTTGGTGGTTTTCAGTGGTGGTATTGACAAGCGTACCATTGAGAAGTTCGAGAAGGAAGCCGCTGACATGGGCAAAGGTTCCTTCAAGTATGCCTGGGTTCTTGACAAACTCAAGGCTGAGCGTGAGCGTGGTATTACCATTGACATTGCTCTCTGGAAGTTCGAGACCCCCAAGTACTATGTTACTGTTATTGATGCTCCCGGACATCGTGATTTCATCAAGAACATGATTACTGGTACTTCCCAGGCTGATTGCGCCATTCTTATTATTGCTGGTGGTGTTGGTGAGTTTGAAGCCGGTATCTCCAAGGACGGTCAGACCCGTGAGCACGCTTTGCTCGCTTTCACCCTTGGTGTTAGACAGCTCATTATTGCTGTCAACAAGATGGACACCAACAAGTGGTCCGAGGAACGTTTCAATGAAATTGTCAAGGAATTGTCCAACTTCATCAAGAAGGTTGGTTACAACCCCAAGTCTGTTCCATTCGTCCCCATCTCTGGATGGCACGGTGATAACATGTTGGAACCCTCTGCCAACATGCCCTGGTTCAAGGGATGGACCAAGGAGACCAAGGCTGGAACCAGCACTGGCAAGACCCTTCTTAATGCCATTGATTCTATTGAGGCTCCTTCCCGTCCTACTGACAAGCCTCTCCGTCTTCCCCTTCAGGATGTATACAAGATTGGAGGAATCGGAACTGTTCCAGTTGGTCGTGTTGAGACTGGTGTGATCAAGCCAGGCATGGTTGTTACCTTTGCCCCCGCTAACGTGACCACTGAAGTCAAGTCCGTTGAAATGCACCACGAGTCCCTTACTGAGGGTATCCCAGGTGACAACGTTGGTTTCAACGTCAAGAACGTGTCAGTTAAGGACATTCGTCGTGGTATGGTCTGCTCTGACTCCAAGAACGACCCTGCCAAGGAAGCCGCTTCGTTCAATGCTCACGTCATGGTTCTCAACCATCCCGGTCAAATTTCTGCCGGTTACTCTCCAGTTCTTGATTGCCACACTGCTCACATTTCCTGCAAGTTTGCTGAGCTCCTTGAAAAGGTTGATCGCCGTACTGGTAAGAAGATCGAAGATTCCCCCAAGTTTGTCAAGGCATCCGACACCGCCATTGTCAAGATGGTTCCCACCAAGCCTCTCTGCGTTGAGTCTTACGCCGAGTACCCCCCTCTTGGTCGTTTCGCCGTCCGTGACATGCGTCAAACTGTCGCTGTTGGTGTTATCAAGACTGTCGAGAAGACTGACAAGTCTGCTGGCAAGGTCACCAAGGCTGCTGCCAAGGCTTCTGGCAAGAAGTAATCTTCTTTATTTCATAAAAAGCGTTTGATCACCCATATATTTTAAACTTGTTTTTGGTTGTGGATTCAATTGGTGCTTATAATATTAGTCGAGGTAGTCTAAATCTAGCTGCATAGAGTGCAATATCAATATTTTTTAGCATTCGGGTTTATTTTCAAATAGCAATCGTTTAAAATGGGTTTTGCATTTTGAAATAATTCGAATCAGGGTTGGCGGTCAAGTTTAGATTGATCGGTACTTTGCTTCAAGCATTTCCACTGCTTCCTTGTCAATTACCAGGTATTCATACTCCAAAAGCACACTGACGGAAATATGTTTGACCGATGCAACAAGAATCTGACGCTCGCCTTCAGGAACTTGAGGCGTTGGATCGGCTTTTGTAAATCTGTCCATCACTTGGATAAACTTTACGGATGGTTGCGAGGAGCCATACAAGAAACATATCTTGCGACCAGAAAGATCCAAACGCCGCAACTGTTCTCTTACCTGGTCCTTATCGTCTAAATCTGTATGCAGCAGATCAACAACGACCAATTGATCCTGTGCAAATTTAGTCGAAAGAGCCGTACGAATGCCCAAGTCGTATACTTTTCGTGGAATATCAGTAGCCTTGTTATGAGGACGTGGACCATGAACAGCGTATCCTAAACACACACATATCAACATTGTTAGTGCCTAAAAAGGCTCAACCTTTAGAGTGCATTGATTGAAGCGATTCATAGTACCAACATACCTCCAACGAATTGGGGTGCACGGATAGTACCAACTCGTGCCTTGCCACGACCTTTCTGGGGAAATGGCTTGCGAGTGGATCCACGCACTTGGCCAAGAGCTTTACTGCTCTCAGTGCCTTGCTTGTGCCAGTCTCGCTCATACTTGAGCACTTGAGCAAGAATATCTGGCCGGACTTTGACTCCAAATACAGTGCGATCTAATTCTAAAAGTCCAATAAATGCACCGGTTTTAAAAGAATGAAGCCATGACTGTACGTATGGGTACTTCCACCATGCATCTATTATTCAATAACGCAAAATAAATAGGTTTAGCATTTGTTAAATCACCAGCAAGTGGATTTGGAATGTTTGCTGAAATGCACATCTAAAAGCAACAGATGCATACTTTTAAGATCCTCAAATTTCGGAACATTGCTCAGCGATAGTCGGCCAATAGATTTGACTTGAGTAAGCGGATGCAGCAACGCATGCACTTTCTCTCCTTGAGTAGAATCTAATTCAAACGACTTGAATGTGTCTATCGGTATTAGAGGACGCTTAAGCTGATCACTTGCTTTAGATGCAGCCGTGTTGGATTTGGATTCCAGATCAATGTCAGATAAACCAGCAGTGTTTTTCGACTCTACTGACAATGATTCTTCTTGCTGAACAATACTTGCAGTTGACAACCTGCAGGATTGTGCGAAACTGAATGAATTGGCAGCTGCACTAGCATTGAGCGCAGTCATGTACTCAGTTTTTCTGAAACTCTGTGACGATCCCTGTGCGTTATATATTGATGCAAAATGAGTCCTGGCATATTTAGATTGTCTGGTAAGCGTTGCCAACATGATTGACTGTAGTCAAGAAACGATTGCTCCTGTGTCGACGTTTTTCTTTGCAAGTTTTTCGTTTAAATTTGGCCGATTTCAAACAACTTTTTTTGGTCATTTGGCATATCTGTCATGAATTGATTTAGTCGTATTCACACAAGATATAACACTATTTGTCCTGCAGTGATTGCTGTTTGATGTTGTAATCACACGCCATACAAGACCATTCTTTAAAGTGGTTTATAACAATGCTCAAGGATGGACGATATATACCCATGCCTTGCAGCATTGCAGTTTGTTGAGTGGCTAGAAACCATGTTTAATCAGTCAATCTGAAATATTTCAAAGAGTCCAAAAAATGAGTACTATCCAGTAAATTGATGCCAATCGCTTCATGAGATTGGCTGTTTATTACACACCAATATCCATATTTAGTTGTATTTACGTGAATACAGCTGTAAAGCAGCCTGAATACTATCAAACTGGCAATCTCGACATGTAAAAAAATCTATAAGCAACTCATGTTTATATACTATTTCGATTTTCATTTATTACTGCTGCCAGTGCATCTTGCATGGTTTAATACACTGGAATTACAATGATGCAACTTTGGGCAGCTGCGTTATTGTGGAAAAGCAGCCTCCAAAACAATGCGAGGTTTGACCTTGATTTCAACCAACTCAACCATGGCAATTGACTATGCATCCACGAAAAGAGCTCTAAACCTTAGTGTCCTTCGTCGACATGACCCATTGATAGAGTCTATAAGCGAAACATCGAGTCATGTCACAGTATATAGCTTTGAATCTCGTTCCCAGACTTGGGTCAGTTTCCATTCTTGCATCATCTATTCCAGTATTGTCTATGCTGCCTGTTGGCTCCAGTCTTTGTTGTGATACCCTTTCAAATGATTTAAATCATCTTTTTCATACTAAACTGCTGGCCTATAACGATTTGCCAACTGTACGATTGTGCCCAGCAATTCTAAATTCGGCATATTTGCTCTTGCCCACAATAATAACACCCACCCCTTGATTTGGATGTTTGGTCATACAAGTGATTCTGATCAGATCGACAGTCTGGTCTAAAATGTAAAACATATTTAACCAGCCTTGTTGAGTCGTTGTCAAGAAACCTGCATCTTTTTAGTCATGTTGCATGACAATCGTTCGCGTGTCAACACTCGAATTGCTTTTTGAATACATCGAGTCTTGGAATTCTAAACCATCTCAATGGACACAGCAGGAATAGTGTAATGTTTGACTAAACCATAGTGTTTGACATAAACTTTTCAATTTAGACAAAACGAGGAATTGAGGGCACTATATTTGTGTACCAACGAAGTATCGAGCCACGCAATGCATTTGTAATAATGAATCGTTTGTCAACAGAAAACCTGGTTGTCCCGCTAACTAATGACCTCCAGTTTGAAATGCTGGGTGATTACCTCATTTACAGACTTCCAAATGGTATGCATAGATATTCAAACTGCTACAAAAAAAACTTGCTTGGCTCAATGAAATGATTTGAATCCATGAATATGTATCTGGTTAAATACACATCAGACTACTAAATTTGAAACTTTACTCGATTCAAATAATTAAAGACTCGATTGTGGGACTATGGATCTTTGAGCCATCCGATCGTCAGCGCTTAGCAGTATATCTTTCAGAGTAGGCTTTTTGGCACCGAGTTGCTTTTAATAGATGCTAATCTAATACACGGTTTTGCTTGATACTTAGACTAGCTCAGCAGGGCCCTCCTCGCAGACCATACTCACAGGAGCCGCCTCAATACCCAATAGTCAGCCATCCGCAGTTGCCGCCCGAGTACAACCCATACCCAATTGAGCAATTTGGAAATGCTCCGTATCAGCAACATCAGTCACCCCAAGATGTATTAAATGGAGCCATCCAGCTACAGTCTAGAGTGAGCCCAAAACCACATCATTTGCAGCAGTTGAATCAAAAATCGCATTTGCATAGTCATCAGCCGGTTCAATTAATCAACATGATAGACATTTGGAACGGAATTGATCATATGGGTCCAGTTTCTTCCAGAGAAATAATGGATGAAACTGAATTCTACGCAAGAGTGCTGTCGTTGGTCAGAGTACGATTAATTATCTTTATATTTTGAATTACAAAAATTGCCTTTTTGTACATGCTCAAACCACCAAGCTTTCATCTAACTGGAATACACTATTGTAACCCAACCCTTTTATTCAATAATATAGGATCCGTTTTTTGCAAAAGCTTTATATAATAGCTACCAAATGGCAAAACTCCAGTCGTCGTAATCTGTCATTCAAAACTACCTGTACTCTTTCAATTGTGAAAACAGTCGTATTGTGATCATTTCAAACAGTTTTATTACCAGAATGACGCATTTTTATTCCACAGCTGCAACTATTGCTTATTTTATTTTGACACAATACCTATTTTAACACAAGTTGGCTTTTACATGGATACCAAGTATAAACCATCGAGTTATACAAATGGAACGATAATCCCAGTTATCAAAGAAAAATCACAGGGCCAAGCTTTTAATAAATAGTTGAATCAAAACTTGATCTTATGGGTTTATGTCACTGTTAGCATGGTTGGGATTTTGTTGACTTTTATGGATGTAGCAAACTAGATGCAAATCCATATTTGAAGTTTTGTATTTTTTAGGTGGATTGCGTTGATTTTGACTGGACAAAAGCAATCTGATTGCCTTGAAAAACAATACTGAAAAATACAGTATTTGGTGGAAAAGAGTGTAGATTAAGTTCACCAATGTCGCTCTGTTTGAACAACACGATCTCCATGCACAGATTGGGAATACGAAATTTGACATTAAAATAACTGAAATTACACTTTATCACGTGATTCATGTGGCAAAACGCGTCGCGTGGTTGACTAAAACATCCACAATCTGCGCCACGGTTCCATCCATGAAATTGAACTTGGCATTCAACTAGCTGCAACATTCTAGGGTTAAAGAGAGATAAACTCCACGATCCAACTGATAAAGTTATAGTTGTGCTTATTTAAATTCAACTTTTGCTACCCTGTTTTCTCATACTTTTAGCATTTCAATCCACTAATTTCGCCCAACTCCAGGCAATCCTATTTGCAAAACTCTTGACATCATGCGATCTCTGACTAAAAGAACAAGTATGGAATCCCAAGAAATTTATAGCGGATCACAAGATGTTTTGGACGAGCAAAACCCATCACTGCAAACTCATAGTAGCACAGTTTTGGCTAGTCTAAAAGGAAACTTGCCTCGATCAAAAACCACCAATAATGTCAAATTTGCGGCAGTCAACAAAACCAGCACTGCTCATTTGCATGACCCAAAGTCTTCATCGTTTGTGACTTGCTCTGATTTGGAAATGCAAAAAACTCAGCTTCGACATCGCTCAAACCTTTTAAATCGGCCTGGCTCTAAATTGGACCTGACTGGACCTCTTGAATCAAGGAATACTATGCAAATGAATAGCTCTCAAAGTATAACACCTTTAAAACCCATAGCCCCAATCACCAGAAATGCCACTGATGAAGATCTAGACAATCGCAACAAAGCAGCAAAAGAAATTGAAAAAGTATTGAAAAAAGCCCAACGAAAAATCGATGCTCGCCTCGACAAAGCCGAAGACAATTTATTCAAAACTAACCAAAGTCTATACAAGGCAAAATCATCGCAAAATACTGGATCAACATTTTCAATTTTTGAAGATGATGGATTCATTATGAAATCAGAGGTTGAGCCCGAAACTAATAATGATATCATGGCATTGTCAGCTTCGCATATATTAGAGCCAATTCGTCTTCCTCCTATTGGAAGTACCACTACTTTGGCAAAAAAGCGATACCAAAACACTCTTCAGAGTGCAAAATCAAATCATGTAGGTCGCTGTTGGTAGTTTTATTGTTTTCTTAATATTTATGCATACACGGTGATTCTATCAATCAGGAAACACAGTGCTTTGTAATGGTTGAACAATCTTGTGCACTTGATTTTTATTATTCAATCTCAATATCTTTAAACAACTCAATCACCATCAATATTTTAGCTGTATCGTTGCGTTGCTAACATTCAATCTTCGTGTTTGTCTAAACCACGCATCTCAACATTCTGGTCAATACTACTGTAATTTTATAAATCTTATTGAATCATAATCAATTATCCATACTGCGTGATGCATGTCAAAGTTTGATGTATCCAAAAAGGTAGCGTATGATGGGTTGATAATCCCATGACAACTTGCTCATAGTTGCTGAAAATAATATGGCCAAGTCTGCCAAGTGTTCAAAATACATTCTGGTGTATTTATACTTGATGATATGCTACACCCTCTTGATTGATGCATTGATAATCATGTTATATAGGATGCCACAAGTCGTCTTACGGATCCCTCTCAATATCCTCCAGCATACAAAGCCAAATTAGAGGTGGTCCGAAAGCATAGTGAGATGAACAAACTTTTCAAATCCATGGATAAGTTGTCAACTTCCCGCTCTTCATCTTTGAATTTGAGTATGGTAAGACACTTGCATTTTAAATTGTCATACACATTTGTTCAAAATTACACAGTTTAGCTAATAGTCATTGTAATTTAATGTGAAATATATATAGAGAGATGCAGATATGATAAAGCGATTAGCTGATCCAATGTAGGAATATCTGATGTTTGGCTTTATAACTGACCTACAGCATTCTCAATCTGCAGATATATCCATTTTTTAGTAAATCAAAATCACGATCATCATTGGATCGGATAGATTTTTCAGGTGACTCTTGCAAAACGCAATGCCCAGTGCATATCGTACATGAATCCATTTTAAACAGCCTTTCACTTTGAAATAGGATACCCAGCCGACTTTCAACCAGTAAGCGAAGCAGAAAAAGAAAGACTACGCTTAAAAACATATACGCGAGGTGGCAGCCATATCGATGTGAGTCATTCAGATTGTAACCTATGGCTTTAAACCATTCATGTTTGCTCTTGTCACATGAATCCAGACATAATTAACTTTGTGTCCAAGTAGTTTTTCTCAAAGACGACTTCTCCCAACTCTAGCAAATCTGGAAGTCGTAGAGCATCCATAGCGAACCAACCCAAAACAAACCCAGGTAGCGATGCGATACCAACACATCCAGTTGAAGTAGAGATTCTCAAACCAAAAAAATCATCCATGTCTGGATTCGTGGAGGATATGGGTCCACCAAGGCCACCGTATGAGCAGCCTCTTAAATTCAAATCATAATCAAAGTATTACTCTAATCCAACGTCAACTTTTGATTTTATACCGGAAATAACTAAATAAATGCTGCAACCAAGGATATTATCCAACTCACTTTCATTTAGCCATGTCTTCAGTCATAAGCACATACTCTCGTGTGCTAAAGCCAAATTTGATCACGTCCAATGGTTTTAGCTCGTAGTACCGAGATGGTGGTATTTTATTTCCACCTACAAATGTTCCATTGGCAGAGTTCAAATCTATAATGTAAAGCCTGTCAGAAATTAGGTAAGTAGTTGTTTTTTCAAATACTAACTCAACCAATCAGAAACTACATATAACATACACTGTAGATTTTGTAATCTGGCCAATTTCGTCAGTAGAAACAATCTGTCGAAATTGTAAAACGGCATGTTGCTTAGAGCATGATGGATGATCAATTGGAATGTCTGCAACAAGTCGCTCTCTGCCCAGTAAAAAGGCGCTTTGCTGATATATATGCAACATATCTAATCGAAACAATAAAATATGAGTTCAAGTAAAACCAATGTACTTTAAAATTTCAACTAGACGAACCAACTTGTTCTTTTCCTTTAAAGACGTATAGTCTATACTTTTCCGTAGGTTTTCTTGCCTCGGGGGGTTCGCTGTATTTAAAAAGTACATGAGAACTCATACTGTGAATACCAAGCTTGAAATACTTGACTGGATTCAGAATATTGAAATCACCTATACTTTAAAACGACTCCTTTATATGAATTAACATCAGCAACCAACGCTCCAGATACTGAAAAATTAGGTGCATCTTTTGGAGCTGATACTGGTTTGGTATTAGATGTGTCTTCATGATTAGCGTGCTGAGATCTGTTGGTAGATTACAAAGTACATGTTAGGATAATGTTGGTTTCAAATGTCCTATATCTATCCATGCCAGCTTGGTGGTCTAGTATTAGACATGTGGATGCACTACATACCCAAATTGATGGTCTTTATTTCTAGTACTGTCCCGTTTGCTTTCACGAACTGTCCAGTTTGGCCATGGAAAACAGATATAAAACCATATTAGACAAATCCAGTACTACCAAGCTGTTGTTGGCAGCTGCCTGTCAACACTGCATCATTGTTGAAATCTATCAATCTTACCAGAAGTTGATTGTCTAGGTGACCTGGAACGACGACGAGTAGGACTTGCATTGCTGTTCCGTCTATGTGGACTTGCATTTGTTCTATCTCTTCTAGAATATTCATTCTTTGTTGATGAACGAGACCGACTGCCTTGATCCGTTGTGTGCTGAGCTGCTGATTTCCTGTCTGGCATTCTGTTCAGTATTGGTTAAAGATGAACAAAAGGAATGAAAATGCAATATTTATATTTCAAATCAATTTTGTTTTGAAAGTATTCTGATGGTATGAGACTGCTGTAGATTAGCATAGACTTTACAAGTGAAACGTTAAAGAATCGAGGATCAGCAAACTGACTGCACCAACAAGTCAGATTGTCATTGAAATGCAAAAGGCACGATCCATGGACGTTCTTGCCATTCAAATCAACAATCTACCGAGATTTGCAAAACAGCGTCAAGAGTGATAATTGCTGACAATTTATTGTTTATCTATTCATTCATACTCTTTATCGATGGCTGTAAAGACGAGCAATTCATATTTCAGTCACATATATCTTCATGAATTTAATATTCATTGATTTACTCTTCGTAACAAGGCAGTTCACACGACTGCTCTTCACCATTAATGAGATGAACATTAGAGCATCGATAATCAGACAGCAACATTTGCAAATCCTCCCGAGTCAATGGCTATGCAGTTACAAGTTAGTTGCAGTGCTGACCAAAAAGTAAAGGCACGCAGTTTATATCATTTACCCTTGTGTCTTGATTGTCAAGTTGCTCCAGTTGGTCATCAATCTGCTTTAAACGATTTAAATCTGAAAAAACGGATATGCTCGAGGTTGGAAGCTTTGTATCGCGCAGAATCGTTTCTAAATCTATAATTAGGTGCAGCAATCTGTAAGCAGTCTTTGAGCTATATTCACAATTGGCATGCATAGGCTAATGTTGTTTTGTACCTTTTGAAGTTTTTGAAATATCTGAAAAAACAGCGGATTGAGCTCCACTTCTAAGCCAATTCCTTGTCATTGGTGTATGGTGTCCAGGCGTTGTCGATGTAGACCACACCAATGATCGTTCTTCCCATTGATCCTGTGGAACAAAATCACATAGTTGACTTGAAAATAACCGTTTAACCATTAGGCTTTGACCAATGAATAAATGAATACAGCTTAAATGCACAGCTTACTTGTCTATTCTTTGAAGCAATGTCAGTTCATTTCCTTCAGGAAGCAAACTGGATTGCAATGTATTTAGCTGGCTTACAACTGATGCAATCTATGCACACCCAACAGATAAGTGAGCTACAAATTCTTCAGTTCTAAATCACAAGGTATTATATTGCATACCACTTGCTGTTTTGAAACAGTATGTGATGAAGCTGGTTTGTCTGGCTCATCGTCGTTGTTTGCAATCAACCGATTAACGCGATCAATCTCCTCATCTGTCATGGCACTATAATATCTAGCATCCGGTCCTAGCTAAAACCAAATCATGTTAGATGGCTTGCCATTTTTAAAGCAATATCTTGATGCATCCACTTGCAATTATATTGCGAGAAATAAAATCCCCTTGTTGATAACTTTTTAATTTTCCACTTTCGGCATTAGAAATGGCTATTGGATCTGGAATAAAAACCGCATTGTTATGTTTAGTTGAACATATATAGTTTGCAGATTTGAGTGGATCAAAAAGGTTTTAACATAAACTTTACTTTGCTTTCGTTTTTGTCCCAGACTCTCTCTACCAACTTTGGAACGCATAGAAAGCTTGGGCTCGGTTATAAATATATCTTTGTCCATTGAATGCACGCTTCGAAGTTCAAAATCGTCATCATCATCAGAAAGTGTATTATGGTAGGAAATAGATCCAGGCGTTCCAACTGTATTGGGTGTACCAGATACACTATCTCTAATCAATCTTTCCTTTTTGAGCGTCCGTGCTGTCTAGGTAGACCAGGTGAACGAACAAGTATATACATTTAGTCGCGAAATCAAGAATCAAGCAACCAAATACCACCTACAGCTAGTTTTTCGACAAGAACAACATCCAGCTCTTTGATCTTGATAAATCCTTGTTGGATTTTGTAATTTAACTTTCGGTCTGCTTCTGTTGCCTCTACATTCTTTTAACGAGTTAAAATGCATATCATGAGTTACTGCAAATCCTTTTTTGTATTCGATTCAACATCCGATTCAAATTGTAATGTGCAACTCACCTCTGAGTTGGGCAAAGCCAAAGCATGGTCCAGTTCAAACGAAATCAAGGATGTGTTGTGAGTATTGATGGCATTTTTAAGGTTCTCCAATTTTTCTTGAGCTTCGGGCTATATTTGATGAAATCGCAACAAGATTAAAACTCAGTATTGTATCGCAAAACATCTGCCTAGATCAAATACCTGAGTTGAACAAAGTTGATCTTGTCTTGATAAGATATTCCCAACAAATTCTTTTATTGTGCTAGTATGGGTCTATAATTCAAATCAAAATCGCAAACCATTATTCGTTCAGTGCCAAGAGTATAGCATATCATGCCAATCTATACATTGCATCATCAAACCTACACTTTGGGCAAGTGGCGATGGAATCTTCAACTCTTCAGCTTTCAATGAGATGCCTACTTTAGATTGACCATCAGTACAGCGAATCTGCTCAGCATCCTGTGTCAATTTGACACCTTCTGGACCAACACGCTGAATAGTGGGCAGGTATATACTATAATAATCTAAAAATTGATGATTAGCCATGCCAGTATCAGTTACACGATACAACACTATGGTTTAGTCCAGATGTATCTCGAGTAGATACATTTAAACAATAGAATATAATGAACGCAGCATACCTTGATCCTCTGATGGTAATGGAGTTAAACCTCCTCCATCTGCCAAAACACGCTTACCACTGCTGGATCTGACATTCTATTTAAAGTTTAGCTACTAAATCCTGCCATTTCTAATCGATGAAATGATATTGAGACTCGAAATGTATTTTATCTTGTAGGTATTGTAAACCAACCTTTACTGGCGCCTTTATACCAACTTTTTCTTGTTGAACCATCATATACTATAATAAAACAGCTATAAACTCGTGAATTCAACACTCGCGATTAAACAATTACAGTCGTATTCACACAAGATATAGCACTATTTGTCTTGCAGTGATTGCTGTTTGATGTTGTAATTACACGCCATACAAGACCATTCTTTAAAGTGGTTTATAGCAATGCTCAAGGATGGACGATATATACTCATGCCTTGCAACATTGCAGTTTGTTGAGTGGCTAGAAACCATGTTTAATCAGTCAATCTGCAATGTTTCAGAGTCCAAAAAATGAGTACTATCCAGTAAATTGATGCCAATCGCTTCATGAGATTTCTGACCAAATATCTGGCCTTGCATCATTTCAATATGAATACAAGCTCAATAGATTAATCTATTTCAAAGTTAAAATTAAATGAATCTTGAACTAAACAACAGTATATTTTTAATTGAAAATTTGAGAATTCATGGCATATTGTTTTGGCCAAAACCCATATGAAATTGTACAGTATTGAATCTAGGTGTAATAACAACGCCAGTATATCTTTGCCAAACAAAAATATATATCAGCACCAGTCCTTTCATGTCTTTTGTAAATTTGAAGTACAAACTTGGCTTGCCATTTTTTCGTCTGGATTCTCTCGAGTATTTTGCCAGACAAGACAAAGCCAGTAAGATTAATTTCTTTGGTAGCTCACGCCCTTGAAAAACGTTCATCTCAATGTTTAATTCAGCATTTAATTTGATCATCTTGTATGTTGATTTGACCGAATGCATCACCCAGCAAATTAAAAGGCGTATTTCTAATATTTTCACCAGTAGTATCAACCAAAGACCGCGATATCAGTCCCAGCTTGTTTGTCATGCCAGGAAATTTGGAAGCATTCTTCCAAGTTGATTGAATTTTCTAAATCCAAAATTTCATGTCAACTTTGCATATTAGACTGTATAAATCCCAGTATTACAAACAGTAGCATTTTAACCAATCAAGTGCATGATATTATAGCACAAAAAGCTTACCAAAGTCCATGATAGTCCCATTTGGGAATTGATGTAGGGAATACAATAGGTTCCTGATCTTTCATCACATCTCCATGATATGCACATAGCACCCAAGTTATGCTTTTTATCATCTACAGAAAATACGAGTTTAATATTTCCACATATCAGCTATAACAAGCGTATCCAACCTACTCAAAACTGCTGGATTATATTCAATTGCAGTTACATCGCTCAACGCTAATCCCCATTGAAATCGAAGTTGTTTGAGGGTTGAGTTTTTTGATGGCATTACATCTGCTCCAATAATCAGATCAGAGTAAACCAACAGCACTCGATTTACCATCCTAAATTCGTTGGCTACTTTTTCAATAGTCTGAGTGTTTTCATCAAGTGAAATTGAATAGAGTAGAGATCGCTTGTTTTGCTCAAGTGACTATTACATTGTATGAAATTTCAATATTTAATCGATATTTTGAAACACCTGTGGTCACCAATTGTAAAATTGTTTTACCTGTGGAAAATCGGACAAAATGAATTCCATATTTTCTATACTGTTCCCATCAATCTGCAACACTAGTTGATGGAGTTGATCACATGCTTTCTGTATAAGGTGCCTATCAGGGTGATGAGTTGACGTGTTTTTAATAAGCTCCTAAACAGTCCAAATTACAAAATCAATTGGTTTATAAACTGCCCATCAGTTTACATTTAAATAAAAATACTAACTTTGAGTAGTAGAACGTATCGTGGAATGTGTTGTACAGGTGTGATTAGAAGATCCAAAAGTTCATGATGACTATTTGACTTTAAACTCTGTAAAATATTATAAGACAACTTTGTCGCTAAGGCATACTTGTGAATAAATACTAGACTTACAGATCCATTACCAAGCAGCCCATAGTATTTTAAAACCTCAGAGTACTGCTCAATATACGCTTTGTATGACATCAAATGGGGCACCTGTGACAATAAATAGGTATACAGTTAGTGGTTTGTTAGTTATACTATAAAAAGTTTAAAACAGTGCATAGCAGCATTGTTACCATTCTCAAAAATACATCTCCGACTGTCTGATTGACATGCCAAACATCCAGTCGTTTGAGTATTTTATACAATATTGTGGCTGTTACATTGGCGATTGCTTCAATGGAATGCAAGATACTGCAAAATCTAGTTCTGGATAGTGCTCCTTTTTGACCCGATTTTAGAATTTCTTTAATTGGAAGCGCAGACTAGTCAAAAAAGTAAGTATTTTGAGTATGCAGACAGGGTCAAAAAATGTATGAACAGTAACGTACTTTGATCAAAATAAAAAGATGTTGTAGGTATGATGCCTCATTTTCAACAAGCTCTCCACAAACAAAAAGTCTGTTTCTATGTTTATAGAACTGTTTACGGTTTTTGTATCCTCGCCAGTGTGATTGGATAATTGTAGCAGTAATATGTCTATTTTTAAATCTACGCAAAATGGCCGGGTACACGGAATAAATTTGAATGGGGCGACTCAACAAACTGCAATATACTTTATGTGCACTCAGCGCATTCTCAATACTGTCCCATGGAAGATCTCGATAGTTGAAGATATTGCAATTTTTAAAAAATTGGCCAGTTTGGTTGTTTTGGCTTGCTAGCTGAATGGAAAGTTTGTCTGACCTAGATAAATCTAATTTGTTGATCGAGTCTGAAGTGGTTGTGGAGTACGGAATCGTAGGAAGCGGACGACCAGGTTTGAATGATTGCATCTTTTTTTGTGAATCTGTAGCTTGGGTAAAAGAGGCAGACAATAAAGTATTGTCAAATAAACCAATGGGTTCATGCTTCAACACACAATCACACTGAGGTTTCAAAAGTGCTGCTATTTTTGCATTGGCCGCTACATTTTCCTTTTGGAGTGTTTGAATATTTGAATCTAGATTCTTGCATTTCTGCTCCATTTTCGATATACACGATACCAAATCACAATCAAACGATTTTTGAGCTTTATCCATTTCCTTGTGTAAAAAAGCGATTTTTTCTTGCAGTTCCCGAGTTTGTAAATCAAGAGTAGCTTTTTCATGTGTAAGTTGCTCAAGTTTCTGCTTTGTAGCAGCCTTTTCATTTGAAAGTTCACGAGAAGCTTGTTCTGCTGCAACTTTTTCATTCATCAATTCCTGAATTTTTTGATTGGCAATTGCAGCTTCTTTTTTGAATTGCTCATTTTCGATTTTTAAAGCTGAATTGGCATCGTTCGTTTTTTTAATCGTAATATCGAGCTGTTTGTATCTAGCATTGACATCGTTGGCATATTCGGTAGCATGCTTAGTGGCTACAAGTAGTTCCTTTCCCTTGCTCTTATGATGTTTAGACTTTTCTAAAACTTCTGAACATCGATCACGTAGTTTGACATTTTGGTTGTAGATCCGCTGCATCAATGCTGATTTTTCCTGCACCTCTATTTTGGCCACTTGCAAGTCCTGTGAAATACGCTGTGTTGTTTCTGCAGAAAAACTTGATTCTATGTGATAATGGGAAAGCAGTTTGGTAATGTGCAGCATTGCGTTGTAGGCAAGATCGTATAAATCTTTTCTTTGAGATGCATCAAATGGTTGAGAAGAAAGCTCAATAATAGATTGCAAACAATAAAGTGCAGAGTTGATGCATGATATTACGTTTTCACTAGAGTCGTTCATACCAGGCAAAGTAGATTCTGGAGAAGTATGCATTTGATTGATACTTTGTAATAAGTCGGGTGTAATGATTTCTGACAAGTATTGCTGTGCAGTTAGACTGGTATGATTATCCAATTGGGATAAGCTTTCCAGATTATTGGCCTGCATATAGTTTGAGTTTCCTGGTCCTATCACGCCATAAGACTGAATGCTGGACATGCCTGACATCATGGCATGATTTAGGCTTTCATTACAGCTGTATTGAGGTATGATTGCAACAGGATCGTTTGAATAGGGTTCTGATTCAGCATTACACGACTCGTTAGCTATATATGCAGACATGGTATCAAGCCCATGGCTGGAGATATCACTGCTGCACAGAATTTGAAACTGAGATATGTTGGTTATAAGCATCTGCAGTACCGAATTAATATGTTGGTATATTTCAACAGATTCCACATCAACCCTAGATTGTTTTTTAGGCAGTGACGATTTATCATGATTGATTAAAGGTGGATTGTTGGGAATTGAGCGTATTAGTTGAACTAGTTCTTGATGGTGCTGCCTAACCTGTTCCATGCATACTTTCCAGCTTGAATGACTGTCAGTTAGACTTGGTAATGCTTGCAAGGCTTGATCGATATGCTCCTTGACTGCTGATAGCAAATCTGCAATGTTCAAACCAAGTTGCTGGAGCGTTTGGTAGTGAAAGCTATTTGACGAGGTTCTTAAATATTGTTCATTTTGAGCAAGCAAATTGATGCAATCAGTGGTTGCCAAGTTATAGTACATGTGTATGATAGCTGCTGGTGACAAATCTGTACGCGAGTGGGATGGTGTTGGATGGTGAACCATGGCTTCAGTAATGTGATGAATACAAAAAGTAAGTTGGCTGAATTAAAAAAAGAATGTAGTTTCAGAGTTTAATATAGGAAATATGTTGGTAAATGGCAACTCCGACTCGAGGCAAATCTGACATTCTAATTGATGGTTTCGAATGTCGGAGAAATAACCAAAAGCTCCGACTCGATAAGATTGCATTGACTTTGAAAGCTATGATGGTTTACAGCTACTAATAATCTGTTTGAAAATAAAAGCGAATACAACGACTTTGTTTAGCAATGCTTGATCGCAATGCTTGATCCCAATGCAGCACCTTGGCTAGAGAATCGCTCGACAATTCACTGCTGGATTTCAACGAAATCTTTATTTCAAACAAGTCACTGAGCAATCATTACAGCCATGTTTCCAAGTGAGAGGTTTAGAAACATTCGGTGTCCATATGGTGAAGAGTTATGTCCTCGAAAGTATCATTGCTTTTTTTCTCATAGGCCAGATACATCTGCAAATGCTAGACTGCCACACATAAAAGTGGTCAACGAAGCATTTCCGAATGAAGATGGATCTCCAAAGACAGTCAAAAAACGACCAAGACAGGCAGTACTGGATCCAGTAGCTTCAAAACGACCTGCTGTTGATCCGGATTCTAACAAGCCAACAATCACTGCAGCGACTAGTCATGTTCCTACAACAGGTATCAAAATATCTTGCATGCAATTCATGCTATTGTATGTTAAATCTGTTTATATTACTACTGGCTTGCGAACACAAAGCAACGATCAGGAATAGAACTGCATCCACAAAGTCTTATTTGGGCAGCCAATCGTCTGCGTTGTTGGCACCAGTAAGTCGACTTTTTACTGGCTAAATCTTTGTATGAAGATATCTTGATAATTGTGTTTATAGAAACCGTGCGACTCGGCAGTCATGAATTCAACACAATCTCAAGTTGTGACTGTAAATAAATCAGCAAATACTTTGGCTGCTGTCTGTCCTACTTCAAAAACCTTGTCTAGATACGAGATTGCTTCACCACACTCAAAGTCCTTGCCAGATTCTTCAAATGCTGCTACATCTTTAGTGATGCAGCAACATTTGGGTTCTAGAAGCCCTGCCAAACCAGAAATCTCACCGGCAAGTATTCATCAAAATCATCTCGACTGTTTTTTGATGTTAATATTCATTCGATATACATGCTTAACAGATGCCTGGAGCAGTATCGGGAATACCAAAAATCCAACCAAGCTTGCATTCTAAAGTCAAAAAAGATGTTCGACAGAAAATCCTCACAAGTTTCTATAACCAATTTCTGCGTATTTATAAACCCATATTGAATCAATTGCCATCAATTGCGCACGATGATGCGATAAAGTAGGTTATTTCTAGTCATTTTTGCTCGAATTTAGATCTGCGCATTAGATCTCTTGTTTGGTATAAGAGCTAATAATATGTTCATGATGGATAGGCAAGAATCCATATTGCATAATTCCAGTAAAGCAATGACTTATACTATGATGGCTGCAACTGTCTTGAGACAGCTGATAAAGCGTCCTGTGTCTACAGGTGTTCTTGATATTGGGATATCTGGCGAATGGGTTGAGCCACAAGCCATTGATTCCTTGTCTAAAGTGAATGTAGATTTACTCGGGCCATTTATTCACACACTCGAAGAATTGGAAACGCTCGGATACCCACTTGGGCCATTTGATCAACCAGATAGCAAACCAGTCATAGAAGCAAAAGATGAATCAGCTATTAGTCATGAGAAACATCAGACTATAGACAAGACTGTGGCAACCGACAATTTAGTAGTAGATGCAGAACCATTGCTCAAAAGCAATAGTGCTTGTAAATTAGTCAAGTATGATTGCGATCGATGTGGCAATCCTTTCGTTCTCAAATATCCTTTGGAAGAATATGACAAAACAGCGTGCATGTATCATTATGGCCGATGGCGAATGGTTTTTGTAGATGGTGTGTTTTTAAAGATGCAAAACTATATTACAATTTGAATGTTTAGATGACATACTGATATGTTTTTTTGGCTGACAATGCACGATACTGTAATATTGTAGCCAAAAAAGAACGATTGATATCATGTTGCTCCACTCCAGTAGGAACTCCAGGATGCACAATGGGACCACACGTATTCAAGGAAGAATCAAATGCACAGTTGAATGAGCGAGTAAGCCGAGTTCATGATGGCTAGTTGCAGTACATTTATCAAATTATATTGTAGCATTTGAGCTTAATTTTGACCATTGTTTAATTTTAGATCCCGTTTATTGAATTGCCTTCAAATACCTTGAATGCTCTACCAGTTGTTGCACTTGACTGTGAAATGGTAAACATGCCACGAGTTTGACAGTTTAGGCGAGCTCTTACGTTTAACTGACGGGATCTTTTTATTTTTATTCAATGCTTAGTCGTATACAACAGGTGGTATGGAGCTAACCAGAGTAACTGTAGTAGATTGGAATGGCAATCGAGTGTTTGATGAGCTGTGTATACCTTGCAATCCAATTCTCGATCTGAATACACGATGGTCGGGTATAACTTCGTTGGATAGTGCAAAGTATAATTTGAAAGACATTCAACAGCAGCTAGGAAAGCTGATTAGCACAAGCACAATCATTATTGGTCATGGCTTGGAGAATGATCTGCGTGCACTTCGAGTAAGCTTATTATTCCCACAGCCAGACTTGAATGTTGCATGCATATAGACGAATGCAGCATATAAGCAGTCATAATCTAATTACACTATTTTTAATAGATTAAGCACACACAAGTCATTGATACTGTAAAAGTGTTTCCTCATCCAAACGGACTTCCATACCGTCAAGCGCTGCGAACATTGGCATCCAAAATACTTGGTCGGTTTGTACAAACAGGAGAAAACGGACATGACTCTATGGAGGATGCAATGACATGCATCGATCTTCTCAAAACCAAACTGAAATAAAAACTAATATTTTTGCAACCAAATACCGACTCGTCATGATGCCAGTGAATGAATTGAATGAACTGAATGCGAAGAATTTGAGCATTTGATTTCTTCTTTGGACCAATAACAGTTGACTGCAGTTCTGGTGTGCCTGACAAACAAGTCAACTGCTTGCCATTCTCAACACCACATTATCTGGATAACACAGTTGCATATACACCATGGATGACTTTCAAGTGATTGAATCCAATCCTTTCTTTGAAGCAACTGTTCAGCTGGTTCGACCAACAGACAGTGGAACCGATATCTCAGTCCTGTTGTCAGTGTCGGTGAGTACACATTTAGTCTAGAGTAAACCCAATGGATTTAGCTTCAAATAGTCTGTATCTACAATTCATTCAAGGGTAGTGAGCATGTCGGAATGACTCGCTTGCTCTTGAATATCTACTTGACTTCCTGTCCTGGCTTCGGGTTCAATCCCAAAATTACTCGAGTTGTAGCATTTCACTGCCGAATTATCAGTCGGAATCTATCCTGACAATAATAACCTTTTTTTATTATTTCTTTGGCAAATGTAAAGACTAATCTGCCCCAGTACGCTCGCAAAAACTATTCACTTACCCGAACACTCTCCGAGTTTGACCGTCTACATTTGCATCTCATGAATACTAGTCCAGAATATATTGGTCCAGCAGCTCCTCCAAAATCAGCTAATCTAGAACTTGTTCGTACTGCATTAGAACGTTTCTTGCTTCGTCTTTCTCGACATGAGCAGCTTAGAATTGCTGATGGTACTCGTTTATTTATTGAAAGCGAGTTTATTGTAAGATTTGGATTGCAAATCTATTTAATTATGCACATTTATTGTGGTTGGATCCTATGTACCAATCCATCATAAATTTGCTAAAAGCAATCAGATGCGCTATATACTAATCTAATCCCTGTTCACTCTAGTTTGCTCCAGCACAATCTCCTCCGGTAGTACGACGAGTAAAAGAACAAAAATCTCTTTTTTCATTTGCATTGGCAACAGAAGCAAAAGAAATCGATGTTTATTTTGAAAATGCCAAACAGGAAATTCAAGCCTGTGAAGCATATTTTTCTGCTATTGGCCGTATCAATGAAAAGATTGCTATAGTTTTGTCAGGTAATAGCATGTGGTTTGTATTTACAGTTGACGAATCTTGCAATGGGCATGTCAAAAGCTCGATTATTTAAAGTGTTGTGCTGACCAAATTGGGTTCTATTATTGGTAGATATTGGTCGATCCTCTGTGGATGTATCATATAAATTAGCAACTGTAGGAATAGACCAAATTCCTGTAGCTGCTGTGTAAGTTGTTTTCAAATCTGAATACTATGTTTGGATTGCATTTTTATTCATTTTTAATATGTCGGGCTGAATACACATACAAATCTATCCAGTCCGTTCCAAAAAACTGCAAAATGTTTTGCCGTCGAGGATGAAGTTCTTGCAAATGAGGTATATTATTTGATTTCAAGTGAATTATTTTAAAATACTCATTCAGCTTCATATGCTCCAGATCAACTATCGCCAAAATGTGCTGAATGACCAGTGTTTGCTTTTGCTTCGTAGTAATATGGGAGCACAGGTGATGTATACTGCCTGATGGTTGAATATATATTGAAATCGACTTTTGGAGCGTAGACATAAAACTGACTTGTTGCATTTTGACAGACTTCTCTTAATCATCGTAGCAGCGCACTGGTATCATATGAAGCAAGCTGCAAAAATACACAAAAGAAAATGCAAGCGATGGAGCGACTTCGCACATCTAGTAGTATTCGACAAGACAAAGTTGATGCAGCTTTGGATGAACTGGCAGATGTAAGCATATTGTTTTATTAGTATGGTGGTTGCCATGAACGATCTATAAAACTGTGCTCATATTTTTTGTCTAGGCAAAACGGACTGAATCAGATTGCCGTGATACATTTAAACGACTAAGCGACTCATTGAGAAAAGAGTATACTCGCCACATATCTGAGCGCGCGACAGATCTGTCTTCTATTTTAGATGATTATGTTCAGCACCAACTTGATTTCAGCAAGCAATTGCTTACGTATTGGAAAACAGTGTGATTTATAATAGGGTTTGGAGAAGCAAACGTATAAATAAACCAAACATTCTGGCTCAAGAATATACTCGATATATATTTCCACTATAAGCAAAAGTAAAGCACCAGCGATCAACCAGCAAATCCAAGTGAGAACAGACAACACATGGCAGAGTAACACATCTTTAACAAAAGCCAACGTATTGCAGATCCATATAACCGCTTTAGCTCATTGCGCAAGACACTCACGTCTGGTTAGGGTTGCACTCGATCAACTCTTGATCCACAACCGCACGCACATGAGCTTTAAACGTTCCTGGCACATCATCAAATATCACAAAATGTGCTTTTCCGCCTACACGAAGAACCACACGATCCAAAAACCCATACATGCGAGCAATATTCCACGACACTAACCCAACACTTTCTTGAGCAAATTCAAAATCAGTCAGATTGGCGTTACGATCTGATACAGCCCATCCAGCTTCCCATATTAATCCTCGAACAAAGTTGTCTTCTGAAACAGAAAGACCAACATTGACATTGTTTGCTTTTAGAATGGAGTAGGCTGAAGGGGTACGCGAAGGTTCGAGACATTGTCGAGTAAACCATGAACTTGGTGTACATCGAGCTGGAGCAAATATGACATTTTTTCCTGAGAGTTTATCAGCATGCTATAAAAACAAATAAATAATAAGCATTAAATTTAACAAGGTGATGCAACAATATGTATCTACTCACAACCCAAGCCTCTACTGCTCCAACAAGAATATCTTTATCATCAATCATAGAAACTAGTCTACGAATAGTATGTGCATCACGAACCTATATTTGTATAGCAATCAATACTGGTGCCAAATTCAACCACCAGGTGATTAGCAAAAAATAACTTGAACAATTTACCTTGATGGCAACACTCTTGCTAGAGTGATTGGAATGCTTAAAATTTTCAACTGCCAGTAAATGTCCGGCAATGCTAGACTGAAGCCCCTTTGAACTGATAGTTTGACGCCCAATGGCAAAGTTGTACACATCATAATCAGTTTTTAAAATATCGTCAACTGGATCAGTTCCACCTGTGCGAAAAACGACACTGTCAGAACCAGCTATGCCATCGTATCTAAACTCGGAAATAGACGTTGTTACACCTAATAATACATTTAATAGTCAACTGACAGTTCCATCGTTGAGAATTAAAAAAAAGTGTTTACGGATTCAAAACACACCAGCCATAAATGCAGCATCCAGTTCTTTGGACCATTTACGACCAATTTGTAGTGCTCTTTTTGGAGATTGAATAGAAATGGTATCAGATTTTTCCAAAGATCCAGACGAAGTCAGTGGTTCAGCAGATATTTCCTCAAGTCCTAGATGCACACCTGCAGCAATGAGACCCTAGATACATATCAGTATTGACGAGATAAAAATAAACACGGTAATTAAACATTTGCTATTTCTATATTTAAGCAACATAAATCCAACTTACAGGGGAAATCCAAAACTTATTGAGGTTAACCAAGCTACCTTTGGCAACGCAGTGGCCAATGCAGGTGATGCTACCGTTTTCAATCACTATGCTATCATTTTCTTGAGATGGAGGTGAGCTCGGTGACAAGAGAGCATGCGAGTAGTTTTGAAGTGTGTATGTAGTGTTGACGCCGATAGGAACATTGCATGTCCATGGCTTTGGAGACTTGCTACCTTGAATGGGAAGCGCGTCAGTCCGCTCAACTGGTGTGTCCATGGTTTCAATATAATTGGCATGTTTAAAAGTTTCATAGCCATCTACAAAAACCTTTAGTGGATGAGCTCCAATATCAAGAGGGTTTCTATGTCAAAAGTCATAGTTTATGCAATTGATACGTTAGTAAGGTGTACAACTCCAAGTATTGCAGCTACCATATATATTGCAAGTTACCTATCCCAAAGCACAACATCGGCATCATATCCAGGATAAATGTGTCCAATACGATGCTCTTGGCCTATGAGTTTAGCTGGGATAGATGTAACGGCTTGAAGTGCGAGTGTGTCGGATAGACCATAGTGATGTGCTTTTGCAGCTTCAAAGATAAGATGCTGAGCATTCAAAACAGGATGATCGCTCTTGAATGCCACCTTGACACCTTTTTTAGAAAGAATTTGAGCAGCATGGACCGAAGTAGAGTATGCTTCTTGTTTATACCCCCAATGATCGGCCTGTATAAATGTATTTTTGTAATCAGTCGTATTTCAGATGGATAAACAAGACATGTTTGGTTTGATTGGTAAACCATTTTGCAACTGAAATACTGACTAGCCCAAATATAGATTACAAATAACTTACAAAAATAGCGGCAGCAATATTTTCTTTTGCCAATAGATCGGCCACTTGCCAAGCCTCCAAGGCATGATGAAATGCAGATATTTTGAAATTGAATTCATGCGACAAGCGAACCATCATTTCCAAGTCATATGTCTATTAGGCAAAAAGGTTAATGATGAGATGTAATTTGAATAGCTGGAATTTTAAATTCCTAGATTACCTCGTAGCAATGAACATTCAAAATAACATTTCCACGCAGTAAAGCACTCAAACTCTCCAAATGTAGGCTTGAAGGAAATCGGCTATTTATGGATCTATGTGCTTTGAAGGGACCCAGTTGGTCTTGGGCTACTTGTGCACGCGAGCACCAGTCATCTTGATCATGTACCAGCTGGGTAGCATCAGCAAAAGCCTGACGAAACAAGTAAGCAGAGCCCATTCTAGTAGTAGGATAGATGGGACCATCCGCAGCGCTACTATCTAGATTTTTAGGGTTTTCACCACATGCCATCTTCATCCAACGCCATTTTTTCCCATCGGCCTTGGACATGCCAGCATTAAGAAGCATGTCAGCAGAGCTATTTTTAGCAGACATGTGATGCTTGAACGCAAAGGCTTCACCACCCATTAGATTACGCGATCCAGGAAGGACCAGCGATGTAGTGACACCACCAGAGTTGATGATCTTGATGGCCGTGTCCCACGGGTTGAACCCATCCAAGGAGCGTAGTTGTGGAGTAATACGAGTGGTACTGTCTTCATTGGTATCAGAGTGAGCTTTCAACTCGGGCCAGCTATCAAGACCCATATGACTAGTAACATTTTGAAATGTAATAGTTGGGGTTAGAATATACCCATCAAAATACTAGTGAGATGGGTTTAGCAAAAATAAAATTGATTCAATGTGAAGGTTGGATAGTTGACTGAATCCCAAGCATTCACAGCTGTAGCTGGCAAGACTTGGTGCATGAGAATCAGATTCAAAAATAATACAAGCACGATAAACTTGTGCAATAAAGCCACATAACAGGACGCGGGCCAAAGCAGGCGGTTAAATACCTATGCATATCCACTAGACCGGGTGTAACAAAGCGACCGTTTGCATGAATAGTATTGACATTGTTCAAATTCAGAATGGAAAGCGACCCAACAGTACCGACTTGAGCAACAAGACCATCTTTCAAGAGGATGTCGGTATTGGCTTGTACACTGCCATCACCATTCCAGAGAGTAGCGTTAGAGATGAGAACGTGAACAGGAGCATCTTTTCCAGCCAAATCAATGCGAGGATTACGAGAGCGAGGATGAGGATGAGGATGAGGACGAGCGGAGCTCGTGGGTAAAGATGCTAGAATGTCGGAGCGAATATCATTGCATTTTTGGATGCCTTGGTTGAATGCATCCAAGGTGATTCCATAGATAGGAGAGTCGGCATTTGGTGAATCATTAGAAATTGAAGCAGGAAAAAGAAAAAGAACAGACCAGGCACATACGATAGCAGCACCAGCAAGTAACAGACCACCAACAATACGATTGGTTTGAACAGCGGTGTTTTTAAAGTAGGGGGTTTCATTAGAATGAACAGCACGATAATGGGCAGGAATCAATGAAGGATTTTTTGAATTGGCACTACTGGACATCTTTGTAAATAGAAGCAATGCACGTAGTTGAAGAAGAATGGCTGTAATTACAAATCAAAGCTTTAAATTCCGATAGCCAGAGCGGATTTTGTAATTGATAAACGCGTCTGAGTTGGATTTACAGGATAGCGACCAGACCCCAATTTACTCATAACAGCCACCAAATGATCAACTAAATTCCAACTTCAACTTATTATTGCTCGTAGAATCACTGCTGGCATCAGTTAGTAGTTACCATCACTGCTAGTACTGTTGGTATTACTAAACTCTGCCCTTTATCTGAAGGACTCGTTGCGTATTTCATTGCCATTCTCCTATCTCAACCTGCATTTTATTGATTCTTGGGTCTGTGTTAATAGTCGCTTGGTGGAACTACTCCCATGTTACCTTCTATCATGTCGTCCAATATCCCCATCAAGGCTGCTTATTCTCAGGAAGAAATGACTGCCATTATTGCTGTATGTTTTGTTTCTTGTGCTTTTTAGATCTGGTTTTTTGGTTTTTTGGTGCATATCGGATTGTTTATCTACATTGGATTATTCATTTCACATTGGATTTATGTTTTTAGACTGCCCAGAAATTAAAGCGAGCTGGTGCTAATGAGCACTCTGATCCCGAGTTTGCTAGACTCATTTCCATCTTGAGAATATACAGTGTTCAATCTCAGCAGCAATCCCAGGAGAAATCGGCGGTTTCTAATCAGCCAAAAACTGCTGAATCTACTCAGCCATCGTTTCTACCTGAACAGCTGGATGCTCTTCGCTACCAGATTCAAATGTATAAACTACTTTCCACCAACAAACCTATTCCTGATTCTCTTCAAAAAACTGTTCTTAAATCGGATGATGGTGCTGCTGTCGGTGGTCCTCCACGTAGTACTGCTCCTCCTATGGCCCAGACGATTGTAAATGCGGCTCTTAAACAAGAACTGAATAGTCAAACTACTGCATCTGGACCTCCTACTACTGCATCTCAAGAATCTGCTACGTTTGTTTCTCCTTATACAGTGTATGCTGAGCGAACTTCACTCGCTGATATGCATCAGCGTCTTCTGTTTCCAAGTGGTTTACCTTCTCCCATTGATCATGTTACTCTTAAACTTCAACGTGACAAGTTTCTGCATGCCCGTGTTGACTTTCGTATTCATGAATTGGAATCACTTCCAAGTACTTTGTCAAATGAACATGACGAAATCAAACTTCGTGCTTTGATTGAGCTCAAGTCACTTCGGTTGATTGAGAAGCAACGCCAACTACGCAATGAGATTGCTCAATCTCTTTCAACGGCAACGACCCTGACGACTGCAATCGATCGCAGCTCATTCCGTCGTATGAAAAAGCAATCTTTGCGTGAAGCTCGCCAAACAGAAAAACAAGAACGTGCTCAAAGATTTGAGCGAGACAAAAGAGAGCGCCAAAAACACTTTGATTTTCTCAATTCTATTTTGGCTCATGGTAGAGATTTCCTATTGTTTCATAAGCAGCAGGTTGCCAAACAAAATAAATTGGGCACGCTCGTTCTTCGTTTCCACAACAATTCTGCCAAGGAAGAAGAGCGTCGTTTACAGCGTGTGTCACAGGAGCGTCTAAATGCTTTGAAATCTAACGATGAAGCTGCCTATCTCAAACTTATTGATAAAACAAAAGATACTCGTATTACACTTTTACTCGAGCAGACTAATTCGTTCTTGACTTCTTTGACTAATGCTGTTGAAAAACAAAAAGGAAACGTTGGCGCCGACTTTGACATTCCCATTCAGCCCGATCTGGGCACTCATGAAGCGGAGGCTGATCCGGACGGTACTCGCGACTACTATGCGACTGCACACAAGATCAGAGAAGAAGTCACTGAGCAGCCCTCTATTCTTATTGGTGGAACCCTAAAAGACTATCAGATTAAAGGTCTTCAGTGGATGGTGTCACTCTATAATAACCGTTTGAATGGTATTCTTGCTGACGAGATGGGTCTAGGTAAAACCATCCAAACTTTGTCACTTATCACCTACTTGATCGAACGAAAAAAACAACCGGGTCCATTTCTTGTCATTGTCCCCCTCTCTACAATGACCAACTGGGTGATTGAGTTTGAAAGATGGGCTCCTGCTGTTATCAAGGTGGTTTACAAAGGCTCTCCAATTGAGCGCAAAAACCTTGCCTCTGTTGTCAGGGCAGGCGGATTCAATGTTTTATTGACCACGTTTGAGTACATTATCAATCCTAAAGATCGACCTGTTTTGAGCAAAGTTAAATGGGTTCATATGATCATTGACGAAGGTCATCGTATGAAAAATGCTGAATCGCGCTTATCTACAACACTGGCCCAATACTATTCTGCCCGTTATCGTTTGATTTTGACAGGAACTCCCCTTCAGGTTAGTCTTATTGAATTTGTATTTCATCAAGAGTTTTGATTTTCAAATTGAAATGACGGCTTAGAGTGATGATTACTAGAGTGTATGAATATACCTCTATTTTGCGTGTCATCTGATTACTTTGATCCATCTTTAAGCTGTGATCGGTATATGGAGAGCGTAACGCCATTTCTGTGCGTGCAGGCCAATACTACTTATTGATTGTGCCATGAACTCTGTTTTTGTCATTATCATTTGTGACTGCTTTCCATTCAAGTTTACCCATTTTTATTTCAGCAAGCTTACTTTATATTTGATTTGTTTTAAAGAACAATCTTCCAGAACTGTGGGCTCTACTCAACTTTATTCTTCCCAAAGTGTTCAACTCGGTCAAGTCTTTTGATGAATGGTTCAATTCACCATTTTCCGGAACAACAGGCCAAGACCGTATAGACCTTAACGAAGAAGAACAACTGCTGATTATTCGACGTTTACACAAGGTGCTGCGACCATTCTTACTTCGTCGTCTCAAAAAGGATGTCGAATCCGAACTTCCTGACAAGGTAGAGACGATAGTCAAGTGTCCTATGTCAGCTCTGCAACTTCGCTTATATGAGCAGATTCGCCATCGTCGTTTTGGTGGGGATGGATTTAGCAAGTAAGTGTATTCCATGTATACTTTTTGACAGTTGTGATTGCATATTTCACTTGACAATTGCTAATCAATGCATGACTTTTTATACTTGTATTTTGAAACCTTGTCTATTGAACAGAAAAAAAGTGCTCAACAATCTTATTATGCAGTTTCGCAAGATTTGCAACCATCCGTTTGTGTTTGATCAGGTGGAAGAACTGATCAACCCCTCAAAGGGAACCAACGATACTCTTTTTCGGGTTGCTGGAAAATTTGAGCTGCTTGATCGTATCCTTCCTAAATTCAAAGTATCTGGTCATCGTATTCTCATGTTTTTTCAAATGACACAGGTTATGGATATTATGGAAGATTATCTCAGATGGCGTGGGCATATTTACCTTCGTCTGGATGGACACACCAAGCCTGAAGAGCGAACTGTCATGTTAAAGACTTTTAACCGACCCGATGATCCGCCTTTTATTTTCTTGCTGAGTACTCGTGCAGGCGGTCTTGGTTTGAATTTGCAAACAGCTGATACAGTAATTATTTATGACTCGGATTGGAATCCTCATCAGGATTTGCAGGCTCAGGATCGTGCACATCGTATTGGCCAAAAAAAAGAGGTTCGCATTCTTCGTCTTATCACATCCAAATCTGTCGAGGAAACCATTTTAGCTCGTGCACAATACAAGCTTGATATTGATGGTAAAGTTATTCAGGCCGGTAAATTTGACAACAAAACCTCTGAACGTGAGCGTGAAGAGCTTCTTCGATCTCTTTTTGGCGCAGATGGTGATGATGGAGAAGAGGGTGACAAAGATGGCGAGAATATTGAAAAGGAAGGAGAAATCGAGGACTCGGATTTGAACGAAATTATTGCACGTAATGAAGGCGAGCTGGAACTATTTAATAAAATGGATGTTGAGCGTCGACAGCAGGAAGAGCAAGCGTGGAGAGCTCGAGGAAATACAGGACCCGTGCCTTGTCGTCTTATGCAAGATGCTGAACTACCACAAGAGTTTTTAGAAGATCCAGAACTGCCTGAAGACGGTAAAAACTCTGCCGAGTTGTATTTCGGTCGTGGCGGACGCCAACGCAAAGATGTGATCTACGATGATGGTCTAAATGAAGAGCAATGGCTGAACGCGGTCGATCATGGCGATTTGGAGAGTGTGACACTTAAGAAGCGCAGACGTCGTGAAGCCAAGTTGGCCCGTATGGCAGCCAATAACAATGACTCGACGCCTGGTTCTGAAGCTGGGGATACTCCAGGTGCTGATATTGATAATATGGACGATGAGGTGACTACACCTGTACACATGGCCGATTCTCTTGAGCTGCCCGATTCTGCTCATGAGTCGCGCTTATCTACTTCTGGTCATGCATATAATGGGAAAAAACGTGGACGTAAGCCGAAACATTCTGGACTTAATATGCTTGATGATTTTGATGCCTCGTCTACTGGTATGGGATCTGGATCCGTAGTCGATGACAATAGTGTTGATGGGCAAGGAGGAGCCCGTGGTAAGAAGCGATTTAAAAAGCTGCATAACAAGTTTGGAAAAGACGGTGCGGATTCTGGCAGAAGGGGGCATAGATATTTTGCAGATGTTGATCCTGACGCACCCGATACAGTTGATCCAGCCATGCGTTCTGCTTTGCGCCGTATTTTCATGGCTGCATACAAGGCTGTTGAGGAAGCCGAGGTCGAAATTGAAGGGTATGTTTATAAAGCGACTCGTATCATAAAGTGCTTTTGCTGACTAATTTGAATTTTAGATATACTCGCCGTCGCTGTGAGCTCTATGTGACATTACCAGACCGTGTTAGCTACGCCGACTACTACAAATACATTTCTGCTCCAATTGCCATGGACATGATTTTGCATCGCGCAAAACATACTTTTTATCCCGATCTTCAATCTTTTATTTCCGACTTTCATCTTATGTTTGCCAATGCCATGGCTTACAATATGGAAGGCTCCGAAGTCTGGGAAGATGCGGTTCAGATGAAAAAGGTGTTTGATGATGTCATTTTGCAAATGTGTCCCAATGGCAATGTGGAGATTCTTGCTTTCGACTACAAAAATAGTGCTGCGGTCGCTGAGCCATCTATGCCTTTGGATCATGACAATGGTTATGCTGCACAGCAGAATAATGATATGTACAAATATGATGGATACGAGCCCAATCACACTGATCCTCAAGCGTTACAATCCACTCCACAGTTTACACCAAGAATCAAGATGAAGCTTAGTAATATTGTTAATGATGACGACGATGATGTAGACCAATAGTTTCTTGTTCTGTTTTCATTTACCAACAACAGTTTTATCTGCTAGTTGTTCATAGGGTAGATGGTAATACAAGTTGATACAGCGTGCATGTTTTTAATTTTTATCGAGTTTTTTCATTCAACATCCAACTGTATGAGATTTGCATGTATTCCTGTCGTATAGTGTCTTTTGATTGGTTTACGAAAGAAAATACAAGGTTTTAAAAAGTCGGTTCAATAAACAGATGCGATTCAATTTTCAATTCACCCTGTCTGCACTGAAATAAAGCCATATTTCAAAACAAAAGATGCAAGTTTATTCAATCAAATGGTTTCCACCACAAACGTCGAGTTTGTAATATCAAGCCAATTGCTTTTTAAAGCTAGTCAGTGACATCATTGTTGGGATGTTCATCGGTTGCTTCGTGTTGATCATTTGAGGCGCCAGTTGATCCAAGGATCCCTCCCAAACCAATACGCTCAAATAAACTCCTCAATCCACTTGTTTCGTTTGGTACATTCATACCCTCATCATGTGGATCATCATTCATATCTCTTTCAATTTCCTCCTCATGAGCGTCTTCATTTTCCTCATGTCTAGCTTCGCCTTCCAGGTTGCCGTTATTTCGTGCAAGGATGCCTGCAAACCACCGGCGAGTCATATCCAAGTATGACTCGCCTGATCCTGCTTCATTATGCTGGTTCAATAATGTTTCTCGATACTCGGCATAGACTGATTTTTCCACATTCAGTGGTGGGAAAGGATCATACATGACCATATCTTCTGCAGAAGTAGTTTGAGGAATATAGCTAATCAATGACCGAATATCTATTCACAAGAACATAAAAAGCAGTTTATATTGACAAGGTAAGTTCAATAATTAAAGATTATAATCTGAAAATCGAGTTACGCCAAGATCAACAGCTTACCCGAAATAAAAATAATACGATACACGTTGCGTAAAAACGGAAGCGCTGTTGATGGATGAAGCACTCTAAATTGCAAAGCATCTTCAATATACTTTGGAGGAGTAGCTAGAGACGCATCTTCAGATACAATTGTTGCTTGTGAGTTAAGCCAGGATAAAAGTTCAGGAACTTTCCAAACCGATGTTGCTTTTTCAGCATACAGGATACCAAGCATTTCGAATGCTGATTCACTTGTGCGGCCGTGTCTTATAAAAATCAAATCAAGATAAAACAGCAGAAAGTTAATCGCCGGCAAATTCCAAGCAAAATGCTGAATCGACAACATAGTATTCACTAAACAGCAACACTTACTCTTTGTAAGAATAAAAAAATGGGCTATTGACAAAAATTTGCTGAGATGATGTGATATCCTTGGTCAATGCATTGAATGTGGTAGGAAACCGAGCTATAGCCTGTTGTAGCAACTGTGAGCTAAAATCGTGATTCTAGAGTGATCCCAAAACAAACGACTGTCAGTTAAATTCAATACTCATCACCAAATAGCAGATGTCTATAAATACACAAGTGTCAGATACTACCTCTCCATGTTCACGTTCAAGCTCCCAATGAATCAACGCAATGGAATAAGCAACATTTGGAAGTGTGTGCAGCTTTTGCTCACCTGCACAATCTTCCCAAAACTTTTTATACCAAACAAATTCTTTTGATTTGATAGCATATATATCCAAAAACAACAAGCTACACAGAGAATCGTTTCCAACTTCTATGTTTGCAAGCAGTTTTTGGAACTCGAATGCGGTACGCCAACACCCTTTGCGTGATAGATGCTCAATATGGCGATACAAACAGATCAAAAACGAGCGGTTTTCAACTCGGTCATAGGATATTTTGCAGTTTCCAGCAGATATATTAAATAGAGAATGGAATGATCGTTCAAATGTATAAAGAGCACGCTCAACCAATTCCCCAGCCGGCGCGATTTCGTTCTGGTGCTTGCAGATCTCACTCAGCTGAAGTAAAATATCTACATTGGATGGATAAAACTGGAGGAGAGTTGTAAGTGCTTCAGGATTGTGCGATTCGATTGCTTGAACAAACTGGCGTTGGCCTTCTTGGTATGCTTTGGAGTGCACAAAAGAGAATACTGTGGGCTGAATAGTAGAATTTGTTTGAACAACTTCCATGGAAATTCCAGTATTGCTGAGTTTTGACCATGCCTGACGACAGTGAACAAGTATGGTTCGTTTGGATGTTTTGGCATACTTTTTGGCACGGATTTCATCACGGACGACTTTAGAACCAAAGACTCGACTCATTTCAACATCAGCATCCAACATGCGAGAATCAATCGCAAAATGATGATCAAGTATAGTCTTCATATTAACAGCCTCAATGGCATTGGTAGAGAGACCAATATCTCCATACTCGTCATGCAGCTCCTTTAAAATTTTGTCGATATCATCATGATTGTCTTGCTGTAGTGTCTGTTTTGATTGCTTCTTGGCTGCTTTTTTCTTCCTACTGCTGGGTGCTGTGGATGGACGCTGAACGACACTGACTGGACTGTCGCTTTCTTCAGCGGCTTCGTCGCTATTCTCAGATCCCAACTATATATGAAAGCGAGTTTATTTGAATAACTCATATGTTCTTGTGGTATTGCTCAGACCACAGCTTACCAGCTCAAATGGATTCTTTTTGGGAGTGACGACCGACTCTGCATCAGAATCAGAGTTTCTATCACTGCTTTCATGTGCTACAGAAACCACTGACGAAACAACATCTCTCTTCCTTTGAAGTTTCCTCAATGCTCGAGACGACATTCTGCTTATTCAAATAGATTGTCAAGAAACTTGAATATTTGAAACTAAACTCTTGAATAATCCAGTTTGCTCGATTATTAAATCCAACAGAATTCGGCCCTGCAAATGGTATTCAGCACTTTTATAAAGTCAATAAGATTTCATTTCATAGTTTGCTCGAGTTTCATTTGCTGAAATGACTTGTATGGAGGATTGATTGGAGCCTGCACTGGGTTCAAAGGCGTGTACGTTTCGTCATTCTACAAAATACAAATTAGACATCAGAATTGATTTGTAAAATAAACATGTTATCCAACCTCTGTTTCTGGCAGTGGATACGTCATGTCCGAGTCAAACCCAGACAGATCTCCGCATGCCATGAACGGCACAATGCACCGATTGATTCCAGTAAGTTCGTTTTCAAAATTATAGTCGAGATCTAAAAGCGGATTAGCCATGGTCGGAACGTATCCTGCTGGTGGAGAGTAGTTTCTGCATACAATAAAAGATTCTAAAGAATTGATTGGCCAAGTGTACAAAATGAGTACAAGTAATGGATCGCCCGTGTTATAATAAAAGTGGTTTTAAATGCATCGACACTTGCCAATACTAGAATCTCGAGAACTCCTGGGCTTTGCTACATCAACCAAAGGGAAAAAGAGTCTCATTTGTGCAAACAGCAACGAAATGTCCTTTCCTCTAAAAATCTTGGCAATAAATGTACCGCCGTTTCGCAATACATGCGACGTAATGTTGAATGCCTATTTCAAAACATACACGGTGATGGTCATGGTTGGTCATAGTCGGATACACTGAGCTAAAAACTATTGGATTTCAAACAATGATTGTGGATCCTTACTGCAAGAAGAAGTTGCGCTTGAATGTATTCATCCATGTCGTGTAATCCAGTAACTACAATATCAACCCAAACATTCTGGCAATGATTAACCTATTCAAGCAAGATTGAAACAAAAACTTTGATGCATTCATCTAATATTGGATAAACTATATCTCACCGTCAGGTGCACCATCACAGATTACCAGATCGGCCTTTTCGCCATCGAAATGCGATGTAATTAGCTCGGCTGTTGATTTTTTGGTGATATCGCCTTGAATCTGAATGACACCAGGCAATGGTGCCATGGCTTGCAGATCCACGGCAACAATCTTGGATTGCTTGGTTGAATCTGTCGATGCTAGTCTCTAATCCAACGAAATAAAGCATCAGATTGCAATACTGTTTGCTTGCTTGGAATCAAATACATACCCTGCTCAGCACTTGAGACCAACTTCCAGGAGCTGCACAGAGATCAACGACATTCTTGACGTCTTCAAATATATTGTATTCTTCGTCTATTTAAAAATGTTGAATAAAACGTGTTGGCAATCGACCACTATTGACTCGAACCATCAACAAATACCCAGAAAACTGTTTTCCTTGTCAAGACAGTAACACAATCAAGTAAAACCAATTGTATTCGCATTGTTGCTGCTATAATCCAGCTATAGTTTCTATGACACTCACCAATCTGTAAGAGCTTGAATGCACTGCGGGCTCGCCAGCCTTGTTCTTTTGCAAGCCGGTAGTATATATCTCTCTACAATGAATCCGGTTCACAAATTCAAAAATGCTATATTGGATTTGAATGCACATTTAAACACTGGAATGGGTTGATAAATAGTCACCTTGTCCTTGGACGACTTTCCCATCTGCAATGTGTTGATTATTGTAGAAATTCGAATATTTCAACTATTTTCTCAAAACTGATTCCTTTATTATCCGGTCTTCAAACTACAGGGCTGGGTAGATGGCAATCAGTCTAAATAAAATACATGTGGAAATAATATGTATTTTATTGAGAAAGGCGCTCGCAGCACATGCCCATAAGCTGTACAAGTGTTGTCTGCACTCTTAGAATCTCGTTTGCATCCATCACATTTAAATCCTCTTGAAACTGCACGAGTTTTTTCAAATGCATCGTAAATTCTCTACCATCATTGGCCAAAACTCGTTTGACAGGCCGCACATCAGTTGCAGTAATGTCGGATTTACGCTTCTCCTGTGTCACTTTGTGTAGAGAGTTGTCTGGCATTGTAAAAGAGTGCTTTGGCTGCAAAAAATCCATTTGAATACTTGAATCGAGATCCAGCAACGCGGAATCATCAGCATGCTCAATCGCGGTAACTGTATCGTTTGAATCTTCATTGTCTAGACTCCCAATACTCTCCTCAACTGCTGGGGAATCTTGGACAGTGTTGACTTTAGAAAAATGTGTAGCCAAATTCGTTTCTACTTGCTCAAGTGCAATAATGACATTCTCAGACACACTGCCTTCGGGTATCTAGATCGACAATCCAGCTCATGAAAAGTTAACATACCAATCCATTACATGCCATTTAGACAAAAATGCGTAATTTTCAACCCATGGCATGCTTACCATAGCCAAAATCTCTTTGGAAAAACGCAACCATGCATCCAGCGTGGTTGGTGCGAGTTTCATGGACATAAAGCCCACACCCTCTTCAAGAATATATTTGAACATGTCAATGTCTTCTGAGAAAAGGTTACAAAACTCAAAAGATAGTAGAGTAACTCCAGGGAGGTACAGTTCCATGGCCAACGTGGCAACACTCACTATCAAACATTTAAATTACCATCAACATATTGGTCAACTGACTTTTATCAATTTCAAGGTATAGGTAATCATACCAGCAAAGATACAGTCTTTGCTTATACCCCTGACTTGATTTGGCAATAAAAATAAAGATGATCATACCTGATTCAGATTGCACCAGACTACCAAGAAATTTGACAATGGAGAGCATACATTTTCTGCCTCTATCTATTTCAAGCTTCAATAAAGACTGTGTAAAATCACAAATCTTTGTCCAAATGCGATAACACGGCTCCTGCACACAAACCAAGCATATATGTTATCAATCACCAGACCAATGCAACAACTAGTAATACAACGATATACCTGAGCTTGCTCTAGCCGGTTAAGAGACAGTGACACGCATTGAACAAGCACATCAAAATCGGCTTGAGTCCAGGCCTCGACTGGAATATATCTACATATCTGGCCGCTCAAATCAATCGCAGAGCTGTCTAGGATCATAATAGTTGCATCTTGAGAAATAGGCTCGGCCGGTTTATCGATCAGATCAGCTTGTAACAGTATGTAAACACATTAGATACAGTATAAAAGCCTGTGGCTTGACACATGTATTTCAATAGCAGTTTAAAATCAAACAAAACATACCCAGTGCCAATAAAAGAATTTCAAGCATGGTGCCTTTGGATAGGATATACTGCAATGTGGGTAACACGTAATTTTCCAAAAACCCAGCAAGTGGCATTGAGCGGCGACCAAGATGCACTAGCAAATACATGTATGTTTCAAATGCAGCCTGGCGAACAGAATTCTTTTTTTCAAGACGCAAGCAGTGCCATATAGGAAGAAGAATAAGTTTAACACGCTTGCTGTAAAACAAATGACCTATTATAGTAAAATCAACACAATGGTATTGCAATAATAGACCCATATGTAAATATTCACAATCAAGAATTAAATACAAACCAATACTGCAAAATCAAAATTTGATTATTACCATTAAGCGAAAAATTAAGAATCAAGCGTTTCCAAGCTCTAAATGCGGCAATTCTTTGTGCAGGTCGAGTAGAATTGAAGTTTGGCTAAAGTAATATTCAAGGTTTAAGACAGAAACTGGTCAGATACATTTAGATTGACAGACGTGGCTAGAATATAGTCAAGCTTACCTCAGCGATGGAAAGTAGTGTATTCAATGACTCTGTTTTATGCAATTTGACTCCAAAAGCAATCATGACGTGACCCCAAGCACACATCATGTTGATACCATCATTAGAATGGGCACTCAATGTGTCGATAAACTTGGAGATGAACCCAGATGATGATCTGCTAGACTTTTTTGATGGTTCTAGGTGTATTTCACTAAAAGTAATCATTTGTGGGGCAATCAAAGAAAGAAAGCTATCTGCAGACCGTCGAATGGAAGTTTCGGCAGAGAAAAGCAAGTCCATTACAATTCCAAACCAGCTGGATACATTCTGGGAAAAATAAGAAGATTGCATACACACTCGAGAAAATGCTCGCAGTGCTCCATCGACCAGATTCACATGGTTCGACTGCAGACAGCTCATGAGCGCGGCAATAATGCGATCAGCCTTGAGTTCAATAATCCGAGTAGGTTGAATTTTTTGGGAAGACAAAGTCCAAACAGCCAATTGACAGGTTGACTGGGGATAGTCTCCACAAGAAGCACTTGAAATAATACATATCAGGATATCTAAAAGAGAAGAAAGCTGCGATTCGGTCAATAATTTAACCAGTTCCTCCTGGAAAAGAACAGCAGAAAGGCAAGCCAGAGCATCTTTCTCACTGGAAATATTTTCAAGAGCAATACAAAAAGATGTTTAGTACTGCACAAGGACATGTTCATGATCAAATCGCAGCGATAAAGAATAATCAACTCGTGTCATTCGGACACGAGTTTGCTACTCAGTCATGAGCAACTTACAGTGTGTCGGAAAGCTCAGTTCGGGAAGAGATGAAAGTAGGCGCCAAATCTCTTTCCCATGCAGAAACCAAACCGGACAGTTTTTCTTGAGAAAAGTCGAGAGCGGTGGAGAGTATCGCCGACTTGGCAGACGATCCAGTTGCAGACAAAGTAAGCTGCAGATCTGCAACCGCTGGTTCTTTTAAAGCATCATGAGATATTTGCGTATCTAAAGTGGTCTGAGCATTCCGCAACGTCTGAAACACAGTCTTCCATATTTCAGACCGTTCAGAGAGAGTAGTCGAGTCAGATTGCAAAAACACCGTCATTTCCATCGCTGCAATCGGAGCGTCGAATTCTTAAATTTTATTTTCAAATCCATCGACATCACGTGATATTGCATCCACAATTCATCGCACATTCAAGTGTAAACCAATTCATTTCTTAGTCTCAAACACTCTGGCCAACCCATTTGTAAAGCATGCCTAATCAGCATTCGCAGCCTGCATTCTTGGGTGTTACGTCCCCGTCAATCTTGATTGGATCTGGAAAATCACTGCTTTATACAAAACAAACAGTACTAGTGTCAGTCTTTTGTATTGCCTTTACATGAATTGCACTGTTGTGTTACCTGTATAGCTCAATATCTGCCTCTTGCTTCAAGGAATTCTTTGCAATGGTGTGAAATGCTTGCTCTACATTAATACCCTCCTTTGCACTGGTTTCAAAATACTAAAATATACCAGCGGACAATTAGCTCATGATATGAAATTTCAACGACTACGATCCAAATAATTTAAACTCGACACATACAGGAATGTTTCCTTTTTGCTGGCACCATGTCATGGCACGCTTTTGGGTCACCTATTAATGAAATTGCCATTAGAAAAGTTTAATTTAGGCAATAGCTCTTGCTAGATCATTGCATTGTAATCATGAATGCCAGTTTCAACATGAAAATCAAACTACCTGTCGCTTCGAGTCCTCAACGTCTACTTTGTTGCCAATGACTACAAAAGGGAAATTTTCCGGATCTCTAGGATTTGCCTGAAGCAGAAACTCGTCTCTCCAACTATCCAGATTATCAAAACTTTTAACATTGTTGACGTCGTACACGAGTGCACAACAGTCGGCGCCTCTGTAAAATGCCACTCCAAGACTCTGAAATCGTTCCTGTCCAGCAGTATCCCAAATCTAAAGCACCCATCAAATGAATGCATATTTGCAAAGATAACGTCAACACTGAGCTACTATAAAATGCATGCTCACGACACGATAGTAACTACACTAGTAAAAATGACAACAGAATCATACCTGCATTGTAACCGATCTTTCCTCGACCATAACCTCTTTTGTTAAAAAATCAGCACCAATAGTTGCCTTGTATTGAGTGCTGAATTTGCTGTTGACATACTGGTTCATGAGCGACGTCTTTCCGACACTATAGTTATGAATGCGATTAGATGCCAGTAATCTTCAAGACAAATATGTTTTTAAACTCCAGTTGTAGTGGGATTGATAGCAATTGCAGTAGCAAAAAGGAAGCAATAAAATAGCAAATATGCTTCTCCAGTACTCAATGCAGCTCATGCTCAGAGTTCAAATAATAAAAACATGGCTATTCAGCAAAAATGAGATTTTGCAAGTAGCTATTAAACTGGTGCATCCAATCCATGATGCATGGAATTGTCAAAGTACTGGTTTTCAATACATGTTTGCAGCGACAAGAGACACTATTTACCCGCTATCTCCAAGGATGATGACTAAAGTTGATTTCAGATAGTAGTCGAGTATCAGAAGCAGGTTAGCTCAACTGGTTGATAAACTGCATAAACAATCATAGTAAGAAAACAGTAATGAAGCAGTAGACGGATTTGAACAGAATAGTACAAAATACCTTTGAGCAAGACCTTTCTACGAGACCCTGACATGCTTTGTATTAGACTAGAATAGATGGCAAGAGTACTGCTGTAAACACATCAACCCAATCTTTGATCGTCCACGCTCTCGTAAGTCTTGGTGACTTGCATTTCTCCATCAACTTGTCACTACTTCAAATGTCTGTTTACAGAAATGGTGTGGTTGTGCTGTTTTTATCTGATGTGTGATTCAGTCATGTGTTGCTAACTATTCTGCTTGCTTTTTATTGTATATATTAGCCATCGTCAACTATGTAAACTATCTTGCTATTTGAATTTGGAGTTGCCTGGAATCTAAACCTGAAACTTCCAACTACTTCATTGACTGCTCAATCTACTTGTTTCTCAACTCTTCATTTGCTCATTCATTTTATCTGACTATTTCATCACTAGGCCAAGAGCATTCAAAACAAAGGTCTCTTTCAAACTGCAAAGGAAGCCATGTATATGTACGAAATTTGGCTTGAAGAATCTGTATTGCAATTTGAATTCCTCTGCATCAAGAGCCGATTATTGAAAATAATCCATATGTTTGCGTATCTTTATTTATTCTGATCAACTCATGTTTTTTTGGTAGTGGTCAGCCCAAAACCGGCACTTTAGTTGGAACCGACAAGTTTGGCAACAAATACTATGAAAACCCCGAAGACATGCAGGGTAAAGTCTATTCATCTAGATCTCATTGAATGGCCCAGTTCATATATTGCTGTAGTTGTCAATCCATGGGTGTTTGTTGCTTGGTGACAACTTTTTGACTTTTCATTCTGTGACTGCAACCACTATACAACTAGGTCGTAATCGTTGGGTCTTTTATAAAAGACCAGATTTTGATGCAACGCAAGCTCCACCCGAATGGTAAAACAATGCTACTACTTTTTAAAGTGATTTATACCATAGACTGTACTAAGTCACTACTGCTTCTAAACAAATCAGGCATCAATGGCTTCACCGCATCTCAGATGATATTCCAACTGAAAAAACACTTCCCAAACCCTTTTATGCTCAAGAAAGTCGTGAAAACATGACGGGCACTCGTGGTGCATTTAAAACCTACAACACAACAGTTTCCAAGATTACCGCGTGGGAACCCAAGGTGTCTCGCTAGATTCAGGCTACTCATCAATCAAAAAGGTGAATCCAACACTTTAAAATAAATGCATTGGAGACTGGACGAGCGACATACACTTTGAAAACTTGATCATAGTTGCTCTACAAAGGCAATTTTTATAATCCGTATGGTTTTATTGACATAATTTGGAGATGTATTGTCTGAGTACAGTCATGCATGCATTAAAATCATTCTTTCCGACTAAAATTTCGGGTGCAGAAACAGATACTGATAGACAGTGATCAAACGTAATTGCGTGAAGTTGGACATGAGCACCCATAAGCGGTGAAGCGGCAGTACCGAAAAACACACCATGAACAGAAACATCCTCACCCAGCTCGATTGCATCATACAATCCCAAGGAGCTTACAGCATAGGCGAGATGAATATCAGACTGCTTTTTTTTGGCTTCGACTATAGTCTGCCTTGGTTTTTTGTCAAGAAACAAAGAGCTAAGGAATTGTGCTTTACCATATGCACGCTGTTTGATTGTCCGTCCAATATCTGCCAGTGTGTCAAAATCAGATTGGTGGATACGATGCGGGATCAATACGCCCAAAGTAAAGCATCCATTGATATGCCGTGGTATACCAAGTCGTGGTCGTATATCAGTAGCAATTCCACCAATCATGTTGGAATTTATCGGCGCCATAGTCACTGTCGCGATTGATTTTGCAATGGCAAATGCCAAGAGAGTCGTGACTGTTGCTCCAAGTTTTTTAGAAGCAACCAGAAGAAGAGTTGACTCGGCTGCATCTAGTAAAAGGATATCAAAATGTGAACTTGCTGCTATCAGATCCTGTGGTAATTGTCTGTGATTCTGAAGAACTGGAGACGGATCTGATGATAATATTCTTGGCAGTGTTACGGGATGTGCTCGATGAATGTACCAAATGAGAAAGCAGATATAGTATATGTAAATGCCAATAATATACCATAAAGGCAATGCATTTTTAGGGACAATGAGCAAGTTGCTGTCTGAGAGAGTTTGAGGCAGCTCTGATGCAATTGGATCCTGTGTAGTGAATGCACACGTCAGCAGTCGGCGAAACATCTCCATTGCACTACGACCATCTGCCATTGTGTGCGGGACAGTCATGATAACAACAATACGATTGATATTTAAAGTAGCTGGGTCCATTGTAAGTAGGTCTGATTCAATGAGTGATGGCACTAGCAATCGGATCCGAGGCAGCTGGATTGGCGATGCTTTGACTTCATCAGCGCAGATACGACACAGTTGCTCTTTTGATGCGAGGTTCAATGTCTGCTGAACCAAAACAGTGGTGAAATTCATCGAGTCTTGGTCTGCATCATTCATTTCAAACACATAGTTGGGAGATTCATTGGTTCCGGTGTTGATTATAGTGGATGCCCAGAGTGGATATTCATGTTGCAGCTGTCTGGATGCTCTTACAAATGCTTCTTGAATTGCACTTACTGAAAATACTGACCGTTCTATATGGACTGAGCCACATACCACAATATTATTAGTGAATTTCTGCATCAGGTAGCTAGCCTCTTTTGCATTCAAGGGACGCTGACTATGTAGTGGTATCATTTGATAATAATTCGTCTATGTGTATGTAACCAAGATTTTGATTTGCAGCCGATTTATGTAAAATAGAACATTTGTATTTCATCTTGCAGTCATTGCCTCTTTGAAGTAAATAATAAATATTCGTTGTGTTTTCCTACTAGAGATTGATATTTTCAATTCTTCAAAACATAATGTCCATCATATAATACAAACTATAGTTTGAACGTGTCCTTTTTGCAGTCATTGCACAATCCAGATTTGACCTCGAATTCATCCATTGCAATCCACCTAATCATCTTAGTAAATCAACTTGGTCCGAGAAACTTGCAATTGTGTCCAATAGCTCAAATAAGTGTGTTTGAATATCTGATGCACTTTATTTGTCTTTGATGCAAGTTTAGCTCAGATAAACGTATGTTGATAAACTATTTTAACCCTACTGTGGTCAATACAAAACAAACTCTAATATTTACTGTCAATAATAAAATCAGTTATATTTGGAAAAATGCAGGCGTATTAGTAACAAAATACTCAATCACTCCGCATTTTGAATTCGCATCAATCAGATCCAGTTGGGGATCCTGTACGGCTGGTCTCAATAGCGTCGGTCCAAACACAACTCCTAGGTTTGAAGCAACCATTAAGTTTATCGGAGAATTTTGTTGTACTCGGTGTAAATGCCACATTACAAATGAAAGTGTGACAAAATGTTCCTTTGGAAGTTGAATCAAAATCTCTTTAAATGCAGCATCTCGCTCCTCGCCTGACCGTTTTTTTAATGCATCAAGAAAGCTATTGTAAAATTTGCTACATATAAGCGAATCAGGAAGCTCCCGGAAGAACTGCTTAAGAGCAGAGGTGATGGCAGTTACATCAATGTGGTTTTCTTCATCGTCAAAATCAAGATCCTCGCCTTTGTTGGCTGCTGACACAATTCGGTTAATTTGTGTCACTGGTCCTGATTTTCTGTATATCCCTTCATATGATATTCCTTTGAATAGATAATATTGGTTACTGTAGAACAGATGAAATCAATAGTTGAAGAAGCATACTGATAGAATCTACCTTTACGATCGACATAATCGATGCACTTTTTAACAAATTTGGGCACGTCAACCTCTTCTTGTTTGACTAGACTAATCAACTCTACACCAAATACCAATGATGTATCAACTGATATGTTGAAATGCATGATTGAGTGAGTGATTTGCTTTGTTTTTTCCACAAGGTAAATGTATTACATCTAAAGTCTCGCAACTTACCAAACACTTGCATGCTGGATTTGTTTTTTTGATTATGCATATTTGATATTGAGCATACACCAGTAACACTAGCAGAGCATTTACTATGGCAGTGGTACCCACACACTAAATCAATAAAATCATGTAGATCATAAGTCGGGCAGATTTAAAAGCTTAAGCACAAGACACTCGATCGCATACATACCGTCGCATCGCAGTTCCTTTCCCCATACTTTTTCTTGGCATAAATCGCATTTTCTTGGAGAAATGTAAGAATGTGGAAGGAATCGATGGTATGGCAATACTTGCTCAATATCACGAGCATTTTTAGGTCCTATAGTTTGGTGTTAATAAAACATTGAATTTATGCTTCAAATAGTCAGCGTGGTGGTAAAACATCACTTGCCTAATTTTGATCGACTTGGAGAAGCCTGAATGGTCAGAGCACTATATAAAGATGCATTCATGCCTGACATCATGGTATCATCTAGCGCACTTTGGGAAATCTGCAAATCTGACGGTTTCTTTACCGAATGATTTGTAGCCTTTACTAGATTGTTTTTCAATTCCTTGGCCCATTTTATAGTTTCCTTTCCAGCTTCGTTGGCTTTTCCTGTCATGGTTTGTGATCTTCCACGCTGCATGCGTTTGCTCTCTGTCGGGAGCTGACCTTTTGGACTGGTGTCACTAAACGCCGTTGGAGACGTATCCCGTTTATGGTCTGGAGACAGCAGCATTGTGCGCTTCTTGAAAGGCTCGGTCCCCCAAGCCTCTTGCGGTGACTCGTGTACGGGCGATACGTCGCCACTGCAGCGTGAAATTGGGAACGTATCCATTCGCTGTATGCGATGAGTGTTTAAATCAGAAGATTGATGTACAGGAGATGCAGATGGACTTGCTGTCATACCACCCACAGTAACCATGGTATAAATTGCAGTAATACGCTCCTTGGTTTGCTCAAGCTCTTTTTCAACAGTACTTTTTTGTTGAGAAAGTCGATCTATTTCTTCATTTAACTTGCTTCGGTTTTCGGAAAGATTGGCACTGTCTTGTTTAAATGTTTCAATTAATAAATCTACTTCACATTTTAGTGGGTGGGTGGCAAAATCTACTGATTGTGCTGGACATGCTGCATGATTGTAACTGCAATGCATTTTATCAAAAATGTGCATTCAGGTGTTAGCATGTATCAAAATACAGTTTTATAATAATCTAAATGCCTTGAATTACTTTTGGATAAGCCCGAATATTTTTTGAAACGAGTTTTGCACATCTTGAGACAAGACATCTGCTTGCATTTGCAGCAACTCTACTTCATCTCGTAAAGCCTGTCGTCGCAATGTCAGTTGTGCACATAAACTATCCAAATCCGAGGCTGTCTTCTCTTTTGAAATCGTTTGATGGTATGAATCAATCACTCCACTTAGTTTTTTGACCTTGAACTCTGCATCTTCCCTAAGCTGAATTTCCCATTTTAACTTGGCTTTAAGTTGATTCATCTCAACCTATTTAATAATAACAGACGAGTAATTGATGCATAAATACTAGAAAATTGAAGATGCAAACACAAAGGTTAAATTTAAATATTTACAAGATAATTATCTGATGGTGAACTAGATATGCTGTGTAATGGAGAAGGGTGATTGAAACCAACTGAACTTGCAGCACTGGTTATTACTTTTTCCTGATCACCTAAAATTAGCCATGTAAATTGTATTTCTTAATAAACCACATCAAAGTATACATTAAATAATGCTTATTGATAAAAAGTACCTGGCTCACTGATAAAACTACTTTTACTTTCATAATCAGATCCGATAGCACCAATTTCTTGAACGCTTTTATTACTACGTATCATATTCGTATTTTTTCTATTGAATGAAGAGTTTGCATCAAACGAATGTCGTGTAGGGAGCCCACTCGACGTATTACTGACTTTCAGTGTAGCTATATCCATCTGGTTTTTATCCAATGAATTCTGAAATGCTACTTTATCTGTCAATTGATTCGGTAATACTAATTCTTTATAAATATCATGAGAATAAACGTTACAGATTGGGTAATTATTAGTTTAAATATTTAAGCACGTGTAGATATTGCTTATCAAAGTTGCTACCTTGTGAAACGATAAATTCTCCAGTTTCAGATTTGTTCACATACTCAAATGAGGTGGGCCTGTAGATATATTCTTGTGATGGAAACACAATGGTTGGAATCGTATCTGGAGATATCTTGTTGTTGTTTTCAATGGTGATACCAGGCACCGGAATGTTGACTTGTTGAGCAGAAATTGCTATATTAAAAGGCTCGGCCGTCACTGGCTGTACCAACGCAGATGCAATGGTTTTTTGTTGCTCTGAAACTGGTGATGTTTGATCATTCTGCTTTGTAGCATCTCTGTTTATCTTTGTATCTGACGAGGAAATAACTGTAGATTTTAGCGGTAAAGCAAAGCTTGTCACAGTCTTGGTATCTTCATCGATACTCTTATCCGATTTGAAATTTATAAGTGAGAAATCACTTTCACATGCAGCGGAACTAGATGTTGGTACAGAAATAGACGCCGAAGATGAAGACCGAGAGAATTCAGCTTGAGGTTGGAACAAACTAGTCGTGTTGTGAGATATACTACCTAGTCGCGGTTGACATGACTGTTGCTTGAATAAAATGCCTCGAGCGGCTGTCGATGTTGCTGAAACTGCCATTGCCTGTCGTTGGGTTTGATAACACCCAAAACAATATATGCTCTAGTAACAACAATTTTTCAGCCATTATCTTGATTATCATTTTTGTGGAATATGTTCAAAGTTGCATAGTGTGACTTACTGTGCCAATCAATGCGTACTGAAGATCGGTTATGTGAAGATTGCACTATCAATATATTGGAATAAAAGTGGCTAGTAAATAAACCATGATTTTAAATTACATCCAGGAATAACTAGACAAGATTACTTTTCGACAGTATAAGCATGTATCATGGTATTGTAGATTTCCAACAATAATGGCGGAGTCATTGATACAATTTTTGCAACTCTGGCACTTGGCAACGCAATTTTGACACAGTAACTAATCAAGATGACATCAGTGTAAACACAGTGACAATAAGTCAGTATTTTGTGATAAATCTAGATATGGGCCTGTTGCCATATTGAATATAATAAATTTGGATCTACATTGAATGTGTTGTAAATTTTAGTTTAAAATCCAAACATACCTTTCCAGCTGTCAATGATGGAACAAGACTATTTTCTGGGTCAAGTTTTGTAGCGCAAGCAGAACAGTGAAAGCACCAGGAATGGTATTGAGCATCTTTAAAAATAATTGCTGCGCCAATTTCAAACCCCTGTCCACATGTTTTGCATGTGGATACGTTGGTACCAGATGGCTGTTCTGGCATGAATAGCTGCTATACCGAGTATAATAAGCAATTTGACTAAACTATAACTGGCTAAAGTAAAAATCAAATATTTCGAAGGAAAATGAAAATGTTACTAATCGCGAATGTCTATTGTAAAACCACCTTAATCAACTTTACAGCTGAAAGCAAAAAGGATGAGCAGTTTGGTGTGGTAATCCCATCACGTGGAACGCTTTCCATGAAACTCGTAAACCAAGAGATTGAGTATGGTGGTAGCCAAAAATAACAAACATTCATGATGATATATAAAAATGGCATTAATATATATCCTGGCATCTAAGTACGTAATCAAATAAAGCCAGTATCAGTCGTATTTACGTAAAATAGAACATTTGCATTTATCTGGCAATAATTCCTCTATTTTGCTTTGGAATAGCAGCGATTAAATATTCGTTTGGCTCTGCTACTAAACACTGCTTCTTTGATAAACATTTTAAATGTTTGAAATTGCACGCTGTACAAAACCATTTTTATTGAGTAGTTTTCAGCAGGGGTTAATAAGAAATTGGAGTTTTATATCTCGCGATATTGCTGTTTGTTGAATGGTTAGCAGGTCATGCTTAATTGGTGAATTTTGTCAAAAAGTTTAAAGAGTACTGTTGTTCAGTGGACTGACACTCATCATTTCATGAGATTGGTCGCTTACTATGTATTTTGGTATCCTTATTTAGTATTGCATTTTACGTGAATGTATAATGGAATGTTGCATTTTTTCAACTCATCGCAGTTATCCAGATATGTAAACATATTTGAAGGTAGTGCAAGTTTTCCATATTCAATTCAAAATGTCATGAACAATATACCAAACCAATGAATTATTTATCAATAATCGGAAAATGAAACTATCCAGATACAATTCTGTACTATCCTAAAATCCCATCGAGTTGAATGAATCTGTTGGTAGTATCTTGATACTCACATTCAACCTTTTAATTCTTGAACCAATTGTATGCGACAATTGAAACGGTTTGTATTTCGGAAACACTCCAAATCAGTGGTTATCAGTGAGTTTGGCCATTCATCGTATGGCTGTTACACATGGCCATCAGCAAAAGTGTTGGCAGCATTGCTAGTTCAATCAAAAAACAAGTACGCCGGAAAGCATATACTAGAGTTGGGTGCAGGCACCGCTCTTGCTGGATTGACACTTGCCAAAGTTGTTCATGCTGCAACTGTTGTTTTTACAGATCATCCCATGTACTCACAAGTGATACAGAATTTACAGTATGCAATTGAACTGAACCATGTACAAGATTACTGCACTGTTAAACCATTAATATGGGGTGACTTTTCAGGATCGATAGCACAACTGCTTCAATGCCATCCTGATGGATTTGATGTGATTATTGGTGCTGATGTCATGTACGACCCAAAGGACTTTGAGATTCTGCTTTCAACTGTATCAGTTATTCTAAAGGCGTCTCCACCCAATGCAGTGTTTTTGATGACATACCAGGAGCGAAGCTCACGCAGATCGATCCAATGGTTGCTGGACAAGTGGGGACTCTGCTGCCAACAAGTTCATTTGGATTTATTTGATACACTGGATTGGATGGAAGATATGATGATGATTCAAAGTTTGGAATCCTACAATGTTCGATCCACAGAGAATGAATGTCACAAAGATCAGTATGACATAGACGACATATGCAAGCTGCCTATTCAGCAGATCTCCAACGAAGAATCAAGCCATTCTCAATCAGGCATTACAAGTGTAATGACATTTGAGATTCGGCTTTGTCACACTGGCTAATGCCTGATAATAACTTGGACTTTGTTAATATAGAATATTGCATTGTCCAGCTTTTCTAAATGAATTGAAAGTTATAATACGGTTGGACTGTTGAAAATGGGTTGATGGCTTGTTCATGAGGAATGTCTTGAATAGATACGATCCAAGCATATTCTAACCTTGATGTATAACCAACATTTGAAGTTGCTTGTCAAGATGAGATGTGATATTGGCTGTTTACAAAGAACTAGCCACAAGGGATATCAGTCCATCACCACACAATCTACTCGTGCTGTAGTTTCGACTACTGCCAATAGAAGCTGGATACATCATCGTAACTCTTTATATCCAGCCTGCCAATCTATTCAGAGCAACCCAATTCACTCAAGATTCTTGAGAGCTTGTCTGTCCTCCTCACCCATTACTTCTGTCCATAAACTATCAACAAAAGTTCCAATTCCACCCAGCTCTACTGTTGAAAAATATTGGGACGATGTAATGTTGAACTCAAACTATCCTGGTGAGTACTATTGACGACTTGTAATATCTGAATGCACTGATTTCAGATTTGCTATTGGAATTCAACTTGCTGGATTCACTGTATTTCCAAAAACTTGCCAGTTGGATCATTACAATTTGGATTGTTTTACATTGACATCTAATATGCTCTTGTTGATTTCACAATTTGGTTTCTAGACTATTATACACTCGGATATCGAGATGAACCCCATTCCAGCACGAATGATGATGAATTGATGAATGTTCAAAACAATGAAAAAGGTGTTCGAAAACTAGTAGCTGGGGTTGTCAAGGCAAAACGAGAGGATGGAGATATCTGGCCATCGTTACTGACTCGTCAACTCTGCGAGTTTTATGAAAACCAAGATCTGGTACGTCTTGAAATCTACAATGACAACTGGTTTTGAAATGAATGTTTGGAATATTGGATTGACCCAATTGTGTATTGTAGACTGGACGATCTAAATTTTTGCATATACTGGCCAAGGATTTCTGTATTGATTTGCAGGAAACGGCATCTGCTGTACAGCAGTTTGAAGAATCGCTAGTAAGAGCAATCATACATGTTGATTTCACATTGCTCTAAATGATATTTGGTGCTGAGATATAAACTATAGTGCATGACAGATCGTACAGTTTTACGATCATCAGCAAGACTACGAGAAGCATTGATACCTGCTTACGATACTCTGTTTGCACGAATCAACCAACTTCCTGGTGGAATGCAGTTTCTTGTAAACATGCGAGCAGATATCTTGGTAAGTGTGCCAAAACAGTGCCATGTTTTATATAATTGGAGTATTCCAATATGAATATATTATTGAAACTGCTATCAGAGTATTTTGGATGGGGAGAGGACCAGTGTGCATTTGAAAGCACTTGGTGACTCTCTTAAAAACCGACTACAGGAGTGGTTTGGCATGGGATTCCTTGATTTGGAACGCATTACTTGGCACACACCGGCAAGCATACTTGAAAAGGTAGATTCTTGCGGATATTTTGCAACGCTTTACATTAATGTGATGAAATAGCTTATTTGCTAAATTGAATGGTTTAGATCATTTCCTATGAAGCTGTGCATGCTATTGGGTCGTGGGATGGTCTTAAACAGCGACTTGGTCCTGGTCGTCTTTGCTACTGCTTCTTCCATCGTGGTATTCCACAGGAACCACTTACATTTGTGCAGGTGTGTATCCCGATCATTTTAGTTTGCAATCTCATTTGCAGCACCTTGGCTAATCTATAGCCAACAACACATTGCTTGAGTAAAAGGTAGCACTTGTCAATGAAATATCGACTCGGATTCAAAATATACTGACAGATCCACATCCCGACACCAAGGATCCCACAGTTGCCATATTTTATTCTATTACATCATCTCAACGTGGTATGTGTTGAACAGTGCATGGTATTTGTGATGGCACGTAGTAGTTTAATGCATGTCATGTATAGGACTAGGAGGTGTGGATCTAGGCAATTTTTTGATCAAGCGTGTTGTCAAGGAAATCCAGTTGAATCACCCAACAATCACCACGTTTTCTACCTTGTCCCCAATTCCTGGATTCCGTTCCTGGCTTAAAACTATTGTGAATGGTGAATTAACCGGTGTTTCCAATGCAAGCCATGAACCACTTTTACTTTCAAGCGAGATTGAGCAACTTGAGAAATTGTGGCCATCTCGGTCATCACTCGAGTCATTGCAGGTAGGGATGTTAAAGTGCATTGTCTAGTTTAAATACCTGGATCAAGTTTGGTTTGTATTGTATGCTAAATCACTGTTTGGATCGCTTTAGATGATATCCGAGGATACTCGATGGCTTGATGATCCAGACTTGTCACGTCACTATCAACCCATGATTGAACGGCTGTGCTCTCAATATTTAATTCTGGAAAGCAAGCGATCGTTTGCGCTAGATCCAGTTGGAAACTTTCATCTTCGAAATGGAGCAGCTATCCATCAATTAAACTGGAGAGCAGACACTTCAGGTATGTTGTCGAGATTGGACAAGCTGTTATTGGTTTGGTCAGTGCTTACCTTTGTTTTCTACAACTATTGGAATGTAATTGTTAGATAAAGGCACCAAGCAGTCATTTGGCATGATGGTCAATTATATCTATAACCTGGATGATGTTGAAGCAAATAATCAGCAGTATTTACTTGATGGGATCATTGCTGTATCAAATAACCCAGTTCAACCTGCACTTGAATGGGCATTTTCCAAAATGCGGAAACGCCATACAGATTGATAGTCAAGATGAAATATCTGGCTTTTCGTTGCTGGTGATGCAATCAGTGATATTGATCAACTCGATACATTTCAGGGTTTATCAAATAAACAGCATATCTTGATGTGCTTGAAGCCATCAATAACCCAGACCTGTATGACTGTTGATTAGCCATTCAAATTGTAGCAATGGAGAAATTTGACATTTTCAAAACAGAATTTTGTAACTAGACAATTTATTAAATGTTTTTTGCAGATGAAATATTGTTGAATGTCTTGTTATATATTCAACCACATGTTCCATTACAGACGGATAGCCTGTGGAATGAACAAACCGCTGATCCTCGAGTGAGCTACACTGCATGGTCCACTATGCCTTTGATGCACACGTCCAATCCAGCAATGCAGCAGTATTCCAATGCTGACCAACTATCCGAACCCATTCAGAACAATATGTTCCAACTGAGCGGATTCCATCGAAACATCAATAGAGCCATAAATAATCAAGCACCGGATATGCTCATTTTTGGTGGAGTGTGTCGACAATGGCGAAGAGTGACGATGTTGCATTCCTTTTGGACTGAGTTGGCATGGCATCGACTGCTTCCTCGTCGTCCATTACACAAACCAGCACGAGATATTTCACAGTTTCTGGAATGCATGGCAGCAGAACCATCTAGATTGGTCCGTATTCGACACATTCATCTTGATTTGCTTTGTTGGCATCATATTTTAGAATCATCCCGACTCTCGTCTATCCTACATCGAATCCACTGTCCACATCGAGTGCATACCGTTGTCTTGAGAATGCGGTGGGATGCCAATGGTGATCCCAATCTTATCAAAACCATCTCGAAACGGTTTTCTCACTGTAATAGACTTTATATACAAGGAGGTCAAGGCTATATCCGAGGTAGTCAACACATGCATAAGTTTAATCTCAACCCTACTGGTGGTGCGCTATATGGACTCGACAACAAAGCTGCACGTATGATTGCCAGATCCATGACCCATCTTACACATCTTTTTCTCGATGGATTTGGCGAAAATAGTTTCTCATGGAGTGGATTTGTACGAGTTCTTGAAGCCAACCAAGCAATTACTTCGTTATCTGTAGGGATTGTGCGGAATGGTATACATTTGAACGACATTGCACGGATCTTGCCTAAACTCAAGCAGCTTTCTGTGCAATTTCATGTGAAGTTGCCTGGATCGTCGTCGTTTGTAATGAATAATGAGCAAGGGCCGTTGGGACTGCATTTGGATTTTATTGCACATACAAATAGAAAGTGTGTGCCGCACCTGTATGGAGATCTGAATGGATTCCAATCTCTCGAGTGTCTTGCATTTCATGATACGAATGGATCCGAAGAAATGTCATCATCAATCATTACTCGACTATTGGATACTCTTCCAAATGGAAAAATGATACCTCCTAAAATGGCACACTGTCGTCAATCATCTTCGCTGCGATTGTTACTTGGCTAAACAAAGTAGCTGATGGTTGGAATTAGTTAACTAATGAATATATTTGGTTTACGTATTAGTTGTTGACATCGAATGCGCGATATCAACAGTTGGAATATGGTATACTGCTGCAAGTATATGATGGTCTACATTCCATTAGCATATCTGATCATATTGTTGGCATTGTATATTCAACATGTGATACTTGACACACGACAAAGTTGATACTGTGACTGATGTGTGTGATCAGTCAAGCTATTGATGCAACTATTGACACCACAATCAACGAGTCAAATCAGTCAAATTGATCGGATCTGATATCAACACACATGATTATTGTTGGTATTGGTGTTGCATGTGCCAATACGACATGTCAAGCAATATCATATCGACACAATACATACATGCATGTCAGCATCATCAATGTGTACAACTATGCAATATACAATCAACTGTATTGTATTGTATTGGAAATACAAGTGTTGATGTACAATATGATATCATGCCAACCAAAACTGGAATAATCAGATACAATATTAAACGGCAAGTGATAACTGTATTTTATTTTATTCTATTTTATTTAACCGAAAATCCAATTGAATCAGTCGGAATGAGTTCAAATTAGCATTCAAATCAATTGAATCAATCCGAATCTTCAGAGTCGGATTGATTTGAAAGTGATTTAAGCTCTTCTCTATGTTTAGCACTTCCTTTTGGATGGGAGGATTTGTGAGTTTTCTGCACACGAGAATATTTGTGAGATCTTTGTCCACCAGAAGGATGTTTGGGGGCCTTATGTTTACCGGAAGATGCTTTAGTAGATTGAACTGTAGGTGTTTGACTCGATAATGAGAGCGAACTTTCATGATGTTGTGGACTCTGGATTCCACTAGTAGAGGGTTGCTCAGGTTGCTCGAGTTTCTTAGGTTGCTCAGATTTCTTAGGTTGCTCGGGTTCTAGTTGTTGGCCAGATACGAGAGCTTCAAATTCTTTGACGAGTTTCATAAACATGAAATCCGATTCCAAAAGTTGCATGTAATCCTCGACTGATTCTGCACTAATATGCTTTCCGAACAGGGACTTCACGAGCTCATTTTTGATTTTAGTGAGCTGCGAGCGAATTCCAGAATTGTCCCAATAAGACTCCATACACTTTTTTTCAAGCTGGATAAGAACGGAATGTTGTTCTGCAAGCCAAGAATTGGCTTTTTTGACGTCTTCCTCATACTTTGAACCTTGCTTGCTTTTGTGAGATTTATCCATCAAATCTTCAAGCTCATCACCTAGCTGTTTTACCAATTTTTCTTGAGAAAATATTAAAGATTCTGTCGAGTCGCACATTGCCTTTGCCTCATTATGCTGTTTATTCACTCGTGCGTATTCTTTGATCAAATTCATGCCCTCTTCTGAAAGTTGGTCAAAATCAATCCAGCCTGTAGTTTGTGCACTGGGAACAGCTGTTGAAGTGCTAGATTCAACACTTGTAGTCGCGCTGGGATTAACTGGTTTGGCGACAGTAACTGAGCAGATGGCCAGAATTGATGATAAAACGGTGATTGCGAGTTTCATTGTATTGATTTGATCAAGTTGTGGATGATTGTTATCTGACAAGTCGGGTTTATATCGTATTTATATTCGTTGTTCAGGGAATAGTGTTAAAAGCATGTTCCCTGGATGATCGTCCTAAGGAACTAGTGTTGCTGTCAGGGTTGGTGTTGACTTGCTATCGACGTCAAAGTTTAAGGGACATCCCTTTATATGATCACCCATAATCTTGATTGAGCCGCTGTTCGGCTATGCATTGAACACCATACGATTGATCGATTGTGTGTTCATCACCCTTCCACCCTGAAAATAGCTAGTGAACTACAGTAGTCAAATATAGATCAAGTAGGGCTATATGCAACTGGGCTGACACTCAGTTGTTAGACGGTCATCAATATCCGCTGTGATATTTTATGCTTTTCAAAGTAGCAAGTGATTGACATGATTCAAACATGTGGTTTAGTAATATTTTGCATTCAACTCGACATGATCAATCATCACTACACATTGTACAGTAATTCAATCAATCAACTGAATCAATACAATGCAGTTCATGTTGTAACCACAATGTCACATTGATGATCAGTGACTTGCAACTGTTGTGTTGGCATTGCATGTTGTGTGTTACTATATCAATATCGATTGTCACTATATAGTTGTATCAACCACACATCATGATCATATGTCATGGTTGACTCGTATTCTGGATTGATGCACTCATTCCATTGTATTGTATTCCATCACTCGAACACAAACATCGTATGACTTGTTGATTGCTAATACCCACATTGATCGAATATAGCCTGATTGTGATGGTGGTTGTCGATCTGATGGTCAACCTGATGATCGTGTTGGTGTATTTGGATTGATATATTGGATACATGTGTCGAGTATATACATCTGAGTGATCAAATCATACATTGTATATGCATACGATTCACACCAGTTGCGTTGATCAGCATGTGTCATCTGGTCAATATCGTCAAATCTGATTATACACTCATTTGACATGTGCATCTGGACAGTGATCATTGTACAATCCAGGATGTTGTGCAAACCATATATGACCAGTCATGTCAAACATCCAACCAAACTCGATTAGTCCGAGTATTGATCAACAACTGCAATCAATATCAAACTACCGTGCACAATCGATTTCAGTCCACACCAGCTATAGTCAATTACAAATGTCACGGTGTATGCTGCATTTGAATACATATCATGATGGCCAATGTCAACCACACACAGCTGGTAATGCATGACCAATGATAGCATTCGACGACCACAACGATCGATACCAACCATACCGAGTGAGTTGATACATTGCATTGACATCGAATGCGCGATATCAATAGTTGGAATATGGTATACTGCTGCAAGTATATGATGGTCTACATTCCATTAGCATATCTGATCATATTGTTGGCATTGTATATTCAACATGTGATACTTGACACACGACAAAGTTGATACTGCAACTGATGTGTGTGATCAGTCAGGCTATTGATGCAACCTTTTGATAGCACAATCAACGAGTCAAACCAGTCAAATTGGTCAGATCTGATATCAACACACATTACTATTGTTGGTATTGGTGTTGCATGTGTCAATACGACATGTCAAGCAATATCATATCGACACTATACATACATGCATATCTGCATCATCAATGTGTACAATTATGCAATATACAATCAACTGTATTGTATTGTATTGTAAATACAAGTGTCAATGTACAATATGATATCATGCCAACCAAAACTGGAATAATCAGATACAATATTAAACGGCGATTGTATTGTATTGTATTCAAACAAAAATACAACATATTCGGTTGAAACCAATACAGATTAGCAATCAAATCAAATCAATCAGATGAATCTTCATGTTTGGGTTGACCCTACTCATCACACATATCACTGTGTACCACACGAAACTCTCTGTACACCGAACGTTGTTTGATCAGTTTGAGTGCGTTGAGCTATATGCGTATCAATCATATCGGGTGTAGACTACCATCATCTTGACACAACGTTCATGATCCATGGACCCATTATCACAATCATGACATCAATCAGCCGACCGTGTAATTGTGTCATTGTATGATTAGCGATCAAGCCATATACTAACCACTTGCCAACATCTACACATGAATTATTGTGCTGTTGGACATTACACACGATGGATAGCACGAGTGTTGTATCTGACTGATCTGATTGACATTACATGTATGAATACAATCACATTTGGGTTTGACAACATCGGAATGTTGATGTTCAAGTTGAATACTCGGTATTGGAATTCAGACATTTAGTTTGATGAACCATATCATGATCGCATAGTTCAGTCACGATCCAATTGACACAAACAGTCGAGTTGTGTAGTTTGGTTTCAGCTCGACACATTTTTATTGTCAATCTCGGACAGAACATCAAAAGTGAATCAAGATCAACTGAAACAATCAACAGATTGGATTCAGTATGTGTAGTCACACTGGGTTGCATATACTGACCACAGTAAACAACTCGAGTGCCATTTTACTGGATCCAAGCAAGTTGTCATTCAACAAGTAGGTCTTGCATTGTATTGTATTTATGTTGTCAAGTATGATTGAATGTTGAATGGTCATTGCAACCAATTGGTGTTATTGTTATCAATGTCAAAGTGTAAACTGATGTCCATGTTAATGTATATGATGGTGTCTAATGTTGGTTGAACTGCAGACTATGCACTCAAATATGGTTGATTGATTGTGTAATGTTGTACAAACAACAGGTAAATCAAGCTGTCAAACACAGACCAAGTATGACAATGGAATATCGGTCATTCATGTATTGGATGGTCAACGTATTTTACAGACATCATTGCTTGTTGATCATGTCATGACCAATATTGATTGTGTAGTTCAGAGTTTACAATGATTGCGAGTATGGTATACAGTGATGATCGGTTCAAAGTATCACATCGATTAAACAACCAACTTGCACAATGCATGCAATCACCAAACCATCAAGTCAAAATGACAGCAAGCCATGATTGATATTGATCAAATGATTGAAATTCAACTCATCTAGTGTCGATATGTATGTAGGCGATATACACAGTTGCTCAATCATGAGTATAACTGCAGCGTCGAGTTTATAGTCGATATGGTTACGAGTTCGATCAACAAGTGTCCACATTGTCGACTGGCCTATTATCGACCGTTTGCAGTGATATTGACGATGAAAGTGTATGTTTACAACAATACAGTATTGAATCAGTTTGGATAGCGTGTCGAGTTTTGTTTTGTTGATTGTATACTTGACATTGGACTAAGAGCATGCATAATCTGGATAGCTGGAACAATTGCATCCAATATGCGGGAGTTTCCTGTATCGCTTGTACGATCGTTGGTTTTTGAGCAATTGACAATATCGATGTGTGATGCTGGGGTATGGGGAATATTTGTACATATGTTTGATTATGTCAACGACATGATTGAGAAATCTACAAACAAGGACGAGATGATCAAGGTGTTTCGAGAATATGGAATTGTGAACCAACTCAACACTGTTCTTTCATGTAGAGATATGGATTTGTGTGACTATGATGGTACTGTAAAACTAATCAAAACACTTGCTGATTTTGCCGACAATCATCCCGACAGTTCAATACGTACCGAGTTGGAGCAAGGCGGGATATTTGAAAGTCTAATGGCTATTGTACAATCGGATACTGACTGCAATGGAAAAAGGGTTGCTGGCCAGATCATTGAAACGTGCTTTCAGCATCGGGTTCATGTTGCTAATTCGAGCATTCAGCCATACGACAACAATGCCGAAATTGATATGAAATCTGGAATGGCCGGATATGTACATGGAGATGCACGCACACTTGTCGAGATGCGGTATATCCAGTATATGCAATGTATACTTTGCAAACCCATGTGGTGGATCGATATCACAAACCAGCATATTGTGGAGCAATGGAGGGCTGACTCACTCGATCGGAATATATCACCATCAACATTTAATCTTGCATTGGAACAACTCGGGTTTTTGTCAAACAGCTTGTTTGTAATGGCAGTGATGGATTTGGTACAATTGTCCCAGGACCTGTTGAACTGACGTATATACTGGACAATGGCATACCTGACAATGTATACACGCGATTGATGACAAATGTATCGGATATTGAACATGGATCAAATCACAACACTGGTCAAATGGTGCACAATCTGATTGATGCATCAATGTACAGTGCTGTATATGGACAAACGATGATTGTACCACTGAGTATACGACTCGAATACACCACAATGGTACCATGCGATATATTGTTATCGACTCGACTTATTTCAGATACGCCCATCACTGACAGCAGTTCCAAGTTTATATCACGCAAGTTCCAATGTCTTCCGAGTGAATTCTGTGTCGAACAGGATGGCAGTGTGACCATCAACTCATACATCAACAATCTGAATCCGATATGGCATCGAGACATGTACAAATGCATTGCCAAAATATTCAAATGTTTTGTCCCGATGTTTGAAAGTCTGTTCAGAACGATGGATCCAATGTTCAAATATATTGATATTCACAATGGCACAAAGGGATATGAACCATCAAGCCAATCAAGTCGTGGTGGTATGGAACCATACACTCGAGTCATTCGTCCCGTGTATGTACCAACACTTCCGAAACATTTCAAATCCAAATATGAATCAGCAAAGCCAGTGTCACTGCGTGGTCGTAATCTACAAGTCATTGTCAAACTCACCAACATTCAACTGACACCATCCAAACCTAAATACGACGAGGGAAACTGGCACATTGAAGGTCCAATTAACGAATCGATTGTTGCAACTGGACTGTATTACTACGACGTGGAAAATATCACCACACCCGAACTCGATTTCCGCGAGGCTGTTGATCGGGTTGATCGTCAAAAAGCATCTGATATGTATTGGAAAGATGTGTATGGCATTATTGATCTAGAATCACCACGCAGTCAGTATATAGGATCGCTTGAAGTATCAAATGGTCGATGTGTAGTTTATCCCAATCGATACCAACACAAAGAACAATCATTTGAACTTGCAGATCCAACTCAACCAGGACACTGCAAGATTCTGACATTTTTTGTAGTGAATCCATCTCGTCGGATTGTTTCGACTGCGCATGTGGCTCCACAACAACCACAATGGTACAACTCGAGTCTTGACAAGACACACATACTGCCTGAACTGTGGAATGATATCACGCAGTATATTCAAGGTGTTCAATCACCAGCTGAAGCCAAACACTATCGAGATGAATTGACAAGCGACCAAACTCGAATCACAGCAGCATACAAGGACATATATGAGCGAGTGTATAATCTTGGTTTATTGTGAGGTTGTGATTTTACAACAATGAGTTGCAATGGTTTGATATGAACATGATAACTCGGACTCTATTCAGTCGGATCAACTCGACTACAATTGGTCGTGTATATTATGATTGGCACGAACAATTGTAGTTGAACTCGAATACAGATTGGCTGTAGAATCACAATGCGTGGTATCAGCAACATGATGTGCTATATAGTGGAATGTATACGCTAACCTGACATGTGTCATGTAGTGTGTATTTGATCAATATGGGTATTAGCAATCAACAAGTCATACGATGTTTGTGTTCGAGTGATGGAATACAATGGAATGGAGTGGAATGAGTGCATCAATCTAGAATACGAGTCAACCATGACATATGATCATAATGTGTGGTTGATACAACTATATAGTGACAATCGATGTTGATATATTAGCACACAACATGCAATGCCAACACAACAGTTGCAAGTCATTGATCATCAATGTGACATTGTGGTTGCAACATGAACTGCATTGTATTGATTCAGTTGATTGATTGAATTACTGTACAATGTGTAGTGATGATTGATCGTGTCAAGTTGAATGCAGAGCATCACTAAATCACAACACATATTGATGACCATCCAACAACTGAATATCAGCTCAGTTGCATATAGTCTTGTTTAAACATGTATATATTTGTTCATATTTTGGCATACCAACCCTTTTTAGGGTGGATAAAGGTGTAAAACTGCATAATCAACCATATGATACTCAAATGCATAGTCAAGCAGCGGTTCAATCAATATTGCGGGTGATCATATAAAGGGAGATCCCTTCAAAGGTTGACATTAATAACAAGTCATCACCAACCCTGTCAATAAAGCCAATCCCTAAAACGGTCACCCAAGGAACGTGCTTTTAATATTATCCACTCAATAATGGATATAAATACGATCCAGCCTTGCTTGTTGAATACCAATAATTACAACTTGCTCGACCAAACCAAACCAATACAATGAAACTCGCAGTCACAGTATTAGCATCAATCCTGGCCATCTGCTCGGTTACTACAGCCAGCCCAGTCCTTCCCAGTGCAGCTGCAAGTGCCGGAGCTAGCACTTCGACAGTTGTTCCCAGTGCACAAGTTACACTTTCAGTTGATCTTAGTAAACTTTCAGAAGAGGATATGGATTTGATCAAAGAATACGCACATATAAAGAAGGCTTGTAACGATGAAGAGAAAATACACGACTCGCTACAATCTGAAAAACTTGAACAAAAAGAAACTCTCGATGAACTTGCAGAGGAGCAGTGGGATCCGGATTTTTTAGATCTCAAGTGGAGATTGGGTGAAATCGAGACACTGCTTCTAGAACGCCTGTTCAAGGGAAATATGGATCAACCAATCGAATATTACATGCAATTTTTGGAAACAGATCCCGACTTTTTGGAACTCGCCGACACACTTTTCAATTCTCCACCAGTTCAACAGCCAAGATCCGAGCAAGCCTCTACTAGTGGAACCCAGAGTCCATAACAACAAGCACCTCAAAGCTATGATGATGGAATGAGAGTTTCAGGAAATTCTGATACTATGCACTCATCAAGCGAAACGCCTACAGTCCAACCCACTCAAACATCATTCAATACATAGGCAACTTCATCCAGTACACGAAAAACTTCCAGATCTTGTTTTCATTTACGCAGAGCCTGTTCCAGAGTTAGAAATAACCTCGAACCAAGCTGGAACCAATTTGAAAATGAAGATTCATCTGATTGATTTGATTTGATTGCTAATCTGTATTGGTTTCAACCGAATATGTTGTATTTTTGTTTGAATACAATACAATACAATCGCCGTTTAATATTGTATCTGATTATTCCAGTTTTGGTTGGCATGATATCATATTGTACATTGACACTTGTATTTCCAATACAATACAATACAGTTGATTGTATATTGCATAGTTGTACACATTGATGATGCAGATATGCATGTATGTATTGTGTCGATATGATATTGCCTGGCATGCTGCAAGCGACTCTTTGGAACCACTATGCCTTTTGATTCAGTCATTAATACTTGCAAAGCGTTAGTCAACACTTTCATTCCAAATTACCAATTGATATGATGCTACACGAACAACAGATTCGTCGTGTTCAACACTACAAATACCTGGATGTTGTATTGCACAAACCACTGTATCACACCATGCGACTGGACTATAATCAGGTTGCTGTATGCAATAGCATGTTGGTTTTGTCTGGTTCTTGCAAACCACCAACTCACAGTCAACTTTCGGATGCGAATATTCTTGGCAGTCATTCTAGTAATGATCATGTATGCACTGGATCTGGTTGGTGGTTGGTGATGACTTGACTTGCATACACAGTCAACAGTCAACAACGGTGTGCGACACATATTGAATGCATGCAAATCCACAACTGTCAATACTTGTTGTTGAAATGGGTTCAGATCACCATCAGCTCACTCACTCGTTGCACCGATGTGATTGCATGATCAACCTGACACCAACCAAACCACACTCGAATATATATGTTCCAGTCATGTGCATGGTGTATCGATTTTCAACTCACAATGTCAACTCCAACACATTCCACCATGATTATGGTCACATCACACCATGCTGATGTATGTCGATCGGTATCACATTGCAAATGGTTATCATCCAATGACTGCAATGCAATACCGTGCATGTATTGTGATTGATACGCTGTGCACCATCAGCCAGTGTGCAACTGTCACTTGATATATTGACTCTGATATGCAACAACATGCTGTGTTTACCATGATCAGGTTTTTGATCAATCTTGGACTCATGATACATGATTTGTCATGTTGGATCGTGTGGATGTGTCATGGACTGCAATTTAGTTGCAGACACACATATGTTTGACATTGACTGATGCATACTGTGCAACGACTGATCAGTGCGAGTGTGATTGCACACTTGGTGGTATTGTGCATTATAGTTGTTTGACAATGGATGAATGCTGGATTAGTCAGTTATATGCAACTCGTTTGAATCGACCTATTTGAACAAACACTCGATGTAACTGACAAAAAACACTGCCAGCCAATGTTTGCACAGTACGGATATGGTTTGTTTGCATCAAATCATCACACAATCTGTATCTCAGCACTCGTTTATTCAAAATAAAATGTATTCAACCACATGTTCAAACATGTTTGATTACAGACGGTTTGTGGGATGAACTGCACATCATCAACTGAGCTACACTGCATGATTTACTATGCCATTGATACACACATTCAATTCAGCAATACAGCTGTATTACAATGCTGACAACTATCTGAACCAATTCAGTATAATATGTTACAACTAAATAGATTCCATTGACACATCAACAGTCATACATACCGATTGTTGAACATGCTCGTGTTGGTTGGTGTGCATTGATGCAAGTTGTCAGAACCAACCAACAAATCACTGTATCTGTACGGATTGTGTACCATGGCATATGTTTGAACAGATACTGCACGAATCATTGTCATTTGGATTGAATAATCAACAAATACCATTGTGACTACACATGTATGCATATCTGAATGGGTTACAACCGTGTTGCATTTCATGACACTCGATTGAAATGTCATGATTGGATATTTTTCCAAATAGTAAAATGATATCTTGTAAAATTGTTGAAATGCATTGATCATGTCAACATTGCATAATCAATTGTATGATACGATTGTATACCGCCGATTACTTTGTTGGTGGTCAGTATCACATGTGTACAATATCAATATGTTGCACGACTGTAATCCAAACAGGTTGGAGCAATGCAATCAACTTGGTACAATGCATGTCAATATGCATGTATTGTAGTGTAGTGTACACTAGTAGTGATGATGCAACGAACGACATGCGTGGTTGTAATATTATACGTCGGACCACATGTCCATGTCCATGATTATAGTTATGGGGACATGCCAGTGTTTGATACATACATCGTTACAATGATGGGTCAGTAACAATGTGATGGAATTGAATGGCAATATCAAAATCATGTGCAGAATGCATGATATAACAACAACTTGCAGCCGTATCGATGCAAATGAACCACTGAATAACAGTGTCATGGATATGCAAACAACAGTTGCATTACTGACATGTGCAATCATTGTTGTTGAACTAGATTACAATCGTATCCGAGATTCAGAGTACAACAAATGTGTGTACAGAGTTGTATTGACAACATTGACAATCAAGCACAATACATGAATCAGGGCTCAGGATTGATGATTGTGTAGTGCATGGTTATGCCAAATGTAGAGAAAAGGCAGGTTCAACACTATAGTCTAATTGTGTGCATCATATGATGGTTTTTGTATATCAAACACGTAGTCAATGTATAGTAGAGTCGACCGAATTGTAACCATTGTGTATTTCAAAGCAAAATCGCTGTAGGATGAATACCGATGTGATTCATTTATGCGAATATGGTGGTAAAAGGGAGTCTTTGTAAAACTACACAACATTCTTAAAGGGTGTATTTTCAAGACACCTGATAAAAGGGTCATGTGAGCACAATATGGTATTATGAATAGGGAGTAGCATACTGTGGTTTGACAGTGATACACTACAGACAACCAAGTAGCCCTGTGTAGTCGGTCAATCTAAAAGGATCAGGGTTGGTTTACTATACAAACCATATAAATACGATGCAGTACATTCAGTTTAGAATCAACCTCGGCAATCTGCTTTTGCACTAACTGCTTAAACTCATTTATTGGCTTGATGAAATTCACTGACATTTTATTCTTACTGGCCGCGGCAGTAACCGCCAATGCAGTACTGGTTTCGACTGGTAGCAATGGTTTATCCGAAACATCTGGACTCAGTTCAAGCATCTACAAACGAGGTCGGGAAACCCCATCTGATGAAGATCAGTCAGGCAATAATGACTCGAATCAAGGGACTGCATCAGGAGGAGACAATGAGCTCATTCGTCAATTAGAGAAAGAATTTGAAGAGGCTAATAATGCAGAAGAAGTCGCAGCTAATGCTTTCTATAAGTATAGGGCTCTTAGGCCCCATCAAGAAAGGTTAATATTGCAGGGCAAACCGATATATGGAGAAAAGCATAGCGAACAACGTCAACAAGAGTTGAAAAAAAAGTGGCATGCTGCAGATAAAAGAATGAACCTTCTGAGACAAAAATTACAAGAAGCCAGGCGCACCAATCGGGCGTTGCTCGTCTCGACCAGAAGTGCTCGACCTGGTCCAAGTACTTCCAGACAAAATGAGCAACACTCAATTGATGAACCTGGTCCAAGTACTTCCAAACAAGATGAGCAATACCCTGACATTGACCCTAGTCCATGCACTACCAAACCAAGCCGAAAACTCCCATCTGATAGAGAATATCCAAGAGAAACCCGTGAGCTCATTCAGCAATTAGTGCAAGAACTTGAAGCTGCTGATACCGCAGAAACAGTCGCGTGTGATACTTCCTATGGGTATAGGGTTGTTGAACATGAACAAGAAAAGTCAATATCGCAGGGAAAACCGATATCTGGGAAAAAGCATAGCAAACAACGTCAATATCGATTGGATAGTCAATGGCAAACGGCATGGAGAAAAGTAGAATTTTTGGAACAAAAATTACAACAAGCCAGGTCGAGCACTTCCGGTCGAGGTCGGAAACACTCGATTGATAAATCTGGTCCAAGTACTTCCAGACGAGGCGGGAAACGCCCATCTGATGAAGATCAGTCAAACAATGCTGATTTAAACCAAAAGGTTATGTCAAGAAAAGCAAACAGGCACCTTCGTAAACTAATGAAAAAAGTTGAAAAGGCCATAAGAGCAAAAACAGCCAAGTGCGATGCTTACCGTAGGTCCATGTCTTTTGAAGTGGAACAAGATTCAGAATACATCCTGAAGACTCGAAAGAAATTGGATAAAGAGTGTAAAAAGGAAAAGGGAAAAGTAGACCGTCTGAAACGACGATTAGAAAGACTTTCGAAAAAGAATGATTTAGAGTTTGGGGCAGAGTCGGATTGATGATGTGTCAAGAAACTCGAGTATTTTGAATAAATTTAAACTTTTTGATATTTGTCGAGTATTCTGAATGATCCAACAACTATAGCATTGATTGTGTATATTGAGCTTGATATTAGTAGTATATCAATAGCACCATACAACACCGGCTCATTCAAATGATATTTGCTTGTTCATATAAACTATAAAACTGAATTTCAATTTGAATGGCAGTTGGAATTATCAGCTATAGATTTGCTACGTTTTGCGACACTGATTCCACAAAAATGACAACTCTGGATCAAACTCGGGTGAAACAACGCAAGAGTTTCTACAAGACTGCACAGATGTGATGACTTTAAATTAAACAATGAGTTATCATCAAGACTTGGCTATTACAGTGCTGACCAACTCTCACTTTGACTGACTGATCGAGGACCTCCTTTACAACCATACTGCCCATTTCTTGTTCAAAATACTGGAAATCATCATTTATTCATTACAATTACAGCAACTTGTAATCAACGTCGGATCAAATATCTCACAACTGGAGTCGCCATTGTCTGAATCGAGCTTTAAAATATCCCATTCTAAACAAAAAAGTATGAGAGCAACTCGATCAAATACTTGAAAAGAACAAAGTCAACCCCCACTGATTCAACACTTGTTTGTATGTTTGTTGGAATCAGGTCAAGCCTGTGCTGTAAACTAGTTGTTACATCAATCGTCAAAAACAATCCCAGAAAACAAATTCAATATTTCACACTATTTGTCGTTTGCTACAACATGCTTTGATTCAGTTACATCAGGCAATGTGTCTCGGACTTTATTCGATTGCTCCACTCATCATTTGTCTGTTTTTACCCGAAACGTTCAGATACAAGTGGAAAAAGATTGGATGGTGATTTCTTAAAGGTTCATGATCACTTTGAATGTTTTACGTCGCGGAAAGAGTTTATATTACTGAAGCAAGCAAGGATGACATGAGACTGGAAATGTCACAGTATTTGATTGGATGTAAAGTTGCAGCAGAGATTAGTCATTTGAACTCGGTGTATGGGATCGTTACAAACTATATGCAGTCGAATTTCTTGCATAGTCTTGATGAAAAGATTGGATTGGACGAGTGCGTTGTGGATATGGATACGACTGGACCTAGTACAGATTATCTTGTTGATATCACTGCCAAAATCTATACAATATTATCTGATGAATGACATGGAGTTGATAAATATATTGGGCTACAGGCAAACAAGTACCAATGTTTTGACTAAACTGATATTGAAGGATGCTCTTGTTTGATCATCCATCTGGACACGTCGAGGTATACCCGTTTCCAGTGTTTTCAATGACAGTGATCGAGTCTTTTCCAGTTGGGACACTCGACTATATGTTCATTTCTCAACTGATTTTGTTGGTTGAGTTGTTTCGAGTCTTGTGGCATGCTCTGTGTGTCGACATGTGTTCCACTGCTGTGAATTCAGTCATTTTCAGTATTGTCCATTATATGAGCATTGTTGTATATACCCATGACTGCTTTCTGAAATACTGTTGGTGTGGTAACAAAGCAATGTAGCTTAACAACGTAAACCTGCATTCATCACGATATACAACAAACCTTGCCGTTTCGATGTTATAGAATGTGTATTCCTTTGATTTCAGTTAGTACCCAACCCCGACGCATGGTATCGTCCTAGAGTCAATTTCTCGAGTGACGATACTGGAAAAAGTACATGTGTCTGACATCCATCTGGACGTAGGTGAGCCATAACTGACTCGAATACATACCATAGCTCGTAAGGCGTCCAGTTGTTTATAGCCGAGTGTGCGACCTATTTTGCAGGTATACCACCGTCATCACTGTTACTGCCATAACTTTATGATCTTGGCTTCAACTAGTATGGACCTTATCACATCCATGATTGGTCAGTTTTGCACTTAGTAACACCATTTTACCAGTATGTGTAGGGTGTTGGCAGCCTCTTGATCCCTGTTCCCGCCAAGTACTGGTCGAATAGAAGAAACCTGAGCTTTGCTCTATTGTCGGTGCACATCATCCGGACTGGTAATTCAGTTTGATTGTCAACCAGCACGACATGTTCCTTGAGCTCGTCCAACACTTGATGTTTGGAGTGTAGCATACACACATGTGCATATTTCATAAATCATATACAATGATATGACAGCACTTTGATTGACCTATTGATTAACGGACAAGAAACCTGACAAGTCCATATGCGGGAGCACGTTGGTTTGTATTTACCAATGATTTGACTTTTCAGTGAATGGGAGCTTCGTCGACTTTCTTTTGGTGCATGACATGCTGCGTTTTTCATGCTCGGTATTTGTTGCAACGTCAAGTCATGACTCTTTTGAAGCGCTCTGATGCTTTTTGATAATATGGCCAATCTCTTGTACTGTGCGTCTATATCCACTGACACTCGACATTCCAAACTTGATGCATGGTGATTGATGTCTATTGCAAGTTGTTTGGTCTGGACAACACCCTGAAATCAGCCATGTCAAGCCATTCGCTTGAAAGGCAGTCATCAGCGGTACACTTTTTGTATTGGTAGATATTTTCCGTTGTTGAAGACCGAAATATTACAGCTTCGTCAAGCATCGTGTTTTTGGAAACGAGATTGCTGAGCATGTAGGTATGAATATGACATTGGTAATGCAACTATTTGCTCCATACATTTGATGTTGCAGGTCAGATTGACCGTGCCAGCACCTTGCACTGTAGTCGTCTGTGCTTGATGACTACTCTTGAATTGTGGTATAGTTTAGTTTGTAAGCCATTGTTTACAGCAAACCATGCAACTTGTGGTTCCAGAGTCTAGTGTAAATTTACCGTCGCTTTGGAAGCTTTTTGTGAATTCCAATTGCACAGTACCACAGTGATCGACCATGTTTGTGTCGATGCTCTTGCTGGATTGTACTCTCGAGTACTTGATTGCCAATTCCAATATGCTTTTACAACATATTACCACGCTTAAATGGATCAGGGTCAGGGTTGTGATCGAGCTTTGATAGTCAAGCAAAACAGATATTCCAGTAACGGATATTTTATCCTGACACTTGGACACCCTGACCACTAAAACCAAAAGCACCCTTTTAGCCCTGCTTGTTGTTGTTTTGCGGAATCTATGCTGACAATCAGGCCGCTCCACAATCCGGTGTTTGAATGCACTGCTAAACAGTACCTAAAAACATGTGCACTTTATTTGACTTTGAAACAGGTGGCTAAATACAGTTGGCTTTGTACTAGTCTAATCCAGTCCCTCTTTGCTGCGAGCACCCCTATCTACATGCAAAGCCCTGTGATCACAAGTACGATTTTCCTGATTGTTCCAGGCAAATTTGTAATATAAAAAGACAGGGTTTACCGAGATTTTAAACTCATCAAACATCATCTCGATCTACTCCAATCCAATCCAATCTAATCCAACCAACTATGCAATTCACTATCGTCGCATTCATCACTGCTCTTGTCGCATGTGTCGCTGCTACTCCTAGCCCACGTATTGCTCCACCCTCCTGCAGTGTTGATGCTGAATGTCCCATAGGACAAAGATGCAAGATCGCTGAGGGTCAGACAACGGGACACTGCGCTTTTGAATAAATGTTTTGGTTATATTTGTGTGCCAGCATTCGTTCTAGAGCCTGTTCAAGTTGCATCAACTAGCTTAAACTTGAATTTTGGAATGAATAAACTCCATTTTACAATGATATTTGGCTGATATTGTATAACATGACTTTGCATAGATTTAATCACGAACGGTTGTTTTGTGTTGAGTGGCTTTGTATAGTAACGATCCAAACTGTTGAGCCTGATTGATCAGCATATAAAACGTGAATATGATAACTTGTGCAGGTTTAGAAACGCATACTGTGATATTCACCAGTATTGATGTTCCAGATTGCAACCAAAAACTGGCAGTTTTTGTACCAGACTATCACTCATGAATGCAGAATGATTCGACACGATTATATTGTTTTGATCGTCAATCTATCAAATAAACCTTGTTCGTAAATAATCGGAAATTGCGAGTGCCAATATAAAGCTTATTTTGGACTATTGCGTTTTAAAAACAACAAACAATTATAAAACAGTTTGCTGAAACTGAATTTATTATTAAGCCTGCATTTGTTTAAAATGAAACCATTTTAGTAATCGACTCACAATTTCCGATTATTTACAAACAAGGTTTATCTGATAGATTGACGACCAAAATAATATAATCGTGTCGAATCATTCTGCATTCATGAGTGATAGTCTGGTACAAAAACTGCCAGTTTTTGGTTGCAATCTGGAACATCAATACTGGTGAATATCACAGTATGCGTTTCTAAACCTGCACAAGTTATCATATTCACGTTTTATATGCTGATCAATCAGGCTCAACAGTTTGGATCGTTACTATACAAAGCCACTCAACACAAAACAACCGTTCGTGATTAAATCTATGCAAAGTCATGTTATACAATATCAGCCAAATATCATTGTAAAATGGAGTTTATTCATTCCAAAATTCAAGTTTAAGCTAGTTGATGCAACTTGAACAGGCTCTAGAACGAATGCTGGCACACAAATATAACCAAAACATTTATTCATCAACGCAGTGTCCTGATCCACCGTTAATAGCAATGTCGCATCTTTGTCCTGTGTGACAATCTGTGTCATCAATGCAACGACGTGGAGCAGTAAGTGGACTAGGAGTAGCAGCGACACATGCGACAAGAGCAGTGATGAATGCGACGATAGTGAATTGCATAGTTGGTTGGATTAGATTGGATTGGATTGGAGTAGATCGAGATGATGTTTGATGAGTTTAAAATCTCGGTAAACCCTGTCTTTTTATATTACAAATTTGTCCGAGACAATCCGGAAAATCGTACTTGTGATCACAACAAAGGGAGACTAAACTAAACCAGTATGACGCCAAGTAAACTACATTTACTTGCACATTTCAGTCAAACAAAGTGCACATGCTTTTAGGCACTGTTTAGCAGTGCATTCAAACACCGGATTGTGGAGCGGCCTGATTGTGAGCATAGATTCCGCAAAACAACAACAAGCAGGGCTAAAAGGGTGCTTTTGGTTTTAGTGGTCAGGGTGTCCAAGTGTCAGGATAAAATATCCGTTACTGGAATATCTGTTTTGCTTGACTATCAAAGCTCGATCACAACCCTGACCCTGATCCATTTAAGCGTGGTAATATGTTTTAAATGCATATTGGAATCATGACAATTGTGGACTCCTGTTTAGTTTGGTCAACACAATTCAATAGCGACTGGAGTATTATTCTAGACAAGTTGTATTGCAAATTCGAATGTCAGCAATGCAAGTATAATATAATTGCTGGAGTGTAGGATAATACTGCTAGATCACTTGTGATGCCATCTCGGTGATATTACTAAACTTGTGGCTGGTGTTATATTTCAAACTACTCAATCAGATATAAAATGTCAGCTCAATCAACTATATCAGTATCTACCACACATGAACCATTGGCAGATTGGATCTTTGTGTGATTAAATTTTGGTCTAAACGAAATACATGAGTTTGAATGCGGTCCAAACTACAACACCAATATCTACTCAAACATGTCGAGTAACTGGTTGGTGATGCGCTGTTTTTGAAAGAATACTCTGGGTTTACTCGGATGACTACAGCAATAGATGTGTTTAGTAATCTAAACATATTTACAATAATGGACCGTATCGAGCTGCATTGTCACAACTAGTACGTGGTTGATGCTTTTTGGTAGTGATGGCCAGTACAAACCATATACGAGGATTACTGATAATAATGCGGCCATCATAAAGCAATATTTGCCACATCAGCTCAAAACATTAGTAATAAATATACCGCTATATATCATATTATATCAAAGCACACAACACTGCATCAGTATTGTATCAGTCATAAAAGACACTGCCAAAACCAACTTTAATCAACATGTTGAAATGTGTTTATCGTACAGGAATCAGCAATCAATGATTGAATGAAGATTTGAATTATACGATTAAATACCGCTGATTACTTGATCGATAATGAACAACATTGATTGTTGTATAGCCGAGTGTTCCACAGTACAAACTATTGGATATCATTGTGCAAACTTGAACGACACTATGATATGCTTGACAAGCGTAATGTCCAACAGTGTTCAATAGTGTCCAATAACGGTATAACTGTTTGCTGGACAAGTTGTTGATTTGCAGTAATCAGATGTGCATCACCTGCAACATTGGATGCAATTGACGAGTTGTAACCACCAGTCAACAATCATCGATATGCTGGTGATTGTATTGACTACATGATTGGTATTGATTAGCTGTCATGATCGATTGGTGAGGAATACAATTCACATTGATTATGACGTGTTGCAACTGTTTGATATATGCAGATTCGACTGATGATCGACTATATGTTGATGTGTAACTCGGTCATTGTTGGTTTGAGTTGGTCATTGCTACCGTTTGTATATGTTGAACCTGTTGGATAATATATTGTCATGTCGCATCAAATCGCACTACATTTAGACTGCAATCATTAATTTGTTGGTTTAGTGATCGATTCGACTTACATTTATACAACTTGTGGTCACATTCAACTGTAATGCTACAAATATGCATTGTTGATCGACACGCATATATCAACATGTATCAGACTCAAATATGGTGTATATCAGTTGCATATACCAGTCACTGATTCAATTGATGATGATCGATTAGTCAATCGATTGGATATCAACACCAATGTCAGTCCATTACCACATGGATACTTGCAGCTGTGACTTGTATTCAGTCAGTAATATTGAATGTCGTGACTTGATGAGCATGATATGTTGGTCAGCTGTATTACAACACGGTCAATAGCATGCTGGTGATTTGCTGTGCTGTCTGACTTCATCTATGGTGTTGATCAGTGTCGGCAGTAATGTATTTGTATTGGTCATGACTTGTGTGTAGTGATCTGAATAACAATGTACTCGATACTTGGATAATCGACCAACATTGTGTGCAAAACCATACTACTCGTCCCAAAATAAATCCCATTTACAATCATTATTTTTAATGGTCACAATAGTTCAATACGCTTTTGAAACCGACAAAAACAATCGATTCAATCAAGTGTCAGTCTACAACTGCACTGCTGATCAAACTGCATTTGAAAAGCCTAAATAACCCAAACTGGATTGGATCAGTCACACCAAACAAAGTGGCGAGTATCGTTTACTGTGTCCAAGATCAATGGCAAGCAAACGTTTGGTCCATATCTATTTTGGATTGGCCTGTACCATAAAAGTCAAAATTCTTGTTGATAGCTTTAGCAGTGGAATGTGTATGGTTTTATTTAATGAAAAATAACCGATTTCTAATCACATTGACTTGTGATATTTCGCCGTGTATTATGGTTTAATTGGAACATATTCAGAATCATATCGAATCCAAACAGGAAGCAATCAAATGCCACTTTAAAAACCAAGTGTTTCAATGCTGTAAAATCACTGTAGATTGTCAAAAACAACATGATCCGAGACTCTCGAGGTTTCCAGTACATTTTGGAATTATCCAATATACTTGCATTAGGTTTTGATTCAAACTGCCAAAACACATATCCAATCACGTCTTGCAGTCATCAGTTTTGGGATGGGGTGTAAATGGTTGTTTGATAGTCACTTGAAATGCCATCAGTTGGGTTCCAAATGAAATAATCAAACTCAAAATGGTTCAGAGATTTGGAAAAGTCGTGGCATTGTTTTTGAATGATGATTTTGGAGGCAGCTTGTTTCCAAAGAAATAAACACTATTTTCGATTTGATCGTTCTTTGGAACAAGATTTCCAGTTGGAAATTCGATATTGGTAGTATTGCTCAATCAAAGTGGAAATAAATGACAGCTCCAACATAGTCGTGATATACTTTTGAATGATTCTCACTTTGGCATCGTTGGTGTAATCATGCCCCTTCAAAACAAGCTCGGCAACAGATCCAAAAGGAGTCGCAAGATTTTTACCATAGTATTCCAGCAATACCTCGCGAGTAACGGAATTCAAGATAGTAATGATTTATGCTCAATCTTGACATTTTCAAGCAAGTAATGAGCACACCAGGCTTTGAATTCACCATCTTCAAATCGGTGGTTTGAAATATCGAGTATGTCATCCTTTCATTTTGGTATGATATCCATCGTTATTGACTGATGCTGAAATAATGAGTTTGATGTTTGATTCACGGTTATCAGCAAGAGTATTGATGATGTTGAATGGAAAGTTCTTGACAACAGATGCATTAAATAGTGCATTGTGCTGGTTGAAAATGTCAATCTGTTGAAGATTCCTGGTATTGATGTATGGAATTAGAGTATCCATCATTTCCTGCTTTTCTGATTCGACGACGGCTTCGCACCAATCCACAATAGTTTCCCCATCAAACGAGTCATTGTAGAATGTCGTTACAGGCTCATTCAACAAGCAATAATAAGAGCAATGTCTCCACACGGCACAATCATTGATGCAGGTGACTCTGTATCTTGATCGATTCATGCAATAATCAGCAGACAGCTCTCTCCAACTCTTACAGGACCTCAAACATCAATCCCAGTATTTCTTGTTATCGAGGTCAATAACTTGATTTTTTAAAGCAGTGTAAGACTATCACATAATCACATACAGCCTTCATTACCAACATCAAACCTGTACTGAAGGTGATACGGAGAAATAAAGGAAGAAACAAAATGAGAGTGGAATACAAGGGATTGGATTCAGCACTACTTGTGGTTTTTAGCAAACTCTTGAACTGCTTTTAGTGATGAAAGAGGCAGACAAGGGAATTCTGGAGTTACTTGACTGATTGGTCGTTTTCTTGGGTTTGGTTGATGTTCTGTTGAAAGTATTAGAAATGATGAAATAAAAAGTAAATACAAGGGAAAGAAGCTTTTTACTTTTAAAAGACTGTTGGACTCGTTAATTGTTCAGTATTAGCAATTCCAAATAGGTTTGGAATCTTGGCATTTTAGACAAATAGTCTATTCATCAAGACAATGAGATCAACAATTGTCAATTCAATCCAACTGGTCAATACTATCATTTTAATTGATTACAACATTCATATAATGACTCGGATCAAGTCTTTTACTCAACATTGTAATATCAAATATTCAGATTAAAGTTTCTAAAAAGCACATGTTTAAAGCTACAAGTCGAGTTCAATCTCGAGTAATCTAATCAAGTTTACTACGACTTCATGACTGTATATTGCATATACTCTACTTTCAATATTCACAACAAAACCATGCACGAGTCCAAGTGGCGTGTATAGTGCCACATCACTGATATTGACTGACACGATTTGCCGGCATTGCAATGAGCAATCTTTAATACACTGGATGCCTAAGTTATCAAGTGCCGTTAATCTAAACGCATACGATTATCAGGAGCCATACTGTGCCTATATTTGTTTTGAAAGGAAATCTCACTCTAGTCCAGCCACATGCATCAATCAAAACCAAGACTAGTCAAAATATATCTTTCCCACTTAACCATATTCTATTATTTCACTGATACATTTAGACTACCAAAAGCATGATTTATACTACTCTGCTCAAGGTACTTTTCGCATTCAAAGTTCTAAACGCAGTTATTCTCGTGGCTATACTAGGCACTGCATTAGTACGAGGCGAAATTTCCTTGTGGGCATATTCATCGCTTACACTACATCTGTCGCTACTTGTTGGACTGATTTGCTATGATATCAAAAAACAGTTTTCAATCACAATGAATTTGTAAGTAGTATTTTATGGTTCCCAGCTTTTATAATCAGTTTATACATACTGATCGCAATGATACTGGTTACAAACATCTAGATTTAGCAAATATGAATGCGTACTAGGATTTATAAACTTTCTATATAGTGCATGCGCTTATTATATGATGGAGAGTACTAAAGATCCACATTCAAACAGTCAGAGTCTTGTTTTGCGATGGACACTTTTAATTGATGTTGCAGGAGGAATCATTTTTTGGACCACAGGACTTTCCTTTGGGCTACTGATTATTATCGTTGTGTATCTTGATGAAGCAGAGCTTGATTATTGCGAAGAAACGATTAGCCAACCACTTGCAAAAACTGGAAAGCAGCTTGAAGTGTTTTTATTCGAGCTACCGGGCGACACTGACGACAAGATGTTTGCATCAATTCAGCCCAGCACGACCGATGCAGCACTTCAGAAATTGCCATTGATCATGGAGGACAGCGAGTCTACTTTCTCAACTACACCTTGCTGTGAAAACACCCAAACCAATGACCCATACTGCCTCAAGTCCTGCCATGTTGGTAGTATGGATGTACTTCCCATTGCTATTCAACGCCGTCCAAGTCTTACTGAAGCCTGTACAAAATACCAAGGTTCGAACCTTTGGTCTAGACGGTTCAGTCTAACTAAACAACCTCGTATTCTTCGTGTTCCTATAGACGATGCCCTCTGCACCATCTGTCTCGGTTCATACTCTCTTGGAGATCGTCTGCATCGTCTTGACTGCTCACATCACTTTCATGCTGCATGTATCAAGTCTTGGCTAAATGTGCGCAACTTGTGTCCATTATGCAACTCGGCGGTTGTTGGAGTAGATATAGATTTGAACGAGGATGAAATTGCCGAGTTTGAAAAGTATACGGGAGAAGTTGATGCTTTGGATGATTCCGAAGCTCAACCATGGCAGTCGCACTCTGTATCAGTAAGCATGAGTGAATAGACTCGAAAATCTTGAAAGGCTCATCGAGTTGAATGAAATCAAACAGCCAATAAGAATGTGAATTGCACAAACCAATCACAATCCAGACATTTTTTTGCCAATAAATTTTCTTTTTCCTTTCTACTAATCAGCCAAAAACTGACTTTTATTATCATAATGGCCAGTATTCCTGCTTCGTTCTTTGGTCTCACCATCGATGCCGACAAGAAATACAGTCAAACAGTTGAAGATGATTTTCGTCTTACCATGGTGTGTTGATTACTGTAGATTGTGTGACTTGCTATCCTTCAATTTCTTTAAACCATTCGAGATAACATGCATGGATTGGCTGTTTATATGTATTTATCACTCTATTGAGTGTTCTATTTTACGTGAATACAGCTGTAATGATAAATTCAACAATAAGCCACGATGCATGGCTGTCTTGTAGAATTCGTCATGTCCGAATTTTGAATGTCATGTTCAACTTTGTTAGTGATGGTATTCATCCAGTTGAAGATGGATTGTTGAACGCAGATTCACCACTTGTTTGCATGCATTGCATCATCTGCCTCTAATACTACTGCCAATTCACTTTGGTCTAGTATGTCCAAACTAAAACCATATACTCACATGGCTCAATGATATTTTGAATATAGGCTTCTCTTAGCACTAAGCTGCCCAATAAGCCCCAGAGGACATCTGTGATTATCAAGCTTGGTGATCGTGAATTTACTTTGTGTTCATTGACTCCAGGCACACTAGAGAACCAAAGTCTAGATCTGACTCTTGTTGCTGGAGAAGAAATATCTTTTCATTCGGTTGGAAACTGCAGCGTCGATCTTACTGGAAATCACATTGTTTTTGCTGACGATTTTGGCTCAGACGATGAGGATGACATGGAAATGATGGGTGAGTTTAGAGTTGGTTTTTGTTATATTCTAGATGTATTCCATATACTTTACATATTTGTTAATGGTCAAGTGAATATAAAACTCACCATGAAGATCATCATCACGATTCAAACTGTAATCACGATCAAGGCAGTGATGAAGAGTCTGACGAGATGAACGAGGATTCGAATGAAGACGATGACTCTGAAGAAGAGGAAGAGCTTGACGATGCCACTATTGAAGCCATTTTGGCTGCACAAAGCAAAAACAAGCGCAAGCCTGAACCTATTCCTTCCGACAAGAGCGGAAAAAAGGCCAAGGTGGTGGAGCTTACTTCTGAAAAAGAAGCCGAGACAAAAAAGGGCAAGAAGGAAACCAAGGAAGTTCCTGCCAAGAAAGAAGCTCCTGCCAAAAAGGAGACTCCAGTTAAAAAAGAGGCTTCTGCCAAAGAATCTCCTGCTAAAGAAAGCACTCCTGCTAAACGCACTCTTTCTTCTGGCATTATTGTCGAGGATTCTGTTGTTGGAACTGGGCCCGTTGCTAAAAGCGGCTCCAAGGTAACTTTAATACAGATCTGGCGTGTGTTTGATTTTACATGCAACTAATGTTTGACTTTTTACTACCCTCATTCTCTTAGGTTGCTGTTCGCTACATTGGTCGTCTTACCAATGGAAAGGTGTTTGACTCCAACACCAAGGGAAGTGCATTCACGTTTAAACTAGGCAAAGGTGAAGTGATCAAAGGATGGGATCTTGGTGTTGCTGGCATGCACGTTGGTGGCTCACGAAAACTGACTATTCCTCCCCACCTTGCTTATGGCGGCCGGGTATGTTGTATACTTTTTAACTGAAATGGATTTTGTGAGAAATATAGTATTGTAGCTAATATTTTATCTGATGGATGGCTATTTGTAAAATAGGGTGCTCCTCCTGACATTGCCCCCAATGCTACACTTGTTTTTGAGATTAAGCTTCTCGATGTCAAGAAATAAGCCACTTGCCCTAGTACTTGGTTGATCCTCATGTGCTATGTAGCTTATTAATAAATTGAAATGTACTAGCATACCAAATAGCTATCTTTTATACTGGTTCTTGAATGTGTACAATGTATTAATTGAAATGATAGTGGAATGTATCAATGCAATAGAGTTATTTTGAATCTACAGTGCATTGAAATCCAGTCTGTTTAGTACTCAAACTTGCAAAAAGAGAGCACGTCACTGAAACCATAGTGTGTATGGATTGTTGATCGATTCATCTGCTTGGCATTGATCATGAACACATCTGATAAAATAATACACGACTACAAACCTGCATTAACGGTAAATATATTTACAGTCGGATTCATGTAAAATGAAACCTGTACTTGTTTTGCATATCGAATTCAAAAAACACGATGCTGTTTAGTAAATATGATGGATATTATCATTTGATCAGACTGGCTGTCTGTTATGCAGACATCCTTATTAGTATTTTATTTTACGTGAACATGGCTGTACTTTATACTTGAAGATTTACTGTTTAAACTATCACCAGCTATATATTCTAAAAACCATGATGCGTGACAATAGAAATGTATCATTATTGCTCAAAATAATAGTGGGCTTGACTTCATAAAAAGTGTTTCATCATTTCGCTTTGCCCACTTTTTTAGCTCAACAAGAGCCGACACGACTATATCCTTTTTTACTATAGGTCCAAACGCTGCGTAGATCTCCATGGTAGACGTTGCCTTGTATGATACATATATATCAGGTTAGTATTTCGATACAAAAGATGTAGGCATGAATCAATTGTGCACTACAGATTTTGTCGATAAAAACAGGGACTTGATACGTACTTGATATACTACGGTTTCGTGATGGGTAGAAAAACACGAAACATTAGATATAGTAGGTCGCAGACTGCCAAGCTCGAGTGCATATTGATACAATCGCTGTAGTCGCTTGCGATCCTGACTACGTGTATAAGGAGCGATTGGCTGTGGCTCAACAAATTGTCCCATTGTCCGTGATTTGATAATAAAGTGTCGCAGTTCTGAAATACCTAATTCAACTATAGCACAACCATCAGAAACATTCAAAACTAATTCATAACAGACACGCAATCACTCCGTCAAGGTTATAGTATAGCAATCTACTTACAAACACTAAAATCACGCACATGGATCGCTGCATCTAAAGCAGGTATGATACCATTGGAATTGAAAGCATGAACTATGCGCTGTTTATATTCACTCTGAGAAAAAAATGCACTATTGTCTGTTGACATGAGCGCCAGACACAAATCGGACGTGATAAAGCATACATATGTGTGCAAAAACCCACGATTGTTAAAATGAGGCAAGCACACTGGAGTCCACGATTGTACAGTTCGAAACGTAGAAGATGACATGATCATATTTACAAGCAAATATATATCTGATATTTTGAAAAAGTAATCAGAATATGTTGGTTTGAAAAGCATTAGTATTCAATAATAAAACCCTTTTATAAAATGGGTGTATTATGAAACTTTGTCTAACCTTTTGGATGGAGGGTATAGTTTCGCGGCCTTAGCAAAGTGACCAGTCTATCTTTTGCAAAGAGCAAACCAAATAAAAGATCTTTTGGAGGTGCTGCATCGATTAATGCCTGGGTCAGACGATCTCTAAGACGGGATGGGATTCGAGTGCATTGCATTGACTCTAAAAAAATCGACGAGTCCCGTTGAAATGATTTACACAAAGTGTCCATAAAAATCTCCGTTCCTGTATCATGCATGAAAACAGTAAAACTGTTAAAAATGTCAAGCTATTGTAGAGTTAAACTCGATGGCAAATACAAAAGAATCAACTAACCCCATATCAAATTGCGTAAATCATAGTTTACTCGCTGTTTAAAAATACGATCCAGTTGCAGTGCTGTGAGAGTAAGAGTGATTTGATCAAACAGCATGTCCAACTGTTTCCTTAACTAACAGCGTATTTATTAATCAATGTAACATATGGACTGAAACCACAATGTAAAATATGATCCAGTTTCTGGATCGTTACTTACCTGGTACTCGCTCTCTCCAGTAGAGGATACTGCTACAAGATACAAAGGTCCACGCACATGAAAGACAAACAAATGTCCGCCAGCACAAACACTCCTAATTCACACATCAGATATGTTAGTAACCTGCACCATTACACTTGAACAAGCTGATTTCTAGATTAAAATGCATTGATACAAATATTAAAAATCAATGTAATGAGAAAACCGACCTGATTGAATCATCCTCATCTGCATAGTACGAGATAATGGCCTGAATGACACCCATAAACGATGCCAGCTTTGTTTCGTCACCATATCTAGTGTAAATAGGTTTCCCCGATGCACTCAGAATAAAAAAGTGTTTCTTGTGTGTTTTCCACAATGAAGTATTTGGACCTATTTATTATCACATTATTAGATCAAATGCATGTTCAATCACCTTGAAATGAGCTTCAAATAAATCATAATGATTCAGTTGGTAGTTTGAAAACTTGCATCATGCAATAAATCAGAACACCAATCATTCACAGACATCAAAACCCATTCAAGAATACCTTGGTTACCATGCTTGCGTTGATATCCATCTCGACAACTTGGACGTGCATCTTCTTCTAAAAGCGAAAGAGCAGACATGGCAACTAGACGAGCGTCATGCGAGTCTTCCGTAGATACAAAAGTAGAGGCAGTAGGCAATGCAAGTTCAGTATACGATTGAGTGTGTGAAGGGTCATTACTGGTTTCTAAAGAGGTGATATCAGGAGGGAGAGGACTGCAGTCTGACATTGTTGAAATGGCAAGTTTAAAGTAAAGCACACATCTGCTCAAACTCCATCTATAAAATCATTCCCTGTGGAATCTGAATAGAAACCAACTTTACTATACATGGCGACACATTGTAAGCTGGATAGACTTTTGGCTTGTCATGCTCTCAATGCATTGATCAGCGTAGTGCATGCATTCGATACACTGCCAGAAATTCAAAATATACTCGACAGACAGTATAAGAATTTTAATATTCTATAAAAAATATAGTAAAGTGACAACCAGTTACTAGCAGACAGTCTATCCCAGATGGCAGCTGCTCTTGGCATATTTAGACTCGACATTGGCATTTTCAAGGATTTAGTTTTCAGCAATATTCAAATCTTCTTTTCCAAACAACTACACTCGTCATGGTTTCTGCAATCGCCCCTATTACTGGTCGCTTTCGAGGCCGTATTGTGAGAGACATTGTTGTTAGTATCAGCATAGGCACTGTTGCTGCATATACTTGGTGGTACACTGTTTCTAGACCCACTATGAGCAAGTGGAAAGCCCACGACGCCAAGGTCAAGATTGAAAACATTGCTGAAAGAGATGCATGGCTCAAGGAGCAGCAACAGCAGTAGAACTGATAAAGAGGTCGTCTTTTGGTCGTTACAGGATGACTTGTTACGTTTGTTTCAGTAAGTCGATGTTGATAGTCTTTATGATTCAAACAGGCTACTCTCTTGAACCCATTGCACAAGTATCTAAACGGACTAGTTGATGTGCTGTTTTGTATACTGCTGACTCTTGCTTTGAGTTGTATACAATTGGTTACTAACTATTGCTCACTTTCACCCTCTTTTTTTTAATCTGTCCATTGAACTCCATCACAATGACTCAAATTCGTTGTCTTGACTGGTTTTAAGCCGTCAATCCTACTATGATCTAGTACTGCTTTTACCAATCCGATTACTAAATGAGCACTTGAATAAATCAGTGTTTGTTTGTCTTTATTTTTGAGAATAGAATGATGTCGATTTGATATGCTGATGTCCAAGTTTTTATAATCTAAATGCCCATGGCATAGACACTGCAATCATCAAGCCATTATACCGTCGTATTCACGTAAAATGAATCAAGTGTGGTGTATGATAGACGGCCAGTCTCATAAAATGGCTGGCAGTTTATTGGACAATATTGTGCTTTTTAAACCTGTTGACGAAACTCGCTGGTCTTTTGATGACTGTCATGGTATCTGAGAGTTAGGATAAGCAAAGAGAAGCTGTATTGACAATATCCAAACAATCAACACCAATATCTGAGCCGCAATGAAGAGGTAATCACAAGATAAATACAAGTTTCATTTACGTGAATGCAACCGCAAAACAAAACTGATACGTTCAAAAGTACTAGTTTATTATTTGAACTCAATATCAATGAAAATAAGTTGATGTAAGATTCCAGGCCAAGACATTTTTAGACAAAAACCAAACCAACAGCAATAGCAATAGCAGAGACTCCAAAAGAGATCTGGCTAGCAATGCTACCACTTTTGGCTACCGATCCTGTACTACTTGAAGCAGGATTTTTGTTTACCAAGCCAGTAGGAAGTGCTGGAGATGTGGAATGACTTGTGGCGGCAGCAGAAGCCGTACTAACAGGAAGAGGATTGACTGGTGGAAGACCCTTTCCAGCAACACGATCCCAGAATCCTTCATCGTAAGCAGCATATCCAAGGCACTTGTCAATAGGCATGGGAACATATTTACCAGATCCAGCAAGGATCGCATCAAGAGCCGGAGCAGCCTGTGGTTCAGAGGTGGCAAACAGATCGTGCTCGAGAGAAATAACTGGGCCACTACCAGCGTTTGCAGCTTTTTGGAATTGCTGAACAACATCAAGAGCGCCATCAGCATCTTTACTGTCCAGAGACCATTCAACTATGGTTAAACCAAGATTTTGTAGAATGGCGCGAATTCTGTCATCAATATCTCCATCTAGCAGCCATTATAGGATTGACAATCAGTTAAAATCTAGCATCCACTTTTAAAGACTAGCAATCAGTTTGGTAAGCCACTTACATGGAGGACGGAAAAAACGAGGAGTCACACCAATAATCTCCTTGATAGCTTGGGCAGTAAATACAATTTCAGCAACATACTGCTCGCTTGAAACAGTGGTGGCCTGGGGATGTGACCAAGTGTGGATACCTGGTATCAGGAATAAAGATCAGGAATTAATTTCAATACAGTTGTACTGAGATTGCATTGACAAAGTCACTCTGTAGACATACCGATCTGATGGCCTGCCTGGTATGTCTGAAGTAGCTGTGCGGGATACTCAATGGCACGAGAACCTATAATAAAAAAAGTTGCAAGCTGGTTCCTGGCTTTAAGGGCACTCAGCAGATCTGCAGTGTAAGGTCTAAACCACAATAACCAGAAACGGATTTAATTGACAGATATGTGGCAGTGTCATGAATAAAAAAATGAAGTCAGCCAAATTGCACATCTGTACAGCCATATTCACTTGACAGAGCATTAAATAAGGGTGTCTGCATAAAAACAGTTGGTCCCATGGAATGATTGGTGTCAGTTTACTGAAAATGGTGTGTTCACTGATCTTTTTCCAGTAATCATATGGAACAGTTGCATTCCCAAGACTGCAATCTGCTTCTCAAATTAGAGCGCGGACATGAGATTTTAGAATAGAGTGTCAAGACAGTCGAGTCCAATATCTGAATTGCCATGTACAGTTGTATCAAAAGAGGAGAGAGGGATAGTTTTAATTCAAACTACAGTTTGATTGTGTGCATCATATGATGGACACTGCCTTGAAGAATTGATAATGTATTGAAAAAACACATTATTGTACATTCCAAAACAAGAGGCGTCACCATAAAATAATGCAGGTGTTCCATTCTACGTGAATATGGCAAGCATTCAATACAGTTCACTTACCCAGGACCATCATCGTATGACAAACCCCATTGATTGGCTTTGGGACAGTTGGTAACATCCTTGGACCAGTCTGGGTTGGGCAGACCTTTTTGGTTCACTGGAAGATTGGGAATATTTTTTAAAATGGCAGCAGACCACGATGCATTTGCAGGAGGTAGCTTGTCCATTACTGGATACATGGCAGGGTTAAGAGTCCCAGCAGATGCCAGAGTGGATATGAGCACAGTGGTACATACAAGTGTGTGTATGATTGTCATTGGAAATAAAGTCGGGATATAATATATGTAATGTGATCTTGAGAGTATTTATAGGAATTTGTAAGCGATTGATATGGTATTTCTGAATTGTATACGGCTAATAAATGCCGACAAGGCTTAGCAATCTCAATAGTATGTTCTCCACTATATGGCCACATTCTCAAATATTTACTGAAATCAGTGCCTGCCACTATGTTGTAAGATCGGCTGATTCCAGCCGATCGCAGATTAGAACAGCCTTCATTTACCGCCATATCCACGTAAACTGAGCATCAAAGGTGCCAAAGTACATAGTAAGCAGCCAGTTCCCATTAAATTTACTGGACAATATTGTGCCATCTGAACTCACTGACAAGGCTTACTGGCTTCTCCTTCATGCTTATCTTTGCATAAACAATTGACATGTTCAAAGCAATCCTCGCATTTCTGCCCCAATACACCCCACATTCTTGGCATTGGTTAATCCTCAATTCTTCAAACTGAACATTACACTACTGGGTGATTGGCATGCAAACAACAATTGCATATCCCGGAAATGCAATCTTTATTTTCTTAAACTGGAGCGCAAACGTATCCGAGATTAGAATACAGCAAATATCAGTTTGTACAACTGCATTGATATCAATAGTCAACCCTAATATCTGGATTGCAATGCATGAATCTGATGATCGTACAACGTATAGCTATGCAAAAAGTAAAGGAAGGAGCAGCTTTAAACCATAGTTTGATTTGTGTGCATCATATAATGGATATTGTATTTATTTTGAATTGATCATGTCAACCAAAAAGCAAGTGCAGTCAATGTGTAATAGAAAGCACAACGAGCATCTAACCACTGTATATTCCAAACCAAATAAAAACAGTACAAGACAATGTAAATACTCTTTTACGTGAATATAGTGGTATATGAATAAATGTAGTACATCACGTGTAATTATACTATTGATATGAATAGTACAATCACGACTTGAGATAACAAAGTCGTCTACATAAAAACAATAGCTATTAAAAGTAGTATTTAACCATGTACAAGGTCGAAATCCTAGGAGATACTCTGCATAATGCAGCCATTCAGCGTAGACAGAGACTGGATGAGGAGCGCAAGCAACGCATTTTTAACCCAAAAGTCCGTATTCTAGGTGTAAGTCTCGATTTATTAAAGCGTATTTGCTTTTAGTCGACTATTGGAATAGATATTTTCAAATAATGTAAACTTTGATTGGTAGCAGATGTGAATACATGTTGCCTACTAATATGTCAACAGTATACAATGCTTGACGTGGCATGTTTATTCAAAACTAACACAAATTGAAATACTTTACAAACTTATTAATACATTGTAAATGTGCCATAATTGCATATCTTTATGAAAATGACAAATAATATTGGCTTGAGCAGATTGACCTCCAAGCTTTGGATGAGCAGATTCAGATCAAAAACGAACTCAAGGAAATTGATAAGCAGCGCAACGACGCTCTAGGTAGATATATTAATTTATTCTATTGGCAATCAAGTTTGCATTGATTCAAATAGTTAAATTTTCATTTTAATCCGACTATAATTTCAAGACAAATCTTCCAAACTCAATAATGATATTTTGCAACTCATGGACGAGCAGGTTCAAAAAGCTCGTCGTCATTGCTTACAACAAACCAATCAGTACCGTCGCGATCATCAGCAACCACACCAACGTCGTGATTATGACCTCTATGATCCCAAAGCACTCCAAAAAGATGTTTCTACACGCGTTACCAACGGGCAATCCAAAGACCATCCCATAGGAATTAGTAGTCTTCAACGATTCGAGGGTGAAGATCTTGCAGCAGAGAAACGAACTATGCTGCAAAAGGATCAGATGCGTGTTTGGGCCAACGAACAAGTGTTTGAAAAAGAACGTAGACGACAGGAAGAGTTGGATGAGAAAAAAAGATATGAGGAGTTTCAAAAAAGTATTGGTGATAAAATGGCTGCTTTGCAGAGTTCTGTCGAACAGGCTCAGCGCGAACAGGCTCGACTTGATAGCGAATACAATCAGTCTTTAGTGAGTATCACTTTTTACTAGTTTATTTATTGAATTTAATGTATGTCAGGGGTTTTAAATTTATTTCTAATTGACTATACATGGGTTTGTAAAACAGGCCGCAGAGAAACGATTGCGTGAACAGCAACAAAAGGAATACGACAACAATCTCAATACTTACGAGATTGTCAGTCATATTAATAGTACTTTTTTAACTGAAGCTTCAGGTACGTCAGCCAGCAGACAATCTTCAAAGTGAGTAGTTACTATGCAGTCCAATAAGCATGTACATATGCCTTTTTGACTGAGATATGTGGTTACAATGATCAAGTTTGTCAGATTTTAATACTGCAGTGATAAAAATGTAATAGAATGCGAGCGGACCTGTTCAAGGGAATCACTACTGAGCAACGAAAAGAAATTCTAGATACCCAAGAACGCCAGCGAATGGAACAACAGGTTTTTCAATTGAAATTCAGCACATTCATATAGCATCAATTACTACAGCATATTAATCATTATATTATTTGCAAATTTAGAAACGATTGGATGAAAAAATCAAAGAGGAGGAGCGCTGGGCCATACAAGAAACTATGAACAATCGAGCACTAAATCTTCTTGAGCGCGAGCGTGTCCGTAACTCTCGTGAAAAAGCCATCCAGATTCGCCGAGAAAATGAAGCCAAAGCAATTGAGGATAAAAAACGGTAGATTCGTATATTCATGTATCTGTTTATGGCATATATAAAACACGCCGATTAATTTCAGTATGGTTTGGTGGTATTTACAGAAGGACTTATATCGACAAGGTGTTATACACTAATGCTCCTCAAGACGCATACTTTATGCAATTTAATACTACAAGTCGTTGAGTGATGAACTGTTTCATTGTTGTGAATTGTTGGTGCGATCGTATATGTTTTTGGATTTAATTCCAAGTCAGGCTCCATAATACTAGAGTTTTTTGAAATGCGAAATAGAGTCTAGTCAAGCTTGTCCCTAAAAAACTATTTTTGATGGTTTTACGTTTTGAATAAACAACTCCAGTCCTAGGGTTTGATATTAAATATTTGAATTTTTGCAGTATTGTCTGGGCGATTAAAGCATATGCGCAGTTTATTAGAAATATACAGTCAACAACGGAATAGTATTCAAAACATACGTTATTATGCAGCCATACCCATCGTGTTTTAAAAAACACGGCTTGATATTATTCTAATTCAAAAAATATACTTTACATTTATTATCGATTGCACAGTAGGATAAAAGTCTGAATGGCAATCAATGTGCTGGTATTTGCTTGTGCAGTAACAATGTGGTCATCTACAAATTAAATCATTACAAATGTGATTTAGCATGTTTCAATGTTGTAAATAGGATCCAAACATTTATACAAAAACTTACCAATAACAACATGCAACGACTCGGATTTCCCTGTAGAATATCTTCCGTACATATCGGATATAAAATCTTCAATCGATCTATTTGTAAGATACTGATCTGATTGAATAAGCGATACATTTGAAGGCTATATGGATTGAAAACAAGTCAGCTCTAGCTTATTACAGGTACACCAATGTATATAAAGCCATAGATAACGTACAGCAGTGAGAGCAAACTTTCTAAATATCCACATATCACCAGTCTTTGGCTCTGTCGAGAACAGCACAGCGGTGCCAGATCCAATCATGCAAATGGGTTCTAAAGATGGTAGGTAACAGATACGTTCAAAGGGATTAAAGTTAAAAATCAGACTAGTAGATCTAGTGAAATATGGTTAAAAGTGATATATTAAAGAATATTCCAAGCTTACTTTTAAACTTTAGAAAGTATTCCATGAATGAATGAATTTTCTGGCAACAAGGCTCAAAATAAAAGCCATCAGCATCAGGCACGACAAGTCCAGAGTAGTTTTCTATAGCAGGATCAAGATCCTCTAAAGATAAAGGGTTGGATAAAATATTTTTTTTATCAGCGATCCATTTAGAAGTGGCATCGTCCATGTGGGTAGTGGTGTGGGGAGTGTTTTTTGTAGACCAGATTGGAGGCAGACCATTTGCGGTGGAAATATGTACGGTGGGAAATACGGTGGAGCACACAGAGTAGACTTGAACAAAATGCTTTGGAGAGGTTCCAGGCTCGACAGAAGATAGTAGTATAAGCACCTTGGAGGGAGTTGACTGCTTCGTGGCAGGATGTGCTGAGGACATTGGATTAGGTTCAAGAAATCTGACCGAGTTCAAAAGTCAAATATCATACACGTGATATCCACGTGAACAGTGTTTGGTTTGAACGGCAAATCTACAAATTTGTTATCAAACTATTACAACTGCTGTCGATGCTTGCTGCTCCATTGACTTCTGCCGGTAACTGCATTGAACTCGTTCTGATTCCCGCATACATGAATGCTAACCCACACTGTTTACTCTAGCTGGTATTCTTTCGTTGCTGGACGAACCACAGGATGAGCTCAAGGCTTACGCGCTGTCCAAGTTGGATAGTCTGGTGGACCTGTTCTGGGCTGAGGTGTCCGACTCTGTTTCGAAGATGTAGGCTGATTTTGGCTGTTGTTCATATTGCTGTTTTTGAAAAGTGGAGATGCTTGCAGTTGAATGCAAGGCTGCTAGTAATGTCAGCCGGAACAGGCGGAATTTTCATGGAACTAGATATTCATCGCTGTAGTCCTTTGCAGACACTTGAACCTGTACACTAGCACTTGATGATTCGTTTCTTTTGGTGTTCTAATAGTTTGAATGGCATCTGTTTTTCTATCATTTTATCAAACCCACAGCGAAGTTCTTTATGAAGACGCTTCTTTCAAGGACCGCGAGCTGGCTGCCCTGGTCGCTTCAAAGGTAAATCTGTTTTGCTCACTGACTCCATCATGTCATTATATTGGTATATTGCATTGAACTGGTATGCTATTCAGTACATTTCAATCTGAATTTCATAGTTGCCAGTTTCAATCTTTGATTATATCTACTCGACTTTTATTTTGGTTATAGATTGACTATTATATTTCACAATATCATTCTGCATACACTAATCATTTTTAATGGCAATGCGTTTACTTTGTAAGCTAGGTTTACTATCATCTCGGAGAGTTTGAAGAATCGCTTACATTTGCTTTGGGTGCTGGAAAGTTGTTTGATCTGAACCAGCGCTCTGAATATGTTGAAACTATTGTTTGTAAGTAGTTTTGGAACATCCAGATCCGCCATGTGTCACAATCCTATAATGTCAAGGCTATTTTTGAAATGTGTATATTTTTTGAGCAAGTACTAATACTTTTTATTCATTAGCTAAATGTATCGACAAGTATATTGGTCTTCGTGCCGAGATGCAAGAGGTTCCTGATAGAAAAGTGGTTATTAATGCCAATCTAGAGAGCATTGTTCATAGAATGGTTGCTCGCTGTTATGATTTGAAGGAGTATTTAGAGGCAAGTGCACATTTCTACTGCACTTTGATGTGTTTATCGATTTCCAACTAACCGTGCCATTTTATCAGGTTGTTGGCATTGCACTAGAAACCTTTCGTTTGGATTTGCTTGAAGAAGTCATTACAAACGGCAACACTCGTGAGTTGCTCGCATATGTCTACGAAGCAAACACAAAGACTATGCAGAATATTGTGTTTCGTACAAAAGTAATCACTTTGCGTTGATTGAGTTTCTATTTAAAATATCTGAATGACTGATGGCTGTTTTTGAACATTCAATCTTGCTCAATTTTTAGGTTTTCCATCTGCTTGTTAAGCTCTATGGCGTTTTAGATTCACCAGACTATATTTCCATGAGTCAATGCATGGTTCATGTCAACGATACTGCCGGAACTACCAACCTTTTGAATACTTTGATAGCTGGAAATGAGGTATATTTGTCACTAGATCAGTATTGTATCTAGTTTTAAAACAGATTGATCTAACACTTGGCATGTTTGGTTGAATACAATATAGACCCAGGTTATAACTGCATATCAAATTGCCTTTGATATTGAAGACAGTGCTCCGCAAGACTTTATTCTCAAGGTTCTTGTTGCACTTCCTACTCCAGCTGAATCAGCTGTTGTCGCAGAAGCACCTGTTGCTGCAGATTCAACTGCCATGGACACTGATGAACAGACTCCACTTCTCAAGGTAGGTCAACCAATGGCTTTGTGTTGGTCTCTTGACTTTTACTCAAACTTTTAAATATTGTTTTCAACATGACAGACTGAGCCTAGTACAACCGACTCTTTTTTGCTCAAGATCCGCCAAATCTTAGCAGGAGATTTGACCATCAAATTGAATCTTGAATTCCTACATCGTAACAATCGAGCAGACTTGCTGATTCTTAAAAACACAAAGGCAGTGTTTGATTCGCGCAACTCTGTATACCATACTGCTGTTACTTTCTCCAACGCATTTATGAATGCTGGCACTACCAGCGATGAATTTCTTCGTCAGAACCTTGAATGGTTGTCCCGTGCTACCAACTGGACCAAATTCAGTGCTACTGCTGCATTGGGTGTGATTCACAAGGGACAGATTTCTCAATCCATGGCTTTACTAGCTCCTTATCTTCCCCGTGAAGGGGTGGCTGGGTCACCTTATTCGGAAGGTGGTGCTCTTTTTGCTCTTGGTTTGATTAATGCCAATCATGGAACACAGGTTCTTCCCTATCTTTCCAAGGCTCTTAAAGATACTCAGGACGAAGTTATTCAACACGGTGCAGCTCTTGGTCTTGGTGTTGCTGGCATGTCTACTGGCAATGAAGAACTATATGACGATCTCAAGAATGTTCTTTTCAATGACAGTGCTGTTGCTGGTGAGGCTGCTGGTATTGCCATGGGTTTGATTATGCTTGGCACTGCCTCTACAAAGGCTGTAGAGGAGATGCTTCAGTATGCACGAGAAACCCAGCACGAGAAAATCATTCGCGGACTGGCATTGGGTCTCGCTTTGATTATGTTTGGCCGTGAAGATCAGGCTGATGAGTTTATTGAACTACTTTCTACCGACAAGGATCCTATTTTGCGATATGGTGGAATGTACACTGTTGCACTGGCTTATGCAGGTACTGGAAACAACAAGGCTATTCGTCGCTTGCTTCACGTTGCTGTTTCCGATGTCAGTGATGATGCGCGTCGTGCAGCTGTAACTGCCATTGGATTTGTATTGTACAAATCTCCACAGCAAGTACCTCGTGTTGTACAACTTCTTTCAGAAAGCTTTAATCCTCATGTCCGTTATGGAGCTACACTTGCTTTGGGCATTTCTTGTGCATCAACCAACATGAAGGAAGCCATTGCACTTCTTGAACCCATGGTTAAAGATCCAGTAGACTTTGTTCGTCAAGGTGCCATGATTGCTCTGGGTATGATTCTTATTCAACATAATGAGGCCTCTGCACCCAAGCTTAACACTATTCGCAAGCTTTTTGAAACTACCATCTCTGATAAGCATGAGGAGGTTATGTCCCGCTATGGTGCAGTTCTTGCTCAAGGTATCATTGACGCCGGTGGTCGCAATGTCACCATCTCAATGCAAACACGATCAGGCTTTCCCAACATTCCCGCTATTGTCGGTACAATACTGTTTACCCATTTCTGGTACTGGTTTCCTCTGACACACATGCTTTCGTTGGCATTCACTCCAACAGGTGTAATTGGTTTAAATCAAAAATTGGAAGTGCCTAAATTTGAGTTTGGAGTGTCTGGAGCGAATCAGCAATTATTCGCATATGTTCCTCCAACCAAAGTCCCCACAGCTGAAGTAGTTGAAAAGGTTGCTACTGCCGTATTAAGTACCACTATCAAGGCCATGGCTCGTGCTAAGAAGGCCGAGAAAGCAAAAGACAAGGATGGTGCTGATGATGCTATGGATACCGTATGTTTATTTGAAGATATGTGCAGGATTTGTGTTGTGATGACTGTTTATCTTACTGAATTGTAAATCAAATTTATAAACCCAATTGTTAGGACGAAAAAAAGGATGCATTACTGGAATCTATTGAAAGTCCTGCTGCTGGTCCTGATCGCAAGCGCAAAAAGAAGGAATTGCCTGAGGTTGAAGTTATGCAAGAGTTTGTTGAAAACTTTTCGCGAGTTGTACCTTCTCATGTTCAGTATGTAACATTCAAGGAAAAGTCTCGGTATGTGCCTATCAAGAAAGAGTCAATTGGTGGCATTGTTATGCTGATGGATACACGTCCTACTGAGGCTGAGGAGTTGATTGCGATTAGTAAGTACAGTGCTGAAAAGTATTTGGTGTATGGTTTACTTATTTTTGAATTTGTCTAGGTTTGTTTGGACCTAAAAACACGACCTTGGACTCACAAACTCCTGTACTTTCTCCAGTCGATCCACCACCGGCCCCACCCCAAAACCCCGGGAATATGTGAAGTCCTGTTAGAAAACTTCCAGATTAGTTCATCTTTTTGCTTTTTAAAAACAGAATCGTCGCAAAGTTGAACAAGGGTTTAAGATTTACAGCCGTATTCACGTAAAATGAAACACTTGTATGCATTTTGCAATGACTCTATTTTTCCCGGAATAAACAATGGTTAAATATTCGGTGTACTTTCCTACTAGAAATTGATTGTATAGCTTTTTATAAAGCTCTGTTGTATGCCAAACCTTGTACACTCGCGCTCCAGTCCAAGAACCCAAAAAATGCATGCCAATCATCCAATGATGTAGTGTCCAGTTTGAAGAATTGGAGATTAACAAATGTCAAGAATGTGGAGCGTATTGGAACAAAAAGACAACAGTTTTTATACAAGCACGAAAAAAGACTAGTGAATTAGAGTTTAAAGGACACAATGCTGCTCAACAAGGTTGGTATCAAACATGATACTGACTGTTTATCACCTATTTAATGTTCTACATGAATACGGCTGTAAGATGATCAAATAAGTTTTTTTGTATCAGGTCATAATTGAATGGATTACAGGAATCATTATACTCATGAATAATAAAATAAATGTATTTAAAAAAATGAGCATGATCCCGTTACTTTTGTGGTGAAACCATCTTAGCATGAAGCACTGGCAGCCACTCGTCTTGTTCCGCTGTCATAGATACCTCTACCATTGCGTGAAGTCTTGCTACCACCCATTCTAAATAAAAAGAAACCCAATGATGTACCACAAATGATTGCCAGTGAAATCCATCCATTCAACAGCATAAATATGGACATGATCACCAAGCTTGAGCCGAGTTCAGTCATATAGGCAATAGTGCGAATGAGTTGAACACGCCAAATAGACGCTCTATGTGAGAAATAGGACAAGCTTGACGAGTTAAAACCAAGCTATTCAAAACCAACACTGTCGAGTCAGAAACCTACCGATCCAAATGTCGCATAGGAGGTACTATTGGAGACTTCAAATTAACACTGTTGGTATCACCTGGGGTTCCAAACCCATGAGCAATTGGGACTTCTTGCAAAGTTGCCCAGGATGGGTTAGTAGGCTCTACATCTGTATTTGCACTTTGCCATTCTGAATTGCTCAAGACTGATTCATGAGACATATGGAGTGTAGATGGTGTATGAGTTGGCAATCGGGTATGAAGAGGAATGTCATCTATGGATTGCGTTGAGGGTGTATTGGTGTATGCAAAGGATTCTAATTGATTGAGCCACTGTGGATCTTGATGGTGTCGATACTCTCTAAACCATTCGAGACTGAGTGGTATCCCAAGTCAGAGTAATAAAAAGCAGGTTAGTATCGAGGATCAGAGTCGTAGAAACACTCGAATCGTCTTATCCAGTAGATAAGAATATATCGTGAATTGCACTTACAGAAAGCAGGACACTCCAATGCAGATGCTAGTGATCAGCATTCCAGGAATACCTATGGTTTACAGATTCATATAGATTGGATTATCAGTAAATCGTTGATTCAAAGCGACTAGTACAACTTTAGCTCAAACCGAGCATGTTTGCAGTGACAGTATCGCCTTGAGGCATTCATTTCTTGCAATATGAAACCTAGACTAAGCATTACCATAAGTTCTCCAAAATGGAAACAAGACCTTGACATCTACAAGAACATACAAAAAAATCAGTATTCAATGCATGATTGCATACACCCTGACAAGAGCATTACCTATTTCCCAGTTCAAAACCATGCTAGAGCCAGCGACAAAGGAATTGACATCGGGATTGGCAGAAGCCATAGAGATAGTATGTGGAGAATGAATAATGGCGAGTTGGATTAAAATGCAGTAGTGAGTTGATGAGAGTCGAGTCCAGTCTAGATGGCAAAAGTCAAAGTTTACAAAATGTGACCGCCACGTTCGCGTGGCACTTGAATGGATAATCACGTGATTCGGGATGAACAAGAAACGTTTGAGGGACTTGTGAGGGACTCATGAGGCAATCCTTGAAACATTGTTGAACGGCCAGCTTTGGCTTCACCCAACACTTGCCATGAATGCTTCTCAAACCATATCTGATATAGACTCGTTGCTTCAACTCACCGACAAATTAATGGCTCCGTACAGTCCTCACCCTGTCATGGCTGCTTCTGTTCCAAACTCTCCATCAGACACATTACATCCTCAACCTTTGCTTTCACAGATTCTCGCTTTGCTTCACAAGGTTGCAAATGCTGAATCATTAAAGGTGATCTACCAACACTGTCTTGCTGACTAAAACCTGCCCGTGGTCTAACCATGTAATGCATTTAAAATAGATGGCAAATCAAATCATTCAGAGCACAGGCGGTGTAGATCTGTCGCAGCGAGTTGTCGAGTTGGATTCGTCCATCTTGAAATCCATTTCAAAGTGTCTTGAACTCAAGCATGTTATGGATGCACTGATCTATCCAGGCTAATTGTCCCTTTTCACAACCGCACTCTTAATCCACCCACATGTTTGATTAGATTTCTTAATGAAATTCACCAAGGAAACTATTTCATTAGTATTACAGTCATGCCTACGCAAAATGGAACACTAAACAAAAACTAGCCGAATATTGAGTCACAGTTTCAGTTCATCTCCAAACCCAACAAACATTGAATAATTGGCGTGGAAACAGCAATTGTATTTTGGAATGTACGATGTTTGAATTAGAGCACACAATGAGCAAGCTTGATGATCATACAATGTATGACTGCCAAAAATGGAAAAATAAGTTGAGAATTTCAATTCAAAATTATAGTATCATGATGGATCTTGTTTGAAGAGTCGAAAGTGTCTATTGAAGAAACAGCCAATTTGTAGTAAGGCGCAGCGAATATTTAATTATTGTCTATTCCAGGTAAAATAAAGGCAGTTCCTGCAAGATGATACAAAGTGCTCCATACTAAGTGAATACGGCTGTAAAATAATCGACATCAAACACTTTGGGAAAATCCAGACTCGATTGAATGCTATTGCGTTCCGTACCTAAACCGACTGGGTCGGCCAAGCTCGTTTTCAACATTCTTATTGCCATCATTATGCGAATCAACACATACAGATGATACTTCTTTTTCATCCTCATCTGCAATACACTCATCCACTAGAGAGAATCTACTAATGGTTCGTCGTTGCAAAGGTCTCCAGTACGAACTCTGTTCTCGAGTGACTGTAAACCTTCCCTTTTGATGAATCTGAGCAAATTCGTCCAGCATCGATAGTGGAGATTTACCCACTGATGATGACTGTCGCGTTGAAGATGAGAACGCGTCTGTACCATCCGAGTGTCGTCTCAAATGGCCAAGAGATGGTTTGCGATGGGATGGAGGAATCACTGTTTGGTTTGGCATTATACCAGAAAACATCATAAAGTTGGACGGTAATTCTGATTGAGAATCCTCTGAACCTAGTTCTTGTTGTAAGGATGGGGATGAAGGTGACCCAATTAATGGGGACAAAGCCATAGATGATCTTGATGGAGCACAACTTTTGGTATAATTGTGTCGAAATCCACGCCTGGGCAATGGTGCCTTGGTTGGAGTGGATGGATCGTTGTCTGAATCTGTTCCGGACAGACTAGAACAGTCGGTGGGTGTAATAACGGATGGATGAAGACGGCGAAGCCCTCTGCGAATCCCAACAGTAGTATTACTATTAGTAGTAGTGTTGATATTCAGTTGTTCAATGCTTTTGTTTGTATTTTTTTCTGGCAAGGGCGATTCTGATGAGGTAGTAGTGAGCCATGGTGTTGCTGGCTTTAAAGGAGTGCCTAATCGTGCAGATCCAGCGTAGGCTGAAGGAGACAAAGTAGAGCACGAGGCTGGAGGCGATGTATGAAAAAAAGATCCAGCTGGCACAGTATTTAAAGACACGAGTGGTCGCATGTCAGAACCACTATGCGTGGGAGGTGTTTGAACCATTAAATGAGGAGGGGGCTCAAAAATACTCATGTCCAGCCGTGGGCCGGAACTGTATTTTGAGCTGCGATTGGATGAAATTGACAATTGTGACGTAACGGATAGATGATAATCAGAGTGCGCCAACCGAGGGGAAGTAGTCAAAGTAGAGATGGAGTTGCTTGAAACTGTCAAATATTGGTTGGACGATTGCGGAGATGGCAAAAAAGACATGGTTGCTGAATCTATTGGAGATGTAGAATGAATACTAGATTCTACGTGTTGATATAGTGTACGAGATGAGGAAAGTTGAGAGGCCGTTTCACGCAACATGTCATCTTCATCGTCACAACTCGCCAAAATTTCTATACCGACAGCACGAGCAAATTCCTGAGCAGTCATGTTACCAGCACACAACTCGGAATTGCAACAGCCAAAAGATTCATCAGCTACATTTACAGGATTTTGCTGGTCGATACTGTTGGCAGTGGCCATGAGAAATTGGGTTGGTTTTTGATCCATGTCACTATGGATACAATTAGAGTCATTGTTCAGATTAAGTGTTTGGAATAGAGCCAATGTAGGAGGTGCAGTTTGGAGAAGCAACAATGTATCATCCAACGTGTCTCGCGAGTCAACAGTGCCAATTGAGTGAACGGTATTTAACATCTCAGCACAGTCAAGGGCATTCATAGAGTCAACGGCTGTAGTGGGAGTGGAAGGATCCTGCAAGTCTAAATTTAGTTCTTTTTGATCATCAAATCCAACTTGGTTTGTGCTATGGCAAGCATCAATATAACCACCACACCCACTAGATTCACGTAAATAGTCTGATACAAATGGATCCAATACAGCCAATCCTGTTTCTGCAGAAAGGGTGACGGATGAACATGCCCACGAGTGTCTCGAGTCTGCATTGAACTGAGTTGAAGATGGGCGTGGACGCAGCATTTGTTTCTGATACTGCTTGGGAAAATGTAAATCCAAAGGCATTAACATAGGCGAATCATGCTGAGGCTGATCGTCAAAGGAGAACAAGAGAGGCATTGGTTGAAGATAGTGATTCTGTTGATCCTGTGATTGAATAGTGTCCGACTGATGTAAAGGCGACTGTTGAGATTGAAATGGATGTGGGTGTGATTGGACATCAACCTCGTTTGGTTCAGGAGTCAGAAGCACATGTCCTGAAGATGAAGAGCGACGACGACGCTTGAGTGATGCAATGTCTTTAGCATGAGAGCGGTTGATGACGGATCGAATGGGTCCTATAGGTGAATGGGAAGGAGTAGCAATAGAAATAGGAGCAGCAGGATGAATTGGTTTACCAGCTATCATGGCATCATTATCATAGTGTTGATACGTAGCAGTAGCCCACACATTTCCGAGCTGTTGCTGGACAAATGACATCTGCACTTGATAAGTTGACAGTTGGATTTTGTATGGAAACGAGTCTTGGAAACAAAGTTAAAAACAAAGCTGGAAACAAAGTTGGAAACCGGCTTGCCTGATAACTGAATGCAATGACTTGAGCAAGAACAAAGTAGTTTTGTTTCTTTCGAGTCTAACCACAAAGACGGATTAAATGACAATGGCAACTGCAGTAACAATGGATTACAATAGGTCGAAACAAGACCAAATCAAAGCGATAGCACAAGAATGCGGCGTCGGTTCTCGTATAAAAATGAAAGCTTTTCAAGTCTAAACAAGGCCAATGAATTTGCTTGAGCAAACGGACGCCCCGAATATTCCATTTAGAAGGGCAGGTGACGGGAGCCGATTTTGTTATGCGACCAGCGCAGGGCCACACGACTGAAAGTTGCTCATTGGACAGGCTATTTGGCCGATTGGGTTGTCTAATGGCATGAGTGATAACGTGAAACTATGCCACTGGCATCAGCTTTATTGCAAACTCTTGCTCAGTAATTCAAGCCATTCAACCGTATTGTATCTGTCTAGATTCAGCCCATTGCTTGTGTGTTGCAACTGACGTTTTTTGGTGCCATTTAACTCTGGCTCTATGCATATTCCTTTATTTGGTCTCTTCGTATCGAGTACTGGAGTCACACTACCTCCAAATTAATCTAAACACTGCCTTGGCTGTCCGCCCTAAATCTTAAACCCTCATGCGTGATTATGCATGCTTTTCATCCTTAATCCCTTCTATGCTTTACACTGTTTAAATTAAAAAAAAGCAAAACTAGCTTATAGTTGAGTGGTAGGTCTAATTCCATGATCGATATAGTCACATCCCAAATCTTGCTGCAATGGTCTGAATGAGCTGTTGCCATTTAGTGTCGAAACACCCCACTCGGCAGATTATTCCGCTAAAATGCCAGTTTGGTAGTTTGCAAAAGCTGGCCCAATTAGTTGTCCAAATAAACTAGAACAGCATCTCCACCATTCACTCATCAGCCTATTAAATGCGGCACCCTTGACTATTGTAAGTATCAGCATGGCAAACTCCACTGCAACTTTGAATTCTGATGGCAAAGCACCATTTTTCAAAATTCAATCATTTGTCAGGTCCCGCTCGGCTCTGTTTGCTTTTTAGCCGCAAGAGATTCAGCTATTGTAGAACCTGGTAAAATTGTTTGGTCGTCCATTTCTCAAGGCTGACATCATCAGTAAAAATTAAAAAACACTGTTGGTATCGTATCTGAAAGTATCAAACTGTTGCAACGTCATAAATTTCTTAATGGTAGATGTGGCGTCTTTGGAATGTCAAGATTGCCACAAGTAGTGGTGCTAAGCTGTTTGAAAGCATCTGTATGGGCCATTCAACCCAAAGCCACATCGTTTTTAATCATCTATAAACTAGTATGCATTTTTATTTCTAAACAATCAGGCAAAAGCCTCACTCAATACATTTTGAGAATCGGACACAGGCCGCAGACTCGCTGAAAACACAGTCGGTGGAGTTGTATAGGCACAGTCAATCCCTTTGTTTTATCCAGATACACCAAGAGAATCTTCACTTATCCCATCAGGCTTAGTAGTGGTCAATGGCTGCACTCGATCGGTACCAAATTCATCACCAATGAACAAGTACACATTGTCAAATCTAACTTTGACATCAATTCTTGCATAAAGAGCAATGGCAATGTTGATGACAATTGGTGTGGTAATAAATGTTTTGAGAGGAATCAACATTGTTGCTGTACTCTACTGCTACCAATATGCCAAATCGAATTGATGGGAGCAGTATCATATTTATGTGGTATATCTTTGTAAATGTCGAGGTTGTTTAACCTTGTACAAATGACCATTTCACATCAACTTTAGCCTGATATTGAGTATTTTCAAATGAATGCAAGCTTGCGACACTCGCTTGACTCGTTTGGCTCGTATTCTGGTTGATATTTACGATATCGATGCAAAGTTGCATTCCAGAATGAATGTGTATAATCTGATGTGGTCAATCGTTTGGTTTCATTGTTATCGGTCATTGATACCAGCGATTGCATTGATTGCAAATAGTAGTCCAAGTAATCATGCATAAACAAACACCAGATAGTCACTGATAAACTGATGGTATCCAATGTATACATGACACATTGTATAGTTACATTTAATTGCCAGCAATGTGTGATTGGATTACTCGAGTCATCAATCAGTTATCAATCAGTCATCAAACAGTTGTCAAGAACAATCAAGTCATGTCCAATAAACTGTCTGATGTGCAGGTGTTTTGGCATTGGTCCGTTGGTCCATTAGTACGATTGTTGGTTGGCAATTCGGACTTGTAAATGACAATTGATTCTTGATTGTTGCATTGGTGTCCATATGTGTCCATATGTGACTCATTGTATACGGAACAGGACTGACAAGTGTGTCTGGATTGATGCCAGACGATACAGCCTATCCAACAAAAAGTAATACATTGATCGTGTCTGCATGGAAATAAGCTTCATAACTTCCACTTCTGAATGTATGAGAATCAACATTCAAACAACGAATACGTCCAATGACTCTTGCAAATGCATTGATGGAGTGTTGTTGAATAATTCGAGTGTTTGCAAATCAGCATCACTGGAAATAGTTACTGTTACTCAGACAGTCAGTTGTCCAGACATTACAGTTGTAATATTACACATTTCCCATTGTTGCAACGTTCAGATAGAAATGGCAAAATTAAAACAACAGCATCCTTCAATATCAGTTTAGTCAAAACCTTGATACTTGTTCGCCTGTAGCCCAATATACTTATCAACTCCATGTCATTCATCAGATAATATTGTATAGATTTTGGCAGTGATATCAACAAGATAATCTGTACTAGGTCCAGTCGTATCCATATCCACAACGCACTCGTCCAATCCAATCTTTTCATCAAGACTATGCAAGAAATTCGACTGCGTATAGTTTGTAACAATTCCATACACCGAGTTCAAATGACTAATCTCTGCTGCAACTTTACATCCAATCAAATACTGTGACATTTCCAGTCTCATGTCATCCTTGCTTGCTTCAGTAATATAAACTCTTTCCGCGACGTAAAACATTCAAAGTGACCATGAACCTTTAAGAAATCACCATCCAATCTTTTTCCACTTGTATCTGACCGTTTCGGGTAAAAACAGACAAATGATGAGTGGAGCAATCGAATAAAGTCCGAGACTCATTGCCTGATGTAACTGAATCAAAGCATGTTGTAGCAAACGACAAATAGTGTGAAATATTGAATTTGTTTTCTGGGATTGTTTTTGACGATTGATGTAACAACTAGTTTACAGCACAGGCTTGACCTGATTCCAACATACATACATACAAGTGTTGAATCAGTGGGGGTTGACTTTGTTCTTTTCAAGTATTTGATCGAGTTGCTCTCATACTTTTTTGTTTAGAATGGGATATTTTAAAGTTCGATTCAGACAATGGCGACTCCAGTTGTGAGATATTTGATCCGACGTTGATTACAAGTTGCTGTAATTGTAATGAATAAATGATGATTTCCAGTATTTTGAACAAGAAATGGGCAGTATGGTTGTAAAGGAGGTCCTCGATCAGTCAGTCAAAGTGAGAGTTGGTCAGCACTGTAATAGCCAAGTCTTGATGATAACTCATTGTTTAATTTAAAGTCATCACATCTGTGCAGTCTTGTAGAAACTCTTGCGTTGTTTGACCCGAGTTTGATTCAGAGTTGTCATTTTTGTGGAATCGGTGTCGCAAAACGTAGCAAATCTATAGCTGATAATTCCAACAGCCATTCAAATTGAAATTCAGTTTTATAGTTTATATGAACAAACAAATATCATTCGAATGAACTGGTGTTGTATGGTGCTATTGATATACTAGTAGCATGCTTTTGATCGTACTCGATAACATAAATACAATACAAGACTCTACCTGTTGAATGACAACTTGCTTGGATCCAGTAAAACGACACTCTAGTTGTTTACTGTAATAGTCTGTCACTGTAGTTAGTGTTCAGTATATGCGACACTAACTCAGTGTGACTACAAATACTGGATCCAGTCTGTTGACAGATTTTAATCCAGATGATCTAGATGATGTATATGTAGTTGATTCTAGTCCAATTCTAGTTCAATTTCAGTTCAATTTCAGTGAATGGAATGTTTTAATCACAAGTTACGCAGCAAATGGTCATGATGCCAACATAACAAGTTTAGTGTTCAACTTGACAGTGACTGAACCTATTGTTCATTATGAATTGGCAACTCGGCGAGTGAAAACCTTGCCGACTTAGAGCATGAATGCCGGAAACCAACAACAATCCAGTCCGATTCACAAGACTCGACTTGAGATTGAACATCAAAAACACTTGGGTTGCAGCAAATATGGTTTGGAAACATCAGTTTTACAAAACTGGATTCAAGCAACACTACTTGGATGTTGTTCAGTCTGGTAAAACTTGACCATATGATGCATCTCGGATCAGCTGGTAATGCAGTGGTTTGATTCGGTTCGTTCTACAATGGTGTATTTCAATGATTGTCACAATCTGAGCATGGTGCAGTTGCTCAAGATTCTGGTGCTGAACAACAAACTCTTGAACCAGACCCGACACATTGTTGCAGCTCAAAGTGGACCATCAACAGTCTCGAGTAGGATATGCTACAATCCAGCGTGTATTGCATGATGGTTTACTTATTTATCTTGCATTCAATCTCATCCATTCAATAACATCATTCATTACCAATACAATGACACGACACGACATGGCATGCTTGAATTGATCATATTGCACTAATCACTACTATACACTGAATTGATCTACCGGACCCATCAAAACCCATATATTTGTGATTGATCAACATTACGATATTCAAAATGTACTGTTAAAAACAGCTGTTTTTGTGCAACAGCAACCAATACAACTAGGTTTACTCATCATGTTCAACATCACTGTTTGTGTTTTTGTCGTCCGATTTACAGCTACCAGCAGTGTGTGATTCAATGATGATCCCAATATACTTGTAGCAACGTGGACAATAGTGCTGTTTTTGTTCCATATCAAGCGTGTTGTGCATTTTGAATGTAGCGGTATTCATATTGGAAATCAAAGACTATTATGAAACTAGGGACTCGGCAGGTGTAGTAACAAAGCTGGTTATTTATTACAAAGGTATGCATTGATCCATTTATAGCCGATATGATGTACGTCATTGCGCACATCATCCAACTTTGTGTCGTACATTGCAATGGTTCCATAATGCAATGTTCTCAATATACACTACTTGAAACACCAAAACTGTCAATTATAACAGTGTAGACAAGGCACCAAATGATACCAGTTTTGTTGGCCAATAATTACTATTAGATTTGTCCAAGCTTGTCAAAAACAGCAATCTACCAAAAATGGGTCATTATGAACAAAAGTCTCGAGGTGCAACAGTGGATAGTCTGTAGTTTGAATGATGGATAGCTCTGTGCAGTATTCATACTCGATAGCACAATGAACACAATGAACACGATTGGATTGTTGTATATCTTGCCCATAATTGTAACAATATTCTTGAAACTGGATAGATTGTTAAATGATTGTGTAATTACTACTGATATTTATCCAAAAACAACCTGCTCAATTCGATCGAGTTATTATAGATTTGTACAAATTAATAAATATATTTATTGGGAGGAAATATCAATGCCCATTAAATAATAAGCTTGTCATTGATCTCAAAGAAAATAACAACTCCATCCATATCAGGCTGGTCGCACGGAAGACCCTCGATTGGTTCAAGCAAAGTGTTGGGCTTTGAAGCGTCAATCTTGTAGTAAGCCTTTTTCAGAACATGGCTTCTTTGGAATTGAACTTCAAACGATGGAGCTGGAGGATTAAAGTACGAATCTTGAAGTTTTCGTGTAAAAACTAGTTCCACCTCTGCTGCTTCAGGAATCCTACCAATGATATTCACCATTGTTTCAAGGCTGATTACACCTTTGTGATCTTTGGATTCTCCAAAAAGTCCACAGGAAGTCTTCAAATCAATACCTTCCGAGTTTCGAGCTCTTGATAACCAATTAAAGTTTGAACCAGGTATTTGAACAAAATCGGGCCACTTTTGGTTTGGCGGTGAAAGAAAAGGTACAGTAAATTTTATGCCATCGAGCCTGTTCAGATCGAGTATAGAGACGTCTTCGGAATCAGGTTTATCAATCTGAAGCTGGTATACCAAATTCAACAGAAACGGTTTTAGATCAATTCCCTTGACGCCATTAGAATGTGAAGCCAAACAGACTGTCGAACATAGCAAAGACTCGAGAAACATTCCATCATTGCTATCCTGTACAGCATTCGAAAAGTATAGAATATGGCTGCGATAATCCGGATTACTCTTGGCTTCCATCAAAAAATATGCATATGGCACCTGCTTGTTATCCCCTGTATAACAGGCGGAAAATCCCTTTCCACCCATCAACAGTAGGTAAAGCAAAATGTCATTCTTTAGCTCTGGAAACACCGAAGACGGTCTCCAAGAAGCAGAATGGTCTTGAATACGTCCATTGTTCATCAATATAAAGTTTTTTTCTCCATTTAGCTGGGCAAAGTGTGAGTGAATCAATGGAGTCGATTGGTTTTCCAGATTGGTCAATTGGCTTTCCAAATCGGTCAGTTGACAGTGAGCGTTATGAAGCAGCCGAACCTGTCCAAGTTGTCCGTAAAGATTTCCAAATATCATTTTGACTGATTTCAGTTTAATAAACGCTGCTTTCATCAATTCGTCAAAATCTGAAACCTTGTTTGCGATTTCTTCTGCGACAAACTGCGCAAAAAGTGGCCTTGAGTTGAGTATGATAGATTTGAGATATCTTGGTAGTCTAGATGGCAATCCTGTTAGTTCTAGTTTTACTGCTGGAAATTCCCCAAACACATGACACCACGGTCTTGGAGTCGCACTTCGACTGCTGCTTCCAATGTTGAGCTGCAGTTTGGCTGCTCTGGAATCTGTTCCCATCATAACGAGTCCCAGACCCAATGAGCGGAAGCAATTTCGCACAAATCGCACTTTTTTTAAGGACTGGTCTGAAATAGCAATACACTCGTCCAGAATAAACACTGGTCTGCGTTGATGAATTTTTTTACGAGCCATCAGTTTTTGAACATCTTTGCCAGTTTTTTTACCAATATTGACTGTGGATGATCGAGTTTCGTCAGATAGCAATTTAAAAATAAATCCATACACGTATAGACTTTTTTGAAATAGCGAACTACAACTTGGAGACGAAGCTTCAGGGCTATACATTTGCTCATCCGCCGCATAACACTTGCTGAACAACTTTGAAGTGTTTTCAAAGTTGCGGTAAATATCCTGTGATGTTGGACCGGGAGGATCGAACAGGAAATAGTGCACTCTCCTCCGATCACCAATATTGGCTTTGATATTAAAGCCCATCTGACTCTTTCCTGAGCCAGACGAGCCCTCGAGAAACGTGAACGGTAAATTTTCGAAGTTCGATTCCGAAAATTCTCCAGCTGTGATCGAAAGGATAATTTTTACGATTTCCACGACACAGTTGTCGTTTTTTAAAGAATCGGCAATGTGGCAATAATTTGAAAGTGACATAGTGTTTTCGACATTTGTAGTTTCTTTAAATGTTCCTGAAACCAGTCTGATATTCGCATTCATTGACGCTCCTGGCACTGAACTAGCGACGCCTTGCCCGGTACCACTGCGTGATTTAATGATGAGTGGACTGGACCCAACAGTCCCATTTGTTCCGAGAGCAGCAATGGGGTCCCAGGAGTTGTAGTTGGTCTCCACCCCATTCACCACATAATGAATGGTGAGGTGTGCTAAGGAAATCCCGTCAAGGAGGGGAGTGGTGGCAGTCTTGTAAGCTGCAACCAGGCCACCAACGTCAGTCAGTGGCCTTCTTCTTTCTAGTTCTCCATTGAAGTGAGTTTCAACCTTTACAGGTTGGTTGTGGAGGTATTGAATGTAGAATGGTATGTTTTCCATTAGAGTTTGTTTAAATAGAAAGGAATAGAGTAGAAGAAAGAGCAAAAGGAAATGTAATAGAATAGAGTGGAATGAAATGAAATGAAATGTAATGAAGAAAAGAAAGGAAAAATTGGACTTTAAATCCAAAATTTAATGTCATGTGAATAATGTGAAACAAATTCACACACTGAATATTGTTTAAATTGAGCAATTTTGTGTGAAATTAAAACTGTTAAATTAAGCATTTTTGTGAAATTAAAACTGTCAAATTGTATTAATTTGTCATGTATTCAAATTCACACATTTTGAATAGTGTTTAAACATTTGTCATGTGTTTATTTGTATTGTTTAATAAAGTGTCAATTCAACTCAGCAATTGACTACGTCATTCATATAATGACTCGAGTCTTTTATTCAACATTTTAATATTCAATTATTGTTAATCAGTCAATTGTTGGATTGGTAAATGTGTTACAAAACATTCATTTACATTCTGAATCTGACAAGTGAATGTGGATTGTTCCAATCAACAATTGGATTGGATCGACTGCAATATTGTAATTGATTGCAGTCACTGTTGACCAATACATTGTAATACATTGTCAGTCTTGACATCAACATTGTCATTCATGTCAAGTTGTGTGTAGTTGCTAATATTACACCACAACAATACTATCAACTTTCAAGTCCTGTGATACACCGTTTCAACTACGACCGGATCGATGTTGATCACTTGTCAATACACGGGTCAGTTGTATAATCGTACAACTGTTGGTTAACCAATGTTTGACTGTCAATATTTGAATCATGAATATTGTCCAACATAATCGTCACTAACATTGTCGTTGTCGTTTGATTGCCTTGTTTTGTGAATAATCATTGCAATGTCATTTGTTCAGTTGTTGTTGGTTTATTGAAACCATATCACAATTCTTGATATATTGCACATGATCTTGTAATTGTTGGTGTTGTCTGTAGTAATTCTGTCAATGTATACGAATGACACTTGTTGCTAATTGGTAGTTGTTTATGATTGATACACAACCGATCAGGTTTGGTGACCATTTTATGCACATATATATATAGCATCATATTGGACTGTTATGTTGTTTGATCCAATAGTAGTATGTCAGTCATACTATAATACTACATGTTTGTTGCAATATCCATACAACCTATATCCAAAACTGCACAAATACTGTCATTCAAGATTGATGAGTATACAATCACAAATGAATCCAACGCATTTTTGTTGTATATAGTTGTATCGGCTGTCGTGTTTGTTGGCTTGTCTGTTGACTTGACTAGATCTGATATTACACGGGCTATTCAACAATTGTATTGAATTCCGGTTACTACTAAGTCATTTGAGTCGTTCAAGTAGTCAAGTTGCTTGGTTTGCAATGTGTTGTGTCCAAGAATCACTTGCAATCAAACCATCACCAAACCACAAGTTAACAACACCAAATGGTATATGACTGGTTATATTAACACATTGCAAACACTCGACGAATTAACCATGAATCAGGTTCAATCATCAATCGCCAATATTGTCAAGTGTGTATTCCTGGTTTAGTTGATGATGATCCGAGTATGCGGTATTCGTCACAGTTTGATTTGGTCCAAACAGGTTTTGTAATGGTTTCAACAATATCTGATGAATGACATGCTACAATCGCAGTCTATTGATATTACCGCATGATACAACTGTTTGGTTGATCAAACGACTCGAATGTTGATGGATTATTATGCCAATCGACTGTTTTGACCTGATATCACCACACTTGACATGCCAACACATGCGACATATGATGGAGTGTGTAATTGCAGTTTGATTGATTCAATGTTGTGTTACGACATGTGTTACAACATCAGTCACCATGTGTAATATAGTTTGTATATCAAACAACACATTGGAATGATTGATTGTCGTTCCGATCGATCGAATGTCAATATGTTTGTACAACAGTTTGGTACAACCGACTGTCCATGGATTATTATCACACGAGTCAATACTGACCTGATTTGCGATATTCAGTGTTGTTGGAATATCAACACAACATCAACACCAAACATCATATCGACACTGCACGTTGATGTTGATGAATGCAACAATGGCTATTGAAACAATACATCATAATGCGTACAAGTCGCAGATTGCAGTTCAAACTCAATGCAAAATACACATTGTTACAGTTTGGTCATGAACAAAGCGATACACACAATGTGCAGTTCATGTCTACGACTCGACTGATTGGTAGACAACGACCATTTGCATCGTTGAACAGTAAACTGATCAGTAAATGACCATCAAACGCATGGCTTGGTATCGACATTCAAGCAATCACCATGATTGTAATATTTGCAAGTTGTCCACAAGTTGTTCACAAACGACCATCAATTGACAATGACATGCATGTGCATGTGCATGGTTGACTATACAATACACTACATGAACCAATATAGCAATCATGATATAATTGTTATTTATCAAAACATTCTGACACACTAATCAAAGCGATCATCTTGTTTGACACACTGTATTCAATACCATTTGATCAGTGTCGTTGAGCAACACACTACGGATTGTATTGCACATCTTCAAATCCATAAACAATATCAACAGTAAAGTTGCATGACAACGACTCATTCAGCACTTTGAGACATGATGTCGTAGTGTAACATTTTAATATAAATGCTTTGGCATTTTGTTTGGGTTTTTGGCAGTTGCAGGCATTCCGTTTGGTCAATTCCATTGATTATCGACTACACAAGTATGTTGTCAATCTGGTCGATTCATGTATTCAAGACATGTTCCAAACACCTGCGTTGTTATTTGATCCAGTCGGCAACGCGATCGTGTTCATTCATGGATTGTGAATTAAACTTTGGTCACCACTTGTGTCTTGTTATATTCCAGATGTCATCAGAATGTATTGACTTGTGCAATCTGTGTTTCAACGATTCGTGGTTGCTGTTTACATGCGTGCAAGGCAGAAAGTGAGCTACATAAAATACCAGAACAATCCACGGAAAACAATCACAAACGAGAGCAAGGAACGTTCCGATGTGGATTTCTTTTTGATTATACATCATTCACTACCAATATCAATACTGGTTCCAATATCAACAAGTTTCAATATATCGGTTGTAAAACAATCATATTGATGCAGTATCGATCATCAAAATGGTGTTTTTTGAAGCCATTACACCATGACATTGACTCGACACAACTATTGCTGTAACAGAAACCAGTCTCTTGTAATGAATACACAATTTTATTGAACATTTTCAATGATCAAAATAGCACTCGAGTCCATCCATTTCTCGATATTCTTACTCTGGTAATCGACAGGAGTACAGCCATTATCATCATATGGACAATATTCATCATCAGATTCTACACCACCAGCCATACACCAAATGAGACATGCTGTCTTGTGGAACTCTAGTGCGTTCCTGTTTGGTAGTCGAGTGAGATTGTTGTGAATGAAATATAATGTCATTTCACTGTTGGATTCGACTGTTTGTCGATTGTCAGTTCATCTCTTTTGCCTTGTTCTGCGGATAACTTTCAAATCTTCAATTGTCTCAATCCACTTCTTGTGCTTGTCACTTGTCAGATCATTGATCACCAGTTTGTCATCCACTACATCCACATATTGCTTTAGTTTACCAAATTGGTCATGGCACTTGATACACAACAACAGTCCGTTCTGTATTTGATGTTTCTGCGTCAAACCAGATCGTAGCAGGATGGATGGTTCGTTGTATGCCATTCCAATGTTCTTTTGGGATATGATGTGTGCTCCTTGCAAGGACAGCTTATCCCAGCAAAACAAGCAGACACTGTCTCTCTTCTCAACCACCTTGTTCAAGTCCTTGTGCTGTAGCTCACTCACTTTTGCAACATAGTCCAGATCATCAGCAGAGTTGGTTCTTGATGTTGGGTTTGATGAAACTGGAGTGTGACAGCTGGATGAATCGTTGTAGTCTTTGTGGAATGGCAGTATGTAATACCCAAACATGTCATCAATGAATGTACAATGATGTTCTGGGTCTGACAACTGGATCTTGGTTGAGAATTCCTGCTGCTCTGCAAATTGGTTGGCAGTCAGCAGGTTGTGCAGTCGAGTGATGTGTGAGGTTTCTCCCTCTTGGATGATTCCCAAAAACAAACCTCGTTTGTTGTCATCCTGCCATTCAGACTTGACTCTCTGTGTTGGTATGGCTTGAGTGCTGATTTGGTAATATTCATTCAACAGTTGTGTTGTTGCTGTCTTTGTTGTTTCAATATTCATTTGATGTTTTTTGACAAAAGAATGAAACTCGAACCAACCAAAATAATTGCAGTCATCAATCAAATTGGACAATATTCACCAATAATCTTTTAAACTCGTACAGTTTGTACAGTGTTGTCATGAAAGTCATGGTTTGACACATTTTCATCAAGTTACCAGTGAGTATCAACGAGTATCAACCAACAAAATTGGTCTCGTTGGTCGATACACTACTGATGCACTTGCATATGAAACTGTACGAGTTCAATCAATGTTTCTTGCACGGTTGTCAAATGTTCAGATGAAATCAATCTCATGGCAGGACACAAAATGTGACATTATCAAATAACAACCAATACTAAACAATTGGGTTACCACATGATGGCTCATTCGGAATGCAAGTTGAATCCATTAGTGGTCATTGATACCATCAAGTGTATTGTCAAATACACAATGGTTTGTAATGGTAAATTGATTTCAAACACATCACCGCTTATTTATCACTGGATACATATTTGAAAGTATCCAATATCACTTGATACTGAATGTCCAAGTGTCTGCTCAGAGTTGCTCACAATATTGACGATATTACAACAACATGCTGATTCAAATTTGGAAAAAGTAACATTGGCTTGTTTAATCTTGAATTACTGAAATCAATGGTTTACAATGATCCGATCATGTCAAATATAACCGATTGCAATTATTTTGGAATCATGTCAGATTATGACAATCTGTTCGAGTTGTTTGAGCCAATACAGTGTGATGGAGTGATGGAAATACTCGAAATACACACAATACAACTCTTGCAGCAGTGTATAAAACTATCAAGCATGACATGGTATGACATGAAGGGTGTGGATTAGACTTGATAACAATGTGTACAATTTGGACTTTTAAATTCGGAAATAGCAGCTCTGTTCCAACATCACATTGATTGTAAATGTCGATGTTGTTTAACCTTGTACAAATGACCATTTCACATGCAACTTTAGCCTGATGTTGAGTATTTTCAAATGAATGCAAGCTTGCGACACTCGCTTGACTCGTTTGGTTCGGGTTATGGTTGATATTTACGATATCGATGCAAAGTTGCATTCCAGAATGAACGTGTATAATCTGATGTGGGCAATCGTTTGGTTTCATTGTTATCAGTCATTGACACCAGTGATTGCATTGATTGCAAATAGTAGTCCAAGTAATCATGCATAAACAAATACCAGATAGTCACTGATAAACTGATGGTATCCAATGTATACATGACACATTGTATAGTTACATTTAATTGCCAGCAATGTGTGATTGGATTACTCGAGTCATCAATCAGTTTTCAAATAGTTTTCAAGAACAATCAAGTCATGTCCAATAAACTGTCTGATGTGCAGGTGTTTTGGCATTGGTCCGTTGGTCCATTAGTACGATTGTTGGTTGGCAATTCGGACTTGTAAATGACAATTGATTATTGATTGTTGCATTGGTGTCCATATGTGTCCATATGTGACTCATTGTATACGGAACAGGACTGACAAGTGTGTCTGAATTGATGCCAGATGATACAGCCTATCCAACAAAAAGTAATACATTGATCGTGTCTGTGTGGTAATAAGCTTTATAACTCACACTTCTGAATGTATGAGAATCAACTTTCAAACAACGGATACGTCGAATGACTCTTGCAAATGCATTGATGGAGTGTTGTTGAATAATTCGAGTGTTTGCAAATCAGCATCACTGGAAATAGTTACTGTTATTCAGACAGTCAGTTGTCCAGACATTACAGTTGTAATATTACACATTTCCCATTGTTGCAACGTTCAGATAGAAATGGCAAAATTAAAACAAGAGCATCCTTCAATATCAGTTTAGTCAAAACCTTGATACTTGTTCGCCTGTAGCCCAATATATTTATCAACTCCATGTCATTCATCAGATAATATTGTATAGATTTTGGCAGTGATATCGACAAGATAATCTGTACTAGGTCCAGTCGTATCCATATCCACAACGCACTCGTCCAATCCAATCTTTTCATCAAGACTATGCAAGAAATTCGACTGCGTATAGTTTGTAACAATTCCATACACCGAGTTCAAATGACTAATCTCTGCTGCAACTTTACATCCAATCAAATACTGTGCCATTTCCAGTCTCATGTCATCCTTGCTTGCCTCAGTAATATAAACTCTTTCCGCGACGTAAAACATTCAAAGTGACCATGAACCTTTAAGAAATCACCATCCAATCTTTTTCCACTTGTATTTGAACGTTTCGGGTAAAAACAGACAAATGATGAGTGGAGCAATCGAATAAAGTCCGAGACACATTGCCTGATGTAACTGAACCAAAGCATGTTGTAGCAAACGACAAATAGTGTGAAATATTGAATTTGTTTTCTGGGATTGTTTTTGACGATTGATGTAACTAGTTTGCAGCACAGGCTTGACCTGATTCCAACAAACATACAAACAAGTGTTGAATCAGTGGGGATTGACTTTGTTCTTTTCAAGTATTTGATCGAGTTGCTCTCATACTTTTTTGTTTAGAATGGGATATTTTAAAGCTCGATTCAGACAATGGCGACTCCAGTTGTGAGATATTTGATCCGACGTTGATTACAAGTTGCTGTAATTGTAATGAATAAATGATGATTTCCAGTATTTTGAACAAGAAATGGGCAGTATGGTTGTAAAGGAGGTCCTCGATCAGTCAGTCAAAGTGAGAGTTGGTCAGCACTGTAATAGCCAAGTCTTGATGATAACTCATTGTTTAATTTAAAGTCATCACATCTGTGCAGTCTTGTAGAAACTCTTGCGTTGTTTCACCCGAGTTTGATCCAGAGTTGTCATTTTTGTGGAATCGGTGTCGCAAAACGTAACAAATCTATAGCTGATAATTCCAACAGCCATTCAAATTGAAATTCAGTTTTATAGTTTATATGAACAAACAAATATCATTTGAATGAACCGTGTTGTATGGTGCTATTGATATACTAGTAGCATGCTTTTGATCGTACTCGATAACATAAATACAATACAAGACTCTACCTGTTGAATGACAACTTGCTTGGATCCAGTAAAACGACACTCTAGTTGTTTACTGTAATAGTCTGTCACTGTAGTTAGTGTTCAGTATATGCGACACTAACTCAGTGTGACTACAAATACTGGATCCAGTCTGTTGACAGATTTTAATCCAGGTGATCTAGATGATGTATATGTAGTTGATTCTAGTCCAATTCTAGTCCAATTCTAGTTCAATTTCAGTGAATGGAATGTTTTAATCACAAGTTACGCAGCAAATGGTCATGATGCCAACATAGCAAGTTTAGTGTTCAACTTGACAGTGACTGAACCTATTGTTCATTATGAATTGACAACTTGGCGAGTGAGAACCTTGCCGACTTAGAGCATGAATGCCGGAAACCAACGACAATCCAGTCCGATTCACAAGACTCGACTTGAGATTGAACATCAAAAACACTTGGGTTGCAGCAAATATGGTTTGGAAACATCAGTTTTACAAAACTGGATTCAAGCAACACTACTTGGATGTTGTTCAGTCTGGTAAAACTTGACCATATGATGCATCTCGGATCAACTGGTAATGCAGTGGTTTGATTCGGTTCGTTCTACAATGGTGTATTTCAATGATTGTCACAATCTGAGCATGGTGCAGTTGCTCAAGATTCTGGTGCTGAACAACAAACTCTTGAACCAGACCCGACACGTTGTTGCAGCTCAAAGTGGACCATCAACAGTCTCGAGTAAGATATGCTACAATCCAGCGTGTATTGCATGATGGTTTACTTATTTATCTTGCATTCAATCTCATCCATTCAATAACATCATTCATTACCAATACAATGACACGACACGACATGGCATGCTTGAATTGATTATATTGCACTAATCACTACTATACACTGAATTGATCTACCGGACCCATCAAAACCCATATATTTGTGATTGATCAACATTACGATATTCAAAATGTACTGTTAAAAACAGCTGTTTTTGTGCAACAGCAACCAATACAACTAGGTTTACTCATCATGTTCAACATCACTGTTTGTGTTTTTGTCGTCCGATTTACAGCTACCAGCAGTGTGTGATTCAATGATGATCCCAATATACTTGTAGCAACGTGGACAATAGTGCTGTTTTTGTTCCATAGCAAGCGTGTTGTGCATTTTGAATGTAGCGGTATTCATGTTGGAAATCAAAGACTATTATGAAACTAGAGACTCGGCAGGTGTAGTAATAAAGCTGGTTGTTTATTACAAAAGTATGCATTGATCCATTTATAGCTGATATGATGTACGTCATTGCGCACATCATCCAACTTTGTGTCGTACATTGCAATGGTTCCATAATGCAATGTTCTCAATATACACCACTTGAAACACCAAAACTGTCAATTATAACAGTGTAGACAAGGCACCAAATGATACCAGTTTTGTTGGCCAATAATTACTATTAGATTTGTCCAAGCTTGTCAAAAACAGCAATCTACCAAAAATGGGTCATTATGGACAAAAGTCTCGAGGTGCAACAGTGGATAGTCTGTAGTTTGAATGATGGATAGTTTTGTGCAATATTCATACTCGATAGCACAATGAACACAATGAACACGATTGGATTGTTGTATATCTTGCCCATAATTGTAACAATATCCTTGAAACTGGATAGATTGTTAAATGATTGTGTAGTCACTACTGATATTTATCCAAAAACAACCTGCTCAATTCGATCGAGTTATTATAGATTTGTACAAATTAATAAATATATTTATTGGGAGGAAATATCAATGCCCATTAAATAATAAGCTTGTCATTGATCTCAAAGAAAATAACAACTCCATCCATATCAGGCTGGTCGCACGGAAGACCCTCGATTGGTTCAAGCAAAGTGTTGGGCTTTGAAGCGTCAATCTTGTAGTAAGCCTTTTTCAGAACATGGCTTCTTTGGAATTGAACTTCAAACGATGGAGCTGGAGGATTAAAGTACGAATCTTGAAGTTTTCGTGTAAAAACTAGTTCCACCTCTGCTGCTTCAGGAATCCTACCAATGATATTCACCATTGTTTCAAGGCTGATTACACTTTTGTGATCTTTGGATTCTCCAAAAAGTCCACAGGAAGTCTTCAAATCAATACTTTCCGAGTTTCGAGCTCTTGATAACCAATTAAAGTTTGAACCAGGTATTTGAACAAAATCGGGCCACTTTTGGTTTGGCGGTGAAAGAAAAGGTACAGTAAATTTTATGCCATCGAGCCTGTTCAGATCGAGTATAGAGACGTCTTCGGAATCAGGTTTATCAATCTGAAGCTGGTATACCAAATTCAACAGAAACGGTTTTAGATCAATTCCCTTGACGCCATTAGAATGTGAGGCCAAACAGACTGTCGAACATAGCAAAGACTCGAGAAACATTCCATCATTGCTATCCTGTACAGCATTCGAAAAGTATAGAATATGGCTGCGATAATCCGGATTACTCTTGGCTTCCATCAAAAAATATGCATATGGCACCTGCTTGTTATCCCCTGCATAACAGGCGGAAAATCCCTTTCCACCCATCAACAGCAGGTAAAGCAAAATGTCGTTCTTTAGCTCTGGAAACACCGAAGACGGTCTCCAAGAAGCAGGTTGTTCTTGGATACATCCATTGTTCATCAATATAAAGTTTTTTTTTCCATTTAGCTGGGCAAAGTGTGAGTGAATCAATGGAGTCGATTGGTTTTCCAGATTGGTCGATTGGCTTTCCAAATCGGTCAGTTGACAGTGAGCGTTATGAAGCAGCCGAACCTGTCCAAGTTGTCCGTAAAGATTTCCAAATATCATTTTGACTGATTTCAGTTTAATAAACGCTGCTTTCATCAATTCGTCAAAATCTGAAACCTTGTTTGCGATTTCTTCTGCGACAAACTGCGCAAAAAGTGGCCTTGAGTTGAGTATGATAGATTTGAGATATCTTGGTAGTCTAGATGGCAATCCTGTTAGTTCTAGTTTTACTGCTGGAAATTCCCCAAACACATGACACCACGGCATTGGAACATCACTTCGACTGCCATTTCCAGTGGTAGGTTGCAGTTTGGCTGCTCTGGAATCTGTTCCCATCATAACGAGTCCCAGACCCAATGAGCGGAAGCAATTTCGCACAAATCGCACTTTCTTGAAAGACTCCCTCGAAATAGCAATACACTCGTCCAGAATAAACACTGGTCTGCGTTGATGAATTTTTTTACGAGCCATCAGTTTTTGAACATCTTTGCCAGTTTTTTTACCAATATTGACTGTGGATGATCGAGTTTCGTCAGATAGCAATTTAAAAATAAATCCATACACGTATAGACTTTTTTGAAATAGCGAACTACAACTTGGAGACGAAGCTTCAGGGCTATACATTTGCTCATCCGCTACATAACATTTGCTGAACAACTTTGAAATGTTTTCAAAGTTGCGGTAGATTCTTTGTGATGTCGAACCGAGAGGATCGAACAGGAGATAATGCACTCTCCTCCGATCACCAATATTGGCTTTGATATTAAAGCCCATCTGACTCTTTCCTGAGCCAGACGAGCCCTCGAGAAACGTGAACGGTAAATTTTCGAAGTTCGATTCCGAAAATTCTCCAGCTGTGATCGAAAGGATAATTTTTACGATTTCCACGACACAGTTGTCGTTTTTTAAAGAATCGGCAATGTGATGATACTTTAAAAGTGATGGATTTGTAGTTTCTTTAAATGTTCCTGAAACCAGTCTGATATTCGCATTCATTGACGCTCCTGGCACTGAACTAGCGACGCCTTGCCCGGTACCACTGCGTGATTTAATGATGAGTGGACTGGACCCAACAGTCCCATTTGTTCCGAGAGCAGCAATGGGGTCCCAGGAGTTGTAGTTGGTCTCCACCCCATTCACCACATAATGGAGAGTGAGTGGCCCATAGTCCTCTGGGATACCAGCAAGTCTTCTAGTTGGTTCAACAACGATGGCTGCAACCAGGCCACCAACGTCAGTCAGTGGCCTTCTTCTCTCTAGTTCTCCATTGAAGTGGGTTTCAACCTTCACTGGCTGGTTGTGAAGGTATTGAATGTAGAATGGTATGTTTTCCATTAGAGTTTGTTTAAATAGAAAGGAATAGAGTAGAAGAAAGAGCAAAAGGAAATGTAATAGAATAGAGTGGAATGAAATGAAATGAAATGTAATGAAGAAAAGAAAGGAAAAATTGGACTTTAAATCCAAAATTTAATGTCATGTGAATAATGTGAAACAAATTCACACACTGAATATTGTTTAAATTGAGCAATTTTGTGTGAAATTAAAACTGTTAAATTAAGCATTTTTGTGAAATTAAAACTGTCAAATTGTATTAATTTGTCATGTATTCAAATTCACACATTTTGAATAGTGTTTAAACATTTGTCATGTGTTTATTTGTATTGTTTAATAAAGTGTCAATTCAACTCAACAATTGATTACGTCATTCATATAATGACTCGAGTCTTTTATTCAACATTTTAATATTCAATTATTGTTAATCAGTCAATTGTTGGATTGGTAAATATGTTACAAAACATTCATTTACATGTTGAATCTGACAAGTGAATAATGATTGTTCCAATCAACAATTGGATTGAATTGACTGCAACATTATCATTGATCGCAGTCACTGTTGACCAATACACTGTAATACATTGACAGTTTTGACATCAACATTGTCATTCATGTCAAGTTGTGTGTAGTTGCTAATGTTACACCACAGCAATACTGTCAACTTTCAAGTCCTGTGATACACCGTTTCAACTACGACCGGATCGATGTTGATCACTTGTCAATACACGGGTCAGTTGTATAATCGTACAACTGTTGGTTAACCAATGTTTGACTGTCAATATTTGAATATTGTCCAACATAATTGTCACTAACATTGTCGTTTGATTGCCTTGTTCTATGAATAATCATTGCAATGTCATTTGTTCAGTTGTTGTTGGTTTATTGAAACCATATCACAATTCTTGATATATTGCACATGATCTTGTAATTGTTGGTGTTGTCTGTAGTAATTCTGTCAATGTATACGAATGACACTTGTTGCTAATTGGTAGTTGTTTATGATTGATACACAACCGATCAGGTTTGGTGACCATTCTATGCACATATATATTTGACATTATATTGGACTATTATGTTGTTTGATCCAATAGTAGTATGTCAGTCATACTATAATACTACATGTTTGTTGCAATATCCATACAACCTATATCCAAAACTGCACAAACACTGTCATTCAAGATTAATGAGTATGCAATCATAAATGAATCCAACGCATTTTTGTTGTATATAGTTGTATCGGCTGTCGTGTTTGTTGGCTTGTCTGTTGACTTGACTAGATCTGATATTACACGGGCTATTCAACAATTGTATTGAATTCCGGTTAGTATCGAGTCATTTGAGTCGTTCAAGTAGTCAAGTTGCTTGGTTTGCAATGTGTTGTGTCCAAGAATCACTTGCAATCAAACCATCACCAAACCACAAGTTAACAACACCAAATGGTATATGACTGGTTATATTAACACATTGCAAACACTCGACGAATTAGCCATGAATCATGTTCAATCATCAACCGCCAATATTATCAAGCGTGTATTCCTGGTTTAGTTGATGATGATCCGAGTATGCGGTATTCGTCACAGTTTGATTTGGTCCAAACAGGTTTTGTAATGGTTTCAACAATATCTGATGAATGGCACGCTACAATCGCAGTCTATTGATATTACCGCATGATACAACTGTTTGGTTGATCAAACGACTCGAATGTTGATGGATTATTATGCCAATCGACTGTTTTGACCTGATATCACCACACTTGACATACCAACACATGCGACATATGATGGAGTGTGTAATTGCAGTTTGATTGATTCAATGTTGTGTTACGACATGTGTTACAACATCAGTCACCATGTGTAATATAGTTTGTATATCCAACAACACATTGGAGTGATTGATTGTCGCTCCGATCGATCGAATGTCAATATGTTTGTACAACAGTTTGGTACAACTGACTGTCCATGGATTATTATCACACGAGTCAATGCTGACCTGATTTGGGATATTCAGTGTTGTTGGAATATCAACACAACATCAACACCAAACATCATATCGACACTGCACGTTGATGTTGATGAATGCAACATGAATATTGAAACAATGCATCACAATGCGTACAAGTCGCAGATTGCAGTTCAAACTCAATGCAAAATACACATTGTTACAGTTTGGTCATGAACAAAGCGATACGCACAATGTGCAGTTCATGTCTACAACTCGACTGATTGTTAGACAACGACCATTTGCATCGTTGAACAGTAAACTGATCAGTAAATGACCATCAAATGCATGGCTTGGTATCGACATTCAAGCAATCACCATGATTGTAATATTTACAAGTTGTCCACAAGTTGTTCACAGACGACCATCAATTGACAATGACATGCATGTGTATGTGCATGGTTGACTATACAGTATACTACATGAACCAATATACATCATGATATAATTGTTATTTATCAAAACATTCCGACACACTAGTCAAAGCGATCATCTTGTTTGACACACTGTATTCAGTACCATTTGATCAGTGTCGTTGAGCAACAGACTACGGATTGTATTGCACATCTTCAAATCCATAAACAATATCAACAGTAAAGTTGCATGACAACGACTCATTCAGCACTTTGAGACATGATGTCGTAGTGTAACATTTTAATATAAATGCTTTGGCATTTTGTTTGGTTTTTGGCAGTTGCAGGCATTCCGTTTGGTCAATTCCATTGATTATCGACTACACAAGTATGTTGTCAATCTGGTCGATTCATGTATTCAAGACATGTTCCAAACACCTGCGTTGTTATTTGATCCAGTCGGCAACGCGATCGTGTTCATTCATGGATTGTGAATTAAACTTTGGTCACCACTTGTGTCTTGTTATATTCCAAATGTCATCAGAATGTATCGACTTGTGCAATCTGTGTTTCAACGATTCGTGGTTGCTGCTTACATGCGTGCAAGGCAAAAAGTGAGCTACATAAAATACCAGAACAATCCACGGAAAACAATCACAAACGAGAGCAAGGAACGTTCCGATGTGGATTTCTTTTTGATTATACATCATTCACTACCAATATCAATACTGGTTCCAATATCAACAAGTTTCAATATATCGGTTGTAAAACAATCATATTGATGCAGTATCGATCATCAAAATGGTGTTTTTTGAAGCCATTACACCATGACATTGACTCGACACAACTATTACTGTAACAGAAACCAGTCTCTTGTAATGAATACACAATTTTATTGAGTATTTCAATGATCAAAATAGCACTCGATTCCATCCATTTCTCGATATTCTTACTCTGGTAATCGACAGGAGTACAGCCATCATCATCATATGGACAATATTCATCATCAAACTCCGCACCACCAGCCATACACCAAATGAGACATGCTGTCTTGTGGAACTCTAGTGCGTTCCTGTTTGGTAGTCGAGTGAGATTGTTGTGAATGAAATACAATGTCATTTCACTGTTGGATTCGACTGTTTGTCGATTGTCAGTCCATCTCTTTTGCCTTGTTCTGCGGATAACTTTCAAATCTTCAATTGTCTCAATCCACTTCTTGTGCTTGTCACTTGTCAGATCATTGATCACCAGTTTGTCATCCACTACATCCACATATTGCTTTAGTTTACCAAATTGGTCATGGCACTTGATACACAACAACAGTCCGTTCTGTATTTGATGTTTCTGCGTCAAACCAGATCGTAGCAGGATGGATGGTTCGTTGTATGCCATTCCAATGTTCTTTTGGGATATGATGTGTGCTCCTTGCAAGGACAGCTTATCCCAGCAAAACAAGCAGACACTGTCTCTCTTCTCAACCACCTTGTTCAAGTCCTTGTGCTGTAGCTCACTCACTTTTGCAACATAGTCCAGATCATCAGCAGAGTTGGTTCTTGATGTTGGGTTTGATGAAACTGGAGTGTGACAGCTGGATGAATCGTTGTAGTCTTTGTGGAATGGCAGTATGTAATACCCAAACATGTCATCAATGAATGTACAATGATGTTCTGGGTCTGACAACTGGATCTTGGTTGAGAATTCCTGCTGCTCTGCAAATTGGTTGGCAGTCAGCAGGTTGTGCAGTCGAGTGATGTGTGAGGTTTCTCCCTCTTGGATGATTCCCAAAAACAAACCTCGCCTGTTGTCATCCTGCCATTCAGACTTGACTCTCTGTGTTGGTATGGCTTGAGTGCTGATTTGGTAGTATTCATTCAACAGTTGTGTTGTTGCTGTCTTTGTTGTTTCAATATTCATTTGATGTTTTTTGACAAAAGAATGAAACTCGAACCAACCAAAATAATTGCAGTCAACAATCAAATTGGACAATATTCACCAATAATCTTTTAAACTCGTACAGTTTGTACAGTGTTGTCATGAAAGTCATGGTTTGACACATTTTCATCAAGTTACCAGCGAGTATCAGTGAGTATCAACCAACAAAATTGGTCTTGTTGGTCGATACACTACTGATGCACTTGCATATGAAACTGTACGAATTCAATCAATGTTTCTTGCACGGTTGTCAAATGTTCAGATGAAATCAATCTCATGGCAGGACACAAAATGTGACATTATCAAATAACAACCAATACTAAACAATTGGGTTACCACATGATGGTTCATTCGGAATGCAAGTTGAATCCATTAGTGGTCATTGATACCATCAAGTGTATTGTCAAATACACAATGGTTTGTAATGGTAAATTGATTTCAAACACATCACCGCTTATTTATCACTGGATACATATTTGAAAATATCCAATATCACTTGATACTGAATGTCCAAGTGTCTGCTCAGAGTTTCTCACAATATTGACGATATTACAACAACATGCTGATTCAAATTTGGAAAAAGTAACATTGGCTTGTTTAATCTTGAATTACTGAAATCAATGGTTTACAATGATCCGATCATGTCAAATATAACCGATTGCAATTATTTTGGAATCATGTCAGATTATGACAATCTGTTCGAGTTGTTTGAGCCAATACAGTGTGATGGAGTGATGGAAATACTCGAAATACACACAATACAACTCTTGTAGCAGTGTATAAAACTATCAAGCATGACATGGTATGACATGGTATGAAGGGTGTGGATTAGACTTGATAACAATGTGTACGATTTGGACTTTTAAATTCGGAAATAGCAGCTCTGTTCCAACATCACATTGATTGTGAATGTCGATGTTGTTTAACCTTGTACAAATGACCATTTCACATGCAACTTTAGCCTGATATCGAGTATTTTCAAATGAATGCAACCTTGCGACACTCGCTTGACTTGTTTGGCTCGGATTCTGGTTGATATTTACGATATCGATGCAAAGTTGCATTCCAGAATGAATGTGTATAATCTGATGTGGGCAATCGTTTGGTTTCATTGTTATCAGTCATTGACACCAGTGATTGCATTGATTGCAAATAGTAGTCCAAGTAATCATGCATAAACAAATACCAGATAGTCACTGATAAACTGATGGTATCCAATGTATACATGACACATTGTATAGTTCCATTTAATTGCCAGCAATGTGTGATTGGATTACTCGAGTCATCAAGCAGTTTTCAAGCAGTTTTCAAACAGTTTTCAATCAGTTGTCAAGAACAATCAAGTCATGTCCAATAAACTGTCTGATGTGCAGGTGTTTTGGCATTGGTCCGTTGGTCCATTAGTACGATTGTTGGTTGGCAATTCGGACTTGTAAATGACAATTGATTCTTGATTGTTGCATTGGTGTCCATATGTGTCCATATGTGACTCATTGTATACGGAACAGGACTGACAAGTGTGTCTGGATTGATGCCAGACGATACAGCCTATCCAACAAAAAGTAATACATTGATCGTGTCTGTGTGGTAATAAGCTTCATAACTTCCACTTCTGAATGTATGCGAATCAACTTTCAAACAACAGATACGTCCAATGACTCTTGCAAATGCATTGATAGAGTGTTGTTGAATAATTCGAGTGTTTGCAAATCAGCATCACTGGAAATAGTTACTGTTATTCAGACAGTCAGTTGTAATACTATCCACGCCTCATATCACAGTTCTAAACTTTTTAAAAACTCTTGGTCAACAGAGATATTGCCAACATCAAGAGTTAAATGGCACTTGGAATTTCAACCTCGGGAACACTAGATTTCACAAGCGATAAGCAAAATTTCATTTACAAATCGACAAAAACAATTTGAATCAATCAAAAAGATACAAGGCTTATTCAGCACGACGACCGGAATGACCATGTTCCTTGCGGAAAGTGGTGGAAGGTTGGGCGTTGATCTTGAACGAGTTGATAGTTGCACCAGAGAACTCAACGGCACCATCAGAAGTAAACTGCAGAGAAACTGAAAACTGTTCGTTTTTGGTAACATATGGGAATACACCTTTGACGGTTGTATTCAAACCAGACACGCCATTAAACACAGTCTTGTTGTCTGTGCCAATGGAGCTTAGCAAAAAGTCTTTAGCACCGTCCATGCTATTGACAGTCAAGTAAATAAAGTCGTAGTCGGGTTCAGAGTTAAGGTTAAGATCGAGATCAATGTTGATGTGGGTGCTAACTGGCGCGGTAAAGAAAGCTTCAATGGAAGAATCGACATTGTCAGCATACTTGATACCATTGCCAATAATATACTTTCCTGACTTATTCCATCCACTAGCAGCAAGGGTTTGAGGGCCGTTGTAGATACCGACAGCGGGAGTGATATCCGAAAAAGTGAAGGGGTTGGCGACAAGAGGGATGAAATCAGAAGTCTTGGGAATATAGCGGATGTTACGATAGGTTTTAACAACTTGTTTTCCGGCAGTTTTTCCAACAAGAGTAATGCGACTATAGCCCAAACCGTTAATAACTGGAGGAGCCTCGATCTGAATGTTACGATCGGATGGAGAAATTGTTTGCTGACCAGCAACAGTTTTTCCATCTGCCTTGAACACAGTTATTTCTTCAATGCCAGCAACTTCGGCTTTGATACTCAAAGGACCAACAGTGGTCTGAATATTCATTGGTTCGGCCACAAAGTGCAGCTTGTTTTTGCCATTCTTCTCACCGATACGAGTAAGACTGTCCGAGATACGGTCGTACTGGGAATTGGTAGTTGTGTTGGGAAGAATATCGGACAGACGCGGACGAACAACAAAGTCGGACGTAATACCAATATCCTCGATGATTTGACCAGCATAAAGACCATTACGGACAGGTTGACGAATTCCGACAGACAAACGGTTCATGAATAAGGAGTTGGTTGGTGTGTAGGTCAACTCCTTGGTAAAGGGGAACATTTTGAAGTCGGTGGGGTCAATCTGCATCAAATAGGGGTTGAGCTGGAATACATTGGCACCACCAGCGCCAGTTTGGCCATCCTCGCCGAAAATAGTGCCAGTAGCAGAATCCTGGATATTGGCGGATAACATATCACAGGCCGAGTAGCATTCGCCGTTGTTGAAAATAGCCATAGGACGAACATATACTTGACCGTAGGTGTTGTATGACTCGGCAGGATCCAAGAGAGCGGTATCAGTATATCTGCTGCCGGGCTTGGTGCTGAACCACAGTTTGCTGAAAGGATCAGCAGGATCACTTCCATTAACGAATATGTTATAGGTCATGTTGTTCATGAGGTAGCGGAAACCATATGGTTCATAATCAGGCTTGAAGAATTGGGGAATAGCATTGGCAAGGTAAATAATACCACCGGGGTTGCTACGGATATCCAACACGACGGCTTTGGTGTCCTTGAGCACAGTAGTGAGAAGGTCACGAATATTGCGAACAGCCTGGGGAACAGCATCCTGACCGGTTTTGGGGTCTTTGGGTTCAAAATCGTCCAACCGAATTATACCGAGATTCTTGGTTTTTGGTTTCCAAATGGCGTATGAGACGGTAGTAACATTCGCGGGGTGGAAAGCAAGGGCAGCATCAGCTTTCTGAGGGAAAATGGAATTACGCGCCTCGGTAAATTCCTCGTGGTTGATCTGTTTGCCTTTGGGAAACTTTTTCTCACGGATAGCATCTATTTGGAGCTGACGCTCATAGTCGTGGTGAGTGGGCATCATATGCGAAGGCAGAATTGGAGTACCAGGAAGAGTAATGTTGGTGAGCCCCTTGTACATGTTACTGGAGAGTGTCCAGCAAGCATTATTATGGCCCGACACATATGGAACTTTGACAGTATAAATACGGTTATACTTTGCGCGCGCCTTGAACTGCAGAGTAATGTGATCATTGGTGGGCAAACGGTTGATTGAACCGTAAATAGTTCCAAGGAAATCAAGGGTAGTGCGTTGACCACCAAAATCATTGGCACCATCGCCAGCCTTGAACTGATTTTCGGTAAACCATTCAACAAAAGATTTTCCATCAATAGTGTGAAGTTCATCACCAAGCTTGATTTTGGCGTAGTCCTTGCCCATCAATTTAAGGATGTCGGGAATAGTGGTGATGTCAGAAACAACCACTTTTGGTTTATGGCGAATATCAGGATCACCTTCAACAAGCTGATAGCTAAGACCAGTGGTTGCAAAGAAACAGCGGTAGGGAGCGGGCTTGAAAAAACGAGTGTGCTGATCACGAATCATGATAAAGGCATCGTTAAGCGATTGCTGGAGCTCTTCGTCTGTGATGCTGGCGATTCTTTTACGCAGATCTTTCATGATGGGAGTAGGGTCAGCGGCTTTGCCATAATTTTTGATTTTGGAGTCACGACTTACCCAAACCTACAATCAAGCGAAACTCGTTAGAAGATATGCAACGGGTATGAAAACGATAGAGTTTGGTAAAACAATAAAGGTTGATTTCATTCACAGATTGATAACAGGATTTGATGTTTAAACCACTCAGCATGAATACAATATCAAAAGTCTTACATTCAAGATGCTTTCAGCATTGGACAAGACGACCTCACGCTGAGCCGGTGTATTGGGCATAAATACAAACCTTCCAGCATCTCGATCATCCTTGATCAAGTTGAATGTAGGATAAACAGTGGCAGCACTCGATACAGACGACGCAGCGGCAAGTAGAGCAACGATTGCGGTGCAAAGCATCATATATATGAAAAATGTAGTTTAAAGTGTAGAGTTCTATAATTCACGGTCTTGTAAGTACTCTAAGTAAAAACTGACAAGACTTCAAGTTGAGAGAAACAATTAATACTTTACACAACTAATAAATACAAAACTTTTATTAATCCACAACCCGCAAACTGATCGTGTTTAAAAGACTTGCATAGGCATTGGTTTAAACACGGTTTAATTCAAACGGGCAAATTGGATGCAAGAATTAAACCCGTTATGTTTCAACCACAATACCCTGACTGATGCAATTCTAATTTGAACCAAATGTAGTGAATATTATAAACCATCCAATTACAGTCATATTCACGTAAAACCAAACACTTGTGTATGATTGTCTTGAGATGAACAATAGTTTGGTATTCGTTTGTCTGCTAGAAATTAACTGTACTGTTTCTTTAAGACACAATCAAACTATAGTTTTAAACCCGCTCTTTCTTCATCCTTTGCATAGCCATACGCTGTAAAATCACCAAATCCGTGCAATTCAATCCAGAGATTAGGGTTGACTACTGATATCAATGTAACTGTACAAGCTCATACTTGTTGTATTCTAAATCTCATACGGTCGCGCTTCATTTCAAGAAAACAAAGATTGCATTTCTAGAACATGCAACTGTTGCTTTCATGACAATCACCCAATATTGTAATGCTCAGTTTGGAAAATTGGAGATTAACCAATATCAAGAATATGGTGTTTACTGGAGCTCTGGTGTGAGTATTCACTCAGTTTTTTATACAAAATGAGACAAAGGAGAAAGGCCAGTGAATTTTGCCAAGGAGGCTGGTGAACTTTGTCAGAGCCCAGTGAACACAATGTTGTCTAGTAAATTTAGTGTGGATCATCACTTGACAAGATTGGCCATTCATTATGTATTTTAACACCCTTATTTCGTGTTCCATTTTACGCGAATACGGCGGTAAAAGCATCATGTGCATAAATATTTGTTCAAGTATTCCATTGTATAAATCATTACATGTGTATACTACCAGCCACATGAAAACATAGGCTTCATGTGAGGCTCAATGCGGGAGCAATTTGCTAAGTTAGGAAAACTTGTAATTTAGATCTGAAAGAGTCAAGGTAAAGCGTATGCTATTATAGTTTTCTCACCAGACGCTACAATTTGAATTGATTTGATGTTAGCTCAAGTAAACCATCTTAAATTCTATTTTACCCAGCAAGATACTGGTGTACTTTAGTCAGTGTCAATTTTGATTGATACCTTTTTATTCCATACTTTCTATAGTTCTTATCACTAGTCTTTGCTGAATTCTCGCTACGAATGCTTTCACAATTTAAAGCATTAAAATGTTCACTTTGGGTTTAGAATCTGTCAACCCCAAACTTTCAAAATGCAAAGCGTGTGGAGCAGAATACTTTTACACTTTCAGTTTAAGCTGTCCTTGCTACAAATCGAAAACAAACCAGGGAAAAGGACTCGCTATACAAACCATGCATTGTGATTGTTATTGGAGACGTTGAATTTACACAATCAAGGAATATCTGGCACAACATTCAAAAAAATCTGTTGTAGCCTAATGTCAGATACGTGTGTGCTCTAGTTCAAGAGAACATCCCAGGAATGCAACAGTTGTTTCTATGCCGATCAGCTAATGTTCAGTTTAGGCAAAGGGAAAATTGGTTGAAATGCCAAAAATGTGAAATATATTGGAACAAGGATGTGAATACTGATGTGGACATTCACTCAGTTTTTTATACAAAAATGAGCATGAAGAAAAATCAACAAGCTTTTGTCAAGAAATTCAAAAGTCAATGCTGTCCAGTAAATTTGGTGATACCAATCATTCATGAGATTAGCTGTTTATTATAGACACCCCTATTTAATGATCCATTATACATATGAATACGACCATATGTGTAATTTTCAGCATTGAACTACTAGAGTACCAAATCAACACTTTCTCAAGGGTAAACTGAGCAGCAAATAAGCTTGGTAGATGATTATAGTGCTTCAATGATATCAAAAAACGTAGCTTGGTAGATGATTACAGCGTTTCAATGATATCAAAAAACGTAGCTTGGCAGATGATTATAGTGCTTCAATGATACCAAAAAACATAGCTTGGTAGTGGTATCAAACCGTATCCAATCGATCGGTTATAACTATAGCATGACTATTTTTGAGTAGTTGTTAAACTACAAGTTTGACACTAACTAATCATTTGAAGCTTTCCAATCTAAATCACGTATTATATCAAACACTGGCTATAACATTTTGGTTTAAAACCATATCCAAGTCTTGAATTAAAAAATGCCAACTATTCCAAATCATCAAACCATCCAAACGTTTATGCACAAGTAGCATCTCATGAATTCATTTATACTATGAGAAATATGCAGAACGATTCATTGGATATTTTTATTCCAAAAAAGTTAAATTGAGGCTAGTAAATTTCTTTTTCAAAATACCCGATTTGCTCACATGGGATAAACAAGAGAGCTAAGAAAATGGCGGAAATCCTAAAACATTGCATACACCAAAATTGTTGACAAAACCCGTTAAAAACGTGAAAATAAGGAACGGATTGATGCAAAGATGGATCGGCCAATAAACGCCTTCATAATCAATGTGCAATTAGATATACATTGCAGATGACACTCTAGCCATTCGGACGGATATTACAATGCAGTTTGCTATAGATTATTGAATTGTAATTACGGATCATTGGGAAAATCTTGGATATGGCACATTGTATGATCTTCAAAATATAAAACATATTATCCACATAAGAACAAACACTTAGAAAGCTGGGCGGCACTGTCAAAAGCAATGGATTGGTTCAACATGAGTATTGTCAAATTCTACAACAGCGACCCTCAAAATGGCATCTTAATGCAAATGTATTACTTTCTTGTCCATTTTGGTCAGGCTGTTAGTGCAAACATCCCTTAACCTTGTGTGCTTGCAGTAATACCCTGCATGAACGCCTCAACGAGATCGTTATTAACATATCCGACACCCATTTACTCAGCAGATATTTCGCGTGAAAATTTACAAAGAATCACGAGGATATCACATGAGCGTTTTGATGACCCGTTAATTTGTATTGTCATGTTTGACCCATTCAGATGAAACAATAGTGATGCATAACGGGAATGCAAAAGTTGTTTCATTCTGTGTAATTGCATTTCAACCATCTGCATTCCAAAAATATAAAGCTAGCCAATCCCCTCAATAAAACTTTTCTATAAATCTTCTGTCTATCATGTCCAAAGAAAAGCAGGACGAAAGCTTAGTCGATCATGAATTAGATGTAGAGAAAGATCTTCTTAAATCTGGCGATATCGAGGATGTCGATGCTGAATATGCTAAACTGTACACAAAGGGTATTGTACCTGAGACTGATGACCCGTCTGCTCCATCTCTTTCTGTCCGTATGTTGGTTCTTGGTATCATCTGGGCCATCTTCCTTGGTCTTATGAACGGTATGTTATTTTATTTGAGATTGTCAATGCGTCCAACTGCTGAGTTGATGCTTGGTCGCGATTTGATCCAGGTTGAAATATCTGGCAACTAACGTTCAATTGGTATTACAAACAGGTATTTTCTCTTTCCGTACCAATCCATTTGCTATTAGTAGTAACGTTGCTGCCATTCTGTCGTACCCTGTCGGTATTTTCTTGGCTGCTGTTCTTCCCCGTGGTATCCTCAATCCTGGTCCTTTCACCATCAAGGAGCACGTTCTCGTGTACATGCTTGCCTCGGCTGCCGGTGGTCAGCCATATGCTATTGAAAACGTTATTGGTCAGTCGTTCAGCAAGTTCATGGATGACACCAGTGTTACTTTCTGGAACTCGATCCTCTTCGTTCTTACTACCCAAATGATTGGCTACGGTCTTTCTGGTATGACTCGTCGTTTCCTTGTTCGCCCCGCTGCCATGTACTGGCCCACTGCTCTTTCTACTGTTGCTTTGTTCATTGCATTCCACGAGAAGGAAGAATCTGAATCTTCAAAGAAAGTTGGTGGTCTTTCCCGTTATGGCTTCTTCTGGCTTGCTTTCTGTGTCATGTTCATTTACCAATGGATCCCCACTTTCTTTGCCCCCGCTCTTGGTGCTCTCTCCATTCTCTGTATGATTCCCGGTGCCAGCAAAACCACTCGTTTCCTTGGATCTGCTTCCCCAAGCGCTGGTGTCGGTATTTTGTCGCTCTCGTTTGATTGGACCATTATTGGCTCCGGCTGTATTTCCGTTCCATTCTGGGTCATGTGCAACATTACCTTTGCCGCTGTCATTCTTGGATGGATCGTTGTTCCTCTCCTCCATTTCAACAACACCTTCCACAACCCTACCTTGGTTGGATCTTATGTCTTTGAGGATGGATCGCCTTTCCCCGTTGTCAACTCTCCAGGTCTTTACAGCAGAAAGGGTACTCGTGTCAGAGCTACCTCGTTCTACAACAAGCTTACCTACGATCTTAACGAGACTGCCTACAACAAGGTCGCCCCCGTTTACATTACCGAAATGTTTGCCACTACCTATTTCATGTCGTTCTTTGCCTTGACCTGTGGTATTTCTCACGTTGCTCTCTGGTATCACAAGGACATTATTCGTCAAACCAAGGAGATGCTTTCCCAGGTTGATGAAGCAAAGATGGATATCCATAACGAGCTGATGAAGGCTTACCCCGATATTCCCGAGTGGGTTTACCTTACATGGCTCGCGTTCTGGCTCATTGTCATGTTCTTTGTTGGCCAGTTCACTCCCTTCAGACTTCCATGGTGGGGTGTTATTTTCGGTCTAGTGATTGCTTTTGTTTTCCTGATCCCATACGGTATTATTCAAGGCTCTGCTGGTCAACAGCTTGGTCTGAACGTTATCACTGAATTGCTCATGGGTCTGTTCATTCCCGGCCAAACCGTTTCTGTCATGACCTTCAAGTCATACGGTTACAATATTATGATTCAGGCGCTTTCTCTCACTTACGATCTGAAGGTTGGCCACTACTTGCACATTAATCCCATCCACATGGTTATTGTCCAGCTTATCGGTACCGTTATTGGAGCAGTCTGCAACACCGCCTCTGTATGGATTGCCATTTCATACTTCCCTCTTGATACTCCCGAGTGGACTTATCCCGGACATACCACTTTCTTCAACGCTGGTGCTATTTGGGGTGCTATTGGTCCAGCACGTTTCTTTGGTTCTTCGTCGCCATATTTCTCGCTAAACATTGGTTACCTTGTTGGCGCAGTTCTTCCCGCTCTGCCATGGCTCATCAACAGATCATATCCCCACCCGTACTGGCGTTTCATCAATTTCCCCGTCATGTCATACGCCCTCTCTACCGGTGTTAGCCAGTCTTACTTGATCATGAACATTCTGCTTTCCTTCTTCTTCATGTTCTTCCTCTTCACTTACCACCACGCTTGGTGGACAAAGTACAACTACGTATTGGCAACTGCCTTTGACTCTGGATCTGGTATTGCTGTCTTGGTAGCTACTCTTGTTGCTATGCAGATTACCATCCCTCTGTCTGCCGTCAACCCACCCATGGTTGACTTTTACTGCACTGGAACCAACTGGGACAATGCGCAGTTTCAATAGTTGATTATTGATGTGTATTAATCCTTGCAATATTTTTGCCTAGATTGTTTAAAAATGAAATTCTAATTGGGTTGATATAGATAGTTGTAAATTACAAATGGAGGGATTTGATAAAGGTTTAATCTTTGCAATGGCGTGTCCTACCATTTTATTTTTTGAAATAAACGAATCATGGTTTAATGAATTCAAAGCCAGATCCACTATTGGAATAATGGTCATACCAGTATCCAGAATAGCCATAGCTGAAAATCCGTGTCCTTTACAAATAGCATCATGGTTGTACTTTATAAAAACAAGATTTTCAACTGGGATGCATGATACAGTGAGTTTGTTGTAGTTGTCTAGATCAAAAAATGATATGAACAAATAAAGATGGTTGAATTACAGTCATATCCATATAAAATAAAGCACTTGTATTTATTTTGCAGTCAAGAACATGTTGCTTTTCTACTACAGATTGACTATTTTTTAATAGATACTCTTGATTCAAATTTTTTTAAATCTGCATTTCTTGGTACGACCACCAGACTCGTCCGTTTCAATCCAAATATTGAATTCAATTGTTTTGATGTTGTCAATTAAACTCATTTTTTGTGCTTTGATCTCGGATACGTTTGCGTTCTAATTGGTATTCCATTTCATGTAAACATATTCAATCCAATAATAGTAAAAATTGTTACGTTTGTATTAAAAATAGTATGAAAAAACCTCGCAAAAAACACAAGCGCTAGTGGTTTAGTGGTAAAATTCATCGTTGCCATCGATGAGCCCCCGGTTCAATTCCGGGCTAGCGCATTTTTACTATTTTGATCATTACTAAAAACAGTGCTCAAAAAACTAATCCAGCAGTAAAAAGAATAGTAGATGCATTGTAAAGACAAGTAATGGTTTTAAATTTCATTTGTTTAATCTACAAGCCTAATCTGCCTATGACCCTGCTGAACAATCTGCACATGATCATGTTGCGCACCACCACGACTCGTACTTTCAACAGGCTTGTTTATATCAACATTGGTCATTATAGACTTTCGCACTTGATTGCGTTGCAGTCGACCCCGATGCCGCTGACCAGATTTAAAAGTGTTTCCTGTGTCAATCACTTGTGAACCTACTTGTGTTTTTTCAAACCCCTTTGTTTGCAAAGAAGCATATTTGGACGTGGCAGCAGACTGAATCACACCCTGTTGCTGCATTGGCATTAATTTTATCTGTCTAGACTGAGATGACAAGGAAGATTGGTGATCGGATCGTTGAATGGTGCCTGACTTCAACCCGTGTCGCTTAGAAACTGGCTTGCTATTAGATTTATGATGTAGCGCGGCCGTACTTAGTTTTTTGTGGAGAATAGTAGCTGACGTAGTTGCTGGAGTATTTATACCTCTTGCTCCATTCAAAGTATTTTTTTGTCGTTTTTTGTTATTTTTTTCAATCGCACTCGTAGGCTTATCAACAGGCTCCAGTTTAGCTGCAGTGTTTTGAGTAGTGGATCTACAAAAACAACATATAATCAGAGTTGGCAAATAAAAAAGCATTTGAATCAAATGATTTAAACCTTACGATTTTGCCAAGTTCCACGATAGATTTAAATCTACAAGCTTACGTGCATGAGCAGGTTTAAGCAATTCCTAATAGTAAACACTCGACTGGTTACCAATCTATATCCACCAATTGTTGATATATGTGCAAATTAAAACTGCCAGATCAGATCACCTTAACTCACCATGATCATCAAATAAATGTTGCTAATGCATCGAAGTGACCGACTCAAACGCATCGTAGTTTCAAAAAGCTCGCGATCTGGTTTGGTCATGTTGGCAGGATCTCCGTGTGGAGCTTTGTATGCACTGAGTTGTGATGCAATAGCATTCTTGGCTGCCTGGGTTTCAATGTACAAGGCACGAAGGCGAGCAAGAAGTTTTTCAGACGTAATTGGAGCATGTCCACTTTGTCGATCACATGTATACAATACGTATACTATTGGCTCTATAGTTCCAAGCATATCGTTTCAATGCATAAAATGTTGGCGATAAGTCAAGCCAAACAGCAATCAATCACATCATATTCGCAAATACCAAGACTTACCGCATCTCATTAAATCAATCTTGGACTGTCCAATCGTCACCATGTCATCCGTAATTAAATACTGGACAATTTTATATTCAACAAAAACAATTCCCAATAAACTTTGTAAATCAGACTATTTCCAAAACCTTATATTCAAAACCAATCAGCATCTTACATTAATGGCTTGAACTACAATTTCAAATGTAGATTTGAAAAAATCTACAGAACGTACAAAAGGAATTAGGTCTGCAACTAGTTTGAATAAATTAAGCTGTTGTTTAGGCTCAAGATCTATGAATTTTCCATTTTGAACAAGTCCTGTAAAAATAATGTGTAGCAGAGAATGACTTGATCCACCATTCTATACGGTATAAACATTGTTAGGATTTCTAGAATATACGATTTAATCGGTTTTCAGTAAACAATACATACATTATATATTGCGAGGTTGCGATTGGCGTGTGAAATAAGCTTAGGAATCAGCTCTTTATTCACAGTCTATAAAAATCATTTAAAACCACATATATTTAGCATCTTAAATACAACAACACATTTCAAACAAAATACTTGCGCTAAAAGGGAGTTGCTGCCCAAGTTGGTCATCAAACATGGTCAGAATCTCTGTCTGATGTTTCGGCGTGTCAAATGCATTCATTAGTCTAAGAAGCATAAATGCGTTTTTTGTATCGACGGGCTCGACAGATTGCATACTGGCCAACTATTTTATATGAATCAAACCATTTTATCTAATCAACCCTAAATGCTCAGAATCATAGCATAATGAAAGATTTAATGCATATTAAGAACAGTACCTTGATTAAAACGGTGACAAATTTCGATTTGAGCTCAACGGCAAGAGTCAAGGTGCCAACATATGCTACAAGAAATTGGAGAAGTTCTGTTCGAACAATTGGCACACCGTTTAAAAGTTGGGACATGACCGCTTCAAATGCAACTGAGGTAAAATCAATACATTGCATTGTCATTAGAAAAACATTGCATTATCACGCAGTACAAATAGCTAATTGTGAATACCATTTGGATGCTGAACCAATATCATTTTTAAAGTTTGTCGAATAATGACTAGCTCGTCTTCCTGTTCTGAAATTTGCAAATGCATCAATATGTAAATCAAAAAAATCAGCCATAGTATAGATAATCAATTACCTGCTTGTAATAATTGGCAAAGCGCATCAGTGACACTTGATGCAAACTGCTCAGTTTCTTTACAAAACCCCCACAGATTCTTGATGGACTCTTTTCTGATCTAAACCCATCAGCATCATGTAAGATGAAATGACTAGATTCACATCATGTGCTTCACGCTACATAATGAATCCACGCTTCAACGGACTTAATGATGGATATGTTTATATACCTGAATATCTTCATCCTCGCACAAATCCTATTTCCATAATAAAATCAAAATTGCACAGTACCACCAAGAGTTAGTGAACAGCGTAAACTTTTCAACCTCAATCTTTGATCACTTGTCTGTAAATCTGATATACTTACCAACTGTGTATTGAAGGCTTCCTCAACCATGGAAGGAAAGCTAGACACATATTTGGGAATTACTGAAGCAGCCATCAGCTTAACCTGCTGAACTTGCTTTGCAGCCTTGAGAATAAAACTAAATGCATCCACTCTCTATCAAAACAAAAAATCAGCAGATGGTTCAATATAGATAGCTCGTAGGGTTCATCAATTGGTATGCAGCCATGCCAGCAGAAACACATTGATAACCCCGCTGGCTGATAAAAAAGGGAATTGGTTTGCTCGAATGATGAGTTGAACTGACCAGCGCAGGATCAACCGCATTAAAAGTGATGTCCATAAGAGCATCCGTCGCATCGTAGAAAGCCTTGACAGTGTCAGCAACAGACAGATCCATGGTCATATCAGCAATATTCTTGACTAGAATCAATCCGTCGATTCCTTCTAGTCAACACGTGTTGATCAAATTCACTTTCAAACTAATTCATTCGCATTACAGCCAAAAGGAATGAGAATGCAGAATATTCATTTATATTTCAAATCAATTTCATCATGTTTTCAAGCCATTCTGTTAAAATCAGGCAGGCAGCTGTTTCAGCAGGTGTTAATGCAAGTTCCTAACAGACTGGCCGTGCCAACAAGTCAAATTGTCGCCGCGTTTTACGAATAATGGATGCTCTTGCTATTCAAATCAACAATCTACCAATATTTACAAGAACATGATACACACAAATGGCAATCGTTGTTAACAGTTTTTCATTCTCATTTTTTTGATTCTTCTCCACCATCATTCCCTTTGTTGCTGACTGTGACCCAGAATCAGTCTGGATCCATTCCTTGCATTCACCACATGGAATTTAATGGCCCTTTCGTTTTTGTTTCTTAATATGGGCACGCATTGTACGCTGCTTATCAAACAGAGATCTTTGAGCCTTTCCACGCACCTCTCGCTTGTGGATAATCATCATAAATGCCTTGTTTCTCTTTTCCTTGACCTGATGTATCGTCGAGTTTAAAAACATGTCAGAATGATTGATGCATGTATAGAATATAGCATAAAATGGGATATACTCATGCCTTGTTAGTCAAGGAACTACGATCCTCTGCACCGCGCTTAGATCCAAATTCTCGTCCTTCTCGTCCAGCCTATTAATGCTCAACAAAATGGTCAGATCTCTAGTATATTGAATAATTCAAACTGTTTTTAAAAGTTAATATATACCTTGACCGTTTCCATACGAGCAGCATAGTCCATCTTTTTACGATTTCCTGAAATAATACGAGACACATTAACAATGCTTGGGTCATTGTCTTCAGAATCGCTATCCAGCTGGGCTTTTGCACCACGCATGCCAGCCACTCGCTCTGCTTCAACCTCCATACGACGCTCGCGAATACGTGCAAAATCTTTGTCTGTAAGTAACTATAATAGATTGTAAACAAAAAACAGATGATGTGTTGGTCAAACGCAACATAAAATTTTACAAAACAGATGCAGCATATAAATGGTAGACTTACGGTTTCACCAGTGATACCAAATTTGCGCTTTTTAATAGGACTTGTGGCGAGTGCTTCCTTTTCTGATTCATGGGCCTCTTTAACTTCCTCTTCATTCTCTTCTACCTCATCATCATCACTATCTTCCTCGTCCTCATCTTCATCTTCGTCTTCATCTTCATCTTCATCATCTTCAAGTAAAACGCTTTCCTCCTCGTCAGATACCAAGTCAAAGTCTGCCTCATCATCAGATTGATTTTCCTCGCCAGTACCCTCAGGCTCGTCATCTTCATCAAGATACTACAGGTTCAAAAGCATAGTTGAGTATGTAGGGCAATGGTAGGGTTTGAATTCAAAAAATAAAATATTATATCCACCTCAATGCCGTCAATATCGTCCTTGAGATCAATTTCACCATATTGCTTTGGTTTGAAGGTCTTGAGTCCCATAGTTGCTGCTTTTCCCTAAACGTCCAAATCACATTCAAAAAGCAAAGATCAGGACTTTAATCCAATTCAACTAAAAGTCAATTAAATACATACTCTGTCCTTTTTGCGCAGCATTTCTGGATTAATTTCACGATATAGACTCAACAATGATCTAGCAGCGTTCATGGGTCCCTTTTCGCGATGGTTTTTGTAATCTTCAAGAAGACTTTTAAGAAGCTCTTCAGGCATAGCAAGTGGACAACGAGTACAAATTTCACGAAGACCATTGAGTCTGATTATCCAAGTAGAAAATAGGATTAGGTAAAAATTTGTTTCTGTAGTAAATCAACTTCATACTTACCCAGCAGAAACAACTTCAGACGAGAAATTACACCAAACGAAATTATCTGCAATGGCTCTGACAACAGGCTCCAGTGCATCAGGCGGAACCAACTCGTGCGAGCTCTGCGCAACATAAGCTAAAATCAGAGTAACATCTTGTTGATGGGGTTTCAAGTAAGGAACAAGAAACTCGTAAAATCCAAGAAGAATCAACCGGTGCACGCCAATAAGTCGAGATACAAGATTCATCATGTGCATACGAAGTTCAAATTTAAATGCATTCTTGTTTGCCGCTTGGCGAAGTCGAGAAAAGATCTTTTCGGCAAACCCTGAGTGTTTAAATTAAAAACTAGTTAAAAACAAGATACATATATAAAAATAGTATAGTGGACGTTGGTGAATTTAATATAGTACCTTGTGGATCATTGATTAGATGAAGTGCTGAAAAATTAAATACTTCTGCTCTGGATTTACTACGTTCTTTCTACAAATCAAAATAATCGACACGAGTATAATGTCAATGATTACATTAACCGCTTCTAGTGAAAAACACTGCCAAACAACTCACTCTTTTGATTGACGCTTTTGCCTTTTCAAGCATGTGCATACGAGACTTTTTTTTCTTGTTGATTTGGAAGGCATGACGTACACTAGTGATATCTTGAGCATCCTCGTCATCCGACTCTTCTTCCTTATCATTAGTTCCAAGGAAAAAGTGTATTGCTGAAGCAACAATCTTTGGTGAGTGTGAAAAGCATGCTTCCGCAATGACATTAACAGTTTTTGCATCATTCCTTGATTTAATTTTAAATGTGATACTGTGAGTCAAACCGTACCATGAAAACTCAAACTGGATTCCTGTACTTACCAAATATTCTTTTTGTACAGCTCAATCATGACTTCTATCGATTTCTTTGCGGCGACCTGTTTTGAATGGTGCTCGTTAGTTTAAGCCCAGCTTTATCTTTGTCAAAATTCAGTGTCAAGCAAATCAATGTATCTTACCTCGTTCGTATCATTTAGCATCGTGTACATGAAATTTTGAAGGGTCTTGTTCATGGCATTGTTTTTAGACTTTACATTCGAGTTTTTGACGTCGCTGACGATATGAGAGTGAAGAATCTGACGAAGCACCTTGTCTTTGCAACGGAACAAGGTGAAGAAAAGACCAAGCAAGCTATATTAACATTTCATATTAAAATTTTGAATGCCAAATAGCCAGTTATTTACAGCCGTATTCACGTAAACGGAGTACTAAATAATAACTGAACGAATGTTTACATCACAGCTTCAGCCAATCACACTTGCTCAATCCTCAACTCTTTTTTATCCAAACCAAACATTGAGTGATTGGTATGGAAACAAGGGTTGCATTCTCAAAACATGCAATCTGTTTTTAAACTAGAACGCGAGCGTACTCAAGTCTAGGATATAGCAAATATGAGCTTGATTGAAAACAGTCGAATCCAATACCTGGATTTGTAATAAACGAATCTGATGATCGTACAATGAATGACTGCCAAAAAGCATAGTTTCAACTCAAAACTATAGCTTGATTGTGAGCAGCATATGATGGATATTGTGTTTGAAAAATTGGGTGTCTATTGAATAAACAGTCAATTTGTAGTAAAAAGTACAAGGGATATTTAACCATTGTCCATTTCGGGGCAACGCATAGATAGATACAAGTTCCATTTTACATGAATACGGCTGTAACAATACATAATTACAAATCCAATTAATACTTGCGTTGTTGGCTGGATAACTCCACGGTTCCGCATTAAAATCAATGCCTGGACCATTGTTTTTCTGATATCCGGTGCCATAAGCTGGTAATGATTAGACAGCAAGTCGATCAATTTGCCAGGAAACTCTTTTGTTTCTGCAGGATAGCAAAGAACAACATGGCTAATAAACAGAATTTGGTCGGCAAATTCCTCAGAAATGACAGAATCCTGTGGTTTGAGATTGAAGATAGCAAGAGTGGATTCGAAATGGCGTAGCTGTTGCATAAACTCATCCTTGTATGACTTGGCATCTCGCTTGATTTTGTTTTGCAATTGTGGAAGATTTGTTATTAAGCATTCTGCTCTAGTTCTTTTCACCATTTTGAGTTTGGTATTTACTAATTATAGCGGATCGCTTCAGAACCGGCCAAACTTCTGATGCGTAGATTGGATAACAATATATTTTTTTTTAATTGGAAAATTTAAACATTAAATCTTTACTTTCTTGTCACGTGTTTTGAAGTCACTTTTTAACCAGACTGATAGTGTTTGATGGACAGATAAGCCAATACAAATATTTCGGTGCATTACTTGAACAAACAGAAACAGGTTTATAAACCCCAACTCATGCAAAAACCACTTTGGTTTGCCTTTCACTGCTCGTTCTCTCCGTGATATACATCTTGAGCATGTTTATGAAACCAGCTACACCAGTCAGCAGTGAAACAAAACATTAGTTTTTGAAATAAATCTATTGGGTAAAATACAATAACGTCGATAAAGCTGGGTAGTCTATTCATAGCTAATGAACAACAATGGGATCAGGCTGGACAGGAAACGCGTTCGTTGGATTTATGGACGTGACGAGGGGTTTAGTTGTCAACTGTACACCCTTCAACTCTCCTTTCATCCAACCCAAACATTGAGTGATTGGCATGGAGATAGTAGATGTATTTCTGAAATGTTCTCTTGAACTAGAGCGCAAAAGTGTGAGATTTTAGAATACTTTAACATCAGAACAGTCGAGTTGAATATCTGGATTGCAATGGATGAATCTGGTGGTCGTACAATGCATGGCTGAACCAAGAGAAAAAAGGATCGTTTCGGTTCAAAATTATAGCCTGGTTGTGTTTAAAAGAGTCGAGAATGTCCAAAGTCAGTTTATACTATAAAAAGCATTACAGATATTTAACATTGTTTATTCCAAAGCAAGTCAATCATTGCAAGATAAAGTGTTCCACTTTACGTGAATACGACTGTAATATTAAACAGTAGCCCGCATCTAAAGAGTTTAATTATGGCAGAAACAAGAACTAAGCGACGGCCAGTGCAGTACTCTGCAGACACACCTCCATCTGCACCTTTGCCAACCGCACTCGATAAAAAAGATGCATTCCAATGCTCACCGTCCCATGCTGAAAGAAACCCTATTGGTTTAAAGGAGAAAGACCCAGTAATTGATGCAGCAAAACAATCGAATCATGTACTTCCACACCAGGCAAACACTTTAGGATGGACTCAACAGTCATATACCCAAGCAAATAAAGAACTGGACGAAGCAACCTTGATGGCAGGACTAGCTAAAAACCTGTATTCGCCTGGCCATCTACAAAATATTTCAAAACCAAACTCTACCAGCAATTCTCAGCAGTTTTATTCTGGAGTAGAGTGTGGAGATTTAAATGCTCTTGGGTCTACGTTAGATTCATCCAAGGGAAAACTCCAACCTTCTATCGCGAGACGCTCAGTTGTGCGCGAAGTAAGCGTTGCTAGCATTGGTGCAAATGCTGTTTCTAATGCTGGTGGTTGCCATGATACTGCATATACAAAGAATTTGTCGTTTCAAAAGCTTTCTTCGTCCATACCGGATTTGGATTCTACCAAAGTGCAACAGCGCAAATCAATGCCAATTACCCTGGCCACTTCAGCTGCATACTCTGGCAGTATATTGAGTATAGAAAATTCTAATCCAGGCATACCAAGATCTCATTCAAGGTAAATCTGCCTGTTTGCTCCCAGATTTGATTTTGGGCCATGGAGTATAAATGTTGAGCTTAGGATATTCATTGAAATTTTATATGAAATCGTAGAATCATGACACAAAGTACATCGGATCCACCAACTGGAGTACTCAAGAGATCGTCTACTCTTCGCGATATCCAACGTTCAGCTCGAGGAAAACTTTTACAAAAATCAGTTGATTCCAGTGAGCCGACGACAAACTCATCCTTTACTGCAACTCAGCCAGGTACTCAACCTCGAGAAGAATCAAATAGATATTCGCATTCGGCTAAATATTCACCAAAATCGTCTCATGGACTGCCCCATCCTTCTTCACCTAGTCCTGCGAGCGTTTCATATGTAGCTGATTTGAATGACAAAGTCTTGAAATTGCAAACAAAAATCGATTTACTTTGCAATGACAAATTAGCTCTTGAAAGTCAGATTGAATCGCTTGGTCACGTTCCAGGTATATCTAAATTGTGCCTAATAACAACCACCTTTTGGTGTGGGAATACATAGTTTACTAGTTGTTGCTTGAAATGTAACTTAATCCATTAATGCATTGTTTTGATCACTTTAGTTACTGCCATATCAGGATCCTCGATTGAATTGAAAGAAAATGAAGAGTCGAGTTCATCAACAACCAAGAAAGACTCGCGAATTTTCGAAAATAAAGAGACGTGGGCAGAGATTAGGGTAAATACTGAACACGCTTTGCTTCATCCAATAGTTTATTCATATTTATATTATAAATTTATATAGAATCTTTCAGCTGCGATTCTGTCACAGTTTGGAGAACCATCTGTTCAAACTTCAAACGCATCCACTTTTTCAGCAAAAAAACAACCAGTTTCAACCCATCCCAATCCGTCGCTGTCTGAATCTTCCCAAGACATGCCATCAATTAACGCACTCTTACTCGACTCCACCAGCCTTTTATCAAAAACTCAATCAATTGACACTTGCACTCATCCATCAAGTTTGGCTTTGGATCAAACAGTTGATTCTTCATTGAAATCCAAGAAACAGTCTGCAGCATCGCTACAAACCACCAAACAAACACCTTCAACAGCATTGCCAAACCCGATGATTTTACCATGTATATCAAAAGTCAATGAACAGGTCAATGCAAGCGAGAAAAATAGTTTGAAATTGGAATCAAGCGAAACCAAATCTGCAAGTCTCGTCCAACCTGTGATGTCTTCAAGTAAACCAAATACACAATCATCGCGACAGATATCGATAAAATCATTGCAGAATATAGATCCAGTGACAAATTCAGAAACTAAAAAGTCTAGTATTGTAAAGCCTTTACTACAGAAATCATCACCTCTACCACCGCATATGCAGAGTAAAAGTCCACCCATGTCGGCAACAAACTTGAAACATGATGCAATGGTGCCAGTGAAACACTCGGTGGCAAGTAGATCTAGTGCAGATATTAGTAATTCTGTAAAAGATTCAAATCTGTCACAGTCGTTGCTTACACTGTCGTTTTCAACCCCAGAGGCATCTATCGCCTTGAACTCTTTATCATCGAAAACAGACGCGATGAGCTCTAAGCCAGACTTGAATCGGAGCAATGGAAATAGTGAGTTGGGAAGTGTATTGCCAAGTGACTTTCAGAACGATTTGATGGATATTTTTGATAGTTTTGGATTTTAAATATATAAAATAGTTGAATAAACTAAACGAGGAATCACCGCTGTATCCACGTAAAATGGAACATTATCTTGCAATATAAGAATAAATAATAGTTGAATATCTGCTGGACATTCTCGATTGTTCCAAACACAGTCATGACGCAAACCTTTTGTGGTTTTATGTGAACGCAACAGTAAAAGTGAATCTGACGATATTCGAGAGTTTGACGGAAAAGGTTCAAGTTTCCAATTTCGATTTCGATTCGATAAACCAGACATTCGATCCATCACTCAACAAAAGAGCTGGAATCTATCAAACTACTGTTTGTTGCTTGTTTGAATAGTATTGTGTTATACTAAGAGTGTTGAGTAGCATGTCTACGTTTACTTCTTCTAAACGAACACTGTTCCAGAGTAAGTATCTCGACTATTGAAGAGTGTCTGTATCTAGCCATGAGTACTGTTTTATTGATATGTTGGGCTATGCATAAAGCATTTTACAGTCAAGAGGGTTTGATGAGTGAGATGTAGTCTGCCAAGAGTCTATCCAGACATTCCAAATGTCCGAATGAATTTCTTTGTTAATCTTCTAGTTGTATTCTGCTTATACTTACACCTGATATCAACTAGCCGTACAGGACACACCTGCTCCAAATGCATATTCAGTGGACCACTCTTTGCTCAATCATGACTCGTACAAACAGTTTGGCTTTCTTGACAAATCACAGCGTTTCCAGGATCGTGTCGCCAAAGGTAATTGCTTTTGAATAGCGTCCATCTTATCTTTTTAAAGCCTAATTTTGTATATACGATGCAGATCGACATAATTCTGGTGATGGTCCCATTTCATCCGAGGAATGTATAATGAATAGATCGCCTTCTCCTCCATCACAGGTTCAGAAACCAGTCCGTAGCGACAAGGAGGAAATCAACAAACTGAAGCGAGAGGTAATTCGTCATGTATCAGCCATTGTTTATATAAATGGATTCTTAATATTGGTGATACTTTGGTGTGATGTACATGTTATCACTAGCATTATATTTAACCTAATACATCAACTTTAGATTACAAAACTTTCCGCCACACTTGAACGTAATCAAATCAAGTACGAAAAGGAATTACATAATATGGCTGATCGTATCCAAAAATCCGAGACACAACTCCAGCTTGTTATTAAAGAAAAGGCTTCTCTTATGTCACAAACTCTTCTTAAAGACAAAACCCTTCATGAACTACAGTATCAGGAACAGACTCTTAAAATTCAATTGGAAAAATCCGAGAAAAACAATGCTGCTTTACTAGAAAAAGCACAACAATTGGCTCCGCTGAAACGCAAACTGGAGGACACGGAAAAGCAGCAAATGAGAGTAAAAACTCACGCAGACCGAAAGATTGTCCATGAAAATGAGACGCTTGTCATGCAAGTTCAAAAACTCAAAACTGAACTGGATTCCACTTTGAGTATCAAGGACTCTATGAGTTCAACAATTCAAAGCCTCAAGACTGAAAACCGAGATTTTCGAGAAAGTATCAATGGTTTAAATGCTACGATTCAAAATACAAAAGATATTCATGACGTTGATCTGCGAAGGTGGCGAGACGAGCGTGCCGAGTATGAGAAGCGTATCACGCAGTTGAGTGAGAAGCTTGTGACTGAAAAAGCAGATTTTGCAGAGATTATCAAGGGCGTAAAAACTTCTGAATCCAATGCAAGAGAAGCTGCTAATAGCGCTTCTGTTTCACTTGAGCGTCAGCGCAACGCGTACTTGCAACGTATTGCACAATTGGAGGGAGATTTAGATATTGTTGAGCGATCGGTTGTTGACAAGACTAAAACGATTGAAACTATGGTGGACAAATCCCGCGCCATGCAGGAATCATATCAAGCTAGGCTAGCTGAATTGACTGCCAAAGCAGAACGATCCGAAAGAGTCACTCTGCTAGAGCATGAAATGCAGCAACTCGAGGCAAAATACAAGCGTGATGTAAAGGGGTTGGAAATTATTGTAACTGAAGCTGTTACGGGTCGTGATGAAGAACGCCAGCGACTTGAAAGTAAAATCAAGACCATTACACAACAGTTGACGCAATTAGAGGCAGAGCATCGCGAAGCCACTCACTCTTATATATCCACGATTGATGCCAAAACCAATCTTGTGCAAGCTAAAGTGACGGAAGTGAAAGAGCTTACTCTGCTGTTAGAGACCACCAAGGCACATGCAGAAGAACTCCAATTTTCCAAGGAGGATCTTGCTCAAACGGTGGCTTCATTAAAAACTCAGATGAAATCTCATACTGAATCTGCAGAGACAACACGCCATAAACTAGAAACTAAGATTCAGTCCCACCTAAATGATATGGCTCAATTGCATAATCAGATCACAGAGTTGAAGCAAACACTCCATACAACAATAGGACGTCACAAGACCGATGTTGCACATGCACAGGAAGTCCGTGAGCAATTAACTCAAAAGCTGAGCGATATGGAGCGAGCACATGCATCTGAATGCAGCCAGTTTAAGCATAAAGTATCTAGTCTTGAACGACAAATTGGCGACCTACAAGAACAACTTGGCGTTTCTACTCAACGACTGGTTTTGGTTGGAAATGAGCATGACGAGGTTTCCGGAAAACTTCAGCAACGCGTCAATATTTTGGAAAAGGAAATGACTGCTCTTATTGCAGACAAAGATGCCAAAGAGGTCATGTTTACAAAAACCAAAGCAGAAATGAATCGCCAGATGGATGCTTTACGTGTTTGTTTGGACCAAGATACAACAAAATTCCAAGAGCGTATCGACTCTTTGAATGCAGAGCTTGAAGAATCTACTACACGTACTATGAATTTGGAGGCTGAGAATGCTCGTTTGCAACAAACATGCCATCAACTGGAGAACTTTAGTAAGGCAGAAAAGTCTGAATTGCGAACCCGTCTTGAATCTGCTGAAAAGCGCATCAACGACAAATCTGCTGAAATGTCTCGTCTCAGCTCACATATTGATACCATTGAGAATGAGAATAAGGTGCTTGTAAAGCAACTGGATGATGTACGGATGTCACATCTGGATGATACAGAGCAGCTCAATCGTTGTATGGCTGAGCTTCAAGATGATTTAAAAAAAGCAAATTCTCAACTCGAGTATGCGGATTCTGCTAGCAAACGACTACAGACAATTATTGATAATCGTGATCATTCCCTTGTTGAAGCTGGTGTTGAACTTTCTACTGCCAAGGCCAATATTGCTGAACTGACTCTTGAACTAAACAAATCAAGACAAAGTATCGATGCTTTAAAGAAAGACTTTTCACGTGCAGAGTTGGTACATGCTGACGATGGTGACAAGGCTCGATTAGAATGTAAACAGATGCAGCATAAACTTGATGAAGCTATTAGCTATGGCCAGAAACTAGAGCTGGATCTACAATGCGTTCAAAACACCCGTGATCAACTCCAAAGCGAGATTGAATCTCTTCAAGATAAGGTCAAGCTGGCGCAAAAGGAAGCTGTTACTCAGCACGAGTTGGTTATGTCTACGCTTGCCGAACGAGACAATACACATGCTCTACTTGGTGAGGTTGAAAATAGAGCCGCGACACTTCAACAACAAATCAAATCTTTATTGGATGAGATGAAACAGGTCAAAGATGATCATTACATTGAGGTAGATCGACTTCGAACTAGTCATTCCGACGCAATTGATGAAATTGAAACACGTCTTCGTCATTGTCAAACTACTATCGAGTCCCTTCGAGACCAAGTTGCTGCCAGAGACGTAGAGCTCACAAAAATGGGTGCATCTAGTGACGCTATTGAGCTCAAATACCATGTGTGTGTTCAAGAGCTTGAAGATACACGTGAGCAGCTGAGTAGTATCAAGCTTGAGTTGGAGACAGCTCAGACCACTCTGTCAGTCACTAAGGAATCTCTTGAAACTCAAACTGCCAAGTACTTGAAACTAGATATTGAAAATTCCAAGAATTTACAGGTTGTTGAATCAACACGATCTGAATTGGCCTGTGTTGAATCAGTGTTGACTGATACAAAGCAATGCGTTGTCAAGCTTGAGCTTGAGCGGGATGCGCTTACAGATGATATCAGAGCCAAAGACGAGCAGATTAGCGTGCTCGAGATGTCTGTGCGTGAAACGGAAACTCGCATTACAGCATTAAAGGAGCATGTGCGTGAACTTGAAAGTGAGCAAAACAAACTTCAAGATCGACTTGATCAGGCCACATTGCTCAAAAAGGAGTTTGTTCAGCGAGAGAATGAGTTGACAAAGCAGATTCATAATGAACTAGAGCCTTGTATCAAGGCCCTCGAGTTACAAGTATCTGAAAAAACAATTTCTTTGAGTAAACTATCAAGCCAGATGCATGATGAAAATATCAAGGCCAAGGAAGCACAGTTTGAACTTGAGCAGCGATTGGCGGCTGTGACTGCTGAACGAGAAAAGTTGGATGTTGCTTTTTGTGATTTGAACAAACAGGTTGCCGAGTCTGAAACCAATGCTCGTATTTCTCGTGAAAAAGCAGATTCTTTTGAATGCGCGCTCAAGACCTCTGACATTGAGCACCAGCAAGCTTTAGAAAAACAGCAGCAAGAGCTAGCTGAAACTGTTGAAATGCATTCCAAGTCGTTTGCTGATATGACCTGTCAGCGTGATTCTATTCAGTCCAAATTGGACAAGGTTGTTCGAGAGAATGAGGATATTCGCAAGGCTATGGATAAGACTATTGTGGAAATGCAACGCGAGCATGTAGATCTGAAGGAGAAACTGACAGTTACTTTGGACAGTCTTGATATGATACGATCTAGTCGTGATACACTTCAAAGCGAGCTTGATGCGTTGAAACAAACTTCTCAGACCCAAATTGATCTTTTTGAGGCTAAATTGGCTGCAAGTGAATCCAGTCTTTCCGAGCAAACCAAAGCAATATCAAGTCTTGAGACTGAGTTGGCGTCTAAACAAAATGAGCTTGCTGCATTGCATGACGAACATGTATCTCTTTCTCGGACTTTTGAATTTAAATCAAAGGAATTTGCGTCGACTCTTGAGCAAATGAATTCCAAGAATGCTGCTCAAGCTAGAACCATCAAGTTTCATATTGCCGAGCAAGAGCGCCTTGAAAGCGAAAAAAATCAAGAGGTAGCTCAACTCCAAGAAAAGTTGGCACACCATGCAGCCAAGATGACACAGCTTGAGGTAGATTTGGAACTTGCACACAAGGAGATGAGTACGCAACAATCTCTGATTGTCAAGAATGAAGGTCGATTAGCGAACGAGTCGAAGCATTTTGAAGCCAGCGTTCAAGAACTTACTACCAAGCTTGCAGTGAAAACCACACGTGCCAAGGAACTCGAGTCGCGGCTTGTATCAGTCACAGACGAGTTATCCATAGTACAACTTCGTCATGATAACTTGGTTGATTCTAGGAATTTTGAGATCAAGCAGGTCAAAAATCAGTATGAGGTTGCTTTGAATGAGTTGACCCAGCTTAAGAAAAAATACAATGATGCAGTTGCACTGTCTCAAAAATCAACTCGATTGGAAAACGATCTTGAGATGATGACCGAGAAAAAGAAACAGCTGCAGACCAAACTGGACGAATACGAGTCCAAATCTCGACTAGAACGGGATGTACTTGCGTCCAAATTGGATGAAACAAACCAAAAGTTTGCAGAGCAAGAGGAGCGATGTATTCAAATGCGAATTCTTTTAGAAGACTCTGAGCGTATCAAGGAAGAAATGCAAGCGAGTTTTGATGCTTCATTAAAGATGCTTCAAGTGCGAGGATCGCTTAATGAAGCCGAAACAAAAAAGATCGGCGAGCTAAATGCAGAGCTGTTTGGACATGCAAATAACCTACAAAAGATCAAGCACTTATCACAGATTAAAGAAGAGAATATAAAGCTGAAGACTCGGAGTGCAAAGGCGGAGCAAGATCGAGATCGACTCAAGGAACGTGTGATATCGCTTGAAAGGGAGTTGGATGCGCTACGACCTTTGGGAGGAATAGCGAAGCGAATAACTGTGAGTAAAAACAAGACCTTTGGCGGACCCAAGTTCAATACGAGCCATTATCATGCAAGCGGATCCAACGCAACAATACCGCGCACGGGAGGAATGGTAGGCGCTGACACGGAAGAAACCAAACATGACGAGAGTGTGACAGACACGACAGCAGACGATACGTTTATGAGTGACAAGGCAAGCCGAGGAACAGGCGGAGTGTCGTTTTTTATATCTTGAGTTTTTTGGAAATAAAGTTTGGATTGACAGCAACCAGATCTCGTTGAAATTTCTTTCTTCAAGCAGCAAAATCCTTGACAAGATTCATCATGGCCTGGGCAATCTCCAAGAGTGCAGGTAGATGGTGACTTGGATGTTGGCGTTGTGGGAGTTGTTATGCTTGCTGAGCATGAGTGCAGTCCAGGCTCTATGCACTTGTGCTGCTGGTCAGATCATGGCTCAAGCTGCTATTGACCAATGTGATCTTGCCAACTAGTCTGCTTTATTAACTTGCACTATTATCAACTGCAGAGTCTGCCTGGTTACGAGTGACTATTTTGGTTCTAATCGGTATCTTGGCCTTCTCCAGCCGTCTGTTTTCTGTCCTGCGTTTTGGTAGGTTTCAACCATCGCTATTCACAGCCGTACTCACGCAAAATGGAACTCTTGCAATGCTTGTCTTGAAATAGATAATAGTTGGACATTTGTTTTCCTATTGCAAATTGAATAGAATCCTCAATTCAATACACAATGTCCATACAAAATCAAACTATAGTTTTGACTTGAAACTGCCCTCATCTGGCATAACCATGCACTACGATCGTCAAGTTTGAAATCAAATCCATCATTACAATTTAGATATTGGATTCAACTATTTTCAACCCACTTGCATTCTAAAACATCAGATACGTCCGCGCTCTAGTTTGAAAACAGTGACTGCAGTCTCAGAAGTGCAACGCTGTTTTCTATGCTGGTCACTATATGAAATACCAATGGGTTTTGTTAAAAAGTTTAAAGGACACAGTGTTGTTCAGTAATTGGTATCCATCATTACGTAGCATTGCTTGTTATTATCACTTTGATATCCTTAGTATTTCATTTTACATGAATGTGGTTGTAAGACAATTGTTACTAAACTCATAAGCTGTACTCAATTCAAAACTATATTTTTTGCACTTGCCATTATTATCACGATTGGTTATTAATATTTTTGTCACTGTCACCAACACTCTATTATATAATTCGATGCTTTAGAAAGCGTTATTCATGAGTTTGATCCATGGTAAGCTCGTGTGTTGATCATTGATAATGCATTCGATATTTAGCTTTTAGATCCAAGCCAACGACAAGGTTCAATACTAACACCCAATCAATTGTAGGTTCAACTATCGTACAACTATTCAGCTTGTAGAAAACGGATTCTATGATTTCCTCAATTGGTAAGTCTGAAATGAAATAGATTGGGTTTGTTACTTTGTTGTATATCTAACTTGATCTATGAAATCTGATCTATTTGTGCTCACGCTATAATGTGAAATAAAGGTTTGATGAACTATCTTGGTATCCGCTTGGACGAGTTGTTGGCGGAACTGTATATCCTGGCATCATGGTCACTGCTGGTCTGATCCACTATGTTTTGAATCTACTCAATTTTCCTATTCACATTCGTGAGATCTGTGTTTTTCTTGCACCGCTATTTTCTGCACTGACCGCTGTTGCTGCCTATCTGCTGACAACAGAACTTAAAGATACTTCGGCGGGTCTTCTTGCAGCCATTTTCATTGGTATTGCTCCCGGATATATTTCTCGTTCAGTTGCGGGATCTTACGACAACGAAGGCATTGCCATTTTTCTACTTGTATTCACTTTTTACTTGTGGATCAAAGCGCTGAAACTTGGATCTGCATTCTACGGTATTTTGACAGCAGTATTCTACTTTTATATGGTGTCTGCATGGGGTGGGTATGTGTTCATTACCAACCTGATCCCCTTGCATGTGTTTGCGCTTATTCTTATGGGGAGATTCTCTACTCGCATTTATATATCATATTCGACATTCTACGTGATTGGCACGTTATCGTCGATGCAGATTCCATTTGTCGGTTTCCAGCCTACATTTACTAGTGAACATATGGCTGCTCTCGGTAAGTTTTATCTATGATACTATTTGATAATGCACGAGTTTGTTACGCCATGTTACAGATAATAATTTAAATTCAATGTTTAGGTATTTTTGGACTTGTACAGATCATGGCATTTATTGAGCTGCTAAAAAGCCATTTATCTGAAACCCATTTCAAGCGTCTTTTTGTTGGTATCGCTATTGGATTTTTCTTTATCGGTCTTGCTGCTTTGGTTGGTCTTACTTTTAGCGGAAAAGTTGCTCCATGGACAGGCCGTTTCTATTCACTCTGGGATACTGGTTACGCTAAAAAGTTTATTCCTATTATTGCATCTGTCTCTGAGCATCAGCCAACTGCATGGCCTGCGTTTTTCTTTGATCTACAGCTTTTAATTGTCGTATTTCCCGCTGGCATTTTCTTTTGCTTCCGTGAATTGCGCGATGAGCATATCTTTGTAATTCTATACTCGGTGACTGCTTCCTACTTTGCCGGAGTGATGGTGCGTTTGATGCTGACTCTTACACCCATTGTATGCGTTGCATCTGCCATTGCCTTTTCATATCTTCTAGACCTATATCTTAAAGAAGATATTGTTGATGCTGCTCGTCCACCCACTTCTGAACTTTTAAACGCAGCTACTGAATCTGTTGAAAAGGAGAGTAGCAAGAAAAAGGCTTCTTCTGGAGATGCATCCAACCATGACACTAATGCTCCAACCACCTTCCACTCTACTGTCAAGTTGGCCGTCCTTGTTCCCATGTGTATTATTCTTTTCATCTTTACTTGGCACTGTACCTATGTAACCTCCACTGCCTACTCATCTCCTTCTATTGTTCTTGCCTCGACGGCTCAAGACGGATCTATGCATATTATTGATGATTTTCGCGAGGCTTACTATTGGCTGCGTCAAAACACGGACGAGAAAGCCAAAGTTATGGCATGGTGGGATTATGGCTATCAGATTACTGGAATGTCGAACCGCACAGTTATTGTTGACAACAATACCTGGAACAATACTCACATTGCTACTGTTGGAAAATCCATGTCTTGTACCGAGGAGGTCTCTTACCCTATCATGCGCAAGCTCGATGTTGACTACGTGCTGGTTATATTTGGCGGTTTGATTGGATACTCTGGCGATGACATTAACAAGTTTTTGTGGATGATTCGTATCGGCCAAGGTGTGTACCCAACCGATATTTCCGAGCGTGATTTCTTTACCCCTCAAGGCGAATATGCTGTTGATGCCCGTGCATCTAAAGTCATGAGGTCATCGCTCATGTACAAACTCAGTTACTACCGCTTTACGGAACTGTATGGACCTGGTCGACCTGGACGTGATCATGTGCGTGGTGCGGATATTCCTGCAACTCCAATCCATCTATCTACTCTTGACGAAGTGTACAGCACCGAGAATTTGATTGTCAGAATTTATCAGATTAAAAAGCCAGACAACTTGGGGAGACCGCTGCATGCTGCAGCACGATTTGGAAAAAAGCGACCCAGGCCTACTCGTGGCAAGAAGGCTGCCTCTGCCTCCAAGAATACTCGTGGTTAGTCTATGCTGGTATCTGCCTATGACTCTAGTTTAAGCAATAAAGTTTTGTTGATTTAAATAAAATGTTGGTATGGTCGAGTCCTTTCTTGCATCAAACATGCAACACAACATCTAATTGAATTTGAAAGTAGCAAAAACTAAAAACGCTTCCGGGTGGGCTCGAACCACCAACCTCCTGATTAACAGTCAGACGCGCTAGCCAATTGCGCCACGGAAGCACACATTCTACGAAATGTCTTGAAACATAATATTCTTATACAAATTCAATTCACTGCTGATCTAGTATTTATTGTTGATTCTTTAATCAAGAGTAGATACTTTTAATCTACAGCGTTTGTAGGAATGGATTATGCCACAAAACTTATGGTTCAGCGCAGCTTGAGTTCAAGTGATCTGAATATCCATATCCAGCACAATTTTACACATTGGTATTAACCCTATAACTGTACTTTTTATTTGAAAGGGAAAAATAGCATTAAAAATTATAAAAAAACTATTTAGCAAGTCCAGGATGTTCGGCTTTGGCGTACCAAACAACAACCGAAAGGCCAAGAATGGCACATAGGATGGTTGCTGCAAGTGCAACAGCGCCGCGAGGAGTAAATCCAGTAGGGTAAAGGCCATACGCTCTTGCTCCGTCAAAGGAAGTCACATCGTCGTGGCCAAAGGCATTTCCAGTGATGGAGTTCTTTAGCAATTTGCATTGATCAGTAGTAGCTTGAGGCACTTTGATAGTTTTTTGCATGATATCTGGTGCTTCAATAAACAGGGCAGCGAGGCCGGCTTCCAAATGCCATTCAATGTGGCAATGGAAGAGCCATACGCCAGGATTATCAGCAAGAAACCGAATTACAACAAAACCTTGGGGTGGGATAACCACGGTATCTCTACGTGGTGGATTTTTAGCCAGCCCATCTGGAACAACGTAAGGGTTAGCAGTGGCAGCATTAGCTTCAGTGACCAGATTAACAATTTGAAATTTGTGGCCGTGCAAATGGAAAGGATGCTGTCCTGGATCACGATTGTATATGATTACATGGATGCCCTTCATATGGCCAAGAGGCATAGCAACGACACCGGGACCGTAAGCGGAAGGGGTGGCTGCTTGCTCAGGAGTCATGGATAAGGCAGTAAACATGGAAGGTGTCTTGTGCAATTGGAAAATAGATCTGTTGAACGTGCCGTGATTCACACCATCCTCATAAACCTCGAATGCCACGTCGAGTGTGTAGGATTGATCGGCAGGGATAGCACTCATGGGAATAGCAGGGACCAGCTTCATTTCATCAAACTGCTCCATGTCAGGATATGGATCGGTGGATACAAACATGGGAGCGTCTGGACTGTATTGAAGAGTGGCATTGACAAAGCCATTGAGCGTATTTGGAGGATTGTCAAACATGGACATGTCCATATCGGCGTGAATACGGAAATTAAAATTGGTCGTGTTTTTAGTAGTGAACAAGAATGCATATCTCTGAGCAGCTGCAATGGGAGTTATGGGAGAAGGGTAAGGTTCAATATCCTCTCCGTCTACTTCGACAATAGAGAGTTCATGGCCCTCGATAAAAAAGTCAAACATGGCTAGTGCAGACATGGTAATAACACGCAAAAGGTAGGTAGTGCCCGGTTTCACCTTGATGATGGTGTTGGCATTATGGTTGATCAAACCAGAGTTAGGAATGGGTTCTCTTCCAGTTGGATTAAAAATGGACAAGAAATGATCGTTGAGCGGCTTGTGTTCTTGATGGTACCAATCTATACATTGTGGAAGGTTGAGCATTGAAAGGTTGTTAATGACATGGCCAATAGTGATGAATTGGACATGAATGCTAGCAATATACCTGAAAGCGAGAGAACAATCTCATCGTCGTACTTGATTTTGGAAGCTGCCTTTTGTGCAGCAGTTGGATGTAAGATAAGAGAGGTACGGAAACCATCAACGTACTGTCCTAGATGGTGTCCATGCAGCCAATACGTGCCTGTCTGCTGAATTGGAATATTGTAGGTGTAAGTCGTCCCTGGTGCGATGCCGCACTCGGTCACGCCAAATGCTCCATCGTAGTAGTTTGTACCATTCTGATACAGACCATGAGCATGCAGAGAGGTTGGCACATCCAAATGGTTGGTAGCATGAAGCACCAACGTATCACCAATTGTAACATGAATGTCATCAATGGGCCATTTTCCATTTACACCAATGACTCGGCGAGGAAATAATCCGTCTGGATTGACGTTGTCAATCCAAGAAATAGTCCAATTAAGGGAGACTGTAGCCGCATGGACAGTAGAAGCAATAGTGAGCCACAAAGCAGCAGACTGTAGTGATGTGAATGCAAGCATGACACTGGATATTTGCAGTAGATTAATAATATCCGATGAGGATTCAGACTAATCAAATTGGCAATGCAGAACAAGACTTGAACCAGACTCTTATATATAACAAACGGGTTTCCCAAGTAGCTACTCGAATGGTTTCTTATCGGATCGGAACGCTAGTCATGATGCTTCGATTTTCACGAGTGATTTGTGCCAACCATTCAATCTGTTTTATCCAGCATGTTTCATTTAATCAGTCAAACCCGTTCAACTGGCTTGTACTAATGCATAGTTGTAATTAAAATGGCTTGTTCAATTCACTGGTCCTTGAGTCAAGGCCGGGTTGTATTCCACTATGCTTGGCACAGATTCTGTTTAAATTGATAACTGAAGGTGTCATCCTCACAAGTCATTCACTTCCTAACTGCAAAAGAAACGATTTCTATAGGTCTACCAATTTCCGATCAAACATACCAAAATTAAAAAATATGGAAGCTGGTTGGTTGGAATAAATTTTTAGATTGTTGATGATACCATTCAGGTTGCAATTACATTGGACATGTGAAAATAAACCATTTTCAAGCAAGGCTTGAATGCAATCAGGACTCATGGATTTTCATCAAGCCCATCTGAATAGACAGAAGCCGGCTCTTGAAAAAGGGTTAGATCAATGAATGGATCGAGTTTACTAATTGGACCAAGGAGCGTTTGAAACAAGCCGAGTGGCATATCCAACTTCGGAAATGGTTCGAGAATGCAAGAACGGGAAAAAGCAGCCAATCAGAGCATCGAGTTGTTATGAGTGACAAAATCAGTTTCGAATGAGCTTCCAAGTGGATGGCTTTTAGTTGTATTTTCCGTCACGAGTCGTCAATCGGGTTGGGCATAAATCGCTCTCTATGATATGCCATATAAATATACATCAGAAACCTGCTGTCTAAACCACTCTTGTTTCGAGTTAATTCCCAGCGATACGAGTGATCTTTACACTATTGTATCCAATTCACTGTGGTTTTGCTACTTTAATCGTCCTGCACTTCTATTCTACAAACCCATCTCTTGTCTGCTACTGCAATGCCTGACCTTTTTTCTATCCCCATCTTTTTTATTCTTTTTCGTGAGACCATCGAGGCTGCCATCATCATCTCGGTTCTGTTGGCACTCATTGACAAAGTATCTGCCTCTTCAACTCGCTTCGAGGCTGTTTCTGGCAAACTCAAACGTCAGGTTTGGCTTGGTGTATTGGCTGGGCTTGTATTGTCGCTTGTCATTGGTGCCGTCTTTTTAGTATTCTGGTACAAGTATGCTATCAATTTGTGGGCTAGTGCCGAGTCTTTATGGGAGGGTATATTTGGTGTAATTGCCTCCATCATGGTGGCCATCACTGCTATTGCCATGCTCAAGGGGTCTCGTATGTATGAAAAGTATTCAGTCAAACTGGCCAAAAAGCTTGGTGCAATTGACTCGACTACAAATCTTGCTCCTGCTTCTCAGTCATCCGAAAGCCGATCTACTCTGCTACCCCAAAAACTCATGAACCAACCTAGGTTGGTTGCCGTCAATGGATCTGAATCTGTCAATACTCTTAACCAAACTGCCACTGGTTCGTATTCAGCCAATGACAATATAGTTTCCGACTTGACCAACTCTGATCGCGATGATGACGATACGCAGACTGAAACCAGTTTGACTGCCGAAGAAAGGCAGACGGAAACACTTAGACAGCCCCTCAAGGCCTTGTTCTGGTTACCTTTTATCACCATGTTGCGCGAAGGCCTCGAGGCTGTCGTCTTTGTTGGTGGTGTTTCACTCTCTGAAACTCCCACTTCCATTCCCATTGCTGCAATTGTTGGAATTCTTCTTGGTATCTTCATTGGCTTCTTGCTTCACACTGGTGGTTCGCAACTCACTCTGCATTATTTCTTTGTCATCTCTGCTTGCTTCCTCTTGCTCATTGCTAATGGGTTGCTTGCCAAAGCAGTCGGCAATTTTGAGGACTACACATGGAGCAGAGCCATTAATCTTGCAGCCGATGATGTCGGCACCGGTGCCTTTGATCCCCGTCGCAGTGTGTGGCATTTCGATTGCTGCAATCCCGAAGACAAGACTCAAGGCTGGGGTATTTTCAACTCTGTTTTGGGATGGCGCAACAACGCAACCATTGCTACGGTTACTATATATTGCTTGTTTTGGGTCATCAGCTCTACATTCTTGATATACATGCGTCTCAAGGAAACCAAAACGCATCAGCGTAAGCAGCAATCCATCCCTGGCCAGTCGTTGTCTACTGCCGTTTAATTTTGCTCTCAGACTACTGATTGCAATCTAGTGTGTTGCAAAGCTTGACTGCATCAACCTTTATTTATGCTGTTTGTAATCGATACTTGCTTTATCAAGAATAGGCAGACAAGCTTTACATACACTAGAAAATTTTCAGTAGTTTCACAAGCCACACCATGCATGTATCGTTGATCTGTTGGTTTCCCTCGCTCATAATCCCTTCAATACTCCTTTGCATTCGTCTAGATCCGTTATTTGGAAATGAAATAATTTACCTTGAATATTTGGTTGTATATACTGCATTGGCTCGACTTGAATCTTGATTTTCATTATATTTATGCTTGGACTTGCTACTCTTGGTTGTGGTGTTATTTTTAATTCAGAGTTATACCGCTCATCAAGTAATTGCTTGTGATACTATGCAATCTTGAAAAGCCAACGAGAATGCGGGGAATAAAATTAAATCCACGACGTTCAAGATACAATGGCAATGCCATGTCGACCTGGCTGGCCCTGATGGGCTGAGTAAACATGTAGTTTGGCAAGTGTCTTGAGCTGGTTATTCCACACTTACAAATAAACAATTTAGACTCGCGTATCACTATTTCTATTATGCGGCATTTCAATCGTGGATCACAGCTGCTCAGTATTTAAAATACCGCCCTTGTTAATCCATTAAATTGTTTAGCTTTGAATGGCATTTAATGCTCCATGGTACCATTTCATGATTAGCTTCAAACAAAACCAAGCATACTTGGATGACTCACCGACTTGGTTTGATAGATGAAATATCTTGTGTGTATTCTAACTGATTTGGTGTGCTTGAAATACCAATTATAATGCGGTGCGAACCCCTTCGTGGCTTTGAGCTTTTCAACAGATAGGCGCATCAACATTGCTAATCTATACAACACTGGCTCAGTATTTGAAAGCAAATTGGTGGCAGAGCTTAAAAACACAGCCAAGAATTAAGACTAATCAAACATTACATCCCACTCGCCCTACAGCTCTACTATTGGCCATTACTCGACTGAAAAGCCTATAAAAACGACCAGTATCTCATCATTCTCCAATCATCCGTTCATTATTAAGATCTGCTTCTGCAATATACTCTCACCTTTAATCAACATGAAACTTATTTTTACTCTTGCTACTGTACTAGCTACTCTCGTTGCTGCTCATGAGGGACACGACCACTCCGAAACCTCTTCTGCTGCACAAGAATACGATCCTTCTGCAACCTCTACTGCTGCACAAGAACACGACCACTCTGCAACCTCTACTTCAACTGCTCAAGCTCAGTCCACTTCTTTCCACTACACAAAATCTACAACACAAAAGCCCGCTTCCAGTCCTGCAGGATATACTGGAGGACCTGTATCAGGATATACAGATGCAACTCAATCTTCATTTGAATCTACGACTGCAACTGGCACCTATGCATCAGAAGCCACGGAATCTGCTGCAACATATCCAGATGGCTCCGGTTCATATTACAGTGATGGTTCTAGTGATCCTATTCTCAGCTCTGCAACCGGCTTTACAGCCAATCTATTTCTTTCTGCCGTGTTCGTCGCTGCTGTTGCTTTGTTCTAATCTGTGCACCATGTACAACTGCACTCCGTGAAATGAATCATTTGTACCTATTTTGCAGTGATTGCTCTTTGCTTTTAAAATAAACAATAGTTGAATAGTCTTTATGCTTTTACTGTACATTGTCTGCTTTTTAAACACTGCCAAATAGTGTATGCATGTGAAACCAGGTTATGGATTTAAAATCATCTTTTTCTCTTTGTCTGGCACAGCCATGCATCGTACGACCGCTAAATGTGAAGCCGGATTGATTGCAATCCGGATATTGGGTTCAGCCGTTTGATGCTGTCAACAGAACTAAAAACTAGAATACATTTGCGATCCAAGTGAAAGATTGCGTGTTTTGGGAATCCAATTATTAAGTGGAGCTGACTAGAATTGTGGTGAAATTCGTTCAGTTTAAGAATGAACACGAAAACCAATGGGTTAGAGTCCAATAACAATGTTGCTCAGTAAATTTGATGCAGATTACCATTCTATAAGATTGGCTATTTATTATGTACGACTCTTGTTTAGTGTTTTATTTTACAAGTATGGCTGTAAATATATGTTCACTTTGAATATCTAGATTAAACACCCGCTTACATACAATGGAATGATTTGAAAATTAGTCATTTTATTCAGAATTTATCTGCAATCAAAAGAATACTGCTGCTGCTACAGCAATGGATGCAAACGAGAAACTTGCAAGTGATGCGAATGGTGCAAATGGTGCGAATGATGCGCCAGATGTAACAATCTCTCCTTCAGGATATTCTGGTGTAGTAGTAGGTGTGGGTACGGGCGGTTTATCTTCATCTGGTTCCTCGGGTGTGGGTGGAACTCTTTTGGGTGGTGGAGGAATATTACCACGCGAACGGTCAGGCACAGGGGGATCCTCGTCCGAATCGCCAGGAGGTGGGTCCTCCTCAAATGGATCTTCAGGAGGTGAAGGAGGTCTTTCTATATCAGGGTTAGGAGGGACTCTACGGCTAGGTGGTGGTGGGTTTCCATAGCTGGGAGGTGGTGGGTTTTCACGGCTAGGAGGAGGTGGGTTTCCATAGCTAGGTGGAGGTGGGCTGTCATGGCCAGGAGGTGGTGGGTTTTCATGGCTAGGAGGAGGTGGGTTTCCATAGCTGGGAGGAGGAGGCCGATCTATATCAGGGTTAGGAGGGACTCCGCCATTGGGAGGAGGTGGATTTCCATAGCTGGGAGGTGGTGGGTTTCCATAGCCAGGAGGTGGTGGGTTTTCATGGCTAGGAGGAGGTGGCCGATCTATATCAGGGTTAGGAGGGACTCCGCCATTGGGAGGAGGAGGTTTCTTGTTGCAAGGAGGTGGTGGGTTTCCATGGCCAGGAGGAGGGGGCCTATCTATATCAGGGTTAGGAGGGACTCCGTGATTGGGAGGTGGAGGAATCTCACCATATGAATGGTTGGGTGGTGGTCGATCTATATCAGGGTTAGGAGGGACTCCGCCATTGGGAGGAGGTGGAGGAATCTCGCCATATGAATGGTTGGGATTTCTTGAGCCAGGTATATTTGGATTATGTTCATCATCCTCAAAAGTTCCCTCGCTTTGATCGGGATCCTCATCGGGATCTTCCTCTTCTTCTTCCTCTTCTTCTTCTTCCTCCTCCTCGTCAGGAGTTTGGGTTCCCTTCTTGGTAAGTGGGCAGACACCTCCAGCACATGGAGTTTTTGGTTTCAGAGGGCAGACACCTCCAGCACATGGAGTCTTTGGTTTCAGAGGGCAGACACCTCCAGCACATGGAGTCTTTGGTTCTTCTTCCTCTTCTTCCTCCTCCTCTTCAGGAGCTTGGGTTCCCTTCTTGGTAAGTGGGCAGACACCTCCAGCACATGGAGTTTTTGGTTTCAGAGGACAGACACCTCCAGCACATGGAGTCTTTGGCTCTGGAGTATCAATCTCTGGCTCTGGGTTTCGTCCGAGAGGGCAGACACCTCCAGCACATGGAGTTTTTGGTTTCAGAGGGCATACACCTCCAGCACATGGGGTCTTTGGCTCTGGAGTATCAATCTCTGGCTCTGGGTTTCGTCCGAGAGAGCAGCTAGGTCCAGCACATGGAGTTTTTATCACTAGTACTGGCTCTGGTTCTGGAGTCTCTGGTTTTGGTTTCAGAGAGCAGACACCTCCAGTGCATGGAGACTTGATCTCTGGTTCTGGCTTTGGAGCCTCTGGTACTGGTACTGGCTTTGGAACCTCTGGCTCTGGCTTTGGAGCCTCTGGTGATGGGGATGGAGATGGTACTGGTACTGGAGACGGAACCTCTGGTGACGGAGATGGGGATGGAACTAGTACTGGAGACGGAACCTCTGGTGACGGAGATGGAGATGGAACCTCTGGAGATGGAACTGGTACTGGTACTGTTACTGGTTCTGGCTTTGGAACCTCTGGAGATGGAGACGGTACTGTTACTGGAGATGGAGATGGGGATGGTGTAGACTGAGGGGTAGTAGACTGTGGTGTGGCAGAGCAACTATTTCCAATACATGGAGAAGGTCTGGCAACAACCGCGACAGCCATAACAGCAACAAGAGCAGCCGAAATAAACTTCATGATCAGTGGCGCTCTTTGTAATAAATGTATTGATTAGCGATGGGTTGGTATTGGATTTCAAACAATCTAGCTGTTCAAGTAAAGTCGGTTTAACTGCAGATGGAGACTACTCAGACTGTATGTTAAAATAAGGACAATATTCGACGATTATATAGTTTAGACGCCGATTAAGGGAGATCACAAAACCCTACTTACAGGTAACATGAACACAATATTTTTAGGGTTTACATTGATAGGGGAGGGCAAGTATCCACTGTGTATTGAAAAGGGAGATACAGTGACAATACACAAAGAATCAGAGAATTGGAATGAGTTGGTTGTGTCTGGCCTAACGCGTAGCTCACTTGTCAGAAGCAGCCTGTGTTTGTTGTGCTGCTAGATATTGGAGGGTTTAGAGCCACAGACTATCCTTAGCCATCCCTTTATTTGACATGTTTTCCTTTCAAAGCAGCTTCTTGTGCACAGTGACTATCTACATGACAATCAGGGCTAGAGTACAATCATGTATACCGCAGACGGCTATGGGCTGTGCCATGCTGAAATGCCTGGTTGCACTTTGATGTTTTTTAATAGTCTAAACAATAAACCAACCCTTGACATCCGTATTCATGGAAAATAGATCACTAAATCAAGTGACAGTAATAAATATTGTCTCATGACACAATTGATGCCAGTTTACTGGTCAGCATTGTGTTTTGCAAACTCCCTGATAGGTTTACTGGCTTTTCCTGGTGCTTATTTTGTATAGAAAACTGACCGAGTGCTTACATCAGTTTCAATACATCCCATATCCTTGGCACTTGTTTAATTTCCAACTCTTCTTTCTTATAAACTAAACATTATGTCATTGGGTGATTGATATGGAAACAAGTTGTATTAGAGACATGCAATCTGTTTTTTGAACTAGAGCGCGAATATGAGATTAGGATACAATAAATACGAGGTTATCAAGTTTGAAGTATCAGAGCAGTCAAACCAAATATTTGGGCTACAATATATAAATATGATTTCAAACTTGTCGACTATACAATGTATAACTCCTAAAGATGGAGAATGCCGATTCAAAAATATAGCTTGGTTTTTGTATTTATTGAGAAATTGAGAATGTCGGGAATTGCATCTACAAACCCATTTTTTATTAAATTGTCAGCTTTTCCAAGACTAGACAATATAGAGCTCGATATCTTGCAAGTTTGCTGTTTGTTGAATGATTGACAGATCATGTTTAATTAGTGAGTCCAGTTTTGTGAAATAGTATGTTGTTTCGAGTCGAATAAGCATCAGGGAATGCTTCACTATCATTGTTTGGAAAATCCTGAAATATTAAAGCATTTACAATTCCTTTAATCAGCCTTCAAACAACAGCCATTATACAATACAACCAAGCTATATTTTTGAATCGGCATTCTCCATCTTTAGGAGTTATACATTGTACAGTCGACAAGTTTGAAATCAGATTCATATATTGTAGCCCAAATATTTGGTTTGACTGCTCTGATACTTCAAACTTGATAACCTCGTATTTATTGTATTCTAATCTCATATTCGCGCTCTAGTTCAAAAAACAGATTGCATGTCTCTAATACAACTTGTTTCCATATCAATCACCCAATGACATAATGTTTAGTTTATAAGAAAGAAGAGTTGGAAATTAAACAAGTGCCAAGGATATGGGATGTATTGAAACTGATGTAAGCACTCGGTCAGTTTTCTATACAAAATAAGCACCAAGAAAGGCCAGTAAACCTATCAGGGAGTTTGCAAAACACAATGTTGACCAGTAAACTGGCATCAATTGTGTCATGAGACAATATTTATTACTGTCACTTGATTTAGTGATCTATTTTCCATGAATACAGCAGTGAATGAAACTAGCCATGAAGAGTGCGTTGAAAATAGTAGTTCAAACCAAATATAATAATTGGTTCAACAGCTGTGGTATCAGGTTGGAAGCAAAACAACGTCCAATCCATTGGGTATATAGCTCTTTTTGTAGCCAAACTTGTGAATTTTGTCTAGTCCAGGATTCACGACTGTAGTCAAGGGCTATTTGATTTCCTCAAATCAGATGGCGAGAATTCTTTTTCGCTATATAATATAGCCGCAACTACCTTTTGTATTTTCGGCATTCAGCAACCCATAAAAATAGCCGTCAAAAGTTCTCCTGTTTGTTTCCGTCTTTAATTGTATAGTACACCACAATTTGCTGCAGGTCATTCGCCATGCTCCATCGGCGCTCATTCTCCGTGCTCAACCCCATGTCTTTGGCTGCAGTCATTGATTTTGGTAGCCATGATACAGCCATTGACACAGACAATAGTTTGCAATCTTTCCATGACAGAGAAGATGCCAAGTCAAGTAGTGGGTTTTCAAAACCCAACATGCAAACTTCACCTCAATGTACTTCAGCAGACAATGTACTATCTGTTCAGCATCATCAATCACCAAATTGTACAGATAATGCATCCAAAAAGGCTGAAAAAGATGATGCAATTTCGGATGGTAAAGCTTGCATCTCAGATGGTGCAAGATTCAACACCCCTTTAATTTACCAGCAACAGCCATCGTATCCGCACTCCTCCCTATCTGTATCCCATCCAGCTCCTTCACTATCTACAACATCTTATGCATACGAAAGCAAGCACCCTGCATTGTTGCCCACATTTATTTCCAAAGCAGCAACCCAACAAGCACAGGCAGCAACGCCCTTTGAGTCTACCGTGCTGGACAGAGCCGACCCTTCAACATTTGCAGCAACCACTGATTCAACATTGATTCGGAGAGCCACATCGGGTAATCCTGCTCAATATTGTACCACCCCTATAACTCGGACAAATAGCAGTCATCCTGCCAGCACAGTTCCCTTTGTATCAGATGGCACCCATTTGCTCGCATCCACTTGTGTGTTGGCACCGTGCAGTGCCATTGCTGTCAGCACTCGGTCAAACATTTCTCCTAATTGTGGCAATCTAGCGGACAATGCCTTGGGTTTATCCAGACGGTTGGTTGGATCTAAGCCATCACTATCATATACTGCACCACATCTTTTCGAACCCCACCCCAACAGAATTACGTCTGGCAGCAGAGGCGTTGTAAGCGCTACTAACCATATCACCGTCAGCAATGGCCAAATCAGGAGGTACCATATAGAGCAGGACTACAGCCATCATCATGAGAGGCAGCGGGAACAAGGCGATATGCTACAGAATCCATCAACGTATATTCAAAAAATAACTGCCTCTCCTCTCTCCGACCCTAGTTCAACCACACCAATGTCCCTCGCTACCCCTAGACTTTTAAGTGCAACCCCTAGGCTTGTGCTTGGTGCAAAAAGTATGGAGGCTGACGAATCACAGACGGTCAATGATGGAGATATCAAAGGAGGAAAATCATCTCATGCCAGTGTTGTACCAGACACTGGTCTGGAAGCAGCAAGAGTCCGCCCTCGAAAGCAAAGGGGTCCAGCCAAGAGACAAGAGCAGTTACCCAAAACCATCAAATGCACCTATTCTTTATGGTATGTTTCCATTGGTTTGGATTTTTATTGCTTATTTGATGAACAGGTTCATGTGCTTGAAAACATCAAACATCTGTTTGGAATGATCTACTCATTAATGTCTGGCAGTGCGAGCTATTTACTTTCCAATCTAATTCAATCAACCCCGTTGGTTTTTCCACCTTGTCTCTTTATTGTCATCATGTGATGTCGATGTTTTGTTCTTTGGTTATGCTTTTAATGGTTTATGCCCTCAAATCCCGTTGAATCTCCAACTATGATCACTCTGCTTTGTCCAGGCTCCTTTAAAACGCAGTTTTATGCTGGCTATGACAGCTAACCATGTGTTTTTACTTTCTCCTTTGGTTTTGATCTTTAATTTGCCAATCACGGGTTATTTTAGCACCAGTATGTTCAACCGACAAGAGCACTTGACGCGTCATTTGAGAATGCATACAGGCGAACGTCCGTTTCTATGTACCTTTCATGGATGTCACAAGACATTTACGCGAACGGACAACTTGGCTGCTCATTTCAAATCCCATACCGCTGCTTTGCGTAGGATCAAAAAGCCATCAACTGTGTCTGGTATAGCAGGTACCAGTTGCTCACAAGAGCCTCCTCCAACAGCCACACAGGATATCATTCAAGATAAGGCGAATCCAGATTTATCGGTCAAACCTGTCCTTTACTCATCGCGCACGGATAGTGATCCACAGCTCTTGGCTTGCTCAAATAGTGGCAATTCGCATCCTTACCCATCCACTTACAATAGGTATCGCCACAGCGAGCATGATTATCTTTCAAACTATAAACCGTTTCAAAAGTCTGATTCAGACGACACCCGTGTGCATAATAGCCCCAATCACTCCATGAATTTCAAGCCGACAATTGTGCAGACAAAGCAGGAAGCGATCTCGGCATTCCAGCAACAACCTCGCTATTTGCATCACCGCGAATACTATGGCAATGCTCCAGCTGCTTTTGATGGTCGTAGGAATCATTCTTCACACTCTCCAAGTTTAGAATACCCAGTTCTGCCTTCAATTTCTACTCGTCCTGATAGTAGACATCACTCCATCACTCTACCTCCATCGACGCAGCCACATCACTACCCACCCCACTACTACCCATCTTCCCACCACCAACAGCATCATTATCAGCATCATGCTGTTTCTCAAAACCAATCATCACCTAACCAACATCACGAGCAATCGATGCTTGCGCAATATCAAGCACGCCAATTTAAACGGACATTTGATACGTTTCCTTTTGAATCTGTTCATGGAAATAATTACAAAAAGAGCAAGTCCGATCATTCCACCCCGCACTTTCTATATTCAAATGAGCTTACACTAAAGTAGCATTGTTTTTGGGTCTGGGTGATGATTTTAAACCTAATCCTCATTTTAACAGGTTTACTTGATGCACAATCTTTTTTACTCTTGCCATTTCACTGTTGCATTACAACATACCATATAAATAAAACTTATTTTCAATTTCCTGTAGCTCTGATATGGCTTTAGACTGGCATAGTATGAATATGTTCAACTGAGCCTTGAATATCATACAGGCAGAGCAGTTGGATTAGGGAAAAATGCCAGATATGACCCACACTCTGTTATACAGTTATTTTGAGATTTGAACATAGCATGATACCGCCAGCCGTTTTCCCATGTAATTGTATACTCTATTCCAGTGTCACATATAAACTGTCAGTCTCATCAAACGATTGATGCTAGTTTACTAAACAACATTGTGTCTTTTAATCGTCCAACAGCAATCTTGCGAGGTATAAAGCTCTATACTGTTCATTCTTGGCACAGATGACAATCTAAAAATGGGTTTGTACATGTGATTCCTGATATTGAGAATATCTATTGAAGCAGTCAATTTGTAGTATAAAACGCAAAGATTCAATCATTGTTTATTTCAAAGCAAAATAAAGCTAGTCAATGCAAGTTGAATGCAGGTGTTCCATTTTATATGAATACGGCAATGAAGTGGAAAGAAGCAAGATTATCACCTTGGCAATGCAGTGGCTTAGACAAAGGTGTGAACTATCACTGGTCTAAATGTAGAGTTATCACAATAGCAAGATATCCAATCAAATCTTCAGTAGTTAAAACTATTTGATAGACTGGATAAACTTTCACGTTCTTATTTGTTGGCACGGAGCTTGTTTTCGCGGAATCGCATAAAGATCAATAGGCATGAGCTGATGATCCAAAACAAGCAGTAGAATGTTACAGTGAATACTGATGCATTATTAAGCCATCCTAGAATAGAGTTGAAGATACCCCATCCTTGTGTCTTGTCTTCGGGACTACAGCAATCAAAATGCCACACATTGATTCTTGGATCAAATGCGCCAGTGCCCACATCATCAGCTTCAAGATTAATGGCCTTGCTCCACGTGTAGTCTTCAAAGTGGCCAATGGACTTGACGAAAAGGCCGTTGGCAATGAGCAAAAGGAAACAGGCAGAGATGACAAAAAACCAATGCAGAGTAAGTCGCGAGCCACCAGTATGTAGCAGGAACCCGATGCCAACACCGACCAGTATACCGCAGATTACAGCAAGCGGAATTGACCTACCATCTTCAGACATGGCTACACCTCCAATAAAAACCACCGATTCAAGACCCTCGCGTAGCATAGTAATAAACGGAAGCCAGAACAAAGCTCTGAGCGGCTGTCTGAGTGCATCGACCTGATCCTCTTGAGGTGTAGATTCATGGATTACTTGAAGGGCACCATCCATCTGAGCAACATGCTGCTTTTGACCATCCAAGCCAGCTGGCACACTACTGGATTTGAAAGGCGAGTTGTCAATGTCATTAGTTCGATCGACAATGTCTGACCCAGAAACATTGGTATATGTTGCATGTGTAATTCCATCATCTGTATGTGAAATAGTTCCAAGCTTTTTGGCCAGTTTAATCGAATATCTTTCATACATGCGAGATCCCTTGAGCATAGAAATGGCAGTGACGGCCACCATGATGGAAGCGAGCAAACTAAACACACCTTCCCACAAAGCCTCGGCTTGGGCCCAGATATCAACTGCATACTTGAATAGAATAACAAGAAAAATAACTCCAATGGTCAAGGAGATTAATAATCCTGAGAGTGTACCGACCCAGACCTGTCGCTTCAATTGGCGTGACATGGCCTTGAACTGTGGAGATGATGCAGAAATCTTATCAATGAGAGCAATCATGACAGACACAATAATTGCTGCTTCGATCGTCTCACGAAAGAGAATGAAAAAAATAGGAATCGAAAAAAGGTCCGGCATTGTTGCTGCTAGAGTGAATGCTACAGAGGTTAGCAAGAAATACAATCAGGATGATGGCATAGGATGTCTGGTATAGCAAGAGCGTGACGGGTAACTTTGAAATACCTTGTTGTAATGATACTTTTTTAATTTCCCGCCAATAAATGCAACTGTAGTTGTAGTAAAGATATAATGGTACATCTGAGAAGGGGCATTTTGGTATTCAAATATTAACTTGTCTTTGATGCTTCTGCAAATATAAGGGAGTAGATAACGGCTGAACAAAAAACTTGTCGGATCGGAAGTCAATTTGCAATATACAGTAGACAAGTCCCTTAACTTTTGCTTTGTCAATATCAAGCGGCTTTTACAAGACATGTATACTCAGCAATCATAATCAACCAAGAATCGACGTGGTTAACATTGGTAACTATAAATCTTGTTTTTTTTCGTGGAGCAATTGTGTTTGTCTTGTATCAATCTCGAAAATCCATGTATTGAAAACTAGCAATCAGTCGAGTTTGGTGCACAAAGTAGGGGCATTCATGTGCGGCTTTACATGGGTTGCATTAATTATTTTTAGTATTGGAAAAGGGATTGTTTAGGAATGCACAGTTGTATGGCCTCCCTAATATTTCGGAACACATTGCTGCTATTATTAATAATAGGACGTGGTAAAGGCGGCAGGCTTTGAAAATAAAGCCAATTATATTTTATATACCCTTGCTTGTTTGATAGGTAACTCGGACCGCCCAACTCAAAACAGTGCTGTAATTTGTTTGAACCTTGTGTTTTTAAATTCAACTATTTTGGATGAAAACGCAGATAAACTTCAAAATATAATTGGAAAAATTTACCGGAATGAATTGAATCCATCGGCAAAACTGAAATGGGTTTCTTATAAATATGTATACGCAAAAACCGCTATGTAGCCTATATTCAGTATGGACAAATGCGGCACAGGCATCCCTTATCCAGCACTTTCATGCCGCCATAAAAAAAAGGCGTGTTATAAATTCAATAGCCATAGTAAATACAAAGCATAACAAGCCCTCTAGCTTCCTATCTTGAGAATTTTAGCTCATTCCGATCGGAAGCATTCAGCTATATTGCTTCATAAAACAGCATCAAAACTTTGATTTTTTAAACGTACATTCACGGGCTGATTAACTTTACAATGAAACCATCAAAGGTTAATGATAACTCGATCTCTATAGTAGGTAGAATTGCTAGTGCTGGCAGATTGACTACTGCGGCTTGGATGGCAGCAGTTTGGGCATTTCCACTGCCGACCGTTTCTGCTGCTACAGTCTCTCTTAATTGGACTATTTCTTGGATTGACAATGTCAATCCAGACGGATTATTTCCTCGCCGAGCAATTGGTGTGAATGGAAAATGGCCCATCGACGAGATTCATGCAACAATTGGGGATACGTTGGTAATCCATGCTACCAACCATTTGGATATGCCAACCTCTCTGCATGCTCATGGTCTGTATCAGAATGGTACAAACTACTACGATGGAGCATTTGGCGTGACCGAGTGCGGCATCGCACCAGGAATGACTTACACCTACAATATTCCAATTCAGCAGACAGGCACGTATTGGCTGCATGGACATCATCTAGGACAGTACGTTGATGGTTTCCGTACCCCTTTGATTTTACACCCAACTGCTGCACAAAAGGCAGCTTCCAAAATCAAGTACGACGATGAGATTGTTCTCTCTCTTTCGGGTAAGCCATGCTTGAATTTTATACTTTGAATTGGCAACTTTCTGACTTTTTGAATAGATTGGTACCATCAAGAACACAAGCCGCTCAACGATCATTTCTTGTCCATTTTTAATCCAACTGGAATGGAGCCTATCCCCGAGTCCGGTCTGATCAACCATGATGCCAACACCATCATCAAGGTGAAACCAGACACAACATACAAGCTACGCGTCGTTACCATGTCTGCACTAGCCATGTTTGAGTTTTCTATAGAGGACCATGAACTCTCTATCATAGAAGTTGATGGGGAAGATGTCGAGCCTTACCCTGCTCCCGTAATTCCCATTGCAGCTGCTCAGAGATATGCATTCTTGTTCACTACTAAAAATACAACCGATTTTAATTTCCGTATTCGTGCCGATATGGACATGTCCATGTTTGACAATCCTCCAGATACACTCAATGGCTTTGTCAATGCCACTCTTCAATACAGTCCAGACGCTCCCATGTTTGAGGATGAAAATGCAGAGGAGTTGGATGCATCGCTATTTGATGAAACCAAGCTGGTTCCACTGGATCCACAAGGCATTTTCCAAGCCGATCAATCTATACAGCTTGATGTGGAATTCGAGCTCTATGAGGATGGTGTGAATCACGGCGCGTTCAACAAATCTGTTTTCCATATGCACAAGACGCCTGCTATATTTACTGCGCTTACCTTGCCTAATGAACATGCGATTACGCCTTCAGCCTATGGACTCAATAATCCAGCCATTGTTGTCGATCATATGAAAGGAGTTCAACTTGTCGTGTTTAATAATGATCCAGGACAGCATCCTTTCCATTTGCATGGCCACAAGTTTCAGATTGTCCACAAAGGTATCGTGGGAGATACACCAGAAGGTCAAGCCTACTCTATTCCTGAATCTGCCCACATTAATCCTATCCGAAGAGATACCGTGGTTATCCCCCCAGAAGGATTTGCTGTTATTCGTTTTATTTCTGACAATCCTGGTGCATGGCTTTTCCACTGTCACGTTGAATGGCATTTGGAAGCTGGACTTGTAGCTCTTATTGTTGAAGCACCCGATGTAATGAAGCAGACAATCCATGTTCCGCAAGCCACATTGGATCAATGCGCTCACTTGGGAATGAGCACCACAGGAAATGCATTTGGACACAATGATTCAACATCCTTTGATGGATTTTCACCTTTAGAGTTGTTCCCAAGCGGATTTACTACCAAAGCAAATGGGGCATTTGCCGGAACCGTGCTGTCAGCTATTATAGGCTTGTCAGTCGTTATTTGGTATGCACAGGCAGATCATCCAGGTACATTGAAAGAATAAACCTATCTCTACATTTTCAAACTAGAATCCATTTGATAAACCCTAATTGGGTTCAAATAATCGGAAATCAAATAGCTACTAAAAGCTAGTAGATGCTATGAATTCATTATGCAAGAAATAAATAGATGTTTGAGATCTCCATCACGGGTTTCCCAAGTAGAGCCATATGAAAGGAACACCACACGACAAAGCCAATACGCTTACTACGCATGCTGCAACCATACACCATTTTTCAAATCTGGAAAATCCTGGATTCAAATCCTGCTCAACTACCAGCACATCTGTATCCGACTGCTCTATGTCATCTATTTTTACACCCAATGTGCCTTTACGCTGTTCATCGTCGACTCGTCGGATAGCTCTGCTGGCGAAGCAAGCTACAAATGTGATGATGAGAATGTCAAAGACTCCCATGACGAGAAAAACTAGATATTTGGGTCGTTTGTCCTCATTTTCTGAGCCTGCTGGATCAAGGAAATCATTTAATATAGTGCCAATGAACGTGTCTGGAATTGCGTGCAACAGTCCGCTGAAAATAGTCCCGATGATGTATGCCCTGGGCTAAAACATCGAGTCCCAGACCAAAGGCAAGAAGTAAGTTGAAAAAATAATTAGCATGAATCAAGCTTCTCATTCCAAGCATCGATTAGAACAAGCGTATCTTACATTGGCATCGATTGTCGCAAACATGTAGCTGCCAATAGAAAAAGGCAGTGCACACCTTAGCATTATTGTCATGAGTGGTCCATCCGACTCGATGGCAATTTTTGCATTTCTCAATCTCGAGTTGGATTTAATTTTGCTTTCGACTCTGCTCCGCAAGAACCCCTTTCCAATGATGGTTGCTACAGCAGCACCGACATTGATGGAGATAAAACTGAAGAGTAGAGCAAGTGGGAATGGTTGATATAGGAACCCAATAGCGACTTGTAGAATCCCCACACCAGGAATGGATGTAACCGTAAGAATGGCAATAAGCATCATGAGCACAACAAGGCCAGGAGTTGGATGTTCTTTTGCCCAAAGCAGAATGACATGCATGTATCTTGTAAGCCGAAGTTGCCAAACAATAAGTGCAGCTATTAGAATAGACAATGGTATTATTAGTACATCAAAGCGGTAATGAATGAATATACAATATTGAGATGGCAAGCTCGCTGTCTAGAAATAACCATCAACCAATATGCAGTAACATGTACCTATGCCAACAATGCACGCCACAATAGCAATGTTGATTAGTAGAGCCCGAGTAATAATGGGTTCGTCTTCCAAGTGCTTGTCTCGCTCATTGCCTAGGTTCTGAGCATCTTCCTGCGGGTGATTGCTGTCTTGGTCTTGGTCGTTTGCAAGTGGGAGTTTTGAATTGAAAATATTTGTCGAGGTTGCATCCTGAGTGTTTTCTGGGTCAAGTAGCAACCATCCACCTGCATTCGACGCTGACCTGGATCCATAAGCTACATATGAAGAATCAGTATCGCTCATATTAGGAACTGGCGATACTTTTTGTTTAGGCAAGTTTAAAGTTGTTGTAGACTGGAGATTTAGGTCTTGAGCGGGTAACGGGTTTATGGATGAATTGGGATGCGATGGACTATGGTCGACTAGATTGCGATGATGAAGGAGTGATTTTTGAGATGCAGTCTTATGGTATACTGGCATACCAGGTTGCGGCATCAGTCAAGGATTGTGATATCGATATAATAGCGAACTAGAATATCTTAAAAAATACTGCAAATGAAGTAAGGATGGGATTCGCATAGCTGTGCAGTTATCAGGAGTGGATATTTTATGGTACAAAGCGGAAATAATGATTTTGTGTCTTACTGTGCTGTTGACTAGCACACCAGCACTTGATGGCTCATAAAATATGCAAATCTAATTGAGTGTTCAAAGCAAGCATACTTGATCGTTTGAACCCAATCCGTTGCAGCCAAATAGACTTTCTTCACGCTTGTTTCAAATCAATCATTTAATCACTCCTATCGCTGTGCTCGTGAAATAAATCGCTGAATAAGGGCGTCAAAATGCGTGATAAATAGTCGATATTATGAAATGATTGTATCAGGTTACTGGACACCATTGCTATTGAACTATAACAAAGTTTACTGGTCCTTCTCCATCCTATTTTGTATAAACCAACGAGGATTCACATCAACTCGAGTACATTCCATATCTTTGACACCTGCTCAATCTCAAACAGCTACATCCACTCTCTGTTAATTAACCTGCAGGTGCGCTGCAACATGACGTCAAACCAAATTCAAAAAGCTACACTTGGTTTTATCTTGTCATGGATGAGGCAACCTTTACACACTAAAAAGCATACTGTATATCATCCATATATTTTTATCCTACTGGCTTCATTCAAACCATTTATTTGCGACATATTCCACTAGAAAATTCATGAAATGACTCAAATCGCTCCATCCAACAATCATCAAACTGATTTAGAAGCTTTCCGTACTCTTCTTGGAAAATCAATCAAGCTCGATCCTGTCCGTCATGATGATGCCCTTCTCTTGCGGTTTCTCCGAGCTCGCAAATACGACCTTCAAAAAACGGAACGCATGTTTCTAGACTGTGAACAATGGCGTGCTTCTTACAACGTCGAATCTGTCGTCCAAACATTCGCATACACAGAGTCTTTTCAGGTGAATCAAGTGTATCCCAGGTTTTATCACAAAACCGATAGGCTCGGTCGACCAGTGTATATCGAACGACTACACACTCTGGATGTTAAACGATTATTTGAAGTTACAAATCAGGATCGTGTTGTCATGAAGCATGTTCGAGAATATGAAAAGCTTATGCGATATCGATTGCCTGCCTGCTCAGCAAAAGTGGGACACCCACTTGAACAAGGATGTAGCATCATTGATCTTAAAGGTGTACCGCTATCCTCGTTTAATCAGGTGAGAAAAGTACTGCAATCCCTCTCTGCTGTGGCTCAAAACTACTATCCAGAAACACTCGGTCGCATGTACATCATTAATGCTCCAACGCTATTTACCACCATTTGGGGAATTATCAAGAGTATGTTGGATGAAAACACCGTTGCCAAGATTAGTGTAATTGGATCGAATTACGCCAAGACGTTGCTGGAGGATATTGAGCCTGAAAACTTGCCAAAATTTCTTGGCGGTGACTGTAATTGTCCTGGTGGGTGTGACAATGCTGATGTTGGACCTTGGAATGACGGCTCAGTCGCTGGATTTCCCATTGAATTTTGGGAATCGTTCAAAGATCGTGATTTACAGCAGCAGAAATAAAGTCAACCGACTGCTTTTTTCTCATTAAAGATATACCAAGCCTTTTTTAAAATCTGTCGAGTTTGACGGGGTTTATTTTTATCATGAACTGGTTGCATCACAATGTGTAGGTGAAATCAAGATTGTGATTGAGAAAGTACGCCAATAGATTGTCCATATTTAAGCAACGTTTCCAATGATTGCTCCGAGTTGACTAGCAAATCTCGATCAAACTCAACTTTACCCTCTTCAAACAGTAAAATAACTGTTGATCCACCAAATTTAAAATATCTATTGCATCAAATGATCAGCAAAAATATAATGGTAATTATGCAAGACTTGAGTCAAGTTGACAAATGGATAACCAAACTTACCCATGTTCATCCATTCGCTTCACTTCCTGTCCAGCTTCTGAAGTCAACACAATACTTCCAACAAGCATTGCACCAACACATATATACGCAACACGGCCAAAGTGCGTCGAATCAATATACGTAATCGTCCGTATATTCTCCGTATATATATCAATGGTAGATCGAATAGCCATAGGATTGACGGTAAACAAGGTGCCTTCAATATGCTTGGTTTCCCCTAAAGTACCATCTACAGGAATATGGAAACGATGATAGTCTTGAGGAGCAAGACGAAAAATGGCTAGCGAGCCTGATTCAAATCGTTTTCCCTCTTCAGGGCTATCTAAAAGACGTGCAATGGAAAAGTTAAGTCCTTTGATCCACAGCTGCGTTGCGGCATTGATTGTTGGAAACACGCTACATCTTGCATCCGCTGGTGAAACAACAACGTGCTGTCGTTATTCAGTCAAAATATATATTGTTTAGCCAAATCCATTCAAGCATAAATGTGTACTTTTCCCTGTAAATCAATAGACCATTCACATTTATATCATAGTCAAGGCTACTTACAGGATTTGGAGAAGCAAGCAAACGTGCAGAACTTTTAAGTTTGCGATAAAAGAATTCGTTGAAATTTTTGAAGGAGACTATTGGATCAAGTACCTCATCCAAGTCCAGGTTGTGAAAAGCAACAAATGAAGCAATGTGACTTTTGCTCGATGGATCATCAAACTTTTTGCCCTGTTTGACAGACATGCTTGTAAGCAAGTTACGAATAGATGCTTTTTCTGCTCGTGATTGAGATCCTCGACTTTGGTAAAGAAGGCGAATACCTAGTCTGATGTATGTTGGAATTTTTTCTTCGCATAGTTGGCCTGTAGCTCGGTCTTGATAGAGAATATTTCCCGAGTTTTTACCTATGCCATATTCACCAAATGTCACGTAGGACATAATCTTTGAATACCACTTTCGAGACGCATGCGAATGGGTTACTAAACCACCAAGAACTATATATTTGATTACAGTTGGTGAGTATGCTGGTTCATCCAAATATACATTCCAATTCCCATCAAAAATGAATGGAGCTCAATAAGCCTACCAAAGTTTTCAGCTTTTCCAAAATCAACATGAGAACAAAGAGCCACATGAGAAATTGCATCTAGATCGACAGTCTTGGTGATTTTCTTTTCGCAAATGGGGCAAACTCTGATGTCAACCATGCGTTCACCAGGACGAATTTCTTGATGGGTAGAAAGACTATTTGGTTGTTTTATTTTTCCAGTAGCAGCATCGTGATATTTTTCAGGATGCAATCGCAATTCCAACTGTGTTGTTACTTCGTCAAAAGTAAGAGTGTCGGTAGGATTTTTTCCCACGTCATAGAATATGCTATCCACAGTTTCGTCCGAATAAGTTGAGCCAATACTGTCCAGTAGAGTAAGAAGAGCCACCTTGTCAATTGTGTTGGTAGTGGTAGAACCAAAACTATCCAGAAGCATTTTAAAAAAATTACCACGAATGGTAGAGTAGGATACGAATCCAACTTTGATTATGATGGTAGGGTCTGGTTCACCAATCGTCTGTCTTTTAACCTTGATTGGAAGCGTCATATCTACTAGCGGAAATTCACCTTGTTTCGTGGTTAATTGCGGTGCTTTGGAGGCAGCATCCATCAAAGATTGTATTTTGATCTCAGCACATCCAATACAATGGTTGTTTGTAAAGTCTTCATAGTCGTAGATGTATGTAAAAACTGTCCAATCGGCTTCGATTTCATGCGACTTGATGTGCCTATTTTACAAGCCGTCAGATTTGAATAAAAGAATCTGCAATCTATGATGCTTGTGATATACTGATGTGTCATATATTCAAATATAACTTACAAAAATACACGCTGGTTCCAGTTGGGACTTAGCGAATTTCGAATGACTTTGGTTCGAAATGTGCGTTTTCTAGTGTCAATAGTAAAGTCTGCGAATTAGATGGTAGCAGATTAAGATGAACGTGTCTAGCTTTCATATCAACAACGTACCCAAACGATATCACTGCAAAAGGATCACAATTGAACGATCTGATGTGACTCGCTTCAAATGGTAGATTGCGCGCACCAACAACTATGCATCCCAAAACCGTACACTCGTAAGCATCTGCTTTATATTTACTACAAGAGTTTCACATACAAATCATACTTTCAAGAGTAAGCAATCCAAGAAGTTCTGAATGGTTTAGTGATGGTTTTTCTGTCAACTCCAAAGTACTTGTGTTGCTGTCTAAAGCAGAAATCCCTGCTTCCAAAAAAGAAGCATCTTCCTTTTCAGGCTGCGTGAAGTTGTTGAAGTAAACATCTATGAAACTGTCAGTATACTTTAAAGCGCATATTGGGTGAATGGGAAGGGCTGGTTTAATGAACCCCCGGTTCGTAAACAAGCCAAATGAATTCAGATAAAGGCATTACCATCGGCGGGATCATCACTGGTAACCATAGTGGCACGATCCCAAGACCTTGGAACATACTGCTTGAAAATATCCTTGAGGTCTTTATCTAGTTCGCCAACAATCCCTATACGGATATTGATATCTCCCTTGACAGTCTCGTCTGATTTTCGCGGATTAAGAATGTGCCACGACCCAATATTTTTTGGATCCTCGTAGTCTCCAGTAAAGTTAATGATGGATGCCACCGGTATAGAAAGCTGGCCAAGAAAATCTCGTCCAATAAAATCCTTGTCCCATACTGTGAGCTCTAGTGATTCTAAAAGATAGATGAAGTTGGAATTAGTCATTAGAAAAGAGCATGTTTGATAGAGTTTGATGGTCCATTTAGCTACCTTGGGCGTGCGAGGTAGTAATTGTGCTATGAATCATGAACGTGTTCAAATTAGTATGCATGAAAAGACTATTCATGAAAATCATAATCGAGCCTTGAAATTCAGTTTAACAACTTGAAGATGTGATGATAATATAACAAGCCAGGAGCATACTGTTCAAGTACACCATAGTTTGCGCCACATCAGCTTCAGTTGACTCGTAAGGTATTCATTGAATGACATACTGATGTCAATTTTTAATGAGCAAAGTAATAACTTACAAAACCATTTCAGTATTCCAAACAGGATTGAGTGAGCGGTTGATGACAGGGGTCTTTTGCTGCTGGTCACCCAATCTTACTACTACATATGGATCGCTGGTTCCACCCCTATCTTTAGCAAGCAGGTCTCTGGCAGAAAGCACTACGCATGGATTAAAAGTTTTGTAAGTACAAATCAAAGAATAATATAGCTGGCTAAAAATACTGAATGGGTAGTCAGTATCTATGTGACAGCATACACTACCATACCTTTACACTTGATAGTTATAGCTCTCATCAGTTTGATTGAACACGGGAAAGTCGCGCTTTGCTTTACCATTTCGGCTCAACTTAGCCAGTGGGCTATGTTGGTCTGCAGTGCTATACCTGTTTAGACATCAAGTGTAGTTGATTCAAACCATTAAACAGCTGCATAATCAGGCTTACTTGAACTATTTATAAACCTTTTTTCCTATAAAGAATGCTACATTATTAAACTGAAAGAATTTCAACGGTATTGATTTACAGTCGTATTCACGTAAAATAAAACACTTGTATTTGCAATGACTTTATTCTACTTTGAAATAAACAGTCGTCAAATATTCCTTGTGGTTTCCTATTAGACACTGTCTATTATGCATTTTGACACTCCTATCTAGCGTCCATTCTATATCAATGCATCAACCATTGAATTTGGCAATGCATATAATCACGTGAGCTGATTTCATGTTTTATAACTGTTTTGTAAAACTTTTTTTTATCGAGTTTATATTCAGTATCGAATATAATAGCACCCATCTATCCACTTTGAAGCAAATGACCCGAGTAGGAAGGAAACGACAACATCACTGGTAAGTAGCTTGGTCATGTTTAATGCATCTATTCTATTTAAAATACCATATGTTTGAACACCTAGTCTGGATATGATTATTGACTTTATTAATGATATTCAACCCATCTAGTATTCGAGATGTCAAGCGAGCCACCAGGACTAGAGCACGTACAAGAGATTTAGACCAGATATTTGAGGATATGGCTAAACCAGTTGAAGTATTCAAGAATGTTCCACAAGATACAGACTTGCCTGGAATGGGTCAAAACTACTGCATCGAGGTAGAATTCTTGTTCTTGTACATATTGATGGATGAATGTTTGATTTTGATTTGATGCTGGCCAAAAGTGACATAACATGTGCTTCTATTTGAAATATGCTTGATTAGTGTGCTCGCCATTTCATCAATAGCTCAGCACTTTTAGACCATCAGACAACAAAATTGCACAAGAAAAGGTAGTTTAATCTGTGCTCCATCGAATACAAATCTTGCGTACCCACAATTAACTTTAAAACATGTGAAGAGTCAAGGTTTTGGCAACTGGAAAGGCATATACTCAAAAGGAAGCAGAGGAAGCAGTTGGATTAACCACAGACAATGGACCACTGCGATCATAAGTATTTGACTCTAGCTGTCGGATGCATGGCATTGGAATCAACGAGACTATCAATTGAGATGCAATTCAAGTTGATTTGGATTGAGTTGCAAAGTTTAAATTGGCTGGGAAATAAAGTTCATAACAATAGTGAATCCAAGGATTCCCTCTTGGCGTGGTTGGATAAATCAGTGCATAATTGAGTGCATTTCTAAAACCAAATCAGTGCTGCAAACATATTTTGAACTTTTGACATTTACAACATGCGACTAGACTGGCTGGTTCTGACGGTTCTGGTTACTGCTATTAAATCAGTGCATGCTCAGCTATTGGTAATCCATTCCTACTCTATAGTTCTGTTTTTATAGACATAGTTGAAACTTGACTCGGGCTGTTCAAATCTTCTAATGTTGAATGTGTTTCTGATCTTAGTACAGAGTATCGGAATGCAGAGGTTTCTATGGTCCACAGGAAGTGCATAGTAAAACGAGCGGATTCATCTCAGTTTCTATTACTCCAATCTTGTCATACGGTAGCATTGCAATTACCATCATCAACCTGCTTGACACTAATCAATTCGTCATCGACCCATTTAGCGGACATGAGTTTATATGCACAAAACAATATATTCTTAACGGCATTTGTTCAAAAACTGAGTTGGGAAAGCTGCATATAGTTCAACCCTCTTCGTCGGGATATACTCGGCCTATGTATCCTATTCTAAGTGAGCGTATTTTGTGGGCTCCGCCAAATACTATTGATGGTGATGCAATTACTTTGAATGACCAGGATGGCATTGGGCTAAGAAAACGACAAGATCAAGCACCCACTATATCTGCTACTACCACTACCAATACTACTGTTACTTCACAAACCACTGTACCAACGTCATCAGTGGTGAGTGGATCTACAACTATACCAACATTGTCAACTTCATTACCAGCAGCATCTCCGTCTCCAACAATACCAGCACCACCCGTTTATATTATAAATTCCACAACAGATATTGTGTATAATGTTGCCGAGTCGGGCATGTATTGTGTGTTGATGCTGACTGAGCAGAAAAAAGATCAGGATTATTACCTATCAGTTGTCATGAATGGTCCTTATGGGCTGCTTCCAGGCATGTTTTATCCAGCGTGGATTGTAAGTTGAAATTGAACTCTTGTTCAAGCAATGACAGATCTACAAGAGTTGGCCATTCAAACTAACTGTTGAGTCGATGAATTAGTTTTATGGCGTGATTTCTATGGCCTACTTGATTCTGGGGATTGTGTGGATGTCTTTGTCGTTCAAATACTGGAAAGATATATTGCCTATTCAACATTTTGTATCTGGAGTGATTGCGTTTTTGATTATTGAAATGGCATTTAATTTTGTAAGTTTATTGCATGCATTTATCTTTGGCCGATGAATATTTTGTACGATTTTATGGGCGGTGTTATGTGCACTAATCTTGTTTTGGTGAATTTTAGGGAATGTATGATAATTACAATAATACGGGAGTCGTATCCATTCCATTGATGATATTTGTGGTTATTTTCAATTCTGGACGAATCAGTTTATCCTTTTTCATGCTTTTGATTGTAGCGCTTGGATATGGGGTTGTCAAGTAAGTAGCGCAGCTGAATATCTACTATAGTATGAGGTTTAGAAGCAATCATTGCTTGACAGTTTATATGTGAGATTTACTGATATATTGATGTTTGGCTGATCAGACCCACTCTTGGAGATACTATGAAGCGATGCATCATTTTGACTGTGGTGCACTTTGTGTTTGGAGTCTCATACGCGACAGCATCGTTGGTATCGGCAGAAAAAAATAACTTTACGATCATCATATTAGTTATTCCCCTTTCATTGACCATGATGGCATTCTACGTTTGGACATTTACTGGTATGCATTCAAGTTTGATTTGTCTTTGAAATGTTGGAATAGGATTGCATTGTTTTTCATCTGTTATTGATTGTATTCATTATTGTGCCATCAATAACAGCAATTACAGAGACTATGGCTCGACTTGAAGCCCGTCGACAGAGTGTCAAGCTGCGTATGTATAACCGTGAGTATCAGTCACTTTGATTTGGAGTTTATCAATCTATACAAATGTGTGGATTCCATCATGCGATTAGCAAGATATACAATCAATTTGCTGGCCACTTTGGGGTATTAATCAAAATTTATATTTTATTCGTGTTGGGTGATGCAATATTAATGGATTACTAGGACTGGGATACATTCTTACTGGTTCTGCTGTTGCAATTATTGTGATTGCGGCAGCCAATTCAGTAAGTGTTGAGTGTTGATACTGCCGAGTCATTTGTGGATAAAAGAGACCAGTTTTACAAACCATGTGTTTCTATATTTAGGTGAATCTTACACATCGCAATGATCCGAAGTGGATTGCTGTACAATGGAAATGGCATTGGATGCTGCTGGACGGCGCGTAAGTTTATATTTACACAATGCATGGTATCCATACCTGCAGATTACTCATTTCAATACAATATGCCATGATTTTAGGATGAATACGATTTACTTTCTTGTGTTTGTGAGCATTCTAATTCTTTGGCGACCAACAGAAAACAATCAACGCTATGGTCTGGACCAACTAGCGCAAGACGATCCTGACGAGGACATAAATGGAATCAAACTACACGAAGTATTGCACAATGTGGATGAGTTTGGCGAATTTGACGACGAGTTTGGGCAATTTCATGATGATGAGCTGGAAAGTGCCGAAGATGTTTTAAAATGGGTTGAGCAGAATGTCGGGAGCACACAAGCAGAGGCAAATGGAGTGGTAGTTGGGTCTGCAACAGGGGTTGGATTGGGTGAAACTGAGGTGAGATCACGACATTCAAATGCTTTTACTCCAGTCCAGTTGACTAGCACACATGTACGATTGCAATCGGAGGATGTTGGATTGCCTGATGCGCATTCCTCGGATAAGCTTATTTAAATTCGTATTCACGTAAAATAAAACACCGTATTTACCCCACGGTCAGAGCTCCTATTTTGCTTCAGAATAAGCAATAATTAAATATTTATCTGCCCTTTTACTAGAAATTGATTACCTCTAGTAAACATTCTTAATTCTTCAAAACACAAACTATAGTTTCAAACTAAAATGATTCTCATTGTAGGATCACTAAATTTGGAACCAGATTCATGTATTACAGCCCAGATGTTGGACTCGATTGTTGTCAAACTCAGATTTATATTTGTTGTATTTTAAAGTTTTGTTTGTGCTCTGGTTGAAAACAAGATTGCATGTCTCGGGAATGCAACAATTGTTTTCATGTCAGTCACAATGGAAAGATCAGTAAATTGGCACCCATCATTTGATGAGGCTGACCAAACTGTAAAGATTCACTTGTGATGTTTTTGGCACATATCAAGTCATCGTGGATGTGGCTTGTAATCTGCAGACTGGCTCAACAAGCCTTGTGTTGATTTCAGGGACAGGTTTGTGCATTAAACACAAAGTGCAATAGTTGCCAAACAGCCACCAAGAATATAGCGACTGGCCATTAAATTTGGATATCCACACAGTTTTAAGTTTGGGGTGTGGATGACGGCAACTTCTCTTCCTGAAACCATTTGACATCCAGGTCGATTGACTGCTGCAGTTATTATTTCGTATGTCTAGAGATCGTTTGAACGAAGTTAGGGTAAGCACTACTAGGATATCGAGTGCTTTGTTGGAATGGTTGAGGCAGTGGGTATTTTGGAGCAACTGCAAAGCCTTGCAAGTCTATTGCTTTACAAGTATACCACTATAGCTATTGCTTGCGTTTCATGGTGATTGACTATTCTACTGGCTTTCAGTACTGCATTCATCTACCAATAACTACCAGCTAGCTTATTGTGGGGGTTTTCAAGGACACACTGTGTCTAAAGTCAATCCTGCTCCAAACCCTCCCTAAATACTACTAATTATGTAGCATACACTAGCTTATTTTGTTGAAACCACCGTTTACAAGAATGCTGACCTTGCATTTGTATTTCTAACCTTTTGACGTTTCAGAATGGTAACAGTCGTGAAAACCTTGGAGGTTTGTCATCATCCCGCAGTATTCCACAGGGCCAGCAGCAGTATTCTCAGCGGGGAGATAGTGGTCGTTCGTCTCCTTATGCCGACCGCAACTATGCTCGTGGCACTAACCTGACACAGTCCCGAAATGAAAACAGCTATGAGATGTCAGGTAGAACCAATCCTCCCAGAAGCGCTCCTCGCAATGGCGGCGGTGATTTCTATAGCGAGGTGATTGCCAAGTCTTTTATTGCTGATAGGGAAAGTGTTGGTATGCAGAGTATTAACGTTTAGTCTTTTGTTAGGTTGATGAAATTCAAGCATCTATCGATGCAATCAATCGCTCCGTTGCAAGTATTGAGCAGCTACATAAGCGTGCACTTGTTGGTGTAAGCCAAGATGAATCGTCTCGTATCAACAGAGAGCTTGATTCAACACAGACAGAGACCAGTAATCTTATTGCAGATGCACGACGTCGTTTACAGCGCATTTCCAATGAAACCAAGTCCATGAAAGGTGGCGGTGACTCTCGTTCTAGACAAAATCAGCAATCTGTGCTGGCACAGAAACTCATGGATGCAGCCCAGCGATACCAGAACATTCAGGTAACATACAAGCAAAAGTATCGTCAGCGCATGGAACGAGAGATTCGTATTGCTCGTCCAGATGCCACACGTGATCAAATCGAACAGGCATTGGACTCTCGTAATGGACCAGTTTTTTCACAGGAAATGCTGTCCAGCCGTGTTGGCGAGCAGCGTCGGGCTCTCCAAGAGGTTCAGGGTCGGCATGTCGAGCTGCGCAAAATGGAAGAGTCGATTGAAGAACTTGCACAGCTTTTCCAAGACATGCAGGTTCTGCTAACTGCTCAGCAAACTACCATTGACACGATTGACACACATGTGGAGAATGCAGTTACATATGTACAAGAGGGAGACAAGGAATTGACACAGGCGATCCGGCATAGAGAAGCATCGCGCAAAAAGTGGTGGATCTTGACGGGTATTATTTTTGTGATTCTCGTGGCATTGGCAATTGTATGTTATGTGCAACGATGCCAGTTCTTTGGTGTGTGTGAGGCGAAGCCAGCGCCTGCTGCTTCTCGTTAAATCATACGATTTAAGGCTAGTTGGTCAAGGCTCTTTGATTTCTATATACAAACATGTGCTTAAGCTTTCTCATTTTAATCAAACCCTGCAGCCTATTTCCATCTGATACTATTTACAGTTTCCACTTTTTATTTCAATAGCGAATTAAAATAAGTTTGATCTCTCCATGTCTCGAGTGTTTTGTATTTTTAGTCAGGCTTTGGACCCGTGCTTGTTATAATTTATGCTTTTCACTCTAATCCATCTTTAAAGTCTATTCCAACATATTTGAAACCATTTTATTAAAGAGTTGGCGTCACAGAAAACCGATGCGTTCAAGCACTAAATAATGAGCTTGTCCATATTTACTCGGAATCGCTGTGGTCAGCCTTGATGCTCTCAGACTTGACATCTTTTTTAAGTTTGTGGATCTTTTGGTTGGGATACTGACGAGCAGCAAATTTATAAATGTCCTGTACCATTTTTGCGTGAGCAGGATCATCCGACTGTTCACAGTTTCTCAAAAGTTTTACTACATGGTTAAATGAAACAGAATGTCCATTGCCAATAATATCCTGGAAAAGTTGAAACTCGAAAGCAAAGTCCTTGGCAGCATCACAGGACTGTAATATCAGGCTGACAATATTTTTATGCGAGAGAATCTGGTAAGTAGTAAGAGCAGGGATAAGAGCTTTCACAGAGGCATGATCAAACTGGGAAGTATATCCAGCGAGAAGATCTGTATATACAGCTCGAGGTCGGATACGATGTTCTTTGATTTTTTGTTTAATAGCATCCAGAGTATCATTACTGGTCTCGCTCGATTCTGAAGGAGCACAAGATCCAATGGCTTTGACCATGGCAGAACATAATCTATTCACCGCCCGAATTGAGTGAGCTGATTGATCAGCATACTGTCTCCACATGTCATCTGTTTGATTGCAAAGTGCATGGCAAATAATTTCCTCTTGTTCGACTCTAGATGTGTTGCGGAATGGAGTGTTGCGTATATCAGACAGATAATCAAATCCCTTTTGTGGAGTTTCAGAGTGATTGGAAATCAGCAGCTGAGCATACAGCAATGGCTCACATAAAGTACCATCCACTGCCATGTAATCATCGATTAACTCCTGCATCTTAGCAAAATCCTTTTTACGATAATAGCATAAGAGTGCAGGAAAGTAGCAATGTATGTTGGGTTTCGTATGATCCGATCTTTTCATGGCATCAATAATCTTGAATAGCCTTTCAGGTTGGTTGGTGTGAGCATACGCATCAATCAAAACCTTGTATGGGAATGTGTTGCGAGAAATTTCGCACATTTTCTTAAAATGGTGGATACCTTGTGCTTCATCGCCAATAGTAATATAACCATAAACAAAGTTTGCACGAGCTTTAATACTCATTTTCTCCGTCAAACCAAGACGTTCAATATGTTCCAGAGCATTATCCAGCATTATCCTGTTCTTCGTTTTGGAATTTACATAAGTAATGGTTTCAAAGCTAGACATTTTAGGATCAACTTTTTGTTTTTGCATGAATCGATAAACGTTATTGGTTCTGGACGCACGAGTGATAATTGTGGGGTCACTAACTACGTTTTTTTGTGGGAGATTGATGATGCCAAGTATATCGTCATATAGCGTAGCATTAGCTGATTTGAGCAATTCGGGATAGTTGTTCTGCAACTCAAGATATAGTGTATATGCACGAGAAAAATTCTGGTTTTTAAGAGCTTTAAGTAGACCAGAGTAGGTTGGAGTTGGAGTAGCGGGTCGAAAAAGACTGAATATAGTCTTGGGGCGAGTGCTATTTGCAATCGCTTTTTTCTGAATAAATTCAGCTTGTAAAATAATCTCACTGAGATCTAACTTTGCATTGGGCTCAGTGGATGGACTAGCAGACTCAGTGGATGTACTAGCAGATTCAATGGATGGACTAGCAGATTCAGTGGGTGTACTAGCAGATTCAGTGGGTGTACTAGCAGATTCAATGGGTGTACTAGCAGATTCAATGGGTGTACTAGCAGATTCAATGGGTGGACTAGCAGATTCAGTGGAAACTGCAGCTTGAGTAGAATCAGTAGAGTAAAGCTTGATAAGTGTACGGTTCAAATTGTAGGAAAAACTACGCTGCGTAGTTGAAGAATAAGAGGATGCAGCAATCCTGAATAGTGCTCGAGTCTTGCAGGCAAACATAGTATAAGCTGGTGCTTGAGGATCAAATTGATAAAACTGATCTAAAAAATTGATAAAATGGCGTTGATGTGAACGACTACGATCATTGAATTAGTGTAGCTTCAAACTCGTTATTGTACTCGTAAAGTGAAATATTTGTATTCATCCTGCTGTTGCTGTATTATGTTTTGAAATAGAAAACAGTTGAATATTCGTCGTATTCTTACTACAAATTGACTGTTCAATAGACTCGACTCTTTAGTAAACACAACATTCATCATATAATATAGTCTATAGTTTTGAACTGAAATGCTCTTTTTGAGTCTCCCTTTTTTTTCTTTTGGAATAGCCATACACTGCATGATCGACAAGTTTAAAATCAGATTCATGCATTGCAATTCGAATATTAGGCTTGACTGAATATTGTCAGAGTATCCCAGCCTCGCAAATATATTCGCATTCAAGGAAATAATGATTGCACAACTCGGTAATGCAACTGTTGTTCTCATGCCAGTCACTCAACATCATAATGCTTGGTTTGAATGAAAGAAGGGCTGGAGGTTGAACAAGTGATGAGTGCACCAGAACTGTAATATGAATACTGCTTTAAATATTTACTCGGTTGTTTTTATAAAATAAGCACAGAGGAGACCAGTGAACTAAAGAGTTTAGTGGACAATATTGTTCAAGTCTAGTTTGAATTATTATTTCATGAAACTTGTTTATTATATATTTCGAGACTTTTATTAGTGGTTTATTTTAAATGAATACGGCGGTGGTAGCTATTGAGTACTAGTGTGATATGGCGAATTAGAGTTAGGTACATGGGCTCTGCTTACCAGAGTAAACCTGCAAGCAACGACTTGGCCCGTGTGTGAAGAGTAGTTACTTGGTCGAGTGTGGATCAGGCAAGGAATGATTGGTGTGTGCAGCGACTGATGTGATTGGTGAAGAGATATGATTGGAGGAAAGCTTTTTTCTTCTAAAGCAAAACAAGCGAACACAACATCAGCGAAAAGGTTCTTTCTGCTGCATCCATTCGAGGGTTAATTTGGCATTTTTCTCTTTTCTTGCAGTTGGATCAGCATCTTATCTTCCTTTTGCTCGAGCGCTTCCTAGCTTCTTTTCTTCTCCGACTCGACTACTTTCCACCAGCAAATTCCCTTTGCAGTGTATATACCCTATATCAGTTGTTTTGTATTCAAGTTTAAGCTTACAAGTCAATGTAAGTTTTTCAAGATGGTTGCAAATCATGGAACCCGCCTTTCTTCCATACCATAGCTTATGCTCTGGCAAAAGTGGTCATCTACTTGCACCCAATTCAAACCATATATTCAAGTATGTTTGAATATTGTGAGGGTACAATGCCTAGCCTGTAATTGGCGGATGAATGTTCAAGCAGTGCATTTATAGTTTCATTATGTATATGCTTTCCTTTGCTGCCAGATTTGAAACTGCTTAATTTGGGGGTTGGACTGCGTACCCTATTTGATTCTCTAAATTATGGCGACTAGAGTCTAATTTGTCTTTTTTGCTTTCCAACTTTTTCTTTTTGCCTATTCGATTGTCAACGTGACGGTCGATTGCATTAGTGGTTTTGTAGGAGCCAAACTCACATTTCACTTGCTAGTGTACTCAACCAACTGCACTCACCGACTTGAATCCCGTGGATTGTTTCTCACCATCGCTACAATCCAGTCAATTGTCCATTCTGGTAAATCCCGTTTTCACTGCAAGTAGAAAGGACTGCTATAGTTTATAGCAGTTTACGTGCGAATTTATCCAACCTAGAACGGTTTTGTGCAACGTACTGCCACGAATTCATCCTAATAAGCTAGCTTGTATGATGACCACTGCCATGACTTCTCCTCCAGCTGCTGATGTAGCCCCAACAGCCATTGATTCCACTGCGGACATCGTAAAGACGGATTCGCAAGAAACGCTGCATATGTCATCCACTTTTGATCAATATCGTGACGATTCTAACAGCAATCTTGTGCCCTCAATGAGAATCAAACCTTCGAGCTGGGCCGAAGGTCCATGCAGTTCAGAAACTAGCTCTCCATCTGCCTCATTTCCACTTGCTTATGTAGACTCTGAATACGGCACTTCTGGAAATAATCCTACCGCTCCTGACTCTTCAAAGCGATTAGAAAGCTTTTTTGGTTTTGTGTCGACTCCTTTGGATGCTGCCATTCTTATTCATGCCGCTTGCTCTCAATCTGACATTGTTACGCCCATCAAACGTCGATTGCTATCTGTCGAGCGTGACCTCATTCGGTCAGGATCCATTTTTGTTTTTACCGAGTCTGACTCGGGTATGAAAAGATGGACGGATGGCATGCGCTGGTCAAAGTCGCGTGTTGAAGGACAGTTTTTGGTATATCGTCGTGTTGATCCTAAGCGTCCTAGTAGTGGATTTGTAGCTTCTACTGGTGCGGTGACACCATCTGGACCAAAGCCTGCATCTTCTCTTGACTCTGCGCCTGCTTCTGGCTACACTACTCCAAATGGTACCAATACGACTTCCGTTACTGTTCAACCACGAACCGCTTTTTGGCTTGATGCGGTCGACGCATCTAATTCCCAGTTATGTGTTGATCAAAACATGCCCTGTAGTGCATCTAGTATGGACAATGAAGACCACGTACATGATTATATTACAGTGGCTAGCAATAGCAACGCCGCTACCGTTACTGGCAGTCATGTTGGCGAGCCTCTCTCTTCAACAGCTCTTGCTTCATCCAACGCAGCCTGTCTTGCATGGGCCCCAGACTCTCAACAATTTTATGCACTAGGAAAGCGATCTCACTCTCCTACCCGATCTTCGGTTCATCATCTACCCCTACCAACTCGACCTTCCAGTGCCATGTCATACAATTCCGCACCTGCAAGTAGTCCAGCAGCTACAGACGATTATGACAAGGGTGCAATCGAGGATGTTGAATATTCAGGTTTTATGGCTTCAAATCCAGTGATGAAACGCCAACGCACCTTGGAAAACTCTATGCCAACACGTCTGCATTCTGCACCAATCATGCGCCGTCAAACTTCGACTGAATCGACTATATCTACAACCTCGTTTGGAAGTGCAGGAGGATCTCCGTACACGGACGATACGTTGTCTAAAAAGACATTTTCTGTCAAGATCCGAGGTGTTGTGTCGCATGTGATTTGTTATTTCACGCGCATGGATGTTGCATCTGGTATTTTGCCCATTCCTGCCAGCTGTAAAGGGTTTGCAGACTTGGTTGTACCTCGCGAATATCTCGATCCAGGAAACTTTCGTCTCCATCCTAAAGGCTCTACTTTTGGTTCAGTATCAGCAACACCCTCTATGTCGTCGGATGTAAAGGTTGCGTCTGTTGTCAACCAGTTTGGTGATGTATCTGCTAATCCAGAAATCACCTCACGACCGCGATCAATTGCACCAGCATCATCAAGCACTAGACTACCACGATCATCTTCATCGTCATCATTGTCTTCCAAGAAAAAGTCGTTGTTGGGCAATGGCAATGATCTTTTTTCTACTCCTCCGCCTCAATCCTTCCTTTCATGCATTATTGCAGCTGCTGAATCAATACACTTTAACGAAATGGATCATGCCAATCATATGGACACTGTATGCACCGATCAGCCATGGATATCCCCATATTCACTTCCAACTCCGCCACCATCAAGCAAATCCAGCAACGCCCAACCAATTAGCAAAAGATCCATTCGTAGTCGTTTACGCAGTGAGCGCCTTGTGACAATCACTCTTGCAGAAGCAACGCTTTACGATGTACCTCTTCCACTAGAATTTCAGGATCTTCACGAGCAGATTTCACAGCTGTTTGCGGTTTCTAATGCCAAGAGTCTGTGCATCACTCTTGCAGGATTAGGAGAAATATGTGATATTGAAACATTTTCTTTGATTCACTCTGGTGATGTGTTGAATGTTACACTCAGGACATCACCATTACTTGCGTACAAGTGTGAGACACTTTTGCCTGTCATCAAGGCCGAACCACGCTCTGAACCTCGTATTACTCCTGAAGTAGGAGGTATGGTAGCAGGCTTGAACGATATGAGTGACTTGTCCGAGGCTACCACCCAGGCAGCACTTGCACTGGCTACTCTGTCGGGTGCTTCGGGTGATTCCAGCTCCATGAACTGGCAACCTAATCCTGTTTCCCATGGAGCGCTTGCATCAACCTCTGTACTCTAGTGAGGTCGGCTTGGTTGGAATCTATAGTCAAATGCCGTCCTTGGCTTCAGTTTAAAGACCTTTGATCCTAATTCTAGATCTTGACGATTTCCTTCTGCCGTCGCACTTCCCTGTGCTGCTTTTGCTTACTTGCCCGTTATTATTTGTTACTACTACCTCACAAACATCCTTTGTTCATCCCTTATTCCAACGCAAGTCTATTTTTCATTGACCAGAAATTACTGCATCCAAACATTTGTGGGCCGCAGATATGCAGCTTATTGCCACTCATTGCTGCTATTGCATATTCGTGAGAATGGTCATGTTGGATATTCAAATAAACCACATTTATTAGACCGTTTCATTATATTATATCATTCATAGGTGTTGCATACTTTATATTAGCTGTGGGATCAGATGCTGTACAGCAATTTTGGCAGTTTGGATTTTATTCGAAACTTGAATCGATTCCTATTTTGTAACTGTTCTACACCCGAATCTAAAATTCACTACATTACTGTTGCATTCTGCTTTTTAAATTACAAATGTGATGCTTTCAACCAAACTCTACTGGCATATTATAACACAAATTTGGCCTTTATTTCACAGGACATGTAAAAGCCTAAAAACACCAATATTGATATCTACGCGTATTTTTATTCAAACTTGGCTTACTTTCTAGTCGCATCAGCCTATTGTCTAACCTTTCAACATTTTAGTATGGGATCTGGTATGTCTACGCTATCTCTTTTTAAAAAAACAAGCGCAACTAGCGCACCCGTTCTTGCTCAAGCCAAAAGTGAAATGACCAACATTCCTCGACCCAACATAGAATACCCAGCAGAATCCAAAGGTGTTGACACTGTTTCTAAACAAGCCCATGAAAACACTAATCTAGAAAAAGTCGCCGTTGATTTGGAAATGATAAGCATCGATGATATATCAAACGAAATCCAAACTACCCAACCAGAATATGATACTTCAATGGGCACCAATACTGAGGCATATGATGTTCAACCACGCTTGTCTGTTAAAATATCTGCATCTCATAGCACAACAGAAACTGTGGATGAACCTATTACAATTACAAACAATATAAACCAATATCCATGCGCAACAATTCCTCCACCTTCTATTCAATCACAGACTTTTATTGAGTTGGAAAACAATATTGCGACGAATGAAATGGTTGCGGATACATGTAACAATTTAACTCAAATCAAAGAATGCGATCAAGAAGTGCAAAATATGTGTTTTATGGAAGTATGATTTCACTGCTAATGTCCTGTACCAAGATGTGTCTTGATATTTCATGATTTGCATGTCCTGTGATGGACTGCTTACCATTACATGGAATTTCTTGTAAACTGATTTAATTTTTTAAAATATAGAATATGCAACTAGAAAAACAATTGGAGTTGTCCAGAAATCAAATACTTGAATTAAAACGCTGTTTGGCGGATGCTTTATCTGCAGTAAGTACTCTGATGACTTGATGTAGTTGAAAAATATGCTACCAATATACATGGTATTGCTTAAAATAGTCGGATACTCACATCATCAATTATTTAGCAACGAGTGCCTGTATCGGCAATAAGAAGTCGAGATCCGGTAAAAGAGAACAATGGCATTCCACCACGCCCCACTATTCATTCAATGTTGGTAAATCTATTTGCTTTAGAATTGATTTGAATGTGCTTTAATATCTTAGGATGTAGTTTTGAATCGCAAATGATTTTATTTTTATTCAAACTCAATACAATGACTAGAGATCCAAACCACCATTGATCCCAGTTAGTCCAAATCAAGTCGCAAAAGGGTTATCAGATTCATCGTCTTCTCAAACACTGTGTTCATCAATTTCGACAATTCAAAAACAAATTCTGAACGATCCAACTCCAACACAAAATGAATTGGGTTCCAGTGTGTCTGATGCAACCCTATTTTGCCCATTTCATACCCAACACATTGATTTTCTGGAAACATTATTAGCGCAAACAAGTGATAAGCTCACAGAAACAACCAAAATATACGAGAGACGCTGTGAAAGACTTAAAATGTTTCTCACAAAGCAAAAAACAGAATCCACAGTACGAATATTTGAATTAGAGACCCAATTAAATGGTAACGTATTGAACTATTCAAGTATAAATACTGTTTTGAGCTAGTATTGCATTATTTTTATATAATTGTGCTCATGTTTTTACTTTTAGCTTTAAAGTCACGTTTGTTGGTATCCAAGTCGCCAATGCTCTTGCCAACCGAATCGACTGCATCTTTGAAAGGAGTATCACCGCCATCTTCAATGATGCTGCATGAACTTCCCCCGCTTTCCGGTCATGATGTACGATTATCATCATCAAAAGATGTTGTCATGCTAAAGCATCAGCTAGAATCAAAGGATTTGCTAATTCGAGCCCTGTCTATGCAGGTGGATGCACTTGGTCAAAATCACACTCTTGAAAATAAATGAAACAATGGCTTATATAAAATAAACCACATTCATTTAATCACTCTCTCATTGATTGTACCTTGAGTACCTATATCTCCATTCTTATCCCTTATCTCGAGTCGTGATTCAAAAACACAGCATCGTCCAGTAAACTGACATCAACCATTGCACACGACTAAGCGGTAAACAGAAAATGTAGACAATGATAGATAGTATGTAGTTTTTATTTTGAACGATTTTTTAAAAAAATGCCGTTCAAATAAAACGGTGCCCTTTCTATATGACCGAGACAACTGCAAACAGGCTTAAAAGTCAATATGTAAATGTAATAACTCGAATACTCAGTCTAGTCGCTGGCGATATTTCTTTTCTATTTTTGATGTATTTTTGCGTTTAAATTCTAAAAACATTGGTTTGGATTAGAAACAAGATTGGTTATTTAAACAAATACACATATTTTCAAAATACTCATCAAAGTCGTACTTATTTTGACAGGAGAATCATCTACATCGGTCGAATCGATTTTTGGTGAAATGCTCACAGATTCATCCTGATTGATGGTGGTTTTGAGCATAAGAACATGTTCACTGATAAGGGTAGAAGCCGCTTGGATCGGGTGTAATGTTAAAGGCGTAGATGAAGGGTTTGAAGCTGCATTGAAAATATTATTTATATCTAACGAGGGCGATAAGGATGTAACATCGTTGCTCAAAATAGCCGGCTGTGCATTTTCCACAGCAATAGTAGCATCATTATGGGCCAACTGCACATCGTTATTGTTGAATTCCGATACAAAACTGATTTGGTCCAATGTTTCCAAGTCGGATGCATTTGGACTAGAATGACACGCAGATATAGCCAAGCTTGACTGATCTTGTCTTTCTCTAAGTCGGCCAAACTCATTAGTGGCAAAATCGGAGTTATATTTTGATTGCCTAGACTGATTTTTTTGTGTGTGATGTGGCTGACGATAGTTTTTTGAGGGTGAAGGTTTGTTATTTCCAGATCGAGAGAGCAACCGTGTATAATTTGATACGCCATACTCTATTGCAAGATCATTTAGGCGATCTATTTCTGGCTTATCAAGCTTTCCTAGAATTTCATGAATATTTTTAGTAGGTAAAAATGAGCAAGCAATTAATGTCAAGTCAACTCGGCCATATTAGTACTGGCATGAAAATACGCAAAAATAGAACACCATGGATAGACTTGAAAAAGGATATTTGATAATATATCTTCAAACTTTTCTTGAGTGTTTGTGTTGGATAAATCCTCTGATGACGGGCTGGCTTTGGTTTTACTTGAATAATCATATCCAATGTTTACTCCTTTGAGTGGTCTGTATATACACCAATTACAAAATAAACACTCGAGTTAATAAAAGACAAATTATTGCAAGAATTTCAATATTGAATCTATATGCATTAAATAGGTATGATATTATAAAGTAATGAAAGCTTAAAATCTGAACACATCAAATCAACTAACTTTACAGAGCGACTTGAATATCCATTCTGAATGCTTGTATTCCAATAGTAGTCAACATCATCAATGCAGTCTTCTTCATCACCTAAATATAGTAAATTTGACCTGTTAAATGCATGATGGGTTTAAAATTGTAGATATCAAACACTTGCATTGCTGGCGAGCCTGATCAATCAGATCAGCATATCGCTCAAAATTAAGCTCCGATTCGTCATGTTCGGCATTGACTTTCTTTTGTTCCAAATCAGCCGTTGGTTGCTGTGATGGTATTACATCCAATAGCATTCGACCGTCAAACCGATCGACCAGTAAATCGCAGGTTCCTGGTAATTGCACGCTTTCAATGGTAGATTAAATGTCAGGTTGTCATTTTCAAAAAATGGGTTCGACCACAAATCGATTATCCAACAAGAAAGCCTATCAATGACGGCTTACAGACTGTTTTCACTCTCAATATATTGGTGCATGCTGTTATCAGCAATCAAGGGATCTGCAAGGTGATACAGTATCAATACAGTTAGCGACTCCAATCAAAAGCCAGTACGATTCTAAGCCATAGAATGCACTCGTTAGAACGGACAGCCTTTCACCAACACACATTTGGTTCCACCTATTCTCAAAAGAGAGTGTTGGTCTGCTGTCTGTGAAGCCATGAATGCATGTCTGCGCTCGGCTCTTTTACGGCCATCTGCACCCTACAAAGTAGTTACGAATGCATGGTTTAGATTCACAACCCAACGTATCGGTTGAACTGGAAGCTACAAATCCAACACATGCCTTCATTCGACCCTCACCACGGATGGTTGACTGCAGAGTAAGATTTTGTTGTCAAGTTTTCGTCCATTCAGCACACTTGTCACCGAATTGGTAGACCTTCAATATGAAATCTGCAAGACCGATTTCTACAACAGCGTCAAAGAGACTGTCCACTTCGCTGGGAAACTCATACAAGGCATTTCCAGGCTCGGCTTCGTCTTTTGGTTCTCCCAGAAGTCAATCTGGCAGCCATTCTGATGTCTTCAAGGTGAATGGAAACCAGATTGCAGTCGACCATTTATTCTCTATTGCCTACTTGCAGTTGATATCGATTAAAAAGAACTGACACATGTCTGGGTATAAACAGAAACCACCAACTCCAAATCGTACTCCTAAACGACTTGAATCAACGGCAAAGCCTCAAGCTAACAATTTTGGTACCGAGCAATATTCGCCACCATCGAAACTGGATAGCAATGTCAAGGAAATGGAATTGGTAAAGCAATGAGCTAGGCTAAAAGTGTCAATCTTGAACATCTTTAACTCTGACTGTTTTATAATGCATTGGTCGATGCTTGAATTCAGACATCTAAATATGCAATGCTGGAAGAGCAGAATCTCCAAATAATCGATGCTAAATTAAGATCAAAAACACAATTTATCTGAGATAGGAAATCTGGGCCAAAAAGAGTAGAAAGAATAATGGGAAGTTTGTTAGTTTGAAATATTAGGAGGTCTCTGCCAGACTCATACTTGATGTCTTCAATGAAACCGTTGAATGGTACCATAGTTCCTCATAATTTAAGGCAGGAATATCGAAAACAGATTTAACGTTAATTACAACTACCCCACACAATTACAAATGTAATATTGTCCATGTTCTAATTCCCTTACAATCACCTTAGTAGTATAATCTCACCAGTTGATGAAAAATGTGAGATCATTTGTATATGCGAGATCCACGCCTGTGCTTTATTTAATCCAGGATCAAATGGGTTTATACAAAAAACAATCTTCTTCCTCGTCGCTATCAGATGAAGAACCTTCAACCTCTTTTTGACTTGGTTCGGAATCAACTGGACTTCCGGATACACCATCACAATGATGCTCCAGCTTGAGTATCGCCAAAATGTCTTGGGTCATTTCCCAAACTTCAAACGCAGTGGGTCTCTTGTCAGGTTTTTTATCAAGCATCTTTTCAAGCAGACTACGAAACAAAGCACAAAAGTCTTCGTATCCTTCCTTTTCGAACAAGAGCAGTAATTCACCAACAGAGTCACTTTCAGCTATTGTATAAAATCCATTAAAACCAATCGCTTTTCTCCCTTTCCTAGCGATTAGTTTAGAAATATGCCTAAAGATTTCAATTAGTTTTTTCATTTTTTTCCTACACATTAGCTTAAAATTTACATACCGTTTAATCCCAAATAGCAGCATCCCTAATTCGAGATAGATAGCCCCCAAAGCAAAAATGTCTGCCGAACGTCCTACTTTTTCTCCTCTGGCTTGTTCCGGTGATATGTAGTAAGTTGTACCTCCTATCTTCATTGATTTTGACTCTGAGTTGAAAATTTTTGAAAGCCCGAAATCACAAATCACAGGGCTGATATGACTATCGCCAATTTGTAGAAGAATATTAGCAGGCTTTAAATCCCTATGCTTCATCCTTGATTTATGAAGGAAAGATAGGCCAGCAGCAAGGCATGCCATCCAACCAGTAATGAGAGCCAAACGCATGGGGCGGGTACTTGTTTTTCAAAATTCATACTTCATTGGAGCTTTTAAGAATGAATCCAAATCCAAATCACACCAAGGGGAGAGGATGAAATAGAATTTACCACCTTGTTCGTAAGATGCATGATAGGAGATTAGGTGAGGATTCTCTGGCGCCTTTAGCAAAATTTCAAGTTCAGAATTAATCACAGCATCATTAGTAATGTTTTGCTCCTTTCGTGCGAATTTTTGACCTTCCATTTGAACTTGCTGTACGATACCGTAATTACATGTGCTTGTTTTTGATTGTGGGTTGATTTTGAAGGGTACAGTTTCATACTTTTGAAGTATTTTGTGTTCTTTCGGTTTAAAGGTGACTGCGAAATGAGACGACTGAGCTTCCATAAAGTCGTCAGCGAATGCTTCCGTACATTGGAGGTATCTCATAAACTGAGTGCGAGTGATTGGCAAGCGAAAGTCTTTAAAGTCTGCTTTGACAAACTTGAGAATGGTGTCGTTTTTGATGTTTGGTGAATTCTTGATAATTTCCAAAGTGGTTGGGAGGAATTCCAGGACATAGTGACCGACGGTGAATTCCTTATTGAATTGAAAAGGAGCATCGAAATCCACTCCTGGGCATTCTTGCTTTAATGACTGAATATCAAGCGTAGGTTGATTTTCCATAGTCTTGAGCTGAAATGTAAACAAAAATTCTACGATTTTTTCAAAATCTGAATCACTGCTGGATGGGTTTACGTTGGTGAGAGTACTAGGAAAGATGGCTCAAAAAGCATTTACACTGGGAATGGCAACCACAAGTCCTCATGTGCGATGGGTTGAACACATTAGAAATCTTCGTAATGGAAACAAACCATCTTTGGTTGGGAAAGATACTTTTTCAAACCTCTTGAGCTGTTTGGTCTAGGGTTCCGCATTTGCAAAATTTTGTTATTTGACTCGTCAATATCTTTTGCAATGCGAAATGGACCTCTGGATTTATTTCGCACATTTCACTGCAAATTTGCGAAATTCACATAAAATTCGCTTAATAATATGCTAAACAATACATGTATCATACTATATTTCGACAGTCCGAGGTAAAAACAATATCAACAACGACCACATCTACGGAATGCGTGCAAAAACTACGCATGTATATCGTTGCTTTAAAAACGAGACAAGTATCCTATTCCAGATCTCCATCCTTTGGAAACCGTCTCCTGCAATTATAATAAATTCATATGTAACCCAGCATTTCTCCTTTCAATCCATCTGCATATGTAAGTTTTCTACCATTGAATAACTCAAATCACCAAATTCCACCTCGCTGCCAATTTCCCAAGCAGATAATAGCCCTGATTGTCTGATCGCTCAGTCTGGTCCGCGAATCAGTAATTAAATGCCTTGCCTTTGAAAAGGCGTGCTCCGAGGACGCAGATGTGACTGGAATTGCTAGATAATCCCTTGCCATTTTTGTAAGCAAGGGGAAATCCAATCCATGATGTTTCCACCACTCCAATGGGTCTTGCCTAGGATCCACCACTTGAGTATTCAAATATTCTTCGAGTTGCAAAGTAGAAGCCAACTTTTTCTTTTAAAAAACCCTACTTGCTGGAGTAGGTGCATTCGAATTCTAATGAAATGAGCGTGACAAAGTTTAAATACAAGTAATTACGCATGTGATTATCTGACAAGTCCAATGCCGTTTTGAATACCTCTAATTGCATCAAGCCACTTTGATCGTCGTACTCGGCATAAACGCTCTGGATTTGCCTTTTTGATTTTTTCTTTCTGAAAAGCATTTTCTTGGACATTCTGATTTTCGTCGTCGTAAAACTCAAGTTTGTGTTGAGGATCAAGTACCACAGCGATCACACAATGGTTATTGGAAACATTAAAATACTTGTCAAGCCTCGTTTGAGATGCATTTGGGATGCATTTGCTGCGCCTTTCAAATTTCCAATGTATCAATTGCAAGCGATTCATTGGCAATTATTATCCGACGACTTGCTGGAGTTCCAGAAATCGAAGCGTCTAATCATTGTCCATAATCACTGACGGCATTTTCACAATGGTCCAATAACACGTTGTACCATGGTATAACGTATGACAACGTTTGATACTTGTTGCTGCTGCATTCCATTGTGGCTTGTTTAAATGGTTGAAAGAAATGCACTAATTCAGTCAAGTCGTCCCAATCTCTCGCTGACGGCACGTCAGGGATCTTCTTTTCCATGTACAATTGATCCAAGATTTGAACGAGTGGTCCTAATTAACAAATTTAAAGACAACATGTTATTGCAAATTTAACTGCAGGTTGGCATACATAAAGTGCTCTTGAAGTTCAGCTCTAGATCCTTGACGTACCTCGCATTTTCAAAGCTGTGACCAGCATATCGAATGTAGAGTTCCATCTCGTGGCGACATCAAGGATTGGCTTTAAGATTCTCCCACTATCATTTTCAGTTGTTCCATCGATGCGGGGCAACATCGTAGCAATTTAATCCCTTCCCTCAGTGTCTCGATTGATGTCTTGATCTCTTGATGTGCATCTTGGGCGGCAAGATCAAGGACATGTGCAAAGCAACGATGATGACATTCGGGAGATTCCAAATAACCAGAATTGATGAGCTCTTGAATGAAAACCTCATTGTTGGACGCATTGTCAGTGCAGATTCCTAAAATGAGCGATTTCCTATCACCGCATATGGGTTCCACAATCTGCTTGAATAATGCCGCAATGTTCTGACTGCTGTGGCTGTCATTAAACACAAGAAAGTCGACAAGAATGCATTTCAGTTTCCAATTTTTGTCAATAAAATGGGCAGTGACAGCCGTGTAAGCAACATTGTCTGGCGATGTCCATATGTCGGTCGTAAACGAGATCTTGGATGTGTTTTCTTTGATAAGAGCATAAACGTCAGCTTTTGCAATTTCGAAATCACGATTCACAATTTGTGATACAGTATCGGCGGACTTGAAAATGATATGCCTATTGATGTACAACATCATTTGTTGAAAATACGGATTCCCAACAACCAAAAACGATTGCTGGTCACCAACGATCCACCGCTGTAGCTTGTTTTGAAATTCTGTCTGGGTAAACCCTGTCAGTACAAGAAAATAGATTACATCAAAAAATACAATATTAATATTCCAGACAGCAGAAATAATGACGCATCATACGAGTATGCAATGATTACCTTTTTCAAAGCAGTCTTGAATCTTACTTTGTAGTTTTGTACCCTTCAAACTTATACTTGTGGAGTCTTTGGAATACCGATCCATTGCATCTGATAGAGCGTCGCAGTGTTTGGTCACCAAATGGGCAACAAGATTGAAGTTGGTTCTTGAATTTGTCTTGACGAGCTGCTGACAAACTTTACAGGGAATTCTCGCCTTGTCAAGGTCATTTATATCATCAAGCTTGTCAAAAAACTGCCACACCAAACTGGCCTTTGAGACTTTAGACAAACGTGTGGTTGTTAAAGGAATAGAGCATGGGATTGAGGGTAAGGAGGACGACGCATGGTCATGACTGTCGTCGGTCTTCCTTTTTCCTTTGCTTGCATTCTCGTGTCGATCGATGGACATTGACGACAGTTCATACACACCCATAGAGGAAGTTACATTATGTTATAGCGTGGTAGTTTAAGGTGATCTCAGGAACAGGAATACGAAATAATGATTATTTCGCAATCCAAAAATCCATTTCATTTCGCATTTGCGAATTTTTTGCGGAACATTAGACTCATCCAGCACTTCAAGCGACACTGATGCCGTCATGTAGCATTTCAATAAAAATGCTTTTGCCTTTTCAGAGTCTGTTTTCTTGGCAGCTGCTGGCATTCCCTTTGACTGGTCAATTCCCTTTAATATAGAGCACAAATTTGATGTCAATTTGTGATTTTTGTCTCCAAAGCATCTTCTGGACACCTCCGTTGCTCCTTGATCCAGTCGGCAAAGCGGTCGTAGTCACTCATTTGAAGGGTGAATTAAGCTCCTGCGTCTTTTTATAATCGAGACACCACTGGAATGTTGCGGAGCTTTCCAGCGAATCACACAAATCTCCCCACTAAGCACTGATTGTTCAACTAGAATTTAGAATTCGTGTGAATTGAGACTGATTCATTGAGAAATGTTTATTGAAGGATGAATGTTCTTTTCATCCAATTGGGAATTGGAAATACTCTGTTCTGGGCAAGAAAATCCATTCCCAACACGTTTACATCAGCAAAATGGCTGCCCTTGGGGGAAATGTGAGTCAGGATGGCTTCTTCACTCTGGATTTCAACCCAGAGTGATTGCGGTAGATGAGAGTCCTTCCCGATCAATGCTTCCATGGCTTCCTGGCATAGGAACGTGGTTGGAGAGCCTGTATCAATCAAAAAGATGATGTTGCAAGCAGAAGCCTCCTTTGTTGTTTGGCGTCGACAAACCAATGTCACCATAAGTCGATGATTTGGAACCCAAATTCTTCCTGCTGCCGGAAACATCCCTGGAAACGCTGCTGGTCCCAAATAGTCAACTTCCATAGCCTCAGCAATGACTCGTAGTTCTTTGGCAGTTATGTCGGTCAACAGCAAGTCTTGGAGGTCCGGTTTGATGTATCCAGGAGCGTCCATGAGTAAGTGTCCACTGCTGTCGCTGTGGTTGTGAAGGGTCATCGCTGGTCTGTCCACCTTTTGGTTTTGGGTCGAGTTTTTTCACTTATCGGCGGAAAAGTTTATAAACAGCAGAGTTTCCGCAATTCAAGTAAACACAATGAAGTTTGGCACTACACCATCTTATACGTTGATCAAGTTGAAGAGACTGTTCAGTTTTACGAAAAAGCCTTCGGTCTGAAGAGACGCTTTATCCATGAAAGTGGATATGCGGAGGCGGAAACTGGGGAAACAACCCTGGCCTTCTGCGACCACCAACTTGCTACCTCAAATGGCGTTTCTTATCAAGGACATGATTCCAACAATCCCCCTGCTTTTCAGATCTCATTCGTCTCTAACAATGTTAATCAAGACTTTCAATATGCGGTTGATAATGTCGCTGTTGCCATGGCCACGCCGAAAACAAAGCCTTGGGGACAAGTGTTGCCTATCTGAAAGATACTAACGGATTCATTGTCTAGATCTGCTCACCTGTGGGTCAGTAATGAAAATAGAGTAGCTCAATGTCGATATATGGAACCTTATTTTCGACTGAATAAAACAGTCTGCTTCCCTTGCTGATGTTGAAACCGTATTTTTCGTGTCGATCTAGTGGGCATATAGGTTTAATCGAATACTCAATGCTCTTGTAAGTAATAAGCATCTAATATGAGTCTCGCACAAAACTATTCCTCACAAATATTTGCCCATATACTTGCTGCCATAATTTTATCTGAAGTGAAGGCCACAGGCAATTTTTCATTTGAGCAACATTGTACAGAATTTACTAAGTGTCTGCTAAAAAAACTGGTATCATTCGGTGCCCAATCTATACTACTAAGGTGTTTCAAGAATATGAAATTGTGCAGCAACTCAACACTGTTCTTTCACGTAGAGATATACGTTTGTGTGACTATGATGGTATTGTAAAACTACTCAAAATATTTGTTGATTTTGCCGACAATCATCCCGACAATTCAATACGTACCGAGTTGGATCAAGGCGGGATACTTGAAAATCTAACGGCTATTGTAAAATCGGACACTGCTGAATACATGAACAAGAGGGTTGCTGGCCAGATCATTGAAACGTGTTTCCAGCATCGGGTTCACGTTGCTAGTCCGGACATTCAGCCATACAACGACAATGCCAAAATTGATATGAGTTCTGGAATGGCCGGATATGTACATGGAGAGGTACGCACACTTGTCGAAATGCAATATATCCAATATCTGCAATCTATACTTTGCAAACCCATGTGGTGGATCGATATCACAAACCAGCATATTGTGGAGCAATGGAGGGCTGACTCACTCGATCAGAATATATTGCCATCAACATTTAATCTTGCATTGGAACAACTCGGGGTTTTGTCAAACAGCTTGTTTGTAGTGGCAGTGATGGATTTGGTACAATTGTCCCAGGACCTGTTGAACTGACGTATATACTGGACAATGGCATACCTGACAATGTATACACGCGATTGATGACAAATGTATCGGATATTGAACATGGATCAAATCACAACACTGGTCAAATGGTGCACAATCTGATTGATGCATCAATGTACAGTGTTGTATATGGACAAACGATAATTGCACCACTGGATATACGACTCAAATACACCACAATGGTACCATGCGATATATTGTTATCGACTCGACTTGTTTCAAATGTGCCCATCATTGACAGCAGTCCCGAGTTTATATCACGCAAGTTCCAATGGCTTCCGAGTGAATTCCGTGTCGAACAGGATGGCAGTGTGACCATCAACTCATACATCAACAATCTGAATCCGATATGGCATCGAGACATGTACAAATGCATTGCCAAAATATTCAAATGTTTTGTCCCAATGTTTGAAAGTCTGTTCAGAACGATACATCCAATGTTCAAGTATATTGATATTCGCAATGGCACAAAGGGATATGAGCCACCAAACCGATCAGATCGTGGTGGTATGGAACCGGACACTCGAGTCATTCGTCCCGTGTATGTACCAACACTTCCGGAACATTTTGAATCCAAATATGAATCAGCAAAGCCAGTGTCACTGCGTGGTCGTAATCTACAAGTCATTGTCAAACTCACCAACATTCAACTGACACCATCCAAATCTAAATACGACGAGGGAAACTGGCACAATGAATGTCCAATTAACGAATCGATTGTTGCAACTGGACTGTATTACTACGACGTGGAAAATATCACCACACCCAAACTCGATTACCGCGAGGCTGTCGATCGGTTTGATGAAATGGCATCTGATATGTATTGGAAAGATGTGTACGACATTGATCTAGAATCACCACGCAATCAGTATATAGGATCGCTTGAATTACCAAATGGTCGATGTGTAGTTTATCCCAATCGATACCAACACAAAGAACAATCATTTGAACTTGCAGATCCAACTCAACCAGGACACTGCAAGATTCTGACATTTTTTGTAGTGAATCCATCTCGTCGGATTGTTTCGACTGCGCATGTGGCTCCACAACAACCACAATGGTACAACTCGAGTTTTGACAAGACACACATACCGCCTGAACTGTGGAATGATGCCACGCAGTATATTCAAGGTGTTCAATCACCAGCTGAAGCCAAACACTATCGAGATGAATTGACAAGTGACCGAACTCGAATCACAGCAGCATACAACAAATACAGATATGAGTGGGTGTATAATCTTGATCGTTGATGATGGATTATGAGGTTGTGATTTATACAATAATGAGTTGCAATGTCAGTCAGATCTATGCAATTGAATGAATTGAATCAATCATGTCAATCATGACAGTGATTGTTGATTATATTGACTGATTGTGTACAATTGATTGATACAAGTGATATGGATACGTTATTTGGTGTTGTTGAATCAGATCATTGCTTGATTCTGTCAATGTGATCAAATGGATTACTACAAAACTGTACATGCTCAAGTTGAATCAAGTATTGAATCGAGTATTGGATTGATATTTACACACAACCACAATTACAACCACAATTGCAATCAGCACAGTCTGAATATTAGACATTTGAACATCACGTATCGAGTTGTGGATAAATGCGAGTTGGCATATTGGACTGTTTTTGTAGTTTATTAATGATTTGATTCACGACTGTTTGAATTCAAGGCTCAATATGGATTACAACTGGATTGTCGTTGTTTCCATTTGGAATGACAAATCTGTCAATGTGTTGATTGGTTGCTAGTCCATTGATCAATCCATTGATCAGTAATTGTCCAAATAAGCTGTATCCGAGTCGAGTTGTCAATCAGGATATCGTAACCTGACATCCAAACGATTATTTAAATGACTGTTGAAACCATCAATGATTGCCAGAATAAGCTTTACGACTCGACTGCAATAACCACCACAATCATGGTCAGGTTAGTATGTTGATCCGTTTACAAAGTTCCAATACTGCAACAGATTCAACATACTCTTGAAAGTGCTGCACACCACATGAATCCAGCAAACCCACTGATGAATTGAACCAATCAATTGACCAATGACATGACTCGATATTGGACATCGAGTTGCACACAGTTGGTAAAAAGTCACCGACATGTTCAGATAGTCAAACCTTGACTACAGGTTGATATCATCACCCAACACACCAAATACAACACACAATCTAGACGACTACTGGATCATATTGTGGATATCAATTGACGGAGTTACTGGTTTCAAACAATCATGTACAATCATGTACAGTCATTACAGGACAATATGATACATTTATGAATAGCATGTTGGAATCAACACGAGTGGAGTTGTGTAATAGACTTGTCATGGTTTACAATGGCTTGATATGAACATGATGACTCGGACTCTATTCAGTCGGATTAACTCGACTACAATTGGTCGTGTATATTATGATTGACACGAACAATTGTAGTCGAACTCGAATACAGATTGACTGTTGAATCACAATGCGTGGTATCAGCAACATGATGTGATATATAGTGGAATGTATACGCTAACCTGACATGTGTCATGTAGTGTGTATTCGATCAATATGGGTATTAGCAATCAACAAGTCATACGATGTTTGTCTTCGAGTGATGGAATGGAATGGAGTGGAATGAGTGCATCAATCCAGAATACGAGTCAACCATGACATATGATCATAATGTGTGGTTGATACAACTATATAGTGACAATCAATGTTGATATAGCATCACACAACATGAAATGCCAACACAACGGTTGCAAGTCATTGATCATCAATGTGATGCTGTGATTGCAACATGAACTGGATTGTATTGATTCAGTTGATTGATTGAATTACTGAGTAATATGCAGTGATGATTGATCGTGTCGAGTTGAATGCAGAGCATCACCAAACCACGACATGTTTGAATCATGTCAACCACAACACATATTGATGACCATCCAACAACCGAATATCAGCTCAGTTGCATATACACTGCAATTGGATTCAGTCGCTCAGCACCACAGTAGTCCGAGTATTAATCAACAACTGCAATCAATACCATATAGCTACAGTGCACAATCCACGCCAGTTATAGTTGATCACAAACGACATGATACATGTTGATAATGTTGTATTTGAATACATGTCATGATGATCAATGTCAACCACACACAACTGGTGCATGATGGCCCAGTTATACATACATACCATTGTCATGCAAAAACATTTGTCACCAATACAATAGTATGTGACATGATCATATTGCACCAATCAACCAGTATACGATCACTGAATACATCACACACATCAAACCGACCCAGTGGTATGCGAGTGTTGCAGTTTGACCAAATCACAATCATCACATATTATCGACTGTCTAACTCGTTGATATTCAAACCGTGCCATCACTAGTCACAATATAATGGTTGACTGATTCGTTTGATTGACCTGACATTGACACTTTGCAAACCTCGACTTGATTCATCAATTTGGATATTCATATAATATTGGGTTTGTATCATCACGTTGGACTCGTTATCAAACACCTTGATGTGTCCATGCAACACAAACTCGATATACACACATTAGTTATTGTTTGACATGATTGGGTTGATCATAAATACCAGACAATACAACTGCATTAGTTGCATGATATAATCAATCATGGTTGGTTCATCACCATCAAATATCAAATGTTGATCACGTATACATTGATTTGTAATTGCATGGTCTGTTGGTAATACACACTATGATATGATTGACAAGTTGTTGATTTGCAGTAATCAGATGTGCATCACCTGTAACATTGGATGCAATTGACGAGTTGTAACCACAAGTCAACAATCATCGATATGTTGGTGATTGTATTGACTACATGATTGGTATTGATTAGCTGTCATGATCGATTGGTGGACAATATAATCCACATTATGACGTGTTGCAACTAGTTGATATATGCAGACTCGACTGATGATCGAGTATATGTTGATGAGTAACTCTGTCATTGTTGGTTTGGATCGATCATTGCTACTGCTTGTATATGCAGTGTATTCATGTGTGATGTATTGGATATCGGTGTTGTGTATGTTGAACCTGTTGGACAATATATTGTCATGACGCATCAAATCGTACCACATTTAGACTGCAATCATTGATTCGTTGATTCAATGATCGACTCGACTCACATTCGACTGTAATGGCCACAAATATGCATTGTTGATTGACACGCATATATCGACATGTATCAGACTCGGACATGGTGTATATCAATTGCATATACCAACCACTGATGCAATTGATGATGATCGATTAGTCAATCAATTGGATATCAACACCAATTTCAGTCTATTACCACATGAATACTTGCAGTTGTGACTTGTGTTCAGTCAATAATGTTGTTGTATGTCGTGACTTGATGAGCATGATATATTAATCAACTGTATTGCAATACGGTTAATGACATGCTGGTGATTTGTTGTGCTGCCTGACTGTATTTATGGTGTCAATCAGTGTCAGCAGTAATGCATTTGCATGCTGAATCTGACAAGTGGATGGTGATTGTTCCAGTCAACACATTGATTCGAGTATCGACATTCATGTGCGTTAACACATGGATTGAATTGACTGCAACATTGTCATTGATCGCAGTCACTGTTGACCAATACATTGTAATACATTGATAGTCTCGACATCAACATTGCCATTCATGTCAAGTTGTGCGTAATGTGAGTTTCAGCAACCTGGAAAGTGTGACAGCACTTACCGAGATTTGATGTATTTCTTGGTTTATCGCATCATCAACTTGGACAGACACGGTTTTGATCCAAACAACCAGTTGGTCAGACACTAGACATGATTTTGGTTTACGCATTGTAACAAATGGCTTACAGTGTAAATGCTAAAACATGACGGTTGTTTTTTAGGTTGTCACATTGATGGTTGTTTATCTACTCGAATTAAAGCATAGTAGTTGTGCAACTTGGGTTTTAGATTTCTTGTGATTAGTATCTATGATGGCATTTTTCAGTTCTTGTTATGTGTGAGAATATGGACTCTAGTTTTGAATACATTTACAGCAGTATTCAGTAAAATGGAACACATTTATCTTGGTGATTGTCACTATTTTATTTTGGGATAAACAATGATTAAATATTCACATTTATATTAGGAATTGATTGTTCAATAAACACAACCATCATCATATGACACAATCAGAATATAGTGTTGAATCTACACTTTGTGCACTCTTAGTAATCATGCATTGTACGATCACCAAGTTTGAACTCACATTCATGTATTGTGTTTGACTGTCGATATTGTCAATACAACTCTGTACATTTGTTGTATTCTGAATCACGGATACAATCGCAATCTAGTTCAACAACAATGATGACACATGTCAGTAATGCAACTGTTTATCAGACACCAACACTGTTATTTAGTGGTTCATTTGCATCGATATGGCTGCAAGTTGTTGTTACATCACATATTTTGGACATGGTTTTAATATTGCACATCCAGTTACATCACATTGTTGCTGACACATCATTGTAACACTGCATGTATCAAACACCGACATGTCACCATAACCATGAACATGCAGTTTCACGTATAGTATTAAAACCACGCATGTCGTTGGTTGAATCATCACTACTAGTGTACAATACACTACAGTACATGTATGTTGACATGTGTTGTACCAAGAGTTCCACATTTGCGCTATCTGTCCCTGTCAATATCTTTTGCAATGCGAAATGGACCTCTGGATTTATTTCGCACATTTCGCTGCAAATTTGTGAAATTCACATAAAATTTTGCTTAATAATATGATAAACAATACATGTATCATACTATATTTCGACAGTCCGAGGTAAAAACAATATCAACAACGACCACATCTATGGGATGCGTGCAAAAACTACGCACGTATATCGTTGCTTTAAAAACGAGACAAGTATCCTATTCCAGATCTCCATCCTTTGGAAACCGTCTCCTGCAATTATAATAAATTCATATGTAACCCAGCATTTCTCCTTTCAATCCATCTGCATATGTAAGTTTTCTACCATTGAATAACTCAAATCACCAAATTCCACCTCGCTGCCAATTTCCCAAGCAGATACTAGCTCTGATTGTCTGATCGCTCAGTCTGGTCCGCGAATCAGTAATTAAATGCCTTGCCTTTGAAAAGGCGTGCTCCGAGGACGCAGATGTGGCTGGAATTGCTAGATAATCCCTTGCCATTTTTGCAAGCAAGGGGAAATCCAATCCATGATGTTTCCACCACTCCAATGGGTCTTGCCTAGGATCCACCACTTGAGTATTCAAATATTCTTCGAGTTGCAAAGTAGAAGCCAACTTTTTCTTTTAAAAAACCCTACTTGCTGGAGTAGGTGCATTCGAATTCTAATGAAATGAGCGTAACAAAGTTTAAATACAAGTAATTACGCATGTGATTATCTGACAAGTCCAATGCCGTTTTGAATACCTCTAATTGCATCAAGCCACTTTGATTGTGGTACTCGGCATAGACGCTTTGGATTTGCCTTTTTGATTTTTTCTTTCTGAAAAGCATTTTCTTGGACATTCTGATTTTCGTCGTCGTAAAACTCAAGTTTGTGTTGAGGATCAAGTACCACAGCGATCACACAATGGTTATTGGAAACATTAAAATACTTGTCAAGCCTCGTTTGAGATGCATTTGGGATGCATTTGCTGCGCCTTTCAAATTTCCAATGTATCAATTGCAAGCGATCCATTGGCAATTATCCGACAACTTGCTGGAGTTCCAGAAATCGAAGCGTCTAATCATTGTCCATAATCATTGACGGCATTTTCACAATGGTCCAATAACACGTTGTACCATGGTATAACGTATGACAACGTTTGATACTTGTTGCTGCTGCATTCCATTGTGGCTTGTTTAAATGGTTGAAAAAAATGCACTAATTCAGTCAAGTCGTCCCAATCTCTCGCTGACGGCACGTCAGGGATCTTCTTTTCCATGTACAATTGATCCAAGATTTGAATGAGTGGTCCTAATTAACAAATTTAAAGACAACATGTTATTGCAAATTTAACTGCAGGTTGGCATACATAAAGTGCTCTTGAAGTTCAGCTCTAGATCCTTGACATACCTCGCATTTTCAAAGATGTGACCAGCATATCGAATGTAGAGTTCCATCTCGTGGAAACATCAAGGATTGGCTTTAAGATTCTCCCACTATCATTTTCAGTTGTTCCATCGATGCGGGGCAACATTGTAGCAATTTAATCCCTTCCCTCAGTGTCTCGATTGATGTCTTGATCTCTTGATGTGCATCTTGGGCGGCAAGATCAAGGACATGTGCAAAGCAACGATGATGACATTCGGGAGATTCCAAATAACCAGAATTGATGAGCTCTTGAATGAAAACCTCATTGTTGGACGCATTGTCAGTGCAGATTCCTAAAATGAGCGATTTTCTATCACCGCATATGGGTTCCACAATCTGCTTGAATAATGCCGCAATGTTCTGGCCGCTGTGGCTGTCATTAAATACAAGAAAGTCGACAAGAATGCATTTCAGTTTCCAATTTTTGTCAATAAAATGGGCAGTGACGGCCGTGTAAGCAACATTGTCTGGCGATGTCCATATGTCGGTCGTAAACGAGATCTTGGATGTGTTTTCTTTGATAAGAGCATAAACGTCAGCTTTTGCAATTTCGAAATCACGATTCACAGTTCGTGATACAGTATCGGCGGACTTGAAAATGATATGCTTGTTGATGTACAACATCATTTGTTGAAAATAGGGATTCTCAACAACCAAAAGCGATTGCTGGTCACCAACGATCCACCGCTGTAGCTTGTTTTGAAATTCTGTTTGGGTAAACCCTGTCAGTACAAGAAAATAGATTACATCAAAAAATACAATATTAATATTCCAGACAGCAGAAATAATGACGCATCATACGAGTATGTAATGATTACCTTTTTCAAAGCAGTCTCGAGTCTTACTTTGTAGTTTTGTACCCTTCAAACTTATACTTGTGGAGTCTTTGGAATACCGATCCATTGCATCTGATAGAGCGTCGCGGTGTTTGGTCACCAAATGGGCAACAAGATTGAAGTTGGTTCTTGAATTTGTCTTGACGAGCTGCTGACAAACTTTACAGGGAATTCTCGCCTTGTCAAGGTCTTTTATATCATCAAGCTTGTCAAAAAACTGCCACACCAAACTGGCCTTTGAGACTTTAGACAAACGTGTGGTTGTTAAAGGAATAGAGCATGTGATTGAGGGTAAGGAGGACGATGCATGGTCATGACTGTCATTGAGTCTCCTTTTTCCTTTGCTTGCATTCTTGTGTCCATCGATGGACATTGACGACAGTTCATACACACCCATAGAGGAAGTTACATTATGTTATAGCGTGGTAGTTTAAGGTGATCTCAGGAATAGGAATACGAAATAATGATTATTTCGCAATCCAAAAATCCATTTCATTTCGCAAGCGCATTTCGCATTTGCGAATTTTTGCGGAACCCTAATTGCTGGCGAGCCTGATCAATCAGTTCAGCATATCGCTCAAAATTAAGCTCTGATTCGTCATGTTCGGCATTGACTTTCTTTTGTTCCAAATCAGCCGTTGGTTGCTGTGATGGTATTACATCCAATAGCATTCGACCGTCAAACCGATCGACCAGTAAATCGCAGGTTCCTGGTAATTGCACGCTTTCAATGGTAGATTAAATGTCAGGTTGTCATTTTCAAAAAATGGGTTCGACCACAAATCGATTATCCAACAAGAAAGCCTATCAATGACGGCTTACAGACTGTTTTCACTCTCAATATATTGGTGCATGCTGTTATCAGCAATCAAGGGATCTGCAAGGTGATACAGTATCAATACAGTTAGCGACTCCAATCAAAAGCCAGTACGATTCTAAGCCATAGAATGCACTCGTTAGAACGGACAGCCTTTCACCAACACACATTTGGTTCCACCTATTCTCAAAAGAGAGTGTTGGTCTGCTGTCTGTGAAGCCATGAATGCATGTCTGCGCTCGGCTCTTTTACGGCCATCTGCACCCTACAAAGTAGTTACGAATGCATGGTTTAGATTCACAACCCAACGTATCGGTTGAACTGGAAGCTACAAATCCAACACATGCCTTCATTCGACCCTCACCACGGATGGTTGACTGCAGAGTAAGATTTTGTTGTCAAGTTTTCGTCCATTCAGCACACTTGTCACCGAATTGGTAGACCTTCAATATGAAATCTGCAAGACCGATTTCTACAACAGCGTCAAAGAGACTGTCCACTTCGCTGGGAAACTCATACAAGGCATTTCCAGGCTCGGCTTCGTCTTTTGGTTCTCCCAGAAGTCAATCTGGCAGCCATTCTGATGTCTTCAAGGTGAATGGAAACCAGATTGCAGTCGACCATTTATTCTCTATTGCCTACTTGCAGTTGATATCGATTAAAAAGAACTGACACATGTCTGGGTATAAACAGAAACCACCAACTCCAAATCGTACTCCTAAACGACTTGAATCAACGGCAAAGCCTCAAGCTAACAATTTTGGTACCGAGCAATATTCGCCACCATCGAAACTGGATAGCAATGTCAAGGAAATGGAATTGGTAAAGCAATGAGCTAGGCTAAAAGTGTCAATCTTGAACATCTTTAACTCTGACTGTTTTATAATGCATTGGTCGATGCTTGAATTCAGACATCTAAATATGCAATGCTGGAAGAGCAGAATCTCCAAATAATCGATGCTTATGCTAGACTTCAAAAGGTCAGTATAAATCAGATATTGAAGCCATTGACCTGATTTACTAAAAATTTATCTCTAAACTATAGTTGTCGAATGATAAAGATGTCGAAATTGAACGACTCAAACTGCAAGCAGATGCTGCCGAACTCCACAAGTTTGAGCTGCAAGATCAATTGTCGGATCTGGAAATCCAGTTATTGCATTACCAAAGAACTGTATCTAATTTGACAACCGACTTGGATAACAGTAATATGATGCTGATGTCTGAACAGGCTTCTGCGGCAGCAGCAAAACAGGACCTGGAAGCTAAAGTTATCGATCTGGCTTTGTTACTTGCTGAAAACAAAGGTAATTTGTATTTTTAAAACTGATCTGTTTCAAAGTCTCATACTGTGCTTGCTGCTATGTTTGATACTTTTTATAGACTCTATGAATAACACCAACGGGTTTCTGCACGAGTCCGCGGAAGATTTCCAAGTCGAACATTCGCACCAGTCAGATGAAATGATAGAAGAGTTGCGGAAACATTTGAACGAGGTATAGTTGCTCAAGTGTATTTCCATTGATATCATTTGACCAACTATTAACCCAATGATCTATTTTGGGTGGGTGTTCGCTGCAGGCAATAAATGCTACGCACGAGGCAATTATTCAAGTAGAGGACAGAGATGAGAAAATCGATGAGCTTACTGAGCAACTTACATTGAAGGAGCAAGCCAACCATCAACTGCGAGAGCACTTGGATATCATGACACGTCAAGTGAGTGCACTTCAAGAACAGCACGAGACTTTAGCAGCTACTATTGAATCGCATGATATGGATGCTGAACTTTCTGATTTTAAACTCACCTCTGGATCAATTGAATCGAAAACTCCTTTGAGTATTTTTAACACGTCCAATGTCCATTATAATGAAACTTTGAAACCAACCAAGCTCAATCAGCTGAAATCACCATCTTCATCTGTGCATACTACCACTTTACTTGCCAATGAACTGACCGAACTAGATATGGACACAAAACTGGCAGTAGAACTTGATAGTATGTCATGTTTTGTTATAAACTACATTTGTGATATCCTGCTAAATCTTTATTTCAATTTTATAGAACTATACACTCATAATCTAAAACTAGTGCGTCTATTTGTCACAGCATTAGACCCAATCTCATCCTGTAGTATATCTAAATGATGAAACATGTATCTAGTAATGATAAAATCAATGTATAAGACTGTTTGATACAAAAAACGGTTACGACATTAATGCGATCATGTTTGTGGAATGGCTGAAATAAAGAATTTTTAAAAAGTGGCAGTGCTTAAAACCATTGGTTTGAATAAGCTTTATCACTAGGATATGTTGATAACGTAACCGGTCATCAGGCTCTTTTCGAGTATTGTACATTCAAAGTACAAAATCAGGTGGGTTTAATGATTTATTCATTTAAAAGCGGATAGGAAGTAGGATTTTTGAAGTGAATGGCTTATAGATTGGCGGCAAATCAAGAAGCATCTACTTTGGAATACTTTGAAGTTGTAAAAAAATATTTAAAAATGTACACTTTTTGAACTTCAGCCATCCAAGTAAATAATCCAACAGCCCACATAATCACAGTATACCATTCTTTCAAAACAAACTGTACATAGCCCAGCAGAGATCTGGGCAGTTGCTTCCACCACGTTAATATACCAGCAACAGTCCATTCCTCGGTTAAAGCCCGCTCAACCCATTTTCCAGCCCATATACTAGGTGTATCAATGATTGGTATAAGCAAGTAGGAAACCAAAGTCAACAAGCAAGTCGATGTTACAAAAGACACACAGACTCCCAGCTCGGGACAGTCAACAAAAACCACTTTGATGTAGTTGTTAAACTTGAGTGCAAAAACATTCAACCAGTACACGTGCAGCAGATACAATGTGAAAGAAATGCGTCCGAGAAAGACGAATATGCGATGAGAGAAGAATCGCTGAAGCCATGTAGAGGTTTCAATGCAGAACATGACTGTAAAGCAGAATACGAATACCACAAAACTCTCTTTCCATCCACTATTAGTAACGCCTTGCTTTCCATTTTGATAGAGATTGGCGCAAACAAACTTATCAATAAGTACCGAGTATGGAAGAAATGAGTAGTCAAAGGCAATCACTACACTAAGCAGAAACGCTCCAATCTGAACCAGTGTAGAAAATTTCCACTGACGAAATCGATTCAAATATCCATGAAGTGATAAATCTGCCAGAAATAATCCAGCTACAAAATGTGACATCCAGTTGTGTGTGATCTGAAACCACAAATAAGCCAATCCGAGAATAACATATCTAGTCGAGTCAGCTTGAGGAAATTGCATAATCACAAGTGTGAGTGCGTAAAGCATGTTGGAATATTGATATTCGTAAGAAATTGTCCAGACAGAGTATGTGATGTTGCTTGGACGCATAGAATTATCAAACTAGATTAAAAGTGTTTAGGTTTAAAGCAGATTAGTTTTGAATATCTGCAACTACACAACACGTTTGAAAAACATACCAGAAACCAAATAGGAGTCAGTATCGTCTCGCTAAAAGAACTGATTTTATCTAAATGCATTGAATATTCAAAATAATATAGGATTAGCTACTACACTCATAGAATGAGATATTGGTAAAACTTACAATTTTTAAAAACAAAGTAATCCATCATCATTATGCTAATGACTGGAAGTCCAAGTCGAAACGGGCGACGGATCACGCAGGATACCAGCTGTCGAACGTTGCCTGATTTTAGTACTGAAAGACTGATGACTCGCCCACTAAGGATAAAAAAAATGGAAACACTAAATGTAATATTGATGTGTAAAAATACTAAAAATCAGTGATATCGATTCCAAATGGTGTAAATACTGTTTTTAGGGTGCAATGCAATATATGACATGAATAGTAAATTTCAACACAGGTCATTAAAGCCAATTACCTGGCATTCCACTTTTGATAGCCTAATAGAAACTATACCAATAAAAAATAACGGTTTAGTCAACCTTGCCAACACTCGACTACAATCAGTCGGAACCACAATCAAATTTAGCCACAAAATATTGGATTTAACCATGCTTTAAAGCGCAAAAATATAAAGCATACAAACAGGATTGAAACCACAAGAGTGTCAACGATCGATAGCAGAAATGTAGACTTACTGGAAGCAATGATTTGGAGATGTAGGGAACAAAATGGATGAACCAAACCCAGAGAGCAGCAATACCTCGTAAGCCATCCAAGTGAGCCAATTTTTCAGCGGGTTTAGTAAAAAAGCTCGGTTTAGAGCTGTCTTGAACTTCAACAGTAGTAAGCAGAGTCTCTGGAGAAATGCTCAGTCTAGTATCTAATTTACAGAGTGTATTGTCACCATCATGATTCTGAGCAAGACTCATCTAATGTATTGTAACAAAGTGTAAAATTTCAGTGCACGTTTCAACCGCCACAATCACCAAAACTGATTCGGTTTGTAACCACAAATCTGCTGTTACAAACTCTTCTGACCAAACATGTACATCACAGACTACTTCAAGAAAGATCCTGCAAAGCCCTTGAACACAGAAACAAAGTTGGATGCTGGAGTTGACTCTGTCGACACTAAACCAAATACTAGCATGACGATCACCAAAAAACGCACAGACCCTCCCAGGCTTGAGTCGGATGCGAAAATCCGACGACTGACCGACTCGGAAAACATCAATCCGTCCGATACTGAAAAAGTGACTGCTGATGATACAGTCCTGGCAAACAAGTTGTCTGAAACTCAACCATTGTTACAATTGGAAATAACTACTATGCCAGACGACTGGTTCAATGCCTTTCGCTCTGAAATGGAGTCTGCCTATTTCTTGAATGTAAGATCACAAACTTTCATCTCAATCCTTTATTGGACAAGCATCTCAGGTGCCAAACTTATAGATTCAGACACTAATGGTTGAAATATGACTTTGCATTCCATAACTGCTCTTTTAATTAGATAAAAAGGTTTTTACAAGCTGAAAGAGATGCCAAAAAGGTAATATTTCCTCTACTTGAGAATATTTACAGCTTCACTCAGTGTCCACTCAAAAAGATTAAAGTTGTGATTATCGGACAAGGCAAGTCAATTGATTTACTCGTTACAATATTTTAAACCAGCCTTGTGAATTGACCATGGCTGATTGTGGGTTTCAAACCATGCTCCAATTTTTTCAAAACTAAATCATTTAGATCCGTACCATGGTCTCCATCAAGCTCATGGACAGTGCTTTTCTGTTCAAAAAGGTGTTTCAATCCCCCCATCACTCATAAATATTTACAAAGAGCTTGAATCTGATCTTGGTCTCGATGTATTCAAACGTCCATCTCATGGCTACCTCAATTCGTGGTGTCAGCAAGGCGTTCTTCTTCTTAATGCCTCGCTAACCGTTCGTCAATCTGAACCAAACTCGCATGCAAAATGCGGCTGGTTAAAATTTACCGATGCCATTATTGCCTACATCAACAAGAACAATCAGGGAGTGGTGTTTATGCTATGGGGAGGATTCGCTCAAAAAAAGGGAACTGTTGTTGATAAGAAGAAACACTTGGTATTAAAGGCTACTCATCCATCACCGCTGGGTGCAAACAAAGGCGGATGGTTTGGATGCAAACATTTCTCAAAGGCAAATGAGTATTTAAAATCCAAAGGGCGTGGAGTGGTGGATTGGGCAAGTATTACTAGAGATTGATTAATTTATGACTCTGATGTATTGTGTAGACCAGCTCTTTACATCTAGCAAATTAGCCATCTAAAACGAATGAAACATCACATTTTCAAAATAAACGTATTTAAGCTTGACTGCCTTGATTTTTATTTTATACACTGTTCAAGCTGGACTTTGGACAAAGACCCCATTATTCCTCTGGCTGTACTGTTTAAATATATGTATCTTTGACGTGCGGCCTCGACTTCCCAACCCGTCGCGTAGATTAAATTATGGACAGTTGTGCTCATGAATGCATCGCGGTCTTGTAATAAACCTACATGTTGCTCCAGTGTTTTTTTCTCGTTATTAGATTCAATTGGCAGTAAGTATGAAGGATTGGCTGGAAAGGCAGGCTGTGTAATAGGCACTATAGATAATGTACGTGACGGATTAGATTCCATCCGAGAAAGCATCTTGAATCGTTTCCAGGCGTCTGGATCAAACAAAGTCTGTGCACTTTGTATATTTTCTTGAGCCAATGATTGCACATTTCTACAGGGTGGCTTGTCAAGCAAATTAGGGCCATGAGATTGCTTTAGTCGGTAAGCTTCTCGTGGGGATCGATGTCTGATGAGCTGATTTGATTTAGTATGAGTGTTGGTATCGATCTGAACAAGAGGTGGACTGGTATCTAATGTGTATGTATTCTGACTCTTGTCTCTAGGCTTGTAAACAAACTTGTCAGAGCGCGATAGCTGTAGTAGACCACACTTTTGATATGGTTTGCTAGTACCATTTCTATCCTCGCCTATATTCTCTAATCTTTGGTGCGTGTTATTTAAAGGTAAAGCAAGTATACCTCTACAGTTCTGGGCCTTTGAGATATGCAGTTGATGTTTTGGTATTTGCAACAGTCGTGCTTCGTTCATATGTTGCTCTTGTGTCGATTTACAATGGCATTGGTGATGTGATGTTGGCTTGGACACAGTTTGGCATGTACCTCTCACTACCTCAACCCTCTTTTGTTTGTCACTTACTAGAAGCTTTTGAGATTTGGGTTGATGAGACCTGTTTACGGGCTGATACGATGAATAGGTTGGCATGTTTTTACAGTAATCAAATTTAAATCCATATTCACGTAAAATAAAGCACGTATTTATCTTGAATCGACCATTTTGCTCTGGAATAAACAATAGTTGAATGTGTGTTGCTTTTCCAATACAAATGGATGGCCTTTTCAATCGACATCTCAATCCCTCAGTGTCTGAAATTGCTCGAGAAACGAACCCATTCTTTATTCTATCCAAACCATTTTATGCAGGGTTCAAGAATGGACAATGTGGAGTAGTTTAGTCTCGTTCCAATCTGCGCGACATGTGTTGAAAGATTGGTAAGCCATGTTTAATCAGACTGCTACTCTGAGCAAGAGTGCTGTCTGGAATAAGATGCGTGTTTGGAAAGTCCTGAAATGTTACAGTACTCACAGTTCTCTTGATCAGTTTCTAAAAGCATGATACACATTGATGATTGACAATTTTTCATTTTATCTTTCCATCTTCATGCCCTTTTGTTGCTAGTTTAAACAGGTCCACTGGTGCCGTAAGAGGTAGGAAGAAGAACGCCAGCAGTCTGACCGAATCCAAGACGAACAGGCTTGCCGTCAACAGTACCAGCATGAGCAGATCCACGGATAATGACTTCATCGCCGTCCTCTAGGAAGGAACGGACAACACCATTCTTGAGTGTCATTGGTTTTGTACCATTATAGGTGAGTTCGAGCAGACTTCCATAGCTGTCAGTGGTCTGTCCACTAATGGTACCACTACCGCAAAGATCGCCAGACCTCATATTGCAACCATTGACAGTGTGATGAGCAAGCTGTTGCTTGAATGTCCAGTACATGTACTTGAGGTTGGATTTGCAGATAACAGTCGACTCTTTTTCACCCTTGGCTATGGTGATCAAAAAAAGTTGTTTTCATATGGAATGGGTCAACTGGGCAAAGATCGAGTATAACAAGCATCAAATAGTCACCAACCCATACAACTCACGCTTAAGTTCAACTTCCAAGGCAATATCAAAAGCGTTCTTGCTTTTTGGATTGTCCAAAAGGTATTGAGATGGGACAGGTTCCTACATGATTAAATACAAATGGTCAAAATGCATATTTATATTGCAAGAGTCTAATATTTAAAAAGCAAATTGTACCTGAAGAGGTTGCTCAACACGAGCTTCTTCAAGAGCATCAAGAGTCACGATCCATGGAGAAATGGTGGTGCCAAAGTTCTATATTTACAAGCACATTCAAAACAATGCATATTAAAATACAAGACGGACAAATTTAGAGTCTAGCAAGTCATCTGAGCAAGCTACCTTTCCAAGGAAAGGACCCAGTGGAACATATTCAAACACTTGAATATCACGAGCTGCAAAGTCGACGATACTGGTTAGAAATGGCAAGAAACAAATCAGAAATTGAATAAAATCAGGACTTACCACTCCAGTCGTTCATAAGAACCATGCCGAAAATATGCTCATCGGCTTGTGCAATCTCAACTCGATCGCCAAGAGTGTTTCCAACACCAACAAAAAAGGCCTTTTGATAGAAAGATATACACTATGTTGGTACAAAACAACCAAAATAATTGACAGTGTTCAATGTTCAAGATTAAATCACTTACAACTTCAAGTTCAATATCCATCTTCTTGGAAGGAGTAAACTCGGGAACTTTGGTCGCCTGGTTGAGAACAAGACCACATGGACGACGAAGAGGAGTGCCGCTGATAACAACGGATGAAGCACGGCCATGATAGCCAACGGGAAGATGCAGCCTGAATAGAAACAACAGTCAGCGACGGAAAAATGTAAAATTATTAGTGGAAATTAAAATGGTAAATAGCATGGCAAATCATCAGTTGAAAGATCTCATTTACAGCCATATTCATGTAAAATGAAGCACTGATAGGGATACCAAATATACTAGATATTGTGTTCTCAGACTGAGTATTACGAGTAAGCATTGGGTGACTGGCACGCAAACAACAGTTGCGTTCAAGACTGCAATGATTGTTCACTAGAACGCGAATGCATGAGATTTTAGGATACAAAGAAAAGTTTATAGTTTGACAACAGTAACCAATATCTGGATTGCAATACATAAATACGGTTTCAAACTTGGCAATTGTACAACGTATCGCTATACCACAGGGGAAGGAACAGGTTCAAAACTATAGTGCGTGCATCATATGATGGACGTTGTGTTTGAAAAAAGGATTGAGGATGCATTAAAGAAGCAGTTCAATCAATTTGTAATAGAAAAGTGCAACGACTATCTTGCCATTGGCTATTCAAAGCAAAATAGGGGAATGACTGCAAGATAGGACAGGAATTCCATTCTATATGATCTCGTTTAAATAGAATTACCAGTTGGGCATAAGAGCATTTTCCTTGCCACGGAACATGACGCCAACGTTTGTAGCATGTTCCTTGGATGCATAAAAGTCAGTGTAGTCGCCAATAGTAGCAGGCATGTGTGACTGAACAGATGAAAGAGGAATAAGCGCTTGATCGCAGAGAGCCTTGTTATCTCTCAGAGCAGCACCAGCTTCGCCAGTAGCAGCTAAAAGAGTCTGCAAGGTTTGACGGGCCTCACGCCAGACTGGACGTCCCATTCCCATAAAAGCATTAAGGCTGGTCTGTTGATAATTGAAAATGGATGGTTATGAATCGAGTCGATACAATTTAGACATTGATTGCCAAAGGCGAATAGCAACGAGCTACAGCTGTAAAATCATAATAATGCTTTACCTGGGAAAAAACAGATTTGGCATGATGAGCCAGCAAAGGACCAGTGAACAGACCAGCATTGGCAAGGACACTCAGATCAACGGCATAGTCACCAATGGCAGTGGCAGGACGAGGAGTAGGCTTCAGTAGATAAACATATTATAGATCAGCATGATGATTGAATACCAATGATGACAGATCAACTGCAGCAATCAGGATTAATAACATACATTAGCAGCAGTAGTGATGATACCAAATGGAATGTTTTGAATAGGAAAGTCAGAAGTAGGACTGACGGGTACAAAGGAAGTAGTGACTGGCATAATGGTAGCTATTGATGATGAATGATGGATTGAATAAAATCTATTCGGATTTATATTTATACAAATCGACCGCAATAACGATCCCTTGTTTCCTGGTGCAGCAATACAAAAGCTATTTTGCGGATCATCTGCTATGAAGTTTAGTGACTGATAATGGCAGTTGAAACTGGTGGTCCATTGACTTGATCCATGTCTGCTTCTCCACTCTTTCGCATTCTGTACATATGTCCGTCGTTGGTTCCACACCAGCTTAATACTCGGGCAGACTGTTAGTGCACTGTTTCTAATGCTTTGTATCTGCAAGATACAGATGTGTATGTATACATAAAGTATTAGTTTGGTAGTCCCAAAGCCTGCTAGCGACCAGATTGAAAATACAGGCAATGCATATGCAGCAAGCTTTCTTATGGGTTAAAGGACTAGTTTGCATTCATACTCATGTCTTGCTGGAATGTGTCAAATCTGCACAGAATAGGATCATCTGCAAATCAACTCACCATCAACAGCTTACTCCTATTGCCAATGAAAAACTGACAAAAAAATATGTGCTTTCATTGATGAAATAGAGTAATGAATGGAGAGATTGGGCCAACAAAAACTAGTAGGATCAGCCATGGTTTATGTACATTGACAGTGAGAAAGGCGCAGTCCTTTCTGTCAATGCACTAATTGAATGTATTTAAATGCAAGACTCTGCTAGTTCAGAATAAGGCACCATGGTACTGGGATAGCTGTGGTTGGCATACATGGACAATGTGCGACTACGGGTAGAAACAGTAGTAGGGTTAGGGTGAGTTGTTACTCGGTCGCTGTTCTGTCCAATTATACTGTCAGTGGTGCTGTCAACCTGACTGCCCACTCCTGTATCCGTAGACCAAGTTCGATTATGACCAGAACCCATTGACAAAGAAGCAGCCGGTGAAGGTGCATGACCACTGGCAGCTTGGAGAGTGGAGGCTGAATGCTTGGATCTACCCACAATGGCTGCTCCCGCGATATTTACATCTCCAGCGAGGATAGGACTCAAAGCGGCAGGACTTGTTGGAGTGTGCTGGGAAGTACCAACACTCATGCAACACAGATGATCGTCATTTTCGTGGTCAAGACTAGCAATGCTGTTCATCCTGCTATAGTGATGATGGCTGGACATGATGTTCAAATTTGAGCCAGATAAACCAACGTTTAAACAAATATCTTTCAAAATACTGACAAACTGGATTGTTTTGTAGAAACCTAGTCAAGCTTATAACTGGATTAGCCATTGCTTTATAATTGAGCATGTGATTCTATAACATTAGTCTGCGTGACCACTACGAAATACTAGCAAGTATGCTTCAGTCTTCGTGGAACGCGGTTTCGTTGCCCGCATGATCATCATGCAACCTGTCTGTTCAACTCTCCTTTTATCAAGCTATCCTCGTGATGTGCTAACATCCAATTTATCATGCACCCTGTCAATACTATGCATGGCTAGCCTCGAGCCATACTAATACCCCTTATACTTGAAACTAAGCCACCAAACCCGCCGATTTGCTATTATACCATACACCATGACCTCTAAGTTCAACCCATTACTATCCTATATTGCTTGTGCCAATGTGTTGATTCTGATGTTTCTAGTACAGGGAAACATCCAGAAAGCTGAAAATGAACAATCAACATGATCTACTGTATATATGAAATAATGCATTCTTTGTCAGATGTAAAGTACTTGTAAACTGATTGCACCAGGTTCGTGACCCTGTTCAATCCGATTGCCCAAAACGAGTTTGAAAGACTGCTTGTACAGCTGATAAAAGCAATCGATACATTTTATTGCAATGTGAGAGCTTTGAGATACATAAACAATAGCATGTATGCCGCTAGATGGTATTAAACCATGAATTAGCTTTAGTATCACACTGGCACCCCTATTCAGTACTACATTTTACATGAATAGAGCTGCAATTAATGTAGTATACGATGCACTCGATACAAATGTACAGCCTCTATATGGTAAATGAACTTTGATTCAGTTTGTAGCATTTCAGTCGCTCTGCTTACTAAATTATACATTCAACTCAAGAATACTAATATTCTGACCCATTGGTTCATATGTTGAAATTGTAGTCGATCCAGATTAGATATTTCGCGTAGCTTGTCACAACTTGGACTCCAAGACACTCGATTAAGCCAGACTCCGCTTAGCTCAAAAGATAGATTCTAAACGCTAATATATATGAATAATACTCATGCAACCTTGCTCGATAATCCAAAGCCAGGCTCACTCCCTGCACTTCCTCGTAGTGTCAATGTGTGTGCTATACCTGTAGGTGAACCAACACCCGCTATTTCTACGACCGTCACCACATCCATATCGTCAGAGCCAAAAGACGCGAAGACTGCAAGGCCTATAGAGTCGGCTATTCGTTGTATAGAAGAGTCTATCATGCCAAATGATGCAGAAGGTATAAACTGGCACAATATAGCAGTTATATTTCATGCTACGATTTTTAAGTGGGTCAGTCTACACACTAATGGCAACTGACTTTGTAACCACTATAATACTTTATACAACCGATACAGCTTTATCTGAAACAAAAGAGTCTAGCGCTAGATCATCCATTACTTATGAAACCCAAAGCCAGCATCATTCATCCATGGCACTAAATTCATCACAGGCTCTTTCATCGAGTCCTGAAAAAGTCGTCAATCAAAATCTCGCTACTGAGGAAAAATCAATTTCTTTAGAAGAGCATAATCAAAATTTATTTGACCAACACATAGACTTCAGTAGTGATCAAGTTCAACCACCTCACGAGCAAGATTTTATTGAATTGGCAGGGGATGAAAGTACCAGTCTCGGTAAAATAGATCTATTAGACAAAAATGGTTCAGACCAAGAATTAGACAATAGCGACTTGCTAACCGATTCCAAGTCAGACGACGACTTGTCCGATATATCTGATTCAGAAATCTTTCAAGGATATAATTTTAATGCGTCAGACAATGATATGTATGCCATCAATGCAGCAGACTTATCGTCCAGTACTCTAGATCAACTAAACCCGGAAATAGATCCTATTCAAGAAGCTCAAATTCTTGAAAAATACTACAGGCATGGTGCCTTGTCCATTTTCAAAGGAAAGGATCAAATGCAAGCCATGAAATCCAAACTCGAGCTTAAATCAGAAATTCAACAGACTCGCAATGAAATTTTATATATGGAGCATCGTATCCATGAAATGCAAAGTGTTTTGGCTGATACTAAAGAAAGTCGACAGCAATCACGCGCGGATTTAGATAAGATTGCCAAGGAGCTAGAGGATATCATTCAAACAGCAACGCATGTGCTTGTCAATATCCCTTGTCATCAGCAACTTGAAAGTATGAATACTCTGCCATCCACCACTGTAAATTCCAGTAAAACATCTTTAGAGCGTGCAATAGATATACGACACATTGTTCCATTCAACCCAAAACTAATGGGAAATCAACGGTATCGCATGCTGCGTGATCATTACCAACTCCACGCTCAATGCATTTCAGATGCAAAACACACAATCTCAGAAGTCGAGGGTTACCTCACAAGTGCTCAAAATGATCTTGTAGAATTTAAGCGCCATCAGCTGGAATTGAAACCTTTTGAAATTCAATTGAGTCAAGAGGAAGTTCAGGAATATATAGAAATGCGAATCATTTCAAAACATCGTGCTCAAAGAGCAAAACGGAAAGTTAGATTGCAGATGGCAAAGGCTGCCAAGTCGAAACAAGAAAAAGCAGAAAAATTGACTGCTGATTGCGAACGATTATATCAACAAGAGAATGAGCAAGAAAAACAAACTAAATTGATGCAGAAGCGGTTTGCACAGTCAAATGCTAAAATCGAGGCCGAAAAATCACGACTGATTGATGAGGACGCTCAAGCACAGTTGAAAAAGCAAAAGGCTTTGGAAATACTGTCAAAACGAATCAATAAGATACGCCAACATACTGAAATTACCAAGAAAAACAAAGCCAATACTTTGAATGCAGTCGATTCAAGTACATCCATATCAGAAACTGCAGCTAAAGAATCATATGCTATCCAGCAAATCAAAAAGAATATTTTGTTTAAACAAACAAAGTCGCACGAGCAACAGAGAATGGTTAGAGTAGAGCAAGAAGCAAAAAAAATGACAATCCTTAAAAAGCTTATCGACGAGGAGGACAGGTATCGCAAAAGCAAAATAAGCGTGCAAACCAAGCCAGATTCATCTAAATTGTTTAAAGAAAAACACTTTGGACAGCCTCGACAAGGCGTTTCCGATGAAAAGTATTTCAAGTCTCTCAAACTAGATTCAATCAACTTCAATGCAGCCGTTTCCAGACCACACTCACGGTTACAGGATGTATTTGAAAATCCAAAAGATCCACTAGCCGATATTGATCAAAGTAATATACACCACACAGCTGTTGTAATGAACAAGCCTGATTGTCAAACAAAAAAATCATATTCTAATCATGAACAGCATACAGTACTATGTGATTCGCACTTGTCGATACCAGTCAGCAACATTTCCAAGATGACTCAAAACAGATATCCTCCGCCACAAATGAAAAACTACAAGCCAAACAAACATGAGCCTCATCTTCCAAAAGGCGTCTTGGGATTTTGTGCTTCTCCCTCCGAGTTCATATTTCGCGACTATGATTCCGAGCAAGTTTACATGGCAAAAGCCACCATTACTAATGTTTCTGGTAGAATCAATTCGTTCAAACTTTTGTCCATTCCAATTGAAATATCCAGTCTTTTTGACGTACAATTTTCCCCTCCCGGAAAGTTGTGTGCTGGAACAAGCTGCGATGTGAAAATTGTATTTCGGCCATCATTTGGATTTGATCAGGACATGCCTTTAACAAAGATCTATTTTGAATCAGAAGTGGGCGAGAATTTTTCAGTATCTGTTGGGTGCTGTACTCGTAAATGTCGACCAGTGATTGCATCAGTCGGAGGTGGAGAGTATGCCAAGACGGTTCAATTTTATGAAAAGATTGGCAACGGAAACTCGAATACTGGCAATGCCAAAATGGACACAAACAAACTTATTGAACAAACTTCTTTTTCATATAAGCAAAAAACAGTTGCAGTGATGAAGGACGAAAATTCAATAGAGTTGGATCTTGGATCTTGCGTAGTTGGTAGCCAGCAAAGTGCATGCATTGATCTTGCAAATTTTGGTGCAATCAGTGTTGGATACCAAATCATGCATGCTCAATCATACAAAGAATCATTGTGTTTGAAAACTGGGACGACCCATTCACTTTCAACTGTCAATTCCAACTGCAAATCGTCTGTACCCGATAGCGGAGAATTGGACAATCAAAACAATGCGATTCTACTGGCAAGCGTCAATAATGTATCGACACAATCATCACTTGAAAAAACCTTGGCACAGGTTACCAAAAAGACAAAATCCGAGCATTTATACGACTCTAATGGCTTACCCATGGATACGCCAACCTCACAGTCAGTATCCAACACTGATACAAACTGGATTGAAACAGATGGCGTGTTCCATGTGCATGGAAAAGAGTGTGTTCTTCCAGGCTATCAATCACATATCATTAACGTCGATTTTAAACCTCCGTACGTGTCTATTTTATATTCAGAATCCAATACCAAACTATTGGACAATACAAACTCTATTCCAACTGGGAACAAATCCACCTTTACATTTGTGATCAAGTTTGAAAACCCGACCATCAAACCAATTTTTATTACATGTAACGCCAAGTCTATTCCAGCACCTATTATGATTGACAAAAACCTTTTCGACTTTAAAATATGCGTAGTTGATGGTATTTATCGTGATAAAATCATGGTTCGCAATCACAACAACATCTCACTCAAGTTCTGGTTTGAAGTTGACAACAACCAACTGCGACACATCCCAGATTCAAAACCAGTCAAAATTCCCAATTTAGGTGAAATTGAAATCTCGCCAGCAATGGCATTTGCTCAGCCATTTGAACCTTTTTTTGTCTGGCTTACCATTAAACCTTTATACGACTCTTGTGGAGCTGCCATGGATGCTTCTGGAAAGCTGCCTTTTAATGTTCCCCTTTTACTGAAATACGTTGAAACAACTACTCGGGTTGAACAAAGTATTTCATTAAAACTTGTTGGAACAATTACAAATAATGACGTTCGATTAGAATCAATTGACAAATCTCGATTTCTGAATTTCGGTGCGATATCAACACTTGAAACCAAGCAGCTTCCGTTAGTTATAACAAACCCCTCAGCCTTACCACAATCAATCCGATTTATAAAATTCACAGATGCGTTTTCTGTGGTTCCGCTTGAAACAGAAGACGGCTCGGAAGATGTAATTTCATTAAATCCTCTTCAATCCATCACACGAATGGTAAAATTTGAGCCTACAGAAGAAGCCGAGTATGACATTAAGCTTACATGTCAGTCCACATGGTCAAGAAAGTTTGATATACGATGTAGCGGTATTGGTGTAAAGCCTCTGGCTCAATTCGAATTTTCGCAAATCTCTTTTAGTCCTTGTGCTTTTGGAAGTCGGCGGCAAACTCGAGTTAGGCTTATTCAACAGCTAGGAGTGGATAAGATGAGATTCAAGCGCTCCAGCAATAAGCTTTCGTCGCGTGCTTGTAATGTGCTTGATCACACTATTGAGAATTCACCAAGCAATGACGTCTTGTTTGAATTTGGAACCCCTATTGTTATTGGAGTGAGTGATCAAAAGGCAGTATTTCAGTCCACTGATAGTATTGGGCAGCAGCGCACATCAGCACCAGATTCAGTCTTGAGTGCAATCCAAGACAGCAAAGTTGGTGCTTTACAACCCCATTCGCTATCTAATTCATCAACTGCTATTGGCTTAAATCCATCTGTCAGAACTGCAGTAGAATCAACGTTCTTGCCACATGCAATCCCTATTATTCCAGACAAGGATATCGATTCGCTACTTCATGACACCAGTTTGATTCATAATACAATATCAGCAAAAGAATCGAGTCAACATCTTAAACTTTATCATGTTCTAACCCCCCAAGATCCACAAATCTTGACTATCTGGCCTCAATCTGGAAAATTAAAACCCATGAGTAGTCACAGTATTGAAGTTGTGTTGAAGCCCTGCTTACCTAGATCAAAATGGCACTTGTCCATTTCAGCCAACCCATTAACTCAGCAGCAGACCGAGGGAAACCAGTCTATAAAACCACACTCAAATACGTCACAGCTACCCGCAGAAGGAAGTTTAATATCAGCGTCATCTCTCAGCAAAACAAAACCATTGCCAACAGATAAACCCACCAAGCCAGCCAAGGAAACCAAAGAAGCATCAAAGCTATCCAAATCTACCGCAGTCAATCAATTTCCATCCAGTACAAAACTCAAGCCTCTAGCCAGTACAAACGAAATTTTCAATGGAGATTCCGAGTTTGTCAATCGACTTGTGGAGATGGAATCTCCTATTATCACTATGCTGGTACCATGCTATCTTTTCCCAACTACCTCGGAACAGTCGCGTATTGACCAGTTTATTGATGGAGTATCCATCACAGCTCCAGCAGCCGAGCCCAATGATCCATCTGGTCACTCTATAAAAAAAGTTGACGGCGCATCTGTCATATACCTTAAGGTCATTGCACCACTACATCAGCCAGACTTGGTACTTGTTGAACCACCTCAAGGCGAAGAATATGATTGGGGATGTATAGCAGTGGGAGAAAAAGAGTACGCAGATATCACGGTTAAAAACGTGTCCAATCAAAATATAAAAGTGAGTGCCAGTGGATTGAATCCTTTTGGTCCGTTTAGAATTATAAACTATTTACGCGACCTCTTGCCAGGCCAAGTGGGGAACATCAAGGTTGCATTTGAGCCCAAAGATTCATTGAGGTGCTCGGCCTCACTAGAACTATTCAGTGGGAAATCGCTCATCAAGTGCAAGCTTGTTGGAAAAGGTGCTATTTCTATTGTCACGCTAGATCCTCCTGATGGTGCTATAAATATGGACGACACATGCGTGGGTGATGTTAGCACCAAAGTACTTAAAATAACCAACAAAAGCGTGATACCCATCAACTTTGTCTTGTCACTATCCACTGTTCGCCGAGTAGTAAACTACGAAACAGATGTCTTGTCAGATATGATAGGTTCAAATGGACTTCCATTACTACGATACGGCGCCATAAACTATTCTGGGACCAATGCTTTTTCGCTATTTCCAATGCGATTCACCGTAGCGCCAGGAACAACACAGGATGTCACGATAAAATTTTCTCCAGATAGAGAGTCTGATCTTTTTTTTGATCATATTAATATCTCTTACACTGGTGCAAGAGAGAAGACGCTGGTACGAGTAAATGGCAAAGCATGGGAGGTTACTACAGCAGTTATTGGATATGATCCACATCCTGTCGAAGCAAGAGAAAAAAACAATATACCTGCTCCCAAAACAGCCATGGAAGTTGCATATAGGAAGCTGCAAGGAAATAGCACGGAGCTATTCAAAGGTACGTATGTAATGGCAGATGAAGTGATGAAAGCAGGCGACGAAATCATGGGCAATGTGATGCAACACGTTAGTCGAAAAGATTTTAGATTTGTCACCATCACATTTCCATGGAAGCTCACTATGCCAGAAGACTCTACAACGAGTAAGCCGGTTTGGCGTATCGAACCCCATCCTCTGGTGATTGCTAATCTGAAACCGATTCTTACAAAGTTGGAGTTTGGAAAGCGATCGCCTGTAGCTGAATACACTATCGAAAAGTATGAGGGATCATTCAAGTTTGATGCTGATTTGAATCATTACATTGTATGTCGATCTCCGTGTACATTTAACAACGAGTCATATATTTCGTTTGGTATTGAAACGATGAAGGGGACAATTGATATGGGTCAAACAAAATCACTCAAGGTGCTTGTCAATAACTCTGTAAAAGAGTATTGGGAATCGTATATCAAAATGTGGGAGCGGTGCAAGAACATCAGCATTGATTCAAATCTACCTTTTGATACTTTGATACCTGCCTCGACTACGAATATCAACAAAGAAAAGGCTCGTTTAGTAGCTGGCAACAATGCATCGGTCACTACTACCCTGCCAAAAAAGGACGAAAAAGAATCAATACGTATACAAAAGCTAAAAAAGTGTGCAGCTAACCCAGAAACAATCACGGATCCAGTCGAAATTGTCAGCACGCTCGTAAACGACGATATTGCTGATCTCCGAAAAGAAGCAGCAAAGCATGAAATCACACACCCATTCCATGTTGAAACAACTTACAAAATCACTATCAAGGGAGGCTACAGACTTGTTGAACCAAAAGGGGCTGTATTTGCTACCGAGTCCCGTGTGTGGTTGGTCAAGATTCAAGCTGAAATGCCAGTAAATACTACACAATAAAGCCATTTTGCTAAATATACATTTGGTAAACTATATTGTTGTGATGGTCAATACACCCACTTTAAACCCCAATATACGAGTGCAACAATTGTTTTTATGCCAATCACCACGAGAAAGGCCAGTCAACTAAAGAGTTTAAATAATACTAGCCAGTCAGTTTGGTGATCATCATGATTGGTCATTGATTTAGGGTTCTATTTTACGTGAACACAACTGTATATTGCAACACTTGTGTTGCCATGCCGATAAATGTTTTAAAATGTAGTTATCATGCTTTCATTTTCTAGATAGATCAAAAAACTCGGTAGTAGTCATTGTTGTAATGCAGCCCAGCTGAGGATTCAACAAGATCAGCCTGGTTGCATCTATTACAGTTTTGAGAGTTTTGGCCATACAATTCCGTCCTCATCGTCCCCACCAGCATGCATTACTGGTGCTCCCCGTGTCAGCATCTGCTGATAAGTAGATCGAGCCCATGTATATCCAATACTCATTTTGACCAGATTTTTCCATAGCCCCTCCTCATGCATCTTCCAAGTTAGCTCTGCTCTTGCATCGTAGCAGCATGCGTTTCCTACTGGCATTCTTAATGCCATAAATTTGCTGCTAATCACTTTAAGTCGTAAACTATCTGAATCGAGCTCGCTACCATCTCTTACGGGTTCTGGCTCCGCTGATGCATCGTATATCATGGGCCCAATCACACTTTCTACAACTTGAGATCCATTGTAGATTGTTGTGGAAAAAGATGATACAGCTGATACGGCTGCCGAGGTCACAGTTGGGTTCATCACTGACGATGCAGGTGCAGGTGTGGGTGCAGCGCTCGATTGAGAAATTAACGATTCATCCTGCTTCATGTAATGGCCTATCAGTTTGCACAATACAACGGCATCTGCAATGGCCAAAGATGCGCCTACACTTCCATGTGCTGCAGTTGCGACACCATGCGCAGCATCTCCAATCAACAGCACTCGGCCTGGATGAAAGTTGGGTGAGGAGTAAGAGTAGGGAGTTGCTTCACCCATATCCATATTATCGAATGCAGCAATAAACCCAGTATCAGTCCTAGCAACTAGCACAGATGCCTCTGATGGCAAGGTTGATCTTTTCATGAGCAGATGCAATGCAAGACCGCGCGACTCTTCACCAGACACAAAGGCAGTGTCTTCAAAGTCGGGTAGATTAACAATGCGACTTTGGGTGGTAGATGGAGCCTCGGAGGAATTTGAAATCTTTGAAGCATGATTATCTTGGTCCCGCCGTAAAGCAGCGGCAGTATGGACCATAATAACAGGATGAGATACATCTCGTTTCTCTTCAGACTGAGCATTGACTATTGTAGAAAAAGTAGTCGCATCAGTCGCATCGACCGTTTCAGTCTTGTCGTCTACTTTCACTTTTTCGGTGGTAGAATACTCGGACTTGGTTGCAACACTGGAATTGCTTTGATTTGCATGTTCGGGTAGTTCCATACTCGAATTTCTTCCAGAAGGCACCATCCACTCATCTACGCTTGAAGAAGACACGTTTGAAGTTAGATGCATGCCATCAACGGTCAATCCGGTGATTGCACCCATTCCTGTAGACATTGTAGCGATAGTACTACCGACATCACGACGACGCTTGGCCCGTACATAATCACCAATTACTTGGCCTTGATGCTGCTGCGATACAATCATGTTCCAACCCAAAAATCCATTTCCGATATTAGTGACACCGAATGAGAGTCCACGATCAATATAAGATTGAGATGAGCCATCAGGACAAAACTTGAGCAATGCATCACGACTGAGGGTTGGAATAGCAGTACCATCTTCGAATTCGGTGGGAACATCAGCAGGAGGCATGTAAGTACGACAGATGCCAGTTATAAGAGCTGTTCCAGAATGCTGTGCATGAACACGACCAGCGAGTAGCATTTCTCTGACTTTAGAATAAAGACCATCGGCACCAATCAGCATGAAGCCAGAATCTGTTACGCCGTTGGTAAAGCGCACAGTGACTTTTCCAGTATCTGAAGAGATGGCATAAGATTCCAATTCATGGCCCATATGAAGATTAGGAACGCTCGTGTCAAATCCCTCATCAAGAAACCAGTTGGCATGGGCCAAATCACCCAGCAAACCAGTAGGGATTTCAGATTCAGGAGCAGCAGTATTTGAGGGAGAGATGGGAACAGAGCCACGACGAATCCTGGCCTGTTGGGCTTGCAAATAGTAGGCATAGTCGTTATTATTGGCGCCTTTAACAGCCAAATCAAGACTAGAAACAAGATCCTCATGACCAGCCAGAGCAGTCATGAGTAGCCGCAACAGGTCAGGTTTACGCAGACCCAAGAGTGGGGGTAAATAAGCATGTTCGTCCATGGAAGCATCACCAGTGGTGACTCGGACACCAGCCTCTGGGTCCAAGTCCTTGGCTGAGGGTTTAGCAGGATGTTTTCCAGCAGGATCTAGCAGAGCGCTGGAAGCAACAGAAGCCGAACCAGAGCCTCTAAACAGAGAAGGGATGGTCGAGCTAGTTGCAGTTGCAGGTGGGAAAGATGGCCATCGCACTAGCTCTTCTCTAGACGAAGCATCCAAGGAAGTGAACTTGACTACAGGCCAGCCAATGGAACCAAGACGCTTACCCAGTCCCAGATCCAGCAACCCCTCAACAGCCCACTTCCATATCATCAAATGCTGACCCCTGTCAGTGTAAGTGGTCGTAGCCTCGTATATAACAGGCAGCAGATTCAAGCCATGCAGCTGAGAGAGTTGTCTGATGCCAAGAGCCAAGGTCAAACCTGCGACTCCACCACCAATAATCAGAATGCGTTTTGGATGCTGCAGTGGATCGTTCATTGTTGGATAAGTCCAAACCGCCACTTGCAACCGCTTGTGCTTCGTAAGCGTCCCTTTATGCTCTTATGGATCGATACAACTGCCATGGCTTACACGTGGCTTTAGCTTACAGGTCGAATTCATCTTAGGAATGCATTCGCATGGCTGCAGTCCGATTGACCCTCTCTTGGAACCTTGTTCAAACCAACTGATGGATTCATCCCATTCTGGCTGCTCAAAGGCTGCTCTGTTATCCGATCCTTTTGCTTCACCTCTCACTGCTTCTGCTGTCGGATCATCCGCTTACTCAATGCCAGATGCTCCTGCTTTACCAGTAGACTCGTATGCTTTACCAGTAGACTCATATGCTCCTCCTCCTTCTTATGACACTGCCTTGCAAGAAACACTGTCTGGCTCTGCTGGTCCTTCCACTTTGTATCCAACTGCTCCTAGTATTCCTCCCAGTTTACCTCCTGATTACTTTGATGTGTCCATCATTCCTACTGGTAGTGTTCTGTAAGTGTTGACTGTTGTAGTCATACATTGGTTTCTTTGCTAATTGGCTTTGTACAACTCAAGTCTTGGCAACTGACCTTTATGTCTGCATATATTATTAGTTACCCTCAAAACTGTCCTGCTCTGGGTGCATACTCCGATGCCGAGATTATTCAATCTAGTTCTTCCATGAATATTGAATCCCATGATTCAAAGCTAGACAAAAATGCAAGCCATCTTTTATTTGTCCTGTTCCATAGATTGTTGTCTTGGTCTAACTTGTACTGTGTCAATCTATCAATTAGCCGGATGAATTATGGAGATTCTTCATGTCTAATCTTCAGAATCCACGTCTAATGGTAGACATTCATGGCTATCATACAGAAACTAAATACATTGAGGAAGTAAGAGATGGCGAAAGTCGTACCACTTCTCGTCAAGAAGATGTTTCTGATTTCAGAATCAAGATTGATGTCACTCGTCTCATGTCCACTTATTGGTCGCGAATTGTATGTGTGCCCGACAAAAATGCCAGTCCTCGCAATCTAAGAGAAACTCTTGAAGACTACACACGTTCTGATCACATTTGGAAAGAGTAACTACTATTTTACCTCCAACTCAAAGCGTATCTATACTGTGATGCAATGTGCTAAAATCATATCTGAATTGTACAATCAAATAATCTAGAATCCATCTGACAAAACAACCTCTTTGGGATTTTAACGAACTCTCTTGTGCACTGGAATTTGCTGTTCGCCAAACTGGCTATATGCACAAAATTAAAATTTCATTTCCGCAAAAAGCTGCCAAGGTCTCGGTATACTCGAGTCATACACTAAGCAGACTTTCTCGCTCGACGTTTGTATGGGTTATTTGCATCTTATCTTGTCTATGGATCATTGTGCTACCAATATATCTACTGATGCGTATGTATCACTTTGTTTTTTTCACTAAAAAACTCAAAAATGTCTTGTATGCTAATCTCAATTGGTAATATCTTTGTATTTGATTCAATAGGCAAAAAGGTGTCAACAAAGCAAGTGTTTTAAATCATATTTTGAATTGTGTTTAGTGTAGATACATTTCTAACTGTACTTGTATTATTTAGAATCGTTTGTGAATTCCCAATGATGGTATCTGGCCATGATTTTTACATGCGGCATTATTACACTATCCAAAATATGGCAAAAAGCCGTTCTTTCAAGACCATTCAGGCTATTTGAAACCATTTTAAATAGCTGGTCTCGCACTGCATACATTGATGCAATTCAAATAGCTTTACCAAGCATGAATATTTTTATCTAGTATTTCTTTGACGTAGTTATTCTAATAAAACCAAATCTATATCTACTATTTGAGTTTTGTAAATCTAATGAGGAAGTTGGTTCAAGCCAACACGGTGTCTTTTGAACTCTTTTAGTGTGTTGGTCTTTGTGCTCAGTTTGTATAAACAATTGAACCAATGTTCACATCTTTACTCCAATAAATCCTACATGTGTTCAATCTCGACTGTCTTTTCATTCAGATCGCACAATCCATAACTATGCCAGAGTGGAAATCATTCCAATTCAAACCGATGCTTGATTTTGTGTTGATTGAAGAATTGTGAATATCATTGACTTGAGCCATTAAACATATTTCATTTCTGATTGCTGGACATACCACTTGAAACACATTCGAGTTTATCAGATTCTTGGCAATAGTGAAAAGAATACCTGACCAAAATTAAAGCGATCCATGCATGACCCAACTAGAGCAATGGTGCAGTGCCCAGTCTGCAATAGGTCTGTCAGTGAGGCAGATATCAACACACACTTGGATGCAAGCTGCGAGAAACACACTGCAAGCCCACCTCTCCAACAGCAGACAGCAACGTGTCAGCCCAAGTTATTTCAGATGCAAACCAAACTTCAGTTTCTAAAGAGTCCCAATCACAAACGATCAAGAGATGAACTTGATGGTTATAAAGAGCCCATACAGAATGACATTGGCAATACTCTCATGAGTGTTTATAAACCACCGCATGTGTACAGACCATTGGCTGATCTCGCTCGTCCAACATCCCTCAACGAGTTTTTTGGACATGAAGCAGTTGTGGGTCAGACTTCATTGTTGCGGCAGTTGATTGAATCAAAAAAAGTTCCTTGTATGATTCTGTGGGGACCTCCTGGGTCTGGAAAAACAACTTTGGCTCGTATTATTGGTAAGTGTAGATTCATTCTCGCTGATGGCATATTCAAGTAATAGGCAGTTGCTAGTCAGAGTATTAGATTGCACTATGTACTGACTCGACTGAATTATGGATCTACACTATGCAGCCAAAGAACTTGGAGTACATTTTAAGGAAATGTCTGCCACCATTCACAATGTTTCAGATGTCCGAAAGTCTTGTGAGGAAGCACGAACTCAAAGAAAGCTTACAGGAAAGGTGAGCTGGCTGTATAGAAACCGATTCTTGGTTTTGTCACCAATCGATTCTGTTGCTAAAACAGCCTGCTTTAGAAATCTATATTGTTTCTGGATGAGATTCATAGGTTCACAAAGGCTCAGCAAGATTTCTTTCTCCCTCCTGTTGAGCAAGGAGAGTTTACATTTATCGCAGCAACGACCGAGAATCCATCGTTTAGGGTAAATGCAGCACTGCTGTCCAGGTGTAAAGTATTCGTGATGGACAAATACGAATCTGCATCCTTGTGTCAGATTCTCCGACGTGCAGCAAAAATTAAGCTTGCAGTTGTATCCAAGGATGGATCTGATACCAATCCTATTCTCAAACTTGACCATCCTACACCTTCTCAAGAGAATCTATCAACAGAGTTGTCATCAACACCGTTTTCAACAAAACCAGATTCGCCATTTGTCATTCCAGACAATGTCATTGCATACATATCAACAATGTGTGACGGTGATGCAAGAGTATCCATAAATGCTCTGGAAATGGCACTTGATGCTGCAGTTCATTCAAAACTTGATCAACTCACTCTGCCAGCTGTGCAGCTTGCTCTATCTAAATCGCATCTTCTTTACGATCATGATGGCGAAGAGCATTACAACATCATATCCGCTTTACATAAAAGCATGCGAGGATCAGATGCGGATGCTGCTTTATACTGGATGGGAAGAATGATCTTTGCTGGTGAGGATCCGTTGTATGTTGCTAGAAGGTTGGTCAGGTTTGCTTCAGAGGATATCGGACTAGCCGACTCCTCTGCATTGACGTTAGCCATGTCGACATACCAAGCCTGTCAGGTTATTGGCATGCCCGAGTGTGATGCCATTCTTGCGCACTGTGTAACGGTAGTTATTTTATTTTTGAACAATTGGATGGCGTTGTAAAAATTAAACTTGCTCATCAGTTGAATTGATTGTATATCCGTATACAGTATTTGGCAAGAGCTCCCAAAAGCGTTGAAACGTACCGGGCTGTAAAAAAGGTCAAGGATACGATTATGAATTCACATGCATATCCCGTTCCTCTGCATTTAAGGAATGCACCTACGCAGCTTTTGCAGCAAGTCGGGTATGGTGCTGGATATATTTACAACCCCGATCATAACGGACCAGTAGACCAAGAATACTTTCCTTTACAGATGAAAGGAACAAAATTTTTGTGAATGATAAATAATCGAGATTAAAACTATTGATTTAAAACTGGTCTAAAAAGTATATACAAGCAAAAGTGAACGGAGTGGGATTCGAACCCACGCCTTTTTCAAGACTACGACCTGAACGTAGCGCCTTAGACCGCTCGGCCATCCGTCCTAGCATTTTTTGACACTGTGTATAAATATATTTTTATAACTTAATAACTGAATTCAGCTTGTTCATTGCACGATACACGACTTATAAATGAGGACAATCTCGTTTAAAACTATAGTTTGACTGTGAGAATCATATAATGGTTGTTGTATTTATTCAAGAAGCAATCATTTGTAGTAGGAAAGCACAACGACTATTTGATCATTGGCTATTTCAAGTAAAATAAAGGCAGGTGTTTCACTTTACGTGAATACGGCTATAAATCTACATTATACAGCCATATTTTCCCCAGTATATATTTAAAGCATTGACAGAATAATGCAAAACTCAATTAAAAGCTTGATAGACGCCAAGTGCTAGCAACAGAAGTATCCCTCACAATTTCCCACATGCCAAAGTAATGATCATTTGGTCTTAGTGCAATGACCTTGACAAATCGTGTTGAACTCACAGTCGACAGTCTAACAAATGTGTCTTTTTTCACCTTCATGATTTGTACCAAGAACTCATCAAGATTGGGTGTGGGGATACCATTGACTTCCGTCACCCATGTTAGTGGATGCAATGCATAGAGCTGTGAAGGTGAACCATCATACACCACTGAGCAGAGAACCCCAGACGGTACGTGATTGAGTTGCTGGTACACGGCCTTGTGTGGCATTTGAAAGATGGCTCCAGCCCATCCAACAACTCGTTCTGTTCCACTTACCAACATAGTCGAAAGAGGCGTGTTGACGTGCATTTCTTTTCCATCGCGTAGCAGTACCAATTCAAGATGCGATTGGTCGTAATGGCTAGTAATGTCTGAAAACTGTGTAGCGGGTTTGCCATTGACCGACAAAATGATATCTCCAGCATTAACAAGGTCTGATGCAGTTGTTCCCGACGTCACTCGTCGAATGACAATCACATTTCGGCGACTGAGGTGTGATGATTCAATACGCTTCACCCATGCATCTGTCAAGCCCATGATCCGCGCATGAGCAACTTGAGTATACGTCATCTCTACCTCGAGTGTTTTCATACTAGGCAATATCAAGTTGTGACGCACACCATTACTCCCACTCATGCTGGCAATATTGTCTGGAGTCCTCAACGCATCCAAGACTGGAATCACGACACTCATTGATAAACCCATATAAAACTCACCGCTAGATTTTGATCCATGTTTGGTGTAGGCTGCATAAAATCCCTGTACCTGGCCATCCTCAGTTGTCAATACTCCGCCTTGTGATACAGGATTTTCCAGCTCAATTCCTTCGACATTCATTGCACGGTAGGTTGGAGGAACGCCTTCATTGACAAAGAACTGCCTGATGTTGGTCACAACAGTTTTACGTACAATGGGTTGATAAGATTTTGACAAGCAAACTAAATGCACTGAATCGGCCTGTGATAGTTCTTTGGGAGAAATAGTCACAGAGCGAACAAACGTGTCGCCAAGCAGAGAGGTATCGTAGGACACAATACCAAAGTTAAATATTTGATGAAGATAAATGATCTTTCCGGGTATAATGATGCTGTTGGAAAATGTAAGAAGAATGTCGCCAATAGATGTAGGGATTGTATTGCGGTCAACCAAAATCAATCCGCATTTAGCATCTAGCACTACTCCAACGCCTGTATGGATTTGCGCAACAACTCCATCAATTTTAAATGGAAGGTAAAAAGCAACATGAACCAATGATGGAATGACAATTTTTGCTGGGCCAAGACTGTCGTCCAAGGTGAGATGCGTGGCAGAGTGGAATTCAAGAACAGCTTCGCCAGAACAAGGAGGCAACGTTGTGTAGTTCCACAGTCCAGTCGTATCATCCCGAACAGCTACTTTGAAATCGTGCCATCTTCTATCGGCCAAAATAATAGAGGTTTTGGACTTGTTGATATCACTCAACTGATGGAATCTAAAAGACACTCGCTCATTATCCTTGAGTGATCCCATGACTTCAATAAACGCATCAAGAGTGGGTGTGGGTTTGTTGTTGAGGCTTTCAATGATGCACCGCTTAGATACGCCAGAAAGACCCAACATGTATCCTGCTCCAGCAACAAATACACCACCAGTAGGAACAATATAGCTGCGCGCCATTTGATATGAAAGCTCATGCAAAATACCACCGCTGACTTCAAGATATCTGTTGGGTGTGATAGAATGTAGATCCTGAACAGTAATATTTACCTCTTTGATATCAGGTCCTCGTTGTACCAACACTTTGATGGACTGACCAACATTAGAGTCCCATATCTCTTCCATGGGAACAAAGCTAGTGATCAATTCGTCATTGATTCGAAGTAAAACGTCTCCAGCTTCAAGAAGTTTATCTGCTGGTCCTTTAGGAATAACCTGTCTGACAGTCAGCATGCCCGTGTTCTCTGGAAACGACTGTCTGACAAGAGTTTCAATGTCGGTATCAAGTCCAAGTCGCTTGATCTCATCATATGCAGTATATTGAAATATTGTCTGAATTGTGCCACGAGGAATCGAGTGACCAGCTTGAATTAGTTTTAATACTCGAACGACACGATCCAGGGGCAGAAAAAAACTGGTTGCAGACTGCGTTGCACCTCCAGCATTTAACGCAATTGCATTGCCATCTACATCAATCACGGGTGATCCTGAGCTTCCTCCAGATGTCATTGAGGCGGCTTGATAATAGAATGTATTCCAGTCATTGAATCTTCCAGCTCCATAGTTTGGCGCCTTTCTATCTAAACGAGCCATTGTGCCGCTCAATATACTCAACCTTTCACCACTATCATTTCCTACCTATATTAATTTAACAGAATCAATCAATATACTGGATTCGTATTTAAAATTAAAAGTTGGACAGTCACTTACTACACGGATATCCAGTCCGACTCTAACCAAGGCGGGCTCTAATGGAATCTCTTGAATCTACAAAAAAGTCAGAAATGCATACCAATCAAGGTAAACTATGTCAATTTTACCTTCATGTATTTTACAGCAGAAACGTCAAATTTGAAAAACCCAAAATCATGCACTATTAGATATCAACCAGAAAAGTTAATCTGCGATTCACTGCATTGCTAGATGTAGTTTGCAAAAGACACTAACCTGGGTCTCTGTATATAGGTGTTAACCGCACCTCCTCTTTCGATTGATTAAGAATCATATCAGCAAGAATAGGTCCTATTAAACAAAACCATATTTGGGTTTAGCATGGGTTCAAACAATCGATCATATTTTGATGAAAAGGTAAAGACCAAATACCTGGCTGAACCACATGCCGATTTGACAATATGATCTATATTCAACCAATTAGTATCAATTCAATCAACCCTTTAACTGCAGACAACTCACCCCCTGTTTCTTGTCCACAATGAATCCAGTAGCTTGGGACGTGCGTTGAGATTCCGTGTCTAAAAAGTATCAATCAAGGTTTGTTTCCGTGACGGTTTATTCATAGAATAACAAGGCATTTTAGAACCCAAATCTTTAGATGCATGCAAGCAATATACATCAATCCACAGGAACAAATGGAATGTAACAAATAATGAAATGAGCACCTTACCAAAATTTCTGACGCATATCATACGAATACTAACAATAGCAGGGATGATCTTGTTGAGGGTTTCCTCCCATCGAGGACTGTTGGCTATCAATGGAGCAGGCTCAGCCGTTCCAGTTGCATCTTGTGAAATAGCCCCAACCTTTCATAGACATGACAGCAATAAAGATCAGATTATCAGTGGATAAGGGTGTTGGTTGGCAAGGTCAGCATGAATGGATAGTAAACAACAGGCCATGTCAAGCACTCATCAAAGCAGCAGCAGTATCGACAGTGCAACTCACCCCATCAATGTCCGAGTCTAAATAGGATCCAGTCTCTCCCATATCCATCTTATACATGGGTTTAGAAGTGTTGGTCGTAGTTTGGTAAAGTGCCAACTCACTGCTTGACTACAACTTGTTATCCTGGATTTGTAATACAAGTTGCTTTATTTGCACGCATCTACCACAGCTCATATCGACTCTAACCAACAGATCATCTGGGCCGTGAAAACTCAGCCCAGTTCAATTAGTATATAAACTATGAATCTAAATGTGTATGCAATCGTAAATAATAGACTCGATAATTTCCCAGTCAAGCCATTCTTGGTGCTACGCTAGAGCAAATCGTGACGTAAATACCAAGGCGACTGTTCTCAACCGATACGCTCATTCACTATTGGATAATCTCACAGTGTGTATTTTATACTCTCATTGCTGAAACAACAAAGTAATAGCTTGGTCATGCAAGTATTTATATTAATAAATGCTTGCTTGCCCAGAAAGTGGGCATTACACATTAACGTTCAATCCATCATATTGTATTTTGAATATATAAACCTGTTGAACAGATTGTAAATCCAGACGCAGGCGTGAGTTTATAAATGCAATGTAAGACTAGACTGATAAATAAAAAACTCCAAAAATAGATATGCTTTGGATAATCCAAAACACTCATGATGCCCGTTTTTCAAGTGCTTGTTTTACCCATGCTCCTACATCTACATCTGTCTTGCACTGTGTCAACCATGGTGCCAAAAGAAGTTCAGGATACGTGGGTCTGGCTTGAGGATCTTTTTCCAAACTAAAGTATTAAAAAAGTCGCAGTTCAAATCACATTAAAATCAGTCGATTTATATTTTGCATACTAGATTGCTGCTGCTCTTACCATTTAGATATAAAATTCCGTGCGTCTTCGGAAAACGACTCGACTGGAAGAGTTGGTGCGTCTGACGATACAATTGCGCTTAGTTGGGCAAACACACTATCAAACTTGTCCCAAGGGAAGGGGTATGCGCCTACTCCCAGTTCAACAATCGTGATGCCTACACTCCATACATCGGATCTCGCGGAATACTTTCCTGTACTTCGTGACGCAATACGTTCGGGCTAAATTAGGATTGTTTAGGCATCAGTGATTTGAAATCAAATCGTTACATTAGTAAAGCCGTTTGAATGACAAAACTAATGATCGCATATATCAGTACTCACTGCCATGTAGGACTGACATCCAATATTCGTTTTTGCTAGTGACTGAACCAGCTGCCCACTGACACCAAAATCACACAGCTTGATCTGACCCAATGTATTTACTAGGATATTTGTAGGTTTAACATCTAATACAATCAACCCTATTAGTTTATCCAATACGCTAAAGACACGGAAAATCTGCCGGATCTTGATAGCATCAGATCATCTATTCCAAAAGTAATGAATTTTTACTGACCTCGATGAATAATGGATAGCGATGATTTGAGAAAATGAAGTCCTTGCACAACCTATTCAGTAGATTGGAATTAAGATGGTTTCACAAGATCAGAATGTGTTTCAAACCAACCATAGCTTCTATACTTACAGCCAAGGTGATTTCCCTCAAGATAGGTTCTGGGATGCCGCCAGAGTATAGTTTATCCAACGATCCGCCATCCATGTACTCGATACACATATAGACACAGCTTTCAATGAAAAACGCACCATAAAAGTCGATGATATTGGGATGATGACTGGCATGCAGTATTTGCAATTCCATAGTGATTTGATTCATTTTAAGCTCGTCCAATTCCAGCATAATTTCCTTGAGTGCTGTAGTTTAGTAGTTGAAGGATGGGTCGTAAGAATGGCAGCACATTAGATTACAATCAAATAGGATTAGTATCATTCAACGATATGAGTTGGTAAATGAATAGATTAGTCCATGACGTGGCTATTAAACTGGCCTACCCATCTTAACATTGGTTGGGTTGTGATGGACAAGCTGAACCACTCCATACTGTCCTTTCCCCAGTATCTTGACCAGCGTAAACTCGGTCATGTTGATCCTATATGAAGTGCCGTTTTTGAAGTCCACTCCTTGAGAGTCAATGCATGCCTTGCCTGCAAAATGCAGTTTTCCATTCGGATCACTAGTAAATATCGTTAGCATTTGATACTAGTGACACTCCAGTGACACTACCGACAAGATCGACTCAAAACAAGAATGCAGCTTATGAAATACATCAAAGAGCAGACAATAAAAGGTTCAATGTTGAAATCGTCAATACAATGTCCATGCAACATACATGAACTGCGACAATGCATCAAAAGGAGTGATTGTTGAAGTGATGGCTGCAAGGTCATTCAAGTGCAATGGAGCATCCAATCTAATTTGGATACGACGTTTCGGCCCTTTTGGCTGGTTGGAGGGCACTACTGCAGTATTCATAGTAATGGCTGGTTTGATCTGCTTATGGGGCTGAATAATAAATCTTGGGTGAGAGCAAGCTGCTGATAACAGTTGTATTCAACCTGACATCACCATACAGTTGCAAGTAGTCTGAATTGATATACGATCAAGTCAAGATGGTTGGGTTTCAATCTATACATCTGATCCTATACCACTATCCTAGAATCACATAAACCCACTCCAATCTAACTAGATGGATTGCTTTCAAGAGTCGACTGTTTATATTCACGTAAATGGATCATTAAATAAGCTAGAGCACAACATAATCTAACAGTTTCATGCAATAATGGTCCATTCAAATTTGCTGAATAACATTATCCTTTGGTAATTGATACATAGAGTTGCAGTCATTGTTTTTTGAGCCAGAACGCGAACGTATGAAATTAGAATACATCAGACGAGTTTGATTCAAAACAGACAAATCCAATGTTTGGATTGTATGGGCGAGTCTGTCAATCGTATAATGTATTGAAAGTCAAGTTACACTTTGATTGTGTGTTATGATGATCGTTGTGTCTATTAAAGTCAGTTTGTAGTAGGAAACCAACAAGTATTCAACCACTAGTATTTCATTTTACACGAGTACGGTTGTAGAATAAATTGCTCAAACATGTCATTTAATCTAAAATGGTTGCTGTGTCTGAATGCAAACTATCCGATTCCATTCCTTGTACTAGCACTCTTGTATGAATTCTTCAGATATATATTGTATTCTTGTTCTTTTTACACTGCGCAAGAATATACTGTTGATGATTGATCAATCATCAACAGTATCACGTAAATGGAATCGTTCTTGATTACAATCTCCACAAAAAACACCATGAATAGATTCATCTGAATCTGTTTAAAACAGCTCAATGTATAGCAATAATAATAGGTTTAATCTTGATGTAAATGCTCTTGTACACCACCATCTGCATCTGGTAGCATCGCATCGGGAAGCACTGCAGCATAACCACCATTTCCTTTACTGACGCTCTCCATCCACTCAAACGCCCGTTCAACAATCGCTGGAGTAGCCAATGGTCGATGTCCGTGACTCCCTCTTAGATGTGGATAAACATCTTCAAGATAATAGTAGCCATGTCCAACAGCCAATCCTATAAAATCAGCCCAAGGAGTCACACCATGGAATACCAGAGTGAATCCAATCAATACCCATGGTAGATAAGGCGCATCAAAGTTGAAGAGGCCCAAAAAATTGATACGAGTAGATGGGTTACGTCGTGACCAGACGTAGGTTAACATGAACGTGAATGCTGATGAGAGAAACGGAACTTCTTTGTTTGCATCAAACAGTGATGATATCAACTAATGATTTGAACGTTGAACGGATCAAAGATTAATGATATGAGCAGATATTTTACATGAAATATCTAATAAGCGTTGTTTCGCCTATGAATGCTTACCACCATTGAGGTTGCACCGATAACAAACATCCAGAGAAAATCATGAGTTCTTCCACGGAAAGATCCCTCTTCCAGCATACGACAATACTGGACTCTAAGATATATTATGGATCCCAGTAAAACAATGTTATAGTTGGATATCCAAAACAAGAAAATCAAGACAACATACATGCTTACAAAAAGAACATATGGAATAGAAAATCCACCGAAAAGCTTCCAAAATAAAGAAAAGTTGTAATTACTCTCCAGTACTACTCAATGCATGAATGCAATTCAAAAACAATGAAATCCGATTAGTCTGTAGTGATTGCCAGTGGTGGCTGAGGCTACTCATTCTGATGCTGGCCTTGAAATGATCTCTAGCATGCATCCACGACGCTTACCTGCTTTGCCTTCCAAACCATTGTCCAGCTGTAAAATAGGCGATAAGGAGAGACCAAGTCTAATTGCTAGAATCAAGACAATTACCAACGGATGCTCATGCGGTTAGCCGTCAGTACCAACAATCCTGACATGTGTAGTGCTCAAGACATCGAGCCATTCGATAGTGCAACTCACACAGGCAAGGGTCATCAAGACCACGCAGGTGGAATATAGCCTAGTGATAACGGGGATATCAAAGTACCACTGCTCGACTGGTAGCTGCATATGACCTCCAGCATCTGCCATTGTACTTTTATGTGTAGACGCAACTGTAACTGATCCACTGAATGTGTTGGTTTCAAGTCAAGTTTGGTTTTTAGACTCAAACTCTTGTAAAGCTCAATGATTCCAAGTCTACTCCATCACTGCATGTTTAAAAACATGATTACATTCCAAGATTCGGATTAATAGTTGGTATTGCTTTGGAGATGAGTTTAAGACGGACACTGGCAACTGGTTGATATGCACACTCAACACTAGAATGTTTCAATTGGCTCATTTCAGATCCAAGTGTTTATTGTCAATCATTTGAATATGCTCAAGCCTGAACTTCATTATTTTTTGTCCATCAAATTGGAATTTATTGGAAAAACTTCTTTTTATTCACTGCTCAAGTATCTGCAATGTCAGCTGCAATCAGGATCAGACTGCAGACTCTGACTCCACTTCCTTTATCTAAATATTGGATGTGCATACGAGAAACTGACTCGGACACTTGCACCATCAGCCAGTTGTCCAAAGTCATTCATTCTCAACTCCATCTGCATCAAAACCAAATGGCTGCTGCATCCATCGAACTATCCATAGATGGCTTCAAATTGTTGGGCGATAGTCTTACCTTTTGCGTTTTGAGAGATAACGATCTGGTTAGGTATGTTTGATGTTGTTGACAGTACGGATTGGACCATAAAATACTAATGCACTTATTTTTATATGCGAGGTAATCCAGTGTAGGAATTTCCGAGTATGCCCAAAACTTTGATTCGACTCATTTCACCAAAAATCAGAGTCTTTCCAATGGTATGTGAGTCAAACTTTTATACCAAAACTTGGGTTATGGATTGTTGTGTTGGTATGCTCAATCGTACACCATATGATTGATTAGGCAAACGAAAACTGGATTCTGAGCCATTTTTTCAAGCATTTCAATCTACTTTACAAAACGATGACGACGAAGATTCATATTTTGCTAAAGAGGATCAATTTGAACAACTGCTGAGCCAAGCACTTGATAGAAAGCTAAAAAAGTTCAAGGTGGATATCCCAGCAGATGACGAGGTTGAAGAAGATATCCCACAAATGACTAGTGATGCTGGTAAATGCGTTCTGAATCTAATGTTGCTTGCATTGAGATGTATATTTACTTGGATTTTATTCTATAGATGAGTCTTCTAGCGCTGCATCTTCTGATTCTGAAGGTAGTTCCTCTGCAGAGGAGAGTTCATCAAGCGAAGATACGGAATCTTCAAGTTCGTCCTCTGAAGAAGAGCTTTCTGACAATGATAACGACGAGTCATCTTTAGAAACACACTGTGATGTTACAAGCACAGCTACTGCAACATCCAACGCAATCAACTCTGTTTGCATACCATCTGGACTTACAAAAAATAAGCGCAAGGCAGTTCAAAATATGATTGACACTGAACGCACTCACGTTCGGTTTGATGATGCCAATGATGTTACTTTTCCATACGCATCTACTTTTGATGAACCACCTGTCAAACAAAACACGGAATTATCTGAAAATGAGCCATATATTGTGTACTCTCACGTACATTTAAAAGACTCGGACATGTCTGTTCCATCGTTGTCCAAAAGCGCCCGAAGAAGAATGAGACGTAATCAACGTGCTGCTCAACTTGCGATCGGCGGTGCAGTAAGTGAAGAGCTGAACGACAATAACGACAGTGAAGAAGGCGTTTCATTGCATCAATCCAAGTCTCAGGATGTAAACAGTAATACAGAACAATCCACAATCGAGCCAAATGTAACCGAAAACGTATCCATTGAATCAAACAAGGACAGTCAAGCAAGCTCTTTTCAAAACTACGATTTAATGCCATACCTGCAGGGCCTTCCTCGTCCAGGAATGGTGATTGCATTCAAGGTATAATAGTATGTCTTTTTGATTGTGAAATGTGTACAATGCATTTTACATCTGACCATACATTTATTGGTTTGATAGACTTTAGAATTGTCGACAGCATACACACCAGAAATTTCAGAGTTCAAGGTATACAGCTCATATCGTATTTGCTATTCGAGTAGTTTGTAAGGATTTAGAAAACTGAATTGATTATGTTTGTATACTGTACTGTATACGCATTAGGAAGCACAAGTGCTGTCTGTAGATGCAATATCGAAGCGCTGTTCAGTCAAGCTTTTGTCATGTTCGTCTAAATCAGCTGCACCACTTCCATCTGACCCATCATCCATGTGGGGTCATGCTACTAAAACGGATCAAAAATCCCGAGATTCAGGCAGTGGTAGATTTGAAATCAATGACGACGATAGTGAAGAAGGTGCCATTGAAGCTGTGGATGACATTATTCATGTTGACCTCGATACTATGTTTGAAATTAAACGTGTCGCTCCATAGCTTCTGAGGATTCATTATGTTGCCATATAGTTTATGGTTTGCCAAGTATACTAGTTAACATACAAAAGCCAAATATAACATTTCAAATCTTTTACTTCATACCAAATCCTAAACCCAATTTACAACTGAAATGAAAATAAAATATTATATGCATGTGCTAGAAAGACAGGGTTCATGACATTGCATCATGCCTGATACTATTTAGTCGTGTCTTGTAGACATGATTGTAGAACGTTGACTGTCTTTGACGACTCTTGGCATGCTCTACTGCATTGAATTTGACCGATTGATTAGTTGTCGATATAGATGCAGGCGGTTGTGTTGCATGCAATTGCGCTTGTTCTCTTGATGCCTATATAATTGGTATAAAGGTTACTACTGCATGGATCATATCAAAAACTGCCAAGAGTTGGGTAATGGGAATAAATCGACTTACTTTAATTTTGGCATAGTTTGCTTGGTAGTGAAGTAGAATAGGAAGCATATCCCAAAACGAAAACTCGGGCCAGAGTTTTTTTGGAAAGTGCAATAAACAATCTCGTCCAGCCTAAATACAAACAAATGACTGAGCCAAGATGTGTTGCTTGAACAGTAAAAGACGATCTGAACTATATTACCTGCCACAGCATAAAATCACTCAACCGAGCCTCGCCCGATGTTCTCACCAATACATCCAAAGGTGGACATTCCTCTGTATACAGACATTGTTCAATCATTTTCTCGCATACATCGGACTCGAGCACTTTTCCGCTCTGTACACCTTGCACAACCTCCTGCATAGCAACAAGGATCTCATTTTGCGACGTGTAGGGACAACAGATATTGAGAATAGCACCGGTATTGTTGCATGTTTCTGATGTGACTTTACATGCCGCTTTGTATACTGGTTCTCGAAGAAGCTTCGTGTCACCAATGACTCGGATGGAAATGCCATGCTTCTGTACAAGATCACTACAACAGTTTTAAAAAATTTGAATCTGAAAACCTGGTCTATCCCATTTCAGCCAAACCCGTTATGGATTGCTGTATGATGGTGCATATCCTTACCTCTTTGTAACAAATTCACCAAATTTGCGCTCAGCAAGTTCCATCAGCACATCAACTTCCTCTTTTGGCCGTTTAAAGTTTTCTATTGAAAATGCATACACTGTCACCACTTTAATGCCCAGTTTCATGCACCAGTCTAATGTCTTTTTATCCATGGTAGATCAATGAAAACTCGTATCTGTCAATAAATGAAGTATGGACAATACGACTGATGGCTCCAAATATCAAATCTAAAAAAACTCAAACATGGATAAGCTTATAAATGAATTGCATAGGCTCACCTCTTCAAGCTTTTTGAATCCAAGTTGATGGCCTTCACTAGGCTGCAGATGAAGTCGTTTGGCAAAACGACGGTTGCCATCCATAACAAATGCCACATGTTTTGGCACAGGACCCAAAACAAGTATTGAAAGAGTTATTTTTTGAAATGTATTTGAGATCCATGATATGAATAGTGCCAAATATGCATGAATTGTTTGCAGGATAGAATGCATTTGATATGGTGTTGATATTTAGTTGCGGCTTTAAAGTCGGCAAGTTTTGCAATAAAACCATTCATCACGTGATATATTGATCCATACAATCGACTCGAGTATTAGACTGGAATTCTAAGATGCTTGAATGTATGAAGCCAACTGATTAGATATTGAGTAGACAGTAGGTCAACTTGAGCAGTAATTGAGAGTTGGTTGAATCGCTTATCGCTACAGTTGAATGAGTGTATTTACAGTTATATTCACGTAAAACAAAACACTATCTTGTAGTCACTGCTTTGGAATATACAATGGTTACATGTTGCGCTTTCTTACTAGAAATTGTCTGCTTATTCAATAGATACAACGCTCATCATATAATACAATTAAACTATAGTTTTAAACGGAAATCATTCTCACTTGACAGTCACATTGTACGATCACCGAGTTTGAAGCCAGATGCTGAGTTCAACCACTTTCAATCCAGCTGTACAAACTCTACTTTGTATCCTAAACTTGTACGCTCGTGTTCTAATCCAAAAAACAAAGATTGCAAGTGTTTAGAAAAGTTGTTTCCATGCCAGTCACCAAAAAACACAATATTGTTCAGTAAATTGGGCATTAAATCATTCCATAAGATTGGCAATTTGAGATTTATTTGGCGGTATATTTTTCGGGAATACAACCATAACACTCTACCTTTTTTAAAGAAATCTTGAATGTGAGTCTTGCTTATCTTGCATGAATGAGTTACTGAAGCATTCTTATAACAATGAATCCTTGTCACATTTATTCTACAAGTACCACCATCAATGCAAACAGGTCTCACCACCCACAACGAATTCGTTAGCCTTGACGACTCGAATCATGTTTGTAAAAAACTGTTATCTGAAGGATCTGGTGATCTGATTGATCGTCCAGGAACAACTATGAGAGGTAAGCTGTCGATTTCAGTGATATTTCATCGTATTGGAACCACCATTTAACCGCCTGATTTGCTAGTGCATTATACTGGGTCGCTTTACCCTTCAGGAGAAGTGTTTGATTCAAGTCTGGATAGAGATGAGCCTATTCAGATTCGTTTGGGCCAAGGTAGTTTTCAGGCTTGATACCACAGTTGATCTGTTTTTGTAACATTGCTGACATGTAGTCCAAATGGTGATATTAGGAATGGTGATCAAAGGATGGGATGTTGGTCTTGCCACCATGAGAGTGGGCGAAAAAGCTTCGCTGTTGATTTACCCTGAATATGGTACAAGAAAATGCAATCTCGCTATGATTGTATTGGCTTTATGTCTGCATATTAGTGAATGTTTTTAATTATAACTTGATATATTTCAGGATATGGACCTCAAGGCAGCCCACCAAAAATTCCAGGAAATTCAACACTCTTGTTTGATGTCGAACTTGTATCTGCAGATTTGGTAAAGTAGGAATACAAATCTCATGTTTAAATAGTACTCTATAGCCGTATTCATTTCAAATTTTGTAAACAATTCGACAGTCAACTGCAGACAAAACCACGGACGAAAAGATTGCTGCAGCAACCCTTCACAAAGACGAAGGCAACAACTATTTTAAGCATAGCGAGTTTGCGCTTGCAAAGGAGTGCTATCTTTCTGCTCTGAAGCTATTCAAAAACACACGAGATACGATCTCTGCAGAGCATGATACGATCAAGCAGCTGCAAATCACTTTGAATTGTAATTTGGCAGCTGTTTATCTAAAACTAAAGGATTTTAGTGCTGCCGTTGACTGCTGTCAGAAAGTCAAAAGCATGGATATGACCAATGCCAAGGCAACGTATCGACTATCTCAAGCATACACTGGACAGGGACAGTTTGATGATGCTGTAAACATGCTTCAAAGCCATCGCGATGTAAGTGGACTATGATGGAAGTTTTATATTGAAAACAGTAAACACTACCCTATTCAACTAATGTATGGCAATATATCTTTAGATTTTGGTGGATGTGAATGTAGATGCAGAGATTAGTAAGATCCATAAGAAACAGCAGACGCAGATGACAAATGAGAAAATGTTGTATTCTAAGATGTTCAAGACTAAGGATACAGATGCATCCACGTAAAATGAAACACTAAACAAGAATGTCAAAATACATAATGAGCTGTTTGACAGAGTTGATTGATATTATGCAGATTTTTGTATAAAAACTGGGAGAATGGCCAATATATTTCATACTCTCGATACTTTTATTTTATTACAAACGAGTATTGAGTGATTGACACGTTAGTTGTATTCTTGAACTGAAGCGTAAATGTATCGAGTTACAAGAGTTTCTTGAATATTGTCAGATATTTCTTGGTTGCGTAAAACCAACATTCCAATAACAATCCAAAATAAATTCAAGTCATCAATATTGAATACGACTATAATCAAGATTTTTATCTTGAAACTTTAAATCTCCGATTAAATACCAACGATTTGAGCCGAGATGACTGTGAGCTCTTGTATTAAACTGCTATTTCTACTATACTGATATGCATTACTAATACAGTCTACATATATGGGACTGCTTTCCTACTCTAGGCAGAATGGGAGGTAAAGTTGGACATGTTCTACCCGTTACATTGTACTCTAACCATTGATGAATAGACTGACCCAAGTGAATGACAACTGCAATACTAGGAACGATGGTCTCGATCCAAGAAACGAATTTATTATTTCAGCCCAGACACCAAGCAGTCCCATTGGGAGAAACCAGAGGGAGATGTCAAGATCATTCCTTTGGATCTTAGTCTGGTTCCAGTAGGTGATGATGAGGCCAGCACTGCTCAAAATCAAATCCGTGCTTCCCATCTTCTGGTCAAGCACAGTGGGTCTCGCAGACCATCTAGCTGGAAAGAGGTTGCACCATGCATATATGCTGATGCATGATTGACAAAGGACTAACCCCAACTTACTATAGGCCAACATCAGTCGATCTAAAGAAGAAGCGATGCAGATTATCCAAAGTATTTGCTCACACATTTGTAAAATAACGTTTAAAGAAATACAACTGAACCCAATGTTGCTGTTGTATGTATTAGATTTCCGGGCCAAGATCGAGTCGGGTGAAGTGGACTTGTCAACCCTTGCTAAAACAGAGAGTGATTGCAGCTCAGCTTCCAGGGGTGGAGATTTGGGCAAGTTTGGTTATGGCCAGATGCAAGGTAACGGAATCACCAAGAATACATTGATTCAATGTCAATACTCACACATTTGTATTAAAACAATTGGTAATAAAGCCTCATTCGAACAAGCAGCGTAGGTTGAATCGGATTGGATTGTCTTGATTCCAATTCAACTAACTCTTGATGAATTAGATTTGCACTTAAAGTGGGAGAACTCAGCAACCCAGTTGTTTCTGATTCAGGCATCCATCTAATCCTGCGTACAGAATAAAATATTTTGAAATAAAGAGTGCAACCAACGCAACCATTCAAGCGTGAAGTTTGGAGCGGAAAAGTCTTGTCCATCTGCCACCAAATACGAACATGGTAAATGCCATGCTGTGGTGGATGCTGCACTGCTGGCTATTACTCATTTTACATTCATCTGTCCTGATTATAGTCAAATACTTTGCGGCCTTATCTCTCTGCTGTTAGAGCTACTCTTACTGCTGCCATGTGTTTAGAGAACTTTTCGTCCCAAGTGGTTGAGCGTCATAACAAGCCTGAGGTCGAGGCTGGGTGAGTTGAATTGGTACAAGATATATCCAGTATCATGGTACTGGTTGTCTGCTATGGCCAGTAGAACCCATACGGCCTTGTTGGAGTTACTGCATAAAGGCGTTGATCACCTTGTTCATTCGTATCTATAGATATGATTGGCAACAGTCTTTTATTAAATGCAGGGGTGTTGGTAGCAATATACATCCAATATTGTCATCTACAAGTTAATCTTCAACTGGATGTACAGATGCTATGGCTGTATGTCCGAGGGTTAAAGCTATACGATCTCCAGGGTATTTGCGTCCATGCTAATCAGATCTACCTATAAAATCACTCATACTAAATACTTGGAAACCTTGACTATACAATACAGCGTCACAAAAGAAGCCCTTTTGACTCCTGTAGTTATCAGTAGAAACGAAAACGAAAAGGTACTGATTGAAGGCTCAATCAACTCTCTTCGAGTCAGTATCAAGATCAAACAGGCTGACGAAATTGAACGGATCCTTTGTCACAAACTCACTCGCTTCCTCATGATGAGAGCAGAAAGTTTTGTCGTGTTGAGAAGGAAGCCCATTGCTGTAAGTCTATTTTAAACCCACTGCCAAAGCCTTTGGTGTGCGCGAGTCATGTCATGCTGGATCTTGACTCTGCTTTGATAATTATAGGGCTATGATATCAGTTTCTTGATTACAAACGTACATACAGAGCAAATGCTCAAGCATAAACTCGTGGACTTTATCGTGCAGTTCATGGAGGATGTTGATAAAGAAATCAGCGAAATGCGTTTGAGCTTGAACGCTCGTGCTCGTATCGTTGCCGAAACGGTAGGATCAATTATGCTTTTTGTAGTTTTCTTGTATCTATTTTGGCTTATAGTGTGATGTGTATTAGTACTTGCTACAGTTTTCGTAAGCCTCATGATTTCTTGAGCAGCACCAAGTACTTTTGTCCAGTGCTTTCAATCAGTCTGCCATGAAACTATGCTATTGGTGTCTGGGTTGTTACGTCAAAAAGCATGGTGCCATGTAGGCAGATCTATTATCACTGAGCCAATCTACAAACTCAAATATATGCAATGACTATACAGTCTAGTATTTTCCTTATTTTAATAAGCAATAATAGTTTGCAATTCCAGATAGTAAAACTCGTGGTTTGGTGAGCACTCTTGTATTTCATTTTTAACACATCGTTCCCAAATATAACGAAAAAGGCATGCCCAGACACTCAATAAGGTAGCGATTGCTGTGTAGTAATGTCGTTGGATAATGAAAGACATTCAATTTCCTTTGCACTCAGCATCTACAAAGTGTACAGAATCAATGAACTGGTATCTACGCATCTTGTGGAATTTGGGTATAGGTTGCTTGAATTTTCCGTCCACCAAAAAACCGTCCATCCAACGCTAGCCTTGCCTTGATTGCAACTACAGTCCAACAGAAATACACAGTTAGCACACGTACACATCAAGCAGAAAGATTAAAAATAAACACTCACCATCTACGGATCCAAACTCAACATACACCATGACAAGATCGTCAGAAGTATACGTTCTATTCTTATCCTGCCACAGCACAACTCGGTTTACCAATCCATATTTTTCACACTCCTGCTTGATCTCATCTTGCAAAAACTCGTCTATTTCCCCAAATGTAATCATGTTGCAGAGCAAAAGAACCGTTGAAGGCTGCCCACCACAAAATATATCAGCATGACCATTGCTCAACTAAATATCATCAGAAACACGTCCAACTTACTGCTGCCGCTCCATCTTCATCGGGCCGCTGTAACTTTTGCATAATCATGTACCGTTGACTTGCCGTAATGGATTGGGGTTCCTCCAATAATGCAAGATCGTCGCCGTGAAGGCCTCTTATGTTGGTCCCAGCCCCTCCCGAGGTCGACATGGTGTAACGAAGCTGTGCAAGCATTTCCGCACTAATCAATCCAGTCCCATTTGCACCTAGTTAGAAAATAACAGTCCATTAGCCAAGTATACTCAATTTTTAACAAACAGTAGACATCGGTATTTACCTGTAGCAGTATCACTCATCCCAAAAGCATTCGTCGCAGGACTAGCAGCCCCACTGCCACCTAAACCAGGTAAAGACTTCATACCAACAGGCATATCCGTCCCAAATATACCTTTTCCAACAACCAATTGCTTTCCACCCAACTCAAAATTATTCATCGTGGTAATGGCTATAGCTAAACTATCGCTCGATTCATATTGGATATACCTGTATAATGAAATACATTTAAATTAAGTGGATATGCGGTTAATTTAGATACCCGTCGGGCAGCAAAGAGATAATGTCAAATCATTTGTTGAAGTAGCAGTTTTTGGAAGCAATAAACAGAGATGAAGTATTGCCCGTCAATGTTCCAACACAATTGATTCAAAGCTGGCTAAAACTTTATCTGTCCATTTGAATATTTGTAGTTTCAAAAATTCTTGGCCTACTGGACAAGGTCAGATACTTTGTCTAAAATTAAACGCGGAAAAAAGAGATGGGTAACAAGAGATAGTAAAGCTATAAAAGATGTAGCCATCGTCTAGATTACCAGATGCGCTTTTACAAAAAACAAGCAAAACAATTGCCTTGTGTGCATAGAATGAAAAAATGTATACAAATAGAGGAGCAAGTGAAAATGAGACGATATGTCAGTTTTGTGGACCAACATCTGCATTAAAAAGTTGATACAATTAAATCAGCTTCAAATGGTAGAATCTCCGTACATCAGTGTATTGTGATGTCTAGAAATAACCTTATACTTTGCCTCGAGTATTGGGTCTTATCTGAACAGTAGTACTCAAGTGTTGAATACAACCACCAGCATTTTGGAAATCACATTTTTAAATATAGAAAAATAACAAACATCGAGTTGTGGCCACAGTATACGGCTCAAATGATCAAGTAGTAGTATATCAATGCAAAAACATACCCATATGTCTTGTGTCGACGAGTCAAAACATTGGGCTATATGATTTTAAACCAAATATGACAATAGTAACGGGTTTAATTTAGATCGGCTAGACAATTGGATATGAACTTTTAATAACAATGTATACATTTACGTACAATAAGTGAGCAAGATAAAATCTTGCCAAAAGTTTCAAATAATGCAGTAATATCATCCTCGGATACAATCTCGCTAACATTCGAGATGAACAATCGTGTGTTGAGTGGCATGGGCTGTGGAAGGGTTGAAACATCAAAGTTGGAAAAGTTACTAGGTCTACCAACTCGTAGAGCTCTAAAAGGAAAGTATTATTAGTACAATTCAGTATAGATAGAGTAGTCCAAACAGATCCGACCGAGATAAACAACAAAATCAAATGCCAATCACCTTCCACCCATATCAAGTCCGTTCATACGTTCGATCGCATAGTGTGCACTATCAGGTACATCATATTCAAGAAAACAGAATCCTTTATGTCTGTTTGTGGCTGGATCCAAAGTCATACTGATTGACTTGATACATCCAAAAGGCAAAAAAGCAACTCGAACGTTTTCTTCAAGCATATCAAATGGGATAGATCCAATGTAGATCCGACTCACGCCCGACAAAATCTTTGGATCGACTCCAAATGTAGGTATTGAAGTTGGATGAGAAGTTACTGGACGCACAACGCTGATGCCAAAGAGCTACACCAATGCATAGATGGACACAGATTAGTACAAGCACTGAATTAACGAAATCTAGTCGGACCAACGTGAATTGATGGCTATATACTGCCAATCATATCTCGCACACGCAGGAATAGTACCCACGATAAAATCATGAATGTTTTAATGGCCATTAATAGATGTATCCTTTATAAAGCTTGACATTTACCTGAGCTGTATACTGGTCAGCAAATGTTCGAGCATTCACAATCCGATCAATCTGTTCCTGACTAAGCTGTTCCTTTGGGATTAGTTTAAGAGTAGAACACTTGTGCTCTTGCTTGTTAGGACTCATATTTCCAGTTTCAACCACTCCGTTGGGCTCGGGTGATGATCTGCTGCACTCATGTGTCGACTGGTCTTGATGATTTCGCTTGCGTTTTGAAGGTGTAGATGTCTCTTCTCTACCATCCAACCCTTGATCCGAATCATCCAGCTCTCTGTCATGAGAGCCATGACCATTGTGCTTCTTGGTATTCCTATGCGGGGATTCACCCTCTTCAGCAGTGTGTATAGCATGATTAGATTGGTCTTGATCCGGTTCATTAATCAAAGGTGAGAGATGAGTCTTTTTATGGGATCTAGTCTTTGAGTCAGACCGTTCGTCCATATGAGAGATATCCGGTGAATCCATTATCAAACTTTAATAGATGGATATGTTAATCCCGAGTGTTGGTTTATGCGAACGAAAATCAAAGGACAAAAAAACGATTGACAGCTTTCTGGTGAATCTCGGCCAGTATAATGAAGTGTCTTGCAAGCGTAACTACAATCGCTTTATTATATTCATGGTTTTGGTTTGAATTCACATTGCTTACTGAGCCAGTTATTCGCTAATAAACATGACCACAGAATGACATGTTCATTGCTATAAGATTGTCGGGTGTTCAATCGGAATGATCTTGGAATTGCTTGGTGCTAATTCAATTTGACTGAAATCATTCAGTATATACGCATGGTCATTGGCGGTACTTGATCGTATACCTTGAATGGAATGCATCAACTGTATTGAGATTATGGCAACTTGCTGAATCTATAGACACGTGACTGTGTTCAACTCGAGCTATTTTATCCAACTCACTCCATTTGAATTTGAAATTAAAATCCAATCAAATGGATGTCAAGGGATCGGTGATCTTTGAAACTACAGTCGGCACTATTGCCTTTGAGTTGTATAAGGATCATGCTCCTAAATCATGCGAGAATTTCTATCAGCTAGTGAGCCATTTGATTTTTTAAAATACTCTTGCTCGGCTGTTTTGGTTGAAATAAATCTACTTGTTGAATGTTGCTGATAAACTGTATCTGATAGGCCAAGAGAGGATACTATAATGGAACAAAGGCAAGTGATAATCAACTTTATAATGCCACCAGCCAGAAATCCCATTGGTGCTACTTTGTGGGTAATTGAGTTGATTTTGAATTACTGACTCTAGATTCACTGTTGATAACGGATCTGCTTTCAACATCAGTTTCACAGAGTCATTGCAGTAAGTCGTATTCAGTCTGATTAGCATAAGATGCTCATGGTCAGCACTCTGATTTATCAATACTGCATGACTTTGGAATACTGATTATTACTTGTGGTTTATCTAGGACTTTATGATTCAAGGAGGTATAAGATTGGGTTGCTGTTGTCTTGTAATTTGCAATTTATATGGTCAAAATTTAAATCTGTGTTATTAGGCGATCCAACTGCAACCGGCCGTGGTGGTATGAGCATTTATGGGTAAAGAGTTTAACATGTATTGATATATATTTAATCCTGGCATTATACTCACCATTCCAATACGCATTTATTAATCTGAAATTAGTGAAAAATTCGAAGATGAGATTTCACCTGCACTCAAGCATACTGGTGCTGGTATTCTATCCATGGCCAATAGGTATCCAAGTCATCCCTATAGTATATGCAGATCGGATTGAACGTACTGGGAATTTTCATTGGATGAAAACTAATACAATTCTGACCCATATAGTGGCCCAAACACGAATGGAAGTCAGTTCTTTATTACATTAGCTCCAACTCCTTGGCTGGATGGAAAGCATACCATCTTTGGAAGAGTTTCAGCAGGAATGAATGTTGTTAAGCGTACTGGCATGGTAGGCTCACATTTAATCTCAAACACTAAACCAACCAGCTTAATGCTATTTTCATCAAGGTTTAACTCCCTAAATACGCTTAAAACACCATAAACTGACGAATAATGATATATTATGTTTTGATTCAACTTTATATAGGTCCAAACAGATGCCAATGACAAGCCCAAGCAAGATGTTATCATTGTACGTGCACGAGTAGTCGAATAAAGCGCAATTAAACATCCATCCACATTTAGGCAAACTGTCTTGCTACAAATTCGATTGCAAATGGTACTAGTAATGAATCAAATAGTATTAGTGCATGTACTATTTTAAACAATTCAGAGTTATACTATACAAGGTGTTGATAGAGAACATACAGAGTTGAAGAGATGCCATGATTCCTACAAACTGAAATGCAGTTTTACGAACCTACAAATAGATTGAATGCAATACGAATTAGACAATCCCGAGTGATCTGATTTTAGAATAAACAAGGTATTCTTGGTGCTGTTATCTGATAGTACCTCACACTTAAAAATCAAACACACTTACCAATTTTCTGTTGGTTGCCGCTTCTGATGCATTCACCTTGGGTGCTACTCCAAACATGTTGGCGCTGTTTAAGTTGGTAGTAAAATGTCGAGTTTTTTTTAAAAACAACTTGGCCATTATCACGTGATGAATGGACTAACTCATCAGATCCACCAGCCAAATAGATTCTAAATCTGTCGCAACTACATTCCCAACCTCTTTGACTCGATCTAAACGCAATTGATTTATATTATGTTGATGGTTGAAATAGTCTAAATAGCTGTTTGAATGGTTTAAAAATACTTGTCATTTGCAAAATGACAAGAAACGTGGTGCATCTACTAGCTTCAGCACAGGACATGTTGGCTTTATGCTTTTTGGAATTAACCGAATTTATTCTTGTTTATTACACCATCACACCACTAGTAAATTTAAAACAAACCCTGACTTCACAGTTGTTTAACAGCATTGTTGAGTTGAATAGATATTTGAATCGACAAGATAAAAAAGTAAAAGCTAGCCAATCATGTTCAATTCTACTTCTTATTTGCTTGAATCTACTGCCAGTCATCTCCTTGTCCCATATCAAACAAGTAGTTGGCTGCAAGCTCTTCGTTCTTGTCACATGCAAAGTATGCTTCCAATGCCAAGCCACGATCGAATCCAAGTGCAGCCAACTAGAATTAAATAGATTCAATAAAACAGTCCAAGTACAAAACATCAAGCAAGACAAATGAAATAATACTACTCACTCGTAGAATCGCTTCATTTTCTTCGGTCGTGACAGTGATCTGCTGGCCCATTGCAGCAGTGTCGTCAGCACCTTCAGCACTAGCTATATTGCCCCCCTCTTCAGATCCTTCATTTAGCATCTGCAAAAATTGACCCTGATTTTGGCTAATGAGTTGTAGGAGTTCTGGGTTAGTTTGTCCAATTTGCTGCAAAAGAGGCTGAAGAAGCTGTGGCTGTGAATGCACTAGCTGGCGCAACTGCTGAAATTGAGGAGAGTTTCTTAAAAATGACAATGTAGAGGCATCTCCAGCACCAGGAGCGTGTGAGGCTGCAGCACCAGAGCGACTCTGGGCAGCCTGGGCAGCAGCAGCTTCGAATAGATTGATGTGCTGAGTAGCGGCAGGAGCAGCAGGAGTTGCGGGAGCTGCAGTACTAGAAGGAGTGGTGGTAGTATCAGACAGCACAGGAGCAGTAGAAGCAAATTCTCTTGCAACACTATCGGGAATACCCTATCGAGTATAAGGCCAGATTTACACGCTCGAGTTAGTAAATCAATCAGAAATTCAAAACTGATCTCACCAACACGGTATAAAAATCCGTAGTTTTAAAACACTTACCGTCATGAGATATTCAGCAGCACGATCTGGATTGTTGAAAGCAGTGCGCATGGCATGAGTGACTTGATCACGGGGAAATCCCATTTCCATCAGATTGGAAACAGCATTTTCGTATACAGCGCCAGTAGCAAGAGCGGTTGTAGTTGTGAGAGTCTCTGGGTTCACAGGTGTATCTACGGAATCAGCTGGAGGCACAGCAGAAGCAGGGGTAGCAGTAGGAGCAACAGGTACAGTAGGAGTAACAGGTACAGCAGGGGTAACAGGAGCGGGAGCAACAACAGGGGCAGGAGCAGCAACAGGTTTGGGCTACACGGAAAAAGTTGAAGTACCAATCCATTTAATGAATAAAAATCCAAGTTACATGTCAATCTAGTTTTAATCATAAACTCATTCTGGCAGAAAACAAACATTGAACAATACCTTGGATACCATCACAACAATAAAGTCCTTTTCTGAAATTTTAAGTTCCTCGATAGTAGAAGCATCATTGAGAATTTTCCCTGTGCAATTTATATACACGATTCAACAAACAATCTTGTTATTATCATGCAGCTTTCATATATTTTAGAATCGGACATGTTGAATAGTCTGATGTAATAAAAATAATTGAGCATTTGTTGAAAGGTAAAAGCAATGTGGTATAAAACAGAAACAGTATATAGTTGAATATTTTACCAGAATGGATCAGCTTTTGAGAGGCCACTGTGTAACCCTTAGCAGCCAGGATGGCTTCTTTAACTTCAATCACCTACAAAAACCAATATGCGCAAACACAACAGTTGTAAGAATTCTCAAAGTGTACACTCTGTATATATGGTCGGAGATATAGATAGTATGGTCAGATAACGACCATTGGCTGCTTAAGTTTTGCAGCCAAGATTCATGGGACTTGACAAAGTATTGGGTGCATCCAAATGTTCTCTTTTCAACATGGGTCTTTGTACAATTGTTTTGCCCATGACATGACAAGTAATGCATATTATCCCGAACTATTGCGAATAAAAATAAGAAATATATGTTGACTACTGCATCCATCGCTGCCACCAACAGTAGTACTAAATGGAATCATATAGGGAAAAGGCCGCTAGCGGCAGTTTATATAGATGTGCCATGATGATAATAAAACGAGTACCTTTGCAGTCTGCTCAACCTCGACCTGAAAGTTATCTTGCTGTAAAGTCTTGAACGTCAATTTCATACCTGGTAACAACAATGGTGAGTAGAAACAGCAGTCGATATTGATGACAAAAGAAAATCACACGTGCATTTGCATCGACTGTTATTGCCATCCATAGACTGCTTATGGCATAGATCTGTTTTTACTACCGTATCCGTGTAGAGTGTAACACTTGTGTTCATCTTGCATTGATTACCTTTAATTTGGAATGAATAATGGTCAAATATCCGTTATTTGCCACTACACATTGACTGCTTCAACTGGCACTCTCAATAAGCACAATGTCCATTATATGATACAAGCTATATTTTGAGCCTTTCTTTTTTGACATAGCCATAAACTAAAATCACCAGATTCATGTATTACAATCCAGATACTGAGTTGGACTGTTTTGATGTCAACACAATTCATGTGTTGTATCCTAATCTCGCAGATACAGTCGCGTTCAAGAAACCAAGATTACATGCTCAGTAATGCAACTTATTTTCATACCGATCACCAGCAAAAATACCAGCCGGCTTTTTCAAGAAGTTTAAAAAACATGATTTCCAGTAAATCGAAACCGATCATTCCATGAGATTGGCTGTTTATCTACTTTAGTTTGCTCAGTGTTTCATTTTATGCAATATGGCAAAGTTTAGTCGAATCTTATTTCATAAACACGGGATTCTGATCCATATTCAAGATTTAAAAAAATTCGCAAGCAATTTTCTTTCATTAAAACTGAACCCCATCAATTCTGCTGTGGAATCCAAGAATCTTGTATGGTTCTGATGGATATCCACATTCTGTGATTGGGGAATAATAGTAACTGAAATCAGTTAAAGAGCTGGTCAATGACATACTTGCTGGTGTTTCGTTTCGACGATTGCTTTCCTGTGGGTTGTTGGCCTCTCGCACATTTCAATGTTGATATGATCGTGAGATGCATCAATAAAATGTTGGTTTCTAATACACATGTAATAGTTTTTTATTCTCAAATGTACCTTTAACTTTGGTGCAACTCACCAATGTTTGCCAGGGTTTCTAACTGTAAACCACTTGTTTAAAACACAAATGGAATGATATATGTCAATATTCATCTCAATCAAAACCGTACTTTTTACTGTATCGCTCCAATCTCGAGTAATACAATGAATCATTACAATTAAAAAAGTATGAAATCACAAACCATTGGTCTGATCAGGTTATTGAGTTGCCAGAATTTAATGTTTACAGTTACAATAGATCAATAAATTAAAAGTTGGCATGACACCAAAAGCTAGATTGGGTCATTGACAACTGAACTAGACATAGTAACAGCTAACATGCCATAAACAGTAAATGCCCACCAAAAAGGAACAGCACTCATTGCCACATGTTTAATTAGTTTGAATAAAAGGCTCAAACCATCCCAATTGACAGGACCAACCAAAGCACCATTGTATACTTGATACAGATTCACAAGTAATACATGAACAGCGGAGACCCTCTTGGCATGAATATCACTCTAACCGGACCTCCAAATTCAAATAATATCATGATCGGTATTTGAAAGCATGTGGATAATACTGGATATGGGTTCATTGCAATTGAAATTTACACAATGGTTTGATATGCCAGTAAACATAGAGGCAGGGTTTGCCTCATCTGACATTTGAGTGTTGAAGCATACTGCTTCAACATTTACAATAATGGACTAAAAAGTGAAGCAAACATTAGTGTTGAAAGCAAGGTCAGGGCGGGAACGATGCTATATTTTCGCGATGCATATATCGAACATTGAAAAGTATAAGCGAGACAGGAAAAATCATAGACAAGTTGATATTCCCAGTTGTCCCTACATGTCTCTGATGGTCATGCATATACTGTAGCATGAGTACTGCATTCTCCAATCCGCTCCAACAATAGAATACAATCACTATTGACGCCAAAAGTGCAATATTAGGAATAGGGGTATCATCTAAGATCTGCTGTGTAGCAGCATCATAATGTGATGAGTATATCATGACTTGTACATGATGGTTCCAAGCATTATTATTCTTCCACTTTCCATCTGTCTAGTAAACATTCAGGATATCGTCTATTCAATAAGTATCTTGTATTTCTTACAAACCGAGCATTGCAAGTAAACTGAGTGGCGTGAAATAGTTGTATTCCTAAAATGTGCGAATTTGTTCTCGACCAGAGCGCAAACATATCTGAGATTAGGTGTAAGATGGGTTTGTACAGAGTTGTATTGATAGTGTCAAAATAGTCGAATCTAATATTTGGATTGCAATGGATGATCTGGTGATTGTACAATGTATGATTATACCAAAAAAGGAAAAAAAAAGACGAGTCCAGTTCAAAGCAATGCTTCAAGAGTGATTGTGGTCATGACTCTGATAATAGTATGGCTGCTATCGGCAATAAATTTATCTAGTTTGGATGATGCATACGTCACTAAACTGCTTCCAAGTGAGCAATTTTAATTTTCCAGTAAAACTGCAGTCAGTGCAGCCAAGCCATAGTAATACAAAAAATAGTTCGGATCGCTTGGATACAATCACGAATCTGCTGACAAGGAGAATCTACTGACGGAAATTTAGGCACTTTCACCAAACCTTGTTACCCTTATAGCCAATGACAAAGGGAATGATAACGGGGAGAAATGAAAAATCGCCAGCACCATCGCCATTAGCGTGTTTCTTGGTGGTGTACTTTTGCGAATATTGTAGATTGTCCATTGATTTGAATGACAGCATCTATTGTATTTCCTGTACCACAGCAGTAGTCTAGCTTGTTGATACGGCCAGTTTGTTGAACGGCCTGCTGCTTTTTTGATTAAATATAAGACAACGTCCCTTATTTAGTCTGACAGCAGTTACTTGCTAGGCTTGATATTGGTCCTGTTCCGACAGTTTTGAGCGCTTCACCTGTAGTCTACACTAGCCTAAAACAATTGTACAGTTTACAAGCCAAAAGTTCCTGTTTTTAAAGGGCTACAACAACAGTCTGCTGATGTCTGAATGCTTCCAAAATATGGTGGGTTGGAGTTTCTATACAACCAAAAATCCCCCTGTTCTCATCCTCATTGTCGCTACCCTTGAACCATCGGGCATTCTCGGTAGAGTCACGTGTAACAGCATTCTAAGCCTTATTCGTGACAGAACGAATACCCTACTGTCTATTATACCCATATAGCGCAGCACAATCTACCGTCAAAGATTTTAAATACCTACTAGTGCTGTTTAAATGGAAAATGCCTTTTTAAAACAAGGAATCACGGAAAAGTTGAAAAGGTCCCTTGTTAATAAAAGCAAAGCAGATCATAGTATTGGCCATATTCTGCCTAACTTGTAGTTTGAAATCACCAGCTTGATCTTTCGATTCCACATCTTGTTACAGCGGATAGTAGCTTTATTATTTTTAGATAACAGAAGAATTGAGGAACTGAATTGAAGGTACCATTCTTTTGTCCGTTTTAAACACCAGCTTCTTACTCTGACAAACACACTCATTACATTTGTTGTGCCGAATTGAGGTTTGAAATAGGCCGAGATACCAAGACTTATACACTTGCTTTATAGATACTGCCAAGAACTCAAAGCTATTCTCAAGCTAGGGGTACTGATATCACCTCAAAACCTATATATATGTATATATTTGGTTTTGCTAATCCCACCGCCGAGATTTTCAATTGCAACTTTAGGTATTACCTATTCCTTTGCCAAGCGTATAGCACGCTATTGGACAGCTAATCTCCAAAACCTACGCAGTATATTTTCAAGGTGAGTTTTATAATTAATGAAAAGCATTATCAATTCAAATTTCAATAGACTATCCTGTAGCTTGTTTTTGAGTTTGCTACGCCATGAAAGCAATGATCATTCACTCTTCAGTCTATTCATATATGAATCTCGACTGACGTTCCTTGTCTAAAGCAGTTGCTAAGCAGCTGACAAGTGTGGATATGTTTGGGTCTATTGAGTTTCTTAAAGAGAGTATAATGATCAAGTATGCATATAATGAGTAGAAAATGCAGGCCATGTAATTGATTGTTTAAATGATATTTATTCCTTTAAATTTGATAATCGTGTCTCTAGACAGACGAGTCAATAGATAATCAAGGGTAGTGTCAGATCCAACAATTGTAAAGGACAGCAATCGAGCCATAAGCTGCTTTTTCACCTGATAAATACCGAATTCAAAGTCTGTGTCATGTAGGTTTTTGACACTCCAAGCTTGCAACTATTTTCAATGTTTCGGCAGTATTCGAAGACCAGCCCTGATACTAGCTTTTTTAAATAGAAAAAGTTCAAAGCCAAGCAATATATAAGCAGTCCGAAGCTCCTGTGCTTTTTACCAAGGCCTAGCTGTAGTATAGGTATTGAGGCGCACATTTCTTGTTGCAGTACAAAGGAATTTTTTTACCATACTGGTGGTATTTGCTACTGCTGATATTCTGACAGTAAGTGTATTACAGACTCGTCATTTTTACAAGTGATCCCATGCACATGGAAGGGGGAAAGTACGAGCTAGTCATAGTTCTCCAACCAGAACGTACAAGAAGTTGTGGATTTGGAGATATTTTGAATCGTCGAACAATTGATCCATGTGTTGTTTTGCAATTGGGTTTGCGGTATCCAGGACAAGATAAACTAGTCTTTGAGTAAGTTTTGAATTTATTGGTGTTGTGTTTGTACTATTTAGACCTTTATTTGATTATATAATTGTACGGTTTTAGAAATTCGTACCCACCTTGATACTATCTGAATGTCACTAAAGATTGACAAATTCACATTCTATGATTGATTGCAAGCTACCTTACCTCATCCCTGATTTTATCTGAAATGCTTGGGCATTTTATTTGTAGCAAGTTGACTCGAGTATTTATAGCAACCATCAACTATTTTTAGAAAGTAAGCTGGTGATGGAAAACAAAATTACCAACTCTGCTAATTACCCATGCTAAAGTGATACCATGGCAAGATTGTGGGTGGCTTGGCTTTGGCAACAGTGTCTGATCTGAATCCTACGTAGTGCAGGTTTTTAATGTGTCACGTGTATTCTACACATTGATCTTTGCTGGTGTTTAAGGCATTAATTTCATGGGAACTTGGTATCAATGAATTGCATGTCAAGTTGATTATCGCGTCTTATTCGAGTTGCATTCGTGTGAAATGGAATACTTGTATTTATCCTGCAGTATATTTTGCTTTGGAATAGACGATGCTTAAATATTTATTGCGCTCCTACTACACATCGCTGTTTCTTCAATTGACATTCTCAATTCTTTCAAACAGCGTTTACTATATGATGCATACACACATTATAGTTTTGAACCAAAATTATCCCTTTCTCTTTTTGTAGTCGTGCATTGCACGATCACCAAATTTAAACCCAGACTCATCCATTTCGATCCATATATTGGGTTCGACTGTTTTGATGATGTCGATACAACACTACTTTGTTGTATCGATATCATAGATATGTTTGCGTTCTGGTTCAAGAGAACAAAGATTGCACGTTTTAGGAGTACATGTTTTCATGCAATCACCCAGTTTACTTGCAATGCTCGTCGTTTTGTAAGAAATAAGAGTTGGATATTAACAAGTGGTGGATGTACTGGGCCTGCGATATGAATGCTACCTTGAACGTTCGTTCAGTTGCTTTATACAAATGAGCATGAAAGAAAAATACCAGTAAACCTTGTCAAAGGGTTCAAATGGCATAATGCTGTCCAGCAATTTGGTACCCATCATTTCATGAGACTGGCAGTTTATTATGCAGACGCTCCTATTTAGTGTTTCACTTTATATGAATGCGGCTACAAGTCGTCTAGTTTAAACCTATTGTGGCTTCATGATTTCATTGGTTTGGATCAAGTACTTGCAACTTCTTTTTAAATAACATTCGTCTTTTATCCAGCTACTCAAGACTTGGACCCATTACACATTTTGTTTCTACCTGCACTCTCATATCCCCTGATGGCCAGCACGATCTTAGCCTCATTCTTAGTCCACATCAAGTCAAGAAAGTGTATGATTACCAAAAAAGCCAGCCTTTTTCCTGGGATCAAAAAGGTAATATAGAGTCTGCATCCTCTTTCAATTTGATTGGCAAAGATATAGCAGACCTGGATCATGGTAAGCTTTTGCCTGGTGCCAAATTGCAGCTTCAAGAAGCAAAGACTGTTTATATACTATTTCCAAGTCTTGACATAATTGCACTATATGATTCTATTCTAAACAGAATCAACCACCATGCGCGAATATGCAGATATTGAAAAGAGCAGTCATTCGTCCTTGTCACAAACAATCCACCATAATCCGTCGAGTATGCCGACTTCTTTTAATGCCAACCCAGAAATGCTACATTTAAATACTTCAACTCAAGCCACCACTGGCACTTCAATGGTAAGAATAGCTGACCATACAAAGTTGATCATTAAACACGCTAATCAAATATAACTCTTGGTCAAATTCCTACATCCGCTGTTCAATCTAAATTCTGCATAGACTATGCTACCAATCTCTGTACCCATGCCGCATGAATCCAATATAACCACAACCGACACATTACCATATTTGTCGAAACCACATATTTCACAACCTTATCCAGGAAACAATGTGATTCAAACTTTATTTGGGTCAACTCTCTCTGCATGTTTCCGTCTTTTAGATCTAAATGGACAATGGGGTGCCTATTTTTTATTTCCAGAAATATGTCTTCGCTTAGAAGGCCTGTTTGCGTTAAAGTTTACCATTCACGATGTTATGGGGTAAAGGTTTGCTTGAATGATTTGCTAAACTTGTGTCGGCCTGACTAATGCCTTGATTCTTAGATGCACACCAGATTCTCCCAAACCTGCAGTAATTTCTGTAATCACACAGCCGTTTCGATCTTATAATCCACGAACATATCCGGGGATGCAAGGTATGATTTTTATCACGACACGGATCTAGAAAAATTGGAATTCTAATATTTTTTATTTTGAAAATGATTGAAACAGTTTCACCACCACTTGTTCATCATTTTTTTATGCAAGGCGCACCACTTCTGGTTAGAAGTAAAGTACCTACCAAGAAGAAAACGTTCGGTTCACCCACAAAAGAAGAGAATTAGCATAGATCGACTCGAGCTAGATTTGACATTTGACTAATCTATATAACACTTTTTAATTTTTGATGACAGAACAACACATGATTCAATAATTTTACTCAATCGTAGCTTTTAAAGCAGTGATTGGGTCTAGGGTTTCGATAAATAAAGATGGTTTTATTCGAATGCAAAGTTTAAAATTTGGTGGGTGGATTTGGCGCTGCTAAATTGCACCAAAATATACGGTGTGTGTGGTAAAATTTGAGGACTAAAGTTGGCACGACTTGATGGATGAAGCTGGCAGTATTTTCGGTTCTCCTCCACACAGTTTTTCGAAATGGTAATTGATTATAATGGTCTGCAGCAACATGCATCGAAACAATTAAGACTATTTATGCATTGAAGCATGCATGCATTGTGCCTATCCATCCATTGGCATGCTGGTGCATGCATCGATGCTCTGGGTTGGATGGATGGATGCATAGGTCTGAATGGAACTTGGAGTACTGGACTTGGACAGGAGATCATGCAGCTAGAACGATCTACTTTGGCTATGCATGTATACCTTTATGGCTACTTGCTAAAGTGCCGATATTAGATCACTTTGTTCAAGTCTCACTCAAATCTTGTTTAATTCAGCCTCACTGCAGAATGACCACTCAACTGCCTGCTTATTCTGTATCATTACAAAGTGATGGTTGAGATTTTTCAAGTCTTGCTGAATCTGAGCAATCTTGGAGATTACTTTCAACAAGCGAATTGGATATTGCTCTCCAAGACTTGAAATATCCGTTGCCTATCCTTGTTTGTCGAGTGATTGAAGTCTTCATTGTATTTACACTTATTGACTGCACTTTCAGTATCAAGTCTCACTTTTGAATTATGGATATATCTAGACCAAGGGAACAACCTCTTTCGGTAAACGTCATAACAAGTCGCACACTCTTTGCCGTCGTTGTGGACGTCGTTCATTCCACATCCAAAAGAAGACTTGCGCACAGTGTGCCTACCCTGCCGCAAAGACCCGAAGCTGTATGTTTATATTCTATAGATGATCTTTGTAGATGTGTGTGCTGTATGTTAAAAGTTGCTGACTGATCCATTTGCTTTTAGACGAATGGTCCGAAAAGAGCAAGCGCAGGAAGACTACTGGTACTGGTCGCATGGCCCATCTTAAACACCTTCCCCGTCTTTTCAAGAACGGCTTCCGTCAAGGTATCTATTTTTAATGATTGGTTAGAAACTAGTCGAAACAATTCTTTCGGGTTATATTAACCCATTTTTAAACGCGCTCAATAGGTGTTGCCAAGAAATCCACCAAGTAAAGCCTGCCTTTCATAATGTCTGGTTGAGCAACTATACATCCAATTATTTTTTACTGGATAAGAAAATGTATTTTTGCTTGGTTCAAGCGTCTACTATTTTAATTAGTTTATTATTTCTGTTTGTGGCGTGTGGTAATTTATTTGGAAATGATCTACTTGGGTTGCACAATATTGAGACTGTTAGAGCTAGCAGTATGTGAATTTGTATTTTACATCTACCTTGATACTTGCCACTATCAGATGATTTTGTGCAGTCATGAAAGCTTGTGAACTTGGTTTCATTCTGCTAAATTGATAGCCAGCAGCTGCCTGTGAGGTAGATTTGAGCGTCCAACTTTGAATAGTCATATAGTATATTGAGAAAATGAGCCGAGTTTTGATCATTGATGATTTGATTTAAACTTGGTATGCCAATAGCATCAGTTTTGATGGACGTTTACACTATAAGTTCTAGGGCTAACTTGGCACTGATTTACAGCCGTATCCAATAAACACTGGCAATGATATGATACACACGACCAAACTATAGTTTTGAATAAAAACTATCTTCATTTTGGCATAATCATACATTGTATGATTTCTAGATATTGAGTGACTATTTCGCTGTCAATCAAACTCTGTACAAACCCATCTACATCCTAAAATCTCATACGCTTGCGTTCTAATCCAAAAATGCAACTGTTGTTTACATGCTGGCCACCAGGGAAAAGATCAGAAGGCACAATATTATCTAATAAATCTGGTAGAAATGATCATTTCATGGGACTGGCCGTTTATTATAGACACTCCTATTTAGTATTTCATTTTACGTAATGTGGCTGTATTCAATCGACAAATTACGCGTGTATGCCATTTAGACTACAAAACACATTAAAAACCTCGTCAATTGTGTAACAGGATGGCCGTTTTGTAAATTCGCCATTAAATTAAACTTTTTAGTTTCTTTTGTTATCATCTGTTTGGCAAGAAAACACTAATCTATTTTCTCAATCAATTCGAAAGCCTCGATATTCATTCACTATCCAAATGCCACTGATTAATCCAAGTTCATTGTCAAGTAATCGTCTCAATATTGCAGGACTTATCATCAATATTATCGGGATTATATTCTGTGGAGTAGGAGTTTATAGTTTTGCATATTGGGTCATCTACAAAAAAAAGGCAGGAAAAGTCACGCTATACCTTCTTGGAATCAACTGCGTAACTATACTTTTTCTGATCTCCCAGCTTGGCTATCTGTATATAGAAAGCATACCCATTCGCATCATTCGAAATTGGCTATCCATATCAGCATCGCTGGTTATGGGGTTGATGGAACTTGAAATCATGTGTGTATTTATTATTTTGACCAATGCCAATTTCACCATGTCTTCGAATTTCACAACTTATGTGCGAGTGGGCATCATTGTTGCACATCTGGTGGCAGATTTCACCTTTTTGACCGACCAAATTTGGTTCAATAGTGACATTTTGCCCAACGATTATCGAACAAAAGTAAGTCATGAATCATTTCTGGAAATTGAACCATCCAGTCAATTAGACTAAAGTGTTGCCGTCTTTGAATTAACTATTACATAGTGGGAGCAAATAGGGCCAGGAATGATACTATCCATCACAGGAATATCTGCCGGTATTCAATCCAGTTTTATCATCTACAAGGTTCGAAAATTTTTTATAACAAGAGAAACCATTGCAAAGAGTCAGCAACAATCTAAAGACGCTACTGCACAAGTTCAAGAAATGAAGAGTCTGTATTTGCGTGCCATTATGCTTCTTGTTCTGGAAATAGCTGCTTGCTCCACATACATCATATCCCTAATTACTACTGCGCCAACACGAGAGATGCTTTTATCCAATCAAGCAGCGCTACGACAGATATCGTATGGATTTACTGGGGTTCACGTGTATCTGGAAACACTGCTGTTGTATGCTGTGGCAAATCAGGTCAAAAACTCTGCAAAAGCAAACAGGGTTCAAAGCAGCATGGATAGCAGAACGCAAAACCCACCAAGTGATAAAGGCTTGGTAGATAAAAGTACCATCGTGTCGACAGATTTATAAAATAATGTATTTGCTCATTTCAAAGTCATTTTAGTTTATTTGTGCAATAAATGGCTTTTGATAACCTTGGATCAAATTTGCTTGATACATTTTGCACTGTTCAGAAAAAGATGGATTCATTGTTACAACAAAATAACAACTGCTCTATCATAGGGATGTGTCCATTGAAGGACTATTTCCAGTTTTCCTATAAGTTTGCTTTTCTTGCTTCCATTTTTGAATCTGTTCCTTTAGCTCTACATCTGGCTTAACTTGATCGATTGAAAGTGGTTGTCGATTAAATGGATCGTGTGCATCCGACAGTAAGTGTGATTTGATGGTCGACAAGTCAATCGTGACTCCGCTTGATGGCAGAATCACTGGATCCTCCATCAGTGTGTAAAGTAGTGGATCTATACATGTATCAAATCATGATATTTCAATCAAACAATAGGTGTGTGAAAAAAATAAGTATAAAGATCATGCAGTTCTTATCGATATCAAAAAGCGAATAAAGATAATGCAAGCTATCGTACCAAGGAAATGATCGGGAACATCACCCATCTCCTCCTCCTCAATTTTATCCGCTAAAAGTGTCTGCTCAACTTTGCCAACAAACTCGTTCAGTTTAGCAATATCCATCTACATCCGGTCAAAATAGGAATTGCTGTTAGCATCTAGTCATAAAACGCTCAGATTTCTTCATCAAACCAAGCAACTTGATGCAAACCTCATTCAGTAGCCGATGACGAGAAAGAATCGATGAGGCGCGATCAAACACTTCCTTTGAGTAGGATCGACCATCTTTTGCAACAGCAGCCACAAATTCTGTTCGATGCGCCAAATGAACAAAAATACCAACCAAGTCACTCAAAAGTCGCTTTGGATCAAACCGATACTTTTCTGGATTAGTGACCTTCAACTCTGTACATCGAGGTCCAGCCAATGCTACAAGATTGAAATCAAGCATAGCTGCAAGTCGCTCAACAATCTCGGTAGCCATAAAGGGCTCAATGATGTCAGAATGACTGGTCATATACTGCAGCATATGAACAGTTTCGTTGGAAAGAGATACATAAGACAGTGCCTGACGCTCATGTTGAGCTAATAAACCTTCACGCTCTTTTCGTCTTTGCTTGTCTTCATCGCTGGAATTCTCAGGCAACGGGACAGCTAGCTCGGTCTGTAATCCGCCTATTTCTTTAAGCTTTGACAGACCTTCATCTAGTAAATAGGTTGTGTCGTTCATGAGAAGTGCTACAAATTTAACAAAGAAATCCTTGTCTCTGCTAGCTTGAACAAGTGCGGTTCGATGAACAGGATCGGTCCATACACTTTTGATAATCTGCGAAATATTATATCTAATATTGAACTTGTCATAAAACTGAGAATGCATTCCAGTTTGTTCAACATCTGTTTTCAAACCCATTTTACAGTTAATTTAAAAGTATAAATAGGAAAATGATATAGCGGTTGAGAATAAAAACGTACCAACATAGAATCCAAGTGTCGATCGCACTAGATGCGCACGAGCTAATGTATGCGTTGAAAATACGCCATCCATGCGACCGCGAGTTTCGCCATTCGAAGTACGATACAACGGAATAGTGAAATAGAATAGAATCTAAACAAGTCTAAATTTAGTATTCACATAGTATTTGAGCAATATCAAAGTAGCTAATTAAAACTGCTCACCTCGACAAGTTTGCTTTTGAGATATGGATTCCTGATGTAATTTGGATTGGACAAAAATACCATGCTAAATGTTATGATTTCATCGCATATACGGTTTTCAAGAATAACTGGATTGTTGCTAAAATAGATAAACACAGTGTTTTCACCATTTTCATGTGTTGGTCAATAGAGTATAATATTCAATAATAGGTAAATACTAAAACGCAAGCATACTTCATGATGAATAAATAAAATTCACAAATATCTTCAATGATCCATTCAGGCAACACTGCAAACTCAATGGGTGGAGTAGCCGGCAGAGGAAAAAGTTGCACTCTATTGGACATCACATATCAAAGTTAGATTAAAACTACTCAATTTGTGTCAAACTAAAACTGCCATTGAAAATATACCCATCAATATTGCCACACGCGACTTGATCCCACGCAACACTACATGTTGTTTCAGTCATGCCACTTGCAGCACGAATTAAAACCATCATGGTAAGATTATATAATCTCAGAGTGTAGTCCAAAGCCGATGGACTCATAAGTCCTGCATCCATAGTCAGTTTGACTCCAACAAGCTTATCTACTTCGTTCTGTCATTCATAATATACCAGTTAGAAAGCCTGCTCAAGTCCATTACAAAAATGACACTACGCTTTATAGCAATCATCATGCCTACCTGGAGACGTCGAAGTCCTTCTTCGTTTGCATTGCGTACAAATGGTTGTAAAAGATTCCACGCACCTGAATCTCTAACTGCTTTGTATTTGTTGGCTTGCTTGCGCATCTCATTCAGTTCCTTGATAAACCCAGAATAATAGCGAATTGTGCTCAATACTCCATAATGATGCATAGCAAGTGTGAGGTAAAAGATATCAGTAACAAAATTTACTGGAGGCTGGGGGTTAGTTTCTGAGTTGTGTGTAGCTTTCCATTGATCAACGTGCACATCCACTGCATCCTTGTCGACAAGAATACGAGTAACGTCATTAAAATCTAGTCTGGTAGTATATGTTGGATAGTTTAAATCAATTAAAGCAATCTTGCTGAACCTTGCATCCATGATAGGGTCACACAGTCTTAGACAAACATGAAGAAGATTGTGCATAAACCCATCAGTTGACACTTGACGCCTATCTACTTGTAGTTTACCACGACTGATATTAAGTTTAACTACATGGGAGATAAACGCTAGTACGCATTCTCTAGAAGTGGGCCCAGCCTTGATAATTGCAATAACAATATTGAATAAATCGGTATGAACTAGCTGGGAAGCATCACGTAATCCATTCATGGCAGTCTTTACATCTGCGTTGTTTCTTGCACCAATGGAGTTTCCACGCTGGTCTGTCATATCCTCTCCAAATGGATTTGAACTTGAAAAATACTTTGCAGCAATTTCGGGATCTGAGTCGGGAAAAATACCTGTTCTGCTTAAAAAAGGGCCCAATATTGACATGACTTCTACTGTGCGTGCATTGACAAAGTCTGGGTTCCAATCGGACAGCTGTGTCACCAGATTTGCAATAGGTTTAAATGACACCAAGTACTGAAATACACGAATGGGTTGAATGTATTGCTTTATGATTGATTTTGTTCGCATGCTGGTAACGACACTCTTGATGGTATATCCTAATATATCCTCCAGTCCGTCATCCTCAAAGCGAGTAATAAATTCTGTAATAAACTCGCGTGGATAAACACTTGTTGGATCGTGTGATTCAAGCAACTTGTAACCAAGAAATCCAGAACCCCAGTCATGGTTTAAGGGGAAATTGTCAAGCATATCGGGGTTAAGAACAAGGCCAGCATAATTGACAGCAAGAGATTGTAGTAAAGCAATAGCAGTGTCACACACACAAGCCTTGGATGCAGCCGTTGGATTTTCTGTAGCCAAAGCCAAAAACTGTTTTAATGTCTGACGTGTGGAGTTGGCACGAGTCCAAACACCGCAGAGATAATCGAATAAAGCAGGCATCGTGGGATCAGAATTTGCTGGAATTTGAAGGCGAACATAAATGACTCTTTCAATCATATCTGTCGTAAACACCAGTGGTATAGATTCGCCTTTTAATTCATCAACAACTTCCTGGAGATACATGAGACCATTTGGAGCAGGAGTCTGGTCAAATTGGAAAGGAAATCAAGTCAGTATGGCTGTCAAACAATGCATATGATCAATGAAATTGCCATTAAATCTAAAAGACTTGAAGATCGAGTGAAATCTAAACGTACTTTGAGAGAAATCTGCAAGATGGAGCCAAGCGATCTATCTAGCCAATCTTCATTGGTAAGATTAAGAAAGTTATCCAAGGCCGTGCTTTGGGTATTTACAGCAATTTCTGCAAGAGTTGATGACTAAAAACATAGAAAATGCAACATGTCCAGAGTTAATTACCAATGACAGAATAGTCTAACAAAGCAACACCAGAACGAGCAAATGAATTTCATGTATGAATAAGCTGAACGAATTGATAGTCAGCAATTCAAAATAAAGAAACCATTGATTTGATGCCCGTCTAGTTCTATACGAGATATCAAGCATAGTAGATGAACAGCACCTTGGTAGCAACTGGAGTCGTGGTAACAGCTGGAGTTGTGGGAGCAGATGCGAAGCGAGACCTTGCATCAGATAAACCACCAACAGCATCAACAGATGCGGACATGGACACAGAAGTAGATTTTCCAGTAGGTTGAATGTTGGTGTTGATGGGACTGCTGTTGGCACTAGCAGGTTTGCTTCCAGCACCAGTAGGTTTGTTTCCAGCACCACCCAGTTTTGCAAGTCGTTTCTGTCGGATCTACAAAGCATAATAATGCCATTCATTGTTGTCAGTATGTTCCATATATGAATTGCAGTGATAAGACCGTATCATCAACTCTTGGTCCTGAAATGATCACCAACCCACCAAGTCGTTGTCCATTCTGTTGCTGTTGGTTTCATGATGCCAAAATCGAATATAAAGTGTTTTACACGTGATCATTGGGCTCATTCTGCTCACTTGAATCTCGACTGTTCCGTACTGCTTCCACTGATCTGCTACAAGGTTTGACCATCCAATCAACTTGTACCAAGACATTATCTACTTGGTATTTGATGTTTTCATCACACCAACTCAAGTGTTGTAGATTTGTAAATGGATTGAGGGTTATACGTCAAATAAATGCCTGACTTGTTTATTTTAGCCAGGCTTAAAGCCCTGTTTTTAACTAGACATGATTGCATAGTGTGCAGTTGAAGTATTCTCACACAAAGTTTTGTCATTGAGCTGCGGGTATCTAGAGATGTTCAAGAAATCTCATGTTGCGTCAAGTACGCGGAAATGCTGACTGTCTGGCAAGACTGCTGCTCGAGTCACTATGCAGCTGAATATCCAAACAATAAAGCCAGTAGTATATTAAACAATATTCTTCTAGTGTTGGTTTCGGTCAATTTTATCTTGAAAAGTCTGTTTCATACACGTAACCAAACTTCTTGGCAAGTACTTCCAACGTATGATCGTCCTTTTTCGAGCCACTTTGATGGAGTATCAGTGGGCGACTGTTTGTTTCTAAAAAATTAAGATATGGGGCAGTCTCAAGAATTTGATACTGATTAGCAGAGATGCCATACATGGCCACACTGAGGAGATTCCAGTGGTCAATTTGAATAAGCTGTTGAGCTGTGTCGATCTTCAAGAGTGAGTTTTGATCCCCGTTGCGTGGAGGTTGATTTTTACTGAACAATAAAGTAGATGATCCCACCTCATAGGTGTTTGTAGATGGGTCTCGCCACCACTGTATTGGATCCAGCAGAGCCAAAGTGAATAGTAGCTGATCATCATAACAATCATGCTGATACACTACCTGAATCAGTCGACGAATCAATCCAGCTGGGCCAATCATGATTCCCGCATTCAAATATCTGAACGGCGTATATGTTTTTTTACCTTGGATATGTTCAGGATCAGTATAGTTTGACCATAGATCCCCACGAGGATAGCAAGCAATTTCTGCAGCAAAAAACACCCTCGGCCCATTGTATAGATCCACAAGAGAATTGTACCTCGAAATGAGTTCTGAAACTGTAGTGCCTGGAGTAATGATAACATCATCCGAGTCCGACCATACGATTAAACGATCTTCGGGTTGAGTCAAAAGGTAGTCGTGAAGAATACGGATGCGTAGTCCCCATCTTGCTTTCCATTTACTGCCATATCCAAGTACTGCAAGTGGAATCCCTGCTGCACCAAGTAAATCTGCTAGCCGATTCGATCCTAAACTACAATACGTGGAGTACGTTACCCACAGCATAGGACAGCGAGATGAATCTTGGCGGCATTCATCATTGATGGTTTCAGATAAATTTGATCCATTCTTTATAGCACGCATATTCTGTTCTACAAGTTTTTGACTCATACCCTGGATCATTATACTATTTGAAGAGCTATATTTTGAGCTATACTGCGAGTTTAGACTAGACTTGACAATGGAGTTTTTGAATGTGCTTCCACATGAATGGATTTTAAGAGTATAGGACCACATAATATGACAATGAGTGTATGATGGTGTGATCCTGCCAGTATATGCATGCACATTTGCTTGATCCAATCTTGTGCTTGTTTTGAATGTCCTTAGTAAATCTCCAGTAGTTGGCGGTCCCTCGTTTGTTGTCAGAAGCCAGTATGTCGCAATGCATCCGATTCCTATCAGTACGAGTATCAACAACCGTCGAAACTTGCGTTGGTGCAACATATCAGCTGTATTGGCGTAAAATAGAACACTAAGCAAGGGTGACTAAGCACATAATAAACGGCCAGTTTCATGAAATGATTGGTGTTGGCTTCCATCAAATTTATTAGATAATATTGTGTTCTCTGAATTCGTTCAACTGATCTTTGCTCACTGTTTAAGCTGAATGAATGTTTATATCTGCTTCAATAGATTCCACACTTGCTCACTCTCCAACTCTTGTACACACTGAACATTATGGAATTGGGTGACTGGTATGGAAACAGTCGCATTCTTGAGACTGCGATCGTTGTTCTCTTGAGCTAGATTGCAAGCGTATCTGTGAGATTAGGATATAGGAGTTTGATAGCATCGGAATAGTAAAAACTAATACCTGGATTGCAATGCATGAATCTGCGGATCATACAATATATGGTCATGTCAAGTGGAAACTCAAACTATAGTTTGATCGTGTGCATTATATCATTGCTAGTGTTTATTGGATTGAGATCAATCTCTAATAGGAAAGCACGTTGAATATCTAACCACTGTTTATTTCAAAGCAAACGAGGCTTTGAATGCAAGATAAGCACAACGGAGCATTTTGTTGAGTGTAATTACAAAGATGGGCTTGTCGTTTCTACAATATTTACACATGGCAAGATCTCAAGTGTGATTTTAGATGAATACTGTTTGGATGCTCACCACTTCATGTTGTTGTCAGATTGAAATCCAAGCCAGATCCATGGAAATAAAAAACTGTATCAAATATGCGTTTGCTACAACCACTCGAATATTTATTGCGACTTTTTAGTATGCAAATTGGCTTTGACCATAGAGCCAGGGGCAAGAGCAAATAATCGCTGACCAGCACCTCCAGTGGGATCGTAAAAAAAAAGCCATTTGATCAGCAAGATAGTGGGCATAATGATAAATGGAGAATATATGCCAGCCCACTGTAATCGGAGTCCATAGACTTCAGCCTCGCTCATTTCAAGTGCTTGAATAAATTCCTGTCGTCCCCAAAGCAGCTCAGCATAAATTGGAATCATGGTTGTGAGAACATGGACCGAGTAGATGATAGCGGGAAAACGAAACCAAGAGTGCCAGTTCATGGAGAGAGCAACAATGGCAAAGAGAAAGAAAGGAGCCTGAAGAACAAGTTCGGCAGTGAATATAGAAGCTACCCACATTTCCCTGTTTCCCAGAGCCATAGAGATGAGAGGATCGTGAGTAGATGCGACAGCACTCACTAGTAATGTCTGGAGGGATTGTGGGATGTAGAGTGAACGTAGATCAGGAGAGAGCGCAACCTGCGAAGCAAAGATAATAGCGGGAAACAGACCCAATGAGAAAAAGATGGCAAACAGCATGTCAAGCGGACGATGCATGAATGAAGTGTTGTGAGAAGACATTGTAGATTGGTGGGAATAGTTTTCAACTAGAATTGCCTTTTTGTCAAGATCTGAGTCTGACAACCCGTCCAATCAAATTCGAATTTCCTTCACTTTCCAACTCTTGATCATTGGTTTCTGGTGTTGCTGATCTGATTGTTACTGTCACCACATTGGCCAACCTACGTACTCTTACTCAAACAACCGATGGCTGCTCCCAAAGTTACTCCTCGTACTAACATTGTGGGTGCTCATCAACAAAACCTTCATGTTAAGGCTGGCTCTCGTCTTTCTGGCAAATCCAAGCCATTGCTTGCCTATAAACGACTCTATGTGGGTCTGGCTGTTGCGCTTCCTCTAATCATGCTGGCTTCTGACTGGATTCCTGCTCAATCTACTTTGGGTGCTGCAAAACAGAGACTGATACAATCCTACACTGCACTTGCTTACATGCCCACTGGTTTTCAAGCGGCCTTGCTGATTGCTCTCTTGTCGATCGTCTACGTCTCTACTACTATGGGTAAGCCCTATATGGTATTTGCATACAGCTGCTTCATCAAGCCTTATCTGATGTCCAAGCCCAACGGTATTGACTCTGATCAGCACCAGCAGCGTTTAGAACAGTTTTATGAAGGTCAAGCCGAAATTTATGATGTGACTCGTCGCAGGTAATTCCTTACTGCTGTTGAATGGTTTGATGCGAATATTATTGCATGCTTCACTTGTCATCTCTTTTTCAATAGAATAGCTGTTTGTTTGATGTGTGCATCGTTATCCAATTACATCTATATGGATTTCCCTTGATTTATTGTGAATGGCATGATCATGACATGATCATGACAGTTGAATCCATATTCTTTATCATTGACTATTGATTTACAGTCTGCTGGAGTCATGAGTGATTTATACCTTTTGGTTACTGTCTTCTATCCAGCCATATTCTACCATTCATTAATTTTCATCCCGACTGCTCTCATTGAGCTTTGATATCTTTTACCCACGTGCCCTCATACTCTGTTTATAAAAGGGGTATACGCCCTACATTTGGGGTGTTTGGCTGCAAAAATTAAATTTGGCATTTGTTGTTCAGCCATGCAATCTGACCGCTAATTACTTATGCTTATTGCTTTATAACATTAGACTCTTGCGTGGTCGCTCAACCATGCTTAAACTCTGTGCTGCTCAGCTTCGTCAAGTTTATCCCTGTCTTTATGTCAATGATTTTCAGGTTGGCCGATCTGGCGAAACTGTCACTGATCCTGCCAGTTTGCCCTCTCCACCACTTTCTCCTTCGTATTTAGCCGGTCTTGACCGTAGATTTGCTTGGGTAGATATTGGTGGCGGTACCGGTGAAAACATTGAGCGCATGAATCAATTTTTTCCTATCCGCAATTTTGACAAAGTTTATCTTGTTGACATCACTCCTTCACTCTGTGAAGTTGCTCGCAAGCGATTTGCTCGTCTCGGATGGACTAATGTTACTGTTTTGTGCATGGATGCCGCCAAATTTGCTATTCCAAAAGAAGATGGAGTTGACATGGACATTGCCTTGATTACAATGTCTTATTCACTCTCTATGATTGAGATCTACTACCCTATCATTGACCGTATCTCTGAAATTCTTGCTCCCACTGGTATTTTTGGTATATCTGACTTTTACGTCTCTGCAAAGCGATCTGCTGACCCTACTCGTCAGCTGGGTTGGTTCATGCGTTGGTTCTGGGCTATTTGGTTTGATCAAGACAACATTTATCTTTCTCCTGGTCGCCGTGAATATCTTGAACACAAATTTAAAACTGTCAAGGCACTCAACTGTCTCAACCATTTTATCAAGCCTTTTGTCAAGATACCTTACTACGTCTATGTTGGTGCTCAGAAACATGCTGCTATTCCTTCATTTGCTCTTGATAACGACGTCGAAGCCGATGTGACTACTTCCAATACAGTTCGTAGTCAAGATGATGTATCTGATGCATCTGGTGACGAATTTGACGATGAGGTGATCAGAGATTCCATTCCAAAAGTTGCTCCTATTGCTATTCCTCCTCCCTCTGTCACTGCCATGGCCACTGTTTCTGCTGATCACGTTCACGGACAAGGCTTTAAATGGAGACAACCATTTGATCCTAAACTGCTCGATAGCTTTTCTACTTACATTTATGCATTCACATGGGAAGATCCTCGTGTAGACTTGGAATATATGAACATTAAACCCACTGATCACATGTTTGTGATTAGCTCTGGTGGTTGCAACGTCCTGGAGTATGCCGCCAAAGTTGGACCTGAACGTATTCACTGTGTTGATCTAAATCCCTGCCAAAATCACATGCTTGAGCTTAAGCTTGCCGGACTTTCATCCATGTCATACGAAGACTTTTGGCTCTTGTTTGGAGAAGGCTACATTCCCAAATTTTCTACTCTTTTGGATACACATTTATCTCCTCATCTTTCTCCATACGCATATCATTTTTGGAAACAAACATCTGGTTTCTCCAATCTATTTAAAACTGGTTGCTCTGGTCTTGCCATCCGTGTCTTTCAATTTGTGATTCGTGTTCGTGGCCTTCGTCCCGTTGTTGAGCGCATGTGCAGCGCACCTACTCTTGAAGAGCAAAACCGTATTTGGCTTGAAGAGCTTCGTCCTCACCTATTGAGCAAATGGCTTATTCGCATTCTTAACAATGACCGATTTCTTTGGGGAGCTCTCGGTGTTCCACCAGCACAGATGCAGATGCTGTTGCAGGAAGGTTCTGCCCACGAATATTGTGTCAACACTCTTGATCCCGTAGTAGCCAAATCTCATCTAGGAGACGACAATTACTTTTATTACATGCCCTTGATGCTCAAGTACAACCCTAACGCCAAGGGAAATCCTGCCTATCTTACAGAAGAAGGCTTTAACATTCTTCGTTCCGAGCCTCATCGTCTTGATGCTATCAAGATTCACACCGACTACATCAACAATGTACTCAATAACCAAGTTGCTGATAATGAGTTGACCAAGGTTATTCTTATGGATCATTTAGATTGGTTTTCTCACGAAGATGCCAAGACCGAGATTGAAACCGTGCATAAGAAAATGGCTCAAGGCGGCTTTGTCTATTGGCGTTCGGCCGGCAAACACCCATGGTACAACGAGATATTTGCTGCTACTGGATTTGAGGTCATTAAATGCCAAGTTCGCGAGGGCGACAATATGTACATTGATCGTGTTAACATGTACGCTAGTTTCTGGAGTGGTCGCAAGCTTTAGATAGTTTGATAGGTCTAAAAATGCTTGGTGTGTATGGGTCAGTTTTCTTAAAATGGTCAATTCTTTTTACCAATAAATAAAACATGTCTTTTTACTTTAATGCACATGCATTGCTGCTGATTGCATTTATTAATAATCTCGAGTGCTAGCAATGTATCTGCCACGCTAATTCCACGTATTTAGAGTGTAAAATCTGGACCTCGTTTGTGTAAAAAGCGTCATCATTCAACCAGCAGTATTGAGTCATACTCCATTGATTTGTTGATACCACTTGTTTCCATAGTATGTAGCAGTTCCAAGACCAAGAACACCAAGAACAATAGGAACAGGTTTTCCTTTGATTGCTCTAGGAGTCATGGCAGCACTTAGTACTGCCGAAGTCGTAGTAGCCACCTCAATTCCGTATGGCTTGTTTTCCTTGATCAAATATCTAATAACCAAAATTCATATGTACAGATGGATGTTACCCTTGACAGATTCATGTCGGCAATCTATTATCAACTGCTCACTAAAGTGTAATTAATATGAGCAAGATTGAAATACCCTGCACCAGCCATCAAGGCACCAAATCCTAGTCCAGCAACGAGTGATGGGATTGAACGGCCTTTTATATATCCAGCAGTTCCGCCAATGGCACCTATATTGGTTGAACGATCCAGTATCAAATGTAATGCATGGCATGAGTTGAATATCCTGGATCTGATCACTGGTTTGGCAATATAAAAGCACTTGGTGATAGAGACGAGGGAAATAAAAGACGGTATAATAACCAATTGAATTCAATCCATTGCTTACAGATGCCAGCCATAGAGAATGCAATATGCGATGACATTTGAACGAGTGTTGCAGCTGGTGATAACAGTTGCAATTTTTCATTTTATCTCCATTTTCATTATCTATTTGGCCAAATGCTACTTCAAGATCGTATCTATCATACAATCAATCCATACATGACCCAAGCCAGCATCCATCTGTCACAGTCTCGCACTCTGACTGATATTCAATCTTATACTGGCATCAACAAGGTCCATCTGGCTCTGGCTGCATATCTTATCCTCTCGTTTCTGCTTTTCCTTGACCCATTCCATATCGGAGCCCCATTTGCTGCAAATATCATTGCATTAGCATATCCGATCCACGCTTCTCTCCGTGCATCCATCAACAACAATCTCGACTTGTTGAAGCTCTGGGTGTTGTACTTTAGTGTGTACGGTGTAGTGACAGGTCTAGTAGACATTGTTGGCCGAGTATATATTCCATACTACTTTGTGTTCAAGTCGGCATTGTTGGTATCGCTATATTGGTCACATTCCTATGCACTCAAAGAAATCTACTCACTGGTTGTTGTTCCCAGCCTAACTGATATCTATCTTGACAAAAAACAGTAATACTGGTAAATATTCTTGATCCATTTGATGCCATTTTAAAATAAACTACCTCTTGCACTGATTGTGTATAGACTACCACATACTGTACTACAATGATATGGTGGAATCTATTGTAACCTTTAATTACACGTTTACAGTACTTGGTATGTTTGGGTTCTAAAACATACGTTGTAAACACTTTGGATTTTATTTATTCCATACCATTTCATTTATATGGGCAATTTAGGATTCAGATGCGTGAACCCTACAGAGAATTTCAAAACAGTAATGCTATGGCAACACTTTACCGTTGTATTCAAAATGAGAATGATGGCAATCAGGTTTAAATCTGGCAAGCAGACCAGTAGTTTTGACCACACTCGGTTGATTTAAATATGTGATATTGTGTTTAAAATATGCTATGATTAAAGGGAAAATAAAAGTGTGTTCAGAACCGCCAGATAGTAATGCATCAAGAGCTATTTCTACAGTATGTGTAATGTAAAGGATTGAAATGTCAGGGTTAGCCCACGGGTATGGCATGTCAATTACAATCGAGGTTTATACAGATCTTGAGTATGCCTCATTGTAGCCGAATCATTTTCGTCTAAAAATAACTTACATATCTGTCCCAAATGTCACCCGTACCCCATGCGTTTTCGCTTGTTATATTGTCCAATTCGTTGGGTTTGAATCCAATTAGGATTGTCCCTATCAACGGACAAATGATGATTGGCTTGGTCAAGTTTTCAGATCCAAGAGGTCCCGTTAAAACTCTAACTAAATCTTCTGGGTTTCCAGCTCGAACTCTAGCCAGTTCCTCACTAGTTAGAATATCCGTCCTAGTAAGCAGTGTCAGATACTCTTTAGGATCCAATAGATGCAATAGTGGTCGAATCTCTTTTGATGTGAGTTCTTTTGGCATGATTTCAATGTCAGCGTGAACAGTTTTGCTGTGAAGGATATCAAGCATGAGTTGGGATTTAGGATCGGCTTCGTTGTGAAAGTACAAGTACTTGGATTTTCGTGGAAGGGGAATATTTGGAGCGAGTACTTTTGGTTTGGGTTGAACGGATTCCAATGGTGGTGGTAGAGATGTTTCAGACACAGGCGACGAAGGAGAAATCGACAGTTTTGATGCAGTTCCGCGTAGCCGAGGCATTCCTGTGGGAGTTCCTGACGCAGAAACTGTGTTGTTTTCTGATACCGGACTAGTCAGTACCGTTTGTCTTAGTCCAAGGATGGTTTGTTGAACTGATCGTCTTGATTGAACTTGCACTGTATTCACTTCATCCTTTGCCCATCCATCATTGCACAGAATTTCATTGAGTTGGTCAAAGTTTTTTCCAACAACAATACTTCCGTTGATGGGACACACCACAATTGGACGCGCTAAATGTGCTAGTCCGTTCTGTCCAGATAAAAGTGCAGCAAGAATATTCACATCACCTTGTCGGATCTTTTGTAAATCAGTTGAGGGTATCACTGTGTCAAAATTCTTGCATAATGTATGCCGTTCACTTTCGCTCATATTGTGCTGCATCATTTTGATTTCGCGTTGATCGAGTGGACCGACAATAATCTTGTACTGTTCAGATGGTACTGCATCAGCAATCATATCACACATATCATTTGAATCTGCATCTGAAATGTCACAGTAAATGATGTATTTGACTTTGCTAACCATGCTGGTCTTTGCGACAGAATGAATGGAGATATTTCCTGTGATGGTGCTTTTGAACGAATCAAGTCGAGCTAATGTCGGGCAAGGAGATGTGACAGATGACGACTGTGAATACTGATTTGATAAACTAGTAGAATCTCGATCTTGTACTTTCCATCCTTGCTCTCTCAACAACGATCGAATTTCGTCAATCTTGTTGCCAATGATGAGTGTACTGGTGATGGGACAGACCAGAATTGGAAAATTAAGGTGAGCAAGCCCACTATCCCCAGATAAAAGCTGGGAAAGAATATGTGTGTTTCCTTGAGTAATGCAAGCCAAATCTTCCTTGCTTAATACAGTGTTAGCATTTCGACAAAGCGATGGACGATCGACTGGGTCAAGCAGGCACTGTAGCATATTGACATCGCGTGGTAAAAGCGGATCAGACACAATCCGATACTCATGAGCAGAAAGCAGATTTTGAACAGTCTCGTAAACACTCATACTCGTTAAATCAGATGGATCGATATACAAAAGATACATGTTTTCAGTAAACTTGGGTTTGAGGATAGACAATCGATGGCGATTGGTCATGGAATTGCTCGAGGGACGATGGTAAAAAAATGCTTTTTGTTGGCTGCCAAATCTCTGCCCATCGATTGGAGATACTGGCTCATCATCTGTTGTAGTAAAACTATCCTGACTAGTCGGATTTGGATGGGTGGGTTGGTCATGTTGTGGCCTATTAATTATACTGACTCGCATAGTATCTGTATCTAGCGTGTTGCTGGTACTGCCAATAATACTGCTATCGCTACTATTGCTTTTCACTGACTGATGAAATTGGTTTAGAAGATGCTAGCAAAATATCCTTGCCTTTATATTCGCTGCACAGAAATAGCTTGATGCGCTTATTGAAAGTAATAAAAGTTGATTCAAATGGTTTTAACAAGCAATACACTTTTAAATTATTACTGCAGATGATTGTAATGGCAAGGATGAGAATAGATCAACCTTGTCAATTATATCCAGTTTGTTCATTTTGAAACTTGTCATGTGTAAGTGTTTTACAGTTGTATCCACGTAAACTAGAACACGGAATAAAAGCTCTCATATATAATAAATGACCAGTCTAATGTTTGATTGGTGTCAGTTCACATCACATTTACTGAGCATTCTTTTCTAACCTGTTTAGCTGATTGGGGTTTCTCCATGCTTGTTATTGCACAAAAAATAAACGAGTACTCAAGCAGTGTTCACATTACAGCACTAATAAATCACACATTCTCGACATCTCTTCAACCTCCAACTCTTTAAATGAAGATTAAAAGTGAGCATTGGGTGAGTATCATGGAAACAACTGTTGCATTAGCGGGACGTGCAATCTCTGCTTTCTTGAACTAGAGCGCAAACATATCTGAAACTTTAGTCTGTATTGGTGCGAGTAAGGAAATTTAAATAGTAGATTGGCCATAGGTCTATACAAGTATTTTGGTAATACAACAAGACGCGTAGAATTACATTTTCGAATATTTTATTCACCAGGATTGTATTGCATACATCTTTTTAAAAATATTCAAGCAGGCTCAATATCAATAGACAGAATAGGATACAGCTTGCAACATGCAAATATTCATCAGTACAACCCCAGAAAACTGGTTTAATTCATACACGTCATACTTTTCAGTCCATCCATTCAAAAAATTGTGCTTCAAAAGCATTGCAGATTTTACTCTATGAATTCTGATTCTTCAGGAATAATTTCCCGTTTGAATACTATACCAGAACTCGGTGTATTTGGCAGATATGGTTCATGATCAAGTCCTGAGTTTAGTATGCTTTTTTCAAATACTGGAGTAGAGGTTGGAGTCATTTGTGATGTGGATCGACTTTTACTCATGCTGTCATCTTTCGCTCCCGAGACACATTCAAGGCTATCTGTAGTAGTTTCACCCACTGCATAAGTTGGTACAAGTGGCATCGCAGTAGAGGAAGCGTAAATAGGCAATGAGGCTGCATTAGCAATGCTGTTTTTGGTAGTAGCAATTGCAGATTGAAAGGATTTGAGCCAGCTTTGGCGAGATAACGGATCAGTTGGCTTTCCCAAATCTTGAATTTCACTGGTGTTTCTATTTTGATCTTTGTTTGATACATCCAAGATTTGCATGGGTACGGAACTACCCGTAACATCAGTATTTTTAGATTGTAGTGGCCGTTGAATGATGGGTGTGGACTGTAGTTCATTGATATCATTCCATCTCAGTCCAAGCATGCTATCTCTTTGACGAAGCTGCTTTAAATTTTCAGATCGAGGGGGCTGATCTCTATCCTCATTTTCAAACCATCCAAGTTTAGGTGTGTCAGACGAGTCAGCAAACAGAGATTCGCGCTGGACAAACTTGGTATCCACAGCCAGGCTTGAAGCCTTGAGCCAAGACGCAGTTTGGGAAAATAGAGAGCTGGCCATTCCAGTCATAGTTTTTGGTTGATTTTGTTTTGAAATTGTGCCCTGCGGAGATGAGGTATTTTGGTTCTTGTATAGATTTCCAGCTGGATTATTCAATTCAAAGGATTTTTGCGAGAGTGGTCCAATATCAACATCTGATTTTTGACTGTCATTATCCTTGAAATTTGTATCCTTGAGTCGATTTGACTCTGTATCAATGGCAAAGGGCTGGTGAGATGAAAGAGTATGTGATGCATTGCCGTCTCCAGCAAGATAGCTTACAATGGGACGAGAAGGCGAGTAAACATCATCGTCACTGTCAATATCCTCAATATCAAACAAATCAATCTGATCATGGTACTCGGTATCATAAGTAGGGTCATGCCCAACGTTTGGACGTGAATGGTAGTATTTGAAATGCATATCATGGTGACGTTGCATTTTCAGCCTAATTTTTTCCTCTTGAGCGGCATCTGCCAACTTGGCATCTACTTGTGCAAGCTCCCACCCATGCGATATCTTGCGTCGAACAGATCGCATACCCTGAAATGCACCATTGTCCAATTGAAATCGCCACCATGCAAAATGATCCCCCTTGACATCGCGGTCTTGTGGAGGCATATCAACATCAGAGTCATACTCGGAATCTTGGTCCCAACTGCGCTCAACATATTCCATAGGCCAAAAGTCTTGCCATTTGAGCGGTGGGCGTGGATTAATGGAGTAAGAACTACCGATTTCTGGAACGGCCTGTTGGATTGCAAGTAGCTCAGTTTGTGACTGCCATATGACTTTTTCGGCATTGTTTAATACAAACTGGAGTGAAATGTCCAGTGCGTCGTGAAGAGAAATCAAATCCTTTTGATATTTGAAATTCATTTGACGAGCAACAGTGAGTTCATCTGAAATATCATCATATGTGATCTCGCTGTCATTGTCCTGTGCTAGACAATCTAGGTTTTGAAATGATGGATGACGGGCGAGAACATGGCGTTGGGTAAATGGAACAGGCTGCCAAGATTTTCGACGAGATGTTTGTGCGAGTCTAAACGAAGAAAAGAATGAACTTTTGTTTGGAACAGCCTGGCGGCTAGCATCAATGCTCTGTTGCGGTAAATTAGTATTTACTTCAGCATCAAGGATTGGAGAAAGTGGATAGCGCCCAGGTAAACCAACTTCTGATATCCGAGTGACATCGTCAATATCAGCACCAGATGAATTTGGTTTAAACAAGTCTACATTTAATGCAGAAAGTTGATGGTCTTTGGTCTGCAGTGTTAGTTTTGTGCGCATACGATCAATCTCCAATTTCGAGTTGGCGAGTTCTCGCTCAAGCTGCTTACGAGCCTCTAGTTGCTCAGCCAAAAAGTCTTGGGTAGTAACCAGTTGGTCTTCAAGAGCCCACATTCTTGAAACAGCAGCCGGATCCAGATCTTGTACTGTAGTACATGCATGGTAGAAGTATGGATTCGAATGTTAATAAGCAGATTGTGGCGTTAATGAGAGGATGTTGTATGAGTCCATATCTTTTTGATGCAGTGGAATAGTAAACGAAATAGGCATAGTGACATACTGCTGGACATGTTTGTATAAACAGATAATCGTCTACCATTCATTTTAATGGTTAATTTTGGGTAATCTGATTACTATTAGTCGAGATTTGCAGTCAAGCAAACCCACATGTTTTTAGAAAGCGACAATCCCACTCATTTAGTTTGAGTCCTAGTCTTGCACGTTTAATGCCGCACTAAATTCACATTAAACGACTGCATTATACACCAAATATTTCATTACTAGCAAGTGGTTCATTTATTAACATATGTTGCACTCCTATTGACCCTAATGCAGTGTTCATTCATGACGATTTCAATACCATATCTTATAGCCATTCAAAAATACGAGCTGGAATTTTCAAAACCTCAATACTGCATGAAATCAAGCAATCTTAATTGCTATTGCATCAAGGCAGTATGGCTACAACCTCGCATGTTCAACCACGCTCAATTTATTCGCGATACACCTTCGCGCTCTAATCAATTCCATTTCAATTCAAACATTTATCATAGACTAGCAATGTAGTGCTCATATATAAGTGCCCATTTACAATGCCATTAAACCTTGAAAACAATAAGAGACTCTCAAAAACACTATGGATGATTCTGAATTTACAGACTCGGACACAACGGGCCAAGCCATGTTCCTGCGGCCATCCTCAGTATCCAAACTGTGTATTTCCAAACCACACCATCATGGTTCATTTACAAGGAAACTGCTTAGTCATGATAAATCCACTTTAGCTTGCTATTTAATTGGTATTATCTTGGCTACGGGTCTGATTGGATCGGCTATATTTGCTACTGTGGTTTTTGGATTCGGAGTAGGTTCTACACATCTTGCAAAACCTGACCCTGACTTTTATCGTCCAAACCAAGGGCAGGTGCTACTACTTGGAGATTCGCTTACTCAGGTATACGTATAGTTTTTAAAAATAATCATTTGAAAAGTCAATGGGTTTTTAAACACCACTCGAAAACTTTAATGACTTGCAGCACCAGGTTCATGGTGGAAACTTACAAGGCAGTTTTATTATATTTTAGAAAGGAATGGTTCAAAACGGCTGGGTGTCAAGACTAGCACAAGGCTATGTTTGTCAGCATGACGTACTTGAACGAGGGTATGGCGGATACAACTCTCGTCAATGGGTAGATCTAGTCGATCCAGTCATACGCGATTCGGTAACGCCAGGAACATTGCCTGCATTAATCACCATTCTCTTGGGTACAAAGTAAGATTTTAGCACAATGCCAATTAGACTTTTTCTAGATGAAAGAACTTAGACTTTTTCTGTTTAAATCCAAGTGATGCATACACTATCACTGCTAGTGAATTTAGATCCAACATGATGACAATTATTTCCAATATCAAATCCAAATTTCCCTCGACACCTTTGGTACTATTTACGCCTCCTCCGCCTTTAGGTTCAAATATATTTGCTTCGCCAGACAAAGTATATCAGTTATACCAGATAACTCTTGATATTGGAGTATCAACAGCCTCGCATGTAATAGATCTATGGAAATCATTTTTCCCATTAGTTCAGACCGATTTTGTATTTTCAAGGGATTACAACTCGACAGTGATTCAAGACCTACTTTTGCCTGATGGCGTCCATTTATCCATTTCTGGAAATTCAATAGTTTATACATCACTGTATAATTTTTTGAATGCTACGTTTCCCAATCTTGTTCCTGGTAAATATAGTTATTTGCTGAATTAGATTGATACTGTCCAGTCTATAGTCGCGTTGAGCTTTAGTTGCAATATGTGTGCAGTCATTGAAGCGTTTTAATCTAGATACTCGGGCATTTGAAATACATTTTATTTATATAAAGCTCGATTTAATTTTGATGTCAGTCTAGATTACTCGATACTAAACTGGCATTATGACTTTACTGATATAGAGCCATATATTTCAGACCAAATAAAAATTGTATACCCGAGTTTATTAAAATACACCAGCCAATTGAGGTTGGCAAATATAGTTTTTTAAAATGAAATCAACTCCATTCCCACACTGAACTGGTACATCCCCGCTCCAGTTCAGTATCATTTTCATTTGTGGAAATACCCCTGTATTCCAAAGCAGTGTTTACATCATGATCAGTACCAAAACACTCATTACCTAGATCGCTATTTACCACATTCTCACTAGCACCAGTTTTGGATTCTTCAACATCATCCCGTAAAGCAGTATACATCATCCGAAACTTTTTTTTCAGTGCATTTTGTAAATGTTGATGATCGCTTATTATCCTATTGACCTGATTCGGATCTCGAGTATCGTTGCTTTTGTCAATATGTTCCCCAACAGATCGCTTACAGGGTGATTGCGAAGGTAGAAGCTGTTTGAGCTGTACGCCTTTCATTTCATCCAGCATGAGTTTCATTGTGCCTTGTGGAGTTCGCGGATATAGAGTAACATCCGTCCGACCCCGTGGCAACGATATATTGATTGTTGTAGTGGGTGAAGACTTTTTGGCGTGTGTAGATATTGGTCGAAGTTTGACTGCAGCAATGGACTGGGCTAACGTGGCTTTGAATGTAGACTCTGGACTGGTGATAGTGGATGTGCTGGTGCAAGGTGCTCTTATTGGTATAAAAGGATGACTTTGTGGTGGAGGAGGGGGAGGAGGAGGAGGAACAGTACTGACATTTTTAAGTTCAGCTTCAACAAGCATATCCGAGTCGCATGAATGTGCTACAGATTCACCAGCACGCAGTTTCAATTGCTGTTCCAATAAAGCTAATTTTTCCTCCAAAATGCGTATTCTTTCCGAGTCTTCCATAGAAGATCGACATGGTTGCTGTGGTTGGTCTTGATGATCCATAATGGTATCCTGTAAAGTGTAAGATGGCTGGCTCATTCCTTTCATATCCATCATGACCATGTCCGAATCAGTACGCTCAGCAGCAGAAGCAGCCCTCCCAAGCCGGGATCGCCTACGTACAGAACCATAAGATACAGGTGATATCAAGGAAAGTGATGATGGTCTTCCAACTGATGATTGGATACGAGCATGTTGAGGTTTGATCACTCTTCCTTCTCGGTGTTTGTTTCTTCTAGTGCGACTGGATAAGAGTGAATTAATTGTAGTATAGAACCCTTCGAATTTGTCTGAAATGGTTGTTAGTAGGGATGAAATGATTTGTGTTGGTGCTGTAGTGACTTCTAGAGCTGTTTCTGCTGTAGCAGTAGTAGACCCAAATCTAGTATTGGTGAATATAGGAACAGGCAATGCAGATGGCCGAGCAGGATTGAGTCCGAGTGGAGAAACGGACGAGTTTGAAACATAGCGCTGCTGCCGGTTGAAACTTGGCGTGACTGGAGAAATGCTGGAAAATATATGACCTCTTGCAAGGTTATCTCTGTCCACACCAACTCTGGGTGAATGAACTCTGCGACTCGAACTTGCAACCATTCTTGTTCAATTGGAAGAAATTTCAATTTGCATCTTCGTGTGAACAAGAATTTAACAAAACAGCATCAGGCTAACGATATCTCGACAAATTCATTCATTCAAAACAAATAATATTAGACATTTCAAAAATATGAGCATCACATTGCTATAAAACAAAGTTCAGTAAAATAACGGATTCAAACTCATCCGTCTAATCCATTCAGGACTCCAAAAAACAATGGTTCTCCATCAAATCACCGCACAGGCAAGATATCGCCATTCGGCACTTGCTGAGAAAAATATAAAATCATTGCTGTAGCATCGTCGTATCGACCAAGCATGGGAACAAACAACCCATGATCCTTGTACTGTCCTAGAAGTGGATCTACTTCCCGACGTACCAGTGCTTGAGCACAGTACGTCACAGCATCAAACAAGGGATTCATGGATGAGGTGTGGGATAAAGTTGACAATTCTGAAATGCAATCGCTGCTAGATGTGGTAGATTTTGCAGTGGTGAATGCATTCTGCTCAGTCGATGTCGATGTATGTGGTATGAGAGTGTGTGCTGGAGATGCTGGTAGAGGGCTTGCCGGAAACATTAGTGGTGGGAGAGCAGAAAATGAATTTCCCAAATCAGTAGTCGAGGAAAGTGTTAGACTGGGCAATTCGGTGGGTTCAAGGTCAATATTATAAACAGATGGAGTAAGCGTATTATCCAGGGTAGTACTTGCAGAGGGAGAGTGTATCGCAGTTGTTACATTTGACGTATTTGTAGTTGCAGGCTGGGATGGAGTAGGAGTAGCTACAGATTGAACTGCCTTGGTGATAAAGTCTAACACCTTGTCATTCTGTGCTGCTGGTGGGTATTGAATACACATGTGATCCCAAACACCATCTGTTGCTGCCACAAGAACATAGTCCATACCTGGTTCTAGTTTGATAAAGCGAATATCGGGAAGAGATGACAGAATGGCTGGTTCAATTTTAAACAGTAAATCACCCATGGTTGCAGTGAGGTTAAGAGTACGTCGATGTGAACAGCCAACTGCGCGAATTGATGATGAAAGTGGACGGAAAATGCGAGATCCGTTGAGCTCTGTATAAGGTTTCATACCTCTAATGCTGACTGGCTGAATATCTACAGACATAAAGCTGGTTCCTTGAGGATCGAGGAACTTTCCTCCATTCCCATGAATACGAGCAACTTTCTCGGGATGCATCATGTTGTGATCATCAGAGGCAAACAGCTGAATCCATTGAGATGTGCCCGATCCATTGCTGTTTTCGTTGGTTGCTGGATTTACTTTTCCCTGTTCCAAATTACTGTTGTTACCATGAGCTAACCAGGGAAATTTAGCTCCAATCACAGTGCGAGAGTCACCAACATTACAATTAACAATCCATTCCGTCATGACTATATTCACCACCATTGTACACCCATCATCAAGCGGCTTATTGTGAGGCATCATACCCGCATCCATCCATGCACGATATTCCGCCACTTTCATGGATGCATACTCTACATCCAATAACTTGAAAATGGCACAGATATCAGAAGAAAGCGAGGAGCGATGGTCAAGTTCAGACAAATCCCATTCGCGTGAGTCTAATAACAGCAAGAGATCATGGGCAAGACGAGATGCAAAAAACCGAGGTGCGGCAGCACCCCCATGCCCATCGGCAATAATAAAAACTTTGGCTCCGTTGGATGCCATAAGGGAGCGGGCCAGCCGCGGATAGTCTCCAGTTTCATTGTCATACGTAAAAGGCAAGGGCTGATCAGCCATGGCAGGGAAATGTACATCTTCAATATGGTCGTGCAATTTTGTTTGTGCACGAGTGTATGGATTTGAAATACGATATCCTTCTTGTGCAGCAACAGACCAAGTTAAATTGTGATGTAGTAATGGCTGAATGGTAGACTGGGAACTCTGTTCCCGCTGAGAATCCACAGTGGTTGAAGGTAAAAAAGTAGATGAAGAAGATGAAGAGTGAGCAGAAGAAAGTGAAATGTTGAAGGCCAAAGAGTGAGCGCTTGACGGATCTGTAGTGTCTGAGCACGGAGTTTCCTGCGACGGTCTCAAATCCGTGTGCAGTCCGGCATTTACATTTAAATTGAAAGGCATAGATATATCTTGCTGTTTCTCATCAATCTCCATTGTTTCAGACTGAAAAGGTGTTTCCTCGGAAACAAGCGCGGCAATTTTTTTAGATTCAACATGCAGATGGCTGTCATCAGCACAAGTGTCATCGTCCAGTGGCCTTTTCGAGTCAATGCGTGGAAGTGTTGGGGAAGGTGGACCAGTAGAATTGATCAGGATAGGATCTGGCTTCTTTTTGTTTTCATAGATAGTCTCTTCCTCTTCAATATCATCTTCCGGATCATGTTCTGCATCGTCCTGCTCTGCATCGTCCTGCTCCATAATAATATCGTGATCAAGAAACTCGACATTTGAAACAACACGTGATTTTCGAGAACGAAGAAATACAATTTCAGACCTTGAATCCAAACCAGGCGGCGAGTCCAGTTCGGTAGCTGCCGTTACTCTGGCATAGCTAGTTTCTGCAATCATATCAGCAATCGACTCTGTGGTTGCAATGTCCAGCATTGCTTCATTGGCTAATGTTTCTGATGCTGCTGCAGGTTTCTCAACGACAGAACCAGAGGCGATATCTGATATAGAGTCAAATGTAAGTTAAAGCTTATCAAACAAGTTATAGAGGTCCGAACAAAGTGCAAGCATTGGGATTTGTGAAATTGACAAGGCTGTAAAAGGGAACAAGGAACACGAACTGTGGCTCCAAGGTTTGATATGAGTATCAAGGAATGTGCAGTTTATACAGCAGAAAAAAGAATCTATTGGATATTTTCCAAAGCCAACATAGACAATGCTAGAAGTAGTGAATGAATTACCGTTGTGAGAGTCCTGCAATTCGCCAGTTCTAACTGCATTGCCAAGTTCACAAGGGACTGGACTGGAACTGCCGAGTTGATGCATGGCTGAAAGTATAGGTTGAAAGTGAGTTATGCTCACTGTTTTATATTAATAGTGATCGGTTTCCGACTTGATATAGCTGAACCAACAACTGAGAGTGAAGCCTAATCAGTACTAGTTAGTTTCGTTATAGTAAAGTCTAGACCACAGTAGAAATGGTATCATCAAAAGACACAGACAAGTTTAAATGCAAGACATGCACATGATACCAACAAGTGGTTCAGGTGGAGCTGCAGTCAAATACACAGAGCAAAACATACCTGGATGAATGAGTCGATTAGAATGAAATTGATTGTTGGAGCAATAAAAGCAAAATGAAAAATGGTGGGTGTAATGCAAGGATTGGTGGGTGACCACCAAAAGGCGAGAGATTATGAGGCAATAAACCGCAGCAATCTGAATTGTTTCTTCCAACTTCGTGTCTCACAATCCTCTGACTTCAGATTTGGTAGGTTTGTGTCTTGTATTGCCTTGACTCTGACCGGTAGCCGCAGCTCTACTATCCTTTTGTTATACTCCAAGATAGTACTGATTTGAAAACAGCCATTCAGGAGCAATTGTTGCTACTTTTACATTGGGACATGGATGACCGACTGTCCCCTGGCTAACAGTGACTATATCCACGCCCTCTATATCTTGATATCTTCCAGCTGTTGTTATAAGGACTATCCTTTCAAGTCTTGGCCTGCATACCTCTTTTTCCAATCAGCTTTTGTCATTTTTTAGACAGTATCCAACTCTTTTGACCCTTGACCATTGTTGTTGGCTTTTCTGATTTGTCAAGGCTACAATAGCAGTTGATATACAGGGGTATTGACTTGCTCTTGCCATCTTTCCCTATATTATTGGGTTTACTATCTCCCATTGAATCTAGCCACATTGAACTTTATTTGCTCTGCTCATCTGTCACAACTTGTTCAGCTGAAACAGCTTTACCTTTTCATCAAATATAGTCGTTGCACTTTATCCCTAATACACCAAGGTGTTTATTTTCTACAAAACCACCATCAGCCTATATTTATCTATATTTTCCCTACGCTCCTTGGAAACAAGAAAACACTCTCGCCATCCACAATGTGCATTTTGGGCCCTATCTTTATCTATTGTTTTTTGGGCTGTGATTTTCGCTCACATTAACCATTTAGTTTGTCGACTCGTCTCGACAGCTCGCGATATTTCAAGAGTCACTCACATTTTGATTATTAGGTTTTCATTACAACTGACTCAAAATGGCTGAAATCCGTCGCAAACTTGTTATTGTTGGTGACGGTGCTTGTGGCAAAACTTGCTTGCTGATTGTCTTCTCAAAAGGCACTTTCCCCGAGGTCAGTACTACTCCACGCTTGCGACTCTTGTCACTTTAATCTGCTATTCTATACATGGCCACCAAGTTGCTCTACAGTATATAATCTTCAGCTCCCACAGTGATATAGGAATTCAGGACATGATATATAATTCATGTACCAATCGTACATGAATTGTATATCATGAATCACATACAAGGATTCTATACTGTTGTTTTTGCAAACCCATTATGCCTGGTGCTACAAAACTCTACTTTCCGGCTACACCTGTTTAGCTCATAATTTGCAGTTGGCAGTGATGATCTTATTTGGATCAGCCACCTTCTTATCTGTTCCGTCCTTTCCCTACAGTGCTTTTATTGGTGCGGTATCAGCTCCTTGGTGTACTCTTGTTGGTTGCTATGTACAGCAGCGACTGCATTGATTTGATAGTTGTAGCACATGATTTCAGCCATTTTGTTATTTAGGCATCAAATCACCACTCATAGCATTTTAGACTAGAGCATTTGCTGCTACAGTTTTTTCTGACTGCAAATGTTCAAGCACTAGACTAGTTGTGAGGGTGAATTGGATTATTTGCTGTTTGGTTTCTACAACTGTCTTGGCGTTCAGCTTATGACTGATCACTTTCCTACTTGCATCTTGCCTGATCTCGACAACATTTCTTTGCGCTTTGCTTCTTTGCTATGCCAATCTTTTTGCTGCTGCTGATAAATTCTCATTAAGTGTGAGCATGACGGCACAGGTCCTCACTTGAGCCACATCACTTTTGGACCGGGACCCCATTGTTATATCAATATGGCCTGATGACATGTTTGATCAACTTTTGGCTATTTTTTGAATTGGTGGTTGAGGCCAGTCAGATTCTGCTGCGATTGCGGCATGTTGCGTCTATACAATAGTTGGCATTCCCTCATCACGCTTATTACGTCACCCTGGTCACCTTTTTTCCTGATTCCACCTGGCTATTTTTGCTCAATTGAATGGCACGTGTTTGTTTAGACCAACCACTCACTAGAATATCATTTGGCTTCATGTATGAAATTAGGCATATGTTCCAACCGTTTTTGAAAACTATGTTGCTGATGTTGAGGTTGATAACAGACGTGTTGAGTTGGCGCTCTGGGATACTGCTGGCCAAGAAGACTATGATCGTCTTCGTCCTCTTTCATATCCCGATTCGCATGTCATTCTGATTTGCTATGCCATTGACTCTCCAGACTCTCTTGACAACGTACAAGAAAAGGTAAGTTATTTATACATTTTGCATTTGAAAATTGCACACACTTAATCTGGTTTTCTGCCCAATTTTGTCGTTTAGTGGATTTCTGAAGTGATTCATTTTTGTGCGAGACTTCCCATTATCTTGGTTGGATGCAAAAAGGACCTTAGAAATGATCCCAAAACCATTCAAGAACTTGCCAAGACACAACAATCTCCAGTGACGTATGAACAAGGCCAGGCCGTTGCTCAGAAAATTGGAGCACATAAGTTTTTGGAATGCAGTGCCCGTCTAAATGAAGGTGTTCATGAAGTATTTGAGCACGCAACGAGAGCAGCTCTTGTCCGCCAAGTGACTACACACAAAACTAAATGTATGTTGATCTGATCTATCAAGATCGGCGTTTGCGAGTTTCTTTTTTATATTGGGACGAATCAAGTAGTAGCTATTGGCTGATGTCGTGCGGGTGGATATCGTAGTGTTTGTCTTGGGCTTTTGACTCGTTATGTTTAATGTTCAAAAGTCCGAATTTGGTTTTATTTTCTTATCTGGTGGAGTATGGCAATATATGGTTTCTATGTGGCTGGAATTCCCTTTATATTTCGTGCAATTCATGTAAGATCTAGTGAGGACTTCATCTTGGCTGCTCAAACAATAATAGGCTGCTTCACTCGATTGAACTTTTTATTTTATTTCACCCTCATTTCCTTGGAGTTTCAACAAGCATGTCTCCGTCTTGTTTCTTCAAATCTATTTTTTGTTGTCCTATACTGTTTTTGAATGTGTTTAATTGGAATATAAAGTCTAATACGACATGAGGATGTGAGCCAAGTCAGTATATACCGCTAAATAGTCGACCCTAATCGTTGAATCCAAATGTTTCCATCAAGTAGGAAATGGTAGTGGTTGCAACAGTAGCGTATATCGCGACTGGACCAATTTTTGGTTTAGTAAATGTTCCTGATGCCGAGGTGAGCAAGTATAATGTTCCCCAAGCTTCATCACAACAAAGTATAAAGCAATAGTAAGTTAACCCACTAGACATGATCACACATGCCAACTATTCAAACTACCTGCTGTGGTTGACGGGCCGTTGGTTGTATCAAGACATGTCATCCACCTACACTCGAAATAAAATGAGTATTCTAGACCAACTTGAATCTGAAAAGAACGAGTTTACCCTGTTCCAGTAAAAATGGCCGAGTATATACCCAGTAGTCCTACTGTCATGTAGTTTTTTGAAAGTCGAATAGATCTCAGAGTTCCCAAAGCTCCTACAGCACCTGTCCAACTCATTGTTAGCTGCAATCCGAGCCATAAGGCTGTCGGTTCAGCCTATACCTACTGTAGACTGCATGCACACCTATTAAATTCACTTACATGCTGCTGATGCTATCCATGATGGGTAGGGAGATATACCTGGCGTAAGAATAGCTGTTTCAATCGAAGGAAAAGAATACGATTTGAACAGCTGTATTGCGTGTTGCGTATAGGGATGCAACAGAACATCCCGCTTATACTTTGGAACTGCAATCGAGTACTTTTGTGGTGACTGAGAGGTCATTGGGTTGCAGTGGATACAAATGCTGATCAGTTTAGAAAAAAATTGAATTGCAATTTCAAGTCTTGAGCATTTTGTCATCTGGTTTGAGCCCAAGTGAACTGGCTGCACTCTTCAAATCAGACTCGTTTTCGAATCGACTACAGTAGGAAAATGTATAGACTATCTCCAAATACTTTCAACTCTAAAACACATTTCCAACTGATATATAATTCAAAACAAGTTTAATGTAGAAGTTTAAAACTTTCAATTGGACAGAAAATGCAAGGATGGCTAAAGTCTGATTCAAGAAAGCAGTCTTGATCAGAGAGATTGAAACATCTCGAGTAGCAAGATATCTGGCTCGAGAAGGACAAATTAGGATATGAATAGTAAAAACAATCAATGTAAAAGTATGAAATAATTAACCATGCATCCATCCATGTTTTCCATGACTGGACATGCCTCCGTTGCTTTGACTGAGGTGTTCCAACTCAACCGATCCGGCAGGCCGTTTATGATTATCCAAGTGATCCTTGAGACCTTTTCCAAATTGAAGATAATTAAGAATAGCTGACACGCAAGTAATGCCTGACATGAGTAGCGTCAATACGACTAATGCAAGGTAAATGAAAGAGTTAATATCAACTCCAAGTTTAAACCCATAGCAGTGAACATGACTTACTAAAGAATGTCAGCGAGTTTTTGGAAGAATGGAATTTTCTGACACTCTCAATAGATGATCCATTCACTTCCACGATTTTGACGATTAGGTATATTGAGCCGCCTAGCAGACCCAAAATTGACACAATCATCCACAATTTGGATTCCCTTCGAATCTATAAAAAGAGTCAACATGGTTTAGTTTGCAAAAAACGACTAGGACACACAAGACATGATCTACTTACGGCAATGTATGAAATAATTAGAAGAATGATGGTTCCGGGAACAGAGATAATAGCGTGAAGAATCGAGTCTCCAGTATTTCCTTTACCAGCAAGAACAAGACACACAAATTGAAAGGAGAATCCGAGAAAGAAAAATACATCTAGCTTGAGCAATAGCAAGTGTACATGATGAACCATCAATTGGTCTACACGATAAAATGCAAGTGAAAATGAAAATCAGTAACATGCCATTTTGGGGTTCCATAACCAAGTCAAAAGATTAAACTTACTGCGAACATTCACATCAGCACCCAACTCTTTAAAGATGGTCCATCCAAACACCTTGTATAGCTGATATGACATGAAGATCCATCCAGGAGCAAACACAAACATCGAGACAATAATGACGATTTCCAATGGTAAGGTAGGGTGTGTAGATAAGTCGGCAACAATCCATTGTGGAGCATCATTCAGCAATATTCCTGCCTGACGGGACTGCACGATGGTGTAAATAGATACGGACCAATTGAACAATGTGGTAGCACAGAGCTGAATGACAGACTTGTTGGCAATGGCATCATAGACCATGACAAGCTGAAAAAGAAGAGCAAAACAGACCAAGGAGTGGTAGACTGTTATAGCATGGCCATTCCCAACAATGTCGTCTTTTGTTGGATTGAGAGGGAAAGACCAAGGAGTGAGAGCATCAAGTTGGGCAACATAAAAATAGTGTTGAACCGCAAGAGCAATCTCCAGAATGCCGACAAAGATGAATTGAACAACGGACCAGCCAATTGCAACCCTTCCCCAGTAGTCGGTTGGAAGCTGAATGCACGATAGAATGGATATAGAAAGTTAGTGAAAATCAACAAGATATCAGACATGTGGTATGCCGAACAATCAACAAGCAGATGGTTTCACTATTCAGCAACTCCATGCCAGCATAACGCCTCAAGAAATCTCAAGCCATTCTGGCATTGACAAGACAAAATCCATTTGCTTCTGCCCTGACAGGGACCAATTCAAGGGACTCAAGGGATATATGTTGTCAGTGTGAATAGTCAAAGACATTGCAGAACAATGAATAGGTTTGTAATGGACAGAAAGCAGTGGTCAATGCACTGGTGTAATGCACTAGTTATTCTAAACTAGTGCATTAATATTTAGTAACGATTGCAGTGGATTTTGATTAAGCATGGAGGCTATGCCACTGCAATTCACCACTAGCGAATAACTGTTTTGTCATGACAAAATAGTAACGTACCAATGCTTGTATGCGAGACGGTAAGTAACGAACAAGACCAGACTCTTGGGTTAAGTGAGTGTTGTAGCTGGAAGTGGTGGAGTAGCCATTGTTGGTAGTCAACCCAGGTCTAGAGTAGTTGTTGGATGCCACGAACTGTGAGTGCTGAGGATGACCACGAGGCAGAGTGGGAAGAGTAGCAACAGGCTCGATGTTTCCGTCATCCATTTGTAACAGCTGCAGAGTCGATCGTTGATGGCTAACTGTAGTATTGCAATTGTATCAATTGATGATGAGCAACTTGCATTTGCTTTCAAGCCATTTGCAAGCACTTTCAAAATATCACGTGTAATCACGTGTATTGGGGCTGTTTCATTACTTGCTTGAATGGCTTGATATCTGGCAAGGTCTAGCAAGACGGATTGGCTTTGTAAATTCATTCTGCACTCCAGTAACTGCATGACAAATGCAGTTACTCTTGGCTGTGTAATGACTTTCAAGTTCACGCGAAACTCGAAACTTTCTTTGAACAACTAAACTATTCTGGATTGATACAATGACCATGGAATCCATCGCTTCACTCATGCAGAGAGTGAGAAAGTCTACTTACTTTGATACAAACTGGGAGCTCTTGGCTCAACCAGTTCCATTGATTCAGATGGAACTGCTGTTGCCTGTTGCAAATAAAAATCCCAACCATCACGGCAACAAATCTCGTCGATATTTGGCTACAGGAATCACTCCTCAAGCACAAGACATTCTTAAGCAACTACCTCTTCCTTTGCATATTATTGCCTTTGCAGGACTTGGAAGGTCTGGAAAGAGTCGCACTGCTACTGAAATCAGAGCCAAGTTGACCGGCAACCACAATCACAAAGTAGGCAATTCCGACTACATTTTGTATGCAATTCAAGACCATGAATACCACATCAATTAGACTATTTTTGCTTGTTTTGCATTCAAGTCGTGCTGACGATTCTCACTGATTTGACTCACATTTGTTTCTATATCCATCTGATAGTTTCATGCGGCTCCTGGAAATGTTCCCGTCACTCATGGAATAGACATGCTTGTCTTTAAAGCCTCAAACCTCTTGGATGGTCACATCATATTTCTGGACTGTGAAGGCGGTGCAAATCACAACCAGACCGCCCTTCCTTTTGTCATTGGTCTGGCTGCTCGCTTATCAGCCCGTATGTATATCTTTGAGCGAGCTTGCTTCACTACAAATGGCCTTGATACCGTCATGCAGGTCTTAAACATGGTGAATATCGATTGTGATTTGTAACCAAATATCGGCTTTAAAAACCATTAAGCCAGTGCATTGCGTGCACTAATTCATGTGCCAAAATATATATTCCAACTGGATTTCTAGGCAAATGCTACTGCTACAGATCAAACATGCATACCCAAATCCATTGTTCTTGTTGAAAATATGACCATCAACCAAGAAATACCCAACACCACTCTTCTTCAGGATCTGCTGTGCGAGGATGAGGGCGATGAGGCAATCAACTGTATTCGCTCCCTTATCAAGGATCGTTTTCAAGTAGAATTCAACAAAATTCCGTATAATAATGATCCTAGAAAACTTCGTGATTCCGGATACGGCAGACAAACTATACTCAGTCAGTATGATGACGTCTGTTGCGAGATGGCACAGGGTATAATTGATAACCTGGTGCCATTTGAAATTGGCGGTGTGCAGGGTGATGGTGCCATGGTTGTTCAGCTGATTAATGAGTTGATTCTACAGATTCGAAGAGGTGGAAACAGGTTTGTTCATTCATTGTTTTTGGTCAAGTTGGAAATCATTGATTGAATGACTCGATTCTTGTCTTTTATTTAGATTCAACATGGTAACAGCTACAGAGGCACTGGTCAACAACATGGCTATGGAGGCAGCAACAACATTGTGGAACAACATGATGACCCAACTAAAGTTGTCTGGTAACCTTCCAACTCAAATCACTGGTCGAAAACCACTTGAAGCAATCATGCGTGAAGTCGAGCGTGTTGCCATCCCTGCAGTACATGATCTTGATTCCTTTGTTTCCAGACTTGAACCTCCTGGGCCTGCCTGCGTAGGCAGACAGTACTGGGATCGCATGTATGATGACCTTCAACGCGAGATTCGGGAATCCTATATTCTCAAACATGAAAAGGTAATGCGATATAGAGCATGGCGGGATCGAACTCATATTGTCATGGCACACATGTATGCCTTAATCTGGCAAACATTGCACTATATTTCTCAGTTTGTTCGATATGCAAGTCGGGTAGTTGCACATACTGGATGGTTTTCTTTGACAAATAAGCTTGGGCTTGGAATGATCCGAAATGCATTTTTTAAAGGGATTTTGGTTTGATTGTAATTTGATGAGAGTTGAATAAATTAAGCACTATATCAATTTGTTGCATCTCACCATTGATGTGTTGGATATAAACAAGACTGCACGAAATAAACTTTGATTTCAGCAGTGTATTGAAGCAGTCAATTTGTAGTAGGAAAACGCAAAGATTTAGTCATTGTTCATTCCAAAGCAAAATAATCACTGCAAAACCCAACAGAAATGGTTGATTTTACATGGATACGGCCAACTCGTGCACAATCGTATCCATTTTATTACTAAATCTATCGTAACGCCCATTCAAAATGAATTCAGATTGCAAGCAAATATCAGTATCACTTGCCAGCATCCATTTTAAAAATGCAGGCAACTACTATCTTGTCGTCGAGTTCCAACATCCACCACATCTGCCCGTTACCTACACAACGGATGTGTCCAGCAAAACAAAAACGCCAGTCTATACCAATCAGCCATACGTGTTTGATATGGATGGATACTCGAATGAAAACACTACGCACAAACTCGACACATTTTTAAAGGCTACCAACAAGCGTGCAGAAGTAGTAGCTCAAACCCAATTGAGTTGTGCAGAGTCAACTCCTCAACCGCCTATGCTTGTTATTTCTGCTTGGCAAGTTGTAAGAAGAATCCAATCCACGTCCACCGCATCACAAGATCCAAATGGACTGCCAGAACATCGAGGCAGCGCAAAAATATTTTTAAATGATATATGGTCCACGTTGGAACATAACATGCAGATGGATATTGAGAGTAGAATGTGGCCGAATCTCAGTCATGACAATGATACAACTCGATTTCAGCATGGTCATGATATAAGTGAGATGAAGCATTCACAATCACCTGTAGCAACGTTGACAGTACAGCTAAGATTGATCAACACAGTCAAGCCCATTATAGAAACTGTGCTACATGATCACTCCATATCAATTGTATCAAGACCAAGTTCGGTAAAATCTACAACTCGGTCAAACATGGATCCTTTTCCAACATCCAAATCATCTATAAAAGCTTCAAGACCATCAAGTTCATTTCAGTTTAAATCTCTAGTTGCTCATTGCAACCATCATACTCTTTTGATTGAAACTTTGATCAAAGATGTGCAAACGCGATCAGAGACCATCAAAAAGCTTGAGCGAGATTTGACTAGACTACGACAAGCCAATACTCACCAGGCCGACACGATTCAAACCCTCCAGCAACGGCTTGAACATGTCGAATTAGACACGCAACGCTGTCTTAAAACTGTTGATATTGATTTGGTATCTGATACCGAATTGAGGCGGAGATATGATATCCTTTTTAGCTTGATGAAATCAAAAAGAATTACAATTTGGCTTTGTCCTTGACTATATGTAACCTCAAAATCTATTTCTGTTGATTGCTTCATGTTTAATTGATATGTCATTTTACTAGTTTTAGTTGATCGAATTCAATCCGTAATCAACGACAACAAGAGCATGTTAAAGCGCATTCAAACTCAAAAGCAAGAGGCTGCCAAGGTATTCTACTTGATCGCTACGGGAGTCGTATATACTTATTAATGCACTTGTGTTTGGGAATTTGATTGTGGTTTGATCACTTTAGCACCAGGATTTGATAGCCAAATATACAGAACTCAGACAGGCACACACGGCACAACAGGCATATCTTCTCAAACTCCAGCAAGATGCGCGATCTTCTCAAGATTATAGGACAACGATAAAAAAGCAAGAACAAGTAATACAAAAATTAGAGACGCTGATTGGTGATGGCTCGGGTGTGGCGAGTACACATATAATGAATGCATCTAAAACCATGACCAATACTGGCGTTTTTTCTTCGTCGTCAATGGCAGATTACATGCGCGCTGAAAAGAACGAGGCCAGATGTCTTTCGCTTGAACAAGAGGTAGATGAATTTGATTCAAGTGACGAGAATGCCCAAAACTGCATTGAAATCACTAAACTACCTGCTTGTATATCTATGAAATTGGAATAGCTGATACGCTCATCCAAAGAGTTTGGAAGTCAGATTGCCAGCCTTAAAATGAGAAATCTCGATCTTCTACAGCAGCTTGTTTCGTTAACTGGAATGCGACACTCGCATACATACTCAACACCATTCAACTCATAATACAATTCATTGATACTTATTACATTCAAATAGTCGAAAAAATGAAAAAAAATGTACAAGCTGAGATTGTTAATAGTAATATATAACTTATGTTGATTGAGTCCATCTTCCACCAAATGCCAAATCACATTCAGCCCATTTGTCATTCAAAACAACGGACACTCCTGGTTCGCCACACATGTCGAGTACTTGAATTAGCCGTTCAGAATCAAACTCGGAATAAGTCCCAGGAGGTGCAAAAGCTTCTCTAGTACCATTTGTTACACTCAATGACTTTAACAATACGTCTTTATCTTGGCAACCACCAGTCAACTCAAGCTGACTTGCACCAGCAGTAATCCAGACAACTGCCCAAACCCAATCGTTACCACCATTATTTCCTGGCATCTTATTTTCACCACGTATAAATCTTCCAATCAAATCAACCACTGCATTCCTTACGTCAACCGAATAAACCCGAAAATTCAATAACCCAATTAAAGCAGTCACCAATACATCTATATCGTGTCGCAATAGCATCATCGAGTCAAACATACTTTCTAAAGTGGATAGACATGCCATAAAAAGACGCGTTTCTACGGTTGTTGTGTCAATAGATTCAAATATATGGTTTCTTGCAGAGGTGATCGAGGTTGGATGTAGTAATGATACCACATCTCTCTTTACACTTGAACGTGCGTTTGCCACAGATTCATTCGCTTTGGATTTGCCCATAATTGCGCTGGATGCTTTGGTTTGTAAAGATTTGAACAGCTGAGCATATATAGGGATAATGTCATCACTCACTCGCTTGCGGACAAACTCTGGTGATACGTTCACTACAGCACCAATAACTAGCACCGCTTCCAAAGCTACATAATGCAACGTATCTTTTACACGGGAAACCAATTTAGGCCATATAATGTGAATCAGTGGATTGAGATCTGATGGTCGATTAGACAAAAGGGAAATTCCCATTCTAAGCATGCGAAGAACACGCACTCGTATCAAAGGAGAGTCGGAGGACAAAAAATGAACAGAATTGGACAAAATCTGGTGTGAAAGAGATTCGAACGGTGTGGGTGGAATTGGATCTGCATCAGGTTTTTGTGTAGGTTCAGACAACTCATCTGCCATCTCATTTCCAATTGAGGCACGATTGGGTTTAGCCTCCTTTAATCTCTGTTCAAAAAACTCTTTGGCTGAAAGGGAATCATTTTTATCTGCGTCGTCATCAACAGGTTTGCGTCGTTCAATAAAGTAAGCGCGAATTTCTGCAGAACAGTGCTGGATACCCAAAATATCATCAACCTTGTGCATATCCGTATCTTGAATCAGCTTGGATTTGTCATTTAAAGCTCTAAAAGTATTGACATTTCCAAGTAGATTGCCAGAGCGTTTGGCCAATACATCCTGTGCTGCTCGTTTAGATTCAGGTGCATTGGCCATGACTTCAATCAATGCATATAGAACGGAAATAACTTCACCGACCAGTCCAGGATCATCCGAGTCAAGTAGCCCAATAGCATGTCGATGAGTTATTTTCGAATCATTGTTGAATTTTATATGATTCGCACTGTCAAGTTCTTGAAGTAACAAATCACCACCACGTCCAGAAGTTCCCAGCTCATCCAAAACATCTATAAGCAAGTCCACACAATCTGTCAGCAATGGCCCAACAATCTCTACTCCAGTAACACGAATCGCTGCAGTCAGGACTTTGGGAGCCATAGGAAAATGACGAATATGACGGATGCGTTGCGATACCGAATCAACCAAATAGTCAATATGCGAAAGTACCAGCTTACAGACTGTGCCTATTTGAGCAGGCAGTGTCTCATTATCCTTTTTTTCAAAATCTATTGATGGCAAAACAACAGATGGGAATGCAAGAGGCGAGCGCGAGCATGTTTGTGCAAACTGTTGCAATGCCCATCCTGCCGCATTGCTTACTGCGTGGCTACGATCTCCCAGTTTTTCTAAAATGGGATACAAACCATCAATCAATATTAGTGTAGCTTCATCAGGCGTCAATACATCCGCCAATCTTCCAAGGCCCTCTAAAACCAAACTGGTACAGATAATAACATGGTTAAAGTCTCGAACAGTTGGCTGAAGCTGCAAGTTCCTGCTATATGTTGGATTTGATTTAATAAGATGTGTTGGTGCTTCAGGTTCCAAAAACAACCGTTTTTCAGAAATGTTGGTCGGCATGTGCAGAATAGATAGATCGAGAAACTCTGCAATAACTGACCGCGCAAGCCGTACTGCGCTCAAACGTGTCGTCGAGTTTGATTCAGCAACATCAATTCCATCATCTTTCAATCCTCCACCAAGCGTTCCTAATGCAATCTGTCCAAGCACAAACAGTGCTGCAGAAAAATGTTGCTGTGATACTTGCTGGTGCAGAGGATCAATTGTCTCGGACGTCTGTGTCCTTTCAACATTCAGCTTGGTAGAGAAAACATCGACAAGCATTTCTGCATCACCGTAATAAGCTAAAAGTCGACACAAGCGACATATCTGAGTCAAGATTCGATCATCATAGAATGTTTGAAAGTGTCTTTGAGGTGCAGGTATTGACATGTCTTGATCAAAAGCATTTGATGCCGACACCGACTCCATCAATGTTAATGCTGCACCGAGTGTTCTATGACGGCTTTCAACCATACGCACGCCATTCGTTTCAAATACCAATACACTCAGTAATGCCTTTACAACCTGGTTAATACTACCCTGAATAATCGGCGCGGCCTTGATTTCTAAAAGACGAATATATCCATTGATGAGTAGCAGTGTTTCAAGCTGAATCGTTTCACTAGTTGATGTAAGCTGTGTTGGCAAATGATCTAGTAGTTGCGATAGCCGATCTGTCAAAACACGAGTGGTAGCCATTGAGCTTTGAAGAGTTGTTTGAAGTGTATTTAATTGGTGTTGTGCCAAATGCAGGGAATCATTTCCACTTTTTGATTTGTTATTTAAAGTTTCTGATTGAAGCAGAGAGCATAAAATAATGATGTTGTCCACAAAAAACGAAACTGTGCCAGATAGTGATTGTGTGCATGATATGAATAATTGGGTTGAAAAGTCTAGCAAGGCTGTTTGAACAATCGGGTTTTGATGCAATCTAAGTTTGGCTAATTTGGGCAGAATGGCGGAAATGTTGTTTGAATTTACCTTGTACCAATTAGCAGTACGAGGCGCAATGTGTTTCAACTGGGATTTTGATTTATCCTCTTTACTCGACGCAGAGTCATCTTGCAGAGTGAGAGATTTGAGTTGGTTTAAATCTACTTTACTTGCAATTTGCTCCAGAATTTCTTTTGCTGTATCTTGTTTAACCATAAACGAGGTTGACATGGTATCGCTGAGCGTGCCTTGGATAGACAATTCAAGAACAACAAAACATCCAACAAAAAGCGAATGATGCCGTTTTTCATCACCTATGAGGATATATTTGACAATACCTGACACGATTCCTGGAAGAAATTGTGCAAGAGCATCTGGAGATACGCTGATTAATCGAACCAAGTCTGCAAGAGCATTCAATGCATGTCCGCATAGTTCAATTGATTTTTCAGTTGCAAGTAAATCTAGCAGCAAAATCATGTTATGTGCAAGTATAGGCTGGAGTTGAGCAGAGGTGAAATCAATAGAAGTGGTGCACTCTGGACGAGATTGCATTGCTTGTTGGCCAGCAAATAAAGCACTCAAAGCCTTGACAACACATAGTTTAAGATCTTCGCTTGGACGGACAGCAGTTAATGCCAACGATTGACGAGGATTCTGTGGTAAGGTTTGCTTATTATTGATCAACGATGGAGAGAAGATAATTAGAGGAAGTTCCAACAGTAACTGAGATACCAGCGCAGGAGGTGGTTGAAAATACTTGACAGACGGTGCAGATGTTTGCAACAGAAATGCCAAACAGCGACAAACACACTCTGTCGTGGTGCTAGTTGCCATGCGAGACTTGATGGCTTCTACCAATGGGAATGAAATGTATGCTAGCAAAGGAGCAACCAAATCAGCAGCATCTGTCACAGACAAGCCAGAGATCTGTGAATCAAGCTCAGCAAGGAGCATAGCGACTGGATGACTGGATGTCGGACGAGTTGAAGACGGATTCCATTTCCAACACAGTATAGGATCCATGCATTGGATGCACAATGGCTTCAGCTAATATATAGAAATTCATAGACAAGGAGTTAGATGGCCAGCTGGAAACTGAGAACACCGTCACAATACTTACGGAAGCAAACAGACGATCCTTGGAGAGTCTAGCACTCGTGGGATCTAAACTTGAATCAGCTATAGGAGTCATCAGAGGATGTCTTGAATGAATGATGATGGTTGTGTAGTGATGAATTGAGTTGCTATCAGATTATAGTCGTATTCAATATTGATGACTTGAATTTATTTTGGATTGTTATTGGAATGTTGGTTTTACGCAACCAAGAAATATCTGACAACATTCAAGAAACTCTTGTAACTCGATACATTTACGCTTCAGTTCAAGAATACAACTATACGTGTCAATCACTCAATACTCGTTTGTAATAAAATAAAAGTATCGAGAATATGAAATATATTGGTCATTCTCCCAGTTTTTATACAAAAATCTGCATAATATCAATCAACTCTGTCAAACAGCTCATTATGTATTTTGACATTCTTGTTTAGTGTTTCATTTTACGTGGATGCATCTGTAATAGTCGTTTATTACTACTCTGTAGAAATGACTCGATTTCTTTTATATCTTTCATCAATAAACCATGAGCAGTTACTGCTAGATATCTTTTTAGCGTCATATTCACGTATAATCGTGCTCAGATGTACTGGATGAAGCTGCCTGAGACTGTGGTACATTTTGAGTAGATTCTAATGGGTCATTGGAGGCCTGTGCGCTAAAATTAACAGAACCATCATTTGGTTTGTATCAAATCAATATAAACTTCATTTTGATTTGCCTGTCTACTTACATTGGAGAACGCCATATTTTTCCATACGGATCTTGTAAAGCTGGATACCCATCAATAGAGTGTTCACAATTACAGCCAGGCCCAAGTCCGACGTTTCCATTAGTACGATCAATGGTAATTTTGAGTCTGAGAAAACTCGATATACCAAAACTCACATATCTATTGTAACCACCTCGAATCAAAAATTGATCTAGTCATTTCAATTAAACTATAGTTACTGAAAAAATTTGTTTAGATGGAACCTATCATGCAAAAACTTACATTCGCCTCTTTCGTTTTGCTGAATATAATCCATTCCAGATAATGTAACAACAACTGGCAGCGTGTCTGTAGCTGAATCCAATGAGCTGGCAGATTCCATTGTAAACGAAATAGTGGGAAACTTTTTCCAGTCAAACTTGATTGTATTTGGCATGTTGAGTTTGCCGCAAAAGAATCCTTCCCAACCTAAATCACTGATATGACTCAAGATTGCTTTGCTGGTCTTGATGGCTTTTTTCAGTGCTTCGAAGACCGTGTCAGGCACTTGTGTGTGTGTGGAGCATACATCAAACAGTGACCATTGGTTTAAAGTAAACAGTTTTGCGCGTTGGAAGCCTTTGGGTAGTTTGACCAACTGATTATCTACCGTGATTCTCAAGACAGTGACAGTTATAAACTTTCTACTTGGAGACTTGATCCAAATTAGTGGAGTTCCGTCTGTTCCGCATTTTGGTTCAATGTCTTTGTTTCCGATATCAATATAGCTATCATGGGTCAGCGAATATGAACACATTTGTATCGCTACTTCGTTTTTATCAATGGTGTTTTCGTTGAAAAACGCATCTATTACAGATCCATGTATACCATGATATCTAGCATTTTCTGGATACGATATCCCTAGAATTCCGTTAATGTTTGGACTCATGAACAATGGCCTAGTAGACTGTATAGTTATACCAGTTATTGGGGCTTGACTAGCCCAAATGGTTGTTCCGGGAATCGAAATGCGTCCATTGAATGCATACCCAAACCAATAAGATCGGTCAACATATGACATCCAGTTTAATCTAAGACCAAAAACATGATCCAATTTGATAGCTGGACCATCATAATGGCTCAGTCGAGTAGTAGCAACTCCAGTGTCTGTTGTTCCAGAATCGACCATCAATTTCATCTATTCAAGGATTGACACGAATGCCGTCATCAAACTGAATCCATTAGTCTAATGTTTTATTCAAAATACATATTGCTCATTAAAGCCAATTGACCAATTGACCAATATACTACAAACTCAAGCATTACCCACATCAACTCCCTCGACAGTCATTTGGATTGCAAAACATTGTTTGAAATTGCCAGTCAACTCTACTCGCGATCGTTTAGATAGCTGATTCAACGGTGTATGGTCAAATGGATGCACTAATGGGGAGCGAACAGCATCTATGTATTCAAATAATGTGAAAATCAAGTATATCACTATCATTCTATAGGATGTATACAGCTAGTTGGTTTGTAGGATAAAAAAGTGGATGACATTTTTAAGGCTTTGCAGATGCTGTAACCTAGCATAGTTGTTGGAATCCCTTTTTTGTTGACATAGCACAGGTCTCGTTGGTTTTTGAAGGGTCAGTCAGTTCCTTGTGTAGAATTCGTATCATTAATAAAAGGATTGACTATTGAGTGTTCAAGCTAACGACGATTGAGATGGAAATGGGTTAACATCAACTGTCAGTACGTATCCATGTATTTGGAAATATGTTTGCATAGAATTCAACCGCACTTTCAGGCTCGAGTCTTGCTTGGTTGCGTAAATATTGAAAGATTGTCCGTTAATTTGAATGGCAAGAATATCGCAAGAATATCTATCGCTTGCTTCCTTACCACAGACAGACACCAGCTGAAACCCCATCTTTCCTTGAACTGAGCAATCTAATGCAGTATCTGCCTTTTAGGTGACCTGGTCGCGCTTTATCTTGAAGGTATGACAAACACCATTTGTGTTGAATTACAAGCAGCTCAAACTTACTCCAAGATCTATTATAATGCACGGACGTTTGACAGGAAAGGTTGCCTTTATTACCGGTGCTGGAAGGTATTTATATGAACATAAGTAGTGATTTTCATTCACTGCAGTAAGTTGATTTAACATTCTGGTATCATCGCATCCTTGACAGTGGCATCGGGTTTGAATCAAGCATACTCTTCGCCAAGGAAGGTGCCAAGGTTGTTCTTGCAGATATCAACGCTGCTGCTGGGCAGAATGCTCTTGAAAAAGTGTTTGCTACAGTAGGTTATATTCCAAGCAATGACCCTACTGGTGCCAATGTGCCAGCTATCTTTGTCAAGGTTGATGTGTCCAAAGAGGCCGAGATCAAGAATGCCATTGACCAAGGAGAAGTCAAGTTTGGTAGGCTATCTGGGTTTGGATTTTTATGTTAATGTCCAGATACTTGACAGTATCCCAGATATATTACTGCGATTATCAATTTCTTGAACTTGATACTCAGATGCTATGTGAATATGGTTATTGAATCGTTAGGAAAGGTCAATGTTATTTTCAACAACGCTGGTATCATGCATCCCAATGACGACAATGCTATTTCCACGGATGAAAGCGTTTGGGATCTGACCATGCAGATTAATGTAAAAGGTGTATGGTGGGGTGCTAAACATGGCATTCCTGCCTTGCGTCGCGCAGGAGGTGGTAGTATCATCAACACTGCCAGTTTTGTTGCTGTTCTTGGTGCTGCTACTCCGCAGTTGGCTTGTACGTTGTATTCAGATTAAATCTTGACTACTGGTTGAACTAGATGTGTCATTTACATTCAATCTGTATTGAAAATAGATACCGCATCCAAAGGCGCAGTTCTCGCCATGACGTATGTACAATACTGCCAATCTGATTAAACCTGAACCCATTTTGTGAATCTAATTTATGTCTTAAATCCCAATTATAGCCGTGAGCTTGCTACCATCCATGCTCGCGAGAATATTCGTGTCAATGCTCTTTGTCCTGGTCCTCTCAGAACTCCACTCTTGATGGATTTTCTCAACACGGAAGAAAAGAAACAGCGACGTATGGTGCACGTTCCCATGGGACGCTTTGGTAAATCTTATCATCCATAAACAGTTGCAATATCGTGTACAAAATCATATTTGTTAATTTCTTTTATGGCGTTATGCAGGCGAAGCCATTGAACAAGCTTATTCTGCACTTTTTCTTGCTTCGGATGAATCGTCATACATCACTGGTACTGACTTCATGGTAGACGGTGGTTTGACTGCTGCCTATGTTACGCCTGAAGGTCCAACCACCTCTCTGCCCACCTTTAAAAACTTTTCTGGTATTTAATTGAAATATTAAAGATACGACTTTAGTTTTTTAAACTTCAAATCTCGTGCATTTTAATTGATTTATAAATTTGCAATGGGTCAAGATCGAGATTTAATTCTAGTCGTGTTGGGTTAATATCCACGTTGGTGGTATTGCCTCTGACCTTGGTGACGGTTTTGATATTCGGTTTGGTGACGTTGTTGAACAGGAGTATCTATGCTCAAACTTGTCCCACTCCACACCAAAAATTTCAAAATCCAAAACGAGATATAAAAAACAAGGACTATGCTAGTGAAAATCGCAATAGTTCCTATCATTCGTTTCCAAGATGAAAGTGCCCCACGCAATGTTTTCTCCGAATCGAATTTGGGTACCCACGGGAAAAAAGAGTTCAGCAATGTAAACTATATTAGATGCAGCAAAGATGAATAAAACAAACATGACAATTCTATGCAAACAGCAATTTTAAGCCAAAGCACTTACCAACTCATCAACCAATATAGCCAGATGATGAATCACGTACACAAGAAATGGACTTTCATCCGATAGATGCATTTGTTTGGCACGAGTAGAAGAAACAATGGGCACATCAACTGAGCTACATTTACGAAACCCACGTTTGATCTATGAATATAACATAATAATAGTAGTTTGTAAACACTCTTTAAACCACTCTTGGCATTGATTTCTTGAAAATGACAAGCATGTACCTGTTCTTTTCCACGGCGAGTAAGACGCAGTGGTGTACCATTGATACTTTCTGGTGAAAATACGCCTGGACCTACAGGCATCAAATCAGCCTCATCCTCCATACCCATGAGTCCAAGGTCATTCATACCAGACTGAGCAATGCCTAGTCCGCCATGAGAAATGTCACCGCTGTGAAGATAGGACGTCGCAGAATCAATTTGTGACATGACGTCTGTCGCAAGATCCATGTCCCAAATCTTGCACAGTGCAGACACAATGCGCTTAATGTTTGAAATGTCAGATTGGAGTTTGTCTATTTGAGCTGGATTGAAAGGCTGGGACGCATTGGATGTCGGACGAGCAATCTGACCACCAAATGCGCGAACAAGAATGTACTTGAGACCAGTAATAATAATGTTTGAAGATTCTTCCGCTGGATATTGCAGCGTACCTTCAACTGGCGGATGAGGAGCATGAGCTGATTGTGCACGATTGTTGCCCATTCTTGGAGTGGAAGGTCCCGAGGATATACTGCCCTGAGTGCTGTAGTACACTAATCGATTGGATACATCCATCAAAGTGATTGCCAATTTTTGTGCCTAAAACAAATGCAATGGTTAATACATGCTAAATCCACTAATCTGATATTAAAAGCTATCATGCATAAACTGCACGCTTACACTTTTTTGGGTTTCAACATGGACATACTGCTGTTGTAATTGTTGGACAGAAAGATGAGATTGAGTCAATCCCTGTTCACTTATATCTGCAGCACAAATAAAGGTAGGTCGATATGATATCATCCCCCTCTCAAACTGGAATATTTGAGTGTGCAAAGCAGGCCCACTGTTCTGGTAGCTACAAAGCCACTCTGGATTTTCCATGGCATTTAAACTGTTTGGAGTTTGTAGCGTGCGTGGCAATCGGTTGGATGGGGAGTTATAACCAGCATGCGCCATTCCATATGTAGCGCTTTTTGGATGTGCAGACATAGCGTCAAGTGCATTGCCGTGTGAAGTTCCAAATGCATCCAAGGTAGATAAAGCTGTTTCCATCACGCGAAGGAGTTGTAAAAGACAAGGATCAGAAAACACTCCAAGAACCTTGTTAACAATCTCCAAACATCGCTTATGAGTAATTCCAGCTGCATATGCACTGGATCCATTAGTGTCGGTATAGTGCCTACTGCTGCTATTTTTGTATGGAGCTGTTGTCGTTTGTATCTGAGAGCGAGTAGGCCGTAAAGCCGAAAGAAAAGGAAGTGACTGCACCTTTTGCATAAATATCTGCAGCAAAACAGTGTAGTATACAAAATTGTCCTTGACAAATTCACCCCTTAAATCAACAAGGGCTCAAGTGTTACAAATTTAAATGGCAATAAAGCAATCAGTATAGCATTTTCGTACATACCATTTTTCAGAAAATGCCTGTTTGACTGCTCTCCAGGGAGTAATATATGTGATCCAAATTTCAACAATCTGTATTACAATAAGCATAGATGAGCACAGCTATTCACAAACCAATAAAAGTGTTTATATAAACGTTACCGATTCAAAGGTATCATCCTGGGGCCAGCTCTCCAGACATGATCGGAGCATTGAATAAAGACGCAAACGATAGACACGATAGGCAGTACTGAAATCAGATTGAAAAAATGCAGTATGTATTAGTTTTAAAGCAGACTTGGACTGAAAAATAAGATAAATGATCATCTGCTTACGCCTTGGACATATCGTATGCATTATCCAGACGATAATCAGGCAGTTCAGACTTGTACTGGGTTCCATGATTCTCTGAAAGAATATCATGTAGATCCAGCGACACAAGGTGTCTAGTAAGTAGACTGATACACTTGATCTGTGCATTGGATGGTTTAACAAAGTGCTACAGTTTAGCCAAATAGCATTCATCAAAAATAAATTGGCTGTCAGTATAATTAGATACGCATGACTGTCGATTGCAAACAAAATGACCAACACTTACAGCAATTTGGCGATCACTAACAGTCTGTTGTGGATCATCGCGAGCCGAAAGCCATAGCTCGACAAAAATAGAAAAGACAAATTCAGATACTCGAAGAGCTCTGGAGGTTGAATTAATCTCACTAAAACCCAAATGTGTTTTTCAATAAAGCCAAATTAGTAAAGTATGAGTTCAGAAATAAAGCATTGCAATAGATACGTACGGACAACTAAAGACATCTTTCTTGTCCAGTTTGCGCTCAATGAATGGCTGATTGGAACTTGATCCATCACGAGCACGAAACTGTGTAGGTTGCTGTTGTTTTTTCATATCAGCACCTCCTTTTTTTGGTGTAACCATGGACGAAAAGTCGATTAATTTTGTCAAGACAGGTTTTTGTGGAATGTAGAAAGCCAACATAGATCTGACAAGTTCAAAATAGCATTGAGCCAAACCACGAGTGCCATTGGTATTGGATCCTGTAGAATACACGGTTTCTGATTTGCTGTAGTTTGGGGTTGCATACCTTGACGACGTACGTGAAAACGAGTTAAAGTTGGAAGCATCCGCCTTGTTTGAGGAAAACCCATCAGAAGTTGCAAGACGAACAGCGAATGCAAAACAAAACATATAGTACTCAAACATATCTACAACAATTTGAATTGAACGGATATTTTGTAAAAGTTTAGTAGATTCACGGTATTCAATAGCATTATACAAAAACGTTTTCATGAAATGTACTATGGCCTACCAAGCATGATACTTGGAGAAGATGAGACTGCAGCTGAGGGTTGATTACTAGGAGAAACTGAATATCCAGACGACAACTCTCTTGCATTGACAGATTTAGAGGCAATTGATTTACCAGATCCGTATGGGGATTGAGAACCAATAGTAGACTGGATTGACTGTGGACTGAGTCTTGACCTAAAGATTGGAGCCAGATCGAGTATATTGGATGAATGGAACGTCGATCGAATTGCCGCCTGTAATTCAAACAAGTTTAGTATTTCAATGCACTATTGTTGGATGAATTGAGCCATTCATTTGCCTAGCAAGACTGGACAAGATTGATCAGCACAACCAAGATAAAATTGATACTAAACTGGAAGGTTGTCAGCACTGATGCAGTATAGCAGTGCCTGGTCGCCTTGCAACTGAATCAATCGAAGAGGCAGCTCGCTAGCAGGAGAAAAGAAGTTGAACCATAGCTTGAGCTCCTGTGAATTAAGACAAGTCTGCAAGATCCCACTATGAAAGCAGCCATTCAGTCAGCACAACGAGATGCAGTCTTTACAACAATTCAGACAACATGCCTCTGTAGTCCACCGGATGCACCAAAGAAAGTTGTGCATAGATTCGGTAGTGAAGAGTGGAGTGCATGGCCTACAGCAGAGTCGCTGTCGTCAATCAACCAACGAGCAAACAGTTTCAACAGCTCACACTTGTCCTGAAAGTCTTTAGGATTAGCACAGTTTGTAGTCGAATGAACCTTGTCCATTCCATGAAGAATCCTGGTTACATCCATCAGTCTGTTAGTGTGCAACTATCTGACAGTTGGTTAAAACAAGATTTGTTCAACTGTCTGCCATTCTACACTTGGAAACCATCGTCTGTTATCAACCTATTTTAACTTTATTGACTGCACATTCGTGCATTACAATTCTCCTTGCAGAGTCTCCATGTTCAGTCTTGGTTCCCATAATTCTCGGTATACGCTCACAAACCGATTCAACGCATTCTCATCTACAGATGACATTGGCATGACTCGTCCATTTCCTGCAATCGTTGCTTTGAGTTGGCCTAGTGCATGATCTACGCGATCGTCCGTGTGCGTATATGCATACTCTTCCACGATACGATATATGTTTAAAAAAAGTGTATGGTCGTTTGAAACATACGCTGCATCGAGAAGCGTATACACTGGTAGGAGTTGTGTGCACTTTCGGTCTAGCACATACTTGGCTGCTTCAATTAACTAAAAATCATGTCGATTGACAAATACATATAAAGTTGGTCATTGATTCAATGTATCAAGTTCATCAAACCTACACAACTCACTTTTCCATTTTGAATCAACGAAAAAACAGCATCCTCGTCTGCATTCAAACTCTCAAAAATCCTCATAGCCAGTCCAAAAAATGCTGGAAACACTGACTGATGTTGCATCACCATGTGTGCAATCTTTATGGATTGACGCACAACCCCAAAGTGCACCATCTGGTATACTTGTTGCATTTTACCACAATCAAAAAGAGTTTGAACCAGCAATTCCTCAATAGAAGGCTCAGCAAATCGCTTGTTTTCAGCTAGAGAGCTCATGTATTCCAATAAGCAGCTTGAAAAGTATAGTGCTTCGTCTGGATTCTACCCAAATATTGTATTCCAAAAACACAGTTTAAAAATCAGAAATAGACAAGTGTGGTGGCTGCCATTCAAACTATAAAACAAAACACTCACCTCTTTGATAAAAGCTCGAAATACTACCGTGTACATATCATCCTGCGAGGTATCAATTACATTTTGTAAACTCACTTGCTGTAGCTTCCGCTTCCATAATCGAGGAGAAAAATATCCTGGACTTTGACATGGAGCTTCTTGAACTGCCGAGGTTGTTTTAGACGAATCGTTTACAGTATCTCTGTTTGCTTCGTCAAGTGATACGTTGGAAAAAGGACATGGTGGACTGGATTCTTCAAATGGGTCTGATATGGACGTAGTGCACGATTCGCCTATATTTTGAATATGTTGTAAACGTGAATCATATGAATGTTTTGCTAGAGTTGACCTACTCATCAGTTAGTATAGATCGATAATACTCACATCAAACAAACCCCAGGATATATAAAGACTGAGCAATTTCAATTACCCTTGTGCAAAGCTCGTCTGGTTAAGCGTGTCAAATGCTTGGCGTAAGTAAGTTAGATCGGGGTGTTGACTGATCAGTGACTTGATTGTTTCCAATTTTAGTATATATGCAGAAGGATCTGTTCGGCGAGATAGCATTTGAAGTATATCTACAATGTAATTGTAGCCACGATTTTGTTGACCACAACATTCCATTTCATCACGGAGTTCCCTGCATTGCAAAGACAAGCGTGATAGAATCCCTGCAGTGGGTAATAGTACTAAATCTGGCTGATGACATGCCCAGCTAGTATGCTGGCCCTCTAATGTGTGTATCAAGTAATATATTGAAAAAAATTAAAAATAGTGTCAACAACCATCAAAGGATGCAGTAGACGAATATGAATACCATCAACAGCCAATTTAGAATCGAGCAGTTTAAACAGTCTTTTTTGAGGTTCAACAAGCAACTTTGAGGGGTGATTTGAAAAAATATCAAATAGTAGAGATGTCTAAATTTCAAAAAATATCAGTCGATAGGCATCAGTACAAGAAATCGAGTTTTACAAATACAAACAATTTTAACCATAAATATATGCATAGCGGCACACCTTTGTGAACGAATTATGAACAATCAAGATATTGTCCCAAATACTATGTGTAAACACCCCACAATCAATTAGATCCAGCGAATGCGCTATGATCCAAGTTTTTTGTGACTTGAGTTGAAAAAGGTGCATTATGGGAGTTTCAGACCATGTATTTGAAAACATAATATAAACATGGCCATATAAATTAACAACATGAATATGCTTTCGAATAATTACTACAGGTCCTGGAGCTCGCGTGGTTGAGAACTTGATAGACTTGTAATTGTCCAATCTAAGTGATGGAAGCATTACAATGTACGAATTTGGCTTTAAATGGTGGATAGTTAATGCAAGTGCTCCAGAACATGTGATGAGGATATTAGCATCCGCTGAAAACAAGTACCAGGAGATACGCCCAGTAATTATTTTACTTTTGAGAAAAATTCCCCTTTTCTCACTATACTATTCAAAAGATGGTTACATTTATAGATTAGCTGTAAACCTCCAACATATGCATCCCTTGATGTAATGGTCAAGCACGACTTACACGATATAGTTCGATCCCAGTGCTTGTAATCAAGACGAATTCACCAGAAAATGACCATTCAAATCCAAGAATAGCATCTGAAAACCTCCAGTCTCTTTCAATTTCAAGCAGTGAGGGCTCATTTGGCGAGGCTAAAGTAAGTCGAATCTCCTTTAAATGATTCAAGTTAACATGTTGACGCCAACTAAGCTGTGTCATAAAAAGATCAGCACTTATGAGTATTGGTAGGTTTGGCTTACAAACGATTTGGCAGATCTGAGGACTCCGATAAACATCCGATCTGGAGAAAGTTTCAACTGTCGGAGATGGCCAGTGTGTCTGAGACTGCAGTTGGATGCAATTTACATGGTAAATATATCAAGTTTAGTATTTTTGCATCCACACACTGATGGTTTACATTCTATTGACTGACACCATCTGAAATAAATTGAACGCAGCCGACATTAACTTGCCTAAACTGGTGAGTAGTTGTGGGGATTGGTACGCCAGTATATCCAGATACGTCCTGATGATTGCTATAAAATAACTGCTCAACATTATCTGCAGCAGATGCGGTTATCATTGTATGAAGGATGGATGAATTTGGCTGTTGTTGAGACTGGTCAGTAGGTGAAGTCGACACATCAACGTGCAGTTTGTCGAGTGCAATAGGAATATGAGCAGAAACAGGGTTTAAAGATGGTAAATCCGGATCATTAGTAGAGCCCAAGTCCAGAAGAGCATCAACCAATTCAACCTGATCGTTTTCTCGAAGAATCAACAGATGCGACTGAGAGGCTGTAGTATCAAGAAAAACCAAAGCAGCCTCGGCAGAAGGCTGGAATGTACACACTTGCTGCAGTTGGAATATGGAAGGGTTGCAAGCCATTTTCGACCTACTGCTGGTCTCTGCCATGTGTACTACTAAAATCTAAAACAAATGGTCTAAAGAACAGTATTATGACCAAGAAGCAAGCTTTGTATTGATGTTGAAGCTTCCGCTCTGCAGTTTGTGGTGAACTTTGAATCCGAGTCTGGATTCCTTTTGCACTCGGAATTGTATTCAAATCTATTCATCCAACTGCAAGTTTATTCAATGAATAAGCGATCCTGTAAGACTTGAATACAAGCTCGTTAATGATTGACCACGTAGCCAGTATATCAATGATATGGACTTGAAAAGCTAATTTACAATCGATTAGATTCAGATGACCAAACCATATAAACTGTTATACAGCTGGTTCTACTAGAACGCGATCAGCACTGGTGGGTATACGATAGGAATCATGCATGTTGATTCTGTAGTGTGGAAAAGAACCGGTTTAATCCAAGTATATCGTAAAGAAACAAGAGTGGATATGAACCATACAATGTGGGAACAAGTGCAACGCCCTTGAACAGAAATCCATGTTTTGCCTCCACTCAACCCAACTGTTTTGCTATTATTCACACCATGCAAGTCGACCCTTCGGTAAGCAACGTTTCCCTTGTTTCCAGACTATATACTATGAATATAAGCATACTGGACTATCAAAGATTCATACAGCAATGCTCTTTCCCTATGGGAACAAGGTGGAAAGACCTTGAGAATCAACTGCGCCAAACCCAAAACAGCTGCTTTGGATAGAGTTTTGCATATAAATGGTTACTCTTGAGTACTATGATACTTGTATCTTGGTATATACCAGAAGGACCATTATCCGGAGTACTCTTCATACCCTGGAATCCATACAGCTCTGTCCATGCCACCACTATACTTTTGAGGGCTATTGATAGGAATCACTAGATGGTGGAATGAGGCTGGAGACTTGTTTGCTTTTTATCTTGGCTTGTATAAAAATACTACCAAACTATAGCATGTCCTAATCTATTTTAGGCTTGACCAAATATGAATTTCAAAGTTTAAGATTGCTTTACGCTTGTATCCATTGGTCAAGTATAATTATTAACTTTTTATTCTAAAAACATACGATTTCTCATTATGCTGAATGGGTTTACAATCGAATTGAAATCATCTTTGGATATGACACTATATTCGATTGAGTAGAAGCTATCAGACGAAGACCGGGCTTTTTTTGAAAAGTACGGACGACTTCCACCTGCAAAGAAGGCTGGGCTCCAACAAAAACTAATGGTGATATAGATTACTTGACTAGATCACTTTTATGCTTGCGTAATGAACTAACTCTTGAATTTAAACGGGCTGACATGATGGTCTGTAGGGAGGAGACCGAAAGTATTTTGATTCAGGAGACTATGCCATGTCACAGGCTGGTAAATCCTCTCCCAACGAAGTAGGATCTCAGCATCCATCACCCGAGCGTATTCCTCATTCGATACCTCAAAGTTTCAAAAAGAATGACGTTACCAACAGTCCCGCCAAGGAGTCTGGACTGACCCACGAAGCATCCAAGAACACCATGGAGAACTAAGGCTGGAATGGATTAGTAGTGATGGACAATTGGTCTGTGTCAAGTTTAGCAATCTTGGACTGTTTCAGACTTTTTGATATATATTTTCGGTTCTATTTCAATGAGTTTCAATTGTGTAATGATTTCAATCCGTTTGGGATCTAAAAAATGGTTAAATAAAGTCTGTTTCAAAGGCTGCCGATGCACTGGACAGTGCACGTGGGCAGACGGCAACCTGAAACAAATCTCGAGTTTTTATCGCTTCAACTGCTGTTGCTGGTTTGGCCATTGATAGGCACTGAGCAGCACTCTTCTTGGCCATTGTAATACGATTACTGAAAATGGGGCCAGAACTCGTTTATCGTAAAACAGACGCTGTTCATGAGAAACCATCTATAGCCACTGTTAGTCCTGATTCTCCTTCATTGGTACTGGAAAGGTATTATTATTACGATGGGGTTCTATTAATAGGCTTTTAGTGGTTTTAGTAGTTTGTTTAGATGTCCAAGTTCTTGTTAATACATGGAATATTCATTGGCTAATGTAGTCTAATCTTGTCGTCTCTTCCATTGGCTTGTATACTCCAGCTACTTGTAGTAGCTGTGTAAAGCCTGTTGACTTGGAACTTGATTCATTGTCTTGACATTGGTCTATGCATTATTCAGCCCAGCTTATAGCTGGGTTCAAGATCCACCAAAACTACTGCATACTCTTGGAACTATCATGCCAATTGATCCTTATTACTACTGTTTCATTGAACACTTATATGTTTATTTCAACAACTTTTTATCACGATTTAACCTCAGTGCTACAACCGCTGTTTTTTCCAAAGCATCATCCCGCTTGAATGAAGTCGCCAATGAATCACTACCTCCGCTCCGTATTCTCTTTGCTACTGAATATCTGCCTCCTTATGTCTCAGGCATTGCTAACCGTTGTAAAAATCTCATCAACGGTTACAGACAAGAAGGCCACCACGTCACTGTATTCTCGGTTCAGGGAACTGATTGCGATGTGATAGTTCCTTCTATTGTTAACCCATTTTACTCTCAGCAACGCACATTTCTTTTTCCTCCGCTTCCTTTGCTTCTTCAACTTTTAGATTTCTCTCGTCCAGTTCCCTACGATATTGCTCATCTGGTTGCCCCCACTTGTTTTTCATTCATATTTATTCTTCCACTAATATGGCTGAGAGGTATCAAGATGTATGTGTCATACCACGTGTATTTGGAATACTACAAGAAAAGATACTTTGGTGCCCATCCTAGTCTCGATCTCATCATTTACGGCCTGTTCACGTGGCTATACTTTTTACCATTGGTCTGGTTGGCTACATGCGTGGGTATTCCTTCAAAAACGGCCGACTCATATGTGTTTAGGTATGCACATAGAATTCACTACTTGAAGTCTGGGCTGGATACAGACGTGTTTGTTCCGCAGAGAGTGGATGACGAAACAGCTAAAGAAGACACGGTCTCGGAGCATACTTTGGATGACAATGGAATGAACAGACCCATCCAAAACAATCTGTTTTCTGGATCATCATCAAGTCTTCACAAGATGATCGAAACTCCTGTTATTCAGTCCGATCTGACCATCACTAATTTGCGTCAGGTAGCTGGATTGACAAGTGATGATCAGGGTCCTATGCTAGTCTATGTTGGCCGACTGGCTGTAGAAAAAAATGTCGAGTTTCTTGTAGAAGCAATGGGACATCCATCCATGGCAAATGCTACACTAGTCATTGTTGGAGATGGACCATCGCGTAGGTCGTTACAGGAGCTTTCTGAATCCGTTGTTGGCGCTGAGCACGTTTATTCACCAGCAGTGTTTGTTGCTCCAGCAACCGTTGCAAACGATGGGCTTATTGCTGCCAACACTACCAGTAAGCCAAATTCAACCCCTTTTAGTTGCAACTCTAGTGAAAAGGCGGTCGTTGCAAAAGAACTTGAAGATGAATTGATCAAGTCACCGTCTGAAAGAAAGAGCAATGGAGATATCAATTCTGCAACAATGTCAGACCAATCAGCTAAAACACTGGTCATGTCGACACCCATAATTCCCTATTCTTGCGAACCACATCCTCCAATGTTTTCATTGTCAAATACTGCTCAATCACCTCGAAAACGAGTGATCTTCACTGGCATGATTTTCAACGAACATCAAGTGGCCTCATACTATGGTCAATGCGATATTTTTGTGTCAGCCTCTGCATCAGAAACCTTTGGATTCACAGTAGCAGAGGCGATGGCGTGTGGCACGCCAGCAGTTGTAGTTCGATCCGGCGCATTCAAAACAGTGTATAAGATGATTGATGACTGGATGTTTGAGGAGGGTGGAACTGAAGAGTATGTCGGATGTGTTGAAAAGGTATGGCGGGGCGGCAGAAAATTGAGACGGTTTTCCAGGGATATTGCTGTGGATGGATTTGGTGTTCATGCTGCTGTTAAAGATCTGGCGTCAACCTATCGGTGGATTATTGATGGGTGTCCTGACCCCAGGGTTTAATTATTAGATGTTGTAAGTGATATTAGATTAAAAGTTGCCAACATTTTGAAGATGCCGAATTTTTCCACTTCAAAAACTAATCAAGATTTTTGAAAACCACTCGTTTTTATTTAAACTATTTTGCAAGTCATTGAGATGTCGGCTGTAGGTGAAACCCAGTCCTTGCAAGCTAATTCAACACATGGAAAACACTACATGTATTGTGACAGTCACACATGATATACCTCGATCCAAAAGCAAAGTTAGCCCAAAAGCATCAGTAATTCAACCAACCGCTTAGCTCCCAAAATCCACTGGGTTTCATCAGCATAATTTGATGTCATCATTTTCAATATCATGGCCTGTGCTTCCATATAAGATTTAGAATTCAATGCCTGTGCTACTTGAAAAAGTTGGGCAAACACCATTCGCTGTGATTGGATTTTGTGGTTGGCAAGACGATCAAATAAACCGTCGATTCTCCTATCTGTATCCTCGACTTTTTGGCGTTGATTTGGCATACGCTAGAGTCCCAGCAAGTTCATATGTGTAGTATGGTTGAAAGCATCATCAAGGATTAGATTGTAATGTTACAAAAGCTAAAAGACAAAGCGATACATACATCCAGGATACTGCGAGCTAGATCCATAGCGGCGGTAAATGAAGCAACAATCACACCTTCGGGTGCGGCTCCAGCAACTTTTAAAATGTGTTCGGCAGCATCAGCATCAGCAGTCTGCTTAGGAGGGTCATTCCAGCCAGAAAGACCTGACACTGAGCCCTGGTATGATCGCCCACCCACGACGTTGGATTGAGGATTGTATTCTGGATACGCAGAGTAGGTTTGCTGGTGCTGTTGTCGAGGTTGCTGCATGGCTGGATAGCCAGCTGTTGGTGGAGTAGGAGGGTATGCTGCGCTGGAGCCTTGCGGACCGTACTGCTGTTGCTGATTGCCATGCATGTGTAAGGGTGGAGAAGGAGGGTATCGGTCAGCCTGTTGTGACTGCTGGAAATGTGGAGGTTGTTGTTGGTACGGTTGCTGTTGTTGATACGGTTGCTGTTGTTGTTGATACGGTTGCTGCTGCTGTTGATACGGCTGCTGCTGCTGTTGATACGGCTGCTGCTGACCAGAGCTCTGTCCGTACGTGCTTCCAGGCTGTTGCATGTTGGTAATAGTAAAACAATTGTCAAATCAACCGATTTCTTTATTCAATCACTTCAAACTATCCAGTCGAATTCCATCCATTTTATCTTTCTGGCAATCAGGCACTTTGTCCTGCATCAGGCTTAATAAATCCCCGATATAGCTTATCTAGTGTACTAAACACCTCCTCGTGGATCGTATGTCCTGTTGCTGCCTTTTCGTTCAATTGCGTTGGTCGTGCTTTGTTGGCTGAAAGTGGAAAGGTTCGTGCTGCATCTCGCAGTGAATCATGAACAGTCTGTGCCCACTCTCTATTTGAAATTAAATTGTCCATCACACGTATAGGTCAAGATTCACGCAACACCAATGTCACAACACCAAAAAAATTACCTTGTGGTCTGGTTTCCTTTACCAAGCTGTTTATCGAAATGCTCAAAGCTTTTACTAAGCATCCCACTTAGTTGTCTATAATTTTTATGTTTGATTTTTCAGCCAAGTAAAAGTAGATGGAAATGGAAATCATTGTCATGAAAATCCGTGTACAACACTTACAGCATGCTGGCAGTCAACTGTGTCATTTGACGCATTAAAGACTCGAGGTATAATTTTTCGCTACGAAGAAGCTCTTGTCCTTGCATGATGTGTGCAGCAGACTTGACGAGCACAATCATGGCATCTCTCAAAAGCTTAGATCCCTGAACTAAACTCTTGGAAGTCATTGGGTTGGGTGGGCCGGATGGCACGGCTGAAGTGTTTGAAAAAATAGCTTGAAGATGATTGGTAGCTGTAGTGTACAACGTATCAATGTGTGTCTTGAGTTTCGGTACACCTTCTACTTCAATCAGCTTAAACAGCATACGCGAAAAATCTGATGTTGGTTGCGACTAAGATTGAAATGTGCAGCATCAGCCGATTAGTTGAGTATGCTCGTATTGTATTGACACACATGTTTTTCAAATCAATAGCAAAAGTACTCTACCACAATCAAATCTATAGTTGCACCAAAGTAATCCTCAAATCGCTTAGTGGCAAGCAGTGCATCTACATACAATCTGTTTGCTGTTGCCGAAATGGTTCGCTCAAAAGGTGCCACAATAGGTCCACCGAGCATGCTTGCATTTGAAGAAATGGTACCTCCACGACCACGTACACCAGATACACCCGAGTCCGTCATGACATTTTGCTGCATGGCTTGCACAATCTCTTCATCAATATTCTCGGACTGTTTTTCGGCAATTTTGATCAGTCGACTAAATAGATTATTATTAAAACGGATTTAAATCAAACCAGTCAACTGACAAGCGTGCTTATAAACCAATGCAAGGCATGTGAGTATTGATGGTACATACATTTCCAGCGAGATCATGGGCAAGATTTCTTTGGGCTCAGAAGCAACACGTAGAATTTGGGTGTGCTTTCGCATATATAATTCTCTAAACAAGTTGGATCCGCTCGCGTCTTTGTGAATAGACACTTTGCTCAAAAGTGGTAAGACGCCAGTTGGTTTAACGGGAGATGATTTTACATTTACTAGCGACTTGGAACTATTACTTCGAAGTAGAGTCACTTCCTTTGGAAATATCCTTGGACTGCTAGGTACCAGATACTGTGTTTGAGGAGTAGATGACACACCAGAAGTCACTGGTGATCCCAATGAGCCCACAGCTGAATTTATTACCCCGCCAGAGTAAATGGTAGGAGAAACAATATCTTCTCCAAATGACAATCGCATTCTACGCACCCGAGAAACATAGTCTTCAATTGTAGCCTGTCTTTCAATTTGTGGCTGAGCTGCTAAATTTGACTGCAAATCAGGCAGCCATTCTGCCGAATCATAAACCGTTGGAAAAAGTAGCAATCCCATTGTACTTGCCAGATTCTCAAAATGGGCTTTGGGTGTATCTGCCACCAACTCCCCAAACTTTAATACCATAGTCATACCCTTTAAGAGCGAATGCGTAATCAATTCTTCGGTAAAAAATTGAATTGTGTCACAGTCAAGCAACTCTGAATCTGTCTCCATTCCACTGTAAAGTGCCTTTTCGTTATCAATGATGGCCTGCCAATTTCCTTGTAAAACTTGATCGACAATTTTGAAACGCATAACAGTAAGATCAAATTGGCTTTGAATCAATTTGTCAACTATACTAAAATTGTGAGTATGAATACCATAGCCTGGTGGAAGACCATATCCATAGGTTTCAAGATCTTCACGGAATGCAACAACCATATCGCGAGTGTCTGTATGTTTTTCAGCACCTGAAAACCAGTCTTCATTAGTATTCAAACTAGTATTAGCAGTAGTTGAATGAGATGTCTGAGCAAATGAGCGGTTTAGATCTTGCTTCTCTGTATCTAAACAAATAGGTGCCGGTGTTAATGGAGGCTTTTTTGTCACTAGTTCAATCAGCTCTTGCTCGTGCTTGGCTGTCATTTCCCCTGTAGGCCGCTCGGCACGAAGGTACTTTGTAAGGCATTGAAAAGTATCTGTAAGATTTCGAGCATATATTTTTGTTTCAACGTTTCGAGCAGAAATGTCGTCATATCTATGTATAGCAAGCTGTTCAAGCAGATTGCTACGAATTGTATGACTCATAATCTCTCCTGCAGCCGACAGTGTCAAGAACGTATCTGCATGTGTGTTGGATGCTATTACTGTATTTTCCATGGTCAAGTATCCAATTAGATCATGCAGGTTTGATTTTTTACTACTTGTATTTCAAAATACAAAATTTATAAATACATACCAGATACTATGGGAGCAGTATAGTCGGTCTGATGCTCTCCAATGATTTTTGATCCAATGACGGCATGAGCAGACTCGTTAGGATTAATGGACATACCCCAATCAGATCCAGGAAATCCAATAAACATATTGGAAGTAGGATCTGCAGAAACAAGTTGATCTGGTTGAATAGACCAAGCACGCCAGGCACGATCTGACGATCCAAAGGAAATGATATCACAATGGGTATTGGACCAAGCAATGGAGTTGACAGAATCAAAGTGACCATTGATGCATGCGGATGGTCCAGCAGCATATCGAATGTCCCAAACCTTTACAGCTCCACCAGCATCTAATGCATGCCATGACGAGTATCAATAATTAGTTAAAATGGGTGATCATATGCGTGACGAATATAAACTATTTGTTCGAATTTACCACTTGATGCTACCCAATAGGGAATAAACGGATTAAATTTGATATCCATAATTGGCATGGAATGAGCGTTTGCTGTTTTCCATACAACTGTCGATTGAGAGTTTTCACCTCCAGATCTCATGATGCGAGAATCCATCAAGTACAAGTTCATATCATGACCGCCCACAGCCATTAGTGATCCAAAAGGTGCATGTGAGCTATACACAACCTTGTTTAACGGTTTATTTCCTGGCTGCACGCTGCATATAACCTTTGAAGTTGGCAAGTCATACAGATGCACCTTTTTACTTTGTATCACAGATACACGACGAACTGAAACTGCAGAAAAGTCACTATTTCGATTGGTAGATAACGGCGCTGAAGTGGGTTCCAACTCAATGCATTTTAAACGAGTGGATTGGATCAATACTCCTGGTGGAGATATAACGTTAGATATCGCAGTATCACCAATCACACATTCCTGGACGTGTGTAATGCCTTTTCCTTTTGTGCCTAAATCCTGCAACTCGACTTTGTAAATTTGAGCAAGCCCATTTGGTTCTATAATGAGCGATTGAACAATGTTTACTTGGTTAATTTCATTATATATAGATTGATTGATCTACAGTTGATGTATTTAGGCAAATCTTTGAATTTCAGACAAAGTAATGTACCTGCAGTAACAAGTATATCTCCAATACTAGATAAATCAAAAATTTGACCAGGAAGACTAAACGCTGACTTGAGCTAGTTTATATTTTAATCAGTATAATATATGGTGCATGTTGGTAAACTATATATGCGAGACTTACTACAAGGGAATCGACTGGAGGGGTGTAGTTTTCAACTGCATCTAGCTTATTTACTGCAGTATTTTCTAGAATAAACAGATTGTTTGTTTTGGCTCCGGATCCTACGGCGAAATACGGTGTCATCTACACATCAAAAATGTCGAGTTGAAGCGTTTAATAACACATATATAGTCAACGAATTTCAAATGTATACATACATCTATTGATTCAAGACAGGTGCTCCATTTGGCTGTATCGATAATACTTGTCATACTGGTATCTAGAAGCTGCTGACTACGCCTGCATTATATCAAAAATGGGTTGAACAAACCAAAAGTTGTGGCCAACATTGCAGTTATAGTTTAATATAAGCCTGAAATATAGATGTACAAACTCACCTCTTGGAAGCAGATACAAATGTCTTTCGCCATGCATCTGCGAGTGGACTGTGAAGTGTTCTTGGAAACGTTCTGAAATTAACACTTTGGCACTCGGATATAGATTTATGCAAATGAGATGATATATCTGGTATAGTTAAACATTCTTTGGTTGCCATTGCATATATCTACGCTCGAGCGGTTGCAGTTTTTCGAGTCAAACTCCTGATATTGAAATAGGCTTTGAATGTGAACGTGTTTAGATTTGTATATTTTATGACTTGATTCATCCACAAGAAGCTCTTATTGGACAGCCTTGCTTGACAAGCAATTTTGGCGTATGTATTCATATTTACAGCTGTATTCATGTAAAATGAAACATTAAACTAAAATACATGATAAATAGTCATGTTTGATTGGTGCCAATCTTATTGGGTAATATTGTTTTATAAACTCATTAGTTGACTGGTCTTTGTGCTCATTCTTGTACAAGAATACAGTGCAAATGTTCACATCTCCATCCCAATACATTCCACATCCTTGACATCTTTTCAACCCCAAACCTTTCTTTTCTCCAAAACGAACATCTCAAGTAAACACCGAGTGACCGGCATGTATAGTTGCACTCCTGAAATATGTTGAACTAAAGCGCGAACGTATCTGATATTAGAATAGTGTTTCAATAGAAAAAGTAATCAATTTTCAATAACAACGAATAGTTAGCGATTGCCGACTCCAAAGCAAAGTAGAGTCATTACAGGATCAATGCAGAAAAGTGTTCCATTCTATGTGAATACGGCTGTAAAATGCACATTCAGTAGCACACGATCTTATTAGAAACAATTTAATGGTCTTTTCTTTCAGCAACCACATTATCATGCAACTTTAAAACAATTTGAGCAAGTAGTAAGCGCTTGAATTTTTTGCTTACTTGCCAATCTGATCTAATACAAGTTAAATATTTAAAGTTATTTTTACATTTAATTAGACTTGAATGGGTTTAGAAGATGCAATCTTGTCCAGTAAATTAGCATCAATTATTTCATGAAACTGATGATTTATTATGCAGACACCCCTATCCAGCGGCCATTTTACGTGAATGACTAACTATAGCAAATCACAAACTAAAAAGTATAATTAAAAAGATATTGCTATTCAAAATTTATTTCTAATTAATAGAATGCAGCAGCTGCTATAACAATGGCTGCAAACGAGAAACTTGCAAGCGATGCAAATGATGCACTGGATGTAACAATTTCTCCTTCAGGATATTCTGGTGTAGAAGTAGGTGTAGGTGTGATGGTCGATGGGACAGAAACTTTATGTTTGGGTGGTGGGGGTTCGTTATAAGAGCGAGTGGGGGGGACAGGCTTATTAGGTGGTGAAGATGGAGGTTGGTTAGGTGGAGGCCGAGATGGAGGTTGGTTAGGTGGAGGTCGAGATGGAGGTGAAAATGGAGGTGGTGGTGAGGATGGTGGAGGTCGAGATGGAGGTTGATTGGGTGGAGGTGGTGAAGATGGAGGTGATGGGGGAATATAGCCATATGAATAATCAGGTGGTGGATGATTAGGTGGAGGATGGTTAGGTGGAGGATGGTTAGGTGGAGGATGGTTAGGTGGTGGATGGTTAGGTGGTGGATGGTTAGGTGGTGGATGGTTAGGTGGTGGATGGTTAGGTGGTGGATGGTTAGGTGGTGGATGGTTAGGTGGAGGAGGAATATTGCCATATGAACGATCAGGTGGAGACGATGGAGGTTGATTGGGTGGTGGAGGAATATTGCCATATGAACGATCAGGTGGAGGTGGTGCAGGAATCTCGCCATATGAATGATCGGGTTCATTTGGATTAGATGTTGATGCACCGCCAGCTGGACGTTGCTTATTTTTAGATGAACGCGACTTTTTGCCAGATGGGTTATCTTCATCACCTTCATCTTCATCACCTTCTTCATCGTCTTCATCTTCTTCTTCATCATCTTCTTCTTCTTCATCGTCTTGGTTTTTGTTCTTTTTCTTGTTTTTGCTCTTGCTTTCATCTTCTTCATCGTCTTCCTCTTCCTCTTCTTCATCGTCTTCTTCCTCTTCTTCTTCCTCTTCTTCTTCCTCTTCTTCGGGACTATCTTTATCATCGCCAGACTTTTTGCTAAATGGACAACTAGATCCAGCACATGGAGTCTCTGTTTCCTCTGAATCTGGGACTCCTGTTGTCTCTGAATCTGGGACTCCTGTTGTCTCTGAATCTGGGACTCCTGTTGTCTCTGAATCTGGGACTCCTGTCGTCTGTGAATCTGGGACTCCTGTTGTCTCTGAATCTGGGACTCCTGTCGTCTGTGAATCTGGGACTCCTGCTGTCTGTGAATCTGGGACTCCTGTTGTCTCTGAATCTGGGACTCCTGTTGTCTCTGAATCTGGAACTCCTGTTGTCTCTGAGCCTGGGACTCCTGCTGTCTGTGAATCTGGGACTCCTGTTGCCTCTGACCCAGGAACTTCTGAAATCGTTGAAACTTCTTGAGCCGATGTATCATTTTGAGTCTGTGGAATTTGTGGAGCCAACGGATCATTTGGAGTCTGTGGAATTTGTGGAGCCAACGGATCATTTGGAGTCTGTGGAATTTGTGGAGCCGATGAATCATTTGGAATTTGTGGAGCCGATGAATCATTTGAAATTTGTGGAATCTGTTGAGCCGATGTATCATTTGGAGTCTGTGGAGTCTGTTGAGCCGATGAATCATTTGGAGTCTGTGGAATCTGTTGAGCCGATGGATCATTTGGAGTCTGTTGAGCTGATGGATCATGTGGAGTCTGTGGAGTCTGTTGAGCCGATGAATCATTTGGAGTCTGTGGAATCTGTTGAGCCGATGGATCATTTGGAGTCTGTTGAGCTGATGGATCATGTGGAGTCTGTGGAGTCTGTTGAGCCGATGGATCATTTGGAGTCTGTGGAGTCTGTTGAGCTGATGGATCATGTGGAGTCTGTTGAGCCGATGGATCATGTGGAGTCTGTGGAGCCGATGGATCATGTGGAGTCTGTGGGGCCGATGGGTCATGTGGAATCTGTTGAGCTGACGGATCATGTGGAATCTGTTGAGCCGACGGATCATGTGGAATCTGTTGAGCTGACGGATCATGTGGAATCTGTTGAGCCGACGGATCATGTGGAATCTGTTGAGCCGACGGATCATTTGGATCATGTGGAGCCGATGGGTCATGTGGAATCTGTTGAGCCGACGGATCATTTGGATCATGTGGAGCCGATGGGTCATGTGGAATCTGTTGAGCCGACGGATCATTTGGATCATGTGGAGCCGATGGGTCATGTGGAATCTGTTGAGCCGACGGATCATTTGGATCATGTGGAGCCGATGGGTCATGTGGAATCTGTTGAGCCGACGGATCATGTGGAATCTGTTGAGCTGACGGATCATGTGGAATCTGTTGAGCTGACGGATCATGTGGAATCTGTTGAGTCTGTGGATCATGTGGAATCTGTTGGGCCGATGGATCATGCAATCCTATCGCTGGAGCATTTAAAGATGAATCTATAATACTAGACCCTGTATGCTGTGATGCGGCGGGACAATTAGGTCCGATACATGGAGAAGGTCTAGCAGTAACTGTGACAGCCATAGCAGCAACAAGAGCGGCCGAAATAAACTTCATGATTGGTAGTATTTTTTGTAATAAATGTATTGATTAGTAATAAGCTGATATTGAATTCCAAACGATGTAGTTATTTTAGAAATCAGTTTAACTGCGAATGTAGACTACTAAAGATTATATCTTAAAACAGGGATGATACTTGATGATTATATAGTTTAGACGGTCGATTAAGGGAGATCACAAAACCCTACTTACAGGTAACATGAACACAATATTTTTAGGCTTTACATTGATAGGGAGGGTAAATATCCACTGTGTACTGAAAAGGGAGATACGGTGACAGTACACAAAGAATCAGAGAATTGGAATGAGTTGGTTGTGTCTGGTCTAACGCGTAGCTCACTTGTCAGAGGCAGCCTGTGTTTGTTGTGCTGCTAAGTATTGAAAGACTTGAAGCCACAAACTGCTCTTAATCATCCTTGTATTTGTCACGTTCTCCTTTCAAAACAACTTCTTGTGCAGACTGTCTACATCTTAGTCAGGGCTAGAGTACAACCCTGTATACCGCAAACGGCTATGGGCTGTGACATGCTTAAATGTGATTACACATTGATAATATTCTTTAATACTTGCAGCCAGTGTTGGATGTTTTACCTACAAAGTTTATTGTCAAGCAGTCAGTATATGCCACTTGTTATGGACAGCATATATACATCATTAGGCACTATTTTGGAAATCTAATCTTACTTTCTTGATTCGAGATCCTTTAGCGACACTGGATAGATAGTGATAAATCAATGAGTTTGATTTGTATGAGTTTTTACTTGTCAATACCTCATCAAAGTTGATATCAATTCTACTGTAACAGTACCACTGTAACTCGTATATGAAGTCTAAACAAAAGCATCATTGCCAATGCACTTGTTTCAGCTCAGCAAAGTAGTATATCGACCAACAAGACCAGTTTTGTTGGTTGATACTCACTGATACTCACTGATAGCTTGATGAAAATGTGTCAAACTATGACTTTTATGACAACACTGTACAAACTGTACGAGTTTAAAAGATTATTGGTGAATATTGTCCAATTTGATTGTTGACTGCAATTATTTTGGTTGGTTCGAGTTTCATTCTTTTGTCAAAAAACATCAAATGAATATTGAAACAACAAAGACAGCAACAACACAACTGTTGAATGAATACTACCAAATCAGCACTCAAGCCATACCAACACAGAGAGTCAAGTCTGAATGGCAGGATGACAACAAACGAGGTTTGTTTTTGGGAATCATCCAAGAGGGAGAAACCTCACACATCACTCGACTGCACAACCTGCTGACTGCCAACCAATTTGCAGAGCAGCAGGAATTCTCAACCAAGATCCAGTTGGCAGACTCAGAACATCATTGTACATTCATTGATGACATGTTTGGGTATTACATACTGCCATTCCACAAAGACTACAACGATTCATCCAGCTGTCACACTCCAGTTTCATCAAACCCAACATCAAGAACCAACTCTGCTGATGATCTGGACTATGTTGCAAAAGTGAGTGAGCTACAGCACAAGGACTTGAACAAGGTGGTTGAGAAGAGAGACAGTGTCTGCTTGTTTTGCTGGAATAAGCTGTCCTTGCAAGGAGCACACATCATATCCCAAAAGAACATTGGAATGGCATACAACGAACCATCCATCTTGCAATGATCTGGTTTGACGCAGAAACATCAAATACAGAACGGACTGTTGTTGTGTATCAAGTGCCATGACCAATTTGGTAAACTAAAGCAATATGTGGATGTAGTGGATGACAAACTGGTGATCAAAGTGATCAATGAGACGAATGACAAACACAAGAAGTGGATTGAGACAATTGAAGATTTGAAAGTTATCCGCAGAACAAGGCAAAAGAGATAAACTGACAATCGACAAACAGTCGAATCCAACAGTGAAATGACATTGTATTTCATTCACAACAATCTCACTCGACTACCAAACATGAACGCACTAGAGTTACACAAGACAGCATGTCTCATTTGGCGTATAGCTGGTGGTGTAGAATCTGATGATGAATATTGTCCATATGATGATGATGGCTGTACTCCTGTCGATTACCAGAGTAAGAATATCGAAAAATGGATGGACTCGAGTGCTACCTTGATGATCGAAAATATTCAATAAAGTTGTTTTAAAGTAGCAACCCACTATCTGGGAAATGATATTGAACCTATTACTCTTGAAAACATACCCCAAGATATGCTCAAGTTGGACAACTCCATCAAAGTGGATCCCAACAAACTCTTGAAAAAGTATCAAATGTAGAATGTACTGGAACAGGAATGTCAACATTCGTTCTGTATTTTTGTACAAGAATGAGCACAGAAGAAAAACTAGTCAACTAAAAGAGTTTAAAGGGCATAATGTTCCATTTTACGTGAATACAGCGGTAAAATCCCATTTACATGAATACAATGGTGATATTGACTAGCAATAAATTATTTATTGGTATCATTTTGTTTTGGCTTGGTGTTGTCATATGATGTAGATAAAGGCAGCTCTTGCCATGAATATAAACGGATATATCATTCTGGAATCAAACGAGTAGTTTAAATTTGGTCAATCTGGCATACTATTGACAGTCGATATCTTGTTTTCGAATTCGAACAGTAGAAATGCGCGATTTTGATAATCATAAATCCCAGTTCAATGCTCGCACAAACTCGTCCTCAGTAAACTGTAGCAACTTCACGGATTCAACATGCATCTGCATAAAAGTTTCAACGTATACATTAAACTAGATAAATACTCAATTGAATGACAAATGCAAAGTTTCCAGTGTTTAGATTTCATGCATCATACTTTTTGTCGCTTGAGAATCGTAACTAATTGGGCTTGCTTTTTAAATGCTGTTAATAGCTCAGACTTTTGCTTTTGAAGCTTTTTGTTTTCAGCAAACAATGCTTCAGCTGTTCGTTTTGCCACATCAATCTTTTCCTAGTATGATCGAGTAATGGCATTGAAGTCATTACAAGAGTATTAAATTTCAGATTGTACATGCCCGCTAACTGTAATCAAACTTGAAAATCCATCAGCTTTAATTGTTTACCTTGGCATCTCCTTCTTGTCTAGCCAAAATTGACCGGCATTTGTCCAACTCCTCCAGAGCACGATTCAATTTCAAATCGCGAGTGGTTACCTCATTCGCTGTTTGACGAGTTACTTTGTTCGCATTATCCATTTCCTTTTTGACTCGTTGTAGATCCAACTCGGATGCTTCATATTTGTTTTTGGATTTGTCCAACAAAACACGAAGCTTTTCAGACGTATCCTACAGTATATTAAATTTACTATTGTCAGTTTGCAAAATAAAAAGCGTCGAGTGTTTTTTAACCCTGCAGCTATCCAGGGGAAAATACCTCGGATTTGTCGAGTGCTTTTTGCATCTTTGAGCTTTCCTCTTCTACTAATTTGAGTCGCTCTAATGTCAGTACATGCTTTGCATCCTAAAATATCCAAAATTAATTGTATTAGCTATAACCGACAAAGTGAGAGACAACCCAGATACAGACTTCACTCTAGATATAATTTCATGGCTTACCTTTTCATTTTGGATTTGCACGACACTCTCCAGCTCTTTTTGAAGTACTTGAATTTTGGCTTTTAAAAATCGATTGGTCGCCTCTAGAATTTTCCCAGAAATTCATAGGTATTATAGTTTAATAGATATACGACTTTGCATTGGCTACACTTTTCAAAACTAGCAAGTCTTTACCTAATCCAAGACTGTTTTCGTTGATGTGTTTGGGTAAACCCATCATAATATGCGTTTGGTCTATGTTAATCAAACCCTATAGATTGATATGAGTATAAATTTGTATTGCATTTAAAAATAATCAAGACAGACCGGAATGAGTTTTGAAGCTTCAGAAACAGGCTCATCATTTTGATTTGAAAGTTTTTCAGTGGATGGAAATATCTTTGATCTTTCAGCCATGTCCACATTTGATGCAGAATCGGATCGTTGCAACTTTTTTGATCTATATACACCCATTTGGTTGAATTAATGCCTTGGTTGCACAATTGTATAGCACGATTTAAGCCTTTCTTACCGAATATTGACTGGTGCTGATTTTGAAACAAGTCGAGTGGGTGCTGTCGTGGGTCGCTCCAATGCACATCGTCCTTCTTTCTAAATACATGAAATAGCAATTTTTATAACAGTGAACAATCAGGCAATTTAATTTGTAAGCAACGTTTGAGTAAAATAAACATTTCAAGAATAGAATATCAACACGTATTAGGATCATATTACACACCACAACATCATTAGCTTGTTGAAGTACTTGCTTGGTTTGTGATTTGAGCTCCTTGTTTTTTTTCCTATTAGATGGTTACAGGATATACATTGGTTACAAGTACTAGTTTATATTTTTTAGATGAAATCTACCTAAATGCCTTTTCCTGCTCTAGCAAATCTGCACTAACTAGACAAGTGGCTATTTCATTGAATAGAGCAGTAACAAGAAAAAACTTTTAACTGGACATTTTCCAATCAAATAAAAACAATATATTTCATTTTGAGTTCAAGAGTACCATACATTCTAAACCAGTTTGGTATTCTTGCTCATCTTCCGAGTCGTGCTGCAACATTGTCTAGATAACAATTCAAGTTTCAACTCGCGTTAAACTCGCGTTGTGTTCAAGGTGCAGTGTTATGGGTTTAACTAGGATTCATGTGTATAATTCAGTCTTTTAAAATAAAGTATAGAATGACAACAATTGCTGTTACAAAACGTACAACTTTTTGATGATGGGCAGTGAGGATATCAATATTGCTGCGCGAACCTTGAATGGCATAAGCCAACAAATGTAGTTTCTACGCAAACAAGTACAAAATATTGACCATTATAGTGATGCTATCACTGTGCTTATGAAATGCTCATGCAATAGTCATTCTACAAGTAGATTAGATGCGATATCCTCAGCTTATAGTTTGTACGTTTAATTATAATTTTTTATTTGATTGGAACTTTTCCAATCGCTTCTGCCGAACCCGCTCGCGCTCGGTCATCTCATTTTCCACAGGATTTTTGGTATTAGACGTGGAACATGCACTACTTGAACCGACTATTGGATTAGAATTTGTAGCTGCAATTTCCGCAAAATTCGAATTAAATGGGGGTTTATACTGCCCAGCATTAGATCCAGAAGAAGCCGATGAAGGATGTTGATGTGCAAACAACATGCTTTCCTCCAATGTTCTTTTCAATGTTATATCCTTGGCATCATACTCGGCCAGATTGGCTGCAATAGCGCGTTCCAAATCAGGGTCGTTAGATGAACCCATGGAAATCCCAGATTTGGGAACTTTGTCTAATAAGCTTGCTGCAAAAGCTTTAGCCAAGTTTGTCGCTTCAGAGTCTATAGAGTTACTTGTAAGAGAGTATCCAGTGCCGGTAAATGGTCTGAGCTCCTTTTTATCATGTTCGTTAGCAATACCGTCTTTTGACGAAGATGTTTTGGTACGTGTAGTAGTAGGCAGCGATTCAGGTGGTGGAATGGGTACTTGTAAAGCCATTAGATCTGCTTCGCATCGAGGTAAATCTCCCAAAATAACAAAAATTGAATACCCTTCCATTTGAATTTGAGAAATAAACATTGCTAAATAGGTTTCGCTAATGTACTTTGGTTCTTTGAAAAGAGAGTTTAAATCATACCACCTACAGTTTTTTTCGAGATTGTGAATAAATAAAAACAAAGTTGATATTTCAATTCTACTACAATCAATTAAATGTACAATAGTGCAAAAACATGTAAAAATGATTCAAAAGTAGCCATACCTATTAGGCGATCTTCCAAATTGGCGGAGTGTGAACCAATGTTCATTCAGATTGCAAATGAATGCCTGTTCAGCACTATTTACGAGTCAAAGTTCAGTCGTCCAGAAAATAAAGTGTAGTTTTCAAAACATTCAGTCTATTCTTGCCTTGGATTATTTTTAGCAGATACGGCATCTATGGATCCAATTGGTCTTAATTCTAAATTCCAGACCTGAAGTGCTCGACAAATCACTTGAACTGAAAAGAATCCAGAATCGTCGTAATTGCTGGATCCACCCTGTTTAAACTTGACAAAATCGGCAGATTCAATACCTCCTACATTGCTTTCTGCCATGGCCTATACCAAAAAGGGTCGAGTGAGTATAAAGTTCAAAGGTATTAGCAAAGGCACACGAACGCCGCATAGGTCAGGGTTAGGCGATGCTTGATGAAAGCACATGGATAGTGCCAAGAGTTGAAAGTACAGTTCAGAATACAAAATACACACAGCTGCCTCTTCTTCGTCCAGTTGCATGGCTAGTTGAGATAAATCAACAACAGTAAAATAAGGACCTTGAAGTAAAGTATTCAGAGCATGCTGCGCACACAACTGGCCTTCTTGCTAGATGGATACAACTAGTATCAATAAAACTCAATACTTTAATATTCAAGCATGCATGGCAACAACGGAATACCTTTTCATGAAATATAGAATTGACCAGATCCATTTTGTCAATGAAAGTGAAGAAAGGCAGTCTGATGGAATATAATCCTACACGTGCACAGCTGGCATCAATTTGATGAATCTGCTATTTGATTGCATTATTTGTCAACTGCAAGTAGTAGCCAGTTGTGTGTAAGCGACCACTGCAGTTAATTGTGCAGGATTGTCTGATTGTAATGGCGTGTATTTTATTCGTATGCGAGCACGATAAACTATTTTTTGATGCTCGACAGCTTATTTCAGAATGCCAGTTTCAACACCATTCTCTGACAGTATACTGGTTTTGTTTTTAAACACGAGCCGCACTAGGATTTATTAGAATTACATCTGATTTGATTTAATGTCAAATGCAGCACATGCAAGTATTTGGTCAGATAATCCAACATGAAACAGTTTGCAAGAATCCACAGCTGAATAATAGTAAACTGCTTGCAGTTGATTGTCTTTCCAGCTATGCATGGACGATCCTTGACCAAGTTGGTTTACAAACTCCATAGATCTGACCTGAGGCTAACACTGCATTTGAGTTTGATTTTTGCACTTTTTGCAAGTGTCGAAATCTTTTCAACAGCACTCGATTCATGTCCATATCTATTGGAGTCCCTGTCAAGGTATGCATGAGCATCTTTTATTACTGCTGTATATTGGTGTTGTAGTGGAGTTTTGGACCAGCCATTTAGTTTTTATCACTTTAAACTGCTTGCACTGGACAGTTGACTGGTCTACTCCAACTTTACCAGCTGCTGGCGGATGATACTCTACTATTCTGCCTCGCTTATACAGTAGATACATCAGAGTGCTAGCATTTAAATTATATGAATTTATGTAGTATTTTTGGGGTTGGTGATTTATTATAAACCATCCCCTTACTTTTGCTTTCGAATTGGGCTGACTAAACCATGTATATATTGTCTGGACACAATCGTCAACCATGAAACCTACTTGGATTGCTGGATCGCCCAACTTTGACCATTATCAACTTTTATTCAACGATCAGTTGCTGCACGAGGCCATGGGCCATATCGTTACAATCGAGCTAAAGACAGGATCAGTTTATAGAGGCAAGCTTTTGAACGCTGAAGACAACATGAATGTACAACTCCGAGATATCACACACACTGCTCGCAATGGGAGAGTGTCTCAGCTGACTCAAGTCTTTATCCGTGGATCTCAGATCCGATTTGTTATTGTTCCGGACATGCTCAAAAACGCACCCATGTTTAAACGAATTGCCACTGGACTCAAAGGCAAGGGAATTGGGCTTGGACGTGGCAAGGCGACTGTTGCAAGAGCACAAGCAGCTCGGGATGGACCCGGTGGAGGTCGTGGAGGTGATCGTTATCATGGTGGAGGTCGTGGAGGTGATCGTCGAAGCTTTTCCAGAGGTTAAAAGAAATAGTATTGGAATATGTCGCTACTGTCGCTACTGTCATTAGATATGATTGCAAAATATGAATTACAGCCGTACTCACGTAAAATGAAACACTTTTCTGTATTCATCTTGCAATAGCTGTCTTGGAATAAACAATGGTTAAATATTCAGTTTTCCTATTATAAACTGAGGATGTCAATTCTCCAAAATACAACGACCATCATATGATGCCCACAATCATACGCTGTACGATCACCAAGTTGGTTCGACTGGTCTAATGTTGTCAATTATGCTCCACTTGCAACCTAAAATATCAGATACGTTCTAATTCAAGAGAACAAAAATTGTAGAAATGCAACTGCTTTTGTACCAATCATCAAGAAACCAGTTAAATAAAGAGTTTAGGAAACATATGTTGCCCAGTAAATTTGATATGAATTGAGATTAACCATTTCATGAGATTGTTTATTATACACTTTGACAACTTTATTTGATGGTTCATTTTACGTGAATAAGGCTGTAATAGTATAGAATCAAACAAAATTTAAATAGCAAGATGTAGATATGTTTAGTACACTTGAAAGTATATTGAATAGAATCATCCAACTCGCCAGATTAAAGAATTTGAGGACGTAGAAAGTGGCTTGATTATTCTTGTCACAAAAGGAAAATACATAACTCGAGCCAGCAGTTCAGCACATCTACGACAACCTTTTACTATCACAACGACCTTGCTTGATTCTTTACTATCAAGTATGCGTCAAACAGCTGCTTTTTTGTCTTGTAATAAAATTGTCGCTACTACTTGTAACAGATCATTTTCTCGCCAATCCTCTATTTCCAATCTGCATTCAATCCGCACTCGGTATTTAAATACTGCCATTGCTCATCATGGTAGACACATCTATAACAACAAGCATATATACCATGCCAGTTTTTGTGCCCACAGAAGATGGAGTGTAATTTCATCGCTTTCTACACAGGTAGCGTATGCGAATGCACCTAATTGATGTGCTATTGAAAGTTGCTCGAGATTGATTTTTTTGTTGCTTTTTAATATCAAGCTGTGTGGATAGCATAGTCAACTTATGGGTATTTCTTTACGTTTGTATTTAATAATTACAGGTTACTCAGCGCCAACTGTCTACCTTTTCCCCACTATTGGATGCATTCACTAGATCAAATGTAAAACCCACCGCATCATCTACTACGGTCGACTCAACAGCAACCTTATCTTTGGCTCAAAATTCAAACCCTTTACCAAAATCGCAGAATTTTGGCATTTCAAGTACGCTTGAAAGCAATGAGCCTGGCGAATCATGGCGATCAGATATCACCATCATCCGAGAAATGTTGGGTTATCTATGGCCAAAAGATGATTGGAAAGTAAAGGCCCGTGTCGTTATGGCAATTACAGTTCTCATCAGTGGGAAACTCGTCAACGTATCCATACCCCTGTTTTTTAAAGAGATTGTCGACATTCTTAACAGCTACGTTCCCATGGCAGATGCTGATCCAACTGTTCTCGGTGTTGCAGGAACAGTACTGATTGGATATGGCGCTGCTAAATTGGGTGCATCTTTCTTGCAAGAAATGCGGAATGCTATTTTTGGATCTGTTGCTCAGCGGGCGATTCGATCCGCCGCTAGAGAGATTTTTGTTCATTTGCAAAATCTAGATTTATCATTTCATCTGGGAAGACAAACTGGTGGTCTTGTACGAGCAATCGATCGTGGCACAAAAGGCATCAATCAGATTCTATCTTCTGTCGTATTTCATCTTTTTCCCACTGCATTTGAGATTTCTGTTGTGTGTGGTATTCTCACCTACACATACGGTATTGAATATGCTGCAGTCACACTTATTACTATGGCTGCATACACTGCCTTTACGTTTGTGACTACTTCGTGGCGAATGAAGTTTCGAAAACAAATGAATCAAGCTGACAACACTGCAGCAGCAACAGCTACCGATTCTCTTCTCAACTACGAAGCTGTCAAACATTTCAACAATGAGAAATTTGAGATGCGAAATTACGATATCTCACTCGCCAAATATGAAAAGGCTGCAATTCATACAGCCACTTCGTTGGCGTTTCTTAATGCCGGACAAAATGCAATATTCTCGATTGCATTGACCGCCATGATGTGGATGGCAAGTCAAGGCGTGTTGGAGGGAAATCTTACAGTAGGAGACTTGGTCATGATCAACGGGCTTGTCTTTCAACTGTCTATGCCGCTGAATTTTCTTGGATCTGTGTATAGAGAGACGAGACAAAGTCTGATGGATATGGGAGTTATGTTTCGACTTCAGAGGGTGGAAAGCAAAGTGCAAAACTCGCCTACTGCCAAGCCACTTGTGCTCACTCATGGTGGTGAAATTGTGTTTGATAAAGTGTCGTTTGGTTATATGGAAACAAGACCCATTTTGAACCAGATTTCGTTTCGCATACCTGCTGGTAAACGAGTGGCTTTTGTTGGACCTTCTGGATGCGGAAAGTCGACTATTTTGAGACTACTATTTCGATTTTATGACCCTTATTCTGGTGAGATTTCTATTGACGGCCAAAACATTTCCAAAGTTACTCTTCAAAGCCTGAGAGAGTGTATCGGCGTTGTTCCGCAAGACACAATCTTGTTCAATCAGACTGTGTTTTACAACATCTTGTATGGCAGAACAGATGCATCACCCGAAGATGTGTATGAAGCTGCACGCAAAGCTGTGATCCACGACATTATTCAAAACTCGTTTCCAGAAAAATACAATACTCGTGTAGGTGAACGAGGACTGATGGTGTCTGGAGGTGAAAAGCAGCGACTTCAACTTGCCCGTATTTTTCTCAAGGTAGCGTGCTTGTATTAGACGTGACTGTATTTTAACGATCGGTTGTGTGGTATTGATTTTAATTTTTGTAACGATGTGAATAATTAGGATGCACCAATTATGATGTTTGATGAAGCAACATCGGCACTGGATCAAGCAACCGAAACTGCCATCATGCGTACTATTCGGGAATATCTTGCTACATCTTCCAAATTCATCCAGTTCAACACAACGGATACAGATCATGCCTTGTCTTTACAAAGTGGCCGTACGGCTATTTTTATTGCACACCGGCTAAAGACTATTGCTGACTGTGATGAAATTTTTGTGCTGGATCAAGGTAAAGTGGTCGAACATGGGTCACACGATAAATTGATGCATAAAAAAGGACTATACTATCATATGTGGAATGCTCAGCAACACGGCACACATCAGCATCATGTATCAGAATAAAGACTAAAGATATGTATGTTGAAAAAAGACTTGTGATGTTTTGAAAAGTTGTTCACTAGATCGAGTTAGTGGCCTTTGTTCATTAACAAATGAATAACTTGGTGGAATGGCAAACCCTTCAAAATTCAAAGAACAAATAAAAACTGCAAATCCTCTTCAGAAAGCTAAATATTGCAATACACGCAGTAAAAGTAAGCCCAACAATTACAAAATACGGAAAAGATAAAGTTTCACTATGTATGCTGTTTACCTTGGCCAAGGCGTCCAAATTGCCTCCGACTGTAGAATCAAACAAGGCTTTTTTCTTTTCTTGCAGCATCAAAATCCTCGACTCGATTGAATTCTCGACAATAATTCGAGTGATTTTTATTGGCCTGTACTGTCCTAACCTATGGATCCGATCAAAAGCTTGATCTTCGGCTGCTGGATTCCACCATGGATCAAGGACAAACACTCTGGAAGCTTCTGTCAAATTCAACGCAACACCTCCAGCCTTCAATGAAACCAAAAATACTGTGATGCTCGGATCTGTCATAAAGGAGTTGATGACATCATCACGTTGAAAGGGGGCCATACGACCATCAAGTTTAACAACATTAAATCCAGCACGGATAAGCCGCCACTGAACCAAATCAAGAAATGATACAAATTGAGAGAATACGATGGATTTAGAGGTTGCGTCGTCACGTTGAAGCAAAGTAAGCTCTTCTACCAATGCCTCAATCTTGGTACTACTGCGCCAGTTGGCAAGATCAATGTAGTTTACAATACTGTTACGAGCACCTGTGGTAGAACTAATGGACTCGATAGGATTTTGAGTCAGATCAATGGAGAGAGGGCGGAAACAGCTTGGGCATTTGGGTGGAGCTAATGAGGGAGCAGATTGAATAAATTGACGAGCATCCTCACGGCAAAATACATGCTTGCATTTGCTCATGATTGCATCCTCTGCCTCTTCTTGGCAGATTGTACACACTAGTCTCTCCTTGGCAGTTTTATCATCAATTGCCAACTTGGTAGTGACAAGATCAGGATGGTTGGCAGCAAGCCGCATGCGACTGAGCAATGAGAAAATCGAAGCGTAGTTGTTGAGAACCGTACCTGCTGCAGCATATGTATTGAATGTTCGCGCAGAATCAGTGTATAAACTGCTATATAATTCCTCTTCAGCAAGGTTAAACACGTCTCGCCGCACCTGTACAACACGCGGAGGTAATCCAAGCTCTTCAGATCGCTCCAATTTGGTGCGTCGAAGCATGATGCGATCAAGAAGAACACGTAGCTTGCGAAAACCTTCCAAACCTTCCCCTTTGGCGCCGAACCTTTGAATCGGCTTGAGAATTTCGGCATTCCACCAGCAGTAGTGTCTATGTCCAGTATGTCCACAATGATCGCAGGTTCTGCGATTGGTAAATCGCCATGATGTTTGACTGCAATCACATGATCGGCAAAAATAGTATGAATATGGATGAACATCCATAAATCGAATAAGCGAATACAGCTATAAAGAGATGGAATTTTTGCAAGTTCTTGTTAATCATTCAAAATCGGCAATTGTAGTTTATATAAAAAGTATCAAGCAATATGCTCTACCTCTCCGACACGATTTTGCAAAGGCGTTCCACTTAGTGACCATTTGTAATCTCGCTTGAGAGCAAAAGCTGAGCGAGCGGTGTTACAACTTCTGTCTTTGATATAGTGTGCTTCATCGAGAATCACTCGACCCCACTCGATGGCATGAATAACACTTATTCCAGTCACCTTTTTACCGTTTTTCGGAACACCATACCTTTCTTTACGGTAACCTTGTTCAATAATCGAGTATGTTGTAATGACAATATCGTATTTACATATATCCTCGGCTTTAACCAAACGTTTCGCTCCTATATCCATACCAAGATTACATGGTTTCAAAAGAAATTGTTTAAGTGGACATCAATGACATATCAAGCCAAATATTAGAATACAGGCAGTGGATTGCCTATTCCAATAAAAAATTATCAGATTTACCATGGTGCAGCAAAACTTTGAAGAAATCTGGAGCAACCCGATTCTTAATTTCATTATACCATTGTATGATTGCGCTATTAAGCCAGTCCAGAATAAAGAAAAATATGACCATTAATAATGGTTGCAATGAAATACAGTTTAAAGCAGATTCAGACACGTACACTGTTGGACAGACAATAAGGTTGGGCTTGTCAAGACGGCGAGTCACCATTAGAGAGATCATCTGGATAGTCTTTCCCATTCCCATCTCGTCGGCAAGAATGCCGCCAGCAAACTTGCCTTGTTCTTGAACTTGAAGCCAATGCAAGCCCTCAAGCTGGAAGGGAAGTAGCTTAATATTAATCTCTTTTGGTTGTGGGGCTTGTGTGGTTTCTACAATAGTAATTTCACCCTCGAGTTTGTCCCAAACGTTTGCAAGCTCCGGATGATAATCCACCTTCTCCTTCTAATGTATGAACAAATGAATAGTGATGGTTGGAGATTAAAAGGTAGCCCAAACACACTTTAGTATCACAAGTGTCATCCATGCACTACTCTACCTTTTTCTTTGGAGTAGCAGATCGTCTCCGTCTTGGTGTAGGCACGGGAGGAGCAGTGACAGTCAGAGTGTGATCAGACTCCACCTCTTCATTGCTAACATGAGCATCACTGCCATAAACCGAGTCTTTGTCGCTGCTGTCATCGTTTTGAGTATCAGACTCTGCAAACGATTCAGACATATCTGTACCGCCATTATCCTGCTCGTCGGTCGGAGAAATGGGTTCGGGCTGAACAGAAGCTCTTTTGCGGCGAGCTGATCTGGCTGTAGAATCTGTGGCAATAGAAGACTCGGCAGAAACTTGGTCCTGTGTGGTTTTAGAAGCTACTGATCTACTCCGAGCAGCTGGTCGACTGGATGTGCCATTCGGACCACCTCGCTTGCGAACTGGGAATGCTTGGATCACCAATTCGTCATCCGAGTCATCAGACCGAGTTTCTAAAGCAATAGCTTTATTCGAACCCTTTTTGGGAGCGATCGGACTATTTGCCAATGTAGCATTTGAAGAAGTAGATCGCCTTTGACGCTTACGGTTCGAGGTAGAGCCAGCAGTCTTTTTGACAGAAAGAGACCGATCAGTATCGGACTGATCGTCTATAGAAGTAGCATCGCTACTGCTCGCCAAAGGCTGAGCAGTACGTTTCGGGTTGGTCAGTGGTGTTGGATTCTCAGTCATAGTAGACTCAATACGAGCACTACGACGACGACCACTAGCAGAAGCATCTACTGTAGCTACCTGCTTTTTTGAATGTCCGGCATGATCAAACATGATTTTTTGTGAGTTATGGTCGGCATCACCTATATCAGCACACTGAATGAGTTCAATTCTACTCAGAGCATCACTGTTATATTAAAATAGTAGGGAATGACAGTGACAATAAGCACAAAATAGCAATCTTGTAAAATATCGTACCGGCACCATCAATACTGGTCGCATTCAGAGAACTTCCACTTGCTTTGGTCATGATCGTTCTCCGCAACTGTTCTGATTGCCAACTTCAAGCCAAAAGCATCGTGTTCTACTTTATATTGCACGTGATTCAAATTTCTTTTATTCAATTCCAGTTGCTCATCAAACTGGATCCAAGCACTATTTTAAACTAATAAAACGCATATTATTTTGACCTTTTGGGTTTGGATGAATTCAATCCATCATCTTCTCGGGATGATCGCTTTTGGGCTGATATTACCACATTGAAATAATACACAGGTGTTAGCAGTTGGATTGTATTACATCAAAACATGATCTGGAGATTCAAGCGATACACCTACATTCTCCTTCACCCCCTTCATCACCATCCGAGCTCTGATAATCTTCGCTGAATTCCTCGCCAACGTCTGAATCACTTGCTCCAACAAAGTCTTCATCCTCTGTTTATCCAAAATCACAGTTGTATTTGATAATATTGCAGGTATTAGATGCAAGTTGAAAATAAAATCGGATCTCATGCAAATACATACCACTTTCAGAATCGTCATCTGGATCATTACCACCTGCACCTTCTTGATAGGATACTTTTCTTCTTCCACCGCTCTTTTCACCATCGTCGTCACTCTCGCGATAAGTAACTGCTTCGTCGGCAATCTCGTTTCGAACCGGTAGTCTCTTGCTTAAACAGAATTCCTCCAAAGGACCATACTCTTCCCTATAAAATCAAGTCATTGCACCAATATCGTTGTAAATCATTTTTCAAGATACCTCGTGAATAGTTGACAAAACTCATGTCCAACTTACCGAGAAATACTAGAAAATGAGTATTCTACACCAGTCACCAAACTAAATTTGACTTCAAATGTTTTGGTTGATGCTGTAGATCCTGATGATACTCGCGAAAAGGTGACTGCAGTGATGTCCGAGTGAGAGAAAAAGATGGGTGGTTTAGGAATGGCCAAGAAACACTTGTCCAGCGGGTACAAAATTGCTTCGTTTGCCTTTTGAGAGCACTTGAGTCCACTTTGGCCATTGGCACTTTGATACTGTAGACTAGACATGATGACCTTTTTCTTGGAAAGGCCCTTGAACACGTCACTTACTACTTCATAAACAGGGCCATCGTAGCTTTTCTCGAGAGCGCCAGCATACTTTTCTTGAATCACAGATCTGAATCCATAAAATATAGGCAAAGGTTGGATTAAGATCTGCCGTTAAAGTGAATTAAAAACAAAACGCCATTACAACTTACTCTTCAAGAGTCAGATCAATCTCAATCTCCTCCTCACGACCAAATTGGAACACAAGATATGGGTACCGTGTTTGACCCTGACGCAAAGGAGGATCAAGTCCTACAATAAACATGTAATGCAAATCGTCGGGTTTGGGAACCAAAAACATCCTCTTGATGGCAGAATATAGGATCTTGTAATCATGGCTTTTTCCACGAAGACGGAAATATGCCTCGTGCATCTCTACAACAAAGCGAGATCTAGGCGTAATACACAAAAGTTCTGAGAAACTGACGATAGACTCTGATAGAATAGAGTCCATATCAGCCTTTTGCTTAACAGTGTCACAAAAAAGAGCAGCAGCGGTAAGCACTTCACCCTCGGCATCATATAATGCCTGTTGCGAAATCTCTCCTTCTTCATTGCCTACGCCGTTATCAACAGAAATGCCTTGAAACTCCTCACGTCGATCCTTGTACATTCGACGTCCGCTTGAATCTAGTTCTACTTGAGCAGCAGTAACATTTCCTGGAAGGTAAAAGCGTATCTCAACAAGTGCATCTTCTTTTGCTCGACTACGTCCTATAGGAGATGGATCCGTTGCATTTGCAATTGGAGGATGAAACTCGATCGAGACCTCATTTTTGTTTCCAACAGCAGTGTTGCTGACCTGATTCAATGGAATCTCGAAAGCAGTTTTTTTATCGACGTTGAAGGAGAGAATGCTCGATTGGAAGTTGGGCTCGCCCCAGTTGTATCCTCGAAGTGAAGTGTCGACGACTTCCAATGGAACATTGTAATGTTGGTTGGCAATAGACGAAAGGTATTCAAACGACTAAATGGATGCCATACCCATAAATAAACAGTTAAAAATTACTATTTCCATCTACGATGCTGATATTGAGTAGTCACGCCAAACTTGTTTAGCAAGATTGCTCATTCCAACAATAGAAATAAAAAACACATACATCCTTGGGAAATCCATCAAACATGATGATGCTTCCGTCCTGTCTGGTCACTCGTAGCTGATAATCTCTAGCTACTCTCAGCCAATGAAGAAAACGAATATCTGCAGCAGGCACAGTTTTGATCTCGCTGGTTGCCTGGCTCTTCCATCCAAGTCCAGCATCAGACAGCTTGAATCTACCAATGGCCTGGAGTACAAGGTTGTATTAGTGATATTCCAAGTTTTCTATTGTCAATCTGCATACTGGACATGTTTAATGGAGCATCAATTTATTCACAAAACAACAATGGCATATTCAGTGCAAGTGCAGATGGTTTGTTGTGTTGATCTCAGCAATACACAGGATCTGTAAGTCATGACTGCTTAGTATAGTACACACCTGCACACCATTTGTTCCACCCAAGAACACATTGTCAAAGTCCTTGCGTCTTGCGTCCATTACTGCAATCAGAAATCTGTCGAGTGGATTTTGGAAAAAGTTTACAATTCAACCCGGCAAGACAACTGGCATTTGTTACTAAAACAGCACAATCCAAACACTGTTGGTGCTTTCTACAGCACAATGAATCTATTTCATGACTTGGATTATTCCCACTGACTTTGAATCAAAAAGGTTACTCATTCTCACATATGTCTAATTGCTACAAAAGATACCAGCTATTTAATAGAATCGTATTAGAAATCATCAATGATCTGGAAATGGACTTGTAATGGATTGAGTGACACCAGTGCATCCAGCATTGCTAGCGTCTATTCCATATTAGATTCAACCAATAATAAAAACACAGAGTTAGATATCTCTCAATACCAATCTACATCCTGTACACCATTCAATGGAGTATGAAACCCCGTTTGGAGACGCAAGCCGATCCAACAGGTCCAAGACATCATTGCCTGAAGTTTAAATGGGATGAATTACCACTCACTTGCGCTGGAGTAGCTGATGCCTGCATAGCTGATCTTGGGCTGCTTTCAAAGCTTTCGCTTTGTGGTACTCCCGAGTCAATGCAATGCTCTACTGGACTTTCAGTCCATGCAGAAGGAAAAACAGAGGCTCTCATCAAGGGAGTCAATGGAGCTGTAGATGGTCCAGTCTGTGCAAGCGAGAATTGTCTAAATGCAGCAGTAACGCTAAAAGCACTAGCAGCTTGTAACTGAATAGCAGTATGTGAGTGTGGAAAAGTGCCAAACACTAATCTGCACAACGACTGATGACGTCTAACAGTCTGTTGCATGTACAGTCGTTGCATTGTAATGATCGAATTCGAAGAAAACAATTAAAACAACTTGTGAATTGGCGCTTGATTTGTATAAATGTTACATTGGACATCCAAACCGTTATTTTATCCAATTGCTTTGTTATCAATCCATCTTGTGTTGCAAAATGCATTTCCTAGCACACGACTTACCAGGCAAGTATCTTTGGGTTGTTTCTCTGCAATTGTCTTTTGTTGGCTGTTCAAGCTTAGCTTTCATGGAACTCCTTTCAAATGGCTGCATTTGCAATTATTGTAAGAACCAACCGTAAATACTTTATTTAGACGACAAAAATATGCTGGGTATAACCAAATTGGTCATATTACTGATAAAAATGTTTCAAGAAATTAGAAATAAATGAATTAAACACATAAACCTGTCATTTGTTTTTGGAAAGCACCTTCCATAACTTGGTTTCTGACTTTTCAATCGACACGGCAGTTCCAAATGCATGATCCCAAATACTGAACAATGTACCATAGTTGCCTCGATGAAAAACGTGGTGAGCAGCATGAAATCGTGGTCCGACCAAGACAAAGTCCCACCAGTCAAGTCCAGGCATACTACATCCAGCATGAGCAATCGCGCCATGGATCTGCAGCGCAAACGCGATGGCCCACACTTCGGCAATATTGAATTTGAGAAGAGCGGGAACAATCAGGAGCGGTATGAATGCTTCGAGGAAGTCGGGGAGAGCGCCATTGGTCACATCTGTTGCATACATGCTAACACCGTGATGCTCACGATGAAAGGGAATGAAGGGACCAAAGTGGTGTTGCATTGTATGCACTATGTAAAGGCCAAAGTCGTAGACAACGAGAGTGAGAACAAGACGAAAGATGACAACGGCGAGGCTATTGGGCAGAGGATTAGTGGTATAAATACCCAATAAAGCCATCGAGATGCCAAAAAGTGTTGATACCATCATACTGACTGTCAGAGAGTGACCTGGGCTTGGTTTAGTGGTGGGGAGTGACGGGAAGCGCTTGTAGACAGTAGGTCGCGCATGTAAATACTCTTGAATAGCTTGAACAGAGGCCATAATGACAAGCATCATTACTGTACTACCTACGCTGTTAAGGATGATGCTTTGAATAAATGTTGGTGATGGGTATGCATATTGATCTTTGGATACTGTAGATGGATGGACAAAATCAGAGTATTGTGACTCTGCTCTTGGAGCGGAGTGTGAGACAAATTGTACAATTAAACTAGCATATTGCGAATAAATGCCAGAGACATTCATAGCCATATGTTTGTGTATCATATCAATAGGAGATGAAAGCATAGTTGAGTAATTACTGCCCAGGAATGTAACAAAAGTAGACATCAAGATATACAGAATGGAGTATCAATATAGAGTAGATCGGTGACGCAGCATATATTAGTATTTTGAGTTACTTTGCAACACTACTTAAATAGAAATGCTTTCAGGTGGTTCGATCGACACTGAAGACTGCGCTGTGTAAAGTGGACTTGATTCACACAAGCCGCGCACATGCCGTCTGTGCATCATACATTGATTAGTCGTGTCATTTGGTTGTCGCTAGTTCAAAATCATACTGCATTTTCGACAATTGTGTTTGTTGCCCAGTCATATTTCCTAAATCAGTAGCCTTGATCAACGTAATGGTAATCTAGATGCTCAAACTTTACATTCCCCTTGCAACACACGACTATGCTTCCCTTGCTGAAGTGCAATATCAAATGATTTTCACTAATCGAATTCTCCGCCATTGCGTCATTACAATGTCCGACATATTCAGGTCGTTACATTCCTTAATGGTCTGTTACTTTCACTATCTAATTCTCTCCGCTCCACCATTTCCAGATATTTTTACCCAATTAAAGTGTTCAATACATTTTACTTTACTGAGCTCGAGTTTAATTTGAGGGGTTTTCGCTATTATTGAAACGAGATGCATTAGAAGGCAAGTTATAGTTTTGACCGTGGGTTATACGGGTAGTTTTTGCAAACTATTACTGGCAAGTGTGTGCCAATCATTTCGGTTGGCAACAAGGAGCATGCATATGAATGAGTTTTGATTCACACTACATCCACATAAAATAAAACACTTGCAATGACTGCCTTTTTACTTGACAGTGGTCAAGATTTGTTACTAAAAGTTGAGAATATTAACTCAATAAACGCAACGACCATCATATGATGCACACACAAACAAACTAGCACTTTGTCGACTTTTGGAATAACCATGCATTGTCTAATCACTAGACTCATCCATTCAGTTCAGATATTGGGCTTGACTCTTTAACCAAACTTTACTTTGGTGTATCCTAAAATCTCAGCGTTTGCGCCAGCTCGAAACCCAAAGATTGCGCGTTTTAGGAATGCAGTGTTGTTTCCATGCTGGTCATCACCAAAAAGACCCGTAAACTTTGTTAATGAGTTTAAATGGCACAATTATTGTCCAATAAATTTGGTCGAAATTGGCACCAATCATTTCATGAACTGACAGTCTATTACGTATTTGGGCACTTTGGCGTCCTATTTACATGGATATGGCTGTGAATAAACTATATAATATAAAGCCAAGCAACGAACAATGATCTCCGGAATGTCGTTCATGGTATTCCGCGGCCGAATCAAGGTAAATCACACAATCATTCGCTGTCAGTATAGATCCTATAAATAAAACCTACATCCACATAGCATCATTATCAATAAAGCTGGCCATTAGATCTGTCGTTCAATTTTAGCCCAGTATGACCAATTCTACTTATCCCAAACTAAAACTTACATACTTTGATCTCAAAGGTCGTGCTGAACACATTCGTCTTGCACTTCATATTGCTGGTATTCCATTTGAAGATGAACGTATCAGCAGAAAAGTATTCGCAACAATGAAGGAATCTACTCCATTTGGCCAAATCCCTGTTCTTACCATCAACGACGATGTTCAGATCGCACAATCAACCAGCATTCTCCGTTATGTTGGCACTCTTGCTGGCCTCTACCCTTCTACCGATGCATTAAAGGCCGCTTTTGTTGACCAAATTGTTCTACATATTGCTGACATGACATCTCCACTAGCTACTCTCATGTTCGAGACTAACGAGCATAATCGTTCCGAAATGTCAAAGGCACTTACAAACGAAAAGCTTCCTGCCATGTTTGCATCCCTCGATCGAGTGATTGCAAAACATGGAAATGGAACTTGGGCTGCTGGAGATGCATTAACTGTTGCAGATCTGGCAGTGTACATTTTTGTTGGAATTTTCAAAACTGGATTTTTCAAGGACATTCCATCTAACATTGCTGATGGATTCAAGGGTGTGTATGGAGTGTTTGAGGCTGTTGCACGTCACCCCAAGGTTGTCGAGTGGGAAGCTGCTCATTAAGATCGTATTCATGTCAAATGGAAGCGTGCCGAGTGCATAATAAACAGTCTCATGCAATGATAACTCATGCCAAATTCACTGGCAATATTGTTTTCTAAACTCTTTAGTTGGCTGGTGTTTCTTCTAATGATTGGCATAGAAGCAACTGTTGTATTTCTGAACTGTGCAACCATTGTCCTTTTAAACTAGAGCGTATCTGTAAGTTTTTAGAATACAACAGGATTTTGTTGACAACAACCGAGCCCAATATTTGGATTGAAATGAATCAATCTGGTGATTGTACAATGATTATGCCAAATCAGGATAGTCTCGGATCAAAGTTATAGTTTAATTTTGAGCAATCGAGAATGCTTATTAAAGTCAATTTGTAGCAAGCACAACGAATATTTAACCATTGTATATCCCAAAGCGTAGATACAAGTGTTTCATTATGCGTGAATACGACTGTAATTGGATCGTCCCCACTGAATGACTTCTGCTGAACAAAAAGTGTCCAATCGATCATACTGTTCAACTGCATCAGAGATCTGATGACGACTCAACATGCATCGCACAAGACGATGTGTTTTTGGACAGGATCTGGATGCAGCACCCTCGACCGGTTTGACAATTCCTATTTCAAGAAGCGTTTCGAAAGCCTAATATGCCCATAATAATAAATCTGTCAAGTAATATGATTAAACTCAATGTTGGAATACAAACTTACTTTGCTAGCTACTCGCTTAATATAAAAGATGGATCCACTTGCTCGTCCCATTGTAGCCACCCGTTTAGAAAAGTCACGATACTCTTCATATACCATTTCAAAGTTGAAGGTTGTTACTTGCCGTTCCAAAAGACACCGGATTGCAATTAGCAAATATAGCTCCAAAACCGACAGACCATCCACAAGATCCGTGCGTTGATCTCTAAACCCAATTCTCCCTTGCGATACTTGTTTCCAAACCTCAACTTGGAAAAATGGTGCTGATCCAGAGAGTTTGCATATCATTGGAGTAAAGGCTTGGAGTGCAGATATCCATGTGTTGCACATGTCAAATATATCGTGCCAAATATCAATCGAGTCAGGATCAGTAAACAGCATCTAAATAAGTACATGTGCCATATTGGTATGATCTATTATTAAACTGCAATACAAACTCGATCATAACGCAAACTCGACGAGAAAATAAAGTACCTTGACGGATTCATTAAAAGTACTGATAAACGCTGGATCTTTGATGCCGTCTTGAGACGAGATGCTCAACACTGAAACCAGTTGATTGCAGTATTTTTCAAATGAATTCTCGGAATACAAGTGGATCAACCGATGCGAAAATCTTGATTTAACTCTTTTTTCCATGAGTTCAAGTGCATCCTACAGTGTACATTGAGTTTGGTGAGTTGCTGAAACGGATCAAACAAGTCTGTTTCAAAGCAGCTGCCATCAGACTGCATTATTTGATAGCAGTAAATCACTTACCCAACGACTTGTCATTCCAATCACGGCAATCGGATTCTCATTTTTTTGAGAAATATCAAACAGATTATATAAAAGTGTCTGCTTTGGATGTTGAGCAAACAAGTCAATTTCATCAAGAATAAATAATACAGGTGTGCTTTGTTTGGTGCCATGATGAAGCATGGAAAGCATATATGCCAAGGTTTCTGAAAATGTGTTCTGATTAGTGATTAGATATGATTATAAAACATGTAAACAGATTAGCTGCAGCATATTTCACAGATGAGATCGTTATGAAATAGTATATTTGCAAGAATACTTGCCATTGAACAAGCCATCGGATCGGTCTCTAAACACAGTTGCTTCACAATACAATGCAGTGCTCGTTTATCATTGACATGAACTAGTCCACTTAAATGAACAATAAAATACGGCTTGTGCGATCCTGTTTCTGAAAACTTTTCTGCTAGCTGGGCAAGTGCAGTATTGACCACCTATCAAACATGCCGATTTCGCAACAGACACGAGCCATATATCAACGAAATTAAAATCGCCATTAAATGGACATCAAAAATGGATAAAAATTAAAGATCGATTTTCACTCACAACTTGAATATTGACAGGATGGTCCAGCTTACTGAAGTTACTGCATCTACTGAAAACTTGCCTGCTGCAGAAGCAATTGTTGATGAAAAAATAGATGCTGGTGATTCTGCTGCCAATCCCTTACCTACCGATGATGAGAATGATGACGATTATGAGGATGATGATCTTTTTGAAGCTGCTGAAGAACTAACAGCGGCAGCAATTCTCGACCTCCAAACACAGGGAAAAAAGTCTTTGTCAGACAGCGATGATGAAGATGACGATGTTCTTGAAGAATCATTGCTGGAGCGCTTGGCTGCTCTTGTGGATATTGTTCCTCCAACTGCTCGAGCCCATATGTGTAACACTGTTGCAACCACATTTGATTTGGCATTCATGGCTGGCCGTATACTTGGATCGGCTGCATGGGTGATTGCCACTGGTGGTATTTTGGTCTTTTTGCCATTGGCTTTGTCTGTAGAGAGAGAGCAAGTAGCCATCATGCAGGACCAGCAGATGCGTCAGCAACAGCAAGTTGCTCAACAGGTAAAAGTTTTTTGAAGTGGGGATCGACAAGTCTCATATCATTTGAATACCACACTAGTCTATGACTCATGATGGAGGTTGATGCAATGCTATGTGCACAGAATATACATAATGTGTAGCACTTTTATGTGGATAGCAATGACTATCATTGGTGACTGAATCTAATTGTAATTAATTTTTTTATAATTGATAATATTAGGCTGTCAAGGAAATTTCAGTTTAAGTCTATTGTGCCCACTGGATGCTTTATAAAAACCATATTTTCCAAATTGTTTCAGTGTGTCCATATCTTAGTTTTAGTGCTGTTGGCCATGTCCATTTCAATCGTAATGTGAATTATTGCTTTGCAGAGTATTGGCAATCCAAGTTAGTTTGATGATAGCACTGTATATACATTATCATGCATGAAGATGTTTATCGGTTGTGTCGGTACTGCGGTGATCTAGACCGGTGTGATGATCTGTGGTGACGATAGTGCTCGCTATGATTGTCATTTTTGCGTGAATGGTATCGACTACTTTTTCGAGAGGAACCGTGCTCTGTGTTTGAGATGGACGAATCAGATGTCCGATGTTTCTTGCGATGTCTGTAGTTCAATGAGTCAGATCTGGAATGCTTGGATAGAGGCTTTGTGTTTCTTGAATCTCTTCTGCGCGGCGACCTCGATCTTGAACGTTTAGTGACTCTTGGTTTAGGCTCGACAAGTTCAACAAGCTCCACAGATTCAGGTTTTGACTCCTTGCTGATTTCTTGAGCTGTGTGTATGACTACATCTTTAGTTGAGGATGAACACGGTTCTGATCCAGTCTCAACCAGAGTTTCTTTAAACTCATTGTATGCTGTATCCGAGGAGATTTTTAGCCGGTTAGATTGCATAATGAGTGATAAGTGTGCAATCTCACTGCGTATTGGTTTATTTGCTTTGGGAAATGCTGCTGGTAGTGATGGGTGAGCAGACATTGCAAATGCATCTCGAATAGGTTTAATCTCGGCCATAGATGGCAGTATGGATTGAGTCAGCCCATTGCATGCTGGAATAGTGATTAAAACAGGCTCCGACTGTTTAACTGCTTGTATGGCCACCTTCAGTGATTTGAATTTATTCCCCCAATTGTCCTAAATCATGGGCAGTTAAAGATACAAAATAACTAGAATCAGTCTCGGTCAATACACTCGATAGAAACTAGAGTCGAGTTGAAATGACCAAGATCACTTTCTACCTTGATTCGCTGTAGTCGGTCTAATTCAGCTCGCTCTTTCGATTCTTTTAAAAGTCGGTTTGATTCATATTCAGCCTCTCGCTGCAGCCAGATCTTCTCTTGCTCGCTTCTAATCAATGTTCATAAAACACCATGTTGGTAAGCATCGAGGTTAAGCATTGACAGTAATCCAGTTTTGTCATGTACCGTTTGGCAGTCTCTTCAGCAGAGATGGGACAAAAGGGATCGCTATAAATAGCCGGTTCCTCTATGGTTCAAGCAAAACTTTAGTCAGTTTGGCCATCAACTGCAGGAAATGACTCGATCTACTGAACCTTGACGAGTACGGGCAAGTCGTTGGCGATGAAACCTTCTTCGAGCATGCTTGCGTCTCTGCTGATATTTTTTGTTTGGTTTTGGCGGCATCTACAGGTTATATTGGATAGGTTGCTGTTGGTTGGTTTTATCCAAGAGAATCATCGGAATGGTGAAGCCGTGCAAACAAAGAGTTTCAGGCCAAAGTCGAAAATATTGAATCTGAAATTCGGTCATTATATTTCAAGTTCATCCAAGACTCTCAAGTATGGGCTATTGTATGTCATCTAATGTGGCCATTTTATTCAAATAAACCAACTCGAACAATATAACAGATCTTGCAAACGGTTAAACTGGTGTATTTTTTATATATAATTCGAAATAGTCAACCAGCCACTAGAGACCAAGGTTGAGTCTGTGCAAGGGGAGCAACAAATTTACCTCGTCAAGACCAAAACAATGAGATAGAGTGTAGTGGCAAGCAAGCTCAATAGGAAACGAAAATCAAAAAGGAAAATGTAGATTTGGTGTGCATCAAGTCAAGCAATCCCATCACACCAAAACAAATTACAGCTTATGGCAACTTCAAAGCATTGGCTGTCAAAACTATAGAATAAGAGATGTGCTGGATAAAGTGGAAATAGACATGGATCGGTAGTGAGATATGAACTGTGTTTTATGAAGAGTCGGGTTTGGATAATTAAAGCATCCTATTCTTATAAGCAACCAAAAGGCTGAGACGCAATCAAATGAAAAACGGAGTCTGGACAAAAAAGTATAGATAGAATTCTCAAAAAATGTATTCGGCAAAAGCCATCAGACATCCAATATAGACAAGGCGTTGTATTTGAATGTTTGAAAAGTAAGCACTGGTATAAACCATGAGGTTTAAAACCCCTTTTAAAATTTAAACATCAAGTCTCCTTGACTGACGTGTATATGTATGGTCTTGGAAATTCTTGGAAATAACCTTGGATGGACTGCATCTGATCTTTTCGATATTGTCAGGCATTTGAATCCAACTATCCACTTCGGTATTTTCAACGTAGTTGAATCGAGAATACGCGGAGGGAAATGCAATGTTGGGGATATATGGCTGAATATGCTGGTATAGTTGAGACGAGGTAAACGGCAGCCAAAAATTATTGGAAGCTTGTGCAGGAGTGGGTAACAGATGTGTCAAAATAGTTTCCGAAGAAAAAGATGCATTGGATCGATTGTATAGGGACATTGTGGGCGAAGCTGGCTTGCTGGATGTATGGGTTGTTAGGATATGTGTAGCTGTCGCTATATTATTGTGAAGGTTCATATTTTTTAAAGCACTTGATTTCGGAGATGGCGTAGATGTTGAGAGTTGTGGCAAAGAAGGTTGAACCAGCAAAGATGATGCTAATAACGACTGATCAGAAATATTGCAGGTCATGATGTCTTGAAGAGCCTCTGTAACGATTTGCTGATGTCGCGGCTTAGCAACTGCAATAGCCAATAGTTCACTAAACAGTTGCTGTCCAACCTGTTGGCAGCACAACGAAGCAGCTTTCGTAGGAGTTTTTGCACATACTGCACACAGAGAGCGAGTGGTACCAGATGTGGTCGCCCTATCAGTTTCAAGCAAAATACATGGTTGTGCCAATGGCGATGATGGTTGATCTGTTGAATATAATCAGGTTGTATCAATACACAGTTTGTAACATGACACGTGTTCGATAAATCCCGCCAGCAGAGTGTCCAAATATTTAATAAAATTCAAAGGGAATGCAAAAACTGTTTAGTAACCAATCACCATTCTGCAAATAGAAAAATAAGCAACACTTACACCATGGCGGGACATATGTAATATCCAGAGGTATGCTACCACTGAGAGAAGAATCAGCAACCAATTTAGTTAAATCTGCCGTATCTGGCCCAAATAATTCCAGCAGACATGCACTATCATCTAAATAGCTCAGGGCTGGTTTAGCTAGTGCTGTCGAGTCACATGAGCTTTTGTCAGGACAGAGACCAGATGAAAGTAAAGATTTATCAACTGTGAGATCGGAGGGCAGCGATTGAGCAGTGATAGACCACGAGTGATGTTGATGAGTAGTCTGCGCTGAATGCAGCTGATGACGACGACGAACGGGTCGAACGCCCGACTCTGTACAATCTCCATTTAAATCATCATTCCTTGGTCGTTTTGCTACAATACTGTTGGTGCAGTGGGGTTTATAGTTTGTCGTTACACTGTCGCTCAATTCCCAAACTCCGCTATGCAAACCCACATGATCTGAAGCAGACTGTTGGCTTTTCGACTCGAGGCTCTTATTTAATGAAGATTGAGAGAGATCAGAGACGCATGAATGTACAAATTTCCTCTCACCATTTTGTGATTGAGAGTTGGAAGATCGATTCGTTTGCCGGTCCAAATCAAGTCTCGTGGTGCTTAAATCATACTCGGCGGATAAACCATGGTTTTTGGAACAATGGTTCACTGCATCATCATCAGTCTTATCCATTTCATCAATAAGATCTCGATAGGACAAATGAGGGCTAATGACAAAGTCTGAATCGTCAATAATAGATAAAATTTCTGGAAGACCAGACCAATCCAGCGAATCATATTGGTACACAGATGACTGATCAGAAGGATCTATAGAGTCTCGTCGAAGGGTAGTTATGGAAGATATTGATGTTCGTGGCCCTGCCGCTTTGTCTACCGTCACCATGGACGCATTGGATTCTCGCTTTGTGCACGGAGTAGAACAAAAAACCTTGGTTTGCTCCAATGATGGCGTCAAAGAAGATGATAAAGATCCGGAAATAAGTAATCCATCCATAAAGGTACAGTCCATTTCAAAATCGTCATGATCGTAGCCAGTATCTAAATCATCTTCGTAAAATGAAGTGGAGGTGGTGTTTACAACAGCCGTGGGTGCATCTTCTAGTAAAGACATTATATACGATTTATCCAAGCAAGAACTAGACATGGAAACGTCATTCACAGCTGTTTCTGCATCATCATCTGTAGATGTGAGACTGTCCGCCTCGCTGTTTCCATCGCTATCCGCCAGCGCACAGCCATAGTCGTCAGTATCCATCTCAGACATATCTTTTGGTAAAACAAGTGCACAATGAGTGACTGGGCTGGCTTTTCCCTGTTCGGAGCTTGCGCATGTAACACTGTTGTTGTAAAAAGTAGAGCAGGCTGCTTGATTTTGAACACAATTTGTGACCCTTGATTGTTGCGCCGATTGCCGATGGGGTGGTTGAAGTACATCTGAAGGATGCACCATGTGATCCATCAGTATGTCCAGTTCAGACGAGTCGTATGGAGAGCGTGTTGGCAGGCGTCTGGAAATGGTGCTGGATTTTGCTGCTGTCGATACATTTACATTGACCAAGGCGGAGTTGGCGAGGCTTCGGCGACGGCCCGCAGTGTGACGAACAGGGGTATGAACAATCTCATTGCAATATCCACTGCCATCTTTATAGAGCCATGATGAAGAGCCAGGCAATGATAATGCACGCGGGGAGTAAGCGCTAGAAGGCTCTTGATTCTCATAGTCTTCGTCCTCATCAAATGCACAGCGATCATCTGCGCCAATCAGACTGGAAGGAGAGGCTGGAGCAACCGAGGCATAGGTTGAAGCAGTATTGGGCATGGTGGAGTGAATGGCAGAATACGACTTGCATAGTGTGTTGGATTGCCGATTGTTGACGGCGGGGGGCGAAGAAAGTTCATTTAATGGTATAGCAGACAAGCAGATCTGCTGTGGATGGCAATCAGACAAAGTACGTATTGGCGAGACAGAGGCTCGAGTTAATTTTTTTGAAAGACTGTGTGTACTTGTAGCAGTGTCAATGGCGCACAGAGCAGGTAGAGCAGAGACGACATTGTTGGATGCATTAGAGGCTATGGTTGAAAAGGACAGAATCAAAATTTAAAGAGCGTGAGTAATCCGACTCTTGCCGTTTAGAAAAATAGTCTTGTGTGCAGCTCAACCCCAAATACCAAAACATATGGTGAGTGCAAATAGCTTACCTTGAGCACCGGCCTTGCTATATGACATTTTGTCAGGGTAGAAATGTGGACGGCGACTACCGCCAGCACCGTACTGTGTATGTGGGGGCATAACAGGATCTCACGATTCTAAATAGATTAGTGGTGAGTGGCAAGGTCAAAAAGTTGTTGGTTTATAAAAGCCGATGGCAATAGGGAACTTGAATGCGATGCGTAAGTTTTAATGTTTGGCTCAAAAGTCGTGTTCAACCCTTTCAGCCAAATATTCAATTGGAGTTGCAAACGAACAAAAACAAAGATCAGGCTTATAAAAGACTGCGGGGTTGATTCGATGAAATAAACGCGAGGGATTGAAGAATTGGATCGGTTGGTTCTGAATTTTGCCAAAATAGCCTAGCATGGGCCATTCTTGCATATCATCTTGCAGAACCCAACTCAATCGGATGGTAGATGAGGGATATATAAGTTGTTGACTATAGCTAGGTTTTAAAATGGCTTGCTTACCCTTTTCCTAGACAATCTCAAAGCAGCGCTGCACAGACTACTTGAACTCGATTAGTGATTAGAGCTATATATTGGTAAACAAATGTGTAAATATAAAGTAAAAGAGGAATTGAACGATAAAAGAAAGAGTCACAGGCTGGCCAAACTAGGTGCAAAGAAGAAAAAATATCTACTTTTGACGACGATTGCCAAGATAACGAAACTTGTCGAAATCATATGGGCAAGTCATGAAAATTTTGTATCTGGCCAAATAATGTATAGCCAGACACGATTAAGCAAGATATATTGGAATAGCTTGGCGTAAGATAAGCATTTAGCCAGTGGAATTTAGGAAGGCTCGAAAACAAGGTGTAAATGATGCGGTATCAATTCAAGCAAGCACTTGGACAGAGATAGCATTGCAGTAGAGTGGGTGGCAAGGTCGAATAGAGGAAAAAAAGAAACTTGAGTTGTACACGAGGCGCAGTTGAAGCTTCGCTTCCATAGGGATATCCAATAAAAAGCGGAGACAGCAACAAATCATAGGGGGGTAATATAACTATGTATGGGGTAAGTGTATACAGTGGTCATAGATACAAACAATATAAGCACCTACAGAAAGATTGTGGAGTGCAAGTAGCTAATCCAGAGCAGATTAAGTATCAAGTGGGTAGATATATATAGCGGTACCAAATGTGACCAAGCCGCAGACGACTAAAACCACTGGAGAAGGTACAGATATGTACGGCTTGCAAAAACAAGAGATTAGAAGCAAACCAAAGCTTCACGCAAGTTGACTATCTAAAGGTCGAGATGAGCTGCAATAGGAGTATAGTTCAGTAGCAAATGGCCGTATTGGCGTGATCTAGCGAATATAATTGTATATTACAGCAATTATTCCGATACCACAACCCAGACAATAAGATTGCAGGTGTGTTTGAGCTACAACTAATGCCAATGAAATTCGTGGTCGTGCTAAACCAGTACTGGCTTACCTAGCTAATTACAAACAGTAGCTTTGGTTAAAAACACTACAAGCAGGATATTGAACAATATGCAAAGCCAGTAGAAGAGTGTAGATGGATGTGTCGAATACAAGAATTAACTCGATTCCCAGATTCGAATTGACCAAATTCGATTATGGGCATAATTCAAGATGTTCACACGGCTGAGGCACCTGCTATCAACAGGACCCAGCACACTCCAGCACAGCTTCCTCATGACGTCGATGTTTCCTAGTGAGACTTTCAAAATGTCTCACTGAAGAGATGGCGGTTAAGCCAAGATCAACATCACTCTTGGTGCTGCAATTACACTTGAACGTCTCATAGATGCTGCAAGACTAAAAAGCCTGCTTTGGTAGGCAAATGCCAAGGTGATCTTTGAGTGCAATCACAACCTACTCTTTGAGTGCAATCCCAACCTACTCTTGATGATTGCACTCAAAAACCATAAAAGGACATGCCTTTGAGCTATCCAAATTGGAAACAGCTCAAAGGCAGATGCAGGCATTTCTTGACATGTATTGTTGCAAGTCCAATATAGCCAAAACCATATCAAGTGCATTACAATCCATATTTACATCAATCCATACCTGTACTATTTCAGTCTTATTGCAGTACAATAGAGCAGCTATTCTTTAGCTGCCTTTGACAAATGATAAGTTTTACTACAGTACGAAAATTCCAAAGTATTGATTTTGTCTGAAAACTTCATTTTTCATCCATCAACGATTTTGTTATAGTAACGAGGCTCGATCCTAATTTGCTATAAACCAAATCTCAAGAGTGCATTTCCATACTTGGATTCCGAGTAAATAGACAAAATAGTGTCCACTGCACATGCTTCAATATTGTTTTTATTCCACTGGAAATAGTCGTTTACTTTAACATCCATAATACTTTCCAGTTTTAGCTTATTTGATTGAATGTGTAGTGATGGCTTGTAACCAGTGATTCAATACATGGCTTTCCGTAATGCCAATTTTATTATTAATGGAATGTCCGACAATGTGAATTTTTAAAGGGCTTACTAAACGCGTCCATCACATGCACGCGTCATTGCACAGGTGCTTCAATGATTTTGCACTCGAGATAAGATGTCGGACATTGTTTATTGAAAATAGTGGCAATGAAGATACCTGACTGCAAAATGGGTCATGTCCCAGTTAATAATCTCTCTGCTGTTCCACAAACTAAAAATTTGACAAGCCATGAATTATATGTTTGAAATCCATTTACAGTATTATTTCAATTCAAAACATTCTATAACTATTGGACTCGATGGTGGATGACGATTTTGTTCATATACATCAGTCTCACGTGGTAGCAAGATTGTTTATTTTCCAAGCTATCCCAAATATAGCCATTTCAAGAAAATATAATCGATATGATTTGGTGAAAAGAGCATAAAGATTTGTGTAATAATCAAAACAATTCAATACTTCAAGAGACATTATGCTGGTATATGATCAAAGTAGGCCATGACGATCTAGTCTAGATTTAATCAACACGTCCCTATGTATAGCCAGTAAAGTCAATCTAAAAACAGTCATATCGACTTTTATATTAACAAGTAGACTTACGTAGTGGTAGCAACAAGAAAGGAAATGGCCGTTTCGGAAGTACAGCAGGTAGCATGCATATACACACGATCTTTACGGGTGCGAACTTTTGTTCCAAGCTCTTTTTTAAAATAATCAATTACAGATATAGGATCATTTCCGCCTGATTGTTGAATGTAAAAGCAGTAATTAGAATTACTTAACAAAACACAACCTACTTTTTACTCACCGTGATATCCAGGAAAATACTCTTGCAGTTTGGTATATCGCAACTTTTTTTTTAACAGATCTGTCTTGTTTAAAAATACAATCAAGGCCTTGTTTTTCAAATAAATGTTGCTTGCAAGCTCGGAAAATAGTTGAATGGAGTCTGACATGCGATTGACGGTTTTATCTTCTTCAAGAGCTTGGTCATATGATGAAACGGATGTGATGAACAACGTGGAGTCAACATTGTCAAAATGAGCAGCCCAGTTTTTACGAAACCTGCGCTGACCAGCCACGTCAATGAACCGCATGGTTATTCCGTTTTGTTCAAAAACGCATTCGCTTATAGTTGTTGTTGCATGACGCACGTGTAGCGCATCTATATTTACGTCGAGTCAATATAAACTGATCGTGTAGCAGCTAAAAGATACAAGCTGAGTACTACATGCATAAAAACCAAATAATCACCTTGATTGGTAATCTTGTAGCCAAACTGAGCCTTTGTCTGAATGTTGTCCAAAAAGCTAAATATTTAAAAAACTCAGTACGGATTCTGAATATTGAGCGTATTCACTTGGCAATACAGATGCGGCAATAGATCCACTTACTAATCGCATGTGTCTTGAATCTTAAACTTGAACGACTGTTTCCAACATGATTGGACTCCTTTGTGCCTCCATAATTGGTTGATATAGTCGATATGTTGCTGGGAGAGTCCAAGTGCACCATGGCGATGAAAAGCAAGCATAATTTGCTAATGCAGTGTGTACAAAACAAGACTATAAATAAATAATAAATAGTCGACGATTTAGAAATTCAGATCCCACCTTGGCTTGGACAGGCTCCACCTTATATCCAAGAGCAATCGAAGCCAGTAAGAGAGCTTTGATTGAATCTACAATATTGTCCAGCATCTGATGATGGTATTGCAGCTTCTGTTGGGCAGTAAGACCACCTCCTAAACAAATATGCAGAGTTTTGATGAATGTGGTTTTTCCAGAATCACCACTGCCAAGAATAAGCATAGTTGGAGCTTCCGCTGCTTGACGCTTTGCTTTGCGTTCGGCTACTAGCATCCTATCAATCTCGTCTGATATTGTCTTGGCATCGAGGCTGATAATCCAGCATAGTTATAGGTGAGGTTTTGAATTAAACAACTGAATCAATACAAGGCCACGAACTCCATCATGAACACTCGGGATCATCAAGCAGTGCACTACTAGACCTGTCGAGTGCATACCAGCACTCATTGCACTGATATTACCAAGCAGCAACGATAGTATTATATCTTACATTTGTCCCCACGAGTCTCTATAGCCTTCAACATCACATACGCTTTGGGTCAAAAGCACATCTGGTGGTTGGTGCACGAGAGAGTTACCTCTGGGTTGTACCTGGATTGGCGGAACAACACCATCAGCTAATGGATAAGATGACGAGTCTTTTAGCTCGTGCTTGTTGCCAGAATGATGGCGATAGACCCCCATAGTGATAAAAGTAGTAGCAAGAATCAACGTTTGGATTGTGGCTGATAAACCATCAAGACTCAATATCAGATTAACGGGTTGAATTTTGTAATGTTCAAAAGTCTACCAATTAGAGCATATGCTGCTGAATGTTGAAGGCGATGAATTACATATCCATATACTAGCTACAGTTGTATTCACGTAGAAATGGAGCATTTGTATTATCCTGGAGTGACTTTATTTTGGTTTTGAATAGACAATGATTAAATGTTGTTTTTCTACTACAGACTGCACTGCTTCTTCAATTGGCATTCTCAACTCTTGTTTAAAACACACTGCTCATACAATGCTCATACAATCAAACTATAGTTTTAAACTCGAATCTCGGATATGCTCGCGTTCTAATCAACAATGATCGTATGTCACAAATGCAACTGTTGTTTTTGTCAATCATTAGTAAAAATACCAGTCAGCTTAATGAGTTCAAAGGACATAGTATTGTACAATAGATTTGATGAAAACCGAGTATTTACTATATACTTTGGTATCTCTGTTTAATGTTTCTCAATGAATAGACTAATATGAATGGGCCAATTTACCACCAATCATGGCATGTGCAACTTGTATGGCCGTTCAACTTTTATTTGAATGTTCCGTCAGATTCGATTGCAAACAAGTTTGCGACTCTTGTCTCGATTCCTATCATCATGTTTGGCTGCATCGTTGCTGGACGACTGGTATGACATCTACTATTATCGCATCTGATCTTGTATGCTCATTCTTGTTTGAAAAACATGCGCTCATTATTGTACCGGTTTAGGTTCAGACAAATCTGCAACAAGGTCTGCATTCGAATGAGCTCTACATTGTACAGTAGCAATTCAATACTTACCCCTTGTACTTTATTGTAACTGCACATATTTATTTCTCACGACAATCACTTATTGGAACAGTGGATGCTTCCAAGGTACTGTACGATATTCCAATTGAACTAAATGAAGATCCATTGGCCATAGAGTGGATTACTGTATATTAAGCAACTGAATGCAATCCATTTGACCATTAGTATGCTTTTGAGCTGCAAGATGCTGCCTCTATTAATCATCTGGTTGTCTTTCTCATCGGCACTGCGCCTTTTCCTCCAGGATATGCTGCTACAGTCCATTTTTTATGGTAATCATGTGCATAAACTGGTTATTATCGTACTTGATTTTGCAGCTGTATGCTGGACTGTTTTTAAAAGTGTAGCTGAAATGATTTACTTTTTAAATGAACCCAAATACATCGGATCGGCAATCTTATTATAACTGCATCCAGGCCATCTACTGCCAACCCCGTATGGACACTGCTGGGTCACATCTCTAATGAAAAACCATCTGCTATTTTTAAACTCGGTGGTAAAAAATCCACAACCATATCTAAATCTATGGATACCTTGATGGACGATTCAGATTCTTCACCCTTTAGCAATGTCTCGACCATTGTGGCAAAGCTGGGTATTTCTATCGAGCCAATCGATCAGGTTATGGCACAGGTTTCTACCCTGCCGTCTGGAAGTCATTCTTTGAGTGCTGATTTGGATACGAGCATGGCAGTTGTTTCCAGAGGTTCTATTGTTGGCTCACTCAGACCCGGTGACGCAGAAACAATTGCAAACAAGCTTCTTGAAAGTATGTGTAATTTTTTGGTCTTGGTGAATGGTATTTACACTAATTACAATTGAATGAGTAGATCTGTATAATTACTGCTGCAGTTTTGCTGGAAATATGCCAATGGGAGGAACATCTATGTTTGGACTAGACTGGGGAACAACATTCATACCACTCAAGGTATTTCATTTTGTAATCTCTTGTGATTCTTGGTACTGACTATTTTTACAAACTACTAGGCACTGCACGACTGGTACTTGACAACACAGCGTCGGATCAAGGCAGACCCCACCTTTTTAAAATAGTTTGCTAAAAATATTTACATTAATATTTTGGGGGTTTAATTGATTCATTATTACTTGAATGAACCGTGTTTGCTTCTGTATATATAAAATTGAATCTACTGGAATCAACTGTATATAATTTAAAGTTTATCAAACCATAAGCATTCGCCAAGTATAGGATCGACTTGAGCAATATGGGTAGCAAGGAGCTTTCCAAGTTGCTCATCAGGATTTAGACCGAGGTTTTTTGCTCGACTCCATCTTTCAAATCTAGATAAACCTACACAGGGACCCAGCATAGCTGAAAGATCAAAAGAGTGGAATGCCTTGATGAGAGCTGGTCTATCTTTTAGCATTTCGACAACTGTTTAGTAGGGATCAATCAAGGTTATGTTAGTAGTCTTGTATTGAAGCATATAAACGCGAGTTGGACTTGCCATCAGAATCCATCTCTACATCTGCCTGAAAACAAGTATTGGGACGTTCTTCCTTGACAGCACTCTTGACCGTCTGCTGCGTGTCTTTGAGTGATTTCTTGAGTTCATCAGCAGCCTGCAGTACTTTTCGTTGAGTAAAAGTCTTCAAGAGTTGCTGTTGTATCCTTGTACTTGTGCCTTGTTTTTTTGTCAGTGATTTTGCCGAGTGATGAGTTGAGCTACCGAGGTTAGAACGCAATCCATTACTCCCAGCAGAACTACCTACGTTTGATGTTGCTTCTTGAGTAGACGATGGCCTTGAAGACGACGATAAAGGTTGTTGGATGCCACTGCGACGTGCCCCTGCTCGTCCCATTGTTAGAATGGTGGGAAAGTTTAAAACAGTCGAGTAGAAGATGGATGGAATCTACAAAGAATGATTATTGGATAAACTGCAGTTGTAGTAAATAGTATGCGCTGCCAATGGATAGAATGCATTGGCCATGAAATTGTAACGATTAGCTTTTGCTATAAATCTGCAACTTTGTTCAATTCAGTTTTACTTGTTCATGTTGATATAGCATATTTTTACTGTAAGAGCGTCTGTCATACCATGCCACACCTATCATGCATATGCTTTGATTGTTTGATGCAACCTAGTAGGATAAATTCAACTTGATTTGACCTAGACATGGATCAACTGGTAGTGATGATGCAGTTGCTTCCAATAGTCATTTGCAGATTAAAAGCTATCTGCCGCTCTACTGATTTGCAACTCAAGTCGAATGTAGCTAACAATGCTTCCGTCACTCCAATGCAGTTCTGTTGTATTGAGCTAGTTCTAATGGCATATGCATTCTATTATCCAACCAGTTTGACTCATGATTCCACTTGTGCAATGGACAGTAAATTACATTGTCACTCCAAGGATTGCTGCTTCTAGTAACTAACAGAATGCGTATATTTCATAAATACTACACATGAATGGCTATAGATTCTCTTTATTTCCAATTACTTTACTATACGTCTTATTTGCATGTCTTCCAAGCAAGATCTACTTTCTTGGATCATTCCTGGCAAGAAGATGCAACCCGTTGCTACTTTCACGTGTAGCTCAGCAGGGGATCAAGACGATAATGATGATGCCAGTGTAGTTTTAGATAGTGATGAAAATACAGCAACTCTAGCTAATTTTCCAGACTTCTCTGTCAAAGCTGAGCCGTCTTGTTTGATTTCAGAGTCTATATCATCCAACTCGGTTTCTGATATTCTCGCTACTAGTGCACTTGCTTCTCAACCCAATCATGGTCTGTTGACTAGTCACGGTAGCTCCTCTGCCCTGTCGATTCAGTCAACTACTGAAACAATTTATTACCCTCGCCGACTTTATTCCAATGAACCTATTCTTCCTGCACCGCTTGCCTCCATAGTCTCGTCGATTTCAACTATATCTCGTGTTTCGATTAGAATAGCCTCTGTCATTGCAGGCGTCACTTTTGATTCACTCAAATTTGGCGTATCTACTTCATTTGATTTGGGTCGTCGAGTCATGGTCTCTGCTGCATCATCAGCACGAACCCTGCATTCGATCGCTGCTCGACACGAGACGGTATCCGCCGATCATGGTCCTTTTTTCAATGTACTTGATAAATATACCGATACAAGTATTTACATAATCCATACTGCCTTTTCTTTGGCAGAGCTTTTGACATTATCTACATTTCATATTGCTTCTACCACGGTGAATTTTTCACTACAGGCCGCTGAGGAGTTTGTTCAAACTTTTGACGGTTTGTTTGGCGAAACAGATACATCAAAGACGCTTGCTGCGTTTGTTTGCATATTTATGGAAGAGTGGCGTGGACAGGATGATGCTCTTGGACTGAGCACTCAGATAGGAAAGTTGTCTGCACTCGGTCAAATTTCTAAAGCGATGCTGGTATGCATTTTTTATTTTTGCAATTTGATTTAACAGTATTGACTACAATATTCGAATTTTCACCAAAGCATCAACTAATTTGGGGTTGTCTGATGTTTATTTTAGGCGTATTGTTGTCTTCAATATGTCACGAGAAAACGATGGAGAAGTTTAATAGAGCTGGAGCCTGTGTTTGTTGGACGAGCTGGAAAAACAAAAACATATGATCCTTCCAATGATTTCTTTACATTGAATTTCTTTGATACCAGTGGTCCACTTTCTTGCAATCCATCGCCTGCTTCATATGTTCCAATACAGCCCATTAGTTTTTTGGATGAAGACATGCTTTTTTCAAAACTACCAAGACGTCGTTCGTTTAGTCAACACGGACTTTCTACTCGTGCATCTATTCCTGCCGCACTTCGAATGACAAATGGTTCATTATCTATTTCAACCACCCCTGATCTTTCTGGATCAAATATTCCACGTCGTCGATGTGTATCTGGGCCTCTTGGTGATGCTTCATTTATGCATGGCATGACATACTCACCAGATTCAATCCGGTTTACACCTAACGAGTCTTTCTTTTCCTACTACAGCCCATGCTTAACAGCTCAATCCAATAATATGGATTTGGAGGCTTCCCAAAAGGCTTTTACGGATTGTTCTGAAACATCAAGTTTAGCCAAGGCGGTAGATACGCACTACTTACTTGACGAGGAACCAGTTTTGGATCCATATATAGGAACTGTATCCAAACTTATACCACCCGAAGCAAGTAAAACGACCAAGCTGCCGATTTCAGTAGTTTCTGACCGATCTCGTGTAGAGTTTGCTTTTCGATACATCAAGTTTGCTACAGGAGCATATGGGACCAACTTTTTAAAACTTATGGGTCTTGGAACCTCGCGTGAGCACACGTACAAGACTGATGGCGATCACCATAATCATCAGTCTCTTGCCAATCATGCACGAATTCCTGTAGAGCATATTGTTACTTCATCGTTTTTAACACCAAACAAAACAGATCCTTCGAAACATCAAGCACCTGTACATTATGTTGTTGTGGATCATGAAACCAAGTCTGTTGTTGTTAGTTTGCGTGGAACTTTGGGTATCTCTGATTTAGTAACTGTAAGTGTCTAAACATCATTATGAACTATTTTGCTTGATTGCTTAATTTTGCTGCCAAATCATTTAGGATCTTTCTGCAAGCTATCTTTGCTATAAAACTTTACAAGGACTTGAAGGATATGTGCATTCTGGTATGTACAAGTCTGCTCAGCTGATCTCTAAAGGACCAGTCCGAAAAGCTGTGATTGATACACTTGAAGAGCATCCTGGATACGCGCTGATTCTAACTGGCCATAGTCTAGGTGCAGGATGTGCTGCATTACTATCTGTTATTTGGTCAACCCGTATTACCCATTGGAATGGCCAGGATGATTTTGTGACGAATGAGGCAGAAGGACTACCTGTCCGACCCATCCACTGCTACGTGTTTGGGCCTCCTGCTATCATGTCAGCTGAATTGTCTCGAAGCTACAAATCCTTGATTAGCACATTTATTTTTCGTAAGTTTTGTTTTTAATTTGGTACTGTTTTCTCGACAGAAACTGATGCAATATATCTGGATCTGGTTAAATCGTTGCTGCAGGAAATGATGCTATTCCACGACTCTCTCTTGGCCTTATCCGTGATTTTCGAAATGTAACAGTCACTCTATGCCATGATAAAGGAATGGCAGAGAAAATCATTATGCAGGTATTGGGAATGTTTAAAAAAAATCATACTCCAGCAGTGCTGACGGGGGTTGATTCTGAATCGGATGAACTGTTGCACTGGGCCACACTCAAGACTCTTCGGGCGGACATGAAGGCTGAGAAGTTATATCCTCCAGGCACAATGTAAGCAATAGTGCTGGGATTAGCAGTTTGTACACATCTACGGTAGCTGTTAAATGTATGCATCACTTTTGTTTTGTTTGTGCAATATAGATATTGGATTAATGCCAACACTGGGAAATTGCTGGCTCAACCACCTCATCCACTTAAACCGGACACATCACATCTGCCACAGCCAGCAGGGTTTCCCGCGCTACCATCTCCGTTACCAGCTCCAGCCTCAGCCCCAGAGCCAAGTAAAACCACTCCTATATCTATTCACAAGGTTCAAGATGTAGAAATGGCATTTTCTGAGCTTGCCTTTTCTACCAAGATGTTTACCGATCATTCACCACATCATTATGAGGGAACACTTGAGCTGCTTGTACGTAGCATGGCTGCATCTGAATGAACTTTGGTAGGATTGGCTAGAAAAAAGGATGAAGATTGAATTATGTATGCTTTTTTGTTGAACATGAATAAAGTAAGAGTAATAGAATACTGGATTGGAATGTTGCAAGATTAGGATTTGTAATGAAGGGTTGAGCACAAATCAACTCATATCGGATAACCTGAGGGTGTGACTGAGATTTCAATTTTGTCAATCGATGACTTGATTCGATGCTAATCTATCTTCACTATTCACTGCTGCCCTATTCTGTAATCACCTTCATTGAACATCATACTTGATATATTCTAATACTAAACTATGCCACTTGAATTGCCATCTGAATCCACTCTTGTCCAAAACGAGCCTATTTTGACTCCCGATCCCCGTCGCTCGGTTTTGTTTCCTATCAAATATCCTGCTGTAAGTTGCATCAGTCTGTTTGCCTGATGTGTTTTATTAGTGCTGCTGTAGTTTGCTTTTAATGTTCTGGTATCAGGGCTTGTATCGTCTGAACTTGATGTGTTGGCTATAGCGATTACTATTTCTATTAGGTGGCCAATTCACCATGAGCAATTATTGTACCATTGACTATTCTACTTGTTGAAAGAGTTGATCTAGCCAGTGCATTAATTTGTACTTTATGATGTTCTTGTCTATTGAGTGAGTGGGGTTTGAACATGCTTTCTATCCCAGACTCGATGAGATTTGCCTATACTATTCCTCCAGCTCAGCTGTACATTCATCCATCTACATTTAATGGTAGCACTATGCTCATTTCTGATTTTTATTCTATTATTTGAACTATTCAGGTATGGAGAATGTACAAAAAGGCAGAAGCCTCGTTTTGGACTGCCGAAGAGGTAGACTTATCCAAGGACACTCTTGATTGGGAAGAGCGACTTACAGACGATGAGCGTTATTTTATCTCTCGTGTGCTGGCATTTTTTGCTGCCTCGGATGGCATTGTTAATGAGAATCTTGTTGAGCGATTCTCCCAAGATGTGCATATTCCTGAAGCTCGTTACTTTTATGACTTTCAAATTATGATTGAGAATATCCATAGTGAAATGTACTCGCTATTGATTGATACCTATATCAAGGATCGCAAAGAGCGAGCCTTTTTGTTTGACGCCATTGACACAGGTGCGTTGAATGCTTTCGGACACTTTCTACCACTAACACTGATTAAACGATTTGTATATTATTGAAATTTGTTTACACCCCAAAAGTTCCGTGTATTCGCAAAAAGGCAGATTGGGCCCTCCGATGGATTTCGGACAAAAAATCTTCATTTGGAGAGCGTCTTGTTGCCTTTGCTGCAGTTGAAGGAATTTTCTTTTCTGGTTCTTTTGCATCCATCTTTTGGCTTAAAAAGCGGGGTCTTATGCCTGGTCTGACCTTTTCCAACGAGCTCATCTCTCGTGACGAAGGCCTTCATACTGATTTTGCCTGCCTTCTTTTTACTCTTCTAAACAACAAACCCACAGACTCTGTCATTCAGCAAATTATTCACGAAGCTGTCACAATTGAGCAGGAGTTCTCTACAGAGTCTCTCCCTGTAGCTCTCATTGGTATGAACGCCAATCTTATGAAGCAGTATATTGAGTTTGTTGCTGATCGGTTGTTTATCGAGCTTGGAATGCCAAAAAAGTATGGTGTGGGCAATCCCTTTGATTTCATGGATATGATCTCACTCCAAGGAAAGACAAACTTTTTTGAAAAACGTGTTGGAGAGTATCAGAAAAGTGGTGTGATGAACACAAATGCTAGCTCAAAGGAGTTTACTATTGAAGCCGATTTTTAAGATTGCACTTGGCTGCGCCAAGTTCGTTTTCATTATTTCCACTAGTAGCGCATCTGTTGCTTTATGAATCCCAACTGTTGGATTCGCTTGTGCTTCATGAATGTCTTATACTCTGTGGTGATATACTGCTTTAAACTTTTAAAAAATGAATGGATTTTTGACCTAAAATGGTTTGACAAACCAAAGAAACAAAATCGCACTTTATTTTCAACTATTATAATTGGTGATCAAAATCATGTCAATGCCAGCAAAACCATTGTCACTTTATGCCAAAAAAACATCTATATGTTTCCAAGTATCAGCACTAGCATTTCTCACTCCTCGTTTGCTCCTGGCTGGCATTGGACCATTTCTTCGAGTATACAATATTTTTAAAAATGTGTTTTTGGCGGAATATTATGTGCTGGAATATTCTCGCATTCATGGTATAAGAGTTCAACCCATGGCATGTGCTGGTCTTTACAAGGATGAAGATAAAAGTAAGTAGTATCTCATACTTTATGTTTTAAAGCTGTGTAATGTTGGGTAGTCCGATCCCTCGATCATGGCATCAGAAGGCCAGAGATCTGCATTGCAAATAGACATTTATACCTGCAGGCATGATGCTCATTATAATTGGCTCGAGTATTTAGTAGATACAGTACAAAAGTTTACGGTCGCTGTGTTTGGTGGGAAACATTTACAGACACTGGAAATCACTGTTGCGGACAATGCTGATTATGACGGTATTCAAATGAGGCTTTTGGATTCATTCGTCAAATTTCCCGACTGGATTCTTGAGGCCCATTGGGTCTCAGCAAATGTAACTAATACTTAGCATTGTATCGAAAATATATCTGGAATTGCAACCACTAACACTAGATTAATGCGACAGAGCGATTCCGAAGAATGTGATGCTCTCGTTCTTGTATTTGCTCATAATTATGTCGAGGTGTGGTCGCATTCATCAAAAACTATACTTTTTAAAGTTCAAAACGAAGAGCGGTGTTTATTGCAAGTGATTGCTTCACGTCAGAGCTCTGGTTGTTTGTTGGAAATAACGCCTGTTCTAACCTTTTACTGTCATCATGATTGGAATGGCATCAAAATATCTTGTATGTGTCGATAGGTATTCTGCTCGATGCTTTGGATCTCGACTTGATAACGTTCAGATTGCATCTGGAACTGTATTTGGACAGGTGATTCTTTGGAATCTGTATGCCCAAGATGAGCAAAATGATGGTAAAGCACTAAAGCGTCTTATTGGTCACGAGGTAATCTTTTATCTAGCCATTTATTGAACTGCAGTGATTGGCATCACTGCAGTTTAGTTTTTTTCGAGTCTCATATTTGCTTTCATTTTAGGGTGTGATATTCAATATTCAATTCAGTCAAAACGGATCCAAAGTTGCATCAGTGTCAGACGATCGTACTATTCGTGTGTGGTCAACTACTGCTGATGACAATATGCAGCATACGATTATGCACGGACATTTATCACGCGTATGGGATGCCATGTTTGTAGGAGATATGGTTGTCAGTGTGTCAGAGGATGCCACTTGTAGAGTATGGAATCTGGATTCTGGTGCACAGTTGGCTTGCTTTCAAGGACACGATGTCAAGCATGTTTGGGGACTTGCTGTTGATTCAACCCACTCGGTTATTGTAAGTTTGACCATTTGAATGATTGTAATTTTAACAGCTAATATTGACACCGTATCTTGCTTGTAGGCTACTGGAGGTGGTGATGGTGGCATAAGGCTCTGGAACATCAAGTCTCTGGCTGAACAAAAATCAGGTATACTTTTGTATTTATAAATTATGGTTATATCTGTTACTTACACGACTTTTTATAAATTATATTGAGTAGACGTTGCTGACGAGATGATTACTGTATCACTGATTCCTGGTGAAAAAATAGGCAAAAGGGTAAGTGGGTTTAGATGTATTGGTGGTGTTTGAATTTCGCTTAATTGAATGCAATCTTATTCCATGATTATTTTTGAATACTTTGGTTCAAGGCCGAGTTTCCTCGGGCTTTTGCATTTGTAAATGACACAAATGTATTGATTTCATCCAGCTACGGGTAAGTCTATCAAAATATTCATCTGATTATGGTTGCATGATATTTAAGCGTTTACCAAAATCATTGAATATATGCTACAAATGAATAATTTAGGCGATTTATTTTATGGAGCGAGACCGATCGCACACAGAAAGTTATCTTGACTGATGAACGGGTTTCTTCATATGTGGTAATGAATACGATTCCGAATAGTCAAGCAGTGATTGCAGCCACTATTGACGGAGACTTGCTTTTTTTCAGTATTGATCAAACATTTGAGGTATTTTATTCATATATGCATTGTTGAGATGGAATAATTATTGCTCAATATCAGTTTAATTTGAATACTGATTTTTTCTGTAACACTTTAGTCGATTGAGTGGAAGCATGTAGTTTTCGGAAAGATTGACAACATTTTCACATTTATTGATGCGTCAAACAGTGATGTTGCGCATATTATGGTGTTTACTCATCAGGGAAATCGTGCTGTTTGGTACACCGTTTCTGGACTGAAAAGTACTAAAGTGGGAGGCTATCCTACAAAAACAATCTACGCACGGTTTGTTTTACCACCAAATGTAGTTGTCACTACAGCTTTATTACATATCACACAAAGCATTTTGGCCATTGGAACCCGATGTGGCAGCATTTTGCTATATGATGCATCCGGTGATGCTAGGCTTACATCAAATCTACCTTCAATGCTTGAATTATTAAATACGCATAGTGGCGAATCGCTTACCAGTATCTTGGCTGTCGACTCCATCTTGACAACGGATGCTCAATTGAGACCCATTCATTTATACACAGTCGGAAGAGATGGACATTATTGCAAATATGTACTGTATCATGACCGGCATGACCAAAAACGAGTTGACTGCTTTCCGCAATCAACTTTTCAATTTATTAGCAAATCCATACACGGTTGGCACATTGATCTCATACATCAATCTCGACTCACTAAAGGCTGGCTAGAGCAAATTATTCTTGTTGATGGCATAGTCCTTGTTGGTGGGTTTTATGACAAAAAGTTTTTTGTTTATAACGAAACGAAAAAGTATGAAATGGCGTCGATTTCATGTGGAGGAGGACATCGGCAGTGGAAATTACAAGTATTTGATGGACTTTTTCAGCATGCCAACTTTGCATTTATTCGTGGTGGCAATTTAATGGTTCTTGCGAAGCGACCATTGATGACTGCACCATTTATTGATTCAAAAATACAAGACAATTACTACGGACGAGAGACGCGAGCTGTATTGATTGTAGATCTTGCACAGACAGCCACATCAACAACTCGGTTGGTTATTTCTGCTGGAGAAGATGGAATCATGACTTTGCATAAATATGATCCAACTCTTTCTGCAGGAAAAATTCTTGAGCGACTTGGTACGTATCGTAAACATTCTGGAGCAATACGATGTTTGTGCCAGATTCAAAGACATGATGGCCAGACAATGATATTTTCTGCAGGAGCACGAGAGGATTTAAAGTGCTGGAGATTGCACGTTGCTAAATGTGAGGATGTGCAATATAGAGTCAATTTCTTGGATGTTGCTACTGCGCCTACTGTGAGTCAAGTAAGTGAAACTCGGATCATGTCAGTATCTGCCGTACGACTTCCATTGGCCTCTTTTGGATTGAATACCAACGAAAGTATGCACAGCGTAGAGCGATACTATGTTATTGCAACTGCTTGCTCGGATGCTATTGTTCGAGTGTGGTTATTCGATCAGATTGACAATTGTTTCATTTATTTTGGCGAGTCTGGGTTCCATGGCCGATGTGTACAGCAGGTTCAACTGTCTTGGATTACTGAATGTAAATTTTTGGTACTGTTTAGTGGTGGTACTGATGGACGAGTGGCTTTGTGGGATTTATCTCGGTTGGCCAAGGACTTTCTTGTGCAGTATCAATCACGACATATAGAAAAATTGAACGTCGATTGTTCAATATCACAACTGGATAGTCCTATGGCAACATGGAAGCAGCATAAGTCGGGAATCAAGGCAATGCACGTATGGGTAGATCCTACCGATACCCGCGAGTATTCTTCACATAGTAGATTGATTGTTGCCACAGGTGGTGATGACAATGGGCTTTCAATATTGCATATTCATATTTGTCCACAAGCGGATAGCACAATTCAAGCACATCTTTTAAACCAAACCACCCACTCTTCAGCTCATGCTTCTTCCTTTGGTGGCGTGACGGTAATGGATCGTGATCGTATCTTGACTGTATCGATTGACCAGCGATTGATTCTCTGGCGTATTCAAGAAGATACAATGGATGTGATATTTGAAAATGCAGTGTTTGTTGATGTGCCTGATGTTGGAGATATGGCTGTTTCTACATCTGGTTGTGGAAATGGTAGTCAAAGTGTTGCACTAGTTGGTATGGGAATGCAGATACTTGATTTGGAATTTTGAATAGATTGTTGAGATCTAGTGGTTTAATTTACAGCTGTACTCACGCAAGATGATACACTTGCAGACTGTCACTATCTCGCCTTGAAATAAACAGTCGAGTATTTGTTGGTTTCCTACTATAAATCTACTGTTTGTTCAGCATTGTCAATTTTTTCAAGCACTCATATGATATGCACAACATCCAGTTATAGTTTTGAAATACTCTTTTTCCATTTTGGGTATAATCATACATTATACAATCACCAACTTTAAAGCCAGATATTTGCTTTGATGTTACCAATACAACTCTGTATCTTGTATCCTAAAATATCAGATACGTCCACGCCTTTAAGAAAACAAAGATTGCATACCAGGAATGCGGCTGTCATTTCCACGATCACCCAATGTTTGCTTGTAATAAAAGGAGAGTTGGAGATTGAACAAATGTCGGCTGTAAGATTTACTGGAACTGTGACGTCAGTATTTGTTTAGTATTTTTATGCAAAAGCAGATACAAAAGAGAAATATCAGTGAGCCAATGGATTGATCCAAAGGACCCATGTTGTCCAGTTTCATGACAGCAACCATTCATGAAACCGGGTGTTTATCACCGACACGAGTGCCCCATATTGCATGAGTACGACTGCAATCTAGTAGAAACAAATTGTATTAGTTCAAAGCAGTCCGATCTAGAACGTTTGCTTTGCCTGTATACTATAGTGCATTGGTAGCATTTGAACGAGTTTTACGCAGCACCAGTGTTTAAACTCTTAATAAACGTTAGGGCTAAAAGCAGTGTTTATTGTACTTTCAGACTACTGTCATAGGAAGATCAAGTTTAGATCAGGATCATTGTGTTGTGATATGCTGGCTTGAATCGCTAGACTTGGATTTGCATTCTTATGGCTGTCGCTGCTTATGCTTGCCATTTTCAGGACATACAATTCTTAGTTTGCCCTTTCTGGCTACAAAATAGCAGTGTTCGCATCGTCTTCTCAACGCAGTCTTGATCTTGTATGTTCTGATAGTGGACTGAACAAAAGAGGTTGTTCCGCATACCAGAGCGGAGGAATGGTTACCACAAGGACATTTAGTTGTGGTAGCAAGACAGGATGAGAGTGGTGAGGTGGTGATTGATCGGGAAAGCAGGGAAGTCGTCCACTGTGACTGCTTAAATAAATTGGATACTGCTAGTTTGTAATACTGAGACGCAGTAGTTTGTTGAATGGGTTTGAGCAATCTAAACATCCTGTAATGGCTATTGACTAGTTGGATGACCTTTGATCTTTCAGCCTACAGAAAAAGTTGAAGACAAAAGGGATGAGAACGCGAGAAAATATTCATTTCATCAGCACTAATATCTTGTTCAACATTCATTATTTTTGTCGATTTCAATTTGTCTAAATATTCTACAGTTTTGTTTTAATTGACTCGAGTCTATAGTCATTGTTTTGACCCATTGGCGTTTCCAGCTCTTTTGGATTACCATTCAGTACTAGTGCCAAAAGTATCAACTGAGCAGTTTTTTATCACAGCTCTACGCTCATCACAGCTGTCATCCCTATATTCACTTTTAGCCTGCGGAATCCTGCCAACTTCCTGTAGGTGCATTATCTATTACTGTTGATTTCGCTTGGCTATCGAGCTTTTCCAGTTGATAATTATAGTATCAGTTCGAAAACTCGGTTGAAAGTTGCAATTTCTAATGCTTTATTATTCATCTGGTCTTGTAGCTACGGTTGTTCGACTTTAGCCGCTTGAATTTATTGTCTACATTGAGCGAGACCGCTTAGCGGCTGGATATTTCCGAGCCTACAAAACTGATATTGGCGTTGTAAGGGCTAATTCACCGCAGGTGCAATAATTTTTACAGGTAAGCCTGAATGCTGCATCTCCAGCCTCATAAAATTTACACCAAATGTTAATGTGGCGGATAGTTGACATGGTGATGACATGTCCATATACTTTTTCTAAACCAGAAAGTATTTATCTTCCCGCAGCTGGCTGGAAAGGTGCAAATAATTAGTTTGGATGGTCTGGCAGTGCATATTTGCATCGCACCAGTGCTGTTGCTTGGAGTTTCTTTCGTTTGTTTATTCTGGACATTTTCCATTTCTGTTGCATATTTCCGAGGCTGTCATTATTTCCACCTTGCAATCCATTGGTGGCAAGCATAGTGCCAACACCGTCATTTCTTCCGCTTCTTCAAAAAATCTGATTTCTGCGTAGTATCGGCACCTCATAGGTCATCCATATCCTGTATGCCACTACTTTTAATACCCCCACAAGCAAAAAATTCATCCGCCCCTTTTTATAAGGACTATTGATTAAATTGCAACGAACATTCATCCGCTGATTAGGTTTAAAGCCTGTGATGACTAGCATTGCTGGTTATACTACTTTTTTCTACCCACGACTTTCAATTCAATACTCATTTTAAAAGACTGGTATGAGTTTGACAACTGAAAATGACATGAATATCCTGGCTAACCACGTTTCTACTTGTATTACTTTTAGCAAGTGCGCTATCTGCAACTCAAGTCATCAACTGCCATACTCACAAGCCTTGGTATCATACCATTTCGTTGTACCTGAAACTGTCCTCTGGCAATCGCTTAGTCCTTTGGCATTGGTCTGAAAGAATCAAAAAGAAATCCTTTCAAGCAATTCTTTGCCTCCAACCAATATACGTAGTTTCAGCTTGTTCTCAATGCCAAATAGTAAACCATATACTGGGAACACCCACAAGGGCAATTCATGTTCTAAAAACCAACCCTCGATCGAAAATACACTCGCACACATTGTCAATCTATTTCAATGTGCTGCATGCATGGAGCTGCTATTCCAGCCATTGACTCTACCATGTGGATACTCGGTTTGTCGTCGATGCTTTCGAAGGCCTTCTGCTAAACCCATTCGTGGCCGCTCACTTCAGTCACAAGTCAAGCTCATGTCACAGGTCTTTGACAATCGTACAGGAATTCCATCAAACCAACTCAATGGCATTAATCAGCATTCATCTACTTTATCCTTTTTTACAGCACCGGAAATACTAGACAGTCAGACCAGGTCTGTTCCAGTACACCCACAATCGCCAGTTATGGACACAATCTCAACAAATTTCGTTTCGGATGCCACTACTACAATGCGTCCATATACCGTCACTTCAGATATTTTCACATATACTAATACTCACGATACCTCTGCAGCCTTGTCTATGGCATCGGCTACTGCTACCGAATCTCCTGCTTCACAAACCACTTTGAATTCAGCCGCTCCGCCTAATATTCCATCTAGAAAATTCACTTTTCCAGCTCCATCCCCCATTTGGGATGCAGATCATGAAGCAACTGCGCGACAAGCAGTAGACTGCGTTGGTGCTTATATTTGCCCTGTAAGAGCATGTAGACGACAACATCGCTTCAGAGGTGAGCGTGGTGACGTGATACTAACATCACTTTTGGAAAGACTATTTCCAAAGGAAACTGCCGCATTAAGATTGGTATTGCAAGGCGAAGAGCGACTTAAACAATATTGGAATCCAGCTCAACCCATGTGTCAAGATGGATACTGTGACATTGGTTCAAAAGATCCTACTTCATGTACTGTTCGCAACAAGGAGCATGATTTACTAGACATTATTCAATCATGTTTTGAACCCGCCATTGCTCAGTGTGAGTTTTTACAACTACCGTATGTTGTCAGAGCCAAAGTGTATGCCGAATTGGGTCGTTTTGATGAAGCAACAGCCAGTGCCAATTTTGCCTCCTATTTGAACCCCATCAATCGTCGTGGATTAATTACCGAGAAACTTATTGCTTGGCGTAAACGTATGCACGAGTCACAATTACATATTCTTGCCACTTGTGCCATGTCTGCCTTGTACTGTACAGAGTTTAATAATGGTGCAGAATTTGTCGCAAAATCAGTGCAGACTGCAGTAGAGGATTTAAGAACAGAGATTTACACCTGCATCTATAATGAGGATGCAGCTGATGGTCGCAACTCATTGCCTCATTCCTGGGCAAACATGAATCTAGATTCTACTTGTGGGTCAGTCCCATCTGCCTCGTCGCCATCTCCATCCAGCGAGATATCGTCTCCAACTCAACAAAATATGTTCATTCCTTCGTCAGATGGTATTCCGCCATGTGTTCAGAAAGTTTCGACAGTATCTGCATCAGATGTATGTGTTGATCCAAACCACTCTTCTGAATCATTCATGCCGTTTGCCTTGCAACAAACACTTCAGTTACTGTGTGCCAATATAGTTGCTGCCTATCCAGAACTATTAACACTTCAAAAAGACCAGCAATCGATCGATGCATTGGTGTATACACGCTTGGGAGAGTCACTACTAACACTGGCTGATTTGGAATGCCATCTCTGTCTAAGTCCTATGGTACAGCCTATTACTTGTCCCTGTGGCCATTCGTGGTGCAAAAATTGTCTACTGAAATCTTTAGATCACTCCCGTGATTGTCCCATGTGTCGGTTCAAGCTACCTCCAATTGGGTATTTTATGATGAGACCAAATAATCGTATCATGGATAGGTTGATTCGCACCATCAGCAACGCTCACCGTCCTGTACAAGCTGTCACTTCAAAAACAGTGCCTTCATTTCCCGTCTCTGACGCGTATGCCCATTCTACACCACTTTCTGTTGCTACATTGGGTCTAAATGGAGCACCTACAACTATTTCTTCTGCATCCACCCACTCTAACAGTGCCTTTACGGAATTAGAAGCGGAACCATGCGGAACTTTAATAGAAACTCTTAATCGGGGCGACACGCCATTTAAAGCGATTGAAAAAATTCCGCTATTCATATGCTCTCTTGTTTTTCCGGGCTCCAGTCAGGGCTACCATGTGGTTGAACCTCGTTATCGCGTATTGATTAAGCGGTGTTTGGAAAGCAACCGCAGATTTGGCATAGTGATGCCTCGTCCTTCACATGCGGATGAATCGCCGTGCATGGACCATGGTACTCTAGTTTATATCAAACGCTTTGATCCTCTTTTCAACTGCGATATAGTTTCAACTTGTGATGGAAACTTGCCTCACTATGTCTTGGAGGTGACTGCGCTTCATCGATTTCATATTATATCAATTGAAAAAAATACTGCGGGGTACTATGAAGGATATGTGGAGCGTGTCGAAGATATCGAGCCAGAGGATGAGTGTAACAGAGATAGAACAGGCGATGCATCAACAGGCCTACTTCCTGTTGATAATGGAGCAGGAAACACTAGCACTAACCTTGATATACAAGCTCGATCAGAATTTCATTCTCCACATCACTATCATCAGCAGCAGCAAGGCGGAAAGTTTCAGCAGCATTACAATTATCCAACTTCATCTGTCTCGGCGCCAAAACCCCAGCAGCCATCATCAACACCGCAATGGCGATACAATCAAGACTGGGACCCATCAGCCCTAGTAACGCTGATCTACAAGGCACGTCATTTTGTATTAAAGCTGTTGGCTTCGCTTCCAATGGCGGCACGTCATCATTTCGAGCGACAACATGGTAAAATGCCAGATGATCCTGCAGAACTGTCATTTTGGCTGGCAGAGTTTCTACCTCTTAATCCATACGTTTTGTATGCTTTGCTTCCATTGAAAAGTGTTACAGGCCGTATGAGGTTGATATGCTCATGGATTGATCAAACTTTGATAGATCAGCAGCAACAGTCTCAGATTCGTCAGTGATTCTGAAATCTATTTACTACGAATTTGCTATTCCGACTTGCTAATGGGATTGCTAGATTATCTCTATGTAGAAGCCAATTTTTTATTTTCATATACTATCCTCTGCTATTTCAATAGTTTTCTGTAATATACACCATTCACTAGCTTTTTAATGTTTCGAGGGATTATTGGTTTTTTGAAAGAGTAAGAAATTGACTATTGCAAATGCAGGATGAAGCTTGACAAGCTTATCCCACGTTTAGATTATATTCACGTAAAATAGAATACATTTATCTTGCAGTAATTGCTTTGGAATAAACGATGATTAAACATTCATTGTTTTCATACCACAAATTTACTGCTTCAGACATTCTCGACTCGATAAGCAACATCCATTATATGATTACACAATCAAACTATTCCCTTCACCCTTTTGGCATAGCCATACATCACATGATCTTTAGGTTTGAGACCAAATTCATTTACTGCAGTTCAGATATTCAGTCCAATTAATTCATTTGTTGTATTCTAAAACCCAAACACATTTACGTTCTAGTTCAACAACGATCGCACATTTCAAGAATGCAACTATACATGTCAATCATTGGTGTTTAGGAGAGTTGGGACGAATCAAGTGTCAAGAATGTGGGATGCACTAAAACTGACGTACTCGCTTGGTTGCTTTATACCAAAACAAGCACAAGATTAAGCCGTTCATATGACTTGACTCTGCCCAGTCAATTCGGCGCGAATTGGCATGACTTGAAACTTTGTATTGTTTCATTTTACGTGGATATGGCTGTAATTTCATCAGAATTTGAATTTGTCGTGAGTTGACTTTGATTAGGAATATTAAATATGTGGTGCCATACATCACTTGCAGTTATTGCATTTATATCCACTGCGTTTGTTCAGGTCAGTCTTGCTCAAGAAGGCAGTCGCTCTTCAATTGGAACTGCCTCGAATCCCTTTGCTGGCTACTCTTGCGACTCCAATGCATGCAAACTTCCCGCTTGCAAGTGTGCCACTATGAGCCCACCTATCGAGAATCCACCTCAGTTTGTAGTAGTAACGTTTGATGATTCTGTCCAAGCTTGTAAGTAATTTGCTATTTTATGGTATATTCCTGCCATGGTTCGATTCATTAGAGTCGAGATGTAATTGTGCGCAGCAAATTGGCTTATTGGTGATGGCAGCTTAGAACTGCTTTTTAATTTCTTGGATTTGAAATATGGTCTGCATATGCCATGGCCTTTGACATGTAGTTGTTAAAGGTGCATGCCAAACTATGCTGGGTGTGTACTTTAAGTGCTAGTCAGAATGGTTGTCTAGACAAGTGTGATGCAAGGGGCGGTTTATTGAGTGTTCAATTAAAGATGGCATTACCAAGGCAATGAATATCTCATGGACACTGTCTTTGCTGAACATTCGTTGTCTAATTTAATGCCATGGGAGCAGATCTGAGTTGACTCACAACAAAGTCTGTTGCTGATATCCTACGACAGCTGTATTCACAAGATGGACTACTTTTGTGTCCATCTTGCAGTCTATTTTACTTTGAAATAGGCAACAAATATTCATTGTGCTTATTAGAAATTGACACTTTCAATTCTTCCAAGCGCAATGATCATGTAATACAATCCAACTCTACAAACTCATTTCTTGAATCCTAAACTTCAGATACGATCTAGTTCAGAAACATATCACCCGTCTTGGCAATGCAGCGGCTGTTTCTATGCCGACACCAAAAAAGACCCGTGAATGAATCGAAAAACAACAGTCTAGTATATTGACAGCAATCATTCATGATGCTGACTGTTATGCAAACGCATTTATTTCGTATTCCATTTCATATGAACATGACTAGATTCAACAAAAATACTTTTTATTGTGGCGATTTCATGACCATTCTAACCAACTATTCATCTGGGCTTACCTAATTATTGTTACTCGGCTAAAAAGCCGTCTGGCCTCAAGCAAACGCATTGTTCAAAAACAGAAAGAATCCCAATGGATGTCCCGCTTTGGGTACTTGGTTTGCTCAGGTTTACTACTCTGATCCGATACTGCTAACTCAATGGTATGCCGCTGGTAACGAAATTGCAGACCACACCGTTACCCACGTTCCGCCATTTACTGGCACCTATGCAGAGATTGAAGGAATGCGTGCTTGGGCTACTAGCTATGCAGGTATTCCTCGGGGAAAAATCCAAGGTGTCCGATTTCCCTTTCTCAACTATACTGCTAATGCTCTCAGCATGATCCAAAAAATGGGATTCACCTATGATTCGTCCATGTCGGCTTTGGATACTGATTCTGTTTGGCCATACACACTTGACAATGGACCTGTCAATGACTGCAGTGGCCAGATCGATCTTTGTAGCACCGGATTTAAAGCACCAGGTCTTTGGGAGGTCCCGTTGTACGGCATTAGTGGTATGTAGATGATCAAACACCCATTTTAAATAATCTTTTGACTGCCTAGAATTAGAATCTAATCTGCAAATTTGGGTTTGAATTGTAACCTTGCCAAACGCGGCATGATTTAGGTGTCGATGGAGCTCATCTGATGGATCCTTACAACGATTTCAATATTGCAAATCCTGTACCCGTAGCTACAATTGAAGCCGATTACAAAGCCACTTTTGATAGGCACTATTCTGGCAATCGTGCCCCCTTTGGTATTTACACACATCCAGTTTGGATTGGTCCTGCTAATCCACCTGCTATTCCCGACGGCACTGGCAAGCTTGCTATGCTTCAAAATGTACTTAACTATGTAATGAGCAAGCCGGATACTTGGATGGTAACAACCTCTCAGCTGATTGCCTATTCCAAGAACCCTGTACCCGCATCACAACTGGGTGCTCAGCCTTACATGCAGTGTACACCCAATCCCGCTCCTCCTACTAATATCTGTAACGGAATGAGCGTTGCCGGTGCTGATGTCTGCAACCTTCCAAATGGCACGTTCAGTAGCTGCTATGGGTGTCCCAGTGCTTATCCAGATCTTGGTAATCCCAGTCCTTCTCGCACTGGATCCAAATGTCCTGTTCCAGACACTTGCGATACCTTGTGGTGGGATCCAGTTGGATGCAAGTGTCTATGCACTGTTTCTGCATGTGCCTGGAATGATACTTCCCGTTCAATCAATCTTGATCCTGCTTCCCTCAACAACGTGGTATCTGGCAGTGGCAATGGAGGTAGGCTCCACTGATTATAGATTATTGATGTATTACACGATATTGAAGATTAACACGATGCTTTGAATTTTAATTAGGTGCTACAGGTACTACCGGAAAGTCCAAAAATGGTGCTGCCAATGTACAATCTGCCACATTGGCTGTGATTGTTGCTGTATCTATCATGATTTTAGTTTCTTTTGTTTCAATTTAACATAATTTTTAATACCAAACTACCATAGGCTCGTATTTTGTTTTTACCCATTGAATTATGTAGTTAAAGTGGACTAAACCCGAGTCAAACTTGATTTGAATAATTTTTGTTTAGTCCTACTTTTCATTTGTCGAGTGTTGAGCAAGTGCGTCAGCACGAATTTTATATAAATGAATCTGGTTTCATAAACTTTAGTGCTACACTGTTTAAAAGCAATCTATATGACTGCTTTAAAATGTTTGTAAAGCTTATCTCATTTTTGAATTGCGTCAAGCGTCTTGTGTCGAGTAGACATTCAAACTATTGGAAAATTGGTTGTATTTCAAAGCAATACACAATCCAATAATAGCTCTCCTGATATGTCAACCATAGATTTTACTCGTGTATGCTTGATTATACTTTGGTAAGGATTGCAGACACTTTTTCATTTTATATTTACATTATCACCAGCCATAGGCGATTGAAAGTGCAAGTAGTGTCCAGTCAGTTTGGCACCCATCATTTCATGAGATTGGATGTTTATGCAATGTGTCACTTATTTAGTGCTCCATTTTACGTGTATACAGCTGTGGTTGTCCGGTACCATGCTGTCGAATAGCTGAATAATATGTTGATGCATTTTTTGAAAACATCGGCTTGCTTTTTGACTAGTTCTGAGCATGTGTGAAGGGTTCAACTCAGAACTTGGATCCATCTCGTCACCATATATTGCAAACAGGTTTTCCATATCTTGAGGCAAGGATTTGAATCCAAGCACTGATGCATCACATAACACTGCTAGACTTTCTTCAATCAGCATTATCGCCACCACTGCATCCTCGACACTTGCTTCCAAGCGCATGCAGAGTTTTGCATGAGTCTTTGCAATTCGAGATAATCTCTGTCCAATTCAGTTGCAGTCAGTCACGATCATGACTAAAGTACGGGCTAATCAAGCAAAAATAGTTTACACGATTGCAGGGCATCATTCAATCCACTTGCCTCCACAGCACACACAACAGACATGCCGATATCAGGAAATAACTTTCGCGAAAGAGTTACATATGCAGAAATGAATTTTTGGCAATTTGGCAACATTCTAAAGCATTGAATACATAATAAATAAATAAAGTTGGTCATAAACTAATGCAGATCTGATACTTTGCGTACTTTACGTGAATTGCAGATGTTACTTCAATCCATTGAGCTAGTTGCTGAGTCATCTCTGATTGATGGGTCTGTGGATTCAACTCAGCTGATAGCACTGCTGATGAAAGAGATTGATCTACTGCCACGTTGGTAGATGAGCCAAGATTGATAACAATGTCCATATGCTGAATCAATTTTGAAAAACTAGGTTGAACGCCCGACTGCAGTTGTGTATGATCCAATTTAAATTTAAACTCGATTGCATTTACAAAATGACAAGTATTGAAACCAACTTACTTGAACATGATCCATACAAGAAACCGGGTTTGAGTTTTTTGATGTTTTGAATGCCACCAATGAATCTGTACTGGCAATCATCCATACTGCACACTCGGTTGAAACGCTCAGTGTTATTTCGTCCTTTTGAATACAGTAACGCTGCTGTTGTGATAAATCTATCAAAATAAAAATTTCATATCGATACACATGTGAATTTGCTAGTTGCAATGATATACAACAGTCGACTTACGTTGTTCAAGATCATCCATGTCTGCTGATTTCATGGCATCGGTACTAACATAGAATATTCCTCCTTTACTGAAGCTAATTGCACCAGCTTATCAATTCACAATGGTTTGTTTTAAACTGTGCCCAACTACACGCACAATACGACAAGATGGATCTAGTCCATCTGTGCAGTTTACTTGCCTTGAATGTAAGGATGTGCACACTGGATATTTGTTGTCATCAGTGGCATTAATCTCCCATTGGGAGATTTAGTCCATCGTGAAAATCTATCGTGTATATAGTATGTTTACACTGATTTCAAATTATATTTTTGAAAGCTGGTACGAGTTACCTTTTTAATGAACCAATCAAAGAAATTAAACGATCAACCAATGGGTTGTGACTGTCAATTACAATCAACACATGTATTGGTTGATCTGTTCCACAACCATCGACCGCGTCGCAACTACGAGGCACAGACGCCAAACTACAAGATGCAAGGTTGAGCCAACTTAGTTTTGCTTAATACTAAATGGCAATACACGTTAGTCAAGAATACCTCAATAGTAGACTCAGTTTAAGTTTTCGCCACAAGTCTGGATGCACAAATGAATCTAAACATGGCATAATAATCAAATAGTCAAGCCTTTTAATCACACCGAGTTAAGTGGTTGATACCGAATTCACTTTCCTCCAACTAGGCTGACTAAAGCACTAATAAACTGGAAAGGATATTTGCATTCATCTTGAAGCTTTCTTGCAAACGAATTGTACACTGCGTTGAGTCTGGGTTGACGATCAATATGTTCAATACCGTTAGGATGCTTGCGAGTCTTTAAATGCAAAAGCAGTAATCCTGTAAGCAATAGTATACTTTTTTGAACTTGAAAGTCAACTTGGATTCACATACCCAATTCAAACGAATCAAATTATTGACCTATCACCATCAGCCAGCTTAGTTGTAGATTTCAAAAAGAATCGAGCATTTGATTGTGCAAGTACCTTGATTTTCATTCTTGTACAAGTGAATTTACCCGACTTTTCAAACGCATACTTGTCTGTTGCAACCCCCATTATCAGTGCAAGATCACCTACTTGAACACGATTGACTAGATCGTCTTTAAATATGAATGAATATACAATGACTGCTACCCAAATATTGTTGTGTAGTGATAAATTTCAAATTTACCATCAAGAACAAAATGAATAGCTAAAACCAGACATGCGTATTAATACATTTTAGGTAATGCTTTGGAAAATCAAATCTACTCAAACAAGGCATGAAACGGTTTATACTTTTTGAAAAGCAACCAAGTTGATTGCTTGACAAAGTCATTTGCCCGACTTGGCTTACTAAAGCAGATACCAATAGCTTATATGAATACCAGCATTCATGATACAATATGCAACTGCACTATTTTCAAATTTAACACGACTCTTACAAGAATGAGTGGTATCTGGAGCACTACCAGCCATCATTTGTTTGCAATGGTAACATATCAAATCTATCGGTCTCAGCTTGATCCTATTCAGATACAAATTAAATCAACACGATTGAGCCTTTTTGATACATATCAACTATACCTGTTGTTTACTCCGAGGCATTTCAATACTTTGGATCGCCTAATCAAAATATATGTTGATTTTAAAGATACAGAAACATGCAACTCGTTCCGATTGTGGCAGTTTGTATTCATGCATTGATATAGCTGGGATAAACTATAGAATGAATAGTATTAATCAGTTTATCCTACATGACATTTGGGTAAGGGATAACTAATCACCAGATATAGGAGCTAGCTTACACAGCATAGGTAGGAAATGAAAGTTGTGTAATACATCCTGAAATTGCCATGGCTTCATCTGAACATCTCGACCAGTTGAAAATAGATGCTGCTTGAGTATAGCTTGATCTGTGATGAATTTATGCAGTTTAGACAAGTACAACTAATGAATGATTTCCAAGTACAGGGTAGAATGATCGTTGTTTTAGCCGTTACCTAGGTGCAGGCCAGTATGCCATGCGGGCAATACAGCGAATGTATTCAGGATGAATTTGCTCGTTTTTAAGAATATCACTGATAATAGAATGTGCTGCAACTACAAACTCATCCTGAATGTCTGGACGCGATCCATTTAAAAGCTGGGTGCCAATAATAGCTAATATTACAAACCGTACAACGCACACACAACTGTAAGACTAAAATAAGCCCACAATCAATACGATAGTTATTTGGCTGATACTCACGACAAGAGTCTAGAAACAGCATCGAGTCCAGCTGAAGTCCCAGGAAATAATGATGCTTTTTTGCTCGCATCTAATTCAATGAATTGATCAGACTTGAGATAGTAATGATAAACAGAAATGGTTGTTGTTATGGATTGAGTAGATGTACCAATTCATGCTGCTTTTGTGCTTGAAATATACATTTGTAAACATCGCCCAGATGATTTTGTTTGATATCTACATAATAATCAGTGATATTAGATCTGACAGATTCACTGTTGATATTCAGCATTTGTAAAACAAGTAGATTCACAATCAATAATTCCAAGTGTGTGGTTAGATCCAGCTGGCTGCTGAGTCGAGACGGACAAATGAGATGGTTGTGTAGGACATTTTGACACGATGCTTAGTGGTGACATGCAAGTATATGGACTAATGGCTATAGAGTCTGTTGGTCGAGCATCCAGCTCATTGTCAATATCTGGCACATTGTCTTGCACTACTTGATTCTGTACTATTGCATCTCTTGAATGATCACACTAATATATAGTATGACAGTCGAGAGGGTTACTATACAATGCCGGGTTGCTTACTATACATCTCAATCAAGAGTTTAATTATACTTGTATTGAAGGTTTCTTGTAACTAAATGTCTCACGCAAGCAATTGTTGGTTAATACCGATCGATCCAGCAGTTGCTTAGCAATGGTATTGTAAGATACAGTGTTCTTAAGAGTGTTTGTATCAACGCTCATCATCAGCACACAGAAACACTGTTATTATATTAGTCAAGTGAGCTCTTGTAGTCTCAACACTTGCAAGCGTGTCTTGCCCAATCCATTTGACTGCAAAATCATGTCATTCAAATCAGCATTTCCATTGGCAGTTTGATCGTTTATTTAAAGTTCTTGTTAAACTCACGACCAATCAACATGCGACGGATCTCACTGGTGCCTGCTCCAATCTCGTATAGTTTGGCATCACGCAGCAATCTTCCAGTGGGATAATCATTGATAAATCCATTTCCACCTATTCAAATCAAATTGAACATTTTATTGTTAGTCACTGCAGCACTATTCGTTGTTGTAGTAGTATAAACTCACCAAGACACTGGATAGCATCGAGTGCACATTCGGTAGCCCGCTCTGCAGAGTAAAGAATGGCTCCTGCACAGTCTTTGCTGCTATAATGGCCAAGATCGCATGCTCGACCAACAGCGTACACGTATGAGCGAGATGCACTGAGTTTGGTATACATATCGGCAAGCTTGGCTTGCAAAAGCTACAACAATAAGGATTTGGTCAATAATATAGTCTTGTACTTTTTGTACCAAAAAGCTCGTTCAGCAATAGATATAGTCGACATACTTGGAATTCACCGATTTTTTGACCAAACTGAGTACGGTCGTGAACATACGGGACAGTCACATCAAGGGCAGCCTGCATCAAACTATAAATCCATTTAGTAATGGCACTTTATAATAAACAGTACATATTCCATCACATACCCAAGAGGACCACCAGATAAAACAAGTCGCTCGAGATCAAGACCGCTCATGAGAACATATACTCCCTTGCCAACTTCACCCAAAACATTTTCAGCTATACATGCCATTTTAATTAACAAGAGTGATTAGTCATTGATCGTATCTGCACACATCAACACGATCTTGACATTGCAAACAAAACCAGTATGATTTAAAGCTTAAAAATGCATGCATCTCATACCTGGAACTTCGCAGTTGTCAAACACCAGTTCACATGTGTTTGATCCACGCATACCAAGCTTGTCTAGCTTAGGAGAAGTTGTAAAACCCTTGAATCCCTATTAAAGCAATTGAAAAGGTATGATTGTGACAATATCAGCCAATTATCTAAAAAGCACTCCATTCTGTAATTCAGAGTATTCCAAAACAAATGCACCATCATGACTGACCTTTTCAATCAAAAAGGCAGTGATTCCCTTTGGTCCAGAGTTGATATCAGTCTTTGCATACACAACCAACACGTTAGCATCGGGACCGTTTGTAATCCAAAATTTGGTACCGTTGAGAATGTAACGATCGCCCTTCTTTTCAGCACGCAGTTTCATGGATACGACATCCGATCCCGATCCAGCCTCGCTCATGGCAAGAGCACCAACGTGCTCACCAGAGATCAGCTTGGGAAGATACTTTTCCTTTTGAGCCTTGTTGCCATTGCGCACGATCTGGTTGACACACAGATTGGAGTGAGCACCATAGCTGAGAGCAACAGATCCAGATGCACGACTGAGTTCTTCCATAGCAACGGTATGAGCAAGATAACCCATTCCTTGACCGCCATACTCCTCAGGAGCAGTAATACCAAGAAGGCCCATATCACCAAGCTTGCGCCACATATCCTGCAAGTCGATAGATTTGCAATGTTTAAATCATTACCATTTTAACAAAGTGTAAGGTTTTTAATCCACACGCCCAAAGCTTCTAATCTAGCCCTAAATAATGAGCTAGAGTAGATTACAAGTTCAAATACTTACCATGGGAAAGTTGTTGGATTTGTCAATCTGTTCAGCAAGGGGAGCAAGCTCACGCTGTGCAAACTCGTGGACTGATTCGCGAAGCTAGTTGATAGAGTTGGTTAGCCCAATGAGAGATGTACTAGAATGTGTACAGGACTAACCTCGGAAAGTTCTTCAGAAAGACCGGCAACAGGGACATTGTACGAGTCATAAGCAATACTACGTTTGACGACCAGTGAGGGAGCAGTGGATTTCTTCTAGAGTTCAAAGCAAGACCGAAAGAGATTGGTATGCATGTTGGTTGATTTAAAAAACAGGATTCAGTGATCCGATCACTTGGACCAAAACAGGATAAAGTGTATAGGATTCCATCATAAAACTACTCAAGACATGAATCAAGAGCATAGACAGTGAATTACATACCAGAGCAGAAGTAGCACAACGCAAGGCAGCAGAGACCCTGAACATGATTCGATGAAGGCAAGTGTAAGGAAAGAATTCAAATAGAAATTTGACGAGTTTGAAGGAATCTAGTCAACACAAGCAACTGCAGGTCAGATTCAGCTGAATCGGATTGTAATTGATAAATAATCCTCACTGCAGTCCAATTCTCGACCGATTTCACAAGTGGTCGACTTGCAGAATTTCCAAAGTTTTCAATTCTTCAGACTATTCAAATGCTATCAAGTACTCCTTCCACCCAGAAGCTATCTTCTCACCAGAACTCCTCTGCCATGTCCAGCGTCCTGTCTGGATCTGCAACCCCCTTTGTAGGTCGCAGCTCCTATGCAGACTCCAATGCTAGCGTGTCCAAGCCATCACGCTACACTTCTGCCAATACAGATACCAACTACGATGTTCAGGAGCGTTATCAGCAGCAGCAGCAGATTTCTCAAGAAACTGCCTCTCGTCAGCGCAGTTCAGATATTTTCGGTACTGGCAACCACAGCAATACCACTACTCCTCCCAAGCAACGGACATACCGAAACCAGTCGAATGTTTTTAACTATGCAGACTCGTCTACTAACTCGGTGTCAAATAGTGGAAAAGGTACGCCTCGCAAGGACCCAATGGCTTCAGATATCTTTTTTGGTGGAAACTCGGGTGGTGCTAGTGGGACCAGCAGTGCTGTTCAGACTCCTCGTTACGGCATCCAGCCTGCTACTGGTGGTTATACTCCTTCCTTCCAGAGCACATCTCGTCGTTCTACTCCAGGAACATATGCTGTCGACAAGTCTAACAGCCACTATGGCGCTGAACCCTATGAAGGCGCTCATGAAGATGCCGCTCTGGTGGATCGCTTTGAAAGTTTCTCTACTAACTCTTTGGCCTCTTCCCAGCAAAGAGATTCGTATCATTCAAACCATTCTGCTGCATCTCAGCCTGATAGGCTGAATCAGAACCATCAACGTTCATCTATTTTTGATGATGCATCTCCTACTGCTGCAATTCGTGGATCTCGTCGTCACTTTCATGGCGACCGGAGCACTTCAGATATCTTTCATCAAAGTAACGACTCTCCTGCGGCAATTGCTGTCCGTTCTCCTCGCAGTGGTAAACGCGCTCAGCCCAAACCTGCCGACTATGAGCCTTCGTGGAGTCCCAAGCCCGACTACCAAAAAAGCACCTCGTTTTCAAACATCTTTGGCGACCCTATTAAAGGTTCTGCTGCATCTGTAGCTGCTGCTGCAGAGTATACCCGCTCTACTCCTGACCTGTCTCGCTCCAACAGCAAGCTGGACAATCTTGACCGTGTAGGAGGCGTTTCTTCTTCAGATTTAAATCGCGACACTCGTGGAAAAGGACGTCGTCAGGGTCAGGGCCAGAACAATGGTAGTCAGATTTGGTTTTAATCTCGTATCGCATCTAGGTGATTTGTGTAAGCTTCAATCTTCAAATTCGCTTTTGTACTTTGATACCACTTTCGTGAACAAACCCATGTCGATTTTATTTCTTTGTCCAGTTACGTTTTCTTGAACTGGTCCGTCCTTGATTCTTGCCATGTTTTCTATATTGCCAATGTTTTCCATCTTTGCTTTCTCCAGATCCCTTTTCACTTGTCTTTTTTACTCCAATCTGGTTCAAACTCAAAGCTGCAGGAATATCTCAATAGATCGTATTCATACCGAGTCAATAAACAATAGACCTTTAAAAATATGGCTCATCACATTGGTTTCAAACGTAAAATCAAACTACATCTTGCATAGCACATTTTTAAAAATAGAGTGGAAATCTATTTAAACCGTTTTCAATCACTGTCCTGTAAAAATTTGAATATGATATTCAACCAAAACTAGCAAAGTTTTTGAGCTGAATTTTTGGTGCTGCAGACACGTTCTGAGAGTAGTCTGATCCACTTTGTCTAGCATCACTTGCTCCTAACCCACCCATAACATTATTCGCTTGTGCCGCCATCATACTTTTCAATGACCATTCCAATTTTGCCTTTTGTTCATCTTCCAGTGTCTGGAGCACCAGTTTAAACTGACTTTGACATTGCGATGCACACTGAAGCAAGGTCTTTGCTGCAAATATGTGAATGGATTTAGACGCAGTCGATGCAAAAGATGGAGGTATATCGGGAGCCACCATATCTGTCATGGATCTCAAATATAAAGGCATAAGTATTGCTAGTGCTGTGAATTCTACAAGCATATAAATGCAATAACAGTTAGATTCAGTCCAGTATATAAAAACCCATCATATACGATGGTTCATATTTCCCCATCCCAACGCATGTTATTTACTATGATGCTCGTTTACTGTGTTTGTTGCAAGAAGCATTAGTGTTTTCATCGACTCCTCCACAACACAAAGTTTTTCAACGTCGGTGCCGTGTGCAAGATTGAATCCCAAAAGGTAAATGTATCTAGCAGATATGGGCAGTAAGAGTCGCAGATGGCTTGCACCAATTTTGGTATCCAAGTCGTTGGCTCGGCAAGATAGCAAAATCAGTGTGCGTATATATTGAGTTGCAAGTAGAGCAATCTAAAGCCGTACAGGCATGATATTTCGTTTGAGATTGTAGACAAATAATTCAATGTGAATAGTCTAAAACACGGTGCTGTATTATCAAATGTAGCACAATAACATAGTTTAAAATACCTGAATGTTTGACCCATTTAGCATCAGGTTCAAAAGCTCAACCAGTTTCACTTGGTTGGCCAAGTAATGGCTTGATGCTGGTTGAATTGTCAAGATGAGAATGACAACCAAAAGTGCATTTTGAATAACAAGTTGTTCAGAATCATCACGAGCAGTTGTTTCTTCAAGTGTTTTCCTACATCAAGGCATCATTATAAAACTGTTAATATACTGTGTTTTTTGTGAAAACTCGCGATATACTAACAATTGCAGTGCAGCGATATCCAACATGTTGGAAACAGTTGCACATAGACAGTCAGATATGGCGTTGCTACGATCTGATGATGAGATGGCATGGTTATCATTATTCAGCTTTTCAAGCAACGGCTTGATAAGAACAATTGATTTAGGAGCAACATCTGTAGCAAAGTTTTTTGTGGATACAATTGCTGAGTCATCGTCAAGTATATATTGGTCAGTAACTACTTGTAAGACCAAAATCACCAGCTATTAGTTTAAGCTCAGTGCAATACTTACTTGTTAAAATAGAGAAAATAAGAAAGATCAATGATTCGCTGTCTTTTTGCAAAAGGCTGGAGCACTGAGCAAGCAGTAAAAGTGCTCCAAATGCCTTGACGACTACCGCTCCAGATTCCGGTGTTGAAGCTGACATTATTCGAACTAATAAGGTTTGAGTATTTGGATGGTACACATACAACGACATGAAATGATGTTGATAAAAAGTAAACGATCAATACAATGCTTCTAGTTAAAGCAAGTACAGAATAACATTGCTTACTTTGTGAGTTGGATTGAGTATTTAAAGTTGGAATGTATGTGGCAATAATATGGAATAAAACCAGCACGACTTTGTAAACTTTTTCATGAATGATTCCATTACAAGCCAATTCGGTAGTGCTAGCAAATGGATCGATATTCGAAGCTACATCATCTCCGTGCGGTTGAAACAATGTGCTACCAGAGTCTATAATCATTTGCTCAAGTGTATCAACAAGAATCGTGTGTATGACAGTATCGCTATTCAAAACGTGGCGATTAAAAACACTCAGTAGTTCAAGATATATAGACTAGGTAATAAAAATATGTTTAAAAAATAAAGCAAACAATTTTAGCTAAATGGAAAATAATAGGCATTTACAGGAGAGTTTAAATATAGTCGACCTACTTGAGGCAAAGTCATGTTTTCAAAAGAATATATCTGTAAAAGCTTTTTAATGCTACCAAGACAGATTGCAACACGCATATTTTCAGCAGCTCGAGCGCTTGCTTGTCGAGATGCTGCCAAGGTTGAATTCTGACGAATTAATAGCACAAAATTGCTTGATTCATTGCTATTGCCTGATATAGCTTCTACACAGAGACCTAGTAACATGCATAAAATCGACATTTGTTTTGAATCATTTTTTTCTTCAGAATCACCTAGAATTTTTAATGTAGCTGGAGTTTTGTCCCTCATAAGATCTGTCAGTGACTTGATTACCAAAACCCAGGACTGCTGATAAAACTATTGAATTGCAAGAATGACAGTAGTTGAGTAACATTTCTTACAATGCATCAGTTGATATTTGTATTAATTCGTAGTACATGATCATATTATCAAATCTGAAACATACTGGAAGAGTAATCTGCCTTGTTGCAGACATATACAGGTTAATCCCAGGCGACGTGTCAATCACACTGCTGTCTGATGCATCCGCATCAATAGTAAGCTTGGCATAGTCCTGAAGCATATTCAACCATAGCTTTACCAACAGCTTCAGATACCTAAACAAAATAAAGTTAAACAAAATATGGCACGAGTATTTAAAAGATACCTATCAATATAGAGAAATAACTCACGGCTGAATAGCGGGAACCAAGTCTGGCTGTTCAACAGAACTAGAATGTAACTCTGCCCAAGCTTTTAAAACCGAAATTTTAAGCATGACAAAGGCATTAGAACTTGGCAGGGAATTTACATAGCTTTCGTCTAAATCATAAAATCGAGCAATTTACAAGATATGGTTAGGATATGTTTAAATCAAGAAACAGTCGTCACTAATCAGACGCTAAAATAAGGTACTTGCTAGAAAAATTATCCAAAAGACCGCCTAGTAGCTTTAATGGTCTGGTCATTGCAGAGATATTTTGGCTTGTACTGATAAAAAAGGAGCACACACCACAAGCTGTGCTAATAATCTCAGGGCTTGATTCATTTGCAAATGCTGGTGCTAATGCAGCAATGATTTGGGCTTGGTACTGCTCTAAAAGCATGTGCCCTTCAAAGTCAGGATCCATAGAGTCGGAATATTTCTATTAAAAATGTAAAAACATTTGTTTTAATACAGTATTGCATAATCAAGCTTAAATACTTCACAAATCAGCAATTTAAAATCAACAAGTATACCTCCAATACGTCGTGCAACAAAAAAAGTCCACCAAGGCGCAAATCATTGATGTTGGAGGTAGAGGAGTTGAACGCCATACGAATGAGATCTACAAGGCGAAATACCAGAAAGTCGGATGTTTTTCCAGCAGCTGTGCGTGCTTTACGTACAGACCTTGCAGTAGCCATATCTAGATGCTCAGATGATTCAGTAGCCAAAACAACATTGATTACTGTTCGTAAACAGGTTAAAGCAAAGGTTTGGGTGCGCCATCGAGGAAGCAAAACAACAACAATATTCGAAGATTTTCTTCCAATATTGACTATATGAGATGCAGTTTTGTCTTTTTGAGAACTAGACATAGTGGCTGCATCGTGAGTAGTATCCATACTTTGTTGACGCCTCTCATCAAGTATGTCATCTTCATCGTCATCATCACCCTTTTCAACAGAATGAACGCCTGGTTGTGTCTCGAGTGATTTAGACGTAGTATGGCTTACTGGTGCCTTACCAATAGAAGGACCAATATTTTGTCTGTATGGATCCCCAATGTTTGTTGCCGATGATTTTGAAAGAATGGTTTTACAAAGATCTAGCCACCTGGATGGATGATCTGGAGCCACGTGTCGTAGTAGTGCCATCAAGATATCCTTGATCTCATCTCGCACCATGACATCCGTCTCTACATCCAGCAATGCAAAAAGTTGCTCTTCTAACTGATTTCCAATTGTAGCACAAAGTACTGTTTCCGGATCGTGCTGTATAAGTTGATACAAACAAGTAACGGATGCCTTTCTGATCATGTATACTTGGGCACGGTAGTCTCCTGAGAGCTGAACTTGCAAAAATGGAATCAGTTGCTGAATATCAACATACTTGCGTGCAAATAAAATAAAGTTTTGAATACAACGAATCGCTTCGACAACTACAAAAGGGTCATCATTATTTTTAAGCTGCTCATACAGACAAAAGCAAATTTCACGTAAACTCGTCGACATTTGAAGTTCTGGCCCAATTACGCCAACGAGAGCGTGGAGAATACGGCCAAATGCTGGACCAACTTGTGCATTAGAATCTGAGCCAGATCCATTTGCTGCTGGTGCACTGATTTCATGGCTATCACACATAAAAAGCTTCACCACCAATGTTAATGTTGAGTTTACAAAAGGCCCATACATGAGTCCAGCGCTTTCTATTGTCAGCCATAGTGAGTGAAGTGCCCAAGTATGTACCAATGGATGAGGGTCGCATGAAAGTGAATGCAGTATTCCTACAACAGTGTTGAGGTGCGAGAATGCTGCCATACCGCCCACAAAACTGTGAATGGATCCCAGTGCAAGTGCTGCTCCGGCACGCGACTCGGGATCACGGTTGTTAACAACCTGATCCACTAAGCTTTGAATCAATGGTCCAACAAAAGTGGCCGTTCCAACAACTCGAGCGAGACGACCCAAAATTTCACTTGCAGTGGCACGTAAAATAGAGTTTGGCGATCTGAGGAATGGATCTGCAAGATCTCTAATTGCTACAGACACTTTACCGCTTGCAAGCTGCCCTCTTTTCACCATAATATACTTGAGCGCACCTATTATGGAAATAAGGGAGTTGATTTGTGCTGCATCTTTGCGAGCGGGCGTGACTTTTCCTGCCTGCACAGTGACGCTCTTGATAATAGATTCAATAAATATTTCCTGTGTTTGCAAAGTCTGTAGCGGGAAAAGAAAAGCAAAAAGCTCAATGGCAGCATCAACCATAGCAACACCGGGAGGAGCAGACAGAGGTCGATATATCATGTGTTTAGAAGAACCATCAGTTGTTTCTTTGTCGGCTGTTTGAACACTCGAAGCAATATAAAGACAATGAGGATCATTATCACAACTTCCAAAAACGCGGCAATCAATCTTGTAGCAAAAGTGTTGGACTGATGTCAGTAACAATTTCTAAAATACACAATAAAAAGTTTATCATACACAAGCAGCAAGGCATACCAAATCCTCCAAGCCTTGAACGTCGGTATCCTGCACCATAACTCTTGATATACCTCTGTCTTCGGCTTCAGATTCTGCAGCTACAGATATGGTGTAGTTGGAGATAAGAGATGTTGAAAAAACCGATTCAATTGCGTGTCCATTTTCCTTTATCAGCGCTCCCGATACACCAGAAAATCGATCAGCCTTGTCGGGATCAAGAGCAAATGTATCAATGGTAGCCTTCATTAATTGAACATAGGATATGTCGTAGACCGATGAGGGATTAATCGCACTGTAGCATTGAAAAAGACGTCGTCTCAGCTGGCACTCACGATCGTACAGTCGATTCTGAGTTAGCCCGGCATGAGGCTGTTCCAAGGGTATGCCATAAGTGGCTGGGATAGTTGAAAGAAAATTCAGCGTGTTATTTAAACATACTACAATCCTTTTTGCCACATCACTGGTTACAAGATCTTTGGCATTATATACAAAAAAGCTGTACAATGCAGCAAGTGCAGATTCTCTAGACACAAACTGAAAGCTCCACTCCAGTTCGCTACGATTGGCATTAAGGTCCTTTGGTTGAGATTTTGGAAACACAGCCTTCCAAAGCAGCAACAGCTGTGATAGATGGACTTTAACGAAATTTGGTCCTAGACTCATAAGTGATCCAATAAGAGTCCAAGCAGCTTGCACTTGGCAAACACAAACACGTTGATTACGAGATGATCCAATTGCACGAATCAGTTGGGTTGAGAATCCAAAAATAGTTGCCGCGTCTTCATAGACCGCATAAAGAGGATGCAGTGATATTACACTAGTAACTGCAGCCACTACGTTTGCATAGCCTTGTATTTTGTCAACAACATCGGGACGATCTGGAGTCAATAGCCCAACATCTTTTTGGAGTAAGCCAACAAGACGATTTAAAAGAGTTGAAAGATTTTCTGGGAGAGCCACACAAATTGATCTAAATGTCCACGCAAGTGCAACTTTGACAGTGTGAGAAGGATGGGGAAGAAGGGAGAATAAACTCTGGACAAGCTGCTCTTGACACTCATTTGCAGATTGTCCAAGGTCTGCAATTAGCGCAGAGAGTTCGTAAAGCACAAACGTCAGTGCTTGATCAGACGGAGCAGTATCTGTAGGAAGTACAGCAGGCCATCGAGTAATGTAATGAGATATAATTTCGCGTACACAATTCGTCTGCCCTCTTTCTGTCAGCATTTTCCCAACAACATTTCGCATTAAAAAAGTACCGCATTCAAAAACAAAGGTGTTTTCGTAGCGAGCTGTCAAATTTTTTGGATTTGAAACGGTATCTACAATCGATTTGAGAATAGTCGGGTGGTTGTTTTCAACGAATTCCGGACCCATCCGATTTAAAAATGCAGCCGTAGCTTCCATGACACCAACACGAGCTTCACGAGTAGACGCTTTGATAAACTGGCTAGAAATGATATTGAAAATCTCTTGTTGAGTAAGAATAGTCATCTCTGCAGCTGCAGCTGCAGTACTTTCGGCTTCGTTTTTCAAAGTACTTTTAGAAGTAATTTTGGCAAAATTTTCAGGTATTTGTGCAATTTCAAACAATGCAGAAATCAATGTACAAAAAGCTCGACGACATGTGTAGTTTGATCCGTCCAATGACTTTACCAAAATAGCAACAAATGCTTCCATTTCTACTGAATTCGTGGGGGGAAGAAATGATGTACACTGGTAGATTGCAGTGTAAAGCTAAATGACAATTCAAGTTAGTATTTTTATGGCATGACTGGTGGGATGTCATAAAATAACGGCAATCATATCCATCAGACCAACCTCGGCAGACGCCATACGAATGATTGGAAGCTTATCGGTTATTCCCAATTTTGCAAATCGAACGAATTCTTTAAGAAGTATTTTTGTAGCACCCTTTCCTGCTCCACGCAACGAGCTACTGATGGCCTTGATGATCTCGTATCTAGTAGTGATCTAAATAAAATATTTACAAGCATAAAAATCGAATCATGAAAACCAAAATAAATGCAAGCCAAACATCATGAAACAAAGCCTAAATAAACCAAGGCTTACATCTGCATCTTTGGCAGATTTGAAAGATTTTGTTAAAATAATTGCAGTTTCGGCAAAGAGTGACATGACCTAAGTGTAGCTGTATTAATTAGCATTGGGTTTAAATCACACAAATCATCATTTTGTTGAATACAAGATTGACCAGATTACCTTGACACCATGCGATTCGGTCAAAACACCGATGCAATGAATCAGTGCAACCCTGACAGCTGGGTCATCAGATTTTTTATTAGAAAGTAAGTTCTGAATGGCAGCCAGAGTATCAAACAAGGAGCGTTGATCTCCTTTGTGGTAGATCAGCACAAACGTCCTTGCGATAAGCTCTCGAATCGGACGAGATGGCTTGATATCGCGATTTCCCAAAAACTTGAGTAGCAGTTTTTCCAAATTTGGTTGATGAGGTTTAAGAATGTCCTATTACCAAAAACATTGTAAAAACTTGTCAGATTGTAGATGTCAAGGATTTACTTGCAAGCATGATATAAATCCGGCATCAATGCTTGGTATCAAATCTAGCATTGTGCTCCAGTATAGTAAGATGGAAAGTGCAGTAGCTGGACAGAGGTGTGCGAATCAGCCAGACAGTAAATAGTAGAAGCAATGCTTTTAAAAGAATGATGGCTAGTAGTTGCTGTTACCTTTGTGGTAGAGCCCAAGTCTTTCTCGAGCCCAGATAGCCATTGGAATAGCAATAGTTCCTGACGTTCAGGCGTGTCGCAGGCATTGAGTCGCTTTTCATCAAAAGCAAAAGATGCAGGAGCAGAAAGGGAAGCAGCATTGCTGCTAGTTTCACTGACTATTCCTGTAGAACTCTGGCCAGTTGTGGCTGTTGAAGCAGTGTCTGCAGACATGTTCAATCTAGAAAACAATTATCAAGAATCTTGACGCTTGAAATGTGTTTGCTTTTAGATTCGCTCTGCCTTTCCAAAGAATCTTGTTGTTGCTGTCGATTGCTCAACTAAACAATCAGTTTAGTTGTATTGAGAGTTTAACATAGTTTTTTAAAACAACTTTGATCACTTATTCCCATATAAACTAATAACCATTTGACCAGTTTCAAGAATGACTGCGTTATTATTGAATGTTTTATTGAAAATCTTCTCGAGTCATAGCTTGCGCTTGCTCGGGAAAGGCTGCTGCCCATATACCGTAAAGTTTTGAATGTACATTTAAAATATCAGAAGCCACTACTTGGTTCGACATAAGACCTGTATACTGCTGTTTAAATGCCATATGAATTTCATGTACTTGTTTATATGTTTTTTTTTCCCGAGTTGAAAATTGATAATATAGTTTATCGGCAAAGTCTATATTTATGCCTGTGATATATAGATCGGGTTTAATCCTGCTGGTCTTTTTTCGGATATCTTCTAGTGATGTAAGCATAGATGTTTTTACTAGCCGTACGACATACTCTAGCCATCGTCCAAGCAATGTTCTTGCAATACGTAATCGACGATTTAGTATTTCTTGCTTGGTCTCGTTTGGATAAACCATAAACTTGGGAGATCTAGTCCATATATTCAACATGAAAATGAGATCAAGGATATAAAATCATGTATATAGAGCAGCTAAATACCTCTTTGAATGTCGGATGAATACCATAACAAGTCCCCATATTTCCTCCAATGCAAATGAAATGTTTGGGTCTTTAAGCTTTGGGGGGTTTTCTATCTGTTTCCTTGTAGAATTAAAAACTAAAGGACCATCCTGCTCGGGATCATAATGTTGTATCGGCTTTCCTATAAGTTTTGAAAGAAATTTAGCACACAAATCTGCACTCTAAAGATCTTCAAGAATAGTAACATGAAGCCATACAGCTGATGCCAGAATTACCTCGAAGCATGTGGTCAAGGGTTAGTTCTACAACCTTTTCAGACTTTCTTGCTCTTTTCCGTTTTGGAGTTTCCATGTTGCAAGTTGAGCAAAGTCGGTTTCCCTGCAAAAATCATTCTTGATTTGCCTGTTTGACAGATTATTTGAAACTGTAATCTGGTTCATCTTATTATTGGCAATCACCAACTTATAAATACATAGCTTATTAAACATATGTCATTTTGGAGGGTATGTGCATAGTCGCTTTAGCAATGTCCATGACATTTAAACACTAGATTCATTGGAAACCACACATCGGATATTGTTTTGTATATCTGCTCGATTGCTCATAATGTTACTATTACACCAATATACAATGCTGTTTGGTATAGCCTGGAACAGTTGCTCCTGGAAGTTCAGTTGTATCCGCACTACGAAATACACATGATGAGCAAGATGTGCCCTTGTATAATCCCAACGAGATGCTATCACTTTCAGATCAGCGAAAAAGATTGCCAGCATTCAAATCTAGTAAGTTGATTACAGAAAATATTTCATTCAACGCTTTTAAATCAGACTTGGATACTCAATTTAATATTCTTTTGGCTGCTTTACTAGGAGATCAATTTTTGTATTGTGTAGAAAGATTTCAAGTTGTCATTGTTGTGGGGCAGACTGGATCTGGAAAAACAACCCAACTTCCACAGTATTTGGCCGAGGTTGGATGGTGTGATGGTGGTAAAATGGTTGGTTGCACTCAGCCAAGACGAGTCGCTGTAACAAGTATTGCGGCCCGTGTTGCTGAAGAAATGGGTGTAACTGTTGGAGAATCGGTAACAAGCTAGGTTTGGACTGTTTTATTGATTTTGTGCGATACTAACAATAGTGTATTTTTATACTGGCATCTAGGTTGGATATACTGTGCGATTTGATAACCAAAGTGATGATCGGTTGACAAAGATAAAATATCTGACTGATGGAATGCTTTTTCGAGAAATTCTGCAAGATCCACTCTTGTCAAAGTACTCTGCAATTATGATTGACGAGGCACATGAGCGATCGCTATACACAGACATACTGATTGGTGTTTTAAAAAAGTAATTCATATTGAATGTTTATTGTACTTTTATACTTTTACGTGCAGTTCAATACCTATTTGGTGTTCAAGTAAATGCTTATTTACAAAATGCATTCGTTGATACTATTATTTTTCTCATTATATTAACAAATTGCAATTGATGTTTCTACTAGAATTTTTAAAAAACGACCAGAACTTCGAATAATTATTTCGTCTGCTACTCTTGATGCAGAATCTTTTCATGAATTTTATAATACAAATGCTACTTCTGACAAGGAAAAGGATACGTCAGTTATTATGTCGCTGGATGGTCGAATGTATCCTGGTAACTATTGATTCACATGTGAGTAGCAAGTGTGTTTAAAACTAATTCAAGTTTTTTGCTAATTATGCTATAGTGCATGTTTACTACTTGAATTCTCCGTGCAAAGACTATCTTCAAGAATGCATAAATACCGTGTTTATGATAAACCAAACGGTATGGTTTTATTTTCTTATAGCTTGAATTTGACTGAGGCTATATTTACCTATGCGATTAAATGTAAAATGGCTTTATAGATATCACCTCACTCACAACTTATGATACTTTGAATTTATGTATTGTTGTTTACTGTGCTTTCCAGGAAAAATCTGGAGATATCCTCATATTTCTTACAGGTCGCGACGAGGTTGAAAAGGTTGTTGCTGAACTTGCTGAGCAATCATCTGGGTGAGTTTATTGAATTGTATATCCAAATCAAGTAGATAATTTCAATGGGGTTTAATGCTATAGTTCTCATACTGTTTCACTCGGTAGTTCTCAAACTCCTATTTTAGCATTACCATTATATGGTGGCTTGACTCCAGATGAACAACGACTGGTGTTTTCCACAGCACCAACGGGCACTCGTAAAGTTGTAGTTTCTACCAATATTGCTGAAGCCTCTATAACAATTGATGGCATTGTTTACGTAATTGATGCCGGCTTTGTAAAGGTGTGGCAGATATACTAGTGTAAACAATTGTTTTCAAGTTGGAATATTTATTTGGTTTGGCTGAGTAATGTAAACTTTTTAGATTCGATCGTATAATTCTGTATCAGAAACAGATACTCTAATGATTGTTCCTACGTCACAAGCATCTGCTCAACAACGTGCTGGTCGCGCTGGTAGAACTCGTCCTGGAAAAGTATTTAGGCTATATTGTGAAGATGCATTTTCTACTCTTCCACCAACAAGTACACCTGAAATTCAAAGGTAAATAGTTTAGTATTGAAAATCTCGTCTGCACTTTTATTCAAATTGATCAATTATTATAAATGTAGATCAAATCTATCACCACTTATACTGCAACTAAAGGCTATTGGCATCGATAATGTTTTAAACTTTGACTTTCTTTCTCCACCACCGGCTCAGATGCTGTCTCGAGCGCTAGAGGTTGTTTTTGCTATTTTTACTACGACTTGGATAATAGTTTTCTCATAAATATACACTTGTATTTAAATCCAATAGTTGTTGTACTCACTCAAGGCACTTGATGACTATGGCCGACTGTCTATGCCATTGGGATCTATGCTAGCTGAAATTCCACTTGACCCCATGCTAGCAGTAACGGTATGTTATGGCTATATTATTCTGGAATATACTTGATTGTTCCAGTTGCAATTTCATGATCTGTGCTAATACTAGCATTTTTAATCAAATTTAGATATTGAATGGACATCAATTTGAATGCACAGAAGAGATTTTGACTGTGGCGGCTATTCTTTCTGTCGAGCCCATCTTTTTAGTACCAAATGGACGATTTCGTGAAGCGGAAGATGCAAGACGTAAATTTGCTGTCGAAGAAGGCGATCATATTACATATATCAATGGTACTAAGTTTTAACGACATGGGTTTTTGAAGTTATGTTGAACAGTAGCTTAAATTGACATTCTAATATGTATCTATATAATCACAGTATACGAAGCATTTTTGCGTGCCAAAAAAAGCTCAAAATGGTGCTATTCTAATTTTCTTAATGCAAATGCGCTTAATCGAGCAGTGTCAGTACGACAACAACTACGGCAATATCTACGTAGATATGGTATATCAGACTTTATATCTTGTGGCGCCAATACAGTTGCAATTCGTAAATGCATCATCAGTGGCTATTTCAGTCATGCTGCTAAATTGAAACCCGATGGCAGCTACTCGACTCTTCGCGATAGCAAAGTGAGTTGCTTTGGCACTATTTTGTCATTGAACCATCATTGTCGGACGTATTTTTTGATTTATAATGATAATCTTACTCATATGCTTTGTAGGTTTTATATATTCATCCAAACTCAACTTTATTTAAGCGATCACCAGAATGGGTTGTATTTCATGAAGGTATGCATTTTTGTTTTGAATTAACTCGAGGTTCAATACTGGATATCTGATATCTATGACACTATATATGTCTTGTTTTTTGATGTGATGTAATGTAATGATGCGTTTTATGAATTAGTTGTGGAAACCACCAAACCATATATGCGCGATGTCATGGTCGTGCAGCCAGAATGGCTTCCAGAGTTGGCGTAAGTAGTAACGTTGCATTTGTATCATTTTTTAATCTTATCAGTATTAATTGAACGTATAATTCTGACTCCATATACCATAGTCCTCATTTTTATAGAAGCAACATAAAGTCTATAAAAAACTGATTGCTATTATGCACTATTATATTAAAAATCAACTGCAATACCAGTATCATTTATAATAATCATGCAAAGCAAATTAGCCCAGCATTTTCGAGTAGCACAATACGGTGTTATATGAAATTTATATTTACATCATATAAGGTCATGATAGGATTAAATTGATCAATAGAAAGACCAATTCAAGTTCAATGTGGAGTGCAATGCGATCATCAGATCTCAATAAAAGTAATGTGATTTTCAATAAACTCAACATAGATTTACACTGCAGTAACCTTGAATAAGTCGACAACGAGTGCGTTGATTTATTTATCTAGTCAGATACGATAATAGCTTAGAAGCTTCAGCTGCAACGAGCATCACGTGAGTATGTATTATAGTTGATGGAATAAAAACTTGAAAATCAACGCTCAATCAATTGGCATTTGTTGCAATAGGAATAAAATCAATCCAAAAAACATCCTGTAATCATGAGTCCACTTGATACTATGACAAAGAGTTGCGATTCTCTTGAAAACAATGCAACTGATGAAAACAAAGATCACCTTGCACAACCCGACACTCATCACCCGCACGCCAGACTGGTAAAGCGAACAGCAGACTCTAAAAACTTGTTTAATGCCAAAGAAAATTCCTTGGATGAAGAAACTGATGAGGTTTCCAACAAGCATGGCAAGCGTATTCGACAAGATCTACGAGGGTTGTATTTGGATACCATCAATCGTGCTCGACTTGATTTTGACTTTGAAAAGCTGTGTTCAGTGTCGCTCAGCAACTTGAATGTATATGCATGCCTTGTCTGTGGAAAATACTTTCAAGGTATGTGGATCGGGTTGTACGACACATACTATTGGGAAATTCAAAGTCCATTGCTGAAAACCATTCAATGGGTTTCATTCCATCAAACGTTTAAAAGCAATAGATTAGATCTATATTGTTCTAACCAGATGTTGTGATGGGTGTATTTAGGTAGAGGAGTATCTTCAAATGCATACTATCATAGTATGGGAGAAAACCACCACGTTTTTATAAACATGGACACCTTGAATGTAAGAGTCAGATCTTACTTTGGTAATGTCTAACAGGTAGTTGGGTCCAGTGCTCATTCCGTGCTTTTATATGTTAGGTTTACGTACTTCCAGAGTTGTATAAGGTTGACGATCTGTCTCTAAACGACATCAAGGTTTGTAAATATAGGAACCAAGTCTGAAAACAGATTGTGTTTTTTAAATTTGATTGGCATTCCAATGTTTGCTAATAGTCTGTTTCTATACCTTCCTTGATATTTATAGTACGTGATTAAACCGACTTTTACTGAAAAAGATGTAGAAATGCTGAACAAGCTGTCCATTCACTCATACGATTTAAATAACAAGATGTATATACCAGGTATACATGAGTTGGTCTCTTGTATTTCTTTGTATGGCTTAAAATACACAGTTTTAAAACTGGCTAATTATCTGTAAACACTTAGGATTTGTTGGGCTCAATAACATTAAAGAGAATGACTATATCAATGTTATTGTTCAAAGTTTTGCACACGTTGAGCTACTTCGCGACTATTTTTTACTGGATAAATCAGACTCACAATCAGAGTTGGGTAGGTTGATTATTACTACATTGTACTCTTTGTTATCTGAGATTATCTTATTTTACGTCTAACATACTTATAGTTAAGCGATTTGGACTTTTACTTCGAAAAATGTGGAATTCACGAGCTTTCAAGGGCCAAGTGAGTCCACACGAACTCATTCAGGTATAAATCATATGCATTGTTTTTGATCAAGCACTTTTTCCATGATGTTGACTTGAATGAATGGTAGGAAATTTCTAATGTCAGTGACAAGAGATTCAAGCTTGGAGAGCAAGCAGATCCCGCCCAATTTCTCTCGTGGCTGATTAATAAGCTTCACCTAGGATTATGTTCCAAAAAAAGCAACAAATCATGTAAGCACGATGTATATTATTTAAAGTGCTAAACATGCCAGTTTATTTGTGCTTACCTTTGGTTAAACAGCAATCATGCAGCAAGCATTCCAAGGCGAGCTATATGTAGAGTCTCGTCCCTTTATAACGGATCAGGAAACAGGCGAAAGTAACATCAACAATTTGGGTAAACACAATGCATCAAAACTATCTAGCCTGTAGGTTAAACACAGCGTGTCCTATTGATTAATGGTGATCTATATGTTTTTAAAATTTAGGAGATGCCACTGTATCCACTTTGCCTTTTTGGTTTTTGACGCTCGATCTTCCGCCACCTCCACTATTTTCGGACGAAGCAGAAAAAAACATTATTCCACAAATTCCATTGACAACTTTGTTGGAAAAGTTTAATGGAACATCTGTTTGTGTAAGTTTTTCAAGTTTTCAAGCATTAAATCGTTGCAACCATTACTCATGATTTTTTGATGCCATCACTATATTGCAGGAAACGGGCTCTGCTGTCATGACATACAAGATTCAAAAACTTCCTAGATATCTTATTTTTTCCTTCAAGCGGTTTAGTAAAAACAACTGGAATGCGTTTGAAAAAAATCCTACTATTGTAAACTTTCCTATCAAGAACCTTGACATGGCAGACTGTAAGCCATCTGTCTGTGATGACTATTTTCGCGACTGTTGTCTAGTCTCAGATATTTGTATACTATTTTATTGTGACTAATTCTGATTTATTGTACGGATTAGATGTACAAGGAGGTGAAAGCGCTCGGTATGATCTGATTGCAAATATTTGCCACGAGGGAAAGCCAGGTACTGGAAATGGTGCATACAAAGTACACTTGCTTTCAAAAGCCAAGAGTCAGTGGTTGCAGATTCAAGATCTTTTTGTCGAAGAAATTATGGCGCAAATGATTATTCTCTCGGAAACATATATTCAGATATGGGAACGAAATAGTGTTTCAAAATAATATTGCAGACTTGTTTGAGTTTTCATCAATATCTCTATTATTTGAAATGTAGTCAAAGTTTACTTTAAAAGCCAAACTAGAACTTCATATAAACTATCAGACAATCTGAATATCTAAACTACGTGTTAAACTAGTAGTTGCAATTAAAATGTGTCTGCTTTACAAAATGTATTTGTTTACATTAAGTTATATTACTTGGTGGCAATAGCTAATTCATTTGACAAGCTGTTGGTTTGTCCAAATAGATCTCAACACATGCCAAAATGCAGCGATTCCATGATTGACATGGGCTTTGGTATGCAACAGAATACATTGGTATAATTTAAACAAAAATAATATGTAGAAATGAAAAAGTAATTAAACTTTTCAGTAAGACAAAGGATTACTGTCGCCAGCCAACTGTGTTCTGATACTTGCGCTGTATGCTGGAAGTGTTTCAAGGTTTAATTATTGTATTTTGGTCGTGCTTTTAATGAAGCCATTAGATTCACACTTTTCATATTAAACAGATTCTATTTTTAACTGAATCTCGAGTTACAATTTGCAAATAAATCAATAAAAGTTGGCATTTCAGCAGTGTAGCTATAGTGCCTTTTATGGAGTCACCCAAGATAACTACACACCAAGCTGCGTCCTATCGAACCTCGATGTTATCCATTGCGTCGTCAACAATACCAAGGACAGCTCATTCAAATGCAGCAAGCCATAGTGGATTAGCCCCAAGTTTGTTGACAACAGTATTAACTCAGTATGTATCAAAAGTGTTGAATTTTAAACATTGATGCTAATATTTTTGGTGGCTATCCAGATATATCCAAATCCAATAAATGCATGATAATACTGGAATAGAATTGAAACCCCATCATGTGTAAATCACTGCGATAAGACGTTTTAAACTATAATTTGTTATTGTCTATTCATTATTTCTTTCAGCCAAACCGAGGGTCAGGAATTTGCTCATGACTTTTATGTGCGCGTACAGCTACCAACAGGAGATACAACCGTGATTTTAGCCGACGAAGACACGTCGATATCAGAAGTTGTTCAAAAAGTAGAGGAGAAAAAGCTAATCACCATTGAAGGGTGGCATGTAACCATTTTTTTACCTGGCGGAAAGAAATTTGATACTGATCCTGAGCAGACACTAAGCAACTTCAAGGAGATAGACAAACTTGTGATTGCGGGGACCATCGGTAAGATCATAGCGTGATATGTCAATTTTTGCATTTGGAGATGGATTGATTATCGCTACCATTGTCTGGGGTAGACAGTGGCTAGACAAAATGGAAGTTTTTATCATGTCAAGAGTTTAAAACCTTTTGTTTTTAATGGCTTTTAGCGTAGTATGGATCTAAAAAAATTAAACATGCTGCCATACTATTTATTTCAAGCCAACACCTTTAATTAAAGCACACCAGTTCATTCAAACTAACACTTATTTTGGCCACTTTCAAATTGTATAAATGTAATATAGCATCATTATATCCTTTAGCACCAGTAGGGTCTAGCTATTTGGGCAAATCCTTTAATCAAAGAAGAGGGTCAACCTTGGTTTCTCCACAAGCAAAGCAGACTACCACACGAATGAGTAGCGACGTTTTTTCATCGACTCAATTAGACCAAGCCGATGTTGTATCCTTAAAAGGATCGGCAAGATTCAAGTCTGGTTTCAAATCAGCACTGTCCGCTGTATTTGGAAAACGGAATCTGGCTAACCTTGAAATTAGAACTTCAATCATTAGTCGTGGTTCTGATTCTGTTGGACGTGCATCGGGTCCACATTCTGCTTCTATTGTGAACGATAAGCCATATACTTATACAAACCCAAGTATAGAACAAAATAGAAAGTTGATGCAATCAGTAGATATTTCATCCAGTCAGCAATTTGACTCGATTTTGAATTTACGGCGCACTATGGCTAGCCAAAACGAAATATCGCGCTCAACAGAGTCACAAAATCAAGTACCTCCACAAACGGCAGATGATATAGAAGACATTCAACAATCCACTCTTGTATCGCAAAGCATGTTTCCGGAAGAGCTATCTATAAGTTATGCAAGCACCATTATGGAGCAAAAGTACGATGGAGATAGTTTTTCATTACTCCATGGCGGTAGTCCATTGTTAGACAATTACGCAGGCTCTAGAAGTGCTTTGGAAACCGAGCCAATAGATAGAATCAAAGATAAGATAATCTCATCTGATCAACTGGGAAGGTTCGTTTTGATTTTCACTCAATTGTTGATTACCCCACATTTACTAGAGCCGTGGAATTTATCTTTACGCTATATCTTAAACTTTCAGTGTTTTTAACCTTGCAAAAACTGGAAATGTAGTAGTGCCTCGATTATTTCTCGAAGTGGTCGTCGGAGAAGTTATTCGCAACCAGTTGTCCGGCCAGAGTTTGTTGCAACACTCAGACGACGTCCTATCAATTTTGATCAAAGCATTAATGTTACAGATTCGACATCGGATGACTCAGCTTCCATGGTTTTGGTGAAAATGCACTACATTGATGAAAGTGTTGTTGTTCTCAAAATTCCAAGCACCATGACTCTTGAGCAGCTCTTAATTAATCTTTGCAAGAGAAGAGGTTATGATTGTGCAACTCATACATTTGAAATGCAAGATAAGAGTGTGATTGCTGAGCTTGATCGTCGAGTCGATTATTTTGGCAAGGAAGATGAGCAGCTAGAGTTGTTTATAGTCAAAAAAGCCAAGGCTTACAGCACGACATGCGTAAACGAAGGAGGCGTAGATGTAATGTGCATGCAGGTCATTGGGGGAAAGTATGTGCAGGCCTGCATCACAATGTTGGATTGATTGTCAATTCCAATCGATTGGTCATGTATATATGGCATATTTTAGTACCATGCATGGTGTCACTAATATTAGTTTAAAATCTGTATAAATTCGTTAGAACCCAGATCATTGCAGCCACTCTTGAAAAGATTTTTGAAATATTAGCCGATGCAACTGAAACAGGTAAGTTTTTGCTAACCAACTCTTCAAACGTACTCCAAATAAAAGCAATATGGATATTTAACTATCTGATAAATAGATAATGCATTCGTAGATGTGATCCTTCTTACGTTTAGATCATTTATAACGCCAATTGAGTTTTTTGATCAACTCATTGCTCGATTTTATTGTGATCTCCCATTAAATCCAAGCCAAGAAGATATCGAGTACTTTAATTCAATGAAAATTCCCACTCAGCGTCGGTAAGTTCCGTTTTGAAATTGCTTATTGCTTTTCAATGCACTTGATACGTTCAATAATACCGTCAATTATAAAGTGTTTTATTTGTTCTTCAATTGTGGATTGAGCATCACTGGCACGATTTTGGTCTGTCAAGTCAGCTTCGTCAGCATCTTGACAGATTTTTCAAGGAAATTTCGGAATACCGTGATCACGACTTTGGAGCAGAGCATTACGAAATCACACGGCTAGTTGAAAGACGAGTATGATTTTAATGGTTTCAAAGTATAATGAAAATTATGCCTGTTTGCGAAACTGACCTTTTTAATTATGCTTGTACCTCTCATTATTACAGAAAGTGTGGTACGAAGATCTTCTTGCCACTTACACTTTGGGTGGAGAGAGAAGAGGAAAAACAATAGAAAGCATGTTTTTGGACCTTGAGCCTGTCGAAGTAGCCCAGCAGCTCTGCATTCACAATAGTGGTATTTTTAGAAGTATCCAGCCTATTGAATTTCTCAATGAAATATGGAGTGGGGATATTGACAGTTCTCCATCCTTCAAATTTTTTGTCGAGCGATTTGACAAGGAGTCGTATTGGACTGCAACAGAGCTTGTAAAAGTTAAAGATCTCAAAAAGAGAACTTTGATCTTGAAGAAATTCATTCAGCTTATCAAGGTCCGTAACCACAACATTTTTCACCATGCCGCTATTATTTTTGATGATTAGGGTTAAAATATGTTGCAATTATTTGTGGTGTAGGAGTCGTTGAGTTTGAACAACTTTTTTACCACTTTTTCGTTGATCGCAGGCCTAAATCTCACTCCAGTTCAGAGATTGAAAAAAACATGGGAGGTGGGTTATTACTGAATTTGTGTAACGTAGTGCAGTTGATGGCTTCAATTTGAAACCTAAACTATATTGACTGATTTAGGCACTACCCGAAAAATCAAAAAAACTATGGAGCGAGGTAGAAAAGATTGCAGATCCATCTAAAAATATGAAAATCTATCGGGATCAACTGGCTGCATCAGTACCCCCAATGGTTCCATTTTTGCGTAAGTGCGCGCTTATTATATTAAAATGGCTTGGTCATACAGTAAAAACCTGAATGTCAGCATATGCCAAAGCGTTTTTGCTGTCCAACCTCACAACTAATCACATATTGTATCGCTTTTTCAAATAGCAATATATTTAAAAGATTTGACATTTATAAACGATGGAAACCAGTCGAAAGCTCGAGGCATGATCAATATAGAAAAGCTTCGCATGATGTCAAGTCGTGTTTTGGAGATTACATCGCTATCAAAAGTGGAGTACACGTTTGAATCAAAGCCTGCCATTCTAAACTACTTGGCAAAACCGCCCGTTGAACGGAATTTAGCAAAGCTCAAGGAATTGGCTACAGAAATAGAGCGAGATCTCAAATGACAATGTCCTGTCTGCTTTAAATTTTGTCAAGTCAATTTATTGTTTTTGGTATTACGCTGAAAAAATCAATTCGTCTATATTAAATGGTCGAAAAGATAATTCTGAAACGTTTCCCTTTAAATATTTTGCCGATACACAATCTTGAAGTTTTTTTATATAGGAGCCCCTCGTCTGTCAAATAAAATCTCAGTTAGACTATACATGCTTTCAAGTTTGTAGTTTATGGATTGAATACTATATAATATAGGCGATTGTAGCAATGTTTACATGTGTACCTTTAACGCATTATAATCTCCAATGTTATACTCTGAAAGCTCCTTGAAAGATACAGCAGTCCAAAAATCAAGCACGCAGTATCCAAAACGTTCAAGTATCTTGCTCAACGATCGCTACAATAGTAAAGTAAACCCAAACAATTGAAAGCGCCAAAGGTGGAATTAAAATATGAATTTAAATGGCAAAGTGCCTGATTTTTCCAAGATAGTCGACCCATATTGTAGCTATTTGAGTTTAAAGCTACAAAACAAGAGTATCACATTTCAAATCGTAGCCTTACCCTTTCAGCACTGGTGAGCAATTTGAAATGTTGATTCCATGCTAATGCCACTGCCTGAAGAATATCAGGTTGCCTTAGTATTTTTGGAAAAATACCCAACACTGGCTCATAAATGGCATCGATATGTCCACAGTTTTCACGTATCGTAGTGGAAAGTACTCGTGCCTGAATCTGCCTATAAAGCGAAAATATTGTGCATAAAGAAAGCTGGCCAACTATCACAGTGGGCAAATGGCTTGGATAAACACGTTGTGCAAAAATGCAGTTTAATTTCAAGTCAATGGCAAGCTTTTATCAAGTTACAGATACTTGGAATGCACTCACTTTAGCTTTTTGACCATGTTTTTGCTCAATTTTAATAAACGGATATGGATTTGAGGAAGTTGATGCTGAAACATCAATCCTTGAAGAAAGCCTGATATGTTTGTTGTTTAGTATCTATTTAATACAGTAAATGCAGAGCAACATAAAAATGCAGCCAGCTGTTCTTGCATTTACACTTTTATCTCAATTATCTCACCTCGTTTAGCTAGAGGTTCATCAATTTCATTAGACTTTTGAAATGGGTTTCCCTTGTGCAAATTGATTTCATATGTTTTGTTTTCAATCAATGGCCCATCTGCTGAAAACAACGGAAGTAGTCCCCATCCAAGAGATACCTCTACAAAAGCCTTGTCTTTTATAGCAAAACCAGTTAGTCAATACGTTTAATATACGGATTCAGTAAGCTCGAATCATTTAACCATACAACCTTACCCTCTTTTGAATCTTGTTTTTGTTTGGGATTTCTGATCATCACACATAGTTCAAAAAGAAGACACACACTGATTTCAATGTTGTTTGCTCTAAGAAAGCAAGTGTTTTCATCGTCTTTAGGAAAAAGTAACGATGCTTTTGATGAAAATCGCCAAGCTTGTTCGGATTCAGGCATGTATGCAGAGACTGTATGTATATTACTTAAAATACTAGATTTATCCACCAGTGCCATTCGTACTTGTCGTCCGCATATTGGAAACTGTATTTGTTTGTCTCGAATATGCTTGGCATCAAGTATGCTAAAGGCAATACTGAGCGTGGAGCTTATCTCACGCAACTAGGTTGAAACAATCAAGTTGATGAGTCGCGGTTGTTTTAATTTCAATCACTAGTGTTGTTCTGCTACCTTGTTTTTTCTATCCAGATGAAGATCTACAAAATCTATACCTGATGAGTTCAGTTCTGGAGATAAAAACTCTTCAATGTTTCCCTGGCCTATGACATTGTTTTAGATAGTGATAAAATATTAATGTGTCAATATGCATTATGCATTTAGATTATTTAAATTATGCAGTAAACCTTGAAATAAATACCTACCTGCATTATATGCTTCTGATAATGCAGAATAGCAAAGTCCATAAGGCAATTGACCAATGGTTTTCAATGGTAAACCTGGACCAACTAGTCTGCGTTTTTGTTGATGCAGCAATGCTCGCGATTGTTTCCTGCTAATACGTTGCTGGGCTATAATATTGTTGACAGCATCGTCTATTGTATAGGTAGTAAGGGAATCATGGTGAATCGGTTGATTGAATAAATGCAATAGAATCCATCAAAAATTACCTCGTTTTGAATTTTGATCATCACTTGATTCATCATCACTATCCGAGTATGTATTTGAATTGGTGTACGATCCTGTACTCGATTCTGATACTGAATCTAATTGAACCAGAAAGCTGTCAACGTTGATCTATCCAATAAGCTTGAAACTGACATGTCCTGTACTTCTCTGTGACACAAGTCAACTCATTGATTACCTTGTTTGGTATGATACAACTCGTTGACTTGCTTTTGGTGTAAATCGGCAGAAATCTCTTGGTATGCTTTGGGTTGTTCAGACGCGATATGGTCTTTTTCAGCGTCGTGTTCTAGCATTTCTACATAAGAGCTGGGAACATATCCAGTTTCCTTTGAGCTATCACACTGCTGCACGTACCTATTGTAAAAGAAGGCAAGGTTGAAAAACTGCAAAATATCACCAGTGTTGAGGAATCCTGTAATCATGGTCTTACCACCAGTCAACAGCTCCCATATCCAATACAGTAAACCTATCTCCTATAGAAAAGGACATTTCTTCATCTGTAGTTCCAGTGTAGTCATATATAGCCCGACATAATTTCTGTCAATTCCATACAACATTTTATTAATACGCATCACATGGCAGATTCTTAGTGCTTCCTGGGTTGATTATATACAGCAGTTTGTGCAAACCTCCATTGTTCTAGTTTTTGCTACTTTGTTGAGTGATAAAGGCAACTCCGAAGGCAAAGCAATTTAAACTGGCTAATCTGCAGACATGTGTAAAGTATATTTGCATTTGCATGAGCTACCCATCAAATCCAAACAATACGAATCTATTGCTTTTGGCTAACCATTCAAGTCGCATTTTATTGTATCAATATCATAGAATCGATTGTTAGATGTTCCATACAGCTTTATTTGATACTAGATAAGATTTAGAAAATGGAATGTGGATTCGCAATACTATAACAGAGATTGAGTTTGAAAATAAGTGCTACAATATCTTGGAGCACATATTGAAAAGGAACTTGATATTTGAATCTCGGCCAACTCAATTATAATGTCGATAAGCTAAACAGCCGTTAAATTACAGCTTTCCACGTAGTTTCAATTCTGGCAGAAAATCCCAAACATCAGCAGGTTTAAATGTGTTAGTTATAAAATTAGTATCCGGCTTTGAACCATAATCTAGCTCATTACCTAGAATATCTTGATCTGAAAGTGATAAAAACTCGAGCCGTTTTTCTTGGTATAGTTTGCGTAGCTATTTATAAGCAAAATTCATGGTGTTAATCTACTATTCAAACTCACCAAAAGATTGTACCTGTAGCTTTCAAGCAAACCTTATCCTAAACTCATCAAAATAGCTCTCATCTTCACCAAAAATCAGACATACCGGTTGAAAAACATGTGGTGTATCTCCAAAATCAAAAAACAGTGCGGCCGACATTGAGCAAACTGATTCATATATAATACATTTCTTAGTTTAACGATCTTTGGCATGAATGTTCGTTGTATAGTCAGATCTGTGACAACCGGCATTTAAACATCAAACTGTACCACATATGCCAGCTACTGCCACTATTCTAATTACTTTCCATCGCTGAGATGTTATATTGCTTCCTAAAACAGTAGCAAATAGTAAGCAATAGATCAATGCAATACATTGGCGGCTAAGCAAGCTTTGTACAGTTTAATAAAGTAGGTATTTAGCATGGCAACAGTTTAAATAATAGACTTACTAGGATTAAGCAATCGTCGACGGTATGTCATGACCCGAGTCTCCCTAGAAGGATTAGATATGGCTGTCGATCTTGGAAGTGAATTGACTTGAAGTTTGGTTGACACTATCAATACAATGACAATATATGATTGCAGTCAGTATATCTGTCGTACATTGACTTTAAAATATAGCCATTCTCAAACAAGTAAGATTGAGCTACATCAGTCAATACAACGAGCTTCCATAGTATTGAATTCTGTATTGGATCGTGCTACACTCTACTTACTGGCCACAATATGATGATTATAGTATTTGTATTGGAAAATTGTAAGTAAATTATCATACTAAAATTGCAGTTTGCCCAAATAGCTTGAAAATATGGCCATAATTTTATTGGAAATTTTGCCAAGTTTAAAATGGCTCGACACGCTCAGCTATCTAGTCTTCAAAGCTCAAACATGGAGCGTACACTATTTCTTCTTAAACCAGATGTCGCATTGAAAACAAATGAAATTATAAGCCGTTTGAAGCAAGCTGGATATAAAATTATTCAGGTTTGTCAGAAGCCGTTGAACAGACCTAGAAATAAGACGCTGTTGTGCAGTTTTGCCCATCAAAAACACGACCAATCAATCTATTGCAAATTCTTGGCATTAATTATTTAGAATTCTGTAAATATAGACTCGATACATTCATCTTTCCGAGGAACAGGCAACTGATTTTTATCAGGAAGAGCTGGAATCTCCCAACTTTGCTGACCATCTTGCGTTTATGATAAGGTGATAATACATTATTGATTCTTGAAGATTTTGAAGTGTGCCTAAACTTTATTTGCATCAAAAGTGGTCCAGTTTCTGCAATTCTTGCTCAAAAGTTTAGTCTTTTTCAAGATATCTCTGCGTTTGTAGGTCCCCAAAACCCTGAAGTCGGTCGTGCTCTCAATCCGAATTCGTAAGTAATGTTTACTAGATTTCGAGACTGCATATTTTAAAGTCGGATTTCTAAATTATGTTATTTTGATGCATAGTCTTAGAGCAGTGTATGGACAGGATGAGATCCGCAACGCAGTTCACTTTAGCGAAAACGAGTATGCTGCAGAACGAGAAATACACTTCTTTTTTCCTGAAGGTATCGGTCTGCTCTATATTTTCTGCAGATTCCTGAAATTAAACTGATAACCCACTATGTTGTGTTTGATTAGGCACACTTGATCCCATTCCATCCGCTGATCGCACCAAGCTGTTTCTCGAATCTGATATATATCCAATACTACTTCAAGGACTGACAGAACTTTGTCGTGAAAAGCCATCACAACCAGCTGTAAGTAATCTGCCAATTTTAATAGTACTGAATTCAAAGTCTTGTTAAATCAATCACTGTATTTAAACTGAAATGCATATTCAATGTTTGTTGCTTGTATCAAGACATGGCTTGGAGAATGGCTTTTAGAAAACAACCCTCGAACTCCAAAGATTGTTTTTGAGTAAACCATCAATAATTGTTCATATCTCGGCTCAGACACTAGCTGAATTTAAACAAAATTTAAAGGCTATTTTAAACTAAAGTGAACATTTGCTTGATTGATTGCCATGCCAATAAACATGCATCTGTGAAAAAGTTGTATTTGAAGATTTTAAAAAATATGCTCGTTGATTGATGCATCATAAAAACTTTTACTCAATATGATATATGCGATATTTTGTTAAAACCAACATTTTACAATTACAATGTCGCTAATTTCAGATTTGGATGGACTCGATACTCCAAATTATTTGGCTTTTGGCGGAGGTCGCGTCTATTTGATTGAATCGACTAGTTTACGTTTTCCTCAGTCGGAAACATGAAGTCACAACGAAAATCAAAGGTATTTATACATATCAGACTCAATATAGATGCATATATGATATGTAATACATTGTATCACGACTGCTGTCCTTGGCATGATTTGGCATATGCATTGGGTACTGTAAGTAATTCATCAACTAATTAAAATTGCTCAATATTTTACGTGCGGTTATATTTATGTACAACTCTACAAGGCACCACCAGACGCTGGGTTAAGTCAGCGGTCAATATCTGTTCACTCTATAAAATCAACCGATAGTCCTGAACTTCCCGTCAGTGGTGTAGGCGCAGACGACTGGCTTCCAGTAAGTGTGCTCAACCCATTGCAACTATTTAAATTTTCAGTTATCAAGTTGAACTGGCTTTTCATATCTGCAAGCAAAAACTATACTATAATTAACCTGACCCATACTGACTATCATATAAATCTGGCGTAGCCAAAAGTTTTGCTGAAGCCTCAGGGTCAAGTTCAGCTTTCAGTAGCCGAACTTGATGAAGAGTTTACTCGCATTCTGAATGCCAACAATCCTCATGCACCCCAAAATATCGCAAGATATAGCAACAAAGAGCGAGTATTCAAAGCAAGTCCAAACATGGACCATGTGGTTTTCCATTTCGAATTTGATGGGTGAGTTCGTGGGATGTAAATTTGCCATTTCACATATCTATGTTTAGCAATGGATATGCTTTTGTCAAAAATGTGTTGAATTACGCTAAACCATACCTGCCATTCCTATTTGGCTTGCATTCAGATATTTGATTTACCGTGGTGACGAAGTTGGTGATAATCGAACAGAGCCTACCCAAGACGCGGCTTTTAAACTGACATCTAGTACCTCGCAGACCACTGATGCAGACACTGGTGATGATGAAAAGAAAACCAACAAGTTTCCTCTCCGCAATCAATTTAACTACAGCGAACGAGCTGCTCAGACTGTAAACAACCCCTTTAGGGTAAGATTAAAATGCGTCGATATTTTATTCGATATAGCACATTAATAGTTATGCTCACATATTTAACTATATCAGGAGCGTTCAACCAACACTGAGCCTCCACCGCAAAGAACCTACAGTATGAATGTGAACCAATGGATAATTTTTGATTCATACACTGAGGACATTCAGCAGAAAGAAAAGACTGCAAAGGAAAAATCAAAAGTACGCAATCATTCATGTTCAGGTCTTTATTTTCAATCACAACTAGCAGTGGCTGATTATTTATCTAATTTTTACACAATAAATAGGCACCCGCTCCCGGTGGTGCAAAGGGACATAAAGATGAAGAAAAAAGCATGACTATTATATCCGAGGCTCACGGAGAAGATATTTATTACAAAAATCCCGAGCTGCGCAAAGCAATGATCACAGTGGAGCGCATGACTAATCAGAATACCTTTGATGATATTTCACAAGACTACAAATACTGGGAGGATGCCTCGGATGAGCTTGGGGATAGAAAAGGTAGCAGATTTGAACGCATCTGTTTTATTGCTACATGCTAATTCTATTCGAGAAAATCTGCATATTCTATATTATCAACTGACCCATCTATGCAATTTTTACCACGAATCTTGGAAATTACGCTTTATTGGGAATGTTAAATTGACGGCTTCATCGCGTAGCTGGAACTCTTTTGCCGCTATGGAAGTTTATTTTTGAAAAAGAAAAGAAAAAGCAAGTTACTGCCTTATGTTGGAATCCCCAGTCTCCAGACTTGTTTGCTGTTGGTTACGGATCGTACGACTTTGCACGTCAAGGTCCAGGAATGATTGCAGGATTTACTCTTAAAAATCCCTCTCATCCAGAATATGTATACACTACAGAAACAGGTGTCATGTGTCTTCACTTTCACCCTCAACACCCGTCGATGATTGCCGTTGGACTCTATGATGGATCTGTTTCAGTGTACAACATCCAAAAGAAAGTTGACACTCCAATATTTAAATCTACAACCAAGGGTGGACAACATACTGATCCGGTTTGGCAGGTATTAAAATTGATATGTATTTTAACCATTTCATCATTGACGATTTACAGTCAAACAATGCAATTTTTGTTGGAAACTACAGTGCAATTCTAGATTGTCTGGTATGCAAAACAATTACTTAACACTGTTACTTAATGTGACTTAGGTTTCTTGGCAAAAAGATGATCTGGATGACAATCTCAACTTTTACTCTGTTTCATCTGATGGGCGAGTAACTCAATGGACATTGCTTAAAAACGAGCTGCTACATACGGTATGCAAACTAAACTGTTTAGATTGCTATTGTAAATAATTGCTTTAATTTATTGTTTCATTTCAATCAATATTGTTACAATTCACGCTTAGGATGTTATTTCGCTAAAATACGATATTGAGAGCAGCGATCATGGCTATGAAGGTGACCGCTTATTTTCCCTGGCGGGAGGTTGCTGCTTCGACTTTCATAAAAAAATGGATCATTTGTTTATTGTTGGCACTGAAGAGGGAAAGCTATTTAAATGCTCCAAGGACTATAATAACCAGTATCTTCTTTCCTTTGAGGTAATGTATAGCCTAGGCCAATAACAATCTTTAATTTGCCCAATAGTCACACTACATTTGAATTTCAATACGATCTTTATTCTGACAAATGTTTAACCTGTAATGATTTATAGGGCCATCAAATGGCTGTTTATACTGTTAAATACAATCCCTTTAACGGAAACTACTTTTTATCAGCCAGTGCAGACTGGACAGTTAAACTATGGGATCATAACGACCCAAAAGCAGTCATGTCGTTTGATCTGAATGGATCTGTAGGAGACGTCGCTTGGGCCCCATACTCTTCCACGGTTTTTGCAACAGTTACTGCAGAGGGAAAGGTACTAAATTAAACCCAAGCTGTAATACAACTTTGTAGTTACCCACCTGACTAATAATATTTTAGGTGTTTGTATACGACTTGAACGAGAATAAATACGCGCCTATTTGCGAGCAGCAAATCGTTTGTAAAGCCAGGTTGACACATATCTCATTCAATCAATTCGAGCCAGTTTTACTGGTTGGCGACGATAAAGGCACTGTTATTAGTTTAAAACTTTCGCCCAATCTACGCAGAAAAAGCCCCACACAAGATGAAGAGTCTCAAAAACTAGAAAATGTGATCAATCTGGCAAAAGGTCGTCCATTGGATGTGTAAATAAGCTTAGATGGCTTAATAACATTTCTTTATCAAAATGAACAATGATGCAAACCTCAAACAACGACATATTCAATGATTATCAACTAAAAATATATTAATAACCGCAATGTATAACAAGGATATAAAACTAACGGATACAATATGCATGCGCCACGGATCCATCCAAAAAATGAGTCAACATGGCGTTGGATATCCGTTTAAAACACACGTTGCACATATTTTCATCTGTGATGCATACTCGCTTCGACTGCAATGTAAGCAGTTTTTGTTGAAGCTGGTAATTGAAATTTAATTGTATGAAAATGAACAACTGAGTTGATTAATCAAATGTATCAGGTGCTATCAGCAAGACAACTTATCAAAAAATGATTCATAGTATACCTGAACACGCTCTGATCGTAACATTGCGGTTTTCACAACATTCATATTTTTAGTATCAATCAATGCTTCTTGAGATTTTGATAAAAACTCTTCAAGCATTGAGAATGTCAGTTCAGGCTTGAGAAGCTTTAAGGCCTAAGTACAACTCGAAAGGTTAAAGATATGCAATATAGCTGCATGCAGAAATATCAAGCACCATTCAATTACCGCAGTGGAGTCTAGTTTATCTGCATAGGTCGAAAGAAACACAATATTCTCTTCAAATGTACGATTCGGGGCTTTCATTAGTAGCTCAAAAAGAATAGTGAAAACATGTAGTGACTCGGAGTCTAAAACATTGTACTGATCCTCACAATATTTGCAAGCAAGCGTGTAGTCATGCAACTTGGTAACGTAAATAAACAGGGCATCCTGATGCCGCTTTAAACGTCCGTATATTATTGCACGAATATTCAACAGTCCTAATGTATATTCAGTACAATCAAACATTAGTGCACCGCCAGTATGGCGCATCCTATACAGCCCAGTGAAATACATGCATGGCATTGATTTTAATCCACTACCTTCTGATGGCATTCGTAAAAGGATTGCTTCAGGATCATAGTTGGTTGAAAAGCAAAGAAACTCTGCCAGCTTTGTATGAAAAGTGGTATCTAGCAAATATATACACGTTATGATCATCATAGTTTTAGAATTGCTTTATATAGTTTTATGTGAATAGTACTAACCATCCGAAACCGTATGCAGTTCTGTTTTTTTCAAATAAGCAAATGCAAGAGCATTGTGGAACGAGCGCGTTGTGTCTGAAAGGTCAAAAATGACATGTTCCAAATATTTAACAGCCAGCAATGGAGCGCAATCTAGTAAAAATTCGTATACTCGAGCCCTATCTTCCTGTGATAGCTATAAAGATGTTAAAGTATATTCACAGAAAGCATAGATTTGAAACGTATTGCTTACCTGATTTCTATCTTCAGTGAATATGGATAGTCCCAAGTCAGCGTTTTTAGATATTACCAGAGGGGTGTATTTAAAAACTAGTGGCATTTGTTCAAATAAACTGAGCCGCTTAAGGTACTGTGCCAAAGGAACTACTGAATCTTTTGAATCAATATTCGATGCAAGCCACTCGAGAGCCTTCAAATGTAGCTGCTTTGCAAAATATAAATCTATCAAAGCATCAAATTTCTATATAATTTATAAGTAAAAAAGGTATGCGTGTGTAGCCAACAAATAGTTTTATCACGTACCTTTGTGTGATTAAAAAGAAGTTCTGCTGTGGCTATATCGCAGTGATTATCTACCCGAACCAAAGATCGAAGAAGAGGACTATTCAATGCTAGATATGCTTTAAGCAAGCTGGTGTCGATAATGACCGACAAATGGTGAACGTCATCATGCGTAGGTGTGTCAGACATAAAAGGTTCGCCATTAGCAATAAAGTGTTCTGCTGATGCTATTTCTGTAGACTGAACTGGTGTATTAGAAGTGTCTTTAATTTGAAAACAATACTTTGCGAGACGAGCGCGTTCTCGCAAAAGGTATCCTGAGATAGCACTGACTGCATCAAGATCAACATTAGGTGCATTCCAGTCCACTTCAGCTTCAAATAGAGCAGGAAGAAAATCCAACACATCCAACGGAGATGCATTTAAAGTTTCAAGAATTTCCAACGCATCATCAAACAACTTTTCTTCGGTAAACATGTAATGTGCTTGAAGTGCTCGTACTTTAGTAATATTCGATATCTGTTTTGACCAAACAAGGATTATAAAGTATATTGAAGGATGAAATAGAAAACAGTGTTGCAGGAATCAGCAATCGAAAAATGTAAATATATACACTAGAACAAAAACGCACCTTGTCTTCCTTTCTTGAAAACTCGAGCTCGTCAATAAATTTAAGCGCATCATCAAATCGGTTTTCAGATACAAGCTCATCAATCTGAAAATAAATGATCAATATTCCAAATGTTAAATTTTCAAACAACCCAATTTTCAAAATAAACAGTCGTGGGAAGCATAGTGCATAATAACAATGTGATACACACTTGATCTTCAAAATCAAGAGGAAGTAGTCGCCACACATTGTAGGTGCTTGCAGCGAAAATAAGTTGCCCTGGAAGTAATGTTAGGCAATCTGGTAAGCAAATGGATTGCAGTATCTGACCCGACTTTACACTCCGCACCTCTACTGAATCACAAATCAATGCAGCCAAATAGTAATCCTCGTAAACTAAGCAATCATTAGCCTAAAGTTGATTTAAAAACATTGCAGACAACTTGTTGTTTACCAATATAAGATGGTATGGCCGACCACTCAAATAATCTATCCAGAGTCTGATTGTGAACATCAAAGTGATAACAAATTTCTATATATTAAAATTGCACAGATATATACAGTAGGCGTAAAATTGCAATGGTTTAGCAAATTTTAAAATACACTGATTTGGTGCTTATGCATACCATCTACAAAAATAACAATGCAATCAATCTTACCCTCCAACGTAAAGAACATTAAATCTCCAGGTGCTTGTACCATAATGCACGGCGATTTTGGCTTGGTTGTACGTGATACTCCCAGTTGCTCCAACGTAAGTATTGAACTAACGCTTCCAGACTGTGTATCGACATAGAATACACCTCCAATTATTGGGAAAACAATGGTATCATCTCCAGACCAGATTAAACTGGCAGGTATATGTGATAGTTTAATCTCCTATTAAATAGAGTAAGTTACAATACTCGATTGGAAATCATCGCTACATCAGGAAATACATCAAATCAAGCAATAAAAAGTGCTATCAATAGTCACCTTGAGTTGAACAACTTCGTATTGAGTGGCAGTAAATATGATAATTGATTTTCGAACAATAGCTGCAAATTGATCATGAGTTGCAGCTGTAGCTTCAATAGCACTCTGTCGTGCCTGAATAAAGGAGCAGCCTTTTGTTTTTGGAAGTGTCGAAGGTAACAAAAGTGTATTATAGTCGCACATAACAAGCAAGGAATCTAGCAAATCGACACATTATATTCCAAATAAAAAATTATGAGTTGGATTGTTCTTGAACTGTTATAACTATATATTACTAGTAAATTCTATGTACCTGAAAGAACTAATAGAGATTTGCTTGTTGGAAGAACCACAAGGCTGTCAATTGGCTTTTTTGAGAAATCCTTGGATACCTCGGAAAGCATAATTGTAAAGGACGGTTCATCTGAAACTTCGTAAGCAAGAATTGCACCATCCGATGTACCCAAAAATAGTTTTGAATCTAAATACATCAATAAAGCATAAATGATTGTATTAGTGTTTAAAAAGAATATTTTGTCGAATAGTTTGACTAGAATACAACTCCAATTTCAGAATATACTGCATCCAGAATATCCAGTTATTGACTTCAAAGACATTATAATCACTATCTGAATAAGAATTCAAAGTTTCCTGGAATCTGAATCACATACAGGCCAGTCAAACTTTAAGGTTTTTGAGTTGAATAATTGATTTATAGCACAGTTACTGTAGATCTATCAAAGATTTAACTAATGCTCAACAACTATAAGATGCGCATGAATTCAGTCAAAAGAAGATGCATTTATATAATATGTGCATTTCTCTAAACCAAACCGATCGAGATAAACCATACAATCAACGACATGACCCTAGAGAATATGTACAACTAGGACAGTAAACCCAGTCAAGACAGCAAGAGTATAAAGCAATAAGAGCCAGGATAAAAAGAACATTATGCTTACACCAACTGGCAGTACATTGAATTTTTAGTGGAAATCCTTCTATTACTAATTGAGGATGCAAGACTTCATACATGTTAACAGCAAGCTGAGCAAGTTGAGATTCGCTTACGACCAGCAGGTTTATTTTGGCCAAATCAAGCATTTTATGGGGAATAAAATTGGCCATAAATTATTGTGAATTTTGGGTTTGAAAGCAGCAAGATTCACTCAACTTGCAAGTATATTGTCATGTCCACTGTGGAAGATGACTTGTTTGGAGACGAGAGCTCAGATGATGGCTGGGGTAATCAAGGTGGTAATTCACATTCTTATGAAGAATCTGAGCAGTTGGACAACCCACAGCAAGGCCAGTTTCATTCGCATGGTCATCTTGCAAAGCCAGCCCGCTATTCACCAGATGAGACCGGACAAAGCCATCTAGAACTTGATCAGGACAACAATGAAGATGAAGATGATAATCTTTTTGGTGATGAATCTGATGATAATTCCCAACGCATGGGGAATGATGGGTACAACAGGTATGCAAGAGTCCTGCACTAAATATCAGTTTCTATCATATATCTGACTATATTGCTACTAGTGAGGACGGTATCAAGAATACCGAGCTGGAGCGAAGAAATGAAGAGATTTTATCTCAGCCTGAATTAGTTGTCGAGACCAGTCTTCCAACAGTTGGTGGTCCTCGACCAGAAAACGAAAATGTATGTTTCATTCATTCGGGCTTACATTGTTCAAATCTAAAATAGTAAATCAGCGATATTGATTCAAATTCTGGATTGTTGGATTTTATTGTTCATGACAGCTATTTCTGATCAAACCACCCAATTTCTTGCACATTGAACCTATACCATATGATCGGGCAACGTACGCTCAACTGGATAATGATCTTGAAAAAGACGAAGACGGATCTCGAGAACGGGCTCGTTTGCATGTTGAAAATACGATTCGTTGGAGATATGATGCAAAACACGTAGGTCGACCATGCTCTGGCATCATTCAACTGTACAAATATCTTTACAATGATATTCACTGCTATGACCTATTTATGCTTGGAGTCTTAATCATTATTATTTTATCATTTCTAGCCTGATCAAAAAAACTCTAACGCTCGCTTGGTACGCTGGGAAGACAATTCATTTTCGCTACTTGTTGGCGAGGAGCAGTTTGAAGTTGCTGTAACCTCGTTGCAAAATCAGCATCACTATCTCGCTGTTCAACATTCTGAGGAAGGATATATTCAAAATAGGGCACGCTTTAACAAACTAATGTCATTCCGACCCTTTAGTGCACAGAGTTTGACTCATAAAAGAGTAACAATGGCTATTGTTGGTAAACATAGTAAGAAAAATCGTACTAGATTGATCACTACAACAGAGGATCCTGAAAAGGCAAAACAGTTGGTTGAAAAGGTATGACTGTTGGCTCTAGTATTTAATGTATTACCTGGCATGCTAGTTTTTATCAAAATACTCATGTGATGTTTTTTGTAGGCTGAAACTGAGCGTCTTAAAGCTCGTCGTAAACTTGAAAGCAAACGCGCCAGCACAAGCGCTCGCGAACGAGGTGGTAGAGTCGATTACTACAACGGATCAGACGATGATTCACACTATCGATCAGGAAATCGAAATATTATTGATAAAATCAGATCTAATCGATATGATTATCAGGAGGAAGATGATGATGGGTTTGTTGTAGCCGACGATGCATTGGATGAAGACGAAGACGACTTTCAACGATCATCGAAGCTTATGGCAGCGAAATCTTCTTCGTATCTGAAACGCAGTGCAGCAGCTGATTTTGATGAATCTGATTAGATTTTGTAATAAGTAAATTTATTAGGAAATTGAATACACATTGAGCCTTTATAAAAAGTATTCCTGTAAATCAAAAGCAAGATGCATTCCCACCACTATGAACAACGATAACAGTGAGTGATGTAGAATCATTCGAGTAAACTGGAAAACATTTCAATAGAATTTCAATAGAAACTTGAATAACCAGAAATCGCATATGAATGAGTTTGCCAGCGATTTCCATCAAAATCATTTGAAGAAACTCGACCAACACGCTCAACTTGCATCTTTGCTTCGAGTGCAGAAACTCTGAAATTGCATTGATGGCAAGTATTGCATTCTGACTGATGGCCTTGTATTGATGAATAGTTATTAAAACCTATGCAAGGATTTCTGCATGGCTTTTTTCAATGTCATGGGCTACAACCTGCATCAATGCTTTTCACTTTAAAGCCTGATCCTTGTACTAAAAAGTGCATGCCATTGGCTATATCATCTTACTTGTGACCTGCTTTATCTCATAACCAATGTGTAGTCTGTTAGTTTGGAAAAGGAGATTTTTGGAGACTCTGACGATGATTTCGATTCTGAAGACAATGGCAAGTGGATCAGTGCTAGAGTGCCATGATTTCAGTCTATCAATCAGCCTTTTACTAATTATAAATCAGCAGAATTCTCTTTACCCGCTGCTGATTTGACTAGATCTGAAGAAAATAATGACACTGAAGCGGCTGTACATCAGGATGCAGTGTATGACGAGTATGCAGACAGAGATATTCCACTTCCTTCATTTAAACGAAAGGATGATCTTTCTAATTCAGAACCAAAGTATGTAATAGTGGCTGATATGCATATTCATTTGCTCTGATATATTCAGAGATGCAAGGCTGAATTTGACAGTCGCTGATTGCATGTATAATCAATTAGACCAGCCAAGAAAAAAAAGCAAGTTTTAAAACGACAGACTGAGCAGGAAGATGTAGACCCTATATCTACAGAGGCTCCACTAAGTTTGGATTCAAGTTAGTTGCTTTGTATCTACAACAAATGCATGCTAGATCTTAAACTAACGAGTCAAGATTTATACTAATTAGTCAAGCGTCGAGAGGCTAGAGACGATGTGGACGCTGTAATGCGTAAAATTAAACCTAAGCGCAACAAGAGAGATCTTCAAGATGAAGCAGTAGGTTAACTATCTATGCGGTATTTGGGGTTGATTTTAAAGTGTAACATCAGTTTGAATTTTAGGAAATAGATGAATTTATGGATGCCATGCTGAATAAAATGAAAGAAGCGGCTTCAAATGATCAAGAATTCAACAAAAACAAGCAGCCTGCGATTGCCAAGTTGAAGCTGTTGCCATCGGTTCTAGATCTATTGTCGAGGCAGGTGTATATATATTTATTATAATACACCCTGGCGGATAGTATGTGTGTATTAACGTTGTTTTGAGATTTAGAATCACTTGGTACTCGCAATTTCTAGAAAATAACATTCTAGAGGGAATCAAATTATGGTATGATTTCGTTGTTGATTATTTTTACTCGTTAGGATGAAATGGCATGTTTTGGCTGATATATTGAAATGTTTAACATGAAAAATTTAAACTCGAGATAGGCTTGAGCCGCTTACAGATGGATCGTTACCGAGCTTGGATATTCAAAAGGGAATGATGGAAACTCTTTCCAAGGTTAGTCGTTACTATATGTCTATTTAAAAATATTGAAATTATGAAGCACTTATGAGATACTATGGTTAAATATAGATGCCTATCGAGACTCATCACCTTCGACATAGCCTTGTGGGTCGCATTGTCATGTTTTATACTAAATGTGATCGTGTTACACCGAGCATTCGCCGAATTGCAAATGATCTTATTCGTGAGTTTGTTGTATTTTCACTAGCTTAACCAGATGATTCTAGGTCGATTCTAACAAAATAATTAGGTCGGTGGATGCGTCCTATTCTGAAACGAAGCGCCAACTACAAAGATCAAGAGCTGCAGGAGGTTCGCATCAATTCTTTAGAAACTCGTCCATTCAAAAAACAGCGCCCACAAGCCTCCGAGTCACCAAGGTACGTTATTTTATCACGCTGAATTTCTGATCTATACCTCATGTTTAAAACCCGATTTTGCATTTTTCCAAACTTTTCTAAATCCTGATGGCTGTTGGAATTGAACTTTTAGCTCTCAATCTATCATGTCATCTGTGCGTGCTCGTATTCCCATGCCGGTAGCGCCTTCATTTACAGTAATACCAGTTAGCAATGTGCCCCAAATTGGAAATGGAGAAAAGCGTGTGGACAAATACCGTAAACTCAAATCGACCATGAAAATGATTAAAAGTCGCAATGCAAAATAAAGGCCGATTATCTGTACCTACACATGTATTGAGAACAGCATTTCGATAATGATTTGGTCAAGAATGCAGTGCAAGTGCAATTATTGTGTTAGACACCGATTGGCCTTGTTAGAATATTACATTAAAACCGGACTGGACTGGAACACTTTGTTTTGAAACTGATTCATTGATCCATGTGCTGATTCTCGGATATTAATTAGCTTGCAGATTTACAAGTGATTTACGTGATTGTTTTGCTATAACAGTTTCCAAGACCAACAACAATACATGATTATGAGATAATGTACGAGTTGAAAGCAATGCTGGTTACTAATATGCATTCATCTATTGTGATACTCAATGAATTGGGTCGGATGAAAGCGAATGCTAATTTGGCCTTTAACAACCTCAAAGAATCCAATAAAATTCTTTCCACTTTGGATCAATTGTTGAACTGATGGCTCAGACAATGGATGATATGAGTGATCATGGACTGCATGCTACAGACCTTGGATTCTTCTCTGTGATTGACCAGAATTCGGTCGATGACCATTCTATGGATCCTTATTCTGACCTCGAGCATGATTCTATAAACCACCACTTGAATGTGGCCAGTTCTGCTGCAACTGTTCCATCAGCTACTGTTGCTCTAGAGAAAAATCCGGATGAAGTAATAGAAACTGACAGCACTGATATTCTATCCAGACAGGCAGTCGGTTCTCATCTCGGCACTGGATACGAATGCTTGTCCAGTGGGCTATTTTTCGTATTTCAAGAAGACCTAAGTTCTCCGTTGGCGGATCTGGCCAGATCAACATGGGTAGATCCTCCTAACGGTGTTGCTGGATTTAGTATAGATATACTGGATACAATATGGAAAATACATTTGGCTCCTATAGGATTCAAACTGCGCCAGGTGATGGTCTTGGAGCATTTGCAGTATTTATCAAAGGTAGTTTACCATTGCTTTCATTTCCAATACTAGAATATTGCATCTTCACAGCATCATGACAACTTTCTACTAGTTATTCTTTTGATAAACCTTTTGATGGGTCATTAAATTATTTTTGGTTGCTTATCTTGTTTAGTATCTTGTTCCAAACTATGAAATATCGGCTTCGACGCAACCTGTTCATACACTGTCTATTGTACTGATGATCAATGAAATGTTCCGATTGCGGCGTGCTGATCCATGGTCTGTTTTCGCCGAGGATTTGTCGAAATTTGAACTACTTTTCTTGCAAGTTCAGCATCTGCTTCTTTCTACCGATTACGATCTTGGATTTGATGAAAGGAGATTTTTGTTGATTTTTTTGACTCATTGTTTTGAGTCGCTAGAAATACCATTTGTACGATCTGAATGCCTCAAGATTACAGGCATTGGTATATGGCACGAACTTATGAGTAGAGAAATTTGCGAGCAACATGTGACCGAGGCTCCTGAACGTCAAGCATTGTGGGAGCGTTCTGAAAAACGATATCAAACAGGTACATGGCTTGATTCTATGCTTTGTTTTTGAATTTGATTGGTTTGATGATCTAATAGTTTTGTTTGAAACTGCGTCTAGCCAAGCAATCTATAAAAGAAAAGTTACTTTTCAATCGTTCGTTTTTAAGCAAGCTTATTTGGGGATTTTTAGACATTTTAGCTGATATTCCTAAAAGCGGATCTGCTCCTCATGGTGCAGTTGCATATTGCGAGAGATTTGTAGAATTTCTTATATGCCTTGATTTTCAACTGCCCACTCGCCGCCATGTTCATATCTTGCTTTTCGATCATTTAGTTGTGACTAGCTGTTTAAACAGTACACTCTATGCACTGTCTCTTAAAGTCAAAAAAATTGCGACCTCTACTTTGGCAACAATAGATTCATGGGTTTTTCATGAATACACACCTGGACCTATTTTTAAACGATTGGTGGACCGTCTTGAGTACTACTCAACTTTTCCTATTGACGATGTTACTGGAGCAGCACTTTCAGCTCGAGATGTGCTTGATAAACACTATGCCTGCATTCATAAGGTCCAAAAGATCTGTTTCACTTTATTCAACGATTCTCTTGGAGAGTTTTCGTTACTGAGTATTAGCAATATGTCTTGCGAGGAGATCAAATCACACTTCAAGCCTTTGAGTGACGCTACTCTACAAGAGTTTTGTAAGCGTGTCGGCATTCGTACTACATTGCCCTTGACGCGAGCCGATGCAATGGTGCACTCGCGCAGTTTTTTAATTGATATGATTTGCCAACTGTTGACAAAACCAAAACTTCGTAGTGACACAATACACATGGAGTCCGTTTATCCAACTGAAAATACACTTTTTGACGAATCAGTCTGTCCTGCTAACAATCTTTTTAGTAACACCCACTGTTCTCCTGTTCCGAAACTCACCCTTCAATACTTGACTATGCAAGACTATGCTCTTCGCCAGCTTGATCTTCATAAAATTTACTTTTTCATGCAACTTCGAGATTACATTGAAGACGCCATCATGCGTCTTTCTCCCACCTATTTGAAGGATACAATGTCTTCTAAAGGTAGCACTATATTCAAAGGATTTTCTCAAATAGCCCTGCCTATTGTTCAGGTACTCCAATCGTTATACATTATAAATTTCATCTGTGTTTTGGGTATGAATACTAACACATTTGTTTTACAATTTACTGATTTTTAATAACATAAATTTGTCAAGTTTCAAATATCTGAAGTTGGACATCCAATGCTTACTGAATCCAAGCCTGCTTTTGTTAAAGGGGACCTTGTCTATTCTGTTGGAAAACTTGCACATAATGTGCGAAACGAGTGGGATATGATTCGTCCGGGTGATCACTTGATTCTCCTGAATGTTCAAATGCAACCCACTGCAAATGAAGACGGATTTGATCCTATTGTGACGGATCTTAATATCGGGGAGAGCGGCGCGCTTTTTATGAAACGCTATGGTATTGTTTCTGTGCGAGGCTGCGAGGTTTGTGAATTGCTTGGGGAAAATGGAAAACCAGTAGACGATTTTATATCTGCCCAGACTACCCGCATTCACGAAGATAAGCCTAGAGTATGGCGTAATCAGAGATCCATTAGCGTACTATTTGATACAAATCAGTATCTTTTAGACACTCTCACTGGAAATAAGGCAAAAACGAATGTGAGCGATACTTTTAATGTAGTGATCCGACTGCGTTCTGAGCTAAACAATTTCAAAGCGGTTTTGGACGCTTTGCGCGATGCCGCCCACTGCAGCGACATAGTACCAGAATGGTTTCATGATCTTGTTCTTGGCTATGGAGATCGAAAAAGTGCCCACTATTCTCAGTTGGAGTTTTCAGATTGTCCTGTGTATGTTGGTAAAACTTTTGAAAGCCTTGCTCATCTGCAAGAGTCTTTTCCTAATTGGAAGTTTTCTGCAGCATATGGTTCGTCTAAAACAGATGGAAATGATATTTTGGCTCCTCCTTTTGTGTTGACATTACCACAGGCTCTTTTTGTAGCCAGCGAGTCTCGAGATCCGCTACCACTCTCCGAATTAAAAATTGGTAGCAAACGCAGCTCTGACGCCATGGAAGATTCTTCCTTGCAAACTAATGATTCAGTTACTGTCAAAGTCGAATCTGTTGGCACGCCCATGGATTCGATACTTGATAGTACGGACAACTTTGCAAAAGCCAAAAGCCTTAAATTTACACGTGAGCAATGTAAGTATGATGATTGTATACTGATTCTATATCAGTCTATTATACGTTTAACAATAATACTCTTCAATTTATTCTAGCCGATGCAATTATATCAGGATCTATAAAAGGACTGACGCTTATATCAGGAGTGCCTGGCTCTGGAAAAACTAGTATTGCTGCTCAAATTGTATCAAACATTGTCAATGGATGTCCGTCAGATCGTACATTGGTTGTAGCTCCTACTCAACGCCAATTAGTTCGACTCTTAGGAAACTTGATTCAGTTTGGCGTAAACGAACGCTATGTTATTTCATTATCTCATGGATTCGGTGAGCTTCGAGCAGACAGTGACGAAGCTTTGGGAAAGCTAGGTCGTATAAACCATCTTTTATCTCGTCGAAAGCATCTGCTCACTCGAGTTGATCAACTGGCTAAATCAATTGGGGTTCCTGGAGAACACGGTAGCTCCTGCGAAACTGCAAACTACTTTTACTCGTTCCATGTTAATTCGCTATGGACTCAATATTTGGAAGATAGTAGTCGACAGTCATCCCTTGCGTCCATCACGAAGAATTTTCCCTTTACCCACTTTTTTACATCTGTAAAGGACCGCCAAAGGATCAGTTTACTTTTTTCAGCAAACTCCCTAGAAAGTGCAGTTTCTGCTGCGACTATGCTGTACCAACATATACAAGACATATTTAATGAACTTGCTGAAACACAGGCGTTGGAGTTGTTGCGATCTCGCAAAGATCGCGCAGATTATATTATATCAAAACAAGCACGCGTTATTGGTATAACGGCAACGGACATTTCTCTTAAACGTCGCGAACTAGCTCGACTTGGATTCCACTTTCAAAACTTTATTGTTGATGATGCTCATCAGATGTTTGAGATGGATACACTTGTATCGCTATTGCTGAATCGTCATACTACGTGGCAAACGCCTAAAAACGACCAGGATATGCTAGATGGACTGAAGCGCATTGTTATGACTGGCAATGCCGTTTCTTTGCCACGATACATTTCTAGCAATGCACTAAAGTATTATTCCAATTTTGATCAAAGTTTGTTTTCACGCCTCATCAAGCTTGGTGTCCCGACACTGACATTAAATGTGCAACGTCGCCTACGTCCATCCATTGCATGCTTTTCGCGCGTATTCTATCCATTGATGCGTTGCGTTCCCACCGACCAATTGGATTTGCAAATGAAACTAGCCAACCCAGGTTTTGTATACGATGCACAATTTATCAACGTAGATCAATTTCTTGGTCAACACGAAACTGAGCCCCGCAAAGATTTTTTCCAAAATCTTGGAGAAGCCGAATATCTAGTTGCTGTGTTCCAGTATATGCGATTGATTGGGTATTTAAATGTGTGCTGTCTATCTATTTAAAAAATGTAAAATTTTGAAACTAATGCAATTGTGCTAATTAGGTATCCAGCTGGAAAAATTGCCATTTTGACACCATACAAGGGGCAAAAAGAACTTATTCGGGATGTTTTAGAGCAACGCTGTTCATGGAATCCAGTATTTGGCACGCCACAGCATATTAAAACGATTGATGAGTTTAGGGGCAATGTGGCAGACTATGTTTTGGTGTCACTTGTCCGCACACGCACAGCTGGTGTTATGGATGATCAAATCAAGATGGCATCATTGCTGTCATCTGCTCGCTTGGGATTGTATGTTTTTGGTAGAATCTCTACTTATATTTCAGAAAAAGGTTTGTTTACAGAACTTGCAAAGCGTCCTACAAGCCTTTACCTTTACTTGGATGAAAAATACAGTCAGGGATTTTCTCGAGAGTTGGACAACTCTAGCTTTGAAATTGGGGCAGATGGAGACTTGCCAGAGACTTTGAAAAACCCATCCATTGTTTGCATGAGCAATGTGGAGCATATGGGTCAATATGTTCACCAGATGGCTCAAGAACAATTATCTTGGCTGCAGCAGCAAGTCATATCTCAACCATCAGGACATGGGGCACGCAATGGAAAATGAGATTATTTGGTAGATGTAACAATAAACTCGACTTGCTTGCTGTAACCCTTTTATCACTCGATATAACTGTTGTTACTGTTAATCTGGTATTTTTGATGGCAATGTGTGTATGTGCTGGCTGTTATTGGTGCTTTTACAATAATAAATCGGTTTGTACAACTAGATACATGAGATCAACAGACATGCAAGTAGACCGTTTTGTATCATCAAATAAATTAAAATTTTATATTTAGCACCATGTATTTTACCGTCGTATTCACGTAAAATGAAACATTGAACTAAAATGCATGATACAGTCATGTTTGATTGGTGCCAATCTTACTGGGAAACATTGTGCTCTTTGGACTCATTTTTGTACAAAAATACAGAGCAAATGTTCACATTTTTGTTCCAATACACTCCACATCTTTTCAACCTCCAACTTTCCTTTGTTCCAAACATTGCGTGATGGCATGGAAACAACGGTTGCATTATTGAGATATGTTGAACTAGAACGCGAACATATCTGATATTAGGATATTAGAATAGTTTCAATAGAAAAGGTAATCCATTTCCAATAACGAATATGTGACGATTGTTTATTCCAAGACAATCATTACAAGATCAGTACAAAAGTGTTTCATTTTACGTGAATACGACTGTAAAATTATTTCTAGCTTCATCCTTGCTTTAATGATACAGTCATCAACCCATGTTTCAGAACACTCGCATCCAGGACAAACCGTATCCAACGCTTTAAACTTTCCGCCAAACCCCGCTGAAATCTCATTACCTTATATAACGACCATTTCAGATGGTACAAACTCATTGTATGCAGACGGTAGGTGGCTGCAGTTAGACCAGCCAAGTACTAGACAAAAGATTTGAGCGATGTTTTTAAAATAAAAAGTCTAGATATACTAATGCAAAGGATGGTATGTGACCGAATACGACATCAACCCTAGGCAATAAAACCGAATACATTGACCCATCTTTGTATCAGTATCCACCTCAAGCATCAAACTGTGAGAAATTACCCGAGATAGATATACACGCTCATGAAAGACTCGCGGACGATTCGAATGAACAAGTGCGAGCAATAGTTAGGTTGGAAATTTTTATAGGGTCATTGGTTTTGATGACTGCATCTGACTCAAGATAGACACTAATGCTCATAGTTTAAACATTGTATCACACAATGTAAACTCGGCTGTTGATATTAGAATTCGTCCCATTACAGATTCGGAAAGATTAAAAGGAAATCAACATAAAATTGTGCAGGCTACAAAAGATAGGCGAGCCGTACAGGCAAGTAAAAAGTCATTTTCAACACTGTGCTTTATGCGTACATATCTCAAGTACAATCTTTTAACATATTCTATTGCACAAAGGCTTATACTCCTGATGGGAAAATATCAACCATGTTATACAATCGCGTCTTTGATGAAGAAACAGGACAAAAAGAGTTTTTCTTGCAGTCTGGAATTCAAGAGCTCGTTACACAAGCCATCAATGGGTAAACTAAGTGATCTTGTATAAATCAAATACCTTGATCCAAGGATCAAAACTAGACTGTTTTTAAATTAAATATGGCGCAATGTTAACTTGCTGCTTTAAATGTATACACACCCCACCAGATATTCTGCTACAATATTTGCGTTTGGTCAGACCGGAAGTGGAAAAACATTTACTATTACTGGGCCAGAGGGTGCTCAGACCTCAGATACAGTAGGTATTGTCCCAAGAGCCTTGAATTTTTTATTTGAAAAAATCAATGCTATGCGTAGTTCAACTCAGCTGGAAAGCATCCGAATCCAGGCATCCTATCTAGAAATTTATAATGAACATGTATAGTAAATTGAGTTTGTATATTTAATCTTTGCATACTATTTAGCAAATCAACATTACTAAACCGTTTGAGACTATGCAATAGGTTCAAGATTTACTCAATCCCCACAACTCTGCACTTCCAGTTAGATGGAGTGCCGATCGCGGATTCTATGTCGAGAATCTTTACATTGTGGATTGTGATGGTTTAGACGACTCACTTGCTGTATTAGAGGAAGGCAAGTAAAAATGACTATTGCTATTCGACTATACTGTTGGTATCTATTACACATCCAATTGAAATAACAAACTGTATTTTTCAACCCGTCAACAATCTAGGCTTGAGAAACAGAACTGTTGCTTCCCATGACATGAATGAGCACTCATCTAGAAGTCACAGTGTGTTGACTATATATTTGGAAACACAAAATAAAGACGATTCTATGGGAAGAACGGTAAAATGCCATGGAAAGATCAGTTTTGTAGATTTGGCAGGTTAGATTTCACACTTTAAAACACAGTGATGACTGTCTTTTAGCTTATAATGCCTACTAACATTTTTGTATATGTCAAGGAAGCGAAAAGGTAAAAGAATCAAAAGCAGCTGGAGATACTTTTGCTGAGGCATTGAGCATTAACAAAAGCCTGTTAAATCTGGGAATCTGCATATCTGCATTATCTGATCCTAAAAAAAGAAATGGACATATACCCTTTCGTGATTCCAAACTTACAAAGCTGCTTGCAGATTCTCTTGGTGGACATGGCGTGACTTTAATGATAGCATGTATATCTCCTGGATCGCTCAACATTCAAGAAACAAACAAAACGTTAAGGTATGCATCCAAGGCTTGTAAAATCCAAACCAAACTTGTATTACAGCTGGACCCAAGAGAAGAAATACTGTTGATTCTCAAACGTGAAATTATGGGACTTCGACGAGAAAATCTGATGCTGCGAGGAGTTATCGATCGAGATCCAAAACATGCCATGTCTGGCTTGGCAACTAAAGATGTTATGGATAGAGAACACCTTGAAGGATTGATTGCAAGGGCTCGATCTACCCGAAACCCTTCTCATTTTGAAAGTGGCTATTCAAATAGACAATCAGCCAATGTCCATCCAGTCTCCAGTACTATCCATCAAACAGCTGCTGAAGAATTTGATGCAAAAGCTATGCACGAAAGAAATCATTTTGTATACAGCCAATCCAATCCTGCAAGTGTTAAACCATCCACTACGACAAATGCCAAGGAATACAAGCGAACTATTGGAGATGCAATGGAATTTCATGATACAAATGACTATCAAGGACGTGTACAAATGGGAAGACGAAGTGCAATGTCTACGCGTCAGACCACTAGATCCACCCGCAGTTCTGGAGGTTTTAAAACGGATGGTCATTTTCGTTCGACATCTGCTCACGAATCTCGACCCTCAACTATGGCTACTGAGCGGGTACATTCTTTAAAGTGGTCCAATACTCCTGCTGGTCATGAACATGTGGTTTCTCAAAAAGACACGATAAAAAGATCGGGGAATGCCAATCCTGCAACAAAAAGTGCATCTCAAAAACTAGCACCAACAAAGCTACCTAGTATTAATACCAAAGCAAAACCAAAGCCGCCATCTGTCTCTACTTCTCCTGTGAAACTAGCTCAAATTCAGCAAACTCATTCAGATCGGAACAAAGAAAAATCGGCTCAAAAAAAGTCCAAGTAAGTTTAAAAATGGTAGATTGAATTCAACAATTTTTAGTTGATTACTCAAGTATTTAAATATAGAAGCGATCCAAAACAGACTGCATCTCCTGCCAAAAATAATGTTAAAAGACCATCTAACCGAGAGCACCCTCCTATAGCAAAAAACCGCGAGGAGTTTACTTTGCTTCAATCTAATGATGGATATATAGCCGATCAAAAACCATTGAAACCGGTTCCTGTTGATATGGTTCTAGAGGCAGTCAATAACAGACATCAATTACTGAGTGATGTGCATGCATTGGATAATGAAATATCACGAATGTCGGTGTTGAATAGATAATAAACTGGAATCTTCAAGTTTGGCAACTCCATTGTTGAAATGCTTGAATGCAGAGGTTGGCTTGAAATCATAGAATGCCATGACTTGCGTACCAGTCTTGGACAAAGTGGACAGTAAACCTGTTTAATCTACTTTATACTCTAGTCCATAGCAGATCCAACTTGGATGCAATGATTTCCCATGCATGGACAGTATGTAGCTGCAAGACCATCGAATACAACGCAACAGACCTGCAATACTATACAGGATTCCAGTGCACACTTGTCTTGGTCAAGATGTATCGCAATACATGTCAGATCAACCAGCATTCTCGATAGAATCATCAAAATTGATAAATACGACTTTCCTTTACATTTGTACTTTTATTATTTTGGCATGTCTGTGCTGCTAGAAACTACATTGGGCGAGTTGGTCATTGACCTTGAGGTCGACAAGGCTCCACAGGCCTGTATCAATTTTCTTAAGTTGTGCAAACTCAAATACTACAACTTTGTTTTAGTTCATAGTGTTCAGAAGCATTTTGTTGCTCAGATGGGTGATCCATCTGGAAAGGGTACTGGCGGAAACACAGTATGGGGGTAAGCAACAGACATCAAATATATACAATTTCATCCTTCGATTGTCAGAATCTTGACATGTTAATCTCATCTACAACTTTAAATAGGATAATTCAGGACAAAGATAACCAGGTATTTGAACCAGAGATTCATCCCAAGCTCAAACACAACCGAAAAGGCATTGTTTCCATGGCATTGGTGCCATGTGATGGCAGACTCATGGCAGGATCACAATTTCTCATTACTCTTGTAGATACTCATCTCGAATATCTTGACAGAAAACAAGCTATTTTTGGACAAGTTGCAGAGGGATTTGAGACCTTGGACAAGATTAACGATGCCATATGTGATCAAGAAGGTCGACCTTATCGTGATATTCGGTAATATTGGCATTATGAATCATTTTGCATTATCTTGGTTCAAGTAGCATATCCACGGCTTACAATGTCTTTTATGTCATACATGTGGACAGGATCAAACATACAATTATTCTGGATGATCCGTTTGACGACCCAGAAGGGTTAGTTGTTCCCATCCGATCGCCAATCCCATCAGAAGAAATGCTCAAATTGAGTCGAATTGGAGAAGAGGACGAGCTTGCACCCAAGCTATCTGAAGAAGAAGCTGATCGTTTGCGAAAAAAACAAGAAGCCGAGGCTCGAGCATTAACTCTAGAAATGATAGGCGACTTGCCATTTGCAGATATCAAGCCACCAGAAAACATTCTTTTTATATGCAAGCTGAATCCAGTTACTAGAGATGAAGATTTGGAACTGATATTTTCTCGATTTGGAAATATACTGAGGTAAAAACACTTTCAGATTGCTTCGAGGTTAAAATCTAATTATTGGTATCTGCATATTCAACTTTTAGCTGCGAGATTATTCGGGACAAGAAAACACAAGAGTCGTTGGGATACTCTTTCATCGAGTTTGAAACCAAAGAGCAATGCGAAGAAGCATATTTTAAAATGGTGGGTCGAGTCTATTTATGCTTTCTGGCCAAGATTGGCCTTTTATATTTTGCTCTAACCATACAACTACTCAATTATAGGATAACGTGTTGATTGATGACAGAAGAATACATGTAGACTTTTCACAGTCGGTTTCAAAGTTGCATCGAGAATTTCTGGGTAATATCAACCACCTTGTTTGTCATTTACAGCGAAAGATTCTATTCCGCTCTGTACAGTATCTAATCGTTTGGTTGGCAATCTAGTGAGTAAGCAAGGTAAAAATAGTTTTGGAGATGGTCTTGAGAAGCGACAAAGATACAGAGACGAGGTTTCAAATCAAAACGAAGACTACGATCTGGTATTTGAACATGGTGGAGACTTGCATCGTGAAAAGCAAGGCAAAACATCGATATCCACAAGTGACTCTTTTAAAAAGAAACACCCAACCAATGATCATCGCAACCATCGGGACGATGGCAGCACTCGCCATGACCGACACAAAACTGTATCCCAACGCCCATACCAAAACAGCCCAACTCACGCATCAAAACACTCTGAGCGAAAGAGACATGGCGATAAAGATTTGGAAGAACGAAAAATAAAACGATCATTTGTTTGATTTAGTTTCAGCAAGCTCAATGAGACGCTTGTCGATCTGAGGCCAAGTTGCTGTAATAAGCTTTATAAGCTCATCCATGAATTCTCCTTGTACAATGATCTCTTCTACACCTTGAGCATTTTTAGAAACTGATGCACCGCATGCAAACTTGGAAGCCATCTGTTTTGCAGCCTTTTTAAGATCCACATCTGTGAGACAATGTAGTGTGAGACAAGTGATTACTCCAACAAACGATCATTATAGTGAGGATAAGAACATACCAAACTTTTCAAGTCCATTTACAATGGTAATCCGCTTCCGTTTTGTTCTTTCAATGGTAGACAAGACGACCTTGGCCTGTATTGATACCCATGATGAGTTAGGAATGTCTCAATCCGAGTATTGCAAACCGACTTCATGCATGATACAACCAACCTTTGGAGTGGTCTTTTTCGAGGATTTGGAGGGTACAGCAGCAGGCTCTTGACATGAGATGTCGAGGGTTGATACTTGGGCTACTCAGAGTAGGTTAGTGGAGTGGGTTGCCATTGAGCGAATCAACTCGAGTATTGCTTACCTTGTACTAGCTCGGTTTCTCCATACAGTTTTACAAATAGGTTTTGATCATGAGTTTTCAACCAAGCCTTGCACTCTGCAATGGCAGTGCCAAACTCGCAGTACTATCAGGTCAATGTTTAGCAAGTATTTATAGAAACCAACGCTAGACTCCCAACTCACCTCGGGAGGAACACTGCAGTGTCCACAATATAAAACCTCGACAACTCGGGTCGTCGGTCCTTCCTCTGCATTTATGTCTGCCATGATCCACTCGAGTAAAACTTTATGGATTGGATTTTGATTTGCAATCGTCCAAAATCAAGCCATTCGACTTCTACGATGCAAAGTAGATTTGTTTGCTATACACTCGTATTGTTTATCATCAGTAATTAACAGGTTTTATTTAGAATGGGTTGATTCATTGGCATCCTGGATAATCGTATCTAGAGCAGTGGCTAGGGCTGCTGTCCCTTGTGCAATGCCAGACGTTGATGGTATACTAACACCATTGACCAATCCTGCCATCAAATCTGTATTGGAACCGCCTAATGCATTTCCTGAAGGTGGGATCGCTCCTGCTTTAAACTTTTGGTTGAGTAAAAGTTGCTGGATCCCTGTCGCCGTGCCTGAACTGGATGAATCGGCGTGTCCATTAACACTAGATAGCAATGCCTGTTGCTGAAGCTGCGCTTGTTGTGCTTGCTGCAACTGGCTTTGATTCATCATCGAGGTAATCAGTGCAGCATTGTTGTTGGGAATGAATCGTGAGTTATTTTGTGACATGGCTGCATGTTGTTGTTGTTGTAAAGCCTGATTATTAAAGTAAAGTTGTTGCAATTGCTGTTGGGCAAGATTGAGTGATGTGTTGGATGCTAGTGAAGGAATACTATTTTGTGCAAGAGACCCGACTAGATTCATCGTGGCTTGCTGATCTGTCGTGCTTGCCTGCAACTGATCCTGCAGCTGGGAGTTCAACAGTGTTTGGGATGGGTTAAGAAATTGCATTTGAATTTGGGCTTGAAGTGATTGGGGTGCCAACTGCTGCGATTGCTGTAGCCGAAGTCTCTGTTGTTGAAGGCGCATTTGGTACAAAGCGTGCTGCCCCTTCAATTGCTGAATCTGAGCTGGTGTCATGCCATTCAGAGAGATTGGCATAGCAGAGGACGCTACTGTGGAAGATGCCAAGGCAGATGCAGTCGATGCAGATGAAGTAGATAGGTACAAGGAATCTGTGCTTTGAGCAGAATTGACAGCACCATTAGTGGGCGAAAAGCTTGACGAATTAGCTAGAGCGGGCTGCTGAATAGATTGACTAAGATTAATTTGTTGCTGCGCTTGACGCTGAGATTGCAGCATCATTGCTTTAACAGCGGCTGTTCGCGGATCCAGTTGCTCTTGAATCTTCTTTTTTGGTTGCACCAAAGATGGTTGTGAAGTCCCCTTGGAGTCAGTAACAAATGAATTCGATTTTGAAAGCCGTTTTTTAACAGGTGTCGGTACATTTGCAAGAGATGCTATGCTAGGTTGAGTCGTAGCTGTAGAAGTAGATTCAGTAGCTAGTGCAGATGAATGCGCTGCAGCTCCAGTAGGTGCCCGTATCACTTGAATAGGTGGGTTCGTAGTAGGCAATTTCAGAATATCTGGTAATGGCTGAACATGAATTTGGTCTGGGAACGCAGGCTTGTTCATTAGTAATCGATACTCTTCTTCAAGAGGAGCAATTGCAAACGCCCTGTTTGAAATAAGCCTAAATGGTATGCAACAAGTGCTGTTAGAAACCATGCAAATTTGGCAATCGTGTTATCCTATTGTTGCTTACATATGGTCATCCTCGTATTCAATCTCCTCGTCCATCTCATCATCGCTATCATCAAAGCGCCACTTTGTAGCATGTGCCTCATGCAACCTTCGATCTGATTGGCAATGCCTTCGGTCAAAAACAATGCGACCTCCTCGTCCTATTCTCCGTCGAATACATGCTACGCGTGGAGTATTCGCTTGTAAAAAATGTATATCTGGAACTTGATCGGAAAGAGGAACTGTTCTCCATAAATTAAGTTCATCTGTTCCTATTCCCAAAAATGGATCCTAAATAGTGTATGTAGAATGACGAATAGTTGTCAACAATACATGCAGCATACATGGCAACTATACCAAAACACAATTACCTCGGTTACATCAGCCCATCCGTTTCGTTCATCCAAGTTTCGAATCTTTTTGACCTTGTCCTCTACGGAAATAGTACTTGGACCAAATTGATCGGCAAATAGTTTCGAGTCCAGATCAGAAACCAAGTTGGCAGCGTCGCGTAGTTTTTGCATAGGAATCCTGATTTTAGTGGATTCACTGAATAATAGTTTAGATATTCAAGGATTATAATGCTACAAAGAATAAAAGCAGTTGCGTACCCAGTTTCATCAAAATCGGTGAGTCGACGACTTTTTTTACGACGACTATCTGGAGTAGCCTCAGTATCTACCACGCCAAGTCTTCGCTTAAGACGACGTACAAGAATACGTCTTTCAAAAATCAAATGCTCCATGTAAATGCTATCGCGACGAGTTTCTTCTCGTTGAGTGACAAGATCCAGAATCAGTTTAGCATTTTTTAAATCTTCTCGTAGTTTTCGTAACTTATCAAGACCTTGAATATCAGCACGTCTTGCTTTTCGTATAGGCTTTATTTCTCTGCGCCGAAAACAAACGTATGGATCGCTATCAGGTTTTGAAGAAATTTCTTCAGTCTACGGATAGTACAATTCAACCATGTAAGTTTAAAAGCCAAGACAACAGACTAGTAATCAAGCAATAGATAGCAACTTACTTTGAATTTTGGAATCAGTGAAGACAACTTTTCAGTGTATCGTCTGTATTTCCAATGCACATAAATATTGGCGAGAGCATCAGGAGATAGATTGAAATTTTGTGGATAAATAGACTGGGAGAAATGGGATTGAGTTTCTTCAAACGTAGGACATTCACCAGAAACCTAGAGCATTCAAAAGTGGAAACACATTACGAAACCGAATGTAACATTGCAAGGATAACAATGAAAAGGATTAGCAGTAGTGTACCTTGTCATTTCCGACATTATCCAATGCAACGATAGCGGCTTCAAAGTCGTCTTCAAGAACGTGATCCGCCTTGTTCTCATGTTTACGGTTGTACGTGGAGATCCAATCATCATCGATTTCGTCAAGATTGTACATGCATCCAATAACATCCTCGACAACGGTGGAGAAGCGAATCAAAGATTTGGGAAGCTGAAAATTGGGAATGTAAAGAGACTCGAAAATGTTGAATGGAATCAAAGTGGAAGCATCTGGAGTTGGGATGACGACCTGAGTGTTGGTGTGGTTTGCAACCAGAGCAGCCTGGAGATGGTGTTCCTAAGAGATTGAACAATACAATAGCAAGAACAGATGAGCAGACTAAACTCTTGAACAAGTTACAACAGCAAACGAACCTCTTCTTCTTCCTTTTCGACACCTGTAGCAACCTGCGGGATGGTTCGATTCAGAGCAGAAGACTCGTCCAGATCCGGAGCTTCATGAAAGTGATAAATGGAAAGAGGACGACGAGCATCAACCTTGCGAGACCTCAAAGCAGAGCCAGTTGTAGTGGCAAGGTCTCTGCCTCTAGCAGAGTAAGCCATATTTCCTGTTGGCATAATAAGACTTGAAGTCTTTGATAAGCAACTTGCGCGAGCAAACCTTGAAAACTGCACGTCTGGTTTTCTTTCAAGTTTCTATCATGGACGCTGACTTGGATGTTGTCCTCAACGATCCTGACAACGAACTGCTAAACCAGAATGCCTTGAACATCGAACTTCCTGACTTGGATGTCGCTGCTGCTCCAGAATATTCAGAGTTGTTGTATCATGAAGAACCCTTGTCTCCCTTTGACACTCCTGTCGATGCCTTGCCTTTGACACTGGGTTTGGATTTGAATCTGGGCTTGAGTTCTCATCCTATCGATTCAAGTTCTGCTCCTGATACTCTAAACCCTCCTGTTGGTCTGCACAATGATACTGCAAGAGACGACTCTCAATCTAGTCTGCCTTTGTCTTCTCGCTCTGTCGCAAGAACTTCTCGCACTCCCTATGAACGTCCTAAACCTGATACTGGATCCCATCTTAGATCAAATGAACGCACTGTTGGTAGTCGTCATCTAGACTCGTCTTCTTCAAATCGAAACTGTCGAGTCTATGTTGGCAACTTGGCTTTTGGTTGTGGTTGGCAGGATCTTAAAGACTACATGCGGAAATGTAACTCTCTTTGAATCCCTCTATTCTCTCCCATTCTTGGCTCAGTGTCTTGATAACTTTTGTCTTGTTTAGGTGGAAATGTTCTTTTTGCTGATATCATCATGAGAGACGGTCGATCGTTGGTATGATTTATCGTTTTGTACACATTTGGCACTTGTTGCAATCAGTCTGATTTCATCTCGTCTTGTTTTATATCATAGGGATGCGGCGTTGTAGAATATTCCTCTCCTGATGATGCTCAACGTGCCATTCGTGAATTGCATGATTCAAACCATATGGGTCGCACTCTCTTGGTGCGCGAGGTAAGACCTCGCTTTCGTTTTGTCTTTTTAGTCATGTCCACCATTGTTCATTCCATAGTCTATAGGACAGAGAAGCCGATTCACGACGTCCCAGTGGAAAAACTCGATCAACCAATCGGGACAGTAATAGAGGCCCCGATCGTGATTCTGGAAGTGACCGCTATAGTCGAAATGATCGCACTAGATATGATGACAGGTCTAGCCGTGGTCGAAGTGGTCGCAGCTATCGTGATAACGACGATCGTGATGATCGTCGTCGTGTGGAGGGTCGCGATGATCGTGACAAGAAGATTTTTGTTGGAAATGTACGGTCTTGTACTCGTGAAAATGGTTCAAATCTTGATACTGCATTCTAATGGTCTTCAATGTTTAAATGACTAGCTTCCTTTTGTTGTAAACTGGAAGGATCTGAAGGATTTGTTTCGCAAAGTTGCCTCGGTTGTTCGTGCAGAGGTATTTGAAGATCATGATGGTCGTTCCAAAGGCGTAGGGACTGTGGAGTTTGAGACTCCTCAGCTTGCTCGCAATGCCATTTGTAAGTCACTTTCAACCCTTTTATATGCAAACCTATATTCTAATCTGTAACTTGCACAACTCAAATAGCCATGTTTGATGGTTACGAATGGCATGGGCGCAGACTAGAAGTGAGAGAGGTGGGCATTTATGTTGGATATGTACAGATGTGTAGTGTATTGTTGCTGGCTGTGATGTTGGCTGAATGGTAGAGGCTGGGAATTAAGTTGAGGAAGATGGTGGTTCAGACACTCCTCTGGCTTTTAAGCTGCCGCATTGTATGCAACAGTGTTTTATTTCAATTGTACCCTTTTTTGGTACTGATTTGTTTTATCAAAACATGGCATGTGGGATCAATGTGTGTCTGTTCCTTACCAATATGATGATGTTTGGTTCATGTGCTGGACCCAATACATGTTCCATGTATACTGCTATATAATTAGGACCGGCGACCCGGATACCAGGGCGGAGGGGATAACAGCCGTCCCTCACATCAAGATCGTAACGATAGTGGGAGAACGTCTGGAAGAAGCCAAGATGACGGCAGAAATAGGGATGTGGGCAATCATGGACCATATGGGGTTGGATTCATACCTTTTGGTATGCCTTCTCGCAACAGTGTAGGATATGATATGCGTGATTTCTATCCCAATGCAGCACTTGGCGTTATTCCTGGAATGGGGATTGGACCGGGTGGTCCTGCTGCTGCTGCGGCAGCTGCTGCGTTTGGAGCATATTTTAGCGGGGGTGCAGGCAACAATGGTAATGCAAGCGTCAATGGCTTTTATCCCGGATTTGACATGTTTGGAGGTGTAGGATTTTCAAATGGAGGCATAGATCAAGGTAAATTGTAACCCTATCACCCGTAATGCAATCATATACTGACAATGTCGTCAATACTATGCGATGTCAAGGAGATGCAAGGTCTCGTATAAATCCTGCAATACGAGGATCTATTATGCAACAGCAGTTTCAACAGCCTTCATCTCAACAGCAGCAACAGTATGGCAATACACAAGGACAATCCATTCAGCAGCAACCACAACAATTTCCATCTCAACGAGACAACTACTTTTAAGATGGATGATTTGCATAATGATGAATTGGCATTTAAAACGATGGCAGTCCAATATATTTTTATCAAATGAATTTATCGCAATTATTTTTCAAATATCTGAGTGCAGCGAATGAAAAACGATCAATTGATGAATTACAAACTACAGCTGGTGTCAATAGGATAGAGTATAACCAATATATATATATTAGTTTAGGTTGATGTACAGATTGTATAAATGAATCTTTTGTCAAAACAAGATCAAATGAGTGATGTTTTATACTGAATCAAAAAAAGAGCAGCAGATTATTGCTGTGACACAATAGATGATCTTGCAATTCAAATCAACAATTTATCGATATTTGGAAGTTTGACTACAGAAAAGTGAGTAAACTTTACGCAAGTCTTTAAACACACGATACACGCTGATTTACTACAATTTCACACTTGATAACTTTAAATTTGAATTACTCGGAAATGCAACGTCGATCTGCTAGGAATAGTAAACCTGTCGAGGATACCAGCAGTGGTACACCAGTGGCATCGCTATTTGATGATATGATCTTTGCCATTTCATCCAAAGCTGCCTCTGCCCATCCATCTCTTTCGCAAGACATTAAAACTGCTGGTGGTGGTGTCGTTGCTTCTGTTACTAAAAAGGTTGATTGATATTTGAGTGTTAACGACTTGTAATAAACTGGACTATGTAATCCAATCCATGGCTGTTTCTGGCCTTGTCCTCATCTACACTGTTTTTTGTACCGTCGCACATGTGGCATTCTCATATCGCTTGTATTTGGTTTCTATGCACAGGTTACTCATGTCATAGCACTCGAATCCGAAGTAACTGCTGGTCCTCTGTTAGCAAAAGTCAAGTCTGCTGTTGCCCAAAACATTCCTCTTGTATCTCCAGATCTGATTATTACCTCGATCGCTTCCAAGAAACTGAACATCGAGAAATTCATACTGAAGCCTCCATCCGACTCGCCAGTATCATCTCCTGTTCAAGGACCATCCAAGAACGATCCTGTCAGTGCTAAACGAGCCTCTAGTCCCGATTTGGCTAAACCCACCAAGGCGATCAGACCCAATCCAAAAACAACCAACAAAAAGGCGGCTCTGATCAAGAGCGATGCTAAAGTGGATGTCAAGACTGATTTGAAGGCCAAGATCGATGACCAAGTCAAGCCAGACAAGCAAGTCGTAGCTATAAAAAAAAGCAAATCAGTGAGTAGTTGTATGCATAGTCCAGATCTGCACTTTCAATATTGCATCCATTCTCAACCATTTATAGGTCGTCGACTATCATTGCAGCTGTGCCAAAACCACTCACGTTGTCGAAGACGGAGATGAGATCTACGGTATGTGACTTGAACTGTCTAAGCCCGTAGCTGGTCCATCACTTGAATATTCGATTTTTATAGCATGTTTAATCAATACAATGAATAGATGCCATGCTCAGTCAGACAAACATTTCTGAAAACAACAACAAGTTTTACATTATTCAGATTCTCAAAGATGACTCTGTTAATCAGTATTTTTGCTGGAAAAGGTAATCAGAACCATCATAAAATGAGCAGATCTGGTTCAACAAACTGACTTTTATCCGCTTTGCTAATAAGGTGGGGCAGAGTTGGCGTAACTGGACAGTCCAATCTGACAACACACGCGACTTTCGATCAGGCATTTCGGGAATTTTGTAGAAAGTTTCGAGAAAAGGTATGCCGTTTGAAATAGATGGCCAAAACTGTCGAGTTTTGATGTTGATTTCGTGGATCTATCAAATGCTGTGCGCTGCTTGTAGACTCAAAACGATTGGAAGGACAAGACCAATTTTGTCAAGTACCCTGGCAAGGTATTTCTAAGGCATGATTTATACGGTTTGCTAAACTGTTCAAATCTAACCATGTCACTGGTGTCTGAAAATGCAGTATTTTTTAATTGAGCGAGATTTTGGCTGCGAAGACGAAGACGAAAAAGAAACCTCGGCTGCGGACTCGGTACAAACTCCAATTCCAGAATCCAAACTGCATCCTTCTGTGAAAGAACTCATGGAGCTTTGTTTCAACATGGATATGATGAACCTTCAGATGATGGAAATTGGTTACGATACAAAAAAAATGCCTCTTGGAAAGCTTAGTAAAGCCAATATTCACAAAGTAATTTGAATGATCAATGCCTTGTGGTGCTTCAAATGTTGCTTACATTGCTTGAAATTGGCTTAATAGGGATACGAAGTACTTAAAAAGCTTTCCGATGTGATCCAAGCTTCTGAACCAAACAAGGCTGACCTTATGATGAGACTGAGTTCTGAATTTTATACAATTATTCCTCATGAGTTCGGCATGTCTCGCCCACCTGTGATTCAAACGCTTTCTATGCTCAAGGACAAATTATCCATGGTGGAAGCGCTGACAGACATTCAAATTGCTACAAGCATTATTAAAACAACCAACTCGGTCCATGTGGAACACCCTATGGATGTCAACTATCGATCTCTCATGTGCAATCTTGTACCGGTTGATCGTACTTCTGATACGTTCAAGATGGTATGTGATTACACAAAACTGACACACGGAAAAACACACTCAAGTTACGCTTTGGAAGTTCTCGATGTATTTGATGTTGAGCGTTTTGGAGAATCCGATCGATACATTGAGTCTAGCAGTCATAAGCTAGACAACCGCATGCTGCTTTGGCATGGCAGTCGACTGACCAACTTTGTTGGAATTCTATCTCAAGGCCTTCGTATCGCTCCTCCTGAAGCACCTTCCACAGGATACATGTATGCGATATTAACCTATTATACTGGCTCTTGAACCTGCTTGATATATGACTTGCGAGTGTTTTAATATGGTTTCAATTTACTTTTATATTCAAGGTTTGGCAAAGGAGTCTATTTTGCAGATATGGTATCAAAATCAGCAAACTATTGCTTCACAAATTCTCGCTCCAATACAGGCATCCTGCTGCTTTGTGAAGTTGCTCTTGGTAAAACCAATGACCTAGTACAATCTGACTACCATGCCGATAAAAAGATTGACTTTAAAAAAGTGCATTCGACCAAAGGTATTGGACGAAACTATCCTGATCCAAAGCAGTACATAAAGCTGGAAGATGGTGTTGTTGTGCCTGCTGGAAGTAATCTTGAAACCAAAGGATCGAATGGATATCTCCAGTACAACGAATATATTGTATATCGCGTTGACCAAATTCGTATCCGATATCTGGTCAAGATGAACTTCAAATATAAATAGCAATATTCAAGCATGTGATGAACAGTTGCCAATTTCAATAAAAGTATTGTCATTTGAATGATCTGCATAGATCTGATAAAAATATTTAAAATAGTTTGATTTGTTTTACAGCTGCATTCATGTAAAATGGAACACTATTTTACTCTCAACTATACAATGACCAAATACCTGTTGTGATTTTTTACTACATATTGATTGCTCAATGTATTTCCAATCCTTTCAAACACAGCGTTCATCATACGATGCTCACAAATCAAACTGTAGTTTTGAACCAAGATTATTTCTTTCTTTATATTTGACATGACCATGCATTGTATGATCACCAAGTTTGACACCAGATTCATGTATTGCAGTTCAACTATTGGGTCCGACTGTTGTCAATGCAACGGCACACACTCGTACATTTTGTTGTATTCTGAATCCGATATATTCGCGTTCTAACCCAAGAAAGCAATCATCACAATTTCAGGAATACAGCTATACATGTCAAGCACCAGGATAAAAATCAGTCAACTAATGAGTTTAGATAACATTATATTAGCAGTGGATTTGGTAATTATTCGCACGAGACTGGCTGTTTATTATACGCCCTTATTCGTGTTTCATTGGCGAGTACAGCTGTAAAAACGCTTCAAATTTAAAATTTAAATTTTGTTTGCTATTGCTCAACATTATCCAACTCAAGTTTCGGACATAAAGTTCGGACATTCGCAATAATGCTGCAACTACTTCAAGGATTTGTAGTGTGTGTTTCTGGACTATCAGAGCCTGACAGAGTAATACTTTATATAGTGTTGTTGATTGAATTAAAAGTGCTTTGTTTTGCAGACAATCGCAGCAGAACCATTTGCTTGTAGCGTTTTCAGCAACTACTCGTTTTAACAGCATTCATTTCTCTGTTACTTTACCAGAATATTGTAGAGCAAAGAGTCATTGAACTAGGAGGAAAGTTTACCGGCAGTTTTACCACACATGTCACTCATCTTATATCCAGCTCAACTTCAACTGATAAATACAAAGTGCGACAATATGATGCAATGTTCAACTGTTTTTTAAATGGTTTCTTCATTTTCTGCAACAGACCTAATTTGTTTCTACAACTATATTTGAATCTAGGTGGCTTTAGAACTTGGAGTGCCGATCATTTCCCCACAATGGGTATCGTGTTTAGAATCAAATAATGATATTGAAGTAGGTCCATTCTTGCACTGCGATATTCAACTGTGCTTTACCATCTAAACACTAATACATTGGCAATCTACTGATTCAACCAATCATTATAGCCATTTAATAATTACCTGTTGCCTCCGTTTAAAGGAATCCTTGTGTGTGTGAGTGGCTTTCCAACAGAAGTCCGTCAAGAGATTGAGCAGCGTGTCATGGAACTTGGTGGTGCGTTTACATTGGTGTTGTCAAAAGACTGCACTCATTTGATTTGCCTTTCTCCTTCAGGCCGAAAGTATGAGTTTGCAAAAGAATGGAAATTGGATGTTGTTTCTATAGATTGGTTGAATGAATGCTGTAAACAACGAGGTATACTTGTTTGGTGTCATATCGACAATCATTGCACACAAGAGTTGACTTTCCAATTACGTGACTATTGAATAGGTCGTGTTAGCGAAGCAAATTTCCGCATTTCTTCTGTAGATAGTCTAGATGATCAAACAGCTGTATCTACTGACGTCCGCACATATCTAGAACGATGTAAAATTTTTCTTGGTGAAGGCTTTGATTCTGAAGTATTGGATTTTGCTCGCAAGATTGTTCGTGAAGGCGGTGGCAGCATGGCTCGAACCTGTGATGGATTCGTATCGCATTATTTACTTTCAGGTGTCTGTCCAACCCCAATGTAACGTAAAATAACCAAACTTCTTTATCAAACCATTACAAACTGCTTCAAATATGTACCAAAACTGTGCTCTAACAAGAAACGCATGCATCGTTGTCTAGTGATCAACAAAGACTTTCTGGTTTAATTCAAGAGGTTCAAATTTTGAATTACAAGTGGTTGACAGATTGCTATTCACGACTGTCACTTCAGCCCACAGAACCTTATCTTTATACGAGAAAAAACAGCCAGCAACTACCTTCTTTAAACTCAACCACGCAACCTCATTCAAAAGGTAACTTTATTTTTCAATCAGTCTTTCATGTGCTACCAGTATCAAAAAGATCTCATTATTTCAAAATAGTGGTTTTTTTCAAATCGGCCATTTTTGCAATCGATGGGTTTGAAGAAACACAGGTACTGTGATGAAAACAATGAATCCGACTATAATTGCAAAACAACTCAATGTATGCCATTTTGACTGAGTGTGATTAGATTAGAGCAATGTCATTATTGATCTCCAACCACGGGGGCTCGCTACAAACGGCTGCAACTGCAACTCATATAATTGTACCATTCACGTAAGGCGTTTCATTGCGTTCAATTCAAATTGTTTCTATAAAAAGAATAGTTGTTTATTTTGAACCGAGTATTTAGAAATCGTCACAAGCCACTTACTAGTCTTCCAAGCAAATCTAAAGCTCAACTTGTTACAGAGTATTGGTTTGAAGCCTCGATTGAACTGAATCAGTTGCTTTCTCCTCACTCGAATGTTCTCTATCAACCCAGCATGAGAAAATTTCCATTGCGAGGTAAACCATTATTGTGCATAGATCACATTATTGAAAGTTTGTAAATCAGTAACGTAACCTAAATGATGTATCTCAGTGTCCAACATGAAGATTGGAATCACCGGATACGAAATGTCGGAACGCTTCCACCTCACTCGCGCTATCAAGTTAATGGGCAAGTTGATATTAAGTTTTAGAAATTGCATTTGAATTTATTTTTGACATACTTTGAATCATTTATAGGATCAACATTTTGTGAAAAGTTTTCCAAATCGTGCCATATTCTTGTTTGCCATCCTTCATTAGGAATTGATTCTGCCAAGTATATCAAGGCCAAAGAATGGAAAGTAAAGGTTGTGGATGGAAGTTGGATTCTTTCCTGTATAGCTGAGGGAAAGTACATGGACTGCGATCAGTTTGTTATTCCACGAGATCAAACTCAACAATGCCGCCAGAATCGCGATCTGCGTGTATTGGATTTGGAGGCTGATAGGTTCCTTACCACTGTAGCCTGTCAAAATATTGATAGTGACAAAACGAGAGATCAATTGTCAGATGCGTTCAAAGATGCTTTAGACTGTTCGCGGCAAAAAACAAATGATTTGCCGCAAAGTGTAGACAAGGCATATAGAACCAGTCAATCTCCCTATTCTGACGAAAAGAAATCGTCCGTTCAATTAGTCAAGTCCACACATGATACGCCAAGGTCACGCTCAGACGACTATGCAATTTTTGCAAAAAAGCCAAAATCCAGCTCAAAGGTATCGTGGTTTTCATAGCAATTGCCATGTATCCATGTGATATATGATCAATACACTATTGACGCGACTATGTTTTTTAAATGATAGAGGGCCCTAAACTTGACTCGAGATTTGAACTCTTCGGAAGATAGTCCCAATGAACAGGTGGAGAATAGACAGGATAAACTAAACGTGGTTGGGTATCGTGATCCAGATGGGTTATCAGAAAAACAGCGTCTTCTTGAACAAATTGAACAGCCGTTCATTAAACGCATTCGATCCAGTGCAGATCACACTGCTCATCACAAAGAAACAGTATCCACCACATCCATGGAACATGCTGCTGAACAACTCCAAAAGAAACTTGAGCAGTGTCAACACCAAAAAAGCAATCAAGAAAACCAACCCGTATATACTCACTCTATTCAAAAGCCAACTGCGTCTGTTTTGCCTCATATCCAATTTTCAGCAATTCAAGCTCATCAAAAACCGGAAATGTCATCTATTGTTCAAACGTTAGGCGGCACTGTCACCACGTTGGATACCTGGGATACAAAATGTACCCATCTTATTGCATTTTCAGTAGCCCGATCAGAAAAATTTCTATGCGCCTGTGCTTCTGGAAAATGGTATGTAGTCCATATTCTACTTTTATTTAATTGAAATGTCCTCGACTTTTTACTGTAATCTAATACGTATACAACGTGTTATGTGTTTAGGATTCTCAAGCCATCGTTTTTAATGGCCAGTCAAAAACTAGGAAAGTTTGTTTCTGAAGAGGATCACGAATGGTGTGAAAAAGGTATTGTGCAATGAAACATGATTTTAAATCTGCTGGATTTTTATAGGTTCATACAAATATAACTCATGTTTTGCTTATCAGATCCGCTAGATGGTGCTGCTGCTGCACGGTACTGGCGAAAGGAAATACAGTTGAATGGTCGAAAAGGTAGACTTGGTATTCAGCACCACTGCGCACTCGACTTTTTATTTTGGATCAACTATATGTCCACTTGCTGGATCACTAACAGACTGCCTGGTGTTTATATTTATTATCTGGTTTGGATATATAGGAAGCTTTTATGGCTTCAAGGTACTACTGTTGGTAGAAGAAAGAAAACGCAATGGATTAACAACAGTATTACGCTGCGGGGGTGCCCAAGTTTTAGCTGCAAAGCCATCCTTGCGAGGCATAAACGAGGTATTGCTCAGCTCAATCGTATTTTTTGCAATATGTTGTGGAAGATACTGACAGAAATTTAAATGAACATTAGAATGAATTTTCTCATGCCATAGTAGATTCCTCTGCAGAAAATACTCTGGCTAAACTAGATAAGCTACACATTCCCTCTTATTCTCCAGAAGGATTCATCAGCTATCTCTTTAGTGCATCAAAGGATTTGGAAATGTTCAGATGTGTGTTGAAATAAATGTTTTTTAATAATGCACTGTTATCTGGTTGGAATAGATCGTGTGGCTTGTACAAATGTCTAGTCAAAATACCGCCATACAAAGAGTTAGGGTTTGATCAAAAGCACGCATCAAATGCAAAGTAATTGTTTACCTGAATGTACTTTTTCAGTTCTTTTTTGTCAAGATTGAGCAAATTAGTGGCAAACAATTGTGCAGTTTCTGGCGGACAGCCACGAGATGGAAGATAATTTTTTGCAATAAAATCGACATATTCTGCACCTAAAACTTCAACACAAACCTTGTGCAAAGAGGCAATCTCGCCAAGAAGAACAAGCGCCTGTCCATCAGCTGGATTAAAAGATTGGCGAAGCGGGAGCTCAAACATGATAGGCAAAATGTTTTCAAACACAAATTGGTTGAATCCATTGAGTGGGGTGCGTTTCAAGGTAGCATCTCGTCCCCGTGCAGCGCCAACTACTGGAGGTTTTACAATGTGTCCATCACTGGCATGCGACCCTGATTGTTGAGTGCCAGCATTTGCACTGCTCTGGATATCGTCACCTGCCCAGCAGTAGACCATTTTAGAAAAAAGAGAAAACACAAGCTTGTGCACGGTCACGTCTGAATTTTCATCCAAGCATAACATGATGGACATGAGCGTAGTAGAAAGATGCGCGACATTGGCTAGACATTAAAATAAGAAAAATATCAATAAACCATTACACTTGAAGTTGCATACATTCAAAAAAGCTGTTCAAACATTCAAAGAATCGCACCTGAGCATGTTAGAATAGCTTGCATTTCGGAATTAAACAGTGCGGTAAATAAGGTAAGGTATGATCGACGAAGAGAAATTTGTTGAATAATATCGTCCGTTCCAACTGCTTGTTGATTCAAAAACAGAAATATTTTCTCGCGAAGAGGTGTCCATAACTCTACCAGGATGTCTGCAATAGAGAATTTAAACTTGTAAATCATTAATCCAATAAAGGGCAAAAAGTCGATCAATTCTGTTGCAGTGGTGCTTGAAAGTAAACCAGCTGACAGGAATGTTGGTAGATGATCAAGAATTACTGGCCCGACACAGCCAACCATGCATTGTAATGATGATCGAGACTAGTATAAACAAGAAGAATTTAAACATTTATATCAAAGCTGTTAGCCATGATCTTGCATCAGGTGTTATGATTCAAAAATATACATACCGCTTCACGAATGAGACTTGAGTCACTAAGACGCTCGAGTACTAGCAAGATTCGATGAAGTACTTCTTGAAAAATCTGCACGACTTGGGTTTCCATTATACGTTTAATGGAAGACTGCGAAGAAGGGGCAATGTCAGCACTGTTGGCTACGAGATGATCACCGACATAGTCGGGGAATCCCTTGCTTACACTGCCAATGGCAGTGATCGTGTCTGCCAATAGGATTGTGATTTGCTGACTCGCTGGATTTCCTTGTAGCAATTGTTGCATACTCGACTCGATCACATAAATCATAGGGGAAAGTATTTTCCCTAGTAATAGCGCACGCTTTGAAGGCTCCACCAAATCTGCAGAGATAAGGTGACCTGCGCATTCAAAAAGATACAACTGGCTGTCAAATTCTGCACTGTTTTCTACCACTGTCACCTTTGTAAGCTGAGATGGAGTATCACCATTGGATACATCAGTTAAAGATGGCTTTCTCTGAACAATCACAATCAGATCTTCGATACTGCTCAGAATACCATCAGCATATGTACCAATCAGCTGGCGGAGGTGTTTGATAAATCTTAAAAAAAGATAATTTAATCGAAGCCGGATTGCCATATTGGGGTGGTGAAGACCGCGTGCACCAATAAACGCATTGAGTGCCTGGGGAAGATAGTGCGGACACTGTTCAAAAAACTGTGAATATCTGACAAGAATTTCAAAATATAGGATCGGAACCGATATGTGCGGATAAGAAACAGCATCTGTTTAAAATAAAGTGCACAAGCATGAGAAATATAAATCAATGAATAAAAAGTTGAACAACAGTGCCGTCTAATCAACTATTTTATAGTTTCAAAAAATAATACTTTGTAGAATACATACCACATTCAAATAATTTTGAAAGCATCTGTCCCAACGGCGAAAGATTTCCTGACTCGAGAATATATATTGGAGAAGCTGATATGCAAAGGCATAGTTTTTATTTAGTAAATCAAAAACAATCCAGCAATACACGATACTCTTACCTTTAAATGGTTTTGCCTCGATAAACACATGGAGTAAATGAAGAGCAATCTCGACATCGGGCCATTTTAAAATGTGTTGAGGAGCCTTTCCAGCTTGTACGCCATGAATCATTAGCTCAAAATTTTGTAAAACGGTGCTCGATATACAGGACACAAACAGACCATCGTCGATAGAAGCAATGGATTCAAGTAGCGCCTTGAAACTTTTTCGAAGATCTGCAAACAAAGCTTCCGATTCACCTGCGTCTGGACCAAGTCTGAATTCATCATCATCTAAAAACTTCATTTTACCAACAAGAACTTGAAGTAGTTGAGTCAGAAATTTCCGTTGTTCAGAAGTGACTGTACTCTTTTTAATTCGTTTCATTAACAAGAGTAGAGCTTGGACAAACGGTAGTAGAGCGGAAACCGTGTCGTCATACTCGTTGCCCAAATATTTAATCAAGTATGGAAACACTTGTTGTAGAACAACAAGAGATTGATCGCGCTCTAGACTGCTTTGACCTTCTTGACAACAATGGCACAATTCCATGCCAATGCAGTTGATTAGCTTTGCAACCTGTTCATCAAAATCCTCTGGTCCATATTCAAATGTATCAATGATTGCCGGTAATCTAAGAAGCTGTAGCAGCTGCAGTTTATCAGCAACTTTCATGCCCTTTCCTACAATTTCTGCAATGCAATCGCAAGCAGCAATTCTCAGGTCAGGAACACTCAAAAATCCCAACAGTGCATCTACAAACTCCGACTGTAAAATAAGATTGATATCCGCCCATGATGCATAGACACCAAATAATCCAACACAGGCATTTGTGATCTCGGCATCTGACATATAGTGAGATCTTAGCAAACTCATCCATGATCTAATAAGCGCCTCTACAGGACCCTCTCGCATCCAGTCCTTGATTGCATTGTTTCTAACCACATCTTCTGGAGTTCGTGGCACGTAAAGGCATACAACTTCTTCATCAATGACAGCACATATATGCAAAAAGGCCATAATAAGCGATCTCTGAGCTCCAGAATCAGACAGGAGAGAAAGCAGCTGATCAAAAAACGTAGGCCATTTTGTAGGATACTGTGCTTTAAATAAAAGCACAATCACTACCGACAGTTTGTTTTTCAAATAAGACGGTCTGCTTGGATCAGAGTAATATTGACGCACCAACTCCCAAATACTTTGTTGTATAAAAAGATGCTCATCTTGGGTCAAATTATCGGAACGATGACGCAGCATGTCCTCCAAAATCTGAAAGCAATAGAACCGGACCTCTAAACTATAACTAAAAGAAATTATATAAATACGCAAATAGTTTGGTTAGATTAGCAAAGTACTTGGAATAATATGGATTATAGCTATCAATGAGTATTTTTGTTGATTGGATACTGATTATTTGATTGTGATGAGATTGCCATCCACAATTCAACATGGCAAAATAGCGAGTTCAATAAACGATGGCATCCAAATAGTCATACAAAACCATCATGGCTAGATATGCAGCAAAACCACATGAATCCAACTTATGGATGAATTGGGTACAGATTGTTCAGTAGAGCATTCTTTTTAAATCCAAGCAATCTGCGATTCTACCTTGAACCAGAATCCTGCCGAGTATCGGCAGCAGCAAGAATGCGAACTGCCAATTCCCATCCTCTAGCAGACTCTCGCACCTGGTTACAGTAAGCAGTAGCTTCGGCTTTGATAGCTGGTTGTGCAGTGTGACTGAATGCCACATCCACGGCTCTACACAGATCCTCCATCGGCCTTCAAGGTCGCAAGTTATTTCCTATTCAATCAATGTCGAAAAAACGAAACCAAAAAACAAGAAATATTTTGGCCCAAATCTTGAGTCTGCTCGTGACTTTGCCGAAACACGCCTAATTTCGACCACCACAGTTTGAGCTGGTCAGCAAGATTGTTGGCAAGATTGTTGACAAGATTGTATTGTCAAACTGGAAAATCTTCATACTCAACACATGATTTAAATTTCATAATCAAATAGTCTTGCCAAAACATTCATTTGTAAATAAATTGATAGTTCTCTACTTTGCACCAAACAAAGATCCAATACGGTTTGAAATGATTCCTCCAACAACATTGCCCAAAATGCCTTGATCGGCAATATAGTTGGCCACTTTTTTCTTGGCATCCTAATAAATTGTATATACGCGATTAGCTGTCAACAAGTACAGTGGTAGTGTTTTGATCATAGAACGTAACATGGATCTGGAAAATAAAACAATTACCTTTTCGCATTGCGTATAGCCAACTAGATTTGCCATGGACATGGATACTGCAACAAGTGTCACGACAAAAAAGCTTGCCTGTAGCTTAAGAATGGACAAGATTGCGAGTAATACCCATAATATGGGTGCAGTATAGAGTGCCATCCAGAATATCCGAGAGTCTACCGTATTCACTGCTCGATTCTATCAAGGAAACATCAATCCATCAGATATTGACAGTTATTCATTGCAAGTATTGCAATGTTTTAAAACATTAGTCTATATGATCTAATCACTTTCAATGTTTCAGACTGCTTCAGATTGAAACAACTGGACCAATGTGTACAGACGCATTACAGATTCAGAAACAGTACCTCTCTAGATTCAAAGATCCACTCATTTGTGCCATCGTCACGGATCTCATTCCACCATCTGAGACCTACCAATAGTCTTCCAGTGACATTTTTGACTGTCCAGAAATCAAACGCCAGCAGTAAAATAATAATCACAAATGTAAGAATAAAGTCGGATACAATCAGCCAGCTGAACATGTATGTGACAAGAGCAGCTGTTTTAAAGATCACATGGAAAATGAGAGCGATTGGATGGCTAGTGATGAACAAGTGATGGTGTTAGTGGATAGATACGATAGCAAGAGTCTCCAACACAACGAGTCCTTGTCGTTGTGTATTGTTGCTGTTGCATCGAGAGCAATCTAGTCTTGTATTCAAGCCAGTTCATTTGCAACATACCTTGATTGTTGCAAGATGGTAGGCTCTGGTTGCGCTGCTTCAATATCACCCTGTGCAGTAGCACTACCGCCAACTCCATGAGCAGTCTGAGCAGTAGCCCCTTGTCCTGATAGACCGCCAGCATATAATGCTTCTTTGTCAGCCTGTCATTACATTATCATGAACCAACACATGTCAGACCATCGCATGTACATGGCAATAACAGAACATGGCATTAATAAAGCATGTTCTGTGATGAGTGCAAGGCTTGAGCAATGCACAATATTTATTGATAGTAATGACCAGCATCTCCTTCCATGTGTTACCATTGTGTCGAGATACGAGTTCAAGTTTCTTCAAGAAAGAGTAAATGTTTGCGGAGTCTTGTCAACTGCTAATCCAGTTTATGGATCTTCCATGACTGAATCTCAAGTGTTCGTATTAGCCAATATCTACTTTCTCGAGTCAATCCATTCTAGCATTTTATTCGGTTGTTTCCTCTGGATCTTCAGTGCAACACTCGATAGATTCAAAAAAAGTTTAAACAGTAATGATGAAAAAGCATATCCGATTGCACACCTACAAGACATCCAATTCTTTAATCAAATGAGTATCAATCATCTGTCTAACCACATATCCTTGATCCATAGGTGCCAAATGTCCTGCAGCTAATAACTCTATTCTTGCAAGATGTCGATACTGCGTGACATATCCTACCACATGTAAAGTGTCAAGTAATCGCTCAGTAAGCATATGCCAAACTGTTCGAGGTGCCATGAGAAACTCTTTAGAGCCAGTCCATGTCATTGATTCAATCCAATCTGTTGAACCCATGATTCCATCTCGGAAATCAAACTGTCCTTGGTAGAGCACAACTCGGTATTTCTTATCCAGCAACTCTGCAACAACATGTGCTGCGCTCTTCATGATATCCTCTGTCAGACTCTCTGCAGCTTTTTGATCTTTTCCAAACTGCGCTAACGATCCAACATTGAGAGATTGTTTTGTCGTTTCGAGTTGCAAAAAAGACTCCATTCGTGACCAATCGTTTTGCTCATCTTTTTTACGTACATCGTACCAGTTGATTCCACCTGTACTGTTTTGAAAAAATGAAAACATCAAGTTTCGCATCTCAAGCGATTGTTTCCATTCCGAACGACATATGAAACCAACAGCTGCATTGGCATATCGCTGAATCACCTCTGCCTGGCTTCGCGACACGAGCCCAAGAGCAAGTCCCTGTGGTGCATGATACTTGATCTGCGTGACTGGATCGGTAAGGCCATTTCCAATGGCAATTCCTTTTAATGGGATAAGAGTGGATGGTGACTGGATACGTTGGGCATTGACTCGATCAATCTGTATAGCAAAGTGAGGAATGTATTTTCCAGCATACGACTCGCCAGTAATGTACAACTTGGATTTTCGCATTTTTGGGTACATGCTGTAGAATCCATCAAGAAATGTAATCAGATCTTGAGAAACTGCTTCTTGGTTACAAGCATATCCATCAGAGTATTGGGGAGTCTCGCTGGCCGTAAAATCACTTGGTTTAGAATTTTTATGGCCATGACTGCATTCATGCGTAGCACCAAGTTGGGCAGCACGATCAATCAACTCCTCATTAATTGGTGTTGTAGCAAGTGGTGTAGTAGCCAAGTTTTGATTTACTTTTGACGAGTTCTGACCCACATAACTATATCCAGTGCCTACAGGATTGTCGATAAACAACATTGCATAATGCAAGTTCCATGAATTGATGTTTGTGAACAACTCAAGCTTATTATTCAGACGAACTGGTCCCATTTCATAAAAAAGACCAATCATAGAACTAGATCCAGGTCCGCCCTGTAGCCAGATGATGAGAGGAGGATTATCCTCAAGCGGTTGCTGAGCAGGGAAAAACCAATAAAACATGCTAGCATTTGTATTGGAACTATGTGATGCATGATCAATAAGGGATGAGATACAGTCCAAGTCATACACATCACAATCCAGTTATTAAATAGACTTGTACCGTTGTATAGGCATAAAGCCAGCAAAGCCCAGATCTAATGGAACAGACCCATTCTGCCAGACCAACGGACCCACTCGATGCTGCATAGTTGTATCAGTCTGCAAAGATTCGATAGGCATGGATGATGCGTTGGTTTGAAGTTTCCATTCCGGCAATCTCCAGTAGTCGAGTCTAACCCATAGTAGAACTGCTGCAGCTAGAAAAACACTCGTACATGACAATAACAACAGTTGCTTCCATTTGCGCTGACGAAACCCATACACTTTATTTGGACAATAGTGGTAATGATTGAATCCATCCGTCCATTTAGGTAATATTTGCATTGTATAATGAATCGAGGTTGACAAGAGCTTTGCTCAACTTTAAGTCGAAATCTCTTGTAATAATCCAGTTATAAATACTTGATTCCGTTCTTGGATTTTATTACAACTGGTTTCAGTCTTTAGTGTCGATCGCTTGTCAATCGAATCTTGTTCATTATTCTATTCTGACTATAACGAATTCTTGACATCAGAATCTTACATTGCCAAACTTGACTTAAATTTCCTTTTCAATTATAAACCAACTTTCAAGTCTTGTTCTGATGGTAATTCAATGATATTCAAACTATACATTTTGTTTGAATCAAAGAAACTGGATTGCTCTACATTCAATGAGCCATCGTTCAACCTTGTTTCAATACTCTACAAGCCATCATCTACTGTCATGCATCTTACTCTTTTGATTCGAGGTCCTTGTATATACTAACATCCTGAATCTGCTATACAATCCAATGTGTCATGATCAATTCAAATCCAATTGCTACATCGTTCAGCTCTTTTATTCGTTTTTCAAAACCCTTGTGGGTCAAGAAGTAATCATTGAACTCAAAAACGACTTGGCTATTGTCGGAAAACTAGTATCTGTAGATCAGTTTCTCAATTTCAAACTAGATAATATTCGAGTAGAGGACGAGGAAAGGTTTCCACATATGGTGAGCTGATGCAAATTGTCTGTGCTGGCCATCCGTCTTTTATTTTCATTGGATTCAAAGGTTTTAGAACGTAGTGGGTTGAACCCAAGTGTAGAGCCAATCCATTGAGCTTTTGTCAAGCTACTCACCCTTTGTATTCATGGTTTTTATATCACGCTATTCCAGATGTCTGTCAAAAACTGCTTTATTCGTGGTTCTGTTGTTCGGTATGTACGTATTCCTGCATCAAAAGTGGATACTGCATTGTTGCAGGATGCTGCCAGGAAAGAAGCTGAGCAGCAATCAGGAAACGGTGCATAACAGAGTAGGATCAAAATGTCTAATTTCAAAGTAAATCAATAAAGCTTGCGCCAAATTTCACAAAATTGATTTTACAAGTACTGGTTTATTATATCGGACTCAGCATAATCAGCAAATCTGATGCCAGCTCCATCAACCTTTTTGAATCTTTTTGTTTTTTTCGGCCATGTTCAAGTGTCAATGTCGACTTGGGTGTTTGATGCAGGGTGAGATCACGCAACGCATTGATCAATAGTCTCAGTCGTACTTGAAATGCAGCCTGTAATGAAGGAAGCGAGTCTGGCATGGGGTATCCGTGCATTAATCTTGAAAACTTCAAAATTAATTCAATAATGTAATCTAGATGTGTTCTGATCATTCGGTGCTGTGGGCTTAGAAAAAGATATACATTGATATTATAAATGGCCTTGCGAATGATTGATCCAAGTTTGAATAAGCTGCAAATGGGCTGTCTAGTAGTTTGTGACTCTGATGAGGTAGTGCTTGAATAACGATAACCTGTCTCGGCGTATGTACCATTAGAAACTGGATAGGATTTAATCAGAGGTTGTCGAATAAGTTCTGCAGTGGCATCAAGTATTTCTAAAAGCTCTACACTCACTGGACGCACAACACCTTCAAACGAGTACCATGCAATTGTATTGAGAAAAACACGCATATGGTGTACTAATTGTACTGTCAACTTTTGTTCAGTCAGTGACAACTCTGAATCCGTGCAGGTTGTATGTGAACTCGACATACGGCACTTTTGCCATGCTTGAGTTTGAATAATTTGGTCGAGGGACGTTGTAGCTCGCGTAAGTTTCAACAGCCATGAAAAAACTCTATTCAAATCGTGCGCACATTCATCCGTCATTATAGTACATATAGGCGTAGGTGGGAAATAAACCAGCTTGAAAAATGAAAGTGAATCTTTTCCTATGTATGCATTTAAACCCAAACAATGTTAATTGTATGCTAGCCAAAAATCAATCAGTCATCAGCAAATTTACCAGTAATTTCTGCATCAAACTCCATAGACAGATATTCGAATTTCAAAACAGAGTCTGCAAGTTGATCATTGAGTAAACCAGAATGCGAGAGTGCATAAAAAGGTATTTTACCGAGCGTTCGATCAAACGACATTTTATCCACGGGCCATCTTCCCAATCCATTCAAGCAAAGTCCGGTTCTATAATCCATATTAAAGCTAGAGCTCCCAAATAATGCATTTTTGATAGAAACAAGAAACTGCCCATCTTGCAGAAAATAGTGCGACATCAATGTTTTAACATGGAATCGAATGTCTTGATGCATGTGTGCTTGTTCGCAAAAGAAAGTCATCATTGCTGTACGCGAAATGATTTGCTCCTGTGTCCGCCATATGCTAAAAAGTGATCGATCCATGCACACAGCAAGCGGACCAGCACTGAATCGATGCTCACTCTCGATAGTGGGTTTAGATGGTTTCATTGGTGATGGTTGAAATGAAATGGGCAGATTAAAAAAAGTGGAGCAAGACTGTAAGCCGTCCAATACAAGCGACTCGAAACTCATTACTGGCCTAATTGCTTGACTGACACGTTTCGAAACAACTTCGCTATGCAAAGAACCCAAATCGTCTGCTTGAATATGTTGATTATGTGCTTGTAAAAAATCCTCATCGTGTATATGAGCTATACTATGTGATGAATGTATACTTATGGAGCGAGGCTGGGAAATGTGCTTAGCAGCGTGAACTGTATCATGAGTGTCAGTCATAACAGTCGGGTTGATACTATGAGCACATGCGGGATCTTCAATGCCAGCATCATTCACTGGAGATAAAGTACAAATAGCGTCCTCAAGCAATATTGATGAATCAGCACTGACTGACGCTTGCATTGGGTACTGAGTTGCTTCATGAATAGATTCGGACTCTTGATTTAAAGCCAACCGTGTATCCTCGAGTATAGGCAATACGTCTATTGCATCAACGGAAACACAAGGTACATCGTTACTAGAATTGATCTCTGGCGTGTTGTCTGTAAAAGGCAGATCAGCATGGTCGTCAGCTTTAGAAGTTGGCAAAACAGCATCATCTGCTTCCCAGACTGCTTCAATGGCTTCCCGTCGTTTAATAGATAAATCAAGACGCTGCTGTCGCCAGACTAATCGTGCTTCCTTTTTTTCAAGCATTCTCATACGCGCTTTAAACTCTGACAAAATGGCATCGGTTTCCTTGGCTTCTAACTGGTCAATCTTGGCACGTTCAATAAATTGTTTACGCAAACGTTCTGCTTCTTCATATTGCTTCTTTTTCAACATATTCAACCGAAAAGCTTTTTGATCTGCAAGATAGCTCTGTTATTCAACCAATTAGTTACAGATAATAAATGTAATAATGGCATGTCACTCAGTATAATAAATTGCCATACATCAATGTCTTGCTTGAACTGTTGTTTTTTAAGGGTGGCTAAAACTAGTTTTTCCTCACGAACTGACGACTTGCGTTGTATGTCCGCATTCATCTAAATTCGTCCAGATTTCTATAGCATTAGTATTACAAAATAGCAAACTTTTATAGATTTTAGCAATCCAATCACAGTACATACTGATTGTGTCCGCTGCTTTTGAGAACGATGTTTAAATGCAAGTTTCTGTTGCTCCGCCTCATTGCGAATTCGAACATGTTCATTCCAAGCTTGAATCTGCATAGACTCGTATTGATATATAGTGTCCTGTATCACGTTGATATCATGCTCAAAAAATGCTGCAGTACTGTGCAACGCCTCTTCAGAATTATTCAATATTGACCCAATTGCTGGATATTGAAATTTGCATGTTTTGATTATACGTAAGGAAATTCCAGCTTCTAAAAATGTCTTTGCAGTTTGATCAGAAATAAAAGATGGTGGTCGTCTTGTTCCAGAACACACCTACGACCAATAAAAGACATTAGTATGTAATATGGTTTAAAAATATTTAAAACCCTCCTGACTCGACTAATTGCTACCTACTTTAAAATTTAAACAAGCCTGAAAATCTGTTTTCTTATTCTCATCGTCTGCTGAAATAAAAAACTCGTCATAAAAATCATGAGTGGCGAAAGAATCAGCTATCATACTGTTTGGATCAAAATCAAGTGTACTAGCATTTTTAAAAATAGTTTGCGGCGTTCCACAAGACAATCCCAGCCAATGATCAGCCCACAAACAAAATGGTATATATGCTTGTTGAAATAGCATAACTAGTGTATCTCGCAATAGATTGTGCGAGTTGTAGAAACCATCTCGTAAATATACTGTTTGGCCAAAATCGCATATCGTATCTATGGTTTCAATAGAGTCGTAGATGAGTGACAAAATCTCCAAACCACTTGGAATAATTTGTTTAGAAAGTGGTAGATTGATCTATGTAATATGAGATGGTAGCGCATTTCAATTTTGTCGTTATTAAATAATCTAAAACCAAAAAACACGTATGCAAAGTATATAATTACCTCGCTATGAAACAATGAGTTGATGGATTCAAGATTAGTGTACGTGCTAGTTAGGCTGGAAATAGCTTGCAGAATATGCAATGTGCCATTTTGTGCAGACTCTTGTAAATAAACGACTTTAGAATTGACGGTTTTTAAAATATTAGACATTCCAACTGAAAGCGCTGCCCCAGTAAGTCCATATAGACTAAATACCTATATAAGTGATCTTGGATATAACTGCTCAAAAATTCAAAAAAACTGTGCGTACCTTGGATTGCTTTCGAGATCCGTAATTATACCACAGAAACGCATATACTGAGATCCAAACTCGGCAGTTTGCAAAAACAAGCTAAGTTTTTCAAAATATCCAAAATGTCAGCATTGAAGTTTTTACCTAGTCACAATCTAGCCCTGCCATACTCTACCATTTCAACACATCGGAAGATAACGTAGTTAAATGTAAATCATATTGTGTACTCTTGTTCAATATCATCAACCGCTCATTTGGATCCACAGAAAAAATCAAAGACGGAATGCCAATTGTAGCTTTAAGCATACACTATTTGAATACATCATTTAGACTTTAAAAATATTTACAAAAGCACATTGTCCAATATACATTATATAATACCACTTACATCTACAGCAAATTTTTGAGAAACCGATACTGGTGATATCTCATAATCTAGTGAAATGGGAAAGTGTGCTGAAAACTGTGCTGAAAACAGGCTTGATGGAAAATCCGTAATAAACAAAGAGTTGGATGCAGAAAATGATCTGGATATTGTAGATCCCTCCCACGAGAATTCTGCACAATTTGTCTAATTTAACGAGTAAGTAATTGGAAATCATGACATTGAGCTTGAAAATAATTAGCATTCGACATACCAACGACTTTTCCATCGAGAAATGCTCAGTATCCAAAAAATCAGAAATTTCTTTAGAAAAATCGGACAGCATATGAGGTTCTGCAGCAGACGCGGCCTGTAAGTCAGTTTTTCGCTGTATACACAACTTATTGGGTTGAAGATAGCTCCCGTTACGGCTTGAGCATCGCAAAACTCCAAAATCTAAAAAATCATTTAAATAAGATACAGTAGTTTAGCATATACATGTATCTACAAACCCAGCACGCATATTCTAGATTTCAAAATGCATACCAGATTTGATTGGCGAGCGATACAACAGGTTTGAAAAAAATGGACTGGGAAAATTATGGGATGCTCCTAAAAAGCTGTTAGATTCCAAACTAATGTCAAAGCTAGCACCTGTTTGTAAATATCCATCCATATCTATTGTATCGGATGGTGATTCAAGTACATTCTGATCCATATCAAATAAACTTGAACCCGATTTGGCATTTGACAAATCGAATGAATTGAACGGATGCTGAAAAAAAGATGTTTTAGAAGCATTTGCTGGCTGTTCAAGATTACTGATATCAGCAATGCTTGTCAAGAGTAATAAAGCAGCGACTACCGCGTCCGTGTCCGATAAAGGTGCAGCAGAATCATCAATCGGGACAAGCTTGGCCATGCATTTCTTAAGAGCATCATTCTGGCGGACATGCCCTAGCTTCAAGAGTTTGTATGCATATGATTCTAATCGCATATGTATCAGAAGCATAGGACTCGGTTTGCTTAAAACAGGGACATTCGAATCGGACTTGATGTTTTCATGCTCAACGTAAGATCGGGCATGGGTTGGATTAAAACTGTTTGAAGTAGAAGATATACCAGTGAAGAATGTGTCTAAAGAGGCATACAGCTGTTTTTTATCGACGGCTTTAGAGTGGTGTTCTGATAGCGATGACCTGGATGCATAATGGGAACAAACTGGTACAAAATGATTCAAAAAAGAAAACCCTGTCTGAAGTGAACTATCTGCTATATAAGAGTATTTGATAAGAGGAAGTGTGTAAACAGTAGTTTGATTTCTAGTACCGACAGTCATAGCAGAACCATTGAATTGGAGCAAATCAGATGTCATTAAATAAGATACACTGTTGATGTGAAAGATGCAAACAGTTGGAATTTGCACAAAATTGTCATCAGAAATAATTCACTGGCAGTACGAAGCAATAGAAGTCTTGAATGCGGATCTAGAAACACTCAAAGTTAAAATAACTAAAAAGAAAGCAGACATAAAACAACTTGAAAAGGAAATAAAAGAACTGTTGCTTATGATTGAAGATCTCAATCAAAACATCCAGAAACCTGTTAAACATCGTAGCAGTGTTCCTCGCGCCATGGCTGCTAAACTGGATTTATATCAAAGCGATATGGGTGAATGCCAAAAAGCTCTTGATGTCATGAACAATGAATTGGCAAGTCTGTACACTCTGTGGCATCGTATTACCAAGGAAATCAAAGCTATCCAGAATGGTATGCATCGAATTAGTATGGTAGAAGACTAATCCATTGTGGTACTATTGATTCTTGTTTATTTGAAATAAATCAGTTTTATTCAATAATTGTTTTATACATGACTATTAATGCGAGTTGTACATGACCATTCGAGCCATGTCAAACTGATCAATTAAAACCATACCATCTCACCATTACGACCCTCCAGTCTAATACAGTCAAACCATGTGGTGTGCAATTATACATGTATATTTATTCAGGTCTTTCTTGCGAATACGAACCAAGAACTGTATGTGCTTCGTGAATACGCTCACCAAGTCCCATCAATGATCTTGCCATTTCAACTACACGCCACGAAAAGTCAATCCCGTAAATATGCTTGATGGCATACACGATCCGCTTACACACTTCGCGCTGATATTTAGACATCGTCATGGTTTGCATGAGCATTGCTGGCATGACGACTCGTTCCAACATGCTTTCTTGAAACTCCAGTGGCATATCCCCGCCAGATACATCAATGTCTAGACACCGTTCAACAACGCCTTGAAGTTTCATTGCAAGGCTCGATGCTGAATACGACAATATATAACTATCTGCTGTATCACTAGAGTTATGCTCTGAACTACATGGCCCAAAGTGTTCCATGCTAACATCAAGCGATACTCGAAACGGTGCACTGCGTGCCAACACGACATACTGTCCATCGTAATGATATCGAACTTCAAACATTCCCACTTGCCATGGAAGTTGTTCACGAGTAAACACAAGTCGTCCACGAACAACACGCAACCCAGGATCATCTTTGGATGATGAAATATCCACCTTGGTATACCCAAAATGCATCTGATCACCTGTTCGAACCCACGGCGTGACCGTCTCGTCATAAAACTCTGTAGATGCAAGTGCAGTCGATATGGCTTTGTTGTCTGTTGTCGATGTCAGTGTTGTGCAATTGGATATGGCCGATGCATTCACATCCATGGTTCGTCTCGGATAACCAGATACACATGACCATCGGGTACCACACTTGCTCGTAGTGGTGTCTGGATCAAAGTTCTGATGGACACTGTATACTGCAATCCAGTCTTTGCTTTTCATGGTTTCCCGAGCAGCTGTAAACTCAATTACAATCGGTTCACCAAGTTGAAACTCGGCTGGCTCGCGTGAATTTGCAGTGCAAACCGACAACGAATACAAATGCAACGGCAGTTGGTCGCGTGAAAGAGTGTCTTCTAATCGAACTCTACAAACACATTCATACCAAATCATATGTTAAACATCACAATCATTGCTGATATAATCAAGTGTACAACCACATGTATTCGGGTTCAACACCACAATCATGCAACTTACACATTCGCAAGATTGGCAACACGCAGTTTGGTCTGGTCCACAATCGCTTTGACGCATGGCTTGGCCGTATCAACTAAATACTCCAGTTCTTTAACAACTAGTCTTACCGTGTCTGTGACTGATCGACTGTGTGTTTGTTCCGTAGCTTCTGTCGGTGTACTAAATAGTCCTGGCGTATTCAGCGGACGATGTGGTTCATCGTATTCACTGGTACCATTCGCATTAGTGCTTGAACCAACATCATCATAGTGTGCACCGTCCATGTCACGAGTAAAACCTTCTGCATAGTCATCAGTTACAAACAGGTCGTTGCTTTCAATGTTTGTATCATACCCGTCTTGCATCATAGTCAACTGCTTTGAAAATCTGTCGGTTGTTCCGCCAGTCACTGATTCTGGTTTCATGTCACGTCCTTGAATCAATTGCATAGTATCTGCATCACAGCCATAGCCATCCACCACTCCATCATCGCCGTCAGAATAACTACCAATGATGTCCTTGAGTCGCCGTATTTTGGACATGATCGAATCAATAATCTCCAATCGTTCCATTCTTTCCACCATTTGCTGTCCCACTCGTTTAACTTTATATCCGAGCAACTGCACACGTCCTTTAAGCGATCGTCTTTGTCCACCACTCTGTTCAAACGGTCGTTTACCATACAGCTTCACATAGTGTTGCTCAATGACTAGTTTCAGAAACAGCCAGTTGGATATCTGCCCAAAAGCTGTCAAAAACAACAGCGTCCACGACCGACAGATCAGTGTCAGTCCCCAGCATGAAAATGTATACAACAGCGGATTCTCCAAATATCGATATACACCATTGTGTCTTGGTCCATTCTTTCCATACAACGAGTCAATAAAAAACTCGGCGTGGAACCATCCAAGACGTCCTCGTACTTCGTATATCGACACTGTAACCCAAGCATGAAGTATTATGAACAGCTACTCGTCAAAATATATACAGTTAGTCCATTTGTAGCTGCTATACTTGTCAACAACCAATCCTTGACACTACTCACACAGCCAAATATGTGTTTTAAAATTGTTGGTCCATCACTGAACGATTGTGGTGGTATATACAGTCGCCAAGCACACACAAAAAACGACAGATATGTCATTGTAATCGAAAGATTGAATAGTCTATTTGACCACCATAACTGTGTGAGTACTGAACAATATCACATTTGGCGTTCAACCGATAAAAGTCGTACCAAACACCATCACAACCACAACCCATTCAATATCACATACATTTTCCAATGCTGTAGTGCTTCACGTAGTCCATCACCGTGTCGGATAAAGTGTCGTGTCCAAAACTTGTTTTTACCTTGAAGATACAGTAGCAGTCCCAATCCATATGTGTGAAATATTCGCCAAAACACAGTCTGACTACAATCAAACAAACATTACAAATGTATCATTCAATCAGTCATTCAGTCAGTCACAAATGTATCAAATCAACCAGTCATTCAGTCAATCACAAATGTATCAAATCAGTCAATTACAAACATTACAAATCAAATCATACCCAACATAATACCAGTACTTCCAGTCATATTCTTCAATGTGTCCAACAAAAATGGATGTTATAACAGTGTATGCATATATAAACAGGGTCAGCATATCGCCACTTCGGAATAGATCCAATCGACTAAATATCACCAGATCGCGTGTAAACCATTGCTGCAGTGTATCTGCATTGACACCGTCATCTACATATATATTTGCACACAAAACATGTGTCAATATCAACTTGCAATACAATATCGATCCGCGTAACAATACCATCAATACACTCAAAACTTATCGTCGCCTACCCTCTTGTTTGGACGGTACTTCATATGTCCTGGCAGCATGTGGTGCTTCTACAAAATATAAAAACAAAATCTGCAGCATGTGTGTTGCCAGACTCACAAACAACACCGTGTAACTATGTGTGATCAACGCAACACCATAGTATCCGATATATCCAATCGAATACATGGGATGCGGTAGTGTTTCAAATCCAATCTCAAACGTCTCTGCATCTTCCATAAAAAAGAAAAAGTCTCCCCAGTACCAGGAATAGTCTTTGAGCACCACATACGCATCTAGTTTGAGCCAAATATTAAACATAATAATCAGCATGCCACCAACAAAAAGTGCTCCGTCGCGAAGCGTCAGATCCAACCATGGCGGAGCTTGATAGTACGACAACGATACAAGAATATAAGCTACAAAGTCATTGGATATCACAAAGTTGCAGATCTCCTGAAACAACAGCCACGCATTGAGCTCGGTTGGCATCGACTAGATATTCAATACATTGCATAAGTAGTGGACATGGCAATCTTGATTTATACATGATTCAAATACACCATTTACATCGTAGTTGTACGGCAGATCTGTATCTCGCTCCATGCGCTTGACAATCTCATCGACAATCCAAGTGCATAGTTCGTTGCGGGGAATATTAGAATTGGAGCCAAGACCCATTCGTTTGAACATCCTGACAATAAAAGCCGTGTTGGACTGTGCATTCAGTAATGCTCCCAGCCCAACACTATAGACGACTCTCCAGAATGCATACATCCACAATAAAACATGCCTCGAGTCTGATTGTGGACGGTTGGTGTTACCCATAGTGGATCCGTATCCATTGCAAGATACAAACATGGCCATCTGCAACACAATGGTTGCCAGAGTGATCCATTCAACTGTGGTATGGACACATGCTGGGTTAAGAGACCTAGGCAGCAGTTGTTTTGTTCTTGTTTGAAACTGAAACTGTGTTCCTCTATATGTGCGACCCTCTCTCATTAGAGATGACGGCAGCGACTGGTCCTGATTATCCATTAAAGTGGTTGGATGGCTCTTGGCATTATTATGGGTTGCAGTTGTAGAGCATTCATGAGATATATCTGTTACTACTGGATGCATTGGTTCAGCACTATCCAATTGTATCATCCGTGCTATGACTACAGTGTTGATTGTGGTATTAATCCTGACACTGCTGATTACAGATCCAATGGTTGTCGATGAATGTATATACTAATACATGAATCAAATGAAATAAAGTTGATCCGCTTGTAGAGCCAGTCCAATATTGACAATAGAAATGGCTTTACATGCACAATCCATCATCGACTACTATCAAAGTAACAATCCCAATCTATCCAACCCAGAAAATCATGACTAGTTTGTATTAACATGTCGAAATGTGGAATCAATTAAACTTTTCCATTGGATTGGAACTGTAAAGTTGACCAAATAGACTGACAAGCCATTATTTTTAGTATTACAACTTTACATGATCAAAACACTTGAACACTTGTTGAACACTTGGTGGATATTTATTAAATATTTACTACACTTGCTGTACACTTGTTGGATATTTATTCATGTCTTGGTTTGAGTCAACTTCAGTCACTCACACGTGACTCATCGTTCGAGTATAAATATCAAAATGCCGTTTGAAAGTCTCGGCAAGATTAAATCTTGATTTGAATACCATCGACGATCATGAGTGCTGTTCCAAACACTACCACAGTCCCAAGTGCTGTTGCTGCTCCAAGTACTACCACAGTTCCAAGTACTGTTGCTGCTCCAAGTGCTGCTGCTGCTCCAGTCCATGAAGAAGTACATGCAGAAGTGCACGAGTCCTCTTCGCGCACCATTTGTATTGCCATTGATGGATCTTCAAGCAGTACGTATGCCATCGAATGGGCCATCAAGAACATTTTGCGCAAAGAAACCGATCAAGTTGTTGTGCTGCATGTCAGACCATTGATTACTATACCTGCTTTGAGTTATGGCGCACCCTTTGTTGATTATGGCGGTGAGTTGTATACCCTGGCTGATCTTATGGTCATGACTGCATAGTATGTCCGCAAGCTAATACATTTATACAGAAACACTGTCCGTCAAAGAAGATGCTAGCAGAATCGAGTCTCACGAACTGCTGATCAAGACCGCAAAAGCCATCAAGCAGCACGGACTGCATGTACGGGCTATTGCACTTCGTGGAGATGCTCGTGAAGAGCTAGTGTTCAAGATTGAAGATGTCAAGGCCGACATGGTCATTATGGGTTCGCGAGGATTGACAACACTAAACCGACTGTTCCTGGGATCGGTGTCTGAGCATTTGATCCACAACTTGAAATGTCCTGTCATTGTTACTCGAGATCCTAATGCTTGATACTTGGATAACGAGTCGTGATTATGGAAATATCGTTTGCAGTATAGACTATTGTGGATATATCTTTGGATTTTATTGAATGGACAATGTTTGGTATATACAATTGATTGCAATCAATAGCCATTTTACTGCTTTTTGGTCTGGCTTTGAACAATTCCAATAAACTACTTATTGCATTGACTTTATGGTATCTACTCGAACTGTTTTTATTTGATTGCATAGAATGTTGTCAATGTTCAACTGTCGCTTATAGATTAAACTAGTATGTTGGTTCACAAGTAGCGCATTGGTACTGCACAAGAATGGTTTACATTGACCGTTCAACTTCCTCCATTTCAGCAGTCATCAACTTTACTCGAATTAATGCCTGCTTCACTAAATCCATTCTTCCCGCTCGCTTGAATTCCATTGCTGCTGTGCGAGTCGTAGTAATTGAAGTCTTGACTTGTGCCACGTGAATAATTTCAAACATTTGACTTTGTGTCAACAGCAGATGCAATTCCAGCCAATCAGCACGCGACATTTTGATGGGTTTTGACTGAGCGATGCAGCAATTTGACTCACTCGCACAATCACAACATGAAGGCAAGTTGGGATTCATGCTGGACCTACTGCAACCAATACTACAACTATCGATACTGTCGTATTTGAGAATGATACTATGGATGCATGGATGGGTGGATGTTTTCTGATGCATGCATGCACTTGGATGGACTACAACACTTGAATGATGAGACTGGCCATTATCGAGTCGTGCATTTTTGGAAGCCGCTCAACATTTGGTTGTCATTGATAATCGTCATGTTGGGTTTATTTGGGAATCTCCATCATTCCTGCACCTGTTTATTGCTTACTTCCAGACTTGTGGCATTGGATTACGACAACTCATGACCTGTATTCAATGCTTTTAATACTGACTTGATATGCATTGTATTTTTATTATACAGATCAATATTGCCTACCCGGCCACTGGTGCTCAGAAGATGGTTGAAATCGATGACGAGCGCAAGCTGTAAGTGATATTCAGCAACTGGATCTTTTGTTTTTTCTCTAGCAGCAAATTTTGAATATAATGGAATCGATGTTGATTCAAATGCAGCCTTTTCAGCTTAGCAAGTAGCTGCATTATCCTATGCAGACTCTTGTCGATTAGTATCAATACAATGATGTATTTTCGTTGTGGATACTTTTGATATCAGCACTTTGGAGATCTGCAAATCATTACAACTGAACTGCATATACATTTGCATGTATCATCTATATTGGCCATGACTTGTAAAACTGATCTATTTTTATACTTGATTGTCTTGATATGACTGCGCATCTGGAACGTCAATCTTATTTTTAATGGTATAGCCGCATCTTTTATGACAAGCGCATGGCTACCGAGGTCAGTGGAGATGGACTTGGCGATGAGTTCAAGGGATACATCTTCAAGATCACTGGTGGAAACGACAAGCAAGGTTTCCCTATGAAGCAGGGTGTTCTTCTCCCTCACCGTGTCCGTCTTTTGCTCTCTGACGGTCACTCTTGCTATCGTTCCCGCCGTACCGGTGAGCGTAAGCGCAAGTCGGTTCGCGGATGCATTGTTGGATCTGATATTTCTGCACTTTCTCTTGTTGTCGTGAAACAGGGCGAGCAGGATATCCCAGGTCTCACTGACGTTGCTATCCCCAAGCGTCTTGGTCCCAAGCGTGCCAACAACATCCGCAAGATGTTCAACTTGACCAAGGAGGATGATGTTCGCAAGTATGTTATTCGCCGTGATGTTGTGTCCAAGAAGGATGCCACCAAGATTAGATCCAAGGCACCCAAGATCCAGCGTCTTGTGACACCACTTACTCTTCAGCGTAAGCGCAACCTCAAAGCAGTCAAGCGCCGTAATGCCGAGTCCTCCAGAGAGGCAGCAGCTAATTACACCCAACTTCTTGCTCTACGCATTAAGGAGAAGAAGGAGAAGCGTCATGAAATCCATGTCAAGAGACGCCTGTCGTCGACTCGCAAGTCGACCTCGTCTGCCAAGGAATAAGCTTGTTGCTGTTATTCAGAATTTGTTTTGCAGTACCATATATTCTTTTCTCAACAACAATGATTCTTTAAACCATTTTATGATTCATGTGAGTTTTATTGGATAAAAGGAGATTTAATTAAAAAACAGATTTGATCACAACGGTTAGCCTGCTGGCAAGAAATGGCTCAAGAGTCTATTTTTCATTTGAAAATGCTCGATTGAGCTTAGTTGATGGTACGATCGCTATTCCATCCATTCAGTGGTGGAGTGTCGGTGGGCACTCGCATACGTTTAGGAAACAACTGCACCTCTGCCTTTTCTAATGTTCCATTAAACAGTCTCGAGTCTGTTTTTTCCAATTCCTCCATGGCCGCTCGCATGGCAGAGTACTTTCGCTTAAGTGCATTCATGGTCATGACTGATTCTTGCTGTTTCAACAAACACCATGCCCGTTCAATTGTCTCCTTCTGGATCTGGACCGCATCGTTACCTACATAAACTGCTGGTAAAAACGTTGGTATATTGAGGTTTCCGTTTGGTATATCAATGTCCTTTTGTTCTGCTATTGCTTCTCTTTCTGCTGCTGCCTTGGCTGGCAATTCATAGAGTACAGACTTGATATGTTTAAGACGAGCGTCGAGAGGTACATCCTTGGTGGTTACTTGCTTGTTTTTGTTGGCAGCAGCAATTGACATGAAGCGTACAAAAGTATTTGGAGCAGCAATAGCTGCCCTAGCAAGTGTTGATATCAATGCCGTTGATGCAATCATCCTCACTATGATTGCTACTTTTGGTTTCCAACTTGGGCTCAAACAAAATAAAAAACTCGAGCAGAATTTTCAAGAATCAAATTCAATAATTGCATTTCCGAGTAATTCAAATTTAAAGTTATCAAGTGTGAAATTGTAGTAAATCAGCGTGTATCGTGTGTTTAAAGACTTGCGTAAAGTTTACTCACTTTTCTGTAGTCAAACTTCCAAATATCGATAAATTGTTGATTTGAATTGCAAGATCATCTATTGTGTCACAGCAATAATCTGCTGCTCTTTTTTTAATTCAGTATAAAACATCACTCATTTGATCTTGTTTTGACAAAAGATTCATTTATACAATCTGTACATCAACCTGAACTAATATATATATTTGGATTATACTCCATCCTATTGACACCAGCTGTAGTTTGTAATTCATCAATTGATCGTTTTTCATTCTGTTTTTATTTATTTTCGATCATTCTTCTTTATCTTTCTTTTAGTAAGATGCTTTGCCGCACTCTCTTCATCATCTCGTTGCTCTGCATCACCACCACGGCCACGCTTGCTGCCTTTATGTTTGAGATTCTCATCCTTGAGTTGCATATGAGCAAATCGCACAGCTTCAGATACACGCTCTTGAAGCATCAAAACAGCTGATTTATCATGTCCAAATGGATATTCCGTCAGTTTTTTTTGAATTGCATGTTCAATTCGTTGGTACCATTCTACATCGTATCTATTCACAAAATACACAGTTAACCCGCCTGTTCATGGATAGTTTAAATTATAACAATACAAAACCATTAAACTGCTATAGCTGTATTGACAAGATCAATGCATGTATAGTTTACTTACTGAGTCACAAGCGTAATGGATTTGCCTGACCGTCCTGCTCGTGCAGTTCGTCCAACACGGTGAATATAATCCTTGCTGCTTTGTGGTACATCATAGTTGATCACAACATCGACACCAGGAATATCCAATCCACGGCTAGCTACATCTGTAGCAATCAAAATATTTCGACCACCACTTTTAAATTTGGCTAATGCTCCCAACCGTTTGGGTTGAGTGAGTTGTCCATGAAGACATACGGCTTCAAAGCCAAGATTGCGTAGCATCAATGCAAGTTTTTGAGTCGATGCACACGTAAGCGTGAATACAATGCATGTTTGGCCAGAAAGTTCGTTCAACAAGTACGTCAAATAACATTCCTTTTGTTTGTAAGGGAAAAACGTGTAGTATTGGAGCAGAGTGTCTACTGTCGAGTATTTAGTGGCAACTTCAACCTTGACTGGATTCACCAGTGATGCTCGCTGAAGCTTTTCAACTTTGCTTGTCATCGTTGCTGAAAACAAGTATGTGTTGCGTTCTCTAGGAATCACCTTGAGTACCTTTTCAATCTCTGCTCCAAAATCTAAATCAAGTAGACGATCGGCCTCATCCATGACCTATAAAAGGCAAGCGCATATATAGTCATGCATCATCTAGTTAAATAATATTCAATCCACATTTTTAAAAGGGGTTCGTCATAGCAGGATGTTTACGACCTACCAGATACTTGAGATGCTTCAAATTGAACCCTTTGGTGTTTTCAAGATGATCAACAAGACGACCAGGTGTGCAAATGATAACGTGAGGTTTTTTTGAAAGAGCAATCGATTGACTCATCATATCCATTCCACCAACAATAACTGCACAGCGCACTCCAATAACAGATCCAAGTGCTTCAAACTGCTCTGAAATCTGAAATGCCAGCTCTCTTTAATTCAAAATAACCGCATAGTTAATTCAACGTGGTCAGTCCCGATTGTATCAAGCACTTGACATATTAATTTCTAGAATGGATATTAAACATTTGTTCAAACAAAATAATTTATATTACCTAGTAGGAGCTATAACACAAGCATAGAGATGTTGGGGGTTGGCAAAAAGAGTTTGTAAAATTGGTAATGCAAATGCAGCAGTTTTTCCAGATCCAGTCTGAGCAAGACCAATAATATCACGACCTAGCCCATACAAAAATAGTGGATCGTGAGTGCTGTGGTTCAAATAATGCACATTATTTTGATTGAAAACCAATATCAATTTTAAAAACAATGGTTTTGTTTAGGCGTTTGTAAGGTCAAAGTTACCTGTCAATGCCACTGGAATCGATGCACATTGGATATCAGAAGGCTTTTTAAATCCAAGTGTAGTGCAAGCTTCAATTAGTTCGGGAATAATACCCTATATTAAATCAGTTGAAAAATGTAAGTTTTGATGCCAATATTTTGTATATTTATACCATCTGCCATTACAGTCGCATTCGTGTAAAATGAAACATAACAAGGATGTCAAAGTATATAATTCACATCCAGTATCATGACATGATGACGATCATCAAATTCACTGGACAACATTGTGTCTTTTGAGCTGCTTAGCAAAGTCGCTGGTGTTTGTGCTCATTTTTGTATTAGAAACTGACCAAATACCAACATCACATTGCAGTACATCCCACACTCTCGACAGTTGTTCAATCTACAGCTCTTGTTTCTTGCAGTCCAAACATTACAAGAAACATTGGGTGCTTGACATGTATAGCTGTATTCCTGAAATTGTGATGATTGCTTTCTTGGGTTAGAACGCGAATATATCGGATTCAGAATACAACAAAATGTACGAGTGTGTGCTGTTGTATTGACAACAGTCGGCCCAATAGTTGAACTGCAATACATGAATCTGGTGTCAAACTTGGTGATCATACAATGCATGGTCATGTCAAATATAAAGAAAGAAATAATCTTGGTTCAAAACTACAGTTTGATTTGTGAGCATCGTATGATGAACGCTGTGTTTGAAAGGATTGGAAATACATTGAGCAATCAATGTGTAGTAAAAAATCACAACAGGTATTTGGTCATTGTATAGTTGAGAGTAAAATAGTGTTCCATTTTACAAGAATGCAGCTGTAAAATGCTTAGCACAACAAAATAGTTTACTTGCCAACTCCTCAAACGTCATATTACTTGATTTGGATGCATCCAGTGTATCTGATGTCTTCTCATCCTCTTCTTCATTGTCAGAGCTGTTCTGCTTGGTAGATTCTTTTGTGGATTCTGCATCCATGGCAGGTTTGATGGATGCTGCTGTTGGATTGGCAGATTTTTCAGCCGGCACAGGCTTTTTGCTGTTGCTAGAAGAAGCAGTAGTATGGGAATGTTTCTCAACCATCTTTTCTGGACTCACAGACGTCATTGTAAATAAAACCTGCTCAATCGGTAGTTTTTGCAACGCAAATGTATATTGAAAGTTTTGAATTCAAATTAAAAAAAATTAAAAAATTAATACTAGACTATTTTTATAAGCGCATATTATTATTCCCAAAAACGTTTTACAGTCGTATTCGTGTAAAATGAAACATAACAAGGATGTCAAAGTATATAATTCACATCCAGTATCATGACATGATGACGATCATCAAATTCACTGGACAACATTGTGTCTTTTGAGCTGCTTAGCAAAGTCGCTGGTGTTTGTGCTCATTTTTGTATTAGAAACTGACCAAATACCAACATCACATTGCAGTACATCCCACACTCTCGACAGTTGTTCAATCTACAGCTCTTGTTTCTTGCAGTCCAAACATTACAAGAAACATTGGGTGCTTGACATGTATAGCTGTATTCCTGAAATTGTGATGATTGCTTTCTTGGGTTAGAACGCGAATATATCGGATTCAGAATACAACAAAATGTACGAGTGTGTGCTGTTGTATTGACAACAGTCGGACCCAATAGTTGAACTGCAATACATGAATCTGGTGTCAAACTTGGTGATCATACAATGCATGGTCATGTCAAATATAAAGAAAGAAATAATCTTGGTTCAAAACTACAGTTTGATTTGTGAGCATCGTATGATGAACGCTGTGTTTGAAAGGATTGGAAATACATTGAGCAATCAATGTGTAGTAAAAATCACAACAGGTATTTGGTCATTGTATAGTTGAGAGCAAAATAGTGTTCCATTTTACATGAATGCAGTTATAATTCCTATCAGTGAAACAAAAGTATCGAGTTAAAATGGGTTTATTGTTTGTTTAATAATTACGATTTAAACAAGCCCAAACGACCGATCCTGCCGCTCGTGGTTAGATGTAAGGCGACTTTGTCTGAGTTCTTCACCTTTGAATGCTGATTTGGTCATTTTCTTGGCAGTTCGTCGGTCTCGTCTTTCAGCCTTGACCTGAGCTTTGCGCTGTCGTTTTTCCTCTGCAGTCTCACTCTTGTTTCTTCCAATTGCAGTATTGTGTCGTTCTGAGTGATAGATTAACAATCAAATCAAAAAATTGGTTAAAACATGGAATTCTCAACAACGCTTTATGAAATTCAATCTACAAAACCTAGATTAATATCACCTGTGCAATCGGTGAACTGAGACTCGTTATCACTGTAATCGTCGCTAAGCTCATTCTGCAACGTAGAAGATATCGATGGCACAACAGAAGGCATGCCATGTGGTCCTTTGAGTTGAATCCGTGGAGCATTTTTGGAAATCTCTCGAATCAGTTTGGGTCGATTATAGATGTTTGAGTAAGTAGACAAAACAGATTCCACATCCCATGTATCATAATTTTTTTCCTCTGGCATATAGATTTTCTTGTCGAGTTCGGCCTGTGTAGCAGCTGAAGTAACCTCTTCAAATGCGTACTTGTCTACAAGTGATTTGACATTTTGCTGCGTACTGCTATAAAGAGCATCGAGTGGCTGACGTGCTGGAATCAATGCACGACCATTGGATACTACCTGTGTTGATTCAAGAAAGTCGTCAAACATGACATCAAGACGACGCGAGGAGTCCGAATCAGCACCAAGTGAGATACAGCTAGATGGTTTTGACAGTCCAGAAAATGTGGACATGGCATCCAATACACCCTGCACTTCAGGATCATCAGGGTCTAGTTCACCAATCTCGTCATCAGAATATTCCGCCAAAACTTTGTCAAATCGGTCGTCGAGAAGTGTAAGCTTGTCGTTTCTAAACATGGATGAGGATGACATGGAGTATGATGAGGTATCTGTGAATGCACCCTTTTTGATTCGAACTGAATCTCCAGTTCGAACAGGTGCTTTTGGAGTTGCATCGGTACTATCAGAGCCATCTGAGTGAATATCATCATGTGATGGTGGTTTTCCTGCACTCTTTTGAAATCTGTGTATACATTTGTTCAAAAATGAAAAGATTGGCATTTAATAAACAAACATGTTGATTCAGTCGGTAAAGCAACATCAACATATAAGATTTACCTCGCATATTCCTTCATCCATTCCTGATCTTCATGCTGATTCTCATTGTCTTTGTTCTCGTAGCCATTTTCAGCTTGCTCAACCATACTTTTGTACTGCTCAGGAATCTCTTCGGCGTCGAGTGCACCAAAAAAGTCATCTTCCAACTCATCTTCCACATACTCATCATCATCAAGCGCATACAGTGTCTCTCGTACATCATCTCCAAGCTCTAGATTTAATCCTGCAGTGGATAATTTCAGATATAAACATATTGGGTTAGAAACGCTATAAAAATAATGATAAAGTTTAAATCTAAACAATTCTGCCAAATCATGGACACTACCAAGCATCTTACCTGGAGTATATGGTTGAGCTAAGCGAGTGAGCAAGCCAACATCTTCCTCAGTTTGAGATGGCAAGACCCCTTCAGGAAGAATCAGCTTGGCTTGTGGAAAATCAACCGAACTTGTCGAGTTGTTGGTGTTTGCCTCCTAGAATTGAAATTGCAGTAATTAGTTGATTGCATTTTTAAAAATAAGACGGGGCAATATATCTTTGCCAGATATGAACATGGATCGTCTCAAAAGTCCACTTACAACGAATTTAATTTCTTCTTTTTCGGGTTTCTGAACTGATTTTGCTGCAACAAACATAGCTGTTGGGTCACTTCCAATTGGTTTGAGATGCTGCATATAGTCGTATGATTCCTGATCCTTGAAGAAAATACCGTATAGGGCAGGATCGTTGGGGGTAACGGGTGCTACATATGCCTTTAGCTTTTTTGAAGCATCCTTTGAATCCAATTCATTCTCGGTATCCGAATCGCTGTAATCACTTTCTTGGTCATATTTGTTTTCTGTATCGAATTGACTATCGTTTCCCAGCTCTCCCAACGCCGTGGACAAATCCAAGCCCTTTCCTTTCTACAAAAAATAATTGGCATTGCAAAATTAATAATTGCACAAGGTTGATTGAGATTCAACAACGAATTTTCAAGTACTTACTCGAGCAAGGTTTGAAGATGCTGCAATAGGTCGCAGGACTAGTTTGGATGCAGTTTCATCTGCTATTTTTGGGTCTCTCTGAGACCTATGCACAAGCTGAAATTTGACAGACTTGGATGGATCAATGAATCTTTTTTTCCCCATGATTGATTACTGTAATAAAAGTAGTCTTGTACAATTGCAAATCAATGGAAATAAAAAATTCGTTTGAAGCCAAATATTTAGAAATCACGCATTGATCGAGCGCGATCTTTGCGTTGAGCCAAATTAAAATTTGTTTGGTTCAAGTTGTTGAAGCCATTTTGAACAGGCGATTGCTACATCTAGTTTACAGCTGCAACAAAGTCATATACACAAATGTTGTTTCAAGCGATTAGTCAAAAAATATACTCTCAGTCTATACGCTGTAGTCTTTTGACTCAAGTTCGTTGTAGTTCTACCCTTAATATCGACATACAGAAAAGCAACGCTTACTTTGCTCTCAGCAGAGCCGATAGAGCATCATACGTCCCAAAACCTTCAGGTATGATCAATGCGTTGATTGGATTATCGACTAGTTTTGGGATATTTAGACAATTGTTTGATTCAACTGCCTGGTTTTAAATTCATTCGATTTGGCGAATAGCTACGATAAATAGCCCAGAAGCGTTTCTCAAGGCAATCGGTCGAAGCTGCGAAACTGTTGCCCCAAAATTTACTAGCTGGGATTCATTATTTACTGCCACTTCAAGTGACTTGAAAACTCTGGGTATCAAGTCTCAAATGCGAAAATATATTCTGGGTTGGAGAGAGTAAGTCTAGTTGATCTGCGCATGAATTATGGATACGATTGAAATTATCGAGACTAAAGTTTGTTTTTAATCTTTATTTTTAAACATCTCTTTTATAGGTGGTACTGCAGAGGTGTTACTCCTCGTGCACTTGAATTGCCTAAGCGTCAAAAAAAATATCTCAAGATAAAGGAAAAGGTCAAACAGGCACGTTTGGAAAAACTTGGTATGAGCTGATCAATTGTCCCAAAACTAGGTTCATTTTTGATATGGAGATCAATAAAAGTTTCAAAGCAATACACCTTGGAGAGTGCAGCAAGTTTCATTTTTTTGAATCTGCTTCCCTAATCCGAATCAAGCGAATAAATGTTTCCAATCATACGAGTAGATTATTACTCCAAGAGTGTTTATGTATAAAGACGCTTAACAAGCTGTTCTTGTGCTGTTTTGAGAGCCTGTGCAATGGTTTGCTCTCCGATTGGAATATTATTCACTTCAGACCCACGTTTAGTTACACGAGATGCAATCTGTGATGCATCCGTCTCCATAATAATTCTAATGCAAAAGATTGAATATTAGTCGGCATCTAATAACGGTGATATCAAGAGTGTAGGATGGAGTATCGAATATCAAAACATATACATTGATGCGTTTAAATGGACTACTCTAAAAACAAAGATGCTTGGCCTACCCATCATCAACAGTTTCATCAAGAGCCAATAAAGCAACGTCCATATTGTCCAAAATGGTGCGTTTTTCCACTTGACTTCTAATTATTCAACATAGTATAAATGGCACAAATGTTAACATTGGTATACATACAAAACAGTCAACACAAATCTATGCTAGATTCAATGATTCAAAACACAATCCAATATACACTGTACTTGAGCAGAATAGAAAGAGCATCGCTGAATCCTTGCAAAACAGAGTTCAACATGATTTCGTTTTCATCCGTAGATCCCACAAAGTAAAAAAATAAATCCACGACAGACTTGTAGACAATAATCAAGTTGTCAAATAAAATGATTTCGCCTAGTATGATAATTAGATGAGTATATTCAATATAAGCATTAAAAATACGACCAATGAGTTGAACTACAACCCTATTCACGTAAAATGGATCACTAAATAAGGATGCCAACCCATGATATGATGATTTCCACCAAAACCACTAGACAATACTATGTCATTTAAACTCATTAGTTGACTGATCTTTCTCCTAGTGATTGGCATGTACAGAGCTGTATTCCTAAGCTGTATTGTCAACAGCTGGACCCAATGCATGTATTACAATGGATGGATCTGGTGATCGTACAATGTATGGTTATGCAAAAAAGAATCTCAATCCAAACCTATAGTTTGATTGTGTGCATTGTATGATGGATACTGTGTTTGAAACAGGAATTAAAAGTACTGATTTGCAGTAGGAAAGTACAACGAATATTGGACATTGTATGATCCAAAGTCCTGAATGCAAGATACTGTTCCATTTTACGTGAATATGGCTTATATACAACCCGAAAATAGTCAAACTCAACTGGATAGTTTCCTCGTCTTGTCAAAGAGATTACGCTCAAACGTTTTCTGTTCCTTGGAATTAGGGTATTCTGACGAATAGTACTTTGCCATTACTCTATGGCCTTCGCTATCCAGAACAATGGCTGCTTTGATGGATACCAGACTCTAGTGCAGGTTGATAGCGAAATTGGAAATTTTAAAAGCTAATCCAACTTGAATAGACCAGGATATAAAATGGCTGCATACAGTGTATGATACAAGGTAAACAGACCGATAGAACAATGACTTACCATGTTGGCATAGGCACGAACCATATTGGAGTTGATGCGTTGGTTAGACTGCAATTTCCAACTGAATAAATACCAGTCACGTGGTTATAGGTTTACTTTGCCCAAATGATTCTCATTTGCAGCTGTACTTGCACAGAACGAAACAATAAAAATGCCAAAATGCATAATTAACAGCTAATCTCATGAAATAATTGGTTTTATTTAAACTTATTTTTGTATAAAAACTAAACGTTGATTGATTGGCATGTACAGCTGCATTCCTGAAATGTGCAATCCTGTTCTCTTGAACTAGAACGTGGACGTATCTGTGATTAAAATACATAATGGGCTTTGTACATAGCTGTATTGGCAACAGCTGGACCCAATGCATGTATTACAATGGATGGATCTGGTGATCGTACAATGTATGGTTATGCAAAAAAGAATCTCAATCCAAACCTATAGTTTGATTGTGTGCATTGTATGATGGATACTGTGTTTGAAACAGGAATTAAAAGTACTGATTTGCAGTAGGAAAGCACAACGAATATTGGCCATTGTATGATCCAAAGTCCTGAATGCAAAAAAGTTTCATTTTACGTGAATATGGCTGTAAAATCAAATATTTCATTATTTGATCCCAATTGACAAGTTCGCCTTGTAAAGCATTAATTGGTCAGCCTTCGACTCTATATATCTATGGCAGAGCCATCAACCACTACTAAGCGCTTTCCCAAGCTCCCTTCTCGTAATTGGCTTATTTTTTGGTCTGTTACTGCATCTATTGCCGGTCTTGCTGCATACGACAAATGGCGACTTAAAAATATCAGACAATCCCTTTCTGATCGAGCATTCACTATTGCAAACCAACCTCTTTCTCCTGATGTTCTTCCAAGAAAAGTCATTGTGTACATTGAACCCACTCATTGGGCACGATACTGGTTCAAAGAATATGTCAAACCAGTATTTGATGCAGCTGCATTGGACTATGATCTCGTGGAACCATCACATGCTGCCAAAATCCGATCAAATGTGAGAGAGATTATGTGGAAGGCTCGAGAAATGCACGCTGATCAGCTAGTAAAGCAGGATCTGGATAGACAGAGACAAAAGAAACGACACACTTGGATGGGATGGATGACCAGCTATTTTTATGTCGAACGTACTGACGATCCAATGGCCGGACTTCCTCCTGGTATGCGCCTGCCTAAATATGATCCATCGATTGGATTGGTTGCGGTGGGTCCGTTTGTATGGAGAAATATGCTGCTGGGCTTATCCGAGGGAAATTTGACGGTTCCTACTACCGTTGATGTTGCTATTTCCTCACCTATCCTTCCAGATGTTATTAAGCCTGAAGAGACTCAAGCAGAAAAAGACGGTGATCGTATAAACTCAGAAACAGATGCAGAGCCTTCATTGCCGACTATTGTTCAGCGCACAGTGCCATCTAAAGCCGATGATATGCATCATTTGGACGCATCCGTTGAGTTTCCTCCAATTGGATTCATTACAGGCAAAAACCAAAGTGGATGGAGTGGATTTCCATCTCGTGTTCTTGGGTTTTTTAATCAACGATCGCTTGCATCTCAAATTGGAGAAGAAGCATTAATGGTAGCGTTTGAACACACTCGTCCATTTGTTCAAGGGACAGATGAGCTGCATGGAGAAGAGGATATAATGCCATTGATTGCATCAAACAAGGACCAAGTTGAAAAAAACATAGACAAGTCGGATGATAAAGAGGTATTGGAAATGCAGGCAGAAGAGGCTATGCGATATGATCGAGTGGATTCAGCAACAGCTATCCGGTTAAAAGTATACGCCAGCTGAAAGAAATTTAAATAAAAGATTGATTCAAGAGTACTCTGCAGCAGATTCAAAATGTGATTTGGAGTTGCAAACGACGCGTTCATTGCTCGAGATTCATTGTTGAATTCTTTGCAAATTCAATTCATCGATAAAGCTATTATCGCTGACAGAATGTGGAAGTTTGGTACTACTGAACCCAATAAACCAAAGTCCTTTACACCTGCTTCTGGAATCGACTTTGATCTTCCTGAACCTTCATTTACTGATGATGACTTGAATGACCCGCACCTACTGGCAGAGCTTGCTCTCTTATCTGAGAGTGATGGCCATACAACTGTTTCTAACCCTACACCACCAACTACTATTTTTTCTCCAAAAAAACTGCCAGTAAAGACACAACCCCTCGAATATGCATTAGACACTGTCGTAGACTTGCCTGCTAGCCATGATGAAGAAGTCCATGTCGAGTTTACCGATGCTGACATGCATGATCCTGATTTGCTGGTAATTGAAATATCTATTCATTGATGCCTTTGCTATACTTTAATTCCTGGCTGTTTGCAGTAACTGATACTAATTCATAGTATATAAATGTGCTACAACTACACTATGTTTGCTATTGCATGCTCCACTGGGTTCGGTCATGCCCAACTCTTAAAGGCAGAACTAGGGAAGATTCATGACCATAACAGTCCGAATGCTGCTCACACCACGTTTAGCCCAGATACTACACCCACCCTTGAGAATCATGATCACTTGGAAACAGCTAGTCCTATTCAAGCCACGAATGTTTATATACAATCCAGTCAGGAGGCTGATTTAGTACACTCCACTCAAACCACTACAGTGGAATCTACGCTTTCTGATACAGATAAATCTACAAAACTACCAATCTATAAAGATGACTCGGACTTGCCATTGGAGTATCGTTTGAAAACTACAGATCCAAACCTGCTTGCAAAATATATCCAGCTCGAGAAAATTCGTGCTGTCAATAAAAAGCGTGATGGAAACAAGGAAGGTGCATTTGAATCTCTTAAAGCCATGAAGCAGCTACAGGCTCGTTTAAAAACAGTAACAGACGAGGCGTTTGCAAAGCCAAAATCAGCTCAACCACTGCAGACTACCTTGACTACTTTATCAATTTCACAAAAATTAGATGCAAGGCAATACGGTTCAGGTAGCAATCTCTCACTAGGTCATGGTTCTTTTTCATCCCAGTCAATACAAGCATTACAACCCACAATAACTCTTGAAGCATTGCAAAAACGACAAACAGAATACAAACATGCTGCTTTAAAATCTAAACGGGACAATGATTTTATTCGAGCACGAGAAATGTTGCTGGTGATTAAAAAAATTCAAGATGCAATTGACCTCTACACTGCTACTAGTAGCATTTCTCCTGGATTTATATTACCTTGCCCACCTTCTAACCACCCATCTCCTAAACTTTCTGGGTCTCCAAAGCTGGGCGAGCAGCATAAGTCGGCTATGGCAAGTAGACTTTCTGTAAGATCAGCTACAAGCTCACAAGTTAATTCCACGTCAAATTTAGAGTCTGAATCAAGCTCTCAGGTTGTCACATCAAGCGAAGCTAAAGATATCTATGATCATCTTCTTAAAACACTTCAGTCTCAAATTGCATTGTGCACAACTCTTTCCACTAATTATTACAAAAGTAATCAAAAAGAAATTGCATTGGAGTTTCACCGGAAAAAAAAGCGAATGGAAATGGACTCGGAAGCACTAAAACATCTACGCAATTTAAATAGCCCATCTACCGTTAGTGACAGTCCCTCTACTTCACCAGTGTCATCTTCAAATGTGATGCTACCGTTTATGTTTCACTATGAAGACCTAGAATATACGCTCGCACATACAAATCAGGACGTGCCGCTGGATGAAATGGAAATAAGTATTTTGAAAGCAACCGATTTGGGAAACCGCGAAATTGCTGCTGGAGAGGTAGACAGCAGCGTTGGATATGATATAGGATGGCCACAGGAGGGAGATGTAACTACTGCAGAAGGACGTGGTGAAACACCCATTGTACGAAAAAACTCTAATCCAGGTAGAATCTATCATCTGAGACTTGGCTTACTGTGATTTGCAAAACATTTAATTTTTGAAATTTTTAGAATATGGCTTCAAAAGGAATATTCGCATTATACGAAGTCGACCATTTCAGAGGTTTTTGGAAAGAAAAAAGGTTTTTTTTGAAGTCATTCACACCAAACCCGGTATTCTATCTATGCTGATGACAAGACAAATAGTGCTAGGAAGAGCTGCGGTTAAACTAGAGCCATTGCTTACAAAATGCGAGATCCATGAAATCATCAAGGTAAAATCGCTGGTTTATCGTGGATTGATTTCAATGATAACTGACAATTGCACATTTAATTTGATAGCTCGGTGATCCATCCAATCCTCGGCGTGAAACCGGGGCTACTCTAGAAATCAAAATCAGACTACGCACACCTATAGTCAAACCTGATATAGTAACCAAAACAGAGCGTTGGTTAGTAGTAGAACTTGGATCCCCAATTTCAGCAAGTACCACTGAGATCACTGCTCATACAGGCGCTTCTACTAGTCCTCGAACAGCATTTTCTAGAGGAAATATAGCATCACCATCAAAAACAAATGATCCCACCAAAGCGAAAAATCCGCCTCGAGTGAGCTCTCCTGTGTCTCCAAATGATGGAAATGCATCACCATCAAAACCTGTGCAAAACTCTACTCTGGATACTAAAGCATTGCCTGCAGTCGTATCGCCTGCTCCAGCACATGAATTGGCTCAGCCCAAGCCTGCTCAAAAAGAGATTGTGGATCTCGACTCACTTGAACTCGACTTTCAAAAGTAAGCTAGTTATTTAAATGGCTTAAACAATACTATCTATGCTGTACATATTGGCTTATTCACTATTACCCTCTTTTGCTTTACCGTGCTAGTCCCGACAAGATCGCGTCAAACCAAGTATTGGAACATGAGCATGGACAAATACTTGCACAAATTGCACAACTCACTGTTACTAGAAAGCCTATACCAGAAGAGATACAGGATAAAAAAACTGCATATGAGATTCGAATGAATCTGTTGGTGACTTTGATTCAACTGGGAAAATTAGATATGACTAGTAAGTGATATAAATTATGCATCAAGTGATAAAATTTAAAACGTTTGTAACATACCTGTAATATAGATTGGTTTCCCAACACACTAACATCTGATATTTCTTGAAAATTGCCGATTTTAGGCTATGTGGCACAAGTCAAGACTTCAATTACTACGACTCGCACAGCAGCAATGGAATTCAAGCGAGCGGGAAGAATGGATTTAGTGAAGCAGGCATTAATTCGAGTAAAGTTGATGACTGCTGAAATGGAGGAAGTTGAACAGTCAATGTAAACCATTCTTGTGCAGTACCAATGCGCTACTTGTGAACCAACATACTAGTTTAATCTATAAGCAACAGTTGAACATTGACAACATTCTATGCAATCAAATAAAAACAGTTCGAGTAGATACCATAAAGTCAATGCAATAAGTAGTTTATTGGAATTGTTCAAAGCCAGACCAAAAAGCAGTAAAATGGCTATTGATTGCAATCAATTGTATATACCAAACATTGTCCATTCAATAAAATCCAAAGATATATCCACAATAGTCTATACTGCAAACGATATTTCCATAATCACGACTCGTTATCCAAGTATCAAGCATTAGGATCTCGAGTAACAATGACAGGGCATTTCAAGTTGTGGATCAAATGCTCAGACACCGATCCCAGGAACAGTCGGTTTAGTGTTGTCAATCCTCGCGAACCCATAATGACCATGTCGGCCTTGACATCTTCAATCTTGAACACTAGCTCTTCACGAGCATCTCCACGAAGTGCAATAGCCCGTACATGCAGTCCGTGCTGCTTGATGGCTTTTGCGGTCTTGATCAGCAGTTCGTGAGACTCGATTCTGCTAGCATCTTCTTTGACGGACAGTGTTTCTGTATAAATGTATTAGCTTGCGGACATACTATGCAGTCATGACCATAAGATCAGCCAGGGTATACAACTCACCGCCATAATCAACAAAGGGTGCGCCATAACTCAAAGCAGGTATAGTAATCAATGGTCTGACATGCAGCACAACAACTTGATCGGTTTCTTTGCGCAAAATGTTCTTGATGGCCCATTCGATGGCATACGTACTGCTTGAAGATCCATCAATGGCAATACAAATGGTGCGCGAAGAGGACTCGTGCACTTCTGCATGTACTTCTTCATGGACTGGAGCAGCAGCAGCACTTGGAGCAGCAACAGTACTTGGAACTGTGGTAGTACTTGGAGCAGCAACAGCACTTGGAACTGTGGTAGTGTTTGGAACAGCACTCATGATCGTCGATGGTATTCAAATCAAGATTTAATCTTGCCGAGACTTTCAAACGGCATTTTGATATTTATACTCGAACGATGAGTCACGTGTGAGTGACTGAAGTTGACTCAAACCAAGACATGAATAAATATCCAGCAAGTGTAGTAAATATTTAATAAATATCCACCAAGTGTTCAACAAGTGTTCAAGTGTTTTGATCATGTAAAGTTGTAATACTAAAAATAATGGCTTGTCAGTCTATTTGGTCAACTTTACAGTTCCAATCCAATGGAAAAGTTTAATTGATTCCACATTTCGACATGTTAATACAAACTAGTCATGATTTTCTGGGTTGGATAGATTGGGATTGTTACTTTGATAGTAGTCGATGATGGATTGTGCATGTAAAGCCATTTCTATTGTCAATATTGGACTGGCTCTACAAGCGGATCAACTTTATTTCATTTGATTCATGTATTAGTATATACATTCATCGACAACCATTGGATCTGTAATCAGCAGTGTCAGGATTAATACCACAATCAACACTGTAGTCATAGCACGGATGATACAATTGGATAGTGCTGAACCAATGCATCCAGTAGTAACAGATATATCTCATGAATGCTCTACAACTGCAACCCATAATAATGCCAAGAGCCATCCAACCACTTTAATGGATAATCAGGACCAGTCGCTGCCGTCATCTCTAATGAGAGAGGGTCGCACATATAGAGGAACACAGTTTCAGTTTCAAACAAGAACAAAACAACTGCTGCCTAGGTCTCTTAACCCAGCATGTGTCCATACCACAGTTGAATGGATCACTCTGGCAACCATTGTGTTGCAGATGGCCATGTTTGTATCTTGCAATGGATACGGATCCACTATGGGTAACACCAACCGTCCACAATCAGACTCGAGGCATGTTTTATTGTGGATGTATGCATTCTGGAGAGTCGTCTATAGTGTTGGGCTGGGAGCATTACTGAATGCACAGTCCAACACGGCTTTTATTGTCAGGATGTTCAAACGAATGGGTCTTGGCTCCAATTCTAATATTCCCCGCAACGAACTATGCACTTGGATTGTCGATGAGATTGTCAAGCGCATGGAGCGAGATACAGATCTGCCGTACAACTACGATGTAAATGGTGTATTTGAATCATGTATAAATCAAGATTGCCATGTCCACTACTTATGCAATGTATTGAATATCTAGTCGATGCCAACCGAGCTCAATGCGTGGCTGTTGTTTCAGGAGATCTGCAACTTTGTGATATCCAATGACTTTGTAGCTTATATTCTTGTATCGTTGTCGTACTATCAAGCTCCGCCATGGTTGGATCTGACGCTTCGCGACGGAGCACTTTTTGTTGGTGGCATGCTGATTATTATGTTTAATATTTGGCTCAAACTAGATGCGTATGTGGTGCTCAAAGACTATTCCTGGTACTGGGGAGACTTTTTCTTTTTTATGGAAGATGCAGAGACGTTTGAGATTGGATTTGAAACACTACCGCATCCCATGTATTCGATTGGATATATCGGATACTATGGTGTTGCGTTGATCACACATAGTTACACGGTGTTGTTTGTGAGTCTGGCAACACACATGCTGCAGATTTTGTTTTTATATTTTGTAGAAGCACCACATGCTGCCAGGACATATGAAGTACCGTCCAAACAAGAGGGTAGGCGACGATAAGTTTTGAGTGTATTGATGGTATTGTTACGCGGATCGATATTGTATTGCAAGTTGATATTGACACATGTTTTGTGTGCAAATATATATGTAGATGACGGTGTCAATGCAGATACACTGCAGCAATGGTTTACACGCGATCTGGTGATATTTAGTCGATTGGATCTATTCCGAAGTGGCGATATGCTGACCCTGTTTATATATGCATACACTGTTATAACATCCATTTTTGTTGGACACATTGAAGAATATGACTGGAAGTACTGGTATTATGTTGGGTATGATTTGATTTGTAATGTTTGTAATTGACTGATTTGATACATTTGTGATTGACTGAATGACTGGTTGATTTGATACATTTGTGACTGACTGAATGACTGATTGAATGATACATTTGTAATGTTTGTTTGATTGTAGTCAGACTGTGTTTTGGCGAATATTTCACACATATGGATTGGGACTGCTACTGTATCTTCAAGGTAAAAACAAGTTTTGGACACGACACTTTATCCGACACGGTGATGGACTACGTGAAGCACTACAGCATTGGAAAATGTATGTGATATTGAATGGGTTGTGGTTGTGATGGTGTTTGGTACGACTTTTATCGGTTGAACGCCAAATGTGATATTGTTCAGTACTCACACAGTTATGGTGGTCAAATAGACTATTCAATCTTTCGATTACAATGACATATCTGTCGTTTTTTGTGTGTGCTTGGCGACTGTATATACCACCACAATCGTTCAGTGATGGACCAACAATTTTAAAACACATATTTGGCTGTGTGAGTAGTGTCAAGGATTGGTTGTTGACAAGTATAGCAGCTACAAATGGACTAACTGTATATATTTTGACGAGTAGCTGTTCATAATACTTCATGCTTGGGTTACAGTGTCGATATACGAAGTACGAGGACGTCTTGGATGGTTCCACGCCGAGTTTTTTATTGACTCGTTGTATGGAAAGAATGGACCAAGACACAATGGTGTATATCGATATTTGGAGAATCCGCTGTTGTATACATTTTCATGCTGGGGACTGACACTGATCTGTCGGTCGTGGACGCTGTTGTTTTTGACAGCTTTTGGGCAGATATCCAACTGGCTGTTTCTGAAACTAGTCATTGAGCAACACTATGTGAAGCTGTATGGTAAACGACCGTTTGAACAGAGTGGTGGACAAAGACGATCGCTTAAAGGACGTGTGCAGTTGCTCGGATATAAAGTTAAACGAGTGGGACAGCAAATGGTGGAAAGAATGGAACGATTGGAGATTATTGATTCGATCATGTCCAAAATACGGCGACTCAAGGACATCATTGGTAGTTATTCTGACGGCGATGATGGAGTGGTGGATGGCTATGGCTGTGATGCAGATACTATGCAATTGATTCAAGGACGTGACATGAAACCAGAATCAGTGACTGGCGGAACAACCGACAGATTTTCAAAGCAGTTGACTATGATGCAAGACGGGTATGATACAAACATTGAAAGCAACGACCTGTTTGTAACTGATGACTATGCAGAAGGTTTTACTCGTGACATGGACGGTGCACACTATGATGATGTTGGTTCAAGCACTAATGCGAATGGTACCAGTGAATACGATGAACCACATCGTCCGCTGAATACGCCAGGACTATTTAGTACACCGACAGAAGCTACGGAACAAACACACAGTCGATCAGTCACAGACACGGTAAGACTAGTTGTTAAAGAACTGGAGTATTTAGTTGATACGGCCAAGCCATGCGTCAAAGCGATTGTGGACCAGACCAAACTGCGTGTTGCCAATCTTGCGAATGTGTAAGTTGCATGATTGTGGTGTTGAACCCGAATACATGTGGTTGTACACTTGATTATATCAGCAATGATTGTGATGTTTAACATATGATTTGGTATGAATGTGTTTGTAGAGTTCGATTAGAAGACACTCTTTCACGCGACCAACTGCCGTTGCATTTGTATTCGTTGTCGGTTTGCACTGCAAATTCACGCGAGCCAGCCGAGTTTCAACTTGGTGAACCGATTGTAATTGAGTTTACAGCTGCTCGGGAAACCATGAAAAGCAAAGACTGGATTGCAGTATACAGTGTCCATCAGAACTTTGATCCAGACACCACTACGAGCAAGTGTGGTACCCGATGGTCATGTGTATCTGGTTATCCGAGACGAACCATGGATGTGAATGCATCGGCCATATCCAATTGCACAACACTGACATCGACAACAGACAACAAAGCCATATCGACTGCACTTGCATCTACAGAGTTTTATGACGAGACGGTCACGCCGTGGGTTCGAACAGGTGATCAGATGCATTTTGGGTATACCAAGGTGGATATTTCGTCATCCAAAGATGATCCTGGGTTGCGTGTTGTTCGTGGACGACTTGTGTTTACTCGTGAACAACTTCCATGGCAAGTGGGAATGTTTGAAGTTCGATATCATTACGATGGACAGTATGTCGTGTTGGCACGCAGTGCACCGTTTCGAGTATCGCTTGATGTTAGCATGGAACACTTTGGGCCATGTAGTTCAGAGCATAACTCTAGTGATACAGCAGATAGTTATATATTGTCGTATTCAGCATCGAGCCTTGCAATGAAACTTCAAGGCGTTGTTGAACGGTGTCTAGACATTGATGTATCTGGCGGGGATATGCCACTGGAGTTTCAAGAAAGCATGTTGGAACGAGTCGTCATGCCAGCAATGCTCATGCAAACCATGACGATGTCTAAATATCAGCGCGAAGTGTGTAAGCGGATCGTGTATGCCATCAAGCATATTTACGGGATTGACTTTTCGTGGCGTGTAGTTGAAATGGCAAGATCATTGATGGGACTTGGTGAGCGTATTCACGAAGCACATACAGTTCTTGGTTCGTATTCGCAAGAAAGACCTGAATAAATATACATGTATAATTGCACACCACATGGTTTGACTGTATTAGACTGGAGGGTCGTAATGGTGAGATGGTATGGTTTTAATTGATCAGTTTGACATGGCTCGAATGGTCATGTACAACTCGCATTAATAGTCATGTATAAAACAATTATTGAATAAAACTGATTTATTTCAAATAAACAAGAATCAATAGTACCACAATGGATTAGTCTTCTACCATACTAATTCGATGCATACCATTCTGGATAGCTTTGATTTCCTTGGTAATACGATGCCACAGAGTGTACAGACTTGCCAATTCATTGTTCATGACATCAAGAGCTTTTTGGCATTCACCCATATCGCTTTGATATAAATCCAGTTTAGCAGCCATGGCGCGAGGAACACTGCTACGATGTTTAACAGGTTTCTGGATGTTTTGATTGAGATCTTCAATCATAAGCAACAGTTCTTTTATTTCCTTTTCAAGTTGTTTTATGTCTGCTTTCTTTTTAGTTATTTTAACTTTGAGTGTTTCTAGATCCGCATTCAAGACTTCTATTGCGTTGTGCTGCCATCCTTTTTCATTAGACTTGCGATAGGCGCCTTTTTCCTTATGCTGAGGTATCTCATCTTTATCGTGCAGTTTACCTAAAGATTCTAATAGTCGATCCGATACTTTTTTCACTCGAGTTGATAGTTTTCCTGATACTGTTGATAGTCGGCCTGATACTTTTTTTACTTGGGTTGATAATTTTTTTGATACTTTTGATGCTCTAGTTGATACTACTTTTGATATTTTGCCTGAGATTACTATTAGTTTTTCAAATAGGGTGTTTGGTGGTGCCTGGGCCAGCACCAGTCCTATTACAAATGAGAAGATAACCGCTATAGAGAGTTTCATGTATCAGTTTAGACAGCTCAATGAATATTGGATATGCATCCATTTTATATGCTCCATTGCTGTATTGAATAGCCTCCAACCCTTAAGCCCTGAAGCATAGGCCCTTATCGACAACACACTCTAGCCCTGTGCATACACTCGAGCTTGGGCAAGTGATTGATCCACAAACTGTGTACTTTGCCAAAGCGAAAGCATCAAGCCTGTGCCAATTATTAAACTTTGACAGCTGTACGAGTGCAAGGATGGAGCGACCGAGTCAGATTGACTGGCTGACCATACATATAAACTGCATTGCTTTTGTACAATCATCACAGCAGCTATTTACAATGCAAGCACAATGCGCCTCTAAAACTATGTTCTATTAATACACGGCAACTTTGGTTCTGCCATCTGTTCCCAGTAGTAGATTGAAGACCAAATCGAGCACGCCACATGTGGAGCTGTATGTTGTGGCAACTATAAACCAGATTTGTGAACAATGAACAAGTCGTGTTTGGAGTATGCAATTCGGCATTTAAGGAGTATAGATGACCATATTTAATCATTGCTATTTAATTGAAGGTACACTTCAAACATCAGCACAAGATAAAGAAATACCAATAGCATCGTTTTAGTCACACTCGATTACATTTATCGATCAACAGAATAAGCCTTTGGTTGCTTTATACCCTTTCTAATTATTCAACAGCCATGTCCACCACGATCGAGATTCCTAGTCCAACCATCAGTGCTCCACGTACCTCTCCAGTAAAAGTCACTGTTGCTCGCAATCAAACTGGCAAGCATATACAAGCCCAAATGCAATCAACAACTGACGCATCTAGTCAAAAATCTGCTCATGTCCAAGGTCAAGTGGATGAAGTAATTGGTATTATGCATTCCAACATCGATAAAGTCGTTCAACGTGGAGAAAATCTCAATTCGCTGCAAAATAAAACCGATGAGTTGAATCAAGGTGCATTGCAGTTTAAGCGAGGCACAACTACGCTCAAGAACGAAATGCAAGTGCAATACTATTTATATTTGGAAGACTGAGTTGACTATGATTTGAATTGTATTATTTTTCTAAAATGATCGAGCTGTGACTATCTGAATAGGTGGTGGAAAAACACCAAGCTTAATCTTATTGTCGCTGGTGTAGTCGCTTGTGTGCTGACAATCGTAATCATTGCAGTGGTTGGAATGCCAAGAGCTGCTCCGTCTCACGCTTGATGATTCTACCACCATGCCCTCAAATAAAATTAAAATGGTTTTTATATATCTTTTAAAGCTAGCTGTAAGGCTTGGGTTTTATTGTTTTTTGGATTGGGCGGCCTTTTCCCGAAGCGATTTTTTTACCGAGTCGCCGAGTCCTGCCTGACTGAAATTTTGAACAACCACTGTTTCTTGAACGTATCGAGTGTTTTTAGGTTGACAATGAGCAGAACATGTGTAAAGAAAAACGGTTCCCCAGTCCAGTGCATTCCAATCAGAGTGATCAATTTCAAAACTGTCGAGGAGTTGTGGCATAATCTAAGTGGCAAATCATGCATGTGAGTTGGTTAAAAATGGAAAGCATGCATCTATGGACTCGAGTAAGCATATATTTACCTGAAATTCAAAAGTACGTTGCGACTTGCAGTAAGGACAAATTGATTGTGAATCTTTATCTAATGGTAGATCACTCACAAGCAGTGGCTCGACAGTAGAATCTTTAGATACACCAGGCACGCGCGAATATCTTGATCAAATACTCAACGGTCAGTAAAAAAATAAGTGTTGAATATGGTATCACAACAAATGATTGTAGTTTCGATATTGTTACCTAATGACTTGCTCGGGTGCTATTGAAATGCGTTTCTGGAATTTCAAAAATGTGCTATCCACCTCTACTTCGGTATCATCCTCTAAAATCTCCAACTCACTTGGCTCTTCCAACACTAAACTATCTGTGACAGTAGCAGGAAGCTCAAATTCCATTTCGTCTTCTTCTTGCAGCTCGAATTCAGGAAATATTGCTTTTGCTCTAACTATAGCAATTTGGTCATCAGAGATACTGTTTCCGCAATGCTCCTTGTGACCTCCAATCTGCCAATCTAGAACGGAATGTTCTTTGCTGCAGTAGTATACATTTTTGCATGCAGAGCACTTGAGCGATCCCTTGAGTCCGCAGAGATGACAGTAGTTTGTATCTTGAAATTTATGTAATCGACACAATAAAGAGTTAGTTTAATTGATGGTGAATGAATGATAAAATCATGATACAGGATGAAACATTCACGCACATACTTGATGATTGTAAGAGTACCCCATCAACAGAGTAGACGGCGTTTTCTTGCGGTAGTTGAGATCTGAATAGCTTAAAGCTGGAATTATAGAAAAATAGGTATAAGTTTATAAGATGCTCTGATATCGAATTTAAAAAACTATACTGTTACCTTTTTGAAGGACTGTTTTTGTGGCATGCTCCATCTTTACAGCAAAATAGATACACAACTCGGTGAAATGATTCTGGAATATCGTCTTCTGGAGTGTATAGCTAATTTACAGAATATGCATAGTTGGCCAAAATAAATACTGGGCTTGACATGGTATTCTGTTCATTGTTGAAATTACCTGAACTACTAGCGCCATAGGTTGATGGCATTGATCGCATTCGACTTGACTAGCGGAAAGCGGTTCGTTGGGATTAAGCCAAATCTAATCATTTACAAATAAATCGTAAGTGTTTTGATTGGTATGAAAATAAATGGAATGCTAATTTACAGCCATGTTTACATAAAATAGAACCCTAAATAAAGGTGTCAATACATAATATTTTTTGTGCTCATTGTTGTAAAGCTGAACAAGTGTTTGCATGTATATTTGAACACATTCCATATTCTTGGCACTGTTTAACTTCCAACTCTCCAAACATTACAATAAGCAGTTTGTTGAACTAGAGCGCGAACGTATCTGAAATTAGGATACAACAGATATGAGTTTGATTGGCAACAGTCAGGATTGATGTCTGAACTGCAATGAATATGGTGATTGTACAATGTATGGTTGTGCCAAAACAGGAAAAGGTATAGATTCAAAACTAGTTTGATTTTGTATGGCTTGCAATTCCAGATACAGAAGAATCAAAGATGCCAATTGAAGCAGTCGGTTTTCAATAGAAAAACAACACATGTTTGATCACTGTCTATTCCAAAGCAAGAAGCAGTAACTACAAGATACAAAGTGTTTGATTTTACATGAATACGGCTGTAAATAACGTACCGGTCGCCCACCGACTTTATTGGGAAAGTCGTCAATATTCGATTTGAGAATAGGAAGCGGCTCTATTGGGTCATGAACCAAGAATCCCAATTGAACAGCGTTTGTGGCAGAAATGTCATTCTCAAATGGGTCTTCTTTTTCATCTTCATGTCCATTATTATTGCATGTTTTGGCTGGACCTTGATTAGCTGCCATGGATAATATGTAAAAAATTTAAAAAGAAAATTCAACATTTTACAGACAAGATTGTGCACATGAGCAAAATAGTGAACGAAGTGGGATTCGAACCCACGCCTTTTTCAAGACTACGACCTGAACGTAGCGCCTTAGACCGCTCGGCCATCCGTCCCAATATTTTTCAGATGCTTCATTTTTTGTCATATAATTTCCAATTCAATGATTATTTTGTATATAATTGTTTGATAATCCATTCAAATCACATTTAGCTTAAATACCATTGGTTTTAATCTGAATATTAAACCTCGATGTGAATAAGATATCAGTGTAATGTTTACTTATTGTAAAGTAGCGATATAAATGATTCGCACATATTTTGTATATCTTCAATAGTATACTCTCGTTCCACTACTGTTTTAAAACTAAACTCATCATGTATTGGTTTTACAAAAACAATATACATTGATAAAAAGTAGATATTTGGAGTAAATCTTGAATCATGTATTTCCACTTTAGTTAGTTAGCATGGACCGAGCAAGATTACGAGAAAGTGCAAGACAAAGGACATTATTTGTAGCATCACTCTTAAAATTCTCGCCTGCACGTACAGACACATTCACTTGTGAGACAGTTTGAAGGGGATCACGTCGATCCCGCACAACCACCTCCTCCAAACATCGCATGAGTTCAAACGTATCCTGCGTGGAAAACACCACAGCTTCACCCTCCAACAATGGTAGTGCATCCAACAGTAAATGACGCCAAACAGATTTGGGTGCAGAGTTGCTTGTAAGAAGCATAACTAAAAGCTTTCCTGCCGAATGAAACTCTTTTTCAGTGTAAAGATGATGAAATTCGCGGTATTTGGATAGAAATGCAAGTCGCTCGTTGCGATGGAAAAGAGCTGGGTTGAGAGTATCCATCACTGAGCAAAATGAGTTGGAATTTCCCGGTTGATCAAAAAACTGGACTAGAAGCCGATTGCATATTGCAGTAGCAGTACGATCCTGACCAGCTTCGATATAATGAGAAATGGCCTCTCCAATACGCTTTCCAGATAGTGCCTTGCGAGCAAGAATTGAATGGAGTTGACGCTTGGTATCTTGCAATCCATGAGTATTACAGAATGCTAGCAGTTTGCGAGTCTTTAAGTCTGAATCAAGAGGAAGTCTAGGTATTAGCTGAGCAAGCATTTCAAAGCCATATCTTGGACAGTGGACATAGTATTCAATGGATACACGCCATAAAGCTGGACTGGACAAAAGATAATCTGCATATGCTAGCCGATACCACTCGGAAAGAGTGCACCCTGCTTCATTATCATCGTGAGACGTCACACCGGATCCCATACCACCCTTGTGTAGTCCAGCCATGGTAAACTCTTGCAACAGCCCTGCTTTATCAAACAGATCAATCAAATGTGTAACCAGCCACCAATCCAGTTCAGCAGCATAACGCAATGCCTTGGAAATATCCGTTTCAAAAAGAGCAAGTTGAACCTGATCCAAACTTTTATCGACAGAAAACCGATCCGTGACACTATCGACCATGATTTTGACATTGGATGGCTGAAACAGAGGATACACAAACATGCCAAGAGCAACTAATGCTTCCTGCCAGGTATGCGACACATTGAACAACACTTCCTCGTCGCCAGCAAGAATACCAAAAACGGTTATGAAATGATCCGTGTCTGTATCACGGATAGATAAAGAAGACGCAAGTTTTCCATCAGAATATATGAACGCGACACAGTCTTTCCATTCTGACCATTTTTGCTGAAACAAAAGTTGAGATCCAGATGTGGAAGATGGAGTAGGCATGCACTGGGTTAGAATCGTAAGTGCAGTAACAGGATTAAAAGCAGCCATGGCATCGGAAACAGTAGCATGGGCAGGTAATGGCTGAGCGGTTTTGTATTCAAAAAGCATGCCTAGCATGGTAGAAGCAGCAACAAAGTGGCCTCGCAAAAGACACTTGAATATATAAGGCCAAAACTGAGGATGGTCAGCAGGAGTAACCATGCTGATCATATCTTCAAACTGGCTTTGAATGTCAGATGAATGATTAAGAGAAAGCCAGTTAATAAGATCCGCAAGAACAGATTTGGAAGACTGCTGGAGAGTGAGTTGCTGATCATCAAAAAAAAGAATATGGGCCAAATGCCAGACTGAGTGTATGGCAGAAAAAATCGAAGTTTCCTGCTGGATCTCATCTAAGGTGTCTTTTGAATCATTGTCGGATCTACAAGCAAGCTGCTGGGCGTGATTTTCGAGAGATCGGACATGATTGTAAATGGCAATTCTATATTCTGTAGAGGCTTTAGAGATCATGTGAGTTTTAGTAGTGGACTGAGAAAGTCTGTTTAGACGTCCAGTTCTTGAATGGATATTGGCAGAGTGGTCCGATGAATCAATAGTAGAGGCCAAAGTAGATACAAAAATACCAAGAGTGACTTGATAAAAGGAAAGCCTGGATTCAGGGATAGACAGCCAGCATGCTTTAGTAATGAGTTGGTCTTGAGGGAATCTGGCTATAGACTGTTTATCCAGTGATAAAGTTTCTGGAATAAGTCGAGCAGCAGCGAATGCAAGCAGTTCAGAACCCAAAGGTTTAAAAACAGCTCGAATGCATCTGTTTGCAGGTAAAAGCGCAGAGGCTACAGCACCTGCTGGACATAGTCCAAGACTGAGTAACGGGAGTCCTTGACTGTCCATAAAGTAAAACTCGAATAATTCTTTTTGCAAAAATAATTCTCTCCACAATCAGATGACAAAAAAAGCTCTTCAGCGGGGAATCGAACCCCGGTCTTCCGCGTGACAGGCGGAGATACTAGCCACTATACTACTAAAGATCTTGTTAATGAAATTTTCATTGTCAATAGATTCCTTATGTTAATTTTGTTGTGGTTTGGTGTCAGCACTTGTAAATCAATACTACATGACATTCTCATCACCAATGGTCATCTGTTTTATATTGGATCTGAACATTGACAACTACACATTTGGTGATTGGCAATCATATGGACAACCAGATGATTCCATGACACCGCATATCAAACTTGATGTTCAATACTCCAATCATGTCGATAATAGTTGGATATTGTGCAGGTAGATTGTGTAATTGATACTCTCGACTCAATCAGTTGCTTTGCACTTGTCATCCATGCTAGCCTTTTCAACAGTCATTGCCATTGATTGATATGTTTAAACAGAATTCTGAGATCGATCATCAGTAATTGTGATAATGCAGCCTATACTTGTTTTGATTGGTACAACTCTACCCAATGGTGGACATATTGTATTACTAGTCAATGTCTTGTAAAAACAGCATATTCTGGGCTGATGGATCTGAATGTATTTTATTCAAGCCTTTACTTGATATTGAATGGATTTATTTGCTGAATAAACTCGAATATCAAAGCATAGATAACTCCATGCAAGTGTGCCGTGTTCATTCGAGTTTAAACTAATGGCATTACTTGTCACAAAGCCATACACACCAAATAGCCATTACCAATATAAACTTTTTACACTGTTACAATATACTTTCATTCAATAAATTGTAGAAACAATTACTAGACTTGAACATCTAGTTTTGATCGCAACTTTTTCCAATGTAGATGCAGCAAATGTCCATGCGAGTGCATCCAGAAGTAGGCTTAGGACCACGAGCAGTGGTGGTAGCTCTTCCAGTGGTGGTGGGCCTCTTTGTAGTAATGGTAGCTCTTTCGGTGGTGGTAGCTCCTTCAGTTGTAGTAGCTCCTTCAGTGGTGGTAGCCCTTCCAGTGGTAGTAGCCCTTCCAGTGGTAGTAGCTCCTTCAGTTGTAGTAGCTCCTTCAGTGGTGGTAGCTCCTTCAGTGGTGGTAGCTCCTTCAGTGGTGGTAGCTCCTTCAGTGGTGGCAGGAGGACCTCTGCTAGAAGGTGGAGGTGAAGCGCCGGTATCACAGTCAGCAGGAACAGAGAAATCGTCATTGAAGTCGGCAGCCTTGACTCCCAGACCGCGTTTGGCGAATCCTTTCCAGATCTCGCACTTGTTGGCACCTTTGTAGCGATTAGCATCAGACTCAATGAAAGCATCACGAGCACTAATGAGAGTGGGATGGCATGGTTGGAGCATAAATCCGCCAATCATATTCTGCATAGTAATAGTGTTACCAGAATTGCTCTTGGCATCGTAAATATCGGTAGAGAATCCGTTCTTGGTGACCAAGTTCCAGTAGACTTCCCAAAGCATAGAGGCCCACACTTCACCAGCATCGTGAACTTCTAGACGCTTCTTAAGAGTGGAATAGGTCAAGGGATTGACTTTCATGTCAGTCGTGTAAGGATGGGAGCGAATACCTTCGGGTCCACCCTGAATATATGTACCAATGGCAATTGGAGTGTCGGATTTTTGTGATTCCTTGGCAGACACGATCATGGCAAATAGGTCAGACCAACCTTCGCCCATACCACCGGCTTCAGCTCCGCGCAAGCACCCAACTACTGCAGGTCCACCAGTCAACCGACCTGAGACACCATGTCCATATTCGTGCATAGCGACTTGGTTATCCAGACCAGGATTGCGATTAGGCTTGAAATGAGCAAATCGGAACATTCTCATTTGACCCGGCTGACCATCAGCTGGAGAAAAGAAATCGGCATTTTCTTCATCTGAAGTATCCAAGACACTGATAATAACAGGATCGTTACCCTCACCACCTTTGCCAAAGTTGTCCTTTTGGAAATTGCCAGCAGCCTCGTTGAAACCATACTGGTACGTGATGTCGTGCATTATGTTAGTAATGTAAAACAGATTGACAGCTGTTGCTTGCATGTTGTCCGGATCGGTGATATCAGCAGTGGGGTTAAACTTGGAGTCGAATACACCATTAACACCAGTTCCTGGAACCGCTGGTTCTTTTCTTAAATCAAGAGCACTGACATTGTTACCCTCAGTGGTAGTTCCATCAGTCCATCCATTAGGCGACGATGCTTTGTATTCTGGATCTTTGACGTCTGAAAATCCATCATCAGGAGTGAGACCAGGAAGTTTGATGGCCTTGTATGTTGCACGATGAGCAAAATCAACAGCCTGGATCAGTTTGCCTAATATCAATCCATTTACATTCAAATTAGTGCTGATTCCACAAAAATCAATATCTGAACACGAAATACCGTACCAGTGTTGGCATCGGCCCAAACTTGGAACCAGAAATTAACACTTTTGTCGCGAAGCTGGAATTTGTAAGCATACACAAGCGTGCCATCAGCCTGTTGAACATACTCGAGGTCATGCTTAAACTCAGAGTAAACTGGAAGACCCTTGGCCTTGGATACAAGACCAGAAGCCTGTTCAAAAGTCAGTTTGGCTTTGGGTTCTGCAATTGAGAGCTCACTTTTGGTAAGATGGCTTTTAGTACCAAACGAAGCAGAGTACGACGTAATTTGACCGCCTTTGATATGGACAGCAGCTTGGTGATTGGCTACAGATGCGCCGTTAACTAGATGAGAACCGTACACGTGAGTTACACCAGCACTGTCCGTAAAGCTGCTGGAAATTTTGAACTCGTCAGGAGAGAGATTGAGTTTGTCACGGATATACGCAGTGCCAATCTTGACTGAATCAGCATTGGATGGAGCCGCGAGGTTGGATGAGTGATCATAAGGAATACTTTGATAAGTAGGCTTGGGAAAGTAGAATGGAAGATCGCTAGAGGCATCTTTTGTAGACAGGGTGGTTGGAGCAGCAAAAATTGCAGAGGTGGCAAGAGCAAGAACGAGAGAAACAGTAGAAATGAACATTTTAGACAGTGATTTCAATATCTATAGTATAAATGTAGCAAGTATAGTATCAAAAGGTTACAATGGTAGAGATTGATGGAATTGATTGCATACCATTTCACGCCGTTTTATACCTTGAATTCAAAAGCATATATGCAACGGTTTGGTAATCTGATTGAATATACATATGCTGGTCAAGAAAAACACATGAGTGTCATATGTGAATGCATGTGCTCGCGGACCATATGCATCCAAATCATGCACTTAAAACGGGTATATTGCTGTATTGCTTTTAGCTGGGCCAATTGTACGGATAGCGAATTTCAAGGAACCTTGTCGCAATTGTATTTTGATGTAGCACCGATACCCGTTTCCAATTTAAATTAACTAGGCTTTAAGGAATCAACGCAATATATGTATAGACAGATTATACTTTGCCATGTGCAACTCGCGTGTATTGCGAGTCCAGTGTCGAGTTTAAATTGATAAAGCCAAACTACTATGCAGTTCTTGGCAATATGTCCTGTAGCACCGACTTCAAGTGCTTAGCATACACATGAGATGCGCATTTTATATTTATCATTTTGCCAGATCTGTATTGAATGCATGCATACCTTGTATATATTCAAGCAGGATTTGGAATATAAAGCAACTGAGCATTCAAAAAGTGGATATATGATTAGTGATTTGGGCCACTTGAATTGATGGCGTGTATGCTTCTAGACCAAATTTGGACATGTTACCATACCATTTGTAATCATGGATGGTTAAAGCCTCAAATATAACACATGCTAATCTAGCAGTATAATGCAACAGTGGATTCAATTATGAAATGATTGCCAGAATGCTTTGTTTATTTCAATGTCAAAATAATTGTATTTAGTTTAGAATAGTAAGCAGGTGTGGTGATTGGCCACCACTATAATTAATTTGTAGATCGGATAAAATGTGCAATATTAATTATGGGCAATGAAATAATACAGCAAATGAAAAGGGTATTGTTGAGCAAGCATGTCTTTCAAATTATAAGCAATCTCCACAAAGCATTAGACTGGTAATGCACCAATTGCTTGATTTCAAACAAGTTGTATAATTGAAATGGTTGATACCAATCCAATCTTGGACTATCCAAAGCATTTTAGAGTCATGACAGCAGTCAAACAGATCTGACTATTGCAAGATGGTGTTGCATTCCTGACTGTTGCAGATCTAAAGTCGATGGTTACATAGGTTATGTAGTCATTACGTGTAGTGCACAAGTGTACGCAACATGGAATGAATTCGACAAGTTATCGCCTGTAATAAACTGCGATTTCTTTGGTCGCAAAGAACCTGTTTGTAAGTCAATCATCCAGACCACTGATAAAACAGTCTCGTGCGACGATGTATCTCAAATACAGCTGAGCAGATCTCGTGATGCTAGCCAAGCTACTCAGCATCTGGATGAGTTGGCTCGACTTTTCCAACTGATTAGAGTACTTGCCAATGACGGACACCCCAACCAAAGTCAACACCCCAAACATGGTCCACGAAGTGGTCCATGAGCATCCTAGCCCAGACCTTTTATCCGCTAAAAAGAGAGTGGTTTGTATTGCTATTGATGGATCTCAATTCAGCGACCATGCTATCTCCTGGGCACTCGAAAATGTCCTTCGTAAGGAGACAGACCAGGTTGTCTTGCTGAACGTTAGACCTTATCCTCTAGTCTCCATGGTGAGCACTCCTCTTGTTGACTATAGCTTGTCTTCAGATCAAGAAGAAGCTTCCAATAAATCGGCTTCGCATCGACTGCTCGTTAATGCCGCCAATACGATTACCCTTGCAGGTTTCAGTGTTCGAGCCATTGCACTCCGAGGGGATGCTCGTGAGGAGTTGGACTTTAAGATCCGGGAACTTAAAGCTGACTTGGTTGTGATTGGCTCCCGAGGACTCAGCACCTTTAAACGACTCCTTCTAGGATCGGTTTCTGCCCATCTTGCAAATACCCTGACTGTGCCCCTGCTGATTACTCGTGGCCCTACTACCAACCCATCGTCATAGATGAAGAGTTGGGTGGTTTCCTATTGTTGCAAATACAATAGGAATGTGTTTGCACCCAATATATTGCATCTTTCGGATCCTATTGTTTCAAGGTCAACCTGCACTTGTATTCACATAAAGTGGAACACTGTTTTGCAGGCTTGCTCCATAATAAACAATGGTTAGATATCCACTGCACTTTTCTACTACAAGTTGACTTTGATAAACATTCTCAGTTCTTTAGTGTTTGGAGTTGCTCGACACGAATCATTTTCTGCAGAGTTCAAGAACGGACACTGTGTAATACAGTTTCAATCTGCGACCATTTTCTGAATGATTGCTAAACCATGTCTAATGAGAGTTGCTTTCTGGAATAAAGTGTTGTCTAGAATAAGACGATCGTTTGAATTTTGAGCACTTTTCAAAAACATAATATGCCGTAATGGAATAATTGCAATTTTTTATTCTCTCCATTCTCATCCTTTTATCACCTGCTGTAAGTGATTCAAAGTGCAGTGTTGTCCAGTAAACTGATACCCATTCATGAAACTGACTAGGATTGACTTTTATCTAGTGTTCCACTCTACGTGAATACGGCAATACAACCTAATTGAAAAACGGTTAATCCATTATCAGTTTCTGGTGATTAATATCAATTATTACTGTCAGCATGGATCAGCTAGATACTGCTTGCAAGTTTAGAGTCCTTATTCTTGGCGATGGCAACTTTTCATTTTCACTCGCACTTGCTCGTCATTTGTGGCATCCTCAACATCCATCCATTCCCTCCCACTTGGTACATCAATCTATAGCAAAACGCTATCTAGGACTTCCACCAACCTTTTCTGAATCTAATATTCATATTCTTGCCACTTCATTCGACACTCGCCCACAACTATTGGCCAAGTATGGCGATTTTAAAGATATTTTGAGTGCGTTGGAGGATGTACGATACAGAGGATTGGTGGATATTTTGCATGGAGTGAATGCTTGGGATCTCGGCAATCATTTTGGATCGAGTGTTGTTGGTGGATTCGATTTAATACGTAGGTACTTTGTAAACTAGGTCAAAATGGTGTCGTTTTACTGACTAAATATGATCCATCCCTCTAGTATGGAATCATCCTCATTTGGGTACTGAAGACTTTCGCTTGCATCGTTTTCTCATGGTATTGTATCTACACATTTGACCTCATAATTACTTAGCATTATTTTATATAGTTTGTATTACACACATGGTAACAGTTTTAATTTTGGTTTTGATCTAGGCCCATTTTTTTGATTCTGTAGCACAAGTTCTTCGTCATCCTAAACAAGGTTTGCCTACAGATAAATACAATGGTGGGCATACTCGTGTTTCTCTTGTACAAGGTCAGGAAGTACGATGGGATCTAGTGCGTCAAGCCCAACGATCTCAGCTTGCACTTGAAAGTATCGCCTGGTTTGATGAATCTCATTGGCCCGGATACATTGTCAAACGTAACAAGCATGGCGGATCGTTCAAGAATGAGCATACGAGACGACATGTGCAGACAGAGATGAAGAGTTGTTATTTCACTTTTAAATTTGGAGATGACGGCATTGATCCTGAAGTGTTTCCTGCTGCACATCAGCAAGTGTTGGCTATGCACGGTCAAGCTACAGTATCCGATTCAGGCCATTCATTTTGTTTAAATCAATCCAACACTGCAGAAAAACAGAATAATGACGTGAACGTACTTGAAGCAGCCATATGCAACTTAGATTTGAACCATTCAATAGACAACAAAACGGCTCTCGTGGATAACAGTACTACTTCAACTGTCGCTTCAGTACTCACTCGTACTATGACAAAAACTAATTGTATGCAGCCTGTAAAAGGATCTAAAAAGCAACTTCGCCAAGCAAACGTTCCATCAAACCTTGTATGCACATATTGCTGCAAACAACTGACGTCGCTTCGAGCCTACACCCAACACGTTCATATGGTTCATGAATTGCAGTTGTTTGGTCAGGATTGGAAACCTATTCGTGTGCGTTCATTCACCTGTGACAAGTGTCCCAAAACTTTTGCTACAAAAAATGATTTATGGCAACATGGGATTAACAAGCATACAAAGATCAATCCTTTGGATCTTCCAAGTGCACCTGATAACTCGCATTTGGGACTATCTAGTGTAAACGGTGCTGATGCAGCAACCGATAGCGATTACGATTATGTGCCATGTGATGTATGTGGACAAGCAGTTGTTCGGCGTGATTGGGGCATGCTGCTGCATTTGGAAAGTCTTAAACCTGCTGTTGGATTGGATATGTGTTGTCCATTGTGTCCAAAAACATTTATTGAGCAAAGGGCTTTGTACCAACATTACAAATTTTGTTCAAGTAAAAAATATGTGGATGACGATATAAATAAAGCCAATTAGATTTGATGTAATTTTGAAATACATGTACTTTAAATCTATTTCAACTTTTAAACACTGTCGTACAGATACTATAGCGGACGGATAGTTTATATTTTGAAATATATATTTTTTCTGTATGTCATCCTCATTCACTCAATGAACCATTTGACATACATTTATGAATGGTGCAATAACACAGTGCTGAAGTTGGTGCTGAAACTTGGACAATAATGTCACACCATTTGTCACAATTCATACTGCAGTGATGTTGTCGGATAACTTTGAAGACTGTAAACCGATCAAGACTGACACCATTAATATAGATGGCGACACGAATCTGCCATCACAATGTAAACCTGCAACACCAAACCCTCATGCTCAAACTACAACATGTCACTGTGGTCGTGGTGATGGAAGTCGTATAAGTAACAGATCTCGATCACACATACAAGTGGTTGAGTTAGACTTGCGCAAGTATTTCCAAATACACGATACACATTGATGACGATTACTGATTTTTTCATTCATGTTTTGATTCTCAACCCTGTCGCTAGTTGTATTGTTTGTAAGTAATGTAAATAGATTGATTGATTCAAGTTGAATTCTGTGTTGGTTCTGATTTCTGTTCCTTGTTGGGTGTACTTGCTGATAAAGTAGAATCCACATCGCCCATAAGGTATTGTTGCATTTTCAAAATAGTGTTGTGACTAGTTGGTGCTTCATGGCCAAAGTAGGGTGCGATATAAGGAGAAAATGAATAGTTTCCCACAAATACTGAAAGAACTCCGACAAGAGCATAGATCTTCCAAGTGACTTTGTAGAGGGATGGTCTTATAGTGGGTGCAACAGCAGCTCGAATGATTCTCATTTGCAACAAAAATCAAAACAAAAAGGATGGAAACAAAAATATTTATATTCAACTCACTTTCTCATGTTTGTAAAACATTCCAATATCATCAAGCATGTTGTTGTATTTCAAACATATGGATTGTTCGTTTGTAAAACTGCACAGTTGTTTTAGGTTGGCATACATACCATATAGGTCAAACACTGAAACCCGTGCTGGAACAATATTAAATGATTGACGTTGTCATGTATTGAATTGAAAGGATCAACATGTCGTTTAACAAACTGAACGTGGTACAGGAAACACGATCGATAAACGATCATGCCATTCAAACCAGCACCAAGAATGATGGTTGCTGGCAATTTCTTATTCCTGCTTCTGTTTTCATGCCTTTTATCGCCAGTCGTATTCATGTAAAATAAAACACCATCTTGCAGCAATTCTCTAGAATAAACAATCAAACATTCGTTAAATTTTCATACTAAATTGACTGCTTTAATAGACATTGTCAATTCTGTATCTGGAGTCGCATACCATACAACACCATTTTTATTAAACCATTGCTAAACCATGTTTAATTAGCAAATGGTTGGCCTTGTCAAACAGTTCAAGACATAACGCTATCCAGTAAATCGGTACTCATCATTTCATGAAACTGGTTGTTTATTATGTACTTTGGCACTTTTATTTAGTGTCCCATTTTACGTGAATACAGTGTGAAAGCAAATAAAAACATCGATTCAGCAATCGCTCCAAAAAGTAAAACTAGTGGATCTGTCCTTTGATATCCACTCCCTTGGCAAATGTTGCCTTTGCTCGTTCCATTACTACCGACATAGATGCTTTGCAATCGATAGATTTGAGATGTGAAGGAATCGAGGCTAGATTGGAAGCTTGTTTACGCTCATGTTTTAAAGATGGGTTTGTAGTAAATTTACGCTTTTCTTTTAAGCTAGAGGTTGCTGACAATGATTGTTGTATGGGTGAAGCCCACACTACATTCATACCATTTAGCCACGCCTCAGTAGTTTGAATTGCGTCTGATACTATTTGACGATCTGCAGAGGAATGCTCGATTGGAGTTGTAAACTTGGAGGCATCAACAGCCGAATGTTCAGCTACAGAACTCACAGTCGACAAGCAGTCTACAGATGCGTCCGGTTGAACATTATGCAAATTACGAATAGAAGTAGAGTCAACAACACTACAAGATACAAAAGAAATACCTACCCTTTGATAGCCCAAAGACTCAACACATCCTGTCAGCTGTCTGGGTATGAATCCCAGCACAACTGCAAGATACTCTAAACCCACGCTAGGTCGGAACGATTTCAACACACTGCATAGTGTTTTTTGCCGTTCTCGTTCCATGAAATGATCCATCAAATACCCACACATTTTGGGTGCCTGATGATATAAACCAAACAACATATGGTAGTTGCTAGACGTTAATGCAGAGCGAACAGCTAGGGCATATTGCACACATTCTCCTTTCTTGTCTTGCTCACCCAGCTCACTAATTGTATTGAACAAATCGCGCTTGTTCATCGTGTGTAACATATAAATGATTCGGTACGCAATAAACTCATCTGTACTTCCAGGTAGCTTGTAGATGTTGTAAAGTTGCTTGAGTTGCGCTTGACATTGATTATATTCGCCAAGATCCCCTTTTTCAAGTGCGATGCGTGCGTGGGTTTCGTATACCTTTACTGTAAACTCTGATTTGACCCGTTGAACTGTCAAATCTTGTCGGAGACTTTTAAATTGATCGCAAATAAAAGTATAGTTGTGCTCACTCTTCCATTTTGATTTGAGCAAGTCAAGTGTTTGTTTAAGAATTGGAAGAGGACGTACTGTAGTTGGGTCAGGTGCCTATACAAGCATTTATACATAAAAATGGTATTTAGACTAGATACTAGCGAGAAATTACAAATTGCAAGTTGCCATGTTCAGTTGTCAGGCCAGTCACTTACCGAAGTGAGTCGAAGATACGGCTTTTCGAGTTTTTGACATGTTCCAATAATAGTAAACTCATCCCAATCAATTACGTCAGGATTCCCTTCAGCTCCAGCTGAAACAAATGCTGCTTGCGCCAGTGAAATCTCTCGTTTCTTGCGCATCTGTTCAGATAGTTCACTCTCTTCATCGCATTGAAACCGCTTAAGTCGTTCATTGCGACGAGAGGATTGTGCTGGATCAAGAGTCGTGTTGCTAGTGACATTTCCCTTACCCAAACGAATGTCTAAAATAGAAGTTGAAGGCTTCGCAGCCTTTTTACCAAATTGAATAGTTTGAAGTGGTATGGTGGATTTTTTGAAAAAAGGTTTTTGTGTAGTGGTTAATGATGATGACGATGAAGTGGATAAATTCACAAAATTAAAGCTATCTGCGTTATCGTTTGGACTAAAATGTCATCGCAAGAGTGATTAGAATGTATAAACTTGAAGCAATGATTTAAAATAGTATTAACAATAGACTTACCCAGGAACAGGCATTTGTTCCCAATCGATACTCCACAATGAGTTTTTATTTCGTGCATCAAGAATCAATACACGAAGCTTTTCCTCGATGCCTGATCGTTTGCTTTGTTGGCAACTGCCAAGTACACGAGCACAATATTCACTAATATAAAATAAGTTAATATATCATTCAACTCTACAGTGTCAATACAACTACATACGTTAGTGATTTTGGCCAAGTGTCTCCAGATTTACCAGCTGTTGAGGTGGTTACGGTTGCATTAGGTATGTTTTCAGGAGCAGCTGGTCGTTTTTTAACAGCCATATAAGATGGTGCTTAAGAGTAGAACAGACGAGTTAGAATATTGGGTTTCCAGCAAATGATCACCATCGAATGGGTTCAGTTCAAATTATACCTTGAGCAAGCTCTGTGTTTGTAGGTCTTGGTCTCTGTGCAACACTCGAATAAGATGGTGCTGCAGGACATGAAGTAGCTGGTGTAGTCTGAGGAGAGCATTGCCTACAATCCAAAGAAATGCATTTAGCAGGGCTGATGACATCAAGCGGATTCATTTGATTGAAACCAACCAATCCAGATTACATTTAGTACTTACCCATTGTGACTGTTTACAGGACTTCCATTGGAGTAGCTTCTAGACGGACTAGAAGTAGCAGACTGAGCAAGCTGGGTCAGTCTTTGCTTCTGTAGTTCAGCCTGACGCTCCATCTGGGTAGTATATTTCTGCCAGTCAGCAGTGGGGTTGGTAGGAGCAGGAACAGGAACAGGGGCAGGAGCAGGAGCAGCAGTGGTCCATGAAGGTTGTGGATACTGTTGGTGCTGTTGGTAATAATGATAGTACTGAGGATATTGCTGCTGATACTGAGCCAGTTGGGCGTAGTACTGAGCCCTACATACAAACAAGTGGATTGAAGGTTAGTGTCAGCAACATAGTTTACACAAGTAAAAACTCAACCCACCAAGCTGCTGCATTGGCAGAAGTTGAATTCTGAGTAGGCTGCGTGGGTGGGGTTGCAGCAGCTTTACTTGCAGTTCCATAAGAAGGAATGGGAGGAGATGGACTGTGATGCATGTAAGCCAAATGACTGATAATGGAATAACCTTGAAAGTTGCAACAATTGAATATTTTAATGGATTTCGCATCACATCGAACTAATTGTCAGTTCATGACTGACAATTAGCAATTCAAATTTGTATTGATTGAACAATCAAGAATGTCCAAAGTCAATCAATACTCGATTATTGTAAAGCAATCTCACTGCAAGATAATGTGTTTTATTTTACATGAATACAGTTGTAAATCAACACTCTTTGCAATTCATATACCGAGTTGAATGTATTTCGATTTGCTAATGACTGCTTGCTAAATCCAAGTCAAGTCGACTTGTCTGGTTTCTTGTATCGTATCTTTAACGCAATCGTCATGTACTCGGCAACATACGTATTGCTGTCATTATGGGTGTAGGTTGTATATCGGATTCAGTGCTTAATTGTGAAGTTGCACCATGTCCACTGCTTTCCATAGTGGTGGGATTAAATGGTTCACATCCATTCACCGTCTCGACCATTGTCATTCGCGTTTCTAGACCTGCTGCAGTCACTAATCCCTCTGCACCAGGATACGTTGGTCCATATAGCAATCCTTGTGCATACCCGTCGCCCAGCATGATCACCAACGGCATCTTGTAATTAAACCCTAGAGTCACCACAACTGTGACCATTTGAGCTTGATTCAAGTACATTGCTGGTCCAGGACAGAATTGAGCCTGTGCATATCCATTCAGAGATACACTATTAATGGATTAGCACATCTTCAATCAAATCTGTGTAAATCACTCCGTAGATTTACAACAATTGATACTCTTTAGGATTGAATCAACTCACGTTGCAGATTTCTGTAATACTGGTCTGGATCTCCCTGCCATAATGTCTGCAACTGGAATTGCTGTATCGTACAGACTTACATTAAGGTGAACTGGATCCAATCCATCAAAAAGCCTTACTGCAATGCTTAAATTACACAGTAGTCCTGTTGCTGGAGATACCATCCATTCTACATATGTGTCGTTGTAGGAAAATGGAAATAGTAAAGGTCTACTACCTCCAGTTTCAAACTGGCTCACTGGCACAGTGGATGGAATGTCTCCTGTTAGACACACTGGAGGAAGAGCGTTGTTTGGAAGTATAGGTAGATCAATGCCACTAGTTTCTGTTGATGGTTTGGGTTTAGGGGACAAGATACTTGTATATGATGAACATGCTGCCGTCGATGCCATCATCGCAACACATAGTATAGTAAGGAGTGCCATTGGATACTAGATTGAAATAGATGCTATTGTACGTTGATAAATATGCCAGATCAGAGTAATGCGCAGGAATGCTTGGAGTTACATTGGGTATATCACTGAGAAAGAGATCGAGCTAGGGTACTGTATGATTTGCATGAGTTTTCTAACCAAGCCGGTACTATCCCTACAGGGATTGGATGCTTCTAATAAACCAAATACAACTGCAGAGAAAAGCGTCGAGTATTCCAGATAATTGCTTTTTATCGAATGTCATTGCAGTCCAAGATACCGCCAGCATACTGGTTTGAATACATCACTATCCTGCCAAGGAGTTCTTGGCAGTACATGCCATCTACCCATAATTATCCAAGAAATCTCGTAAATTGCTGCCATCAACTCTTCATATTTACTGCCTCTACAATTTGAAGGATGAATCAAAAAATGATCAAATGCGTGGATTAGCTCTGCTCAACGATTGCCAACAAGCAATGCATTCAACAGGTCATCATCATCATCAGAAGTAAGCTCTTGGTGGTCAGCCAGTTGGCGAGTGTTTGTCAATCTGGTTGTACCATTATGGCTTGAGGGATTGCTTCCAATGCTTGGCACCAAATTCGACGAGGCAGTGGATCTACGCGTTATTTTGGATTGGACATGACCACTCTCATTATCACTATCGTCCAGCAGTGTTATGGTTATTGGCATAGGACGAGAAGGCAGAGTCTGTCTAATACTACTGGCGCTTCTATTGGAAATACATCTTGATGATGGTGCAGGCTGATGCATGTAACCATTATCAGAAGTTGGTGCACAAGACCGATGCGATCCAGAGGGTTTTAACACAGACCGAGCCGCACTTTCAGTATCAATACATCTACTAGATCCAGACGCATATGGTGTATCCAAGAGTGACGCATTTGAAATAAAATCATTTAGATCAATAACCAAATCGTCGTCAGATATATCTACAGCATCAAGGTCAGTGCAGTTGGTTTCGCCTCTATTCGGATCGATACACTCTCCATCTATACTACTACGCACTTGAACCAATCCAGAAACTCTTAGTTTTAAATCAGCCACAAGATCACCCCACACGAGATTCAGTCGACAAATTGGACATGTTCCATTGATTGGCAGCAGCTGCATGCACTGCCGATCTTGTAATGATTGGCATTCTTCCTCGATAAACCAGCTAGACAGACAAACCAAATGTCCACGCATTTTACATTTGGGTCTGGAACATCTCAGCCAAGAGGACTGATCCTGCAAATTGAGTGTTTCATAACAAATGATGCAATCCGTTTCTGTTTGTAAATCTACCCAAATAAATAGACATACCAAGTAGTCAAAAATAAGTCGAGGCGTCGCTTTTAAACTGATGTGCCAACATTCAAAATTCGTACTACTGTTTACCTGGTATATCTGGCGACACGATTCCAACATTAACCGTGCTCACCGATCCAAAAGTGACAACTATATGTGGAGGTGGTGCTTGAAAAGTTTTGAACATTTCTTGAACATCCAGTACAGTAAACTGGATTTTCAATGGCCATCGAGCCCAGTACTCTAAATGCAGCATTTTGGACAGGACTTTGAGTTTTCCCTTGACAACCATATTGGATCTAGTCTCTGAGAATTGGTCCTTTTTAAAATGTCGGGATTTATGTGGATTTTGCCATGCCCACTCAAACTAGATAACCAGATTGTATAGTTATTCAAGGGCTGATTTTAAGAATATAAATGCATACATGATTGATTATAAATACTGTTTAGTTCAAACAGGTTGAATGTACCTGAAGTGCAGTCACGTCGCTTGGGAATCCATAAACAATTGCAACCATCTCCCCTGAATAGAAACCCCATGCAAGCATGACATGGTTGTAAGAAGCCTGACTATTCAAAGTATCTTTTTTATATCGAGTTTACTTTAAAATGACAATGATGGACCTACATGGACGCCATTTGATAGTTTGCTGGGCTCCGCCTTTGATTAGTCCATTGTGTTGGCGCAAACGACGAGAAGGGTCAAGAGTTGATCCAATATAAGCTGGGATTCTTCGTCCTGGTTGGCATGAGCGAAGTAGATAGCAAGAATAAAAAAAAGGCTTGTCCGTCATTATGTCTATATATCAAGGAATTGACTTGTGTTGATGATTGGTGAAATTGAAGTTTCCAATTTTTGACCAACAGATTAAACCTAATAATCTTTAAATGTATTGGTTGGAATACCATTAAAATATGATTTTTTGCTGCTGTTGATGGATTTATCAAAGTCTTTTAAACGCTTACACTTTGTATGCTATTCATTCTAATGGTTACATCATAGCGTATACATTGCATTGACATGAATTTTATCTCCAAAAATATCGAGTCTATTGAAACAATGTTGGTGCTTCATTACTCATGTTCAAACACATGGCTGTTCAAGCCTATATCAATCAAAACAATACTTGACTTTCAACTCATGTTGAAAAATCACTCGAATCAATGTTTAAATGCAAATCGATTCTGGTATTGACAATTCTCGCTATAATGAATGAAAACCAAAACCAAAATATATTCATAATGTCTAGGCTTGTAACATAGATCTCAACGGATTACTCTCAAGCCATTCAATCAGCTTTGTGGGAGAATCTGAACAGATACCATTTACACCAACGTCTCTTGCCTGCTCCCATTCCAGCTCAGTATTCAAAGCGCCGTCCTTTGTGCCAAACATGATGACAGAAACACCACGAGCCTGGATGGCTTTCATGTATCCCTTGCTCATCAACATGTAATAGTTTGGCATAATCAATGCGCGTTCGGGTATGCTCATCCAGCCAAGCAAACCAACATGGTACATGAAATAGGTTTGTAAAAATCTCCATGCACAAAAAAAACGAGGAATCTGTGACGAAAATGGAGTAGCAGTTGCACAGTATTTGGATTGCTCATAGAGAAAGGAGCCCCAAACTGTTTTATCGATGCGATTGTGTGACTGAAGTAAATGCGCGACTTTAAAAACAAGTTCTTTGGGGCTGTCTTTGACATCAATCTGCATGGGATAAGTTGGAAATTCAGTTAGTAGATCTTGAAGCAAGGGGATTCGTCTTGATTCTGGGTCTTGAACCACTTGCGGTAAATGAGCAAGCTTGTTTGGAATCAGCAGCGGCGGCAGGTCTTTTAAATTACTGATATTTGCATAAATTCATATATCAGACTAGGTTAAATGATATGGGTTGAACAATCTCAAATAGTTGATAAACACTTACTAGTCACTAATCTTTTTTCCCTTGAATTCAGAACCACATAACCTGTCCAGATATAAGTCGTGAAAAATCACAACCTGGTGGTCTTTTGTGTACTGTACATCAAGCTCCATCATATCAGCCTGTATTTTGGCTGAATATCTGAATGCGGGCATAGTATTTTCCACATGTTCGAGCGACCCTCCTCTATGGCTCATAAGTCTGTGCCGAAAAGGTAATCCTAGAAAAGGTCGAGATACAGATCCATATGGCATCTTTCTTTCTTCCACAGGATAAACGGCTGATTTGTTATGAGAGGACCTCTTGTATGTAGCAGTAGTGGGTGAGAGCATATGGCAAAGATGGACGAGGTTGGATTGAATTATTGTTTTTGTGGATTTGCTAATATAATGCTAACAGTGCTGAATTAATGGTTGTAGATATGCGATGAAATACACAATACTATACTCACCACTGACAGAAAATGCTGCATTCAATTAGAAACTTTTCAGATGGTCTTTGTATCTGACGACTACAAGAGTTTCTGTCAAGCTTTTGGATATAAACTCCTGAGGGTGTGTGGTGGCATGCTTTGATGTTGCACTTGCACATCTTGAACCATTCAATTTAAGCCGGCTGGTTGCAAAGCATGCCTGAACCAACTACTATAGCCGATACAGAGTCAGACTCTCCTTTGCATCCGCTCTTTCAACCCGATGCTCCCTTGGAGCTATCACAAACAAGCACGCTTGAAGAACTCATGCAAGAGCTGCGTGATCTTTCTACGTTGGAAGAATCAACCTCTGAAAGCCTGAATATTGCACAACTCATGAGTCAACTGGTAAGTCCACATGCTGATGGGTTAGGATAGCAGAGTGGATTCTATTTCTTCAATTATTTGCTAATATGGTTGAATATGACGGTTGTTTAGACATCGGCAGAAAAGGCATTGGATACTCTGGGTAGCAAAACCGACAATCTACTTGCTAAGCTAGATGCAATCCTTGTCGAGTCTGGCGAGGCAGACGAGCAACTAAGCGAGTTAAAGACCACTATACAGGATTCTAGTAGTGTATCAACATAGTCTTGCGTTCAAAAAAGCTCATTTTATCATTCTACATCTTTTAAAGCTAGCGATGATGGGGATGGAAACATGAAAATATATTTTTTGATTATATTCAACTCACTTTCTCATGTTTGTAAAACATTCCAATATCATCAAGCATGTTGTTGTATTTCAAACATATGGATTGCTCGTTTGTAAAACTGCACAATTGTTTTAGGTTGGCATACATACTATATAGGTCAAACACTGAAACCCGTTCTGGAACAAGATTAAATGATTGACGTTGTCATGTATTGAATTGAAAGGATCAACATGTCGTTTAACAAACTGAACGTGATACAGGAAACACGATCGATAAACGATCATGTCATTCAAGTCAGTAGTTGAGCAATCTACCGATATCTGCAAAATATCACCAATAATTATATTTTTGAACTAAGCAGCTTGATCCAGTAAGCTGACAGTATTTTGGCAACATATGCGCTTGATAGGTGCAGTTCAATATGTGGAAACCATTTTACTTGATGAACCATTTGACATACATTATGAATGGTGCAATAACACAATGCTGAAGTTGGTGCTGAAACTTGGACAATAATGTCACACCATTTGTCACAATGTATACTGCAGTGATGTTGTCGGACAACTTTGAAGACTGTAAACCGATCAAGACTGACACCATTAATATAGATGGCGACACGAATCTGCCATCACAATGTAAACCTGCAACACCAAACCCTCATGCTCAAACTACAACATGTCACTGTGGTCGTGGTGATGGCAGTCGTATAAGTAACAGATCTCGATCACACATACAAGTGGTTGAGTTAGACTTGCGCAAGTATTTCCAAATACACGATACACATTGATGGCGATTACTGATTTTTTCATTCATGTTTTGATTCTCAACCCTGTCGCTAGTTGTGACATAGTTGAGCATATAGATTATTGGTTGTTTAATAGTAAATTTAAATTGAAAATAATACAGAAAAGTGAGTCATGGTTGAATGTTTCAATACATGGATTTGAATGGACACTCGATGATTATAGTTCTACAACTGTGTTCACGTAAAGTTTAGCAATGTGCTCATCTTGCAATGATTGTCTCTATTTTGCTTGGGAATAAACAATGTTTAAATACTCGCTGTTTTTCTATTAAAATTAACCTTTTCAATGACACAACTATCATGATGCACACAATCAAACTATGATTTTGAACTGAAATGGTTCTTTTTTTACATTTTGTAGTCATGCATTGCACAATCATCAAATCTAAACCCATATGTATGCATTGCAATATATATATTATGTGTTTGACTGATCTGATGCTGTCGATACAACTCTGCACATGCTCATTCTTGTTGTATCCTAAACTTACAGATATATCCGCGTTTCTAGTTCAAGAAACCAATGATTGCACATTTTAGAATACAACTGTTGTCTGCATACCAATTGCACAATATTCACAATATTTGTACAGTAGATTTGGAGATCGAACAAGTGTCAAGATTGTGGGATGCACTGGAGCTGTGGTGTGAACATTTTTTCAGTTGTATTCACTGAAACGGAACAAATAAAGGAGTCCGAGTACATGATAAACGATCGATTTTGTGAAATGGTAATTGTCATCAAATTTACTGAATACCGTGTCTTTTAAACTTTTTGGTCAAGTTCAATGGTCTTTCTCTTCTGTGTTCATTTTTGTATAAACACTGCAAGTGAATTGACTACAGAGTATACAGTGTTCATGTTAAACTAGTGCTATTGATGACTCGAAGCACGAATCCCTGCTGCACTCGTGTACAACATAGTGGATAAAAGCAGCAACCCTTTAACTCTGTAACTTGGGCCGTAACCCTGTATGCACTGTTATCAGTGTGTAAATGGTCTGCTACTTGATAAAATATATAAACAGCAATGATTGTCGTTGATCGACCATAATACTTGCTGTCACTATGAAAATCAACGTTTTGAGCTGTCTTTTTTTGGCTGCTACTGCCAAAGCCATGATACTTTCGAGCAGTTCAGATTCCATATCCATACTAGAGAAAAGACAAACTCCTCCAAATGAACCGAATCCGTCAACCAGCCAACAATCGCATCCGTCAACCAGCCAACAATCAAATCCATCAAACAGCCAACAATCGCATCCATCAAACAGCCAACAATCGCATCCACCAACCAGCCAACAGTCAAATCCACCAATTAACCAACAGTCGAATCAAAATAATGAACTATTTAAACCATATTCTTCAAAAGGACCATTTCGTCACATCCTTGATGGAGCACCACCATTAAAGGCTAGCGATTTCGGCTATGATGATGACGGAACACCTTTGGATAAAAATGATCCTAGATGTAAGGAACTGTCTACAACTGAACGGTGTATTCGTGCTGCTGATGAAATGACTCCATCAGCAGTGACGAATAACATGATACTAAAAAAACTACTGAGCAAACTACAAAAGTGCCAGGAGAAATACGAGCGGATGGAGCTGCGCTTTAAAAGTTATAGTGAAAACCTAAATCAACAGAGATCATCCCCATACAAGCCGCATCGAAAGATCACTTTTGAAAAACTCGAGGCTCAAGCTCAGAAATGCGGAGAGTTAGTAGAGGAAGTTGAAAAAATGATGGGCAAGATAAAACAAGAGATGCATATTATTGTGCATTACAACAAGTTGGCCGCTTGGTTTGAAAAAAAACCTCGTAGATAGTCGGCTAACTTACAACTGTGTTCACGTAAAGTTTGGCAATGTGCTCATCTTGCAATGATTGTCTCTATTTTGCTTGGGAATAAACAATGTCTAAATACTCGCTGTTTTTCTATTAAAATTAACCTTTTCAATAACACAACTATCATGATGCACACAATCAAACTATGATTTTGAACTGAAATGGTTCTTTTTTTACATTTTGTAGTCATGCATTGCACAATCATCAAATCTAAACCCATATGTATGCATTGCAATATATATACTGTGTTTGACTGGTCTGATGCTGTCGATACAACTCTGCATGCTCATTCTTGTTGTATCCTAAACTCACAGATACATCCGCGTTTCTAGTTCAAGAAACCAATGATTGCACATTTTAGAATGCAACTGTTGTCTGCATGCCAATTGCACAATGTTTGTAATATTTGGCTTGGAAAATAAAAGTGCTGATTTGAATGGCATGATCGTTTATCGATCGTGTTTCCTGTACCACGTTCAGTTTGCTGAACGACATGTTGATCCTTTCAATTCAATACATGACAACGTCAATCATTTAATCTTGTTTTGGTACGAATTTCAGTGTTTGACCTATATAGTATGTATGCCAACCTAAAACAACTGTGCAGTTTTACAAACGAACAATCCATATGTTTGAAATACAACAACATGTTTGATGATATTGGAATGTTTTGCAAACATGAGAAAGTGAGTTGAATATAAATATTTTTGTTTTGATTTTTGTTTTTAACTATGAATCGATGTTAATGTATCCATAATGGAATTAGATTGCCGGTATCCACTTATGAACCAAAAAAGTCGAAATAAACATGATCAAAAAACACAAAGATATAGCGATTATTACTGGTGGTTAACAATGGTAATGAATTGAAGTTTTTATTGAGCTGATGTGTCTATCCAATGTAGTCGGCACATCACCATTAGTTACTGAGATAATTTCAATCCCGTTTTATTGATTTTCAAGCTGTCGAGTATATTGTTTTGGCTACTACAATTTGGAATGCTTATTTATGTTGATATATAATCAGGGCTATTAGGATCGAAAATACAGTAGAAAGAGCCAATCGAGATATTTATGGTTTTGCAGCCGGTAGTTGAGTAGTATATAAAAAGTACCAAATAGTACCGTTTTTGTTTAACAATGATAAAATTAGTGTAGCTTACAATATTGACGATTTTCACTAGAAGCTGTCCAGAAAATAAAATTTCATTTGAATTCTGCGAGAATAGATATGAGAAAATGGATTGAATTTCATACTAAGAAGGGTTTATTTTATTCAGAGTAGATAGTTTATGCGACCAATTCAAAAGATTCAGCCTTGTAATTCATTGAAAGCGAGAGCATGTTTTTGGACAAGAAACCCATTCCAAAAACGTTGGCATCGGCAAAGTGCTTGTCACGATGTGATAAATGATGTGATAACGTTATTCAAAATAGATAGCAAACATAGTGACGATATTCTGGTAAATGAGCAAATAATATACAAAGTGAATGATCTTTTGTCAATGAACTTGATACTAAACAAAAACAACGAAAAGAGAAGAGAAAAATGGTCAAAAGAGTCATATCTCAAAGTCGGCATGGTAAAATATACTTTAAACGATCCCGCATGGGTAAAGGTGTAGTTGGTTTGTGTATAGACTTCATTGGTAAAAATGGGTGTTGACTGATGGCATGCTGTTATCCTGTATTTGGGAAAACGCATTCAGTATCATCCCATCATATCATCCATTTGATGGTAGAAAGCATTCGGATCATGACACAAATCTTGGAAAAACATCATTGAAAAAAGTAGTGGTAACCAGTCGATCTATGCATCGATTTAGCTCAAAACCATAAGTAATAATTATAGTGACGATCGTAGCCATCCAACAAATCGAGGAGTATATCGAATCATTTGTGAAATCAAAATGACTTTCCAGGCTGCTGAAAAAATCACAGAGACTGCAACAGCATGATGAGTTGCCATCCCAATGCTATATATTTTCAAACACGAGTTCAAATACAAAATTAAAACAGTTGGTCAGTATTACTAATGCAATCACCGGATAGGTGCAACAGCTGAAAAGGAAGAGTGGTTAATTTTAAATATACAGTTTCAGATTTACAAAAGACGAGAAATGAACATGCTTTACCTGGGAACATTTTGATCGACAAACACGCGACGAGGATACCGACCGAGAGTGGATATCCACATGCACCAATGTATATCAAACATGGAATAAATGCCAGTAGCTCGAGTTGCCAACACATTAGTTCCATTAACAGGACATCCGATCGCTAGCGCAAGAACATCGCTGGTCAGCCACAATGTCATTCCCCAAATTGGTAAAACTTCAGGAGGAGCACTGGGAACAATCACGCCTGCATACAAGCAATGGCCAACAGCCATCCGTAAAACTGGCTGTATAGCTTGTAATAGCTTGGTATTCATAGTTCTTGGGGTTATAATGTCAACTTTCAAGCATCTCCAAGGTGGAAGTGAGGATGGTTGGGTCAATGCATTCAAAAACACTTTGATATCTACCCAGTAAATGTCAGCAACTTCTTTTGGTGATAAAACAATAGGAGGAGTTTCAGAGACGGTTTGAAGATAGACTCTGCAGGTAAGGACTAGTATGCGAGTACGAGTAATGGGAGATCGAATTTCCCTGTCGTCCAAGACACCCAAGTACTTGAATGCAGAGGATTGAAGATCGAGACCTATTTCCTCGAGAGTTTCTCGCTCGGTAGCCTGCTGATCAGATTCTCCAGACTCAGCCTTTCCTCCGGGAAAGGCCATCTACAATTAACAGTAATGGGTTGCATTTAAAGGAAAACTGATGGAATGAGAATTTGAATTAAGGTATCAGACAGGATGCATGTGTTTCAATGAACATTCAAAATTACGTGGCCACTCCATCTATCCCGAAGATTCCAGGCACGGCGAATATACAGGATCTCTAGTGCATCGGTAGTAGGATGGATACGCAGGATAATAGCAACCCCAGCACGACGAGGAGAGAGCAGAGTACTATCTAATTTAGCATGAGAGCGATTCTATTGTAAAATATCCAATGTTAATAGTCGAAATAAAACAGATGCAAATGGAAATGAGAACGTACTGCCAAGGAAAAGGAGAGCTGGGATAGTAGTTGGTTGCTAGTCATTATAAAGAGTAAATCTGATGACAGTATTCAAGTCACTCCTCCCTCACGTGTTCCAAGTAGTATAGATCGCTCTCTGGTTCCAGCTATCCTCATGACCGGTTCAATGCCATCACTCAAGTTGGTTTACTTTGATGCTCGCTCCAAGGGCGAAGTGATTCGTTTGTGTATGCACGTAGGCAGCATCCCATTTGAGGATTACAGAGTCGTTCGCTCTACCGAATGGCCATCGTTAAAGCCGCAGACTCCCTTTGGGCAATTGCCCTTACTAACCATTGACAACTCTACCACTATTGCTCAGTCCAATGCCATCCTCCGCTATGTCGGAACACTAGCTGGTCTCTACCCATCCACAGATCTGCTCAATGCTGCTTTGGTTGATCAGATCGTCCTGCAAATAACGGATATCCGCAACTTGCATAATGCTACCAAAAAAGATCCAGATCCTGTTCGAGTTGTTGCTACTAGAGAAACTCTAGCTACCACCTGCTATCCTGCCATGTTTGGCTATCTAGACAAAACCATTGCTCAACATTCGGCTGGAATATGGGCAGTTGGCCATACCCTCACTATTGCTGATCTGATGATATATGCTAATGTATCTTTTATCAAAGATGGACAATGGGCTGGCATTCCTGCAGACCTTGTTGATGCATACCCTAAAGTATGTGCTATATACGAAGCTGTCCGCTCCCATCCAAAAATTGTCGAATGGGAAGCTGCACATCCAAAATAAAATTAGATTGCTTGCACAAACATGAATCGATCATCCGCCCAATTCTAAATTTAGCTTATTGTTGGTTATACACCGTTGAAGCAGTAACCACAATGACGAATTATTTAGGGCTGCAACTCCCTGTAACGGAGAGCTTATAACATTGCAAAGTTATTCATTTCCTCCAGCTGAACAATGCTTTTGTGCTTGAATGAAATATACTCGAGCATCTTGTGACTTGTAATCTATTGGAAATAAACCCATTAATATTACATACATTAGTAAAGCATAGATGCGATTCTGGAACACCTAGAGCTACACTGTAAATATGCAAGTATGCAGATTTCAAGACCCGAGTCAAGATCCGTATGGGATATGCCTTGATGGCAATGTACAACAGCACTGCTCGGTCCAATCTGCACATGCAAATGAATGCATGGGAGTGCTAACCAAAGGGCGTCAATACACTGATGCAAGAGTGTCAAAATATCAGTAGAGCCAACGACTGCTTACAAAGCATACTCCCTGTGCAAACTAAATTACGGCACCATTCAACCCTACAAGCACAAAAATACTAGAATCAAACTTTTATTATTCAAAAACTAGTGCATGCAAAACGAAGCTATTTTGGTATGGATGTAGCAAGAAAACATCTTGCTGTAGCAACAAAAAGTAATCAGATGGATATTAGTGTGGAGATTTGGTGCAAGTGAGGATATTATGGGTCTGTTGTGAGTTGAAACCAGAAAGGTCAAAAGTCTAATAGAAAGATGTCGGAGCAAAGCGAATGGTATGCCGCCAGAAAAGGGTTAGGGTTAGAGTAACACTGAAAGAGACGGCATGGCACAAAGTGCTGGAATACGATTCAAGCCACTTTAGAATAGTAGAGTCGATATACGAAAAGATAAAGCAAAGCCGCACCGCAGACAGCACATGAAACTAGCAGAGACCGTAGTGAAATAAGCAACTCTGGAATACAAGTCACAACACAGCTGGTGTCTGAAATGAAACAGCTAGCAATAGATCAAGTTGGTCGAGCCACAGCTCGCAGGCATCGCTCAAACTAGGACCAGAATAAGTGCTGGCAATTGTTAATTTAACCCTTGAAGCGATCTGTGACTACGCCCACTACTGAACCCGTGCCTTTGAGAAAAGCAAGTCATGAACAATATATGCGATTAGACATAAGATGTTTATGCATATCGGTATATTGCTGTGTATACTCGCTGTCTATCTCAATGCCATGATCACGCATCGTTCGGTCGGCTCAGGCAAAACAAAGCACCTTCAATCTAAACATGCATCCGATCTGGTATCCACCCATCATAAACAGCCTCATCTGCGTACGCTAATGGTGCGGGGACGAGTAAACTCTGCATTCAAATGAGCACAGACTACCCGACGTTGAGCAGTGTGAACTGACAAGTGTCGCTGTTGAGATAGTGTCAGTCGAACATCAATGGGTTTACTAAATGTATTGACCTGATGCAACCCGCAAACTGTGGCCAGCACAGCGTTCTGGTGTTCACCAGTGAACCCAGAAGCGTCACACACATCAGCCTCACTATCAAGATCGCTATCTGTGGTGTCACTAGTAGATGCAGTATCTAACGCAAGCGATGGAATAGCAGATGGGAACACCGTGCGAGGTCGGCGTTTGGACCTTGTTGATGTGGTAGATTGCAACGCCGTGTATGGGGTATGAATGGCATCAGAGGCCTGCTCTGAGTCGCTGCTGCCTAGACTGCTTGTGCTGCTGTTGAATCGAACATGGCGATTGATGCCAATACTGATCCAACTGACATGGCTCGAGTGCGATACTGCATCAAAATCAGAAGAGTGGATCAAGCTTTGATCTGTCGGCTGCGATGGGGGAACCAAAGTAATGGTTGAGCTGTGGGTAATGGACGGAGAGAATCCGACAATTTGAGTCTGGGCAACCAAGTGCTGCAATGGCTGTGACGAGCATTGGGAAGAATCAGATCCAAAAGAGGCTGGAGTAATCATAATGTAATGCGCAAGGATATGTATCGAGAAATATTAAGGTTTTGGTCAAGGAGCTTAGTCGATACCGTATCGATATGTGTATCCTTCTAAAAAGCGAGAGGAAACAATCCGCTAGTTTTATAGTCGCTTCAAGCCGGTGGGCGTTTCGTGTCGTTGATTGATTTTACAGAAGCTTTCAGCAGTTGAGTGGTGGCCGTCGACTCAAGGGTCTAATCAAACAAACAATAGTTTCAGGGTCAGATGCGCATAATGCCTTTTTGCAGTAATCAATTAAATCAAATTGAATGCGTTTTGAAAATGAGCCTATTTAGGGGATTCATTTGAATGGCAGTAAAGGGACTGTAACAGGTATATCTTTATCTATCAAGTATCATTCGGCCTATTAGTCGTTGCTAGAGTCAAGCATATCAAGAAATGACCCAAAAATGGCGATGGTGACCAAGGTCGATGGTCTAATAACTGGGTCCATGCCAACAGGCACGAGACTTGGCAGCCGACCACTAGTTGGATGGAAATTATATTGTTCTAGTTATACAATGAATAAGCATCAAGGTAATGTCTGGCCATATAATACGACTTGGCTTGGCTTGGCTGGATTAGATACGGTGCTGGGCTAATGAGTGGTGCTGGGTTAATATGAATGATGCTGTGTGTGATTTTGTCCAAAACGAGTCTTAATGCATCCTTGTTGTCTGACATGAGCAAAGCAATTCAAGCTAGTTTGATGATAAACTAATGCAAGTGAGCCAATAATGTGGCTGTTTACAACGATCATGTCAGCGATCATGCCAATGAATTCGATTGAATGCAAGAATTACGAATATGGATGAATGGGCAATGTAATGTCGTAGTTGACATGGCCATCACTCAGATACAAGCGAGTATTGGTAGACAAGACTATTGACATGATACAATAACACAGGCGGCCGAATGTATCAACAATGCAGGCGCAATCATAAGATGCGACTGGATTCTGGCCGAGTTTGGAATGTACAATGGTTTGGTTGCATTAAGTTGTTTCATAAAGTTTATATTGAGTCATTGTTTGTGACAATCCATCCATCAACACCAATTACCCACATTCAATTAGCGTTCTAGTCGTATTGTTTTCATGTAATATCCAGTAATCTTACTGATGATCAAGCCATATCTCATTATGCGCCACCAATGTCGCATTATTTCTCGGTCAAATGAATTTGCTATACGCATCACTGCTGAACGCTCAACATCATCATTTTCGTTGTATGTTTTGTATCTTGAAAGCCACAATTGGCTGGCATTGTTTATCAGCATACTATTAATTGCTAGTGAATAAAACTATAGAACCATCAACAATGCATGTCGTACTACTGTAAATTCATGGCTAGCATAAATCCGTGCAGTGCCCAGTGTTATAGACGGTATCTGTTTGGTCATACATGTGTTTTTATCACACTAGGCTATATCAATCATAACCCGACTAAATGGAATTGTCAATGGTGATTTGATAATTAGCAATGATTCCCTATGGATGAGCGTTGATACATTTGACCCGTTAATTTGGTCGGGTTCCCACCAACGCCACATAATTCTCGTTCCATCAGTATAACCATCAGCATCAAATCACATGAAACATAAATGCAGTAATGATAAGACGTAATCAGGTTAATCTTGAGATAGTTACCAACACAAATACACCCTTTAAACACTGTTTAATTAGACCTACCCATAACTTGTGCTGCATGACCGCTTTAATCCTGTTCCAACTCGATGTAATGGGCGTCATGACTTTTTCTTTGCATTAATAGAGATGTAAGCCTTATCTTTTTCGTTCATTACCCTTTCATTTTGCAACTTTGTCAGTCTGTTACGGGTTGATTAAGGGGTTCATCAGGCTAATTTAGATTCTAATTAATTACAATCTATATTCGTGTAGCTTTGGCCGAGTTTTATGACAAACCATGTGTATACCACTTGTGAATCTGATATGATCTTGACTTGATTAGAAGCCTGACAGAGTCGGATACAGCATGCACTGTATCGATCTCCTATACATGGACAACACTACACACTTATCAAGTCGTGCGAGTTCAGCCAATAGAAATCTACTGAATCTATTGATAGGCAGACCTGCATTTGAGCCATGTTCAATACACAAACGTATCTGCAAATATTATGGTTTTTGCTCACTTGTTCCTGACTCAATATGCGGGCGTGATGGTTATGCTGCAATATTGTCGTTTGGTGGATCCGTCCAAAGATCTTTCAACTGCATGATACAAAGACTCGGTTTTGGCAAGTTTATTTTAATTGGTCACATCAGGACTAGAGTATACACTATTCATCATGCTCAATGGCTGGTGTAGATATATCTACAACCAAATCTGTTGACTGTCGCAGATAGTTTAAATTGATGTCTGGTACTGTATATCAAATATAAAGACAAACTAGACATGCCAATCGATTATACTGTTGCTATTTTGTGCATCAATACTGTTTTATACAAAGTTGATCAATGGTTCGACATATAAACAGTGGAGCAACTCGACACATTCTAGACATGCAATATTAAACAGATTTGTATGATCAGCAATTGAATGCATGGCAAATTTGCATGTCTATTAATTGTTGCAGTAGATTGTTGCCAGAACGATATGGATATGCTCAATCCAAATGGCAACTGTCTCAAGGCGCTCGATCATGAATACTTGCAATAAACAAATCCGTACTAATGGTCAGACAGACTGTTGGTATGCACTGAGTGTGCCATTGACAATGACCATGACAGTTACACAAACGGCTGCTTCACTAGCAAATGCTAATCGGCCGTCACAGCCACTTGCCATTAGAAGCTATTTGAAAAAGGATTGTCCTTTACCACTACTACAACAGCATATGCTTCGAACTGCTTCTGTCCATCGCAAGACCGCCGAGACTGATGTACACATTGATCTCACTCTACTGGACGTTGGCCAATTTGACAGTCAGGCCATTTCCATCTCTACTGGAATTGGATTTTTGGATCATGTATGACTTGATGAGATTATGATGATTAGTAAAAGGTCAATGCCATTTAATACAAACGAGTAGGATTGGTGGATAAAAGAATGAATCCCATCAATATTCAGCCATCAGCATTCTGCTGATATCAACCTCAAAGTGTTGGCATGTTATTACTAATGCAACCGTATTGAACTGCAACTCACACTTTAATGGACTGTTCAATTGGCTTATTAGATGATCCATGCACTTGCCAAACATAGTAAATGGTCCATCACTCTCAAGTGCACTGGGGACATTCACATTGATGACCACCACACCACAGAAGATATAGGTCTGGCACTGGGCAAGGCATTCAAGGAGGCCTTGGCACAAGGTCCATCCAATCTTGCTGGCATTAAACGCTTTGGATATGCCTATGCTCCGCTAGATGAAGCCTTGTCCCGTGCAGTTGTTGATATCTCTGGCCGTCCATCAGCTCATATCGATCTTGGTCTCAAAAGGGAAATGCTTGGTCAGTTGAGTTGTGAAATGATTCCACATTTCCTTGAAAGTTTTGCTGGCACTGCTGGCATTACCCTACATGTGGATACTATCAAGGGATTTAATGATCATCACAGGTACAGTTGTAGCTGAATGCATGGTGTCATGTTTGGATACTAGAGTAGATGTAACACTGTTTTGGTTACAAAGTCTATTTACAAAAGTTTATGATGAGTGGATTTATTAAACTGTTACTATGGATCTGATAGGAGCGAGTCTGCATTCAAGGCAACAGCACTTGCCCTTCGTGAAGCCGTTTCATTTACTGGTGCATCAGACGTTCCTAGCACAAAGGGCACGTTGACCGATTAGTTGATAAACAATCGGATGTTGCACTTGGACATGTGTTTTCGTTGGATTTACTACTTTATAAACTATGCAGTTTTGATTGCTACTGAAAGTTGTTGGGGTTTATTGGTGAGGCTAAATATATCATTGATTAGTCAAATATTGCTGTCGTATTTCTAATTTTAATAATGCTACATTCTGGATATTTTGGTTGGTGATAGTGGTTGTACATGGGTCGCAATCATAGTCAGCACATCAGGATCACCCAGATACAGTGTTTAAATTCAAAGTCGACTATTAACCAACAATAAACTCGATGCAATTCAGCAGGCCAGTTGCAGATCCTCATAGTAGACTTACTAAAGTCAAGCTCTGTGTTTTTGAAATAAAGCAATGGCCGTCCATCCGCACGCACACCTTCCTGAATAAACCGCGGTGATACTCGAGTGGTTGAATCTTTTTAAACGTATCTGGATCAAGAAACTCACTATCTTTGAAGTGATCGGATTCCTGCAGTACCATTTGTATATCAGCACTCATTAATAGAATGGAGATATTATTGCTTTAAAGTGTTATCTTTATCTGCAGTCGGAAAGAAAAACATAAAATTTCCAAATTGTCGCCATCAGATTTGACTGGCAATTTGAATAGGCTTTATGAAGCATGTCGCAAAGACCAAGTCGACCAGCAAACCAGAGTGGTCTCAAAATCACTCCGAATCCCATTCTCACGAAACGAAGAATTCCCCAATGGGAGAACTGGGCAAAAATGCAAAATGCATCTGATAGACTGCATGTTCAATCCACAGCTGACAAGCCAGGCGATATCTCGAGTCTTGGAGGTCAAAGTCAAATCCAGCAACCAGCAGATACAATGAAACAGAATGGAAACATAATAACACAAGAATTTCCACTGGAATCTATAAAGACTTGACTGAGTTTTCAGGATCCATCATTGGCGTTATCTAAACGACAACTCACTCGCTCCATTCATTTTGTAGATTTCGATAAACCTGAATCTGGAAAGCCATCAAATTCAATCAATACAACTCAACAGGCATTGCCATCAAAAGTGTTTGGAAAAGAGCATCCTTTAACTATGTCTTTTATCCCCAGCGTATCCCAAAACAGCCTTGCATCGTGCATTCCTGATGCTTTGAAAAAGTTGCCCAAAAAATACTACTCGCACCAGTTGAACATTTCAAAAATTCCAGCTTTACCATCCAGGCTCGACTCTGTTGAAGTAATCAGACTCTAACCGTTTTCGAACTGTTTAAATGATTAGCTTACATCGGTTGTAGTATCCGAGCAGGGTATTATTCTAACACAATGTAACACTAGTGTGTCACATTGTACATCACCTAATTCATATCCTTCACATCATTTATTGACCATTATGTTTCTATAACGACCCTACTTACTTTAACATTGTACTCATAGTTACCAATCATATGTAACTATATTCCATTATATCTACACAGCTAACAGCTGGAATAAGTCCTATTGGCCAAGTTATCTCCGGTTACAATAGCCTATTATCAAACAGTCAATTACTATAAGAACTAAGGTACTTTGTTATTAAATAAATCCTTTGAACATCCTCTAACTATCATCCGACATAACTTCGTTACTATCTATCAAGTTCAACTCTCTATTCTGTTGACTTTGACTTGCGTGACTACTTCCTGATTATCATTCAAGACCTCTTCTGACCTATCTTTTCTACAGCGGCAGATTATATACTATTACATTATACTTTACTAATTGAAAGACTCAGTCTCTTTCTCTATTTTCTATCTCTATACTTCTTGCGCGATAATCAAAATCTTTAATAGGTTATTAGAACAGTTGGAAGCCACGCAGTAAAGATCACATACGGTCTATACGTACCAAGACTAAACCAAGCCAATTTCAGCAAATGGTATATCAGTATCGAAGCAGTATTCGAGCACTATGATTTATGGGATTCATACGTCATTGCAGAACCGCCAGAAAAGGCAGAAAAAGCATTCAAGATAAACGAAATCAAAGCAAGAGGGTTAATCTGCTCAACAGTCAGCGAAGAAGACTATGAAGAATTCACTGAGGATCCACATGGAACTCCGCTATCAGCACGCGATTCAATCGCTAAAATAGTCAAACACTTCAAAACAGGAAATCTGATCGAGATCCACGGATTGGAAATCAAGATGCAAGAACTCACTTACAACACAGATGGAGGAGTCAAAGTTATATTCGAAGAAATGGCTAAGCTAAGGAAAGCGCTCGAGAGAATGAACGTTGTAACTTCAAATTCCGAGTTCTTCAGAAAAATCCTATGGAAGCTAATCGATGTATCACGACATTGGGTCTCGATGAGAAAGGAATTCAATGACTATTCTGAAAAGGACTTGTCTACACAGCCTATCAAGGACATGTTAATCAGAGAAGAAGAGGATCTAATAAGAGCTCACGAATTACCCAAATTACAAAACGCCAAAGTCGCGTTACACAGCTCATTCGAACAAAGAAAGCCATCAAGAGCAAACTACAATCAGCCACATCTCAGGGGCTTTACCAACGGAGATCACTCGAACGATTCTCGTCAGAATGTTCAAAACTCCAATAATTCATCTTACTGGCCAAACGGCAAGAAGAAGATATTGCGTCGTAATTGTGGAAAACTTGGATCTCATTTAGCAAAAGACTGTCGAGCTCGGTCCTCAAATAACAGTCAATCAAATAGTAACTACGCATCTACGTCATGCTACAACTCAAACGCTAATAATGATTT